GCCGGCTGTCGGCGCGGCGGAGCGGGACCGGCAGCGTCGATGTGCACGAGCAGGCGGGCGGCGCCGAGACGCCGGTGACGGCCCAGGTCGAGGCCGCGCGGCGCGGTGCCGTCACGACCGCCGTTCAGGGGTTCCGGGCCTGGGACCAGTACCGCGAGGACTACCGGCTGGAACCGAAACCGCGCGAGATGTTCCGGGCCCGCATCGGCGTGCCTTGCCACGGCAAGCTCCTCGGCGTCGACACGTCGGGCTCGTGGGTGCCGTCGCAGCGCGCTGTTGTGTACGACGCGGCCGGGCCGATGGAATCGATACTTTTGAGTACCGCCTCGGACGGAGAAGTCCCGATGTCGCCGGAGATCCTCGCGGCGCTCGTCGTCGGCGCGCTGCGCCAGCCCGGCGCGTTCAGGCGTCTGTGCCAGACGTCGCTGGTGGCGCCGCGGCCGGGGACGTGGGCGGCGGCGCACCCGGACGGCGCGTGGGACGCGGCGGGGCGCGTGCCTGCGGTGCGCGTGAACGTGCTGCTGTGGAGCGGCGGGCACGGTCATTACATGAGGTGTATCTTCCTGTCGACGTGCGACGGCGCCGAGTGGCGGGTGGCTGGCGTGCGGGACGGCCTCATCGTCCTCGAGGCCCAGGATCTCGGCGTGGGCCCGTCTGCGTCGCTAGCCGGACCGTTCGCTGGGCCGTCCGCAGCCCCGCAAGCCGATGGCTTGCAGGCCGCTGCGAGCGCGCGGGGGTTCGTGTGTCGTCCCAGCGACGACGTGTGTCTGTCCTTCACGGCGGTGCGGTCGACGCCGCGGCCCCGCGACGCGAAGCCGAAGATCGAGACCTTCCTGGTGCGCACGTCCTCCGACGCAGAGCAAGCACACACCAATACACCAGTGTTGCGCAGCACTATTACGAATTTTCTCGCCTAGAGCTTCGCCGATCGAACGCCCACGGTCCTGCGCGTTGCTGATTTCGTGCGCGCAGAACATGGACATGGACGACGTCGAGGCGGCCGTCGAGGTCGCGCTGGAGCAGGTCGAAGACATCATGAGAAGAAAAACCACGCTCTACCCTTCTGGAGAGCCTTGCGAAGTCAGCGGCGTTCTCGTCCAGGTCGAGGCGGAGGCGCTCTCGCTCAGCCGCGACTTCCGCGTCACGGCCACGCTCGTCGACGACCTCGGGCCGGGAACGAGCCTCTTTTGCAAAGCAATGAGCACGGCCGAACGGAGGGTGTTCGCTGAGAAGAACGAGGACGGGGCGTGGCGCGTGTACGCGACGCGGACGGTGGACGGCGTGGAGTCGGCGCCGATCGACTGCACGGAGGAGGTCGAGCGCGCGCGACGGTTTGCCAAGCACACCGTCGACCAGGCTCTCGCCGCGCATCGGTGCGCGGCGGCCTGCAAGGACCCCTCGTGCGGCTACATGTTCAGGACGGAGATTGTCGCGCGCGGCATGTTCGTTGCGGCGAAGGAGGACCGGAGCGACAAGCAGCCGTGTACGAAGGTCAAGGTCCAGGCGGAGTGGCACAAGGAGCACCCCGCCATCATCACGACGTCCCGCTCGCCGCTCGAGCCCTCGGCGGACAACATCGTCTTCATCGGCTGCGAAGGACCCCCGGGCCAGACCTGCATCACCGTGCGACCCTTCCGAGCAGACGACGTGTTGAAGCAACTCTGCAAGGACGCGCTGATGGCGCCGCTGAGCTACGGCTGCGCGGCCGCGCACCCGAAGCGCGCGTGGAACAAGCGCGGGGAGTTCCCGGCGGTCAAGGTCAACGTGCTCGTCCACAGAAACCAGGACGGCCCGAGTCACAAGGTGTTCTTGTCGCTGCCCGAGGGCAAGGAGTGGAGGCTGAAGCCGCTGCTGGGGCTCTTGGGGAGCGCTACGGGGCGGTGCTTGGCCATGCACGACGCGAGCGACAACGCAGGAGAGCCGGCGCCGAGCCTGACGTGGCAGGACTTCTTTGCGATGCATGGCTGCAACGACGGTGTCGACCTGTCGATGGGGCAGCGCACGAGCGCAGGAGACGCGTCCGCATCGACCTCGTCATCAGCAGAGACGTGCGCGTTCTGCGCCCCGAAGCCGCGCGCTCTGTGCGACCCCGCTGCGCCGCCGCAGGGGGCGCGCTTCGTGTGCGTGCCGAGCGACGCCGTGTCGCTCTCGTTCGACACCGTGAGGGCACAGCCTCGGCCTGAAGATGCACAGCCAAGCCACGAGACGCTCCTGGCGAGTACACTCCTGTGTTGATAAATAACTGCGGGAAACATGAAGTACCTGTTGTTTTCTTGAAAGTTGTGCTGCGCCCGAGCGCCCGCCTGATCCGAATGTGCCCGTGTACTGGTGGATGCAGAACGTGCCGATGGAGGACCTGGAGGAGCTCCTGCGGGTCGCGCTCACCTTTTCCCGCGCTATCGAGAAGTCTGACTGCGAGCAGTCCTGGGTGCTGACCCGCATCGGGCCCGAGAGTCTGACAGGCCACTCCGACATCCGCGCCACGTCGACGCTCGTGTTTCCCTACGACGAGAACGTCGACTTCTTCTGCCGTGCCATCAGCGGCGGCGGACGGCACATTCGCGCACTCGAGGGCGGCGACGGCGAATGGGGCGTGTTTGCGACGCTCGACGTGGAAGACAACGTCCTCGGCCCGCTCAACTGCACCACGACGATCAAGCACGAGCGCTTTGACGCCATCGACACGGCGATGAAAACGTTCGGGGAAATCACCAGCGACTCTCGCGCCAAGGTCCCGTGGAAGGGCGCCCACGCTGCCACCGCATTCCGCTTCCGCACGCGCGGCATCGCTCACGCGGGCACCGAGTTCGACCTCATGACCCGCGGCGATGTGCTGCCAGAGCGGGCGAACACGCTCCTCCTCGAGACCCTGCCACTCCGGAAGGGCACCAACACGCTCGACGGCACAAAGGTCAGCGCGCTCTCTTGCCCCGACGTCTGCGCGAAGAACATCGTTGCCGTCCTGCGCAAGACGGGAGCGCTGGAGACGCTGGCAGCGCGCATCCCGGCGAGCAAGGCAGCGGGCGCCGGGGGCTCTCCGGCAGTGACCGTCAACGTACTTCAGATCTTCGTCGGTGAAGACGACACGACATTGGTCTGGCTGTCGCTGCCGGAGGGTGCGCGCTGGACGTTCTTGCCGGCGCAGAGTGCGTCGAGCTCGCCACCGAAGTCGAAACCGACCATCGCGCCACTTGGCGTGGACGTGTACGACCGCAAAGCATTCGACGCCGGCCCGGAGTTCTTTGGCCCGCGCTGGCAGACATTCCTCGACCAGTACGCGGAGGATAAGATCAGGATGCGGGACATGACCGGTCACGCCGGGGCCGACTTGAACGAGTTGACCGCGCGCTATAGCACCATCGTTCTCAGATTCACGGAGAAAGCGCTGGCAGAGCGCGGTCCCACAGTCAGTCCTGCGCTGGAGAAGGAGCTAGAGGTCAAACTCGAGGCCCTGGGGCGCGAGGCCCGCGAGCGAGGCCACTGCGTGTCCGCAAGCGACGCTGCGTGTGCGCCGCAAGCACCCAGCGACAACTCGTTGAGCAGCATCAAGAGGGTCTTCGCGGAGCGCCTCGGTTTCGCGGCGTCCACGACACCGGAGAGCGGCGAGCCCGGGAGCCCCGTGCAGCCTCGCGCACCGCCGGCGCCCGCCGTCAGCGGCGGCCAACGGCAGGGGGGGAGTAAGAAGAAGAAGAACAAGAAACTAAATCAGCGGCAGCGGGCGAAGCTGCAGGCGAACAGGGGCGACAAGGAGTGAGGCGGCGGTGGCGGTCCTGAGCGACGAGTGTGCCGCGTGCGTCGGGCGCTGGCGTGCGATGGGCGCGGGCGCAGCACACGCTGCGTGGCAGGCAACGCACGTTCGACGAAGCATGCGGCCGCGCACGCAGACATGGAGGCCGGGGCAGAAGCGGGCCCACGGTCATGACGAGTAGAAGCGAATGTAACCGCGCCCAGGCTCTGTCGCGATCCACACCGACGTCGCTCGAAGGCCGCACAGCCCCTCGTGTTCCGGGCCCGCGAGGGGCGCACGCAGACCGACAGCGCCGACGAACAGCCGCCCGCAGTGGCGATCGATCCTCGCGGTCCCACCACGTCACGGCGAAACTTCAAGATGTCATCCTTCACGTTTCCTACCCGTGACACTGTGACCCGCGTCGTTCTCCTACTCCGCTCTCGGCGCCGTGGCGTGGAACTGCGCGCCGGCGGGAGTGTCTGCGGAAGCGCACCGCCTCGACTCCGTGGAGGGATGCAGCCGCGGTGCGGGGGGAGTGAGACGACTCTGGCGCGTGCCGGGCGGAAGTTCGCCGCTTTTTGCGCGGGCGGGCGGACGTCTGTGGCATCAAAGACAGCGAAGAGCACAGGACGCGGCGGCAGCGTGTCGCAAGACAGGTGCGTTCCTCTAACGATCTTGGACGGGCACGTAGCGCCGTGGCTGACCAGGCGGGCCAGCCACGCTGCCGCGGCATGGCAGCGCCCACGAGCATCTAGTTGAGAGCAGAGTGCTTGCGCGTGAGACGCTTGTTGGCGCGAGTACAGGCCGGAACCGGCCCTCGAGGTGCACCGCCAAGGGTCGCTGAGGCCCTGCGGCACGGCTGCGCGTTGTTTGGCTCGAAGAATGACATCGGTCGCTTGTAGCGAGGGTGTTCTACATATGCTCAAGCTTGCTGTAGACCCTTGGTAGCGCATCACACGCGTGCAAGGCGTGCGGCACTGCACAGCCCCGAACCGCGCGTATTGCGGCGCTGCGAGGGTTCCGGTGCCGTGATCGGTGGACCCACGGACGCGAAGCTGGCCTGCGTCCGGTTGATGTCCGACGAGCCGTCGTTTGGCAGCGGGAACGGCCCCTGTTGTGCTGAGAAGCAGTTTGCCCCCGAATGGCACGTTTTGCCCCCGTGCTCGTCGCATTGGCTGCCTCCAGATGTCAACTAGATCATAGTCCGACAATGAGCAAGAGCGCTGCCTCGATGCGCCCTCCTCGGCCGCAGACGACGCCAAGAGACATCATGGACGGGGCCGGGAGCCAGGAGGCGCCGCCGGCCCCCGCAGGCGCGCGCTTCGTGAACGTGCCGAGCCAAGGGCCGGCCCTCGCGTTCGACACCGTCAGAGCGCCGCCCCGCGCACCCGACGCGACGCGGGAGCCAGAGACCTTCCAGGTGCACACAATGTCCGCCGAACGCCGTCGCACAGAGCGGCCCGCGCGCGCCGACGCTCACGGCGCCTCGCATCATATCATTCGCGCAGACGGTCGATCCGAGCGACCTCGAGGAGATGCTGACGGTCGCCTTCCGCAAGTCCCTCGACGTCATCAAGGCAGTCGAGCATCCCGCACCGACGTGCGCCGAGCCCTGGCGCGACCCGAACGTCACCATGGTGCTCGCCCAGATCGAGGCCGAGGCCGAGGCGCGCACGCCCGACATCAAGGCCACCACCACGCTCGTCAGCGCCCTGGGCGGCGTCGGCACCAGCGCCTTCTGCGACGCGGTCAGCACCGACGAGCGCCGGCTGTCGGCGCGGCGGAGCGGGACCGGCAGCGTCGACGTGTACGAGCAGGCGGGCGGCGCAGAGACGCCGGTCACGGCCCAGGTCGAGGCCGCGCGGCGCGGTGCCGTCACGACCGCCGTTCAGGGGTTCCGGGCCTGGGACCAGTACCGCGATGAGTATGCGCTCGAACAGAAACCGCGCGAGATGTTCCGGACCCGCATCGGCGTGCCTTGCCACGGCAAGCTCCTCGGCGTCGACACGTCGGGCTCGTGGGTGCCGTCGCAGCGCGCTGTTGTGTACGACGCGGCGGGGCCGATGGAAGCGATGATTTTGAGTGCCGCCTCGGACGGAGAAGCCCCGATGTCGCCGGAGGTCCTCGCGGCGCTCGTCGTCGGCGCGCTGCGCGAGACCGCCGCGCCACCCGACGCCCTGAAGCGCATCAGCGTGACGTCGCTGGTGGCGCCGCGGCCGGGGTCGTGGGCGGCGGCGCACCCGGGGCGCAAGGGAACGTGGGCGGGGCGCGTGCCTGCGGTGCGCGTGAACGTGCTGCTGTGGAGCGGGCACGGCCATTACATGAGGTGTATCTTCTTGTCGACGTGCGACGGCGCCGAGTGGAGCGTGTTTGGCACGAAGAACGGTCGCATCGTGCTGGCGGCCAAGGATCTCGGCACGGGCCCGTCTGCGCCCCTCGCTGGGCCGTCGCAGTCGTCCGCGGCCCCGCGAGTCGCTGCGAGCAGGCGGGGGTTCGTGTGTCGTCCCAGCGACGACGTCTGTCTGTCCTTCACGGCGGTGCGGTCGAACCCGCGGCCCCGCGACGCGAAGCCGAAGATCGAGACCTTCCTGGTGCGCACGTCCTCCGACGCGGAGCAATCACAGACAAATACACCACCGCTGCGCGACGCGTTTGGGTTTCCTCGTCTCTGCGTGCCTAGACCTTGGTCGACCGGAGACTCACGTCCGCGCGCGTTGCTGATCTCGCGCGCGCAGAACATGGACATGGACGACGTGGAGGCGGCCGTCGAGGTCGCGCTGGAGCAGGTCGAAGACATCATGAGCAGGACCACCACGCTCTACCCTTCTGGAGAGACTTGCGAAGTCAGCGGCGTTCTCGTCCAGGTCGAGGCGGAGGCGCTCTCGCTCAGCCGCGACTTCCGCGTCACGGCCACGCTCGTCGACGACCTCGGGCCGGGAACGAGCCTCTTTTGCAAAGCAATGAGCACGGCCGAACGGAGGGTGTTCGCTGAGAAGAACGAGGACGGGGCGTGGCGCGTGTACACGACGCGGACGGTGGACGGCGTGGAGTCGGCGCCGATCGACTGCACGGAGGAGGTCGAGCGCGCGCGACGGTTTGCCAAGCACACCGCCGACCAGGCACTCGCCGCGCACCGATGCGCGGCGGCGGCGGCGGCGGCGGCGGCGGCCGGCGAGAACCCGCCGTGCGGCTACTTGTTCAGGACGGAGATCGTCGCGCGCGGCATGTTCGTTGCGGCGAAGGAGGACCTGAGCGACAAACAGCCGTGTACAAAGATCCAGGTCCAGGCGGAGTGGCACAAGGAGCACCCCACCATCATCACGACGTCCCGCTTGGCGCTCGGGCCCTCGGCGGCTAACGCCGTCTTTCTTGTCTGCGAAGGACCCCCGGGCCAGGCCTGCATCACCGTGCGGCCCTTCCGAGCAGACGACGTGTTGAAGCAACTCTGCAAGGACGCGCTGATGGCGCCGCTGAGCTACGGCTGCGCGGCCGCGCACCCGAAGCGCGCGTGGAACAAGCGCGGGGAGTTCCCGGCGGTCAAGGTCAATGTGCTCTCCTACTACCACCCCCAGGACGGCCTGAGTCACAAGGTGTTCTTGTCGCTGCCCGAGGGCAAGGAGTGGAGGCTGAAGCCGCCTCTGAAGCGTGCTGCGAGCGATGATGGGCGACACCTGGTCGTGCACGACACGAGCGACGGGGCCGAAGAGCCGGCGCCCAGCCTGACGTGGCAGGACTTCTTTGCGATCCATGGCTGCAACGACGGTGTCGACAACGACATGTCGGGAAAGAAGCACACAGGTGTGGGCGACGCGTCCGCGGCCACCGCTTCGTCGGCGGACAAGTGCGCGTTCTGCGCCCCGAAACCGCACGCTCTGTGCGACCCCGCCGCGGCGCCGCAGGGGGCGCGCTTCGTGTGCGCGCCCGGCGACGCCCTGTCGTTCGGCTTCAAGACCGTGAGGGCGCAGCCTCGGCCCGTGAATGCGCGCCCGAGCCAAGAGACGTTCCTGGCAAGTGCACGCTTTCCTAGCTCTCCTACGCGATGATGATCATCAGTCATTCAACTTGCGCTGCGCCCGAGCGCCTGATCCGACGACGCCCGCCGGCTCACGACTGCAGAACGTGCCGCTGGAGGACCTCGAGGAGCTTCTGCGGGTCACGTTCAGCTTCGTACGCGCGATCAAGGACCCTGACAGCAAGACCCCCCCGAAACTCGAAAGGCCCGCGGTCCTGACCCGCATCGGGCCCGAGAGCCTGGCAGGCTACTCCGACATCCGCGCCACGTCGACGTTCAATCTGCCTGACGACTCGAACGTCGACTTCTTCTGCCGTGCCATCAGCGTCGACGGACGTCGCCTGTCCGCACGCAAGGGCGCCGACGGCAAATGGCGCGTGACCGCTACATTCGACGCGGACGGCAAGGTCGTCGGCCCGTTCGACTGCTCGGTGCTGATCAAGGGCGGGGGCTACGACGCGCTCTACGCGATGGCGCGGGCGACAGACGCCTACTACGAATCTGATTCAGACGAACTGTCAGACAAACTCATCGGCCCCTGCGGCTTTCGCAAGCGCTCGCGGTCCCGGCACGAGGGGCTTGACATCGACATCATCACCGACGTCGTGATGTCGCCGGAGCAGCCGGACATGCTCTTCCTCGGCAACTCCTTTCCCCGGAACGCCTGCGGAGAGCTGCCGCCCGAGAGCGCCTTCAGAGCGGCGATGTCGTGCCCCGACTTCCGCGCGAAGCAGATCGTCACCGTCCTGCGGAGGTTGGGAGCCGTGGAGTCGCTGGCAGCGCGCGTCCCGGAACGCGCAGGCGGGACCGGGGGCGCTTCTGCGGTGACGGTCAACATGGTTTATGGGTTCGGGGACTATGGGATGCCGCTCGTCTGGCTGTCGCTGCCGGAGGGTGCGCGCTGGACGCTCGGGGCTCCGCCGAGGGCCCCGAGGTCACGGCCTGGGTCGGAACCGGCGATCATACCTGTTGGCGTCGAGGTGTTTGACCGCGAAGCGTTTCACGCGGAGCCGAGCTTCAGCGGCATGTACTGGCTAGACCTGCACGACATGGACACAACGCTGAGGAATATCTTGCCGCGCCTCGGATATGAGCCGGGGCCCGGTCTGGACGAGTTGTGCAATCAGGAGATTCAGGCGATGCTTAGGGAGACAGAGCAGAGGGCGTTGAACGGTCCCGATCCTGAGCGGGACGAGAAGAGTACTGCAGAGTTCGATGCCCTCCTGCGGCAGTTCCCCCCGGAGAGATTCGTGTTCGATCTGCCCAGTCCTTCCACGATGAATGAAAGTTGCTACCGCGACGCCATCGACAAGCTCATCCTCGACGCGATGCCCACGGTACCGGCGAGCCGCGGGCCCGGGAGCTTCGCGCAGCCTCGCGCACCGCCGGCGCCCGCCGTCGGCAGCGGCCAACAACAGGGGGGGAGTAAGAAGAAGAAGAAACAGAATCAGCGGCAGCGGCAGCGGGCGAAGCTGCAGGCGAACAGGGGCGACAAGGAGTGAGGCGGCGGTGGCGGTCCTGAGCGACGCCTGTGCCGCGTGAGTCGGGCGCTGACGTGCGATGGGCGCGGGCGCAGCACACGCTGCGTGGCAGGCAACGCACGTTCGACGAAGCAGCGTGCGGCCGCGCACGCAGACATGGAGGCCGGGGCAGAAGCGGGCCCACGGTCATGACGAGTAGAAGTGAATGTAACAGCGCGTCGTGTCTTCCAGGCCTGTCTTCCGGGCCCGCCAGGGGCGCACGCAGACCGACAGCGCCGACATGCAGCCGCCCGCGGTGGCAGTCGACCCTCGCGGTCGCGCCACGTCACGGTATAAACTCCAAGAAGTCATCCGCCACGTTTTCTGCCCCCGACACAACCCCCCCGCGTACTTCCACCTTCGCGTCCTCCGCCTCCTCCACCGTGTACGTCACGCGCTCGTCCACCGGTCCGGCGTCGCCGTAGAACAGCCGCAGCACCACGCGCCCGCCCGGCCCCGCCGGCGCGTCCGCACGCAGGTCCCGTACTCCCCCCGGCCTGTACAACACGCCCATCCCTACCGGAACCGACACCTGCCACGTGCTCGCGTCGCCCGCAGGCTGCACGGCGTCCCCGTCTTCGTCGTGCCGCGCCAGGGCCCCCACGTCGCCCTGCCACGCCCGAGTCATCGTCTGGACCCACCGCACTTGCGCGTCGTCCCCCGGCGCCGTGCGCAGCGGGGGCTGCTCGTCCGCGTCGCTCTCCGCGAGGCACGTGGCCGACCCGTCGCGCCCCGGCGCGAACGCGAAGACCACGTCGTGCGAACCGGGCGGCGCCTGCGTGCTGCGCGCAGCGAGCGCGGGAGGCCCGGCGAGGCAGACGTCCGCAACGATCGCGGCGTCGTCGCCCTCCCAGGGCGTGTGTCCGCCCTCGTCGTGGACGAGGAGCCACGCGTGCCGCAGCGAGGTGTGCTCGCGGCGCACCCCCGTCACCTCCGCGTACTGCACCGCACCGGTGTTGGCCGTGGTGGGTTGCGACGCACGAGCGACGAAGCCGCGGCTCCGCAAACGTATCGATCAGGTCCAGAACCGCAACCCACGCGCGTTCCTGGCCCCATCGTCGGCAAATGTAGTGCTCCGACGCGGCAAGACACAACACGTGTGCACAACACGTCGTCGCGGGCTCCACCGAGGTTCGGGCCCGAGGAGAGCACGCCGAGCAGCTCACCTTGCGCACGGCAGGGCGCATGGCGCGGACGATGGGCTCGCACAGGCGCTGGAGCGTCCTCCAGTCGCGTTGCGGTAGCTTTGCGTCGAAGCGCTGCAGCTCCTCGGGCGGGGCGTCCTCGGGGGGGATGGCGGGGCCGCAGTACGCGCGGTGGCGGACGAAGGAGTACATGCAGTCCAGGACGGTTCGCTTCTCGTAGTGCCCTGTCAGACATATGGACTTGGAGCAGCGTGCGTTGAAGGAGGCCCATGCGGCCACGGACGACAGGGCGTCGCGAGCTTCCTTGGAGTCGAAGGACGCGACGGCCATGGACTCGACGAGGACCACGGGAGGCCGCGGGCGGCCGTCGGTGTCGAGCGCGGCGCCGCGCTGGGCTCCGAAAGAGAAAGCAGCCAGCGCTGCCGTCCGTCTGTGCAGCTCCCACCACGGCCATTTCCCGCATTCACGGGGCTTCTCGTCCACCGTGCACACGAGAGAGCGACACGTGCATGGGGTTCCGTGGCAGCTGAACGATTGCCGCCGTTTCTGCCCGCTCGCGGCGCCACTGGAAGCACCATGCAACGAAACGCCCGGCTTCGCGTCGTAGTCGAGAGTACCCCCGTGCGCGCCGGTGCGTGGACGCTTCGAGGATCTATGCGGCATCCCCGACACTGGATACGCGGGCAGGAAAGCCCCAGGCGCTGAAAATCGAGTTCCTTTTGGTAACCTACGCCCTGCTTGGTTGACGGGGCCCGATACGCAAGCGACGCCGTCTGTGGCCGCGTCCTGGACGTGCCGTGCGCTGCCGCGCAGCCAGCTCTTTGCGGGGCACCCTCGCACGCGCCGTGGACCCCTCCTCCTGCTCACGTGAGGGTTCTACCACTGTGACCGCGGGCGGGGCGCTCGCGTCGCGCGACATTGCGCAGGCGCACCAGCGGTGCCTGAACATGCCAGGAGCGACCAGCTGAGGACCGCGCCGACTTGTTGCCGGGCGTGTGGCCGCATGGCTGCCAACCTGTTCCATAGGGCGTCGCCTGGCGTCTTACAGGCTGCTCGTGGACTGGAGACCCAGTCGACCTTGAAGAAGATCAACAAACCTTTCCACCGGGCCGCTAGAACCTCACCTTGAGGGCCGATGGGGTCCGTTTCGTAGCTAGGCGTGCACACGGGCTGTTGACCAGGAAAGGTGACTACCTGTGACGATTCCCACCCAGCACGATCGCTCTCGCGACGGACATTCTTCGGAACTTCACGGCCCTCCACGCTGTGATGCCCTCCACGCCTCTGTGCGACACGCCCGCAGCTGAAGCAGGCACCGACCATGCCCGGACCGCCCGGCGCGGGCGCGCGCTTCATCTGCGTGCCCAGCGACGAGGTCTCCCTCGCGTTCAAGACCGTCAGAGCGCAGCCCCGGCCGCCAGACGCGCAGCCAGCGATGGAGACCTTCCTGGTGCGCCCCACCCACCACATGACATACAGCACACCCACTCTTCGACCGCCGCGCGCGACGCGAACCCCCACCGCCGCCCCTCCCCGCAGAACGTCCCACCGGACGAGCTCGAGGAGCTCCTGACGGTAGCGCTGGGGCGCGTCGAGGACTTTCTGCGGCGGGAGTGTGCGCCGCCCAACGGGGTGGGCAGCACGACGCTCGTGCTGACGCGCATCGACGCGGAGAGTTCGACGCGCACGCGCGACATCCAGGCCACCTCGACGTTCCTCCACGAGGTCTCCGGCAACCTCCCCGCGTTCTGCCGCGCTGTCAGCACGCCCGACAGGCAGCTGGGCGCGGCGGACTTCCGCGAGAGCGACATCGGGGTGACGGCGCAGGTGGACGGCGCGACGCTCGGGCCCGTGAGCTGCGCGGACGTGATTTATCTCAGCCGCATGGTCTTCCGCGACGCCCTCAGAGCTGCAGTGGTTGCTCGTGATGAGCACCTGCGGGACGCAGAGCGCGGTCGAGCGGCGCACGCGTTCCGCGGCGCCATCAAGATCGGCCCCGCGCACGACCCCGCCGACGTCGCCGTCGCGGGCGCGTGGTCGCCGAAGTTCCCCTCGGTGATTGACGTCAGCCTACACACGCCGCCCGACCAGGCGAGGCGGATCCTCTCCAAGGCGACGTGCGCCGAGCTCGGCGCGCAGGCGGTCGTGCGCGCCCTGCGCGGCACCGGCGCGCTGCAGGCCCTCAGCAAGGACACGCTGGTGCCGCCCGACGCCTGCGACGCTGCTGCGCTGCTCGAGGACGCCGCGCAGGACTGGGACGCGGCGGGGCGCTTCCCGTGCATCACGATCAACGTCCTGCAGAGCAACATGTTCAACAAGCCGTGGGTCTTCCTCACGCTGCCGGACAACGTCTGTTGGGAGGTGGCGGCGCACGACGGCGAGACGGGGCACCCGCCGCTGGTGCGGCTCGTCGCGGAGGTCGACCGGCCCGGCTTGTTCTCACTCGCCATGCCCGTCCCGCCCACGTGGCAGGACTGCATGGACACGTACAAGCGCCTCGACGGCACTTTGGGGGGCCATGGACGCGGCGAGGGCTGGCGAACCGAACTGCTGCAGTGCGTGCTGGACGCGCACGCATCTCGCATGCGATTGCAGCACGACTCGCCCGGAAGGACGCTGGACATCGACGACGAGGTCGAAATGCAGATGGCAATTCTCGAAGGGCTCCGCTCCTCGTCCGAGCTCGCCGCATCGGACGGGAGCGACGACGGGGTGGGCGAGGAGGACCGGTGCGGCGACGAGGACGGCAGCGTCCCGGAGGAGCCGGCCGACGCGGACGGCGGCGGCGAGGGGGTCGATCAACGTCCGCGCCATGACGGTGATGAATGGAGTCGGGACGCGAGGTCGGCGGGCTGCCAAGCCGACGACGACATGCCGCGGAACGCTTCCGCGCGCCGCAAGAAGGCGAAGATTCGATGTCTCGGAGCTCGGGAAGATCCGGGCGCGTCCGGCGAGGACGAGCCTCTCTTTGTGTGTGTTCCGAGCGAAAGGGTGACGCTGGCGTTCGAGACCGTCCGCGTCCGACCGCGCCCCGAGGGCGCCGAGCCGGCAATGGAGACGTTCCTGGTGCGCGCGCGCCTCCCCTCCCGCGAGCTCGCCATGTTCCTGCGTGCGACGCACAGTGTTTGCAGACAGGCGTGCGTTGCCGCACGGTGGCGAACGGCAGGGCTGAGCGGCCACCGCGCGTGCGCCAGTTGCCCCGCAGAATGTCCCCGAGGGCGAGCTCGAGGAGCTGCTCCGCGTCGCCCTGCGTCAGGGGTATGAATTCCTTGAAGCGACGCAACGTCAGTCCGGCCCGGAGGTCTGCGGCAAGGTAGTGACGCGCATCGAGTCGGAGTGCTGGAGCGAGACGCGCGACATCAGGGCCGTCTCGACGCTCAACGGCGACCTCACCCCCGAGAACGTCGACGCGTTCTGTCGCATGATCAGCGCGGACGGCCGGAAGCTGCGCGGCAAGCCCCGGAGCGGGCACCCGCGCGTGCGCGCGACGCTCGAGGAGAACGGCGCGGCGTACGGGCCGCTGGACTGCACCGATCTCGTGGAGCTCGGGCGCGGCGTCTCTGTGTTGTCGAGCGACCACGGCGACCTCGGGTACCAGGAGGTTGTGCAGGACTTCAAGGACGGGAGCCCGCTGCACTGCTTCCGCGACAAGATCACGACCGACGCCGGCGGCCGGGAAATTGCGCTCGAATTGACAGGGAATCTCTCGCGGAGCTGGCCGCACGTGCTGATGGTCATGGCCGCGCCCCCGACGGACTTCGAGCTGAGCAGGCGCGAGGAGGAGCAGCTGTGGCTGGCATCGCTGACTCGGGACACCGGAGGGCCCGAGGTCTGGGCACAGACCGTCGTCCGGGCCCTGCGCGCGAGCGGTGCGCTGCGCACCATCAGCTCGCGCGCTCTGCTGCCCCCGCGCGGCCAGGCCGCCAAGTCCGCGAGCCAACAGGCCTGGGACCGCAAGGGCCAGTTCCCAGCGGTGTCTGTCAACGTGTCGCTCGGAACCTTCTCCTCCAAACACGGCTCCCCACTCGACGCCGGCGTCGGACTCTGTATGTGGCTCGAGCTGCCACTTGGCATGCGCTGGAAGGCCGACCCGGTGAGCCTGCCGGGGTCGGGCGTGCGGCGCGTCGCGGCGAGCGTCGTGCGGGAGCAGGAGCTACAGGTCTGGCACCACTTTCACACGGTGCAGACGCCGCTATGGAGGGACGTGGCGCGCGGCGTGGAGCGGGGCGTCGCGGAGCTGCAGGGCGCCGGCGACACGAGGCCCCTGGAGACGCTGCAGCTCGTCGCGTTCCACCAGTATTTCAACAGCTTGTTGGGGGATTGGATTCACAATCTCCCGGACAGCACTCACATGAGACTCATCAACGGGTGCTTCAACGCGAACTACATGCACGAGCTGATGGACGCGCTCGCGGACAAGGGCTTGACGTACGTCCACCGCGCTCGCCCGGCCAACGCGCGGGCGCAGAAGGGCAAGAAGGGCAGACGCCGAAAAGGGAAATGAGTATCTGGTGGGACGCTGACACTGAAAGGGACTGGCTCGCTGGGCGCGGCGCGAGCGGCGGTGTGAACGTGGCTGTGCGGACGCGTCGTTCCAGTTCCGGCCCGCGACGCGACGGGAACGGAAGCTCGCGTGACTGCTTGCGTTGCGGTCAGAGCCTGGGGTGTTCCGGGCCGCGTGTCGCGGAGCCCGAGGCTGCGCGGGCGCGGACTGCTGGAGCGCCACGCGCTCGCGGCGCGCCCGGGGGAGGCGTCACGGAGGCAACGCTGTGAGCGCGTTCGTTGGTGGCGCAGCACGTGACGTGGGGCTTTCAGCACGAACTGCGTGGTCTCGAAGCAGAAGTAGTTGAAATATGAAGCAGAAAGCGTGGCGAACACGGCGGTGTGTGCGATGGGGACGGCCTGCAGTGTGTGCGAGCGCGACAGTTCATCCCCGGGCACCGACGTGGCGGGGAGCGCCACGCAGGGGTGTTCGGGGCTCAAGCTCGCACGTCAACGCTGGTGACGATCATCGGGATCATCGGCATCTCGGAACGACGAAGAGCACGGTGGTAGAGCGTCAAGAGACAGGTGCGCTGCGAGCAATCACCGGCGGGGACAAGTAGCGCCGTGGCCGGCGATGCAGGGCCATATCTGTTGATTGACAGCCTCCGTGGTATCATAGCTGAGCGCACCGTCGCGGGGCGTAAAGTGTATGGTGCTGCGTGAATAGTCCGCGGATAGGGCGCGATCGTAGCGGGCGCGCGCACCGCCAAAGGTCGCTGAGGCTCTCCTGCACAGTATCGTGGCGTTCTGTCTCGATCAACGACACTCGAGATGCAAAAGAGTCGTGATCGACCCAGTAAAGCCAGTATCAAGTGGAATGTCTACTTGATCGCGCGATAATCACGTACCGGCCATGGAGTCATAGAATAGCTCCAATCCGCGCCGATTAAAACTTTCTACGATCATTCCGCGCGAAAATTGAAAGTGAACCTTCACAATTCACTTTGAGAGTTGTCTTCTGATACCGTCAGGCTGTATCAGAGCCGGTATGTCGCCACCACCTAGCGCTCATGCGGTGGGCCCGAGGGGCACCACCGGCCCGCACCTCCACGATTCCGCGGCCCCGCGATGATCATTCATCCACAACAGACACGGGAGGTCCAACTCGTCCGCGTCGGAGACCCCCAGCCCCTCGCTCGTCCACTTGCAGGGCCCGGCAGGCGTCATCATGCCTGGTCCCGTCCGCCCGGGCGGGGACCGACGTGACCTGCAGAGCTGCGGCGAGCGAAACGATCACCGCGGCGAAAGCAGCGATCTCCGAGAGAAGCTGGCCGACTGCGACACCCACATCCCCAGCAGCAGCGTCCCGCGAACGCACCACGGGGGTGTTTCGGGCGCCCGGGGCGCGGGCATCGCGCCGGACGCCGCCCCGCCAGACGCGGAGGAACGGGTCGGTGTGCCGTGCGGGATCGGAGCCGGGGCCGCGACGAGCCAGGGCGCTCCGCGGTTCAAAGTCGTCACAAGCAGCGACGCCTTGCTGGCGTTCGAGACCGTCAGGGTTCGCGCTCGCCCCGAGGGCGCCGAGCCGAAGATGGAGACGTTCCTGGTGCGACATCTCGCCTGCCGCGCGGGCCCGCCATGGCTCGAGTGACTGACTGACCAATATAATAATGGTAATCATGCCTCTTGTCGTCTGCCAAGCACCAGCTTCGAGCGGGCGCTCGGAGGTGGACGCAAACGCGGAGGGCTCCCGCTCGCCGCTGCGCAGAATGTCCCCGAGGACGATGTCGTCGAGCTGCTCGGACTCGCCGTCGGCCGCGCCAACCACTTCCTGGACGCGCGCGCTGCGTCGTCGGTCCGCGGCGCCGCGATGGTCCTGACGCGCGTGGAGCCAGAGTGCTGGAGCAGGGACGCCGACATCACGGCCATCTCGACGCTCGTGCAGGGCGACGTTCCCACGCGGGACGCCTTCTGTCGCCTCAGCAGCGTCCCAGACGCGCTGGCGCTCCGCGCGACAGCTGGCCGCGTGCACGCGACGTTCACGAGAGACGTCAGCGTGTGCGGGCCGCTCGACTGCACGGAGCTCGTCGCCGCCGGGCTCGCCCCTGCGCAGAGAGCCGCGAAGGAAGGTATCGCTGCGTACGCCGACGCGGTCAGCAGCCTCAGGGCGAAAGACGCGACGTACTGCTTCCGCGAGACGGTTCCGCTGGAGCAGGGCGGCGCCACGGGCGCGTGCGAGGTCGTCGGGCTGCTGTCCCAGCGGCGTCCAGACAAGATTGTCGTGTTGCATAGATACGTGTGGAGTGACCAGGAGGCGGCGCGAAAGTTCGAGACGTACTTGGCGGACGGCGGGCCTTCTCTGGCCGCGGAGCTCTGCATCCGGGTCGTCGCGCGGGCTCTGCGCAACGGGCCGCTGCGGGGACTCTCAGCGGGCGCGTTGCTGGAGCCCCGCTACAGGGCAGCGAGCTGCCCGCAGCAGGCGTGGGACGACGGAGGGCGCTTTCCGGCCACGTCCGTCAACGTGCTCACGCACCGGCGACCCGGCCGCACCACGCGCCTGCCAGTCGTCTGGCTGGGACTCCCCCCGGGGATGCGTTGGCACGCAGCGGCGGCGCCTGACGCGCGCGGGCTGACGCCAGTGGCTGCCGAGGTGGTCAGCACGGCGGAGCTCGACGCCGCGGCCAAGCGCGCGCAGCCGGTGACGTGGAGCATCGTCACGGAAGCAGCTCTCGACCTGAAGTACACCTTCACCCCCATGTTTGGCCCGTATAAGTTCCGGCAGGGGGGCACTCTGAGGTCGAGGACCCTCAGGGAGCTGCAGAGCAGGATGGTCCGCGAGGTTTTCGCTCACGCGGACGGCTCCGAGTACCCGCTCGATCGAATCTACGACTTTTTCATCAACCAAGGACTTTCTTTCGTGGTTGAGACGATGGCGCCGTACCTGGCTGCGGCCAAGGTGCCGCCGCTCGCGCTGCTCACCACCGGCGCAGCGCTCATCGAGCACGACCGAGAGCAGGCCACACAGGCGCTCAGCAGGCATCGCGGATCCTGCATTGCATGACATGAGCGGTGGGGGCGCTAGCGCTGCACCGGTGACGGGTAGGGCGCGGTCGGACCGCGGGGATGGTGGCAGCGGGAGGGGCGAGAAGGCGCGCCGCGTGCGGAGGTGATGCGGGGGGGGCGATATCGTCGAATGACGAATGACATTGTCATGTGAGAGGGTGACGCGTCCGTGGAGACCCTGAGATGTGTGTGTGGAGGTCGTGCACCGCAGCTGCTGCTTCACGGGCGCAAGATGGGCATACTCACGCGTCCAACACCCGTGCATCGTCAGCGACAGGTCGCTGCGAGGCAATGTTGCAACATCAGTTGCATGAAGTGGCGGTGGTGAGGTCCTCGCTTCACTTGACGGGCGAGGCGCTGAGATGAAACAGCGGGTACGTGCGCGCGTGCAGAGCTCGCAGCGCATCGACCGGGCCACGCGCGACGACGGGGACAGGCCCTGGAGGACACCCAAGAGGGGGTCCCGGCTGCGCGGTGAGGCCGTTGTTGGGTCGCGCGGTCCGCGCGTGCCGCATTCCGTGCGGCACGGGGATCACAGAAGGGCCAGAGTCCGTGGGGCTGGTCGCACGTCCAGCAGATGCGCCGGCTGAGAGCATTGCGTGCAGGCTGGCGTTGAACTGCAGAGTACGAGACGTCAGGGCCGACTGAGTCGATGAGAACAGGTCGACGGGAGCGAAGCACGCTATAGTGTCCCCGAGCTGCCCTGGACAAGCCTCCCCCCGTGGTGCGTTTTTGCCTCCGAAGGCAACGGTGGTTGGGCGCTTCTGAGTCGCGGCGGCGCTGTGCTTGCGGCTGAAGCTATGCGCCGGATCGTGCCTGGTCCACGCTGTGTCATGGAGTCAGCGACTGACCTCCTGCAAGGCTATGTGCCAGGATCGCGCCAAGACACTGCCCAGCGCAGTGCTTTGCAGCCGCTTTTTGCGCACCACGGGACTTTCAAAGATATACCGATGCGCGTGACATCATGAACAGTTCTCACAGTGCACCCTCGCGGTTTCGTCTTTCTGTTTGAGCGCCGTGGTCCCCCGTCTCGCAACCTATGTGCACGTCAAGGCTTCTTGAGTGCGTGCAGTCGGACCTCCAGGCGGCGAGGGAGCACTCTCTCTTCCAGCCACTGCATGATTCGATCCCCTGCGTCGCTCAGCCCGTCCTGCGCGCGACGCACAAGCCATGAAAGGCTCAACCTCAAGCAGCGCGCGCTTCGTGTGCCAGCCGAGCGATGAGGTCTCGCTCGCCTTCAAGACCACTCGCGCGCAGCCTCGCCCAGAGAACGCGCGGCCGGAGATGGAAACCTTCCTGGTGCGCCCCACGCCCACTTCCCCCCCCTGAGTCAGCAAGAACACCTCAGAGGTGGGCCTCCCGCCACCGCCCGCGACGCACGCGTCCGCCGACAGCCGCCCTCACTTCCCGGGCCCGCTCCGTGCAGAATGTGCCCCCTGACGAGCTCGAGGAGCTCCTGAACGTGGCTCTGGGGCACATGGACGAGCTCTTCAAGAGGGAGTGCAACCCCGCCGAGGGGCACAGGTTCGCCCTGGCGCTCACGCGCATCGAGGCGGAGAGCTCCGCGCGCACCCGCGACATCCAGGCCACCTCGACGTTCCTCCAAGAGGAGTCGCGCGGAACCACCGAAGCGTTCTGTCGCGCCGCGAGCACCCCGCAGCGCAAGCTCCGCGCGATCCAGCGCGGGGAGGATGAGTGGCGGGTCGGCGCGATGCTGGAGGCCGACGGCGCGACCTGGGGCCCGACGGACTGCACGAACGTCATTGCGCTGGCGGGCGCGGCGCCGCACGCCGCGGCGCGGGCGGCGCGGGCGGCGCGCGACGCGCAGGACGTCGAGGACGCGCGCAAGCGGCTGGTGCATGGGTTCCTCCAGCTCATCAAGATCGGCCGCGGTTCCGCGGCGTGCGACGTGGCGACAGGCGGCGCGTGGTCGCCCAAGGCGCCCGAAGTCGTGATCGTCGGTCTGCAGGCGATGCCGACGAACCCAGCGGCGAGCCAAGCGATGTCGCGCATGTCGCACGTCGAGCGCTGCGCGCAGGGGATCGTGCGCGCCCGCGGCACGGGCGCGCTGCAGGCCCTCAGCAAGGACGCGCTGGTGCCGCCCGACGCCTGCGGAGTCGCTGCGCTGCTCGAGAGCGCCGAGCAGGACTGGGATGCAGCGGGGCGCTTCCCGTGCATCACGATCAACGTCCTGCAGAGCAACATGTTCGAGACACCTTGGGTGTTCCTCACGCTGCCCGACGGGATGCGCTGGCGGGGCAAACCGCCACGCGGCAAGAAGGGCTACCAGCCGCTGGTGCGGCTGATCGCGGAGGCCGCCGACCGCGAGGCGCTCGACCGCATCCAGGACCCCGTGGCCCTGCGTTGGTCGACATGCGTTGAGAAGTGCATCGCACAGCGCGCCAGGCTGCCGCGGTCCCGCGCGGACGACGCAGCGACGCGGGCCGAGCTGCTGCGGTGCGTGCTGGACGCCTACGCCGCGTGCCTGACGTCGCCCGACGCCATGGTGCGTATCGACAGTGAGATCGAGGATCGGGTGGCGGCGGCGTTCGCGGAGGGTGGCGACGCGGCAGACGGCGGCTCGGAGGACGCGGGCGAGCGTGGCGGGGAAGAAGAGGCGGTCCGTGCTGCTGGGGAGGGCGACGGCCTGGGGGAGGGTCTCAGTGGGTTGCGAGTTGAAGGGACGGAGGCGGACGCGTCTGCGGCGAGCCAGGGCGCGGCGTCGAGGGACGGCGAGGCCGGTGGCGAGCCGGACGAGGTTCCTGCGGCACGGAGCGGGCTGCCGGAGCTGCGTCGAAAGGCGCGCGGGAATGGCGGCGGGCCGGCCGAGCACCCGTGGCGCTTCGAGGGCGTTCTGAGCGACGACGTGACGCTGGCGTTCGAGACCGTGCGAGTGGAAGCTCGCCACGAGGGCGACAAGCCGGCGATGGAGACGTTCCTGGTGCGCTCACTTCGTCCCTCTGATATTATCTCATAGCATCTTACCTGAATCTCATATCTTGCTCTCGAAAGGACGAGGTCCCCGCGCGCCACATTCGCTTGTTCGTCATCGTCCTGACGCCCGCATGGCCCGCGTTCCGTCGCAGAACGTGGACGAGGAGGAGCTGGAGGAGCTCCTGGGGGTTGCGCTGCGGCGCGTGTGGGAGTTCCTGGGCACCGTCGCGGACGACAGGGCGAAGGTGGTGACGCGCTTCGAGGCCGAGTGCTGGAGCAAGACGCGCGACATTCGCGCCGTCTCGACACTCACGAACTTCGAAGGCCCCTCCGTCGATGCCTTCTGTCGCACGGTCAGCGTCGACGGCCGGAAGCTGCGCGCCAGGCCCGGCAGCGACAGGGCCCGCGTGCACGCGACGCTGAGCGAGAACGGCAACACGTACGGGCCGCTGGACTGCACCGAGCTGGTCAACGTGGGACGGGGCCTCATGCAGATGTCTGCGCAAGACGCGGCGGTGGCGTACAACGACGTGGTCCGCGACCTGCAAGCCGAGCGGGCGCTGTACTGCTTCCGCGAGATCATCCCGTACGACCACGGTGACTGGACGTGCCCGTACGACGTCTCGGGGGTGCTATCGCGGACACTCCCCCACATGATCATGGTCATGGTCCGCCCGTCGGAGATCGAGCCCGCGAGCTTCTACGAGAACTGCAGGCGCTTCAAGGCGCTCACGGCGGACTCGGGCGCGCCGGAATTCTGGGCACGGCTCGTCGTCGAGGCCCTGGCCGAGCGCGGGGCGCTGCGCGCCGTGAGCGTGAGCGCGCTCCTGCCGCCGCGCAACGAGGCCGCGAAGTGCCCCGAGCAGGCCTGGGACGGCAAGACCCGCTTCCCAGCGGTGTCGGTCAACGTCGCGCTCGAGCGAGACCCCGCGCAGGGCATCGTGCCGTCCGTCTGGCTGGAGCTCCCGCGCGGGATGCGGTGGAAGGCCGACCCGGTCGCGGCGCCGTCGGGCGTGCGGCGCGTGAGCGGGACCGTCACGAGCGAGAACGAGGTGGAGGGGTGTTTTTATTTCGACAACGGTCTGCGGTGGCAGGACGTCACGGAGTTCATCGACGCGCGCGTGCGCGACATGGCCGCGGCCGGGGACGCGCGGCCGGTGGCGGAGCAGCAGCGCGCGGCGGCGGACGTGGTGTCTGCTGCGGCGGCGAACCCAGCAGCGATGAGTGCGCTGCTGTCGGCGGGGGGGCTGGAGGCGCGCGCAGCGGTGCTCAGCGACCCGCGCGCGGCGCGGAGCGCGCTGGCGAGCGTCGACATGGCGGCGATGGTGCGGGGGATCGGGCCGCGGCGGGCCGCAGGGCACGCGGGCGCGGCGCAGGGGCGGTCGGGCGGGGGCCGCGGGAAGAAGGGGAAGAAGCACGGGCGGCGCGGGCGGTAGCCGCGGGGCCAGCGGCTGTGAGAACGTTGGGACATTGTGCGCATGCACACCCGCATTTCGTTTCGTGCGCGGGTGGTCAATTACTACTTTGGGTGGTCGACAAAAGAGGAAAGCCCGAGACTTGTACCTGACGTGTCGGGGGGGTCCTGACGCGCCCGAAGGGACACCGGGCGAGGCTGGCGTCGTCGGGGAGGTGGCGAGCGGGGCTGGCGGGGCAAACGACGTGCGCTGGCGCGGCACGTGCGGGGGCGAGGTGCAGCTTGGGTTGTGTGGGCCCGCTCCCGACGAAGCGAGGCGTGATATTGCATCAGCGCTCACAGCATGGGGTCCATGAAGCCGAGGATGTGCCCTCGTGGACGAAGGCGACGCTTCTTGGTTCGCTGTTGCGCGTACGAGGAGGACAGTCCTTGTCGCGGGGAGGGGTGCCGCACTTTGGCATCACGGAACGTTGAGGGCGCTAAACGCGCATGCTGTTCGCAAGTCTCGCACTGAGGCACGCAGGTGGCGCCTGTAACGTAGTGAACGACGGGACAGCGGCGCGGCAAACGCAGGTGCGCTGCCTGCGAACACAGGTGAGGGGTCGCGAGCGGCCAGCAGCCACGGCGCGCACGAGCCGAGTCCGTCAGCCGGGTCTCTCCATCCTCTCGGCCCTGCCCGTGACCGACCCGCAGACGTGGGCGTCAGTAGCCCGCGGGTGCTTCGTAGCGCACAGACACACCGTGGGTGCTGCGGAGCAGCTCCGTTCAGCGCAGCGTGGAACGTTGGGGTGGGTCCGTGCTGCGTCACGGGATCCTATCGACAAGGTTCCCCATAATATGTGCGGTCGATGCCCAGAAGCGCTCCTCGCGTCCAGCAGGGCCGCGTTCGCTCCATCACGCGCACCGCAGCTCTTGGCCCTGGGGCTCAAGTCTGGAGCCAGTTCGCCACAGTTGTGCACCACGCAGACACTCCTCAGATCTGTGGATATCGTTCACACACTTGAGATGCTGCCTCGATGCTCCTCCCACCCCCCCACCGCCGATCTGCAGACATCGAGGAATCATGCCGGGCGCGCGCTTCGTGTGCGTTCCGAGCGATGAAACGGACCTGGCCTTCAAGACAGTGCGAGCACGGCCTCGTCCGGAGAACGCGATCCCCGAGATGGAGACAATGCTGGTGAGCACTGCGTGCTGCAACATGCCTCTGCGAGATCGCGCTCTCGCGGCGACTGGCTGCGGCGGAGCGAGCACCAGACGGCCTAGCGAGCACCGACGCCGGGGTGCCGTGACGGTGTCGCTGCTCAGACCGCGTCCCTCGCGCCGGAGCCGTTTTGCGGCGAACAGCACATACCAACACACGGCACCTGACACGGCTCGGTGCACCGCAGAACGTGTCGCTGGAGGATCTGGAGGAGCTCTTGACGACAGCCTTCGCGCGCGTCGAGGACTTCTTGACTAAAGAGTGCGGCGAGGCTGAGAGGAAACATATTCTCGCCCTGACGCGCATTGAGGCGGAGAGCTCGGCGGTCTCACGCGACATCCAGGCGGTGACGACTCTCTGGGGCCGGGAGGACTTGCAGGCGACGTGTCGGGCTCTGAGCGTGCCGGGCAGGGAGCTGCGCAGGACCGCATTCAGCACCGGTGGAAAGTCGGAGATATGTGCAACGCTGCGGGATGCCAATGGGGACAAGTGGGGGCCGGCGAGCTGCAACGACATCCTCTGCCCCGTCCGGAACGCTCAGGTGGAGGACTTGGAGGTATGTGCGCGCGCCAGGCACGCGTGTCAGGCGGACCGCGCGAGCGCAAAACCCACGCTGTGGGTGGGGCTTGGGGCGAGACTCAGCCACGCATACGGGGCGCAGCTCCCCGCTGATTTGCGCGAATACGAACACCCGGCGCTGAAGCGGATCGAGGTCGACGTCGTTCTGGATGCCACGTGGTCGCCGGCGCAGCCCAGGGCCGTGGAGGTCCGCCATTGCCCAATGCCGGAGACCTGCGGAGCGACTTCGCTCTCCGCGAAGATGGTCGTCGGGGAGAGGGTGCTCGCGGACATGGGCGACGCGAGGCGGGCGGCGCAGATGGTCACGAGCGGCGTGCGCGACAACGGGGCCCTGCACGACCTCTCCGTCAACGCGCTGGTGCCCCCGACACCTGGCGGCGTCGCGGCGCATTTGAACAGCCGTGAGCAGGACTGGGACCCCGCTGGGCGCTTCCCGGCCGTCTCGCTCATTGTAGTCACGGCACTTGCGCTTCCTCGCGTGCTGGAGGCGTTCCTGACGGTGCCTGACGGCATGCGGTGGCGGAAGTGGACTCCCAGCGACGCTCGGCCGAAGCCGGCGCTGGGACTGGTGGCTGAGATCTCGGACCCCGAGACCTTCTGCCGCCCGCGCCCCGCGCCTGTGCCGTGGAGGCTCCTGACCGACAAGCTCGCGCAGCACCGCGCCACGCTGCGGTGCGTCGACGTCGCCGACGAGATAGTGCGCACGGGGCTGATGCGGTGCGTCGTGAACGGCATTTCGGACTGTATGGTGACGCACGGCGACATGGCACTGGTTGACGCGGCGATAAGGTCTGAGATCGAGTTGTTCTTCGGCGACAGGTACATGCTGGAGCCGCGCTTCCAGGTCAAGGCCAGTGACGACGCGACGCTGGCGCTCGACACCGTGCGAGCCCGCGCACGCCCCGAGGGGGCTCAGCCTGCGATGGAGACCATCCTGGTGCGCTTGCCCCGCGGAACCTGTGCGCGGAAACACTCTTTTCCTGCACTTTTAAATAATTTGTTTTGCAAGGCGTCGAAGACAAGCCTCCAGACCGCGCCGCGACGCAGTGCGCGAACGTGCCGACGCACGACGTACGCAGCACGATCGTAGATTCCGCACGCTCTCGCTGCCCCGCAGAACGTCCCTGAGGACGAGCTCGAGGAGATCCTGCTGACGACGCTGCGTCGCACCAGCGGGTTTGTCGAGGCGGCGTCGCACGGGCCCCAAGGCCACGGGCTCGTCTTGGCGGTGCTGACCCGCTTCGAGGCCGAGTGCTGGGCCCGCAGCAGCGAGCTCAAGGCCAGGTCGACTCTCTGCGACCTCGAGGGCCCCTCAGTCGACGCCTTTTGTCGCATGATCAGCACCGAGGGCAGGCAGCTGCGCGCCGACGAGGCGTCCGGAAGCGACGAGTTCTCGCGGGTGTACGTGACGCTCACGCACGACGGCACCACGCACGGCCCGCTTGAGTGCAGCTCTGTTGTCGACGGGGAGCGCTGCTTGGCTGCGGTGGCTGCCCGCGACGCGTACAACGCGGCGCGAATCCTCGGCGACGATGACGCCGACCAGCTGCTGTGCTTCCGCGAGGCCATCGAGCTCGAGGTCTCGTGCGGTGCGCGCGGCGACCCCGGCCCGTACCCATGCGACGTGATCGGGAGGCTGGCGAAGCAGCACGACCACAAGATCATCATCGACCTCGCGCCCAGGGACGCCGAGTCGGGGAAGCGGATGTCCGAGGCCGTCGCGGCGTCCGGGGATTCGGCGGTGATGACATCAAAGTTTCTTTCAAACGTCCTCCGCCGGCCTGGAGCGCTGCGGGCGGTCTGTGAGGGCGCCCTGGTGCACCCATCAGACCACGCAGCTGCTCGTCGAGCACCGGAGCAGGCCTGGGACGACCAGGGGCGGTTCCCGGCGGTGTCTCTCAATGTTTGCTCGTTGCGCGAGGAGGGCAATGGCCGGTCCATATTGTGGCTGGAGCTGCCGCCCGGGATGCGCTGGCGGCCGGCGGCGGGGCACCGCTGGGAGCGCGGCGTGCCCACGCGCGTCACGCCGGTCGTGGCCGAGGTTGTCGACGCGAATCTCGTGCGCGCTGCGGAGCGATGTACGAAGCTGAAGACGTGGAACATGCTCGCCGAAAACACTCGGAAGCTGGCCGCCCGTGAGCCAGCGGCTGCGATGGGCGAGGCCTCGAGTGCGGGCACTTAGACCTAGGCGCCGCATGCGCAGGTATGTTCGCGGATGTGGACGCGGTCTGGGCAGGCGACCGCTGCATGCGAGACAGCGACGCGACTTGCGGCGCGGTGGCAGGGGCGCAGCAGGGAAGCTGGTGGGAAGGCGGGGGAACGCTTGCTGGGCAACAGATGCTTTTTGCAATTAACAAGATGCATGGGTGTGAGTGCGTCGGAAGCGCTGGCACGAGCTGTCCTCGCCGCGGGCGGGCGGAAAATGGGGGGGAGGGGTCGTCGCGGTGCGTTTTGTTGACGAGGGATCCGCGGGGGCAGCACGCACGAAGACGACGGGTGGCGAATGTATGCGTTTGCCCGCTGCAGACGTGGCGAAGCCTGATATAGGCGGAATTCGGAAACCGTGGGATGAGTGGGACGTACAGATGCACCCGTGGACGACTGTGAGGCTCCCACGCTGGCTGTCGCGCGCACGAGCGCAGCACCCCCGTGGCGGGGCAGTCCTGGAGAGTGCCGCACTGTGCCGCACTGGGACGTCCAGGGCCGTCAACGCGCGCAGTTTCCGGTACTTCCGCACCTGTGGTGCCAATGACGGAATGTGTGACACGACGGTGAGGCGACACACGCAGGTGCGCTGCCCGCGAGACTTGCACAGCTCAACAGCTCTGTGGGCCGTCGTTGCGCATGTCTGTGTCGCGACTTGAAGCTCAGCAGCGCAGAACTATACTGTCGGCCGCTTGAAAGGCCCTCAACATGAACGTTGAGGCTCTGGTAGGTCGCAAAGCGCGTTGCCCAGGGGAAGAGTCGCGAGCAGAAAGCAGCAACGTCGCGCTCTGTTTCGCCGCGTGAGGGGCGCTGCTTGCATGTCCCGGACGCCTTCAGCTCAGCAGTCGACGCCAGCAGTCCGTGGGCACGCAGCTGCTGCGCACCGACACAGGGCAGCTCTTGCAGAGAGCTCCGTGCAGCGCGGTGCGCCCGGGATCGCGCGCTATTTTATGCGGGCTCCCCGGAGAAGAGTAGCTCTGGATGACAGTAGATTGGCGCCGGGAGGTGTTGGGGCGCCCTCGGACCAGTGGGGTCGCACTTGTTCCTTGATGTCGTTTGCCCCTGAGGCTCTTGCGTGGTGGCAGTTCTCATCATTGATACAGCACCTCAACGATCCCCAGTCTTTCCGCGACATTGAGCACCCTCGACATCCCGCTTTGACCCACTTTGACGCCCTCCCCGCCCACCTGCAGACCGCACGGACTCGCCACGATGCCGCGGGCCGCCACCACGGGCCCGCGCTTCGTATGCGTCCCAAGCGACGAGACATTGATTGGCTTCAAGACCGTCAGAGCACGCCCTCGGCCCCAGTACGCGGCTCCTGAGATCGAAACGATGCTGGTGAGCTCACGTCACGCGCCAACCGCAGCGCCAGAGCCCATCGTTGCCCGGTCTCTTTGCCGAGCCGCGCCTGGCAGTGCATGCCGCGGGCCACCGCGTCCGCCGTCGGTCGCCGCGCAACTCGCGCCGGAGCCGCGCGAAAGCACACACACACTGCAGCTTCCCTGACCTTGCACGGCAGAACGTCCCGGCAGAGGACCTGGAGGAGCTCCTGACCACCGCGATCGCACACGCCGACGATTTCATCAAGGCCGCGGGCACCGAAGATCCGAGCCGACGCCTCGACGTTCTTGTGCGCGTGGAGGCGGAGAGCTCCACGCGCTCGCGCGACATCCAGGCGACGTCGTTATTCTTGCCCGATGACTTGGAGCAAGTATGCGAAGCGCTGTGCGTGCCTGGCAGGGCGCTGCGCAAACGCACGTATTTCGACGGCGACCAATACGCTGCCTTGGTGTTGTGGGACGCCGCGGGGGAGACGTACGGGCCGACGAACTGCATGACGATGCTCAACGTCGGCCTGGATTTCGCGGTGCGGGAACAGCTTGCGCTTGTCCGCGGGGCGCGCGATGCGGTGCACCAAGCTCACGAGGACAAGGACGCTGCTGCTTCTAGCATAGAAGGCACGTGCCAACACCTTGACCTGCAACTCACCCTCGAGCACGCTTACGGAGCGCGACTGGAGCGCTCGCGCCTGCCTCCGAGTCACCGCCACCTCGAACAGCCGTTCGTCTGCCAAGCCGTCGTCGGCATCTGCTGCACGTGGGTGTGGACGCAACCGAGGGCCATCAGGATCGAGCGCTGCGGACTCGAGGGGGCCGAGCAGGCCGTGCGCGACACAGAGCGGATCATCGCGGACATGGGCGAAGCCAGGCGGACAGCGCAGGAGGTCGTGAGAGGTCTGCGCGAGACAGGCATTCTCCGCAGCCTGTGCGCCGATGCGCTGGTGCCCGCCGCGCCCGGCAGCGTCGCGGCGCACTCGAGCAGTGAGGACTGGGACCCCGCGGGACGCCATCCGGCGGTGTCCCTCAACGTGATCCTGGGGTCTCCCCACCAGCCCGTTGTCTTCCTGACGCTGCCCGAAGGCATGCGGTGGCGGAAGTGGACTCCCAGCGACTGGCGTGAGCAGCCGTGCGTGGGACTGGTGGCTGAGATCTCGGACCCGGAGGCCTTCTGCCGCCCCCTCCCCGCGCCTGTGCCGTGGACGCTGCTGACCGACAAACTCGCGCAGCACCGCGCCACGCTGCGGAGCGTGGACGTCAGCGAGGAGTGGGTGCGCGCGGGGCTCATGTCTTCCGTCGTGTATGGGTGCACAACGTGGATGCGTTCCCCGGGCACCATGGCGGAACTCGACCGCAACATCACGGCAAACATGGTGCACCAGTTCGGGAACAGATACCTGCTCGAACCACGGTTCAAGATCAAGGCCAGCGACGATGCGGTGCTGGCGTTCGAGACCGTGCGGATTCAGGCCCGCCCCGACGGGACCACGCCCGCGATGGAGACGTTCCTGGTACGCGCGTACACTTGCAAGCTCGCCTCGCAGGGCCGAGCACCGTGCTCTTCGACGGCACCGCATGACTCGTGTGCCTGTTCCGGCTCATGCGCTAGGAGGATGGCCACCGCGATGTGCCCGTCCGCCCCGAATGGCGTGCGCCTCAAGGGCAGCACGTGGCCTCGCAGCGCAGCGTGGTCGACGTGTCGCCGCGGGGCGTGCACGGCGATCTCACGCCACGCGCGTACCGGCTGCTGCGCAGAACGTCCCCGAAGATGAACTGGACGAGTTGGTCCAGCTCACCATGCACCGTGCCAAGGCCTTCGTCCAGGCGCCGGACCTGCCCCCGACGGCCGTGTGGGCGGTGGTGACCCGCTTCGAGACAGAGTGCTGGGCCCGCAGCAGCGACATCAAGGCGGTGACGACGATGCCGTACCTCTGGGGTCGGTCGGTCGACGCCTTTTGTCGCATGATCAGCACCGAGGGCAGGAAGCTGCACGTGGGCAAGGGGAGCGACGGGTCCGCGCGGGTGTACGTGACGCTGCGCGACGGCATCTTGCGCGGGCGCCCGCTGGACTGCACCTCGCTGATTGGCGACCGGCGCTCCGCCTTCGCGGCGTTCCAGGATGCCGCCAAGGCTAGCAACCTCGCTCAAGCCGGCGACGCCGAGAGGCTGCTGTGCTTCCGCGAGGGTATCGAGCTCGAGCGTCCACGCGGCACACTCGCCTTCGACGTGGTCGGGACGCTGACGAAGGAGCATCCCGACAAGATCACCGTCGGCGTGTGGAGAGACCCGAAGTTGTCGGAACACCTCGAAGCCGAAGATGAATGGGTTTACACCCTCGAGCTGTGCGAGCTGCAGGGAGCTCTTCTCAAGGCTCTGCGCCGGCCTGGTGCGCTGCGCACGGTGTGCGATGGCGCCCTGCTGCACCCGCATGACCAAGCAGCTGCTCGCGAGGCGCCGGAGCAGGCCTGGGACGACCAGGGGCGGTTCCCAGCGGTGTCACTGAACATCTGCTGGTACCAAAAACAAACTTACGAGCACCTCGGACAACTGTGGTGGCTGGAGCTGCCGCCCGGGATGCGTTGGCAGCCGGCGGCGGGGCACCACTGGGAGCGCGGCCTGCTTACGCGCGTCACGCCGGTCGTCGCCGAGGTGGTGAGCGAGCAGAAGCTCAACGCCGCAACGCGACGCGCGCAGCCGGAAACATGGGACAGTGGCATTGCGGACATGATCGCAACCGGCACCGAGATGCTCCGCGCCCGTCCGTTGGAGCGCGGAGCTCCCGAGCCGAGCGAGCCGCGTGTGCAGGCATGACCGCCGGGTCCGATGCGTCCGAGCATGGCCCGCCGCATGCGACCCCGAAGTTTTGCATCAGCCGCTGCTACTGATGTCTTGCATCAGCCTGCCGCCTCCGGAGACGTCCTTCTCGGGCGCATGTACGCGATGACGGCGAGAGACTCCCGCATGCACGCCGAAAGATTCCTTCCTCTGAATATACCCGTAACAAGAACACCTCCTCTGTTGTACCTGCGCCAGGCCCTCGACTCGCCCCGCATGGAGCCGCGGCACCCACTGTGCGCCGGAACCTGCTGTGACGACACGCGGACCTCGGGAGCGCCCTCGCCGCTGCGCAGCAGCACGTCGTCTTTCGTCCCTCGCTGTCGGAGCGCTCGTTGCGCTAACGGAGCGTCGCAGACTGACCTGTGTACAATCCGGACCGAGCGGCCCGCAGCGGCCCCCGCAGCGACTGTTGTGGGCCGGCCGCACATCGCGTTCAGGGCGGGTCGGCCGCGCCGTGCGCAGATGCATTGTTGGTTCAGCGGGCTTGCGGAGAGAGAAACTACGGCGAGTGCGTCGGACGCGCAGCTACGACGACGACTGCTCTCGGTGCGGGCGGGCGAGGGGGGCGTCGCTGTGCGTCTGGGCCACGAGGGATGCGCTGGGGCAGCACGCGACGATGACGTGTGGCGAGGTTGCGTGGGGGGTCCTTTCGTGGAGCACGGTGCTGCACGTGGAGCGAGGGGACGTTTGTGTGCACGGCGACAGATGCGGGCAAGAACCGCTGTGGCGGACCCGTGCATCAGGAGGGCAACGAGGAACGGCTTACCCGCCGAAAGGTGCGCTGCGTGAGGCTGTTTCTGCTCCAGGTGCCGTGGCCCCCGTGCGGGACTGCAGCGCACCGGTTCACATTGCCACTGAGATCAGCTCGAGCGGAGACGCTTCGCGCGACCCGGGAAAGGCTGTTTGGTGGCGCTGAGGCTGCGCAAGCCGGACCCCGCCCAATGATTGCACCTATGCTTTCGGCGGCGCATTGGCCGATTGACAGGCCACGCAACCACACTACGGTGCGCAAACAAGTCGAAATGTCCCCACTGAGCTCGCAACTCGACCCCGCACTCCTCCCGTGCCGCTGAAACGCAGGGAAGCCATCATGCCGGGCGGGCCCCGCGCGGGCGACGCGCGATTCGTCTGGGAGCCGAGCGATGAAATTTCTCTGTCCTTCAAGACGGTTCGAGCCCGGCCTCGTACCGAGGGCGCTTCACCGGCGATGGAGACGCTCCTGGTACGCCCTGCTAGGCCACGCTTGCCCTCCCTCTCGGCTCGCCCCGGCGCTCGCAGCCGCGTCCAACGACCGCCTCTTCCGACGTCCGAGCTGCAGAGCGTGCCGGAGGACGAGCTCGAGGAGCTGCTCACGGTCGCGCTCACTCGGTGCGACGAAATCCTGTCGCGCAGTTCCAAGACGGGCGGCAAGGCCTTCCTCCTCACGCGCATCGACTCGGAAAGCACGGCCCGCAGCAGCGACATCGAGGCCACGACGACGCTCGTGCCGCTGGCCGACGTCGCCACGCGCTGCGCCGTCTGGAACGAATTCTGCCGTTCGATCAGCACCCCCGAGACACAGTACCACGCGCAGGCCTCCGCGGTGGACGCCGACGGCCGCCCGTTCGGATGGCAGGGCGCCGAGGTCACGGCGGCGGTGCAGCTCGGCGGCCGCGCGGTCGGGCCGGTGAACATCACGCCGGTGATCCGCGAGGCTGACGGGCCCACGATCGGCAACGTGTTTGGGTACAAACGCGCGCGGAAAGCCTTCCGTGACGCGAGGAAGGACGCCAGCGGGTTCGCGCTCATGGACACGGTCGACGTCGGCGACGCGGGCCGCCGGCGCCCCGTCCAAGTGTACGGCGCGTGGTCAGAGGCCGAGCCAGGAGTCGTGCTGCTCGATCACGACCAGGGCCTCGCGGGGGACTTCGACCTCACCAGGAACGGCTGGAGGTCGGCTGTGGCGGGCGGGAGCGCGGCGCGAGCGGCGCGGGAGACCGTCCGGGCCCTGCGAAGCACGGGTTTCCTGCAGGAGCTGTGTGCGTGCGCGCTTGTGCCGCCGGCGCCGTACGGCGTCGCGGCGGAGCTGAGGGGCGGTGAGCAGGACTGGGACGCGGCGGGGAGGTTCCCTGCGGTGACGCTGAATATCCTGCAGGGCGACGTGATCCCGTGGCCGCGGGTGTACCTGGCGCTGTCGGATGGGATGCGGTGGCGGCCGACGCAGAGGAGGGGCCGGCGGGTGCGGCTGGCGGCGGAGATCTCGGACAGCGAGGCGTTCTGCCGGCAGTTCCCCGCGAATCTGAGCTGGGCCCGCTGCTTGCGGACGCTCCAGAGGGTGCGCGTCGCGTACCAGTGCGGGGGCCTCTCGCTGGAGATGTGCGACACGCTGCTTGACCAGATGCTCCGGGACCTGCTGCGCAAGTACGCGAGGCGCATGGGCTCGCCGGACGGGCTGTACGCGGCGGAGGACGAGGCCGAGCACAAGCTGGATGCGTTTAGGTGCATGGGCGGGCACAGCACGGACTCCTCGGACGACGAGGAGATCGTCGCGGGCTACGGCGACGAGGGGAGCCCTCGCGACGCGTCCGGCGGCCCGGGCGGGCTCCCGAGCGCCCCAGGTGACGGAGCGGTGCACGTCACGAGCGGCCCGCCGACCGTGATCGAGGTGCCGGTGGCGGGCCCCTGCGCGGGCGTGAGCTGACTGCGGCACCTGCGCGGAGGTGACGTGGCTGCGCACTTCGCGTTTGTCCTGCGTGTGTACGTGGCACTCGGTGGGGGGTGTTGCGGCCCGTCGGGCGGCCGTCGCTGTGACCGAGGCGGCGGTGCTTGGGGATGTGTTGGGGAGTTGCGGCCGCGAGACATGCGCTCGTGACGCGCCCGTGGGGGGCGACGTGTGCGGGAGCAGATGCCGTCGACGACGCGAGTGTCGGCGAGCTACTGATGCGCCGGGACCCCTGGATCGACGCGCCTGACCTCGCGCGGCAGGTTGCGCCGCGTCGGCGCTGCCGGTGGCTTGCACGACCGGGGCGGCCCTCTCTCGCGAGAGACACGACGCCCCGGAGAGGAGTGCGGGCTCGGATGGACAACGCGTCGACGTTGCGACGCGCTCTCGTGCCCGCGATAGACTTTCCGTATCACAGGCAGTGCGACAGGGACAGAAGCGCCGGAGTTGATCGCACTTCGAGCAGGTACGGCACAGATGCACTGTCGGCACAGGTGGGCTTCGTGGCCCGCGTGCCCATCCGCGTGATGGTTCTTCTACGTCATCTGCGGCTCGATTCGACGTTTGTCGTAGCGGGTAGAGCATGAAAGTGGCCTTTGGGGGCCACGAGAGTGAGCACGGCCCCGTCCTGTCGCTCTCACCGCGCATATTGTCTCAAGGCGCCTGCTGCCCGGTCAGGACATCCTAACAGCTGTCAGTCGGTTCATGCTGAAGCACGCTCACTGTTTCAGACGTGAGTCGTGACGGTGCTGCGCGTGCGCCTGCCATACAGCCCGTTGATCAGCTCCCGCCACTTGGGGTCGAACAGCGGTGATGCTGCGAAGGAATCACGTCATCGATTCCCATCGCCCGCCTGTTGTTGATGTCGGGGATCGACAGAGCATTGCGATTTCTCGCTGCAACGCCCTTGTGCTGCCTGCAATGGCACCGCCCTCCCCGCGCACCCCATCGGAGGGCTCCTGGCCGCTAGAATCCGCTACCAACGCCTTCTCGCGCCCTACCCTCACAAGCACGACTCCCTTGGCCGCATTCCGCTCTTGACTCTCCGCCGCTAACCTCCCCCCCCCTCCCTCTGGCTGCGCAGGCAACCATGTCGGCCACGGCCGGGGCCGCGCGGTTCGTGTGCCAGCCGAGCGACCACATGGCCTTCGCGTTCAAGACGACGCGGGCGCAGCCTCGGCCCGCGCATGCGCAGCCCGAGATGGAGACGCTTCTGGTGCGACACAACACCGCTTCGTGCACGGGCCGCCCTGCAGCTGCACGCGGGGCACTGACCCGCGACGATCGCGCCCTCCTGGTGCCGTCGCGCAGAACGTACCGGAGGACGAGCTCGAGGAGCTTCTGGCGGTCGCCTTGAGCCGCGTAGACAACTTCTTGTGGCAGGACAGCGACGCCAACAAAGAACAGTCGTGGATCTTGACGCGCGTGGAGGCGGAGTGCTCGGCGCGCTCGCGCGACATCGAGGCCGTGTCGGCGCTCGTCGCGATGGAGACGGGCGCCGGCCTCGAGGCCCTGTGTCGCGCGATCGGCAACGTGCCTGGGAGGACGCTTCGGGCGACGAAGCAGGGGGCGGAGAAGCGCTCGTGGGTTGTGGAGGCGGCGCTGGAGATGGGCGGGACCACGTGGGGCCCGATCGACTGCACGCAGGCTTGCGGGATCGCCACCGAGGCGGAAGACGCAGCCAGCAGGGTGACGCAGGCGGCGAAGATTACGATGGAGGCTGGCGTGGGTGAGAAAGGAAGCGACGTCAAGGTCGTCGTCGGCGGCCCGGTCGAGGTCGTCGACAAGGGGCGGACCTTCAACGTCAAGCTCGCATGGCTCTGGTCCGAGTCGCACCCCAGCGTCATGCTGCTGCTGCCTGTGCCTGGTGTCGCGGCGGACGGGCGACCTGAGGACGCGAGCGCCGTGCCGTTTCCGACGCGGGCCGCGCAGGAGCTCGTCCGGGGCCTGCGCCGCACCGGAGCGCTCGCGCAGCTCTGCGCGGGTGCTCTGGTGCCGCCGTGTCCCGGGGGAGTGGCGGCGCAGCTGGCGGGGCGGGACCAGGACTGGGACCCGGCGGGGCGGTTCCCGGCCGTGTCGCTCAACATCATTCAGAGCAACTTGTCTCCCAAGGGGACGTACGTGGCGTCCTTGACCCTGCGCGAAGGCATGCGGTGGGACATGGGGCGTGCGCAGGCGCCACGAGGCGGCTCCATGCAGCCAGAGCACCTCGTCGCGCGAATCGCGGACAGCAAGGCGTTCTGCCGCCTTTTGCCGCCGCGCGTCCCCTGGGCGTACTTCACGGGGAAGATCGGCGCGCTTGTCGAGGGCTTGCGAGCCAACGGCGCGGACCCTCTTTTGGGTCGCGAGGATTTCACCGACGGCATCCAGTATTGCATGGACCTTCTCGGGGTGGGCACGCCGGATGCGCTGGGTCTCGTCGACACGTGGATCGACTCCCTGCTCGAAGAGACTGGAGGGCCCCCGCGGGGCATGTCGGATCGTGCTGCTCGTGGGGCGTCGGGGCCGAGCGCCGGCACCGCGCCGGCGTCGCAGGGCGACAACGGGCGGCGCTTTGAGTGCGTGCCGTCGCCCAAGGCGGAGCTGGCGTTCGAGACAGTGAGGGCGCAGCCGCGGCACCGGGACGCGCAGCCGAAGATGGAGACGTTCCTGGTGCGTTGCGGGCCTGCGTTTCGCGTCTTGGGTTCGCGCGTGCTTGCTGACGCTGTGCGCCGCAAAAGCGTCGGCCTTCCCTCGCCACACTGACCGCAGAACGCCCGCGCGGCCGACGTCGAGGCGATGCTCACAACGGCGTTGCGTCGCGTCTTCAAGATCATGGGTCCGCCCGTCCCCATCGCGTCAGTATTGAGGGGGGACCGCGAGGGGGGGACTGGGTACGTCCTGACTCAGATCCAGTCCGAGTGCTTCGCCTCGAGCCGCGACCTCAAAGCCACGTCGACCCTCGTGATGTACGACGCCGTGCGCGACCTCGAAGCGTTCTGCCGCGCCATCAGCGTCGAGGGCAGGACCCTGTGCCCAGCCCCCGGGCACAGCACGTTCGCCAACGTGCACGCGACGCTCACGTACAGCGGGCGGAAGCACGGGCCGCTCGACTGCACGAAGCTCATGCAGGCCTACGGCACGGCGGCGTCCTTCAAAGCGCGGCAGGGCTACCAGGCCGTGATAGGTCTGGGCATGGGCCCCACACACACCGTCTTCAGGGAGGTTGTGTCCGAAGAGAACGGGCGCGGGGGGAAGGAGGACGTCGAGGTCCTCGGGGTCTTCGACGAGCGGCACCCGAACAAGATCATCGTCGGCAGGGCCGCGGATTTCCCGGGGTTCGTCGTCATGCCACTTCTGCGCAACGACGATCGAAACTCCCCCTACTGGATCGACGTCCTCGCGGGCGTCGTCGTGCGGGCGCTGCGCCGCCCCGGCGCCCTGCGTGCGGTGTGCGCGGGGGCGCTGCTGCCCCCTCTGAGCCGCGCCGCCGCGTGCGCGGAGGCGGCGGACCAGGCCTGGGATTTCGACGCGCACGGACCGGCGGGCGTGGGTCCCGCGGGGTTCCCGGCCGTGTCCATCAACATTCTCATGGGCGGCACGCAGATGCTGTGGCTGGAGCTCCCGGACGGCATGCGCTGGCGCGCGGGATCACGGGACCCTAGCACCGGGCTCACGAAGATGGCTGTGGAGGTCGTGAGCTTGGACAAGGTCGGGGACGAGTACGACCAGACCTTCGGAACGACGTGGAAGGCCGTCACGGACGCGCTGGCGCGTCTCGACAGGCCGGTGCCGGGGTATGAGCAGCTCGACAGCTTGTGGGTGGGCAGCCCCGAACACCGCGAGGCGACGCAGAGCGTGCTGGACGGGCTCTGCACGTCGAATGCGCTCTCCGCGATCCCGCACGACCGCAGGAGGTATCCTGGGGCGATACCAGGCCCCAGGATACCTCGTGCGGGCCCATAACAAGGACTTGTGACCGGGCGATTGCTTTTCGGGGTTGTCCTCGCGCTCCCCTGTGGCTCCAGTGTCACGCCGCAGGCCAGCCGCGGGCACCTGTGGGGCGCGAGCGCGGTCCGTGCGGTGTCGTGACGCTGCTGGCGAACGTCCCGGGGGAGTGCCGCTTGGCTGGGGGCGCTGGGGCGAGTTCAGGGCTCTGGCGCCCCAGGCCGTCGCCATTCGCGACGTGCTGATCGCGTTTTGCGCCAGGAATGCCGGGACCTGCGGCGCGCTAAGAAGGTACGGCCACTCAACTGCACCACGCAGCGCTCTGACGCGTTGCGCGCTGCGGGGCCGAGCACGTCCGTTTCCGTGCCCGCGACTTCCGCCAGTAGTACTTGGGCAGTGGCATGAGGCGGCAATACTCCCCCTGTGCGTCGTGGGGCCAGGCCGGGCGCTTCCCGCCCTTGCAGGAATCAACCTGTGTTCCCGCAGCGCCGGACCACGGCACGCTCGAAGTTGATACCACGTCGACTGCGTGGCGACAATACCTCACGTGCACGCAACGCGACTGCGGGACGCGCAGCCTCTGCAGCCCCACTGCTCCCACGCCCCTCGGAACTGCCCGCAGAGCGAGCAAGCGATGCCGGGAGCCACGAAAGCGCAACCGCGCTTCGTGTGCGTGCCCGGCGACGATGTGTCCCTCTCCTACAAGACCGTCAGGGCCAAGCCCCGCCCCGCGGGCGCCGTACCGGAAATGGAGACCCTCCTGGTAAGAGCGTCGTTTCCGATCAAGGCCCTCGCGAACCTCACTCTCCGCCTGGCAACTCCCCCTCCCGCCCCCCGAGCTCGCCTCCTGCACGGCGCCCACCGCATTTCACGCCTCCTGCTCGCCGCGCCGCAGAACATCCCTACTCAAGACCTCGAGGACCTTTTGAAGGCCGCCCTGACGCGAGGCAAGGAGATCCTGGAGGAGACGCGCGGGAGCGGCAGAGCTTCGCTGCTCACGCGCGTCGCGTCGGAGAGCACGGCCCGGGACCGCGACATTCAGGCGGTCACGTGGCTGATACCGCAGCTCGACGCCCCGGGGGGGTCCTGCTGCGACGCGTTCTGCCGAGCGATCAGCGTGGAGGGGGAGCGGGAGCTCCGCGCGATGCCGCGCGGTGACGGCGAGCCCAGTCGTCCGATGGATGACGGTCGCGTGACGGCGGAGGTGACGGTGGGCGGGAAGACGACCCTCCCCGTGGACATCGCGCCCGTCTGCCAGGACGTCTTCGCCGCCCCTGGCGGGCCGGCTGCCGCCATGGTGGCCCTCCAGGGAGCGCGGACCGCTCTGTCTGGCGGCCATAAGGGGACCGAAAACGGCGGTCTGTGTTTCGCGACACGCATGGAGGTCGGCCGCGCGGAGCGTCGCGCGTCCATCGTCATGTACGGGGCGTGGTCCGAGGAGGCGCCCGGCGTCATAGTCCTCACGGAGACCAACGAGGGCGCGTCGTCCGGCGACCCCCGGCGCGTCGCCAAGCTGACGGCGCGCGCGCTGCGGAACTCCGACGACGCGCTGAGGCAGCTGTGCGTCGACGCTCTGGTGCCCCCGATGCAGGACGGCGTCGCGGCGCATCTCGAGCGCGGCGACCAGGACTGGGACGCGGCGGGGCGGTTCCCCGCGGTGGCGCTCAACATCCTGCAGAGCCTGGACTTCTCCCGGCCGCGGGCGTTCCTGACGCTGTCCGAGGGCATGCGGTGGCGTCGGGTGCGCGAGCGGGCGCGCCGCACGGAGTCGGGCGTGCCGCTGCTGCGGCTCGCTGCGGAGATCACGGACGGCGACGCGTTCTGCGCGCAACACGCCCCCTCGCTGCCCTGGAAGCGCTGCTTGGGCACGTTCGAGGAGATGTTGCCCTTGTTCCAGGCCAGGGCATGCCAAACTCTGGGACGCGAGGGGGAGTCTGCGATCCTCGAGAAACTTCTACTGAAGTACGCTGAGGAGGGTGGGATGTACACCCCGGGGGGACTGTCGGCTGTGGAGGACGCGATGCGGCGCAACTTCGAGAAGTTCGACGCTCTGATGGCGGAGATGGAGGGGCAGGAGGCGGCGGGGTGGGCAGAAGGTCCAGAGCAGGACGTCGATGACGACGACGACTGGGCTGATGCACCGCCCGGCGACACAGCTGGCTCCATGGACTTCACCCGCCCCGTCGTTGCGCCTGTGGACCCCAGCGCGGCCACGACGGGCGCGCGCCTGAAGGCGGCGCGTGCGGACGCAGCGTCACGCTTTGTATGTGTGTCGATGCGCAAAGCGTCGCTGGCGTTCAAGACCGTGCGAGCGCAGCCACGGCACCGGGACGCGCGGCCCGAGATGGAGACGTTCCTGGTGCGTGGCCTGCCGCTCCTGGCACGCGCACGTCAGCCTCCCGATAAACAGGGCTCGAACGTACTCGCGCCCGCCGTGCTGCGTGCAGAATGCCCCCCAGGACGACGTGGAGGAGATGCTCGCAGTCGCGCTGCGTCGCTCGATGGACGTCTTCAGCAACACCCCCCCTGATCACAGGGGGGGTCTAGGCGCGATGCTCACGCGCGTCGAGTCGGAGTGCTGGGCCCGGAGCCGCGACCTCGAGGCCACGTCGACCTTCATCGTCTCCCCCGACTGCACCGTCGCAGCGATCTGCAACGCCATCGACGTCGACGGGCGGCGGCTGCGTGCGGGGTCGGGCGCGCACGGCGCCGGCGCGCGGCACGTCTTCGCGTCGCTGAAGACGACGGGGCGCGCGTGCGGGACGTACAACTGCACGAAGTTCATCGCCGCCGACCAGGCCGCTCTGGCCGCCTCGGTCAAAGCCGTGAACACGGCGGTTGGCGACACGGGCGGCGAGTCCGAGTCGCTGCACGAGTGCTTTGCGGAGCGCGTCCGCACCGAGGACGGGCGCGAGGTCGAGGTCTTCGGCGGGCTCTCGGAGCGGTACCCCCACATGATCCTTGTCGGGGGCGGGTGGGAGACTTTCGGCGGCGACGCGGGGGAGGCAGCGGCGAGCTGGGACGGCAACGTCGAGGCCTTGGCGAAGGTGGTCGTCCGGGGGCTGCGCAGGCTCGGAGCCCTGCGTGCCCTCTGCGCGGGCGCTTTGCTCCCCCCCCTGAGCAAGGCCGACGCGGCGGCGAGCGTGCCGCCGGCCATGGGCTGGGACGGGCGCGGGGGGTTCCCCGCGGTCTCCGTGAACGTCCTGCTGACGACGAGGGGGGACAGCGTGGCGCCCGTGGTGTGGCTGGAACTGCCACGTGGCATGCGGTGGCGGCGGACGGGGCCCGCGCGCGTGGTGGCTGAGGTCGAGAGCATGGAGGACGTCAAGAAGGCGCACTGCCGGAACTACGGAACGACGTGGGACGTCATCGCGCGCGCGGCCGCGGATCTCGACGGCCAGCTCGGGACGGAGGCGTCGATGGGGGCGGAGGAGCGGCACGCCGCCGTGCAGTCCTTGCTGGACACGTGCGCCGCGGTGCGCCTCCTCGCGCACGTCCCGGAGGACTGCCAGTGGTATAACGAGGGCATCATGAGTAAGTAGAAAAGGGGGGGTCAATTTGGGTGGGGCGGGGGGGAACGGCTGGCGGCGAGGGGAGCAGGGAAGGCGCGGCGGCGGCGGCGGTGCGAGAGCGCGCGGAGATACACGTGAGTCCTATTCTCTGTTTCCTCGAGTCAGGGATGGTGTTGACGCGGACGCATGGGGAGCTCGCGGGCGCTGGTGCGCCGGTGGCCGCACGCGGGGCTGCGGGTGCGAGCTGCGCGTCCCCGGCGCGGTGCCCTCCCCAGCGATACACGCATCCTGCGTGAAGTGATTACGGCGGGCCGGGGTGCTCGCGCCGCGACAGGGGCAGGCCGAGTGACGAGTCTCCTACGCTGATGTTTTTTCGTGTCGTGGCGACGCAGGAAGTGCTCGTCCGCCTCTCGTCGGCCCGCCAGCGGGTCCTGGTGGTCGAGGACCTGAGGTCGAGGGGAGTCCGTAACGGGGAATTGAGCGCTTGTGAGCTCGTATTCACGCCCTCGGCGAGCAGTCAGGCCCGTCAGTGGCCGGGATACGCAAGTGAGTCCCTCACAACAGGCGAGAACACCCCCGCACGGCTGTACCGGTGCTGTCCTGGTCCACTTGGCTCGTGGCGCGGTGTCGGCGATCTATCTCGGGCCCACGAGCGCCTTAGAAGGACGTTTACGACTCACATATTGGTCCTACGCTGTGTTGAGACGCGCTTGATGCCGCGTCGTGGCGTGCAAGGCGCTTCTCGCCCCTCTCTGCGTGAACAGTCGCGGAGGCGTCTCTGGCCTGCTCAGACGTGATCAATCATGATGCCGGGCGTGAACGTGTCATGCTGATTGCGAAGCAAGTCTTGAGCATATCGCAAGATCGATGTCTGCTTCCCAGCGCCCCCGTGGCCCGCCTCGTACGGCAGCGTTGCGGGCACCGCCCTCGACGACATCGGACGCGCGCCCGCGGCCGACACACACGCGCTCAGCGCCACACGCTCCTGTTCGTCCCGAAACGTCGCGAAACAGCTGCCTCGATCCAACCATCCGCCCCGTTCCGCTCGCTTCGCAGCATCATGCCTGCGCCCTCAGCCCCCGCGGGCGCGCGCTTCGTGTGCGTGCCGAGCGACGAGGTGTCGCTGTCGTTCAAGACCGTCCGGGCGCAGCCCCGTCCCGCGAACGCCGTCCCGGAGATGGAGACCCTCCTGGTGCGCACCCTCCTCCGCTGGTGGTTGCCCACACACATCGTGGCACCTCGCGACGCCCCGCGCCGACACAGGCGCGCACACACCGCTGACGCGCAGAACGTACCGACGAGCGACCTCGAGGAGCTCCTGGTGACCGCAATCGAGCACGTCGAGGACATTTGCAAGGGGACGTGCCCACCCAGCAGTGCTAACATAGCATTCTTCCACACCCGCATAGAGGCGGAGAGCACGACGCGCACGCGCGACATCCAGGCGGTGACGACGTACATTCCCGGCCTGGCCCGCGGCCCCTCGAAGCGCCGCGTGTTGGCGGAGGTTTGCCGGAGGCTGAGCACTGACGGGCGCACGCTGGAGTGCGACGCGAACGGACGCGTGGTCGCGACGGTGGAGGTGGACGGGGGGCCGTGCGGGCCGGTGGACTGCACGCCGGTCGTCGAGAAGGACAGCCTCGGTCCGGAGGAGGCAGCGAGTGGTGGGGTGTTCGCTGTCGACACCGTGATGTCCGCGGCGAGGGGCATGGGCGGGGATGACGTGGCGAACTGCCTGATGCAGCTCGTTCGCCTGGACCACGACGGCGAGGAGATACCGCAGAACGCCATGATCGGGGGGTCTTGGTTCCCGAGTCAGCCGGGGACGATCATGCTGGGAATCGAAATGTCTCACTTCCGGCCGTCGAGTCTACAGGCGTTCCATGCGATGGGCACGGCGAGGTCCACGGCGCAGCTCTTCGTCCGGGGGCTCCGCGGCGCGCAGAATGAGCTCCGGGAGCTCTGCGAGGGCGCGCTCGTCATTCCCGACCCATGGGGGAAAGCTGCGCTGTTGGAGAGCGCGGAGCAGGACTGGACGGGGGGGAAGTTCCCGGCGGTGGCACTGAACGTGATGCATGTGTCGACCAGGCCCGACATGCCGGTGGTGTACCTGACGCTGCCGGCGGGCATGGCATGGAAGCCTGCGCTGACGTGCGACGACGGGTACAAGTTTGGCACGAGGATGACGCGGCTGGGGGCGAGAATCGTCGACCGCGACGCGTTCGGCCGCCCGCAGCCCGTGACGCCGACGTGGCGGGCGTGCGTGGACAAGCTCGAGGACTACCGCGGGTGCATCGAGCGCGCTGGGCTGAGCAACGACCAGGAGTGGCGCACGAAGCTGATGCGGTGCGTGGTCGCGGGGTACGAGAAGTGCATGGCGTCGCCGGAGGCCATGGTCGGGGTCGACGCGGAGATCGAGCGCCTCATCAGGGCGGCGTTCGGGTCTGGGTTTGAAATCCAGAAACACGACACCATACGGACGACTGACACATCCCCTGCGGCGGGCGTCGAGGCGGGCCTGGGGCAGCTCGACCTGTCGGCGGCGGCGTGCAGCGCCGAGCCCGCGCACGGCGAGCGGCAACCAGCAGGTCCGCGCTTCGTGTGTGCGCCGAGCGACATGATATCGCTGTCGTTCGTGACCGCACGGGCGGAGCCCCGGCCCGAGGAAGCGGAGCCGAGGATGGAGACGTTCCTGGTGAGCAGCGCGCTCGATGTTCCGACGCGCTTTCGCTGCCGCCGCTGCCTGCGTGACGGTTGGTGAGGTGCGACAGGCCCTGCAGCGCATCTGACCGGCGTGCACGATCCTTGCACGCCCGCAGAACATGCCCGAGGACCAGCTCGAGGAGGCGCTGCGCGTCGCGCTGCACCGCGCTTGCAAGTTCGCGACCAAACACGCCAAGCTCAGCAGAGCCGCGGGCACTGTGGACGGAGACACGACGGTGCTGACGCGCATCGAGGCTGAGTGCAGCACGAAGACCCGCGACCTCAAGATCGTCACGGGCATCACCAACTCCGAGGGCCCCGCCGTCAACGCGTTCTGCCGGGAACTGAGCGGCAATGGGCGCAAGATGTCGACAGCGCCGGACCGCCGGGGCAAGTGGCGGGTGCGCGCGACGGTCGACGTCGACGGCGCCGCGTGCGGGCCGCTCGACGTCACGGACCTGGTCGACCTCGAGCGCTTCCTGCAGCACTTGAATGTCTCCGAGGCGGCATTCATCGCGCACAACAACGTGGTGGACGACGTCGTCGACAAGACGGCGACGTACTGCTTCTACGAGGTCGTGCATGTGCGGCACGAGGGGCAGGACTGCGGCGACGTTGCCGTCAAGGGGGTGTTGTCAAAACAGTACCCCAACAAGATCATGGTCATGTGGGACCACGCGGACGTGCGCGGAAGCACGACGATCGCGCAGAGGTTCGCCGCAATGATTGACGACGTCGGACCGGGCAGGTTCACCGCCCATATCCTCGTCGCGGCCCTGCGCCGCCCCCGGGCGCTGCCGGCCCTCAGCGCCGACGCGCTGCTGGCCGTTCCCGGCCCCGCGTGGCGCGCGCCGCAGGCGTGGGACGAGCAGGGGCGGTTCCCGGCTATCTCCATCAACGTCGTCGTCGGATGGCACGACGTCGATCCGACGATTCCGTGCGTGTCCCTCGAGCTGCCGCGGGGCATGCGCTGGCGGGCGGTGCCGTCGAAGCTGCAGGGGTCGGGGCTGACGCGCGTGGTGGCGGAGATCGCGAACGCGTATGAGCTCGGGAAAGCGCTGTTCCACCACGCCTTTCCGATGCTGGCGTGGAGCACGGTGGTGGAGGGCGCGGCGGGTTTCAGGGCGAAGCTGCAGGGAATGTCGAACCTGAACGACGACAGACCGACGCTGACGGCTATTCAGCAAAAGTGCCTCGATGAGTTCGCGAAAGAATTCTGGACCACGTCAGGCGACGGAGACTTCTACGTGCCGGGACAGGACGCGCCAGGAACGCTCGCGAGCGCGCCACCGATAGAGGGCGAGCGAACGGACGGCGCGGGCGACCGCGGCGGGGAGCGGGCGCAGCAGCCGGACGGCGGCGGTCAGCGTGGCGGGCGCTGCGGGGGCAAGAAAAACAAGAACAAGAAGAAGCGCCACAACAGGAAGAAATGAGAAATGAGAAGTGTTCGTGGCGTGTCTGGAGGAGCGAGAGCGAGCTCACAACACACAATCAGGATGCAGAGAGCGTCTCGAAGGGTGCGGCACGGCATGGGGACAGCTCCAGAGGACGGTGTAGCTCCTCGCGCGGCTCCTGAAGGGGTGCCACTGTGCCACGAGGGAGTGAGAAGTAGGTATGAGGGGGGGTACTGGGAAGGGGATGGCAGACATGCGGCGGAGGAGGCGGTGCCGCGACGACGGCGGCGGTGCAAGAGCGCCCGGAGATGTACATACAGCCATATGTGAGTCGGTCTGTGTATTTTCCTTGCTCGAGTCAGGGGTGGTGTTGACGTGAGCGTACGTGGGGTCCGAGGGCGGTGGTGCGCCGGTGGCCGCAAGCGGGGCTGCGCGCGCCCGGAGTTGCGTCACCGAAGGCAGCGTGAGAAGGGGGGTGTGGGTGGAGCGGGGTGCTGGCGCCGCGACACGTACAGTCTGACAGCGTGTTCCGACGGGCTCGTGCATAGCGTCATGGTGGCGCGCGCATAACGCTTCCAGCACCTGAGCAGCCCGCCAGCGGGGCTCCTGGTGGTGTTTTGAGGGTGTCCGTAACGGGGAGGTGGACGCTCCGGCGCTGGAGAGCTCGGGTTCGCGCCCTCAGCGAGCAGTCAGGCCCGCGAGGCACCAGGATACGCAAGTGAGTCCCTCACAACAGGCGAGACCCCACCCGCACGGCTGTACCCCCGCTGTTGGTCCACTTGGCTCGCGGCGCCTGGTGGCGGATCGATCGCGGGCCCACGAGCGCCTTAGAAGGACGTTTACGACTCACATATTGGTCCTACGCTGTGTTGAGACGCGCTTGATGCCGCGTCGTGGCGTGCAAGGCGCTTCTCGCCCCTCTCTGCGTGAACAGTCGCGGAGGCGTCTCTGGCCTGTTCAGACGTGGTCAATCATGATGCCGGGCGTGAACGTGTCATGCTGATTGCGAAGCAAATCTTGAGCATATCGCGAGATCGATGTCTGCTTCCCAGCGCCCCCGTGGCCCGCCTCGTACGGCAGCGTTGCGGGCACCGCCCTCGACGACATCGGACGCGCGCCCGCGGCCGACACACACGCGCTCAGCGCCACACGCTCCTGTCCGTCCCGAAACGCCGCGAAACAGCTGCCTCGATCCAACCATCCGCCCCGTTCCGCTCGCTTCGCAGCATCATGCCGGCGCCCTCAGCCCCCGCGGGCGCGCGCTTCGTGTGCGTGCCGAGCGACGAGGTGTCGCTGTCGTTCAAGACCGTCCGGGCGCAGCCCCGTCCCGCGAACGCCGTCCCGGAGATGGAGACCCTCATGGTGCGCACCCTCCGCTGGTTGCGCACGCCTCGCGCTCAAGGTGCTGGGCCTTCCCCGCCCGGCACCCTGCCGCCCTCCGTTGGACCCGAGCGCGACAAGGCCACCGAGAACGACTAGGCCATGACACACATTGCCAATGTCCCTGCTCCACGCAACGGTCGCCTGCCTTGGAGAACCCGACGAGCATCGTGAAGGGGCTGACGCGCAGAACGTACCGACGAGCGACCTCGAGGAGCTCCTGGTGACCGCGATGGAGCACGTCCAGCAGTTCTTCGAGCGGGAGTGCCCACCGAGCCGAGATAAAGTATCATTCTTCCACACCTGCATAGAGGCGGAGAGCACGACCCGCACGCGCGACATCCAGGCGGTCACGACGTACGTCCCCGGTCTGGCCCGCGGCCCTGAGGAGGACAAGCGCCGCGTGTTGGCGGAGGTTTGCCGGAGGCTGAGCACCGACGGGCGCACGCTGGAGTGCGACGCGAACGGACGCGTGGTCGCGACGGTGGAGGTGGACGGGGGGCCGTGCGGGCCGGTGGACTGCACGCCGGTCGTCGAGGCAGATTGCGAGGGCCCGGCGAATGCAACGCACGCGGGCATGTCCGCTCTCTGTGCCTTGCAGTCTGCGTTGCAAGGCACGGGCGCGCATTGCTCGGCGAACTGCCTGATGCAGGTCGTCCGCCTGGACCACGACGGCGAGGAGATACCGCAGAACGCCGTGATCGGGGGGTCTTGGTTCCCGAGTCAGCCGGGGACGATCATGCTGGGAAGCGATGACAGGGCTCACTTCCGGCCGTCGAGTCTACAGGCGTTCCATGCAATGGGCACGGCGAGGTCCACGGCGCAGCTCTTCGTCCGGGGGCTCCGCGGCGCGCAGAACGAGCTTCGCACACTCTGCGAGGGCGCGCTCGTCATTCCCGACCCATGGGGGAAAGCTGCGCTGTTGGAGAGCGCGGAGCAGGACTGGACGGGGGGCAAGTTCCCGGCGGTGGCGCTGAACGTGCTGCATGTGTCGACCAGGCCCGACATGCCGGTGGTGTACCTGACGCTGCCAAAGGGCATGGCATGGAAGCCTGCGCTCACGTGCGACGACGGGTACAAGTTTGGCACGAGGATGACGCGGCTGGGGGCGAGAATCGTCGACCGCGACGCGTTCGGCCGCCCGCAGCCCGTGACGCCGACGTGGCGGGCGTGCGTGGACAAGCTCGAGGACTACCGCGGGTGCATCGAGCGCGCTGGGCTGAGCAACCACCAGGAGTGGCGCACGAAGCTGATGCGGTGCGTGGTCGCGGGGTACGAGAAGTGCATGGCGTCGCCGGAGGCCATGATCGGGGTCGACGCGGAGATCGAGCGCCTCATCAGGGCGGCGTTCGGGTCTGGGCTCGACATCCAGAAACGCGACGACACCGATAGGACGACTGGTGATCCCCCCGTCGGCGCGGGCGACAGGGGCGAGGAGGGGGCGCAGGCGGGCTCGAGTCGGGGCGGGCCGAGCGGCGGCGGACAGCGCGGCGGACGCGGGGGCGGCAGCAAGGGCAAGAACAAGAAGAAGAAGCGTTGCAAGAAGTGAGCCTTTGTGGCGTGTTTGGAGGAGCGAATAGTTCTTCTGGAGGAGCGAATGACGGACTTGCAGTGACAGGAGGATCTCGACGACGTCAAGGTTGGCGTGGTGCGTGCGTCGGAACAGTTCCGGGAAACGACTCGGAAGAAACTTCGTTGCATGATGACGACGATGTAACGAAATGGTCACCTCACCTCAGCCGCCTGGCACTCGTGCGCGGCCGCACCTGCTCACATCGCGCCAACGCTCCCCTCCGGCACCGCCAGTGCGTCCTGCCCTGGGCCCGAGTTGAACAAGCTATCGCCCAGCGTCATGCACCCCGCGCCGTTCCCGCTCGCGCCTCGTTTCCGCGACGCCGACGCGGACGGTGGCCGCTTGCCCGCGCCGCGCCCGTTACCCCCCCCGAGGACTCCGTCCTTCTCGACGACCCACGTTGCCGGCAACGCCTCCGACTCCGCCCCGCCGTCCCCCCCCGCGCCCTTTCTTCGCGCCCCCGGCGCCGCACTGCCCGGCCGCGCGCGATTCCGCGCCCCCGGCACCGCGCTCCCCGGCCGCGCCGCCCGCCGCCCCGGCTGCACCGCTGACACCGCCCGTTGTTCACTCCCCCCCGGGCCCACCCACGGCTGGTCCGAGTCCGGCCGCGACCGCGAACTCACGCGGTGCACGGGCATCGCGCTGTACGGACGGCCCCGCGCGCCGTCGCGGGACGCCGGCGGCGCATACATGCGCAGCCGCCGCTCGAGGCGGTTGCTGCCGGGGCGCAGCGTGCGCGCGGCGGGGCGCGCGCTGGTGGCGCGGGGGCTGGAGAGCGGGGCGCCGATGTCCTCGAAGTCCGGGCCGGCGTAGTGCAGCGTGCCGCCGCCGCCGCCCTGCGGCGCGTTGCGCAGCTCCGCTGCCATCCTGCGCAGGCGGCGAGGGGGGGTTCGGAGCTTGAGCGACGGAACACGTCAGGTGTGGTTTTTCTGCGCAGTGTCGCGCGGGTCGCACGGAAGGTGGAATTCGATGGTCGCAACAAAGCGCATCCTTGCATCTGTTGCAATAACAATGGCTTGGGAATGAGCAACAGCGGATCGAGCGTGCCATTCTCTGCCTCAGCGGGGCTCTGCACGCGCGATGTCCGCGTCCATCGGCGCCGCACGGGCGCGCGAGCGCGCACGGGCGGGCCACGCACCCCGATGCCGACCCCGTCCGCGCGCCCTCCACGGTGCGCGGCACGATCCGCTGCGACCCCTCGAGCGGCAGCGCCGCGCCCTGCGCGAGCATCGTCGACCGAATGCTCCCCGTCGCGCTCAGCGACGCCGTCGCCACGCGCCCCACCGCCGCGCGCCGCGGCCGCCCCGGCCGCAGCAGCGCCTCGCTCATCACGCGGAACCGCCCCTGAAACGTGCTCAGGTGAAACGAGTCCGCCGCCCGCGCAATCTCCTGCGTCATCCCCGAATCCGGCCCCCAGAACACCCGCGCCAACAACAGCGCCCTCTGGTACGCTCGCAGCGCCTTCTGGACGACCTTGCAGTGCTCGAACTCGACCGCCTGGTTGTGGTACGCGAGCGCGAGCGTCGACACCGCCGCGGGCATCTCGTCTCCGAAGCACATCTGCAGGTCGTTCACGAAGTCGTCCATCTTCTCCTCCTGGCCTGGAAAGGGAAGGCGACAGGGGACGCCCGTGGCGAGCAGCTCGGCCTCGGCCTGGACCTGCGCGGCCTTGGCGTACTGCAGAGCCTTCTCGTGCATCCCGAGCTTGCTGCACACCGCGCAGATGTTGAGGAGGGATGTGCACGGAGAGAGCGGCTCCTGGGCCCCGAGCTCGCGCGGCGCGTCCGGGCCCGCTGCGTCCGCCTCGGCGCGCGCGGCGGCCGCGAGGGGTTCTTCGAGGGCCAGCGCCGCGAGGAGGCGCTGCAGGGCCTCCGTGAGCCGCCCCTGGTACCGGAAGAAGCACCCCAGGTTGTTGAGGGTGATGGCCCGCAGACGGTCGCGCAGGCGCGGAACCGCGTCGAGGACCCCGTCTGCACGCGCCCGGGAACCGGTGCGAGCCGTTGAGCGCGAGGAAACGGCCGGGCGGCGCGCGTGCGGTGCGGGGGCGGCGACGCAAGGTTGCTTGCAAGAGGGACCGCGGACAGCGCGTCGTTCGGGGCCTCGCTGCGGATCTCGACGGGCCTCGGAGGAGGCCGGGATACCGCGCTACGCATTGCGCGCACGGAGCTCGAGGATCGAGGGCCGGGCGGGCCGCAGCGGCGTGCAGAGCGCACCTGCGGTGGCGTGGTCACCGCTGTCCGAGGCCGTGAGGACGTCCGCCTTCTTGAGGAGCTTCCCCGCGGCCTTGAAGTCGCGCTGCTCCGTCAAACGCATGCCCTCCGCGTTGTACGCGAGCACCAGCGCCTCGCACACCGCCAGCGCCTCCCCCTCCACCACGGCCACCTCCTCGCCCTCTCCTGCACTCCCACGGCGCGCAAACACCCCCCGCGTCGCACAAACCCCCCCGCGAAGCACCAACGGACACGCAGCAAGCTCGCAGCGGCCGCCGCTCCCGCCGCGCCGCCCCCGCGGCGCGTGACGCGCCTCCTCGCATGCACTGTGTGTTGTGGGCAACGTGCTTCCAGCCGCGGCGCCCGCACGGCGCGCACGCGGCGCGTTACGGGCCGGGCGGCCCGCCACGGCGCAGGACCGCGCACGGACAGCGTCTGCGCGGCCCGGCGCGGCCGCGGCGGCGCGCACCGGCCGCGCTGCACACAGCAACACGCTCGGCCGTTGCGGGCCCTGGGAGGCGGACTCGCGCACCTGGCGCCGACCCCGCCTCGCCCAGCGCGATCTGAAGCGCCTCCTCGAGGTACGCCACCGCCTGCATGCCCTCCCCGTCCACCTGCGCCTGCAGCGCCATCAGACGTAGCTCCGACGCGCGCCCGCCCGCCGCGGTGGGCTCCTCGCCCTCCGCGCCCGACGCGTCCTGCTCCCACGGCAGCGGGCCCTCCGGCTCGCGCCCGTCCCCGAACGGCCCGGAATCCTCCTCGCGCGGCGCGGCGCCACCGTCGCCGTCCACGCGCTCGCTCGGCAGCCTGCCGACGTCGCCCAGGGACGACCCCTGCGACAGCGAGTCCGCGTCCATCGCGCCTGCGCGGGACGCGCCCGCCGGGGAGCGGGCCGCGGGGCTGCGAGGCCGCGCGGACTGCGCGCTAGAGAGAGGCGTGTGCGCGAGTGTGTGGGTGGTCGCGGCTGGCAGGCGGGGCGGTTGCCCGGGTGTGTTTCCGGGTAGTTGAGCGTCATTGCGTGCGCGCAGGCGGGCGGCGCGCGCCCTTGCGCCGCGGGGCGGCGCGGCGCGGGGCGGTGGGTGTCGGGGCCGAGGTCCCCTGGGGCGGGAACAGGGGGCGTGAGCGCGGGGCGCGGCGGGCCTCATTGGGCGCAGCGAGGCGCAGCCGATGCATGTCACGGTCGTCGCGACGCAAGTACGACGACAGGTAGAGGCTGGGTGCGCCCAGCGCAGCGCATTTCGCGACCTTCACAGCGTTCGAGGTCACACGAGGGAATTTCGACGTCCGTCGGGGCCGACAGCCTAGGCACGCGTCTGGGGGTTCAAGGTGAGGCGAACGTCCCGTGTCGCCGAGAATAAACGCGCGCCGCCGCGCGAGCGGGCCCCGGAGCGCACGACCTTGTAGTGCGCTGCTTCGCGGCTCCGCCGGGCGCCGACGGGGCTCCGGCGCGCCGCGCTGTCCGGGCGGTTCGCCGTTTTCGCACATTTCGCCCGCGTTCGCACGATACATCTGCAGCGCCACCCGCGCACGGCCGCACCGCCGGGCCATGAGGCACCATATGTCTCGCGCGCTGCGTGCGCGTCGGAGGCGCGCCCGCGCGCCCCCGGCCGGCTGCATTTTCCGCGCATCGTGCGCAGAAGGCCGCGCCCGGGCTCTTTCCCCGCCAGCCCGCCCGGCGCGAAAATGGCCACTCGGTCACGGAAAGCCCGCGGCCACGGTCCCCGCGCGCGCCCTCCCCTCGATCACCCGCCCACCGCGCCCCCGCCGCCCCCTCCCATTACCGCAGGCCCCCTCGGCGACGCCCACCGACTCCCCGCGACCCCTCGCGGCACACCGAGCCCCCACCAGGACCCACGCATTTGCCTCTCGAGGCCGCACACCGCCCGCAGGGACCGCCGCGACCCCACGCCGGGCGCTCCGCGGCCACACACCCTTCTCAGGGCCCCGCATACCGCGCATCGGCACCCATGCACACGCTCTCGCAGCCCGTGCGGATACCCTCCAGCCAAGGTTTGCGCGGCAGCTTCGACAGCACGGGGCGCTCGCTCGCGCGCTCCCCGCTCGACAACCCCGCCGCGCGGGCCTCGCAGTCCTCCGCGCAGCAGCTCCTCACGTCGGACGTCATCGGTGCGCCCCCCGCCGCGCCGCCGCGATCGCCACACGCCCTCGCGCCGCCCCAGGATTCGGGGCCCCCGCGCGGCGCGGTGCGGCCGTGCCGCGGGGTCGACGCGCGCGGCCCCGCGCGCTGCGCGTCGCCCCGTGTCGCCCGCGGCCGCGCCGCGCCTCGCTCACGCCGCCGCGCGACGCACCCGGGCGCCGTGCCCCCAACCACCCGCCCCCGTTGGAGTGCCGCCCGTTCCGGCGGGCCGACGCGCTCCCCGCCCGCCCCGACGCCGCGCAGGCACAGATGGCGGGTCCATGAACGCGGCGTCCTCGATGGGCGGCCGGAGGATCAGCGGGGGGCCGTCGTCGAGGAGCGCAGGGCGGCACGCGAGACTCGCAACGTCGCCGCACTTCGTGCAGCAGATCGGATTCGACGACGAGACCGTCGCCGCGCAGCAGCGGCCCGTGGGCTCCGTGACGCCCGTGCGGCGGCGCTACTCGAGGGTGCGCGCGCCCCCCCCGGCGCGCCCGTGCGTTACAGCTGGCGGTCAACCTGCTCCTCGCGGCGACCCCCACGCGCGTATCTCGCCGAGCCCGCGCGCCCGCGTGACCGCTCGTTCGCTCCTCTGCACGCAGGACTCCGTCGGCAGCGTAGGCGCGTCGACCTCCGCCGCAAAGCCGCCCCGCCCAGCGCTGCCGCTCGCCAAGGCGCCCGCGACCATCGCGGACCCCGTGCCGTCGCACGAGCTCCTGCGCATCACCGTCGTCAGCGAGGGCGAGGGCGAGGACGGCAGCGGCGTGCTCGGGAACTCCGCCCACGGCCCCGCGGACGCCGCGTCGGCGCCGCCGGACCTCGCGCCCGCGCCCGCCCGCCCCGCCGGCGGCAGCGGCGCCGCGGCCGCGATGGCCGCGATCATGGCGCTCGGCGAGAGCCGCCACCCGGTCCTCGCGACGCAGTCCGTCCGGCAGGCCTTCCAGGCCGTGGTCAGTGCCGCGTCGACAACGGACGTCTCTTCCGCGGCGAGCACGGGCCTCGACGTCGCGTGCATCCTCGCGGACCTCGGCCTGCCCGAACACATCATCGTCGCGGGCGTCCTCGCGGCCGCCGAGCTCCCCGCGGACATCGCCCGCGACAGGCTGCCGGCCAGCATCAGCCGTCTCGCGGTGCCGATCGCGGTCGGCGCGCGCAAGATGGGCGCCGTGCTCGACCTGGCCGGCAAGCCGCTCGAGGCCATGTCCGCGGGCGAGGTCGACGACTTCCGCGCGATGCTGCTGTCGATGGCGGACGTGCGCGCGCTCACCGTGCGGCTGTCGCTGTCGCTGTGCGAGCTGCGCCACGCGGCCGCGGCGGCCGCGGCGGGCGACCCCGAGGCGCGCGAGGCCGCGGAGGCCATGGCGCGCGGCGTCGACGCGGCGCTCGTGCCGCTCGCGTCGCGCCTCGGCCTCTCGTCGCTCAAAGCACAGCTCGAGGATCTGTGCTTCGAGGTCCTGCGCCCCAGCGAGCACGCGTGGATCGTGCGCGAGCTCGCGGCGCTCGAGTCGGCGGGCGGCGCGACGGACGACGTGCAGGGCGTGCTCGACGAGCTCCAGGGCGCGCTCGGGGCCGGCGCCGGCGCCGACGGCGACGGCGTGCAGGTGGTGGAGCTCACCGGGCGCGCCAAGTCGCTCGCGGGGATCCACCGGAAGCTCGTCAAGATGGGCGCGGGCGCGAGCGTGTCGGACGTGCACGACGCGCGCGCGGTGCGCATCGTCGTCGGAACCAAGGTCGACTGCTACCGCGCACTGCGGCAGGTCGAGCGCATGTTCGCCACGGTGCCGGGGCGCACGAAGGACTACATCCGCGCGCCGAAGGCGAACGGATACCGCTCGCTGCACACGGTGATCGAGACGCCCGGCGGCGTTCCGCTCGAGATCCAGATCCGCACGCGCGACATGCATCTCGTGGCGGAGTACGGGGTGGCGGCGCACTGGCGGTACAAGGAGGGGCTGGCGCGGGACGAGGCCGGCGCGCACGTGGAGAGCCTTGTCGGGTTCTCGCGGTACCTCCTGACGTGGGAGTACCACCTCCGGGACGGCGGCAAGCACCGCCCGAGCGGGGGGAGTGCGGGGGGGGCTCCCGCGTCGGACGGCGCGGGGCCGTGCGCGTCCGCGGCGTGCGGACCGCACCTCGAGTGCGTGTTCCCGCACCACGGCGAGCGCTGCAACTTCCGCGACGAGCGCTTCTGCGGCCACCTGTCGGACCTGCGCGAGCACGCGGCGGGTCGCTCCGGGCCCGTGATGTTCGTCGCCGTCGACCCGGCGAACCCCGCGAGCATGTCGATCTGCCGCGCGCAGCCCCGCGCGTCCGTCGCGGACGCCCTCGCGGCCTCGAACGCCCCCGCGGCGCTGCGCGAAGCGCAGGCGCTCGTCGTGAACGGCGCCCTGTGCGTCGACCCGGCGGCGGCGACGATCGGCCCCGGCGACGTCGTCGAGGTCGCGCCCGAGGGCGCCGTGGTCGGCATCCCGCACGACGGCGGGTTCGCGGTCCGGCAGGACCCCGGCGCGGAGTGGCACCCCCACTCCAGCACGGCGTCGATCCCGGTGAGCGAGGCGGCGGCTGCGGGGCTCGTGGGCGGCGTGGGGCGTGCGCGGCGCGAGGCGTCGTTCGCGGACCTGCCGCTGTCGTTCAGCCAGCGCAGCTTGGGGGGCTTCGGGGCGTTTTGCGTCGACTCCCCCTCGGCGCTTGTCGACAGGGACCCGCTGCTGCGGGACCGCCCGAACGTGCGTCCGCCGCCGACGATCGATTCCTCGGTGCCGCTCGGGAGCGCGGACCGCGGGATGCCGCCGCGACCGCGGCAGTGCTCGAGCGGGGGACTCTCCCTGTCGCTGTCGGGCGGGGGCGCGCCCCCGCCGCCCGCGGTCGTCGTCGGCAGCCTCGGCGGCGACGGCGACGCGCAGGGCCCCGCGCGCACGAGCCTCGGCAGCTTCGGCAGCCGCGGCGGCGCCGTCGACCACACCAACGGCCCGCACAGCCCCACGGCGGGGGGCAAGATGGAACCGCAGACGGTCATCATGGGCTTCACGTGCGGCGCCGGGACGACGGACGACGTCACGGAGGCGCTCGAGGGCCTCCTGGGCGCGTCCGTGGCGGAGCGCGAGCCCGCGCACGTCGACGCGTGAGGCCGTCGTCACACGAGGACCCTTGCCGTCTGCGTTGCTGCTCGTTAGAACCCCCTCCCGTTTCCCCCCGACCCGGCGCCCGGCCTCCTTGACCTCGCGTCCCCCAGCGCGTTCGCGATCGCTTGAGCCAGCGAGCGCAGTTGTGGGCGGATGGGTTTTTCAGACCTGGCTCCCTTTCTCTCAGAGGGAACAAATCGTCTCCTCTCGACGACTGCATCCTAGTATTCTACACGTGGCCCGCTTGCATCCTCCGGAGGCGGCCGCCCGCGCGCCCGACTACATAGCGCGCGGGTGCGCCCCTCCCGGGCACGCCCACCCCCCACTAGCACGTACACTCTACACTCAGTTCCACTTTCTGATATGTTCGGAACAAACAAACTTCGAAAGCATATCTGTCGTGACCGAAGCCAAATGACCTACATACGTGGCTTCACACAGGCGCCCCGCGCCCGTCCACAGAATCCTTTCGCGCGGCGCCCGCCACCCGGGGTCAGACCCCGCGGTGCCGCATGCAGCCGAGAGCACGCACACACGCGTCGCCCTGCAGCACGGGGGGCGCGTGTCGACGCGTGCACACTTGCGCGACCGCTGTGACACTTCCAGTCCGACGCCCCCGTTGCGCTCGGCCAGGCGGGTCCACCGCGAATCGAGTCCCAGCTTCTCGCCTTGATCACGTCTCGCAGCGCACACTGAAACAAGAACAAGACACAGCACTGGCAGCAGGTTTGACGACGATGGAATCCCAACCCCCCCCTCGGAAAGTCAGTCGTGGCGCGTCCTGCTCACAGGCCATGCCGAAGCGAGTGCGCTGGCACGACACCACGTTCCTCAGGACGCCGCTCACAACGCCCGCGCTGTTTGCAAGAGCGCGGGTCATCACTGTGTGCGCGCAGCCCTGCTGCTCTACAGGCTCGACAGCGTCCAGGCGCCGGCCGCGACGGGCTCCTCGCTCGCCTCCTCGCCCTCGCTCTCGTCCGTCTTGTCCGCGCCGATCACCAGCAGGTCCGCGTGGTAGTCCCGCAGGCTCGGCCGGTGCCCCACCGACACAAACGTCACGCCACGCTCCCGCAGCTCCGCGTACATCCGCGCCTCGTTCGCGGGGTCCAGCGCCGACGTCGACTCGTCCATCAGCACCAGGCTCGGCCGCGCGAGGATGATCCGCGCGAACGCGAGCCTCTGCTGCTCGCCCAACGAAAGCATGCTGCTCCAGTCCTCCCGGGCGGCGAGCGCGGCCGCCGCGGCAGCCTCGCCCTCCGCGCCGCCGCCGTGCCGGTCGATCAGCTTCTCGAGCCCCACGACGCGCAGCGCCTCGACGAGCTCGCCGTCCGACGGCGGAGGCGTCGCAAAGCTGTCGGCTGCATCCGCTGCGGCCCCGTCGCCGCCGATCGAGGCCGGCTGGCCGAGCAGCTCGGCCTCCTGCTCGGGCACGGCGTCCCAGACGGGGTACAGCAGCTGGTCGCGCAGGCTGCCGAGGACGAGGTACGGTTTCTGCGGGACAAACATCACGCCGCCGGCGCCGCCGGTCCCCGCGCGAACGAGCTTTCCGTAGACGTCGACGTCGCCGGAGCCCTGCGTCCAGAGGCCCGCGAGGGCGCGGAGGAGCGAGGTCTTCCCCGCGCCGGAGGGTCCCATGACGAGCAGCGGGCGGTCGCGCTGCACCTCGAAGGAGAGGTCTCTCATCAAGACCCCCCCCCGCGGCCCCGGCGCGGCGAGGCTCAGGTCCGAGACGCGGAGCAGGACGTCGCCGGTGGCGCCGTCGGCGTGCTCGTTCACGGAGACGCCGCCCTTGAACGCGGCGTCGCCCGCGACGTCCGGGTCCTTCTTTGACGCCCCCCCCTCGTCGTCGAGGGCCTCGGTGAACTCCCCCAGGCGGTCAATCACGGCCGAGAAGCCCGCGAGCGCCTCGAGCTGGTACACGATCAGCGACACGTCGTTCAGGATGTGCGAGAACGCGGACGACGACTGGTTGATGACTCCGAATTCGATTTCGCCGCGGAAGTACAAAGGAGAGACGACTGCCGCGGGGAGGAGGATGATGAGGTACTTGTAGAACGACGTGAAGAACGAGAGGTTCCGCGAGGTGCCGAGGAGCTTGAGCAGGTTGTCGAGCGCGCGGCCGAGGCGCGCTTTGAGGAGGTCGCCCTCGACGCGCTCGCCGCCGTAAAAGGCGACGGACTCGGCGTTTTCGCGGACGCGGACGAGGCCGTAGCGGAGGTCGGCCTCGCGGGTCTCTTGCAGGAAGTTGAGGCCGACGAGCGGGCGGCCGAGGTAGAGCGAGAGGCCGGTGCCGCCGAGGGAGTAGGCGATGAGGGCCACGAAGAGCGGGGGATAGATCGAGAAAAGGATGGATGAGAAGGACACGAGGTCGGTGACTGAGTTGAGGAGGACGAGGAAGAGCGCGAGGGAGGTCTCGGTGAGGGACGCGACGTCCGACGTCAGCCGCTGGTCCGGGTTGTCGACCAGGTTGTTCTGTTGGATCTTGTAATAGGAACGGTCGTCTAGGTACTTGTCCAACAGGTGGTTGGTCTCCCACCGCCGCCAGTCGAGCGCGAGCTTGCCCTGGAAGTAGTCCTTGAACACGAACACCGGAATGCCCACCCCGAAACCTGCACAGCGCGAAACACACACCAAGAACATCCACCTTCATTTCATCCATCAAATACCAGTCAGTCAGACGAAACAGCGCGTCCGTCTCGTTCGCTAGGCAGCCCGCAGCTGCCGCAGCTCCTCCGCGTCGCACCTGCCAGGTACAACACGAGCTGGTGGTAGAACTTGTCCACGTCCTTTGTAGACAGCGCATTGAAGAAGTCGCGGCCGAGGAAGTTGAACGCCACCGACACGCCCGTCGTCGCCAGCGTGAGCGCGACGACGCCGGCGAGCTTCAGCCGCGCCTCCTTCGCCGACTGCGCGCATCGGACGCCACGAACGCAGCCGGGACGTGGACGGGTGCCCGCCATGCAACACAGATAAGCCGCTTTCCGTCCGTTCACGCGGCTGACAGTCAGACAGCGCATTACTCGAGGGTAGTTCGTGGTCGTACCGAGGGATCGGTGAAGTACGGGAGCACGAGCTTGCGCAGGCGCGCCAGGATGACCCGGAGATCCGTCGAAGGCCCCTCCCTCTTGCCCCCGCTGCCGCTCGAGGATCCGTTCGCCTGCTTGGGGGGCGTCATCTCCTTCGTTGCGTCCTCAGAGGACGCAAACACGCGGGCATCGCGTCGTTGGAGCCCGCGCGGCCGGACCGCGCCGTGAGGCAGCCCGGGCTTGCCCAGGCGCGCGGTCGCGGCCCGCGCAGCCGCGGGGCGGCGAGCGGGGCGCGCGGCCGCAGCCGCCAAGGGCGACCGACGCACGCTGCGCTGCATTTCGATCGAACAAACTGCGGCGCGAGCGCCTGCCTGTCGTCGCACGCCGTGAGAGCCCTGCCGGCAAGGTGTCCGCCTGCAGGAGCGCGCGAAGGGTGCTGTGGCCGGGAGAAGCGCGCCGTCGGTAGACCAGGCCGGTATGCTGCTCCGGATGGATGCGAGGGCGGCGAGCGGGGGGCGTCGAGCGCCGCAGCGGACTCCTCTCCGTTCCTTGGCTGAGAGCGAGAAGGGGCGCTCCTGACAGACCAGCGGAATGAATATGAGGGAAAGCGCGTCGAGCAGCGACTACGCACAGTCACGAAAAATCCCGGCCCGTAGAGCGCACTGTTGGGGCCCTCCACGGAGTCAGGCGCGTGGTAGAACGTGGCAGGGAGGGGGAGACGTCAGCGGGCGGGGGCGGCGGCCGCCGTGGTTGCGGTGCGGCCCGCGCGCCATGCACACTATCCTCCGCCCGTTCCGCCGAAGCAAGCTCCCGCGGAAGCGTTCCCGCGACCTCCCGGGACTCGTTGGCGTTGCTGCGTCGTCTACAGCGCGCCTGAGCGCATGCTGACGGCTCCGGTGCGTTCGCGGGCCAGTCACAGCGGATCCTCCAGGAAGCTCCTGTCTTTCGCGACGCCCCGCGCTGCGCAGTCGCGCCGTCCGGCTGCGGCAATGGCAACTCAGAGCGAGCATGCATCCCTGGCGCCGCTGGCGGCGGGCGGCGCGAGGATCATCCTCGGCACGAGCAGCAGGTTCAGGAGGAGGGTGTTCGACGAGCTGTGCGAGCAGGTGCGCGGGGCCGCGCTTCCGTGGATTCTCGACCGCCTGTTGCGCACCCACTTTGGTCGACGCAGAAGCCGCGATCACGCACTCCAGCGCACGCCGCACCCGATTCCAAGATAGCCCACATCTTAACCATGCGATCGAGGCCGGAATCGTCCACGATGCTGTCGGCATTCCGCGCATTCTGCGTGTTGCCAACGGGTCGGGTGGTTGCCCAGTCGGCCGAGGTTCTGCGTGCGGTGCGGCGCCCGCAGACGCCCGGGCTGAAGTACGAGGTCCAGACTGCCGACATCGACGAGAAGGCGATCCGCCGGCCCCACCCCGCGGACCTCGTCGCCGTCCTGGCCGAGGCAAAAGCCGATGCGATACTTAAGAAGATGGCCGCGGCCGGGAGCGACACGACGACGGGGCTGCTGGTCACGTGCGACCAGGTCGTGACGTACAAGGGCGAGATCAGGTGCGCCGGGGCCGGGCACGCGCGCGCCGCGCGCGCAACGCCGCACAGCCTCGGGCGTTTGTACGCTGTTCGGGCCGCGCTGAGCGAACCGTGCGCGCAACGGCGGGTGCTCGCGCAGGGAGAAGCCCGAGTCCGAGGCGCAGCTCAAGGGGTGGGTGAAGGAGTACTCCGCCGCGCCCGTCGGCACGACCAGCAGTGTGCGCGTGGCGAATCTGGCCACTGGGAAAGTGGCGGCGGGCGTGGACGTGACGGAGGTGCACTTCGACGCGATTCCCGAGGCGGACGTGGACGCGATGATCCAGGAGGGCGACGTGCTGTGGTGCGCGGGGGGACTCATGTTGGAACATCCCCGGGTGACGCCGCACTGCACGAAGCTCGTGGGCACGATGGACAGCGTCATGGGGCTGCCGAAGGCGCTGCTCTGCAAGCTCCTGCTCGAGGCCGCGCACTGACGCTGTAGCGCAGGACGGCGACCGGCCACGCAGTGCCCGGCGGTGTGCGTGCTGTGTGCGACGTGTGATCGCCGGCCAGGAGGGTTCCGATCCCGCGTACTAGCGTTTGGTTTTGGGCTCAGCGCGGAGAGCGAGGTACAGAGAGGTCGGTTGTTGTGGCCGGAGAGCTGGAATTCTTGCGGGTCCGCGCAGGGCGACGAGCGAACGAAACACAAGTTGATCTTTTGGCCCCTCGGGCGGAATGCCGAGGGGCACACGCGTGACATCGGCTGCACGCACGCACTGAGTTCACCGCGACCGCCTCGGCCGCGTCGGGCGCGAAATGGCGCCGCAGAAGCGGCGCTACGAGCCGCTGCATGAGCAGAGGGAGCTCGCGGAGGTCTCACGGAGGTTCCGCGCGACGCTGGAGGAGCGCAAGAGGACCGGTGAGAGAGGTGAATGCGAGGGCGTGCGGGACTCGGCAGTGCCGTACAGCAGCCCGGTGCTAGAGCGGCCCTTTCCCTGGGAGATCCCAGACCCCGCGCAGGCGCGCCTGGCCGCCGAGCTGGCCGCTCAGCGCAGCATTCTCAGGGAGGCCGAGCCCCTGCATCGCCGGTCCCGCGCCAAGCCGGATAAGCCGCAGGCGACGGCGCCAACGCCGGAGGCTGCCGGCCCGCCAGGTGCGAGCAGCCCGTGCGCGCACACGAGTCTGACTGCGCTCCATTCCGCGCCTCGAGCGTCCCGCCCGAACGAGCCGTCAGCAGTGCGTAAGCCCGCGCCGACCTTGACGTCAGAACGCCCGAGTCGCGCTCTGCAGGGGTCAAGGAGGACGACGACGCAGTTGCTGTTTGTGTCCGGGAGTTGCAGCGTCGGCTGGCCGCGACGAAGGTCACGGACGCGTCGGACGTCTCGGACAGCGACGACGGGGACGCGAGCAGCGACGGGGGCGACGCGTTCGCGGACCCCGCGGGACGAGGGACCAATCATGGTTTGCCAACTGCGGATGACTTGGCGCACCTATCGGACGAGGACCTGCAAGACTACGCCGAGCGAGCGGGCGCAGCGGGGGCCCGCTGCCTCGAGCTGCTCGCAGGTCCGCCGGCGCCCGCCTCGCCCGCGCCCCAGCGCACGCGACGCACGTCTTCGAATCTCGTCTCGCGTTCACACGCCGCCTCTCGACTGCCCACCGCGCCCGCCCCCGCGCCCCCGCCCCCCGCAGCGGCCCTCAGCGCCAGCCGCCGCATCCTCGGCGACGCCGCCGACGCCCCCGCCGCCACCGCGCGATCGCTGCTGCGACCAGCGCGGCCCGACGCTGGGCAGGTCAGTGCGCACGCTGCGGGCGGCGGCCGGGCGACCGCGGGCGACCGCGCGGCGCACGCGGCCGTGGGCCGCCACCTGCGCGCGTGCGGGGCCGAGCTGTCCGCGGGGGGATTCGAGGACGAGGCGTGGAGCGACAAATACCAAACGGTGACTTCCCAGGGCGTGGATCAAATACTGGCGCGCGGGGGCGGCGCGTGGCCGCCGAACGACGCGCTCGCGGAGGTCGCCGCGTTCTTCGGCGCGCCGCACAAGGACGACCTGGAGCGCCACGTGCGGCGCGGGCGCGTGGACCACGCTGTCGAGGCATACGGCCGCTTGCAGGCTGCGCGCGCCCGGCTGCTCAGCACGCTGTGAGATGTGTGTAGACGTGGGTGCCTGACGAGCGCGCTTCGAGCGTCTTGCCTCGCGGGAATGCGCGAGCGGGGGCGCCGCAGGGGTGCCGGGGGCGAGCGTGCTGACCTCAGCGCGTGCACGGCTTGTGGTCCCCTCTGGCGCCGTGGTTGGGAGGTACAATGGACCGAACGTGGGCGCGATAGCTCTCAGATCGACACGCAGTGCTTGAGAATCCCAATTGAGCCAGAAACAAGGGCTGTGTTGCGAGAACGCGGTGACTGCCACAGGCATCTGTGGCACCACCGGGCCCCGCCGGCCACACGCGGGCTATACGGGCCCGTCAAGCGCCGTCCCGCACGAACTCGCACGTCTGCGCTCTCTCGGCGTGCTCGCCAGCCGTTCCCAACCGTCGCAGCCGGCGGTCGCGCGCAACACCAGCGCTCTCACAAGCTCGGCGTCCGGGGGGCCTTCCCGGCCCGCGGGCTCGCCTCACAGCGGCTGACTGCGCCAGTGAGGAGGTTGGTGGCCTGGGAGGCGCGATGGACAGCTCGTCCGAGCCGGCTGCAGCTGAGCTGCGCTTCTCTAGTGCATCTGTGCCCCTGGACCTGACGGACAGCGGCCCGGGGGGCGCCGGCGCGGGCATGATCGCGTCGCCGCTGCGAGAGGTGAACAGCGTCGACACGGAGAAGCTCACGACGGGGCCGCTCCGCGCGCCCGCGCCACTGAGTCCTATACGCTCTGGTGTGCTCGTCGACTCCATCGATAGCCGGGAACAGTCGCCGAATTCAGTGACCCGAGAGAGACAGGTGGGCAGGCACTGCGCAACGCGACGAATTCCTCCTGGAATGGCCGCAGCCGCGCCGCTGTGCTAACTGCCTGCTTCCAGCAACAGTCCAGCTCACGGCTGGTCGGACTGAGGCTGCACGCGCCGCTTCTGTCAAAATATCGACGCACGAGTACTGCAATACGCTGTCGAGACCGCGGGATCCTTCGTTCGTTCCGCACCCGCGCCGAGCGGGCGCCACAGCTGCACGCACACCACGAGGCATCCCCCCGCGCTGCTGACGCAGATCGAGGAGGTCGTCGACAGACGCATGCACGAGCACCTCGCCATGATGGCCTCGACGGTCTATCCGACGCCCGCGGACCTCACCGCCGCGCTCGCGCACCAGCGGATGCTCTCTGGCGGCGCCCCCCACCAGGCCTCCGCGCACGTCAGCCTGTCGAGCGGACCGTCCCACCGCACGGAGTTCTCGACGAAGGAGATCGTGCAGCTCGTCAACGACTACGAACTCGCCCAGTGCTCTCTCGACAGCTACTTCGGCCTCCCAGGTACCACCCACTGCCCCTCCGCGCCCCGGGCCGCACTCCGCGAAACTTCCCCCTTTCTCCCGTAATTCTGCCTTCTCAGTCCCTATACACCGCTTATTCGCAACCTCGCCGCCGCTTAGCGCGAACACGCCGCCGCAAGCGGCGGTCAACCCTTGGGGAGATCCTGGCCGCGGGCGCAGGGTCGAGCGTCGCCAAGGTCGGAGGGATCCACGGCCCGGCGGTGGAGATGGACCGGTACGGCGAGGTCTTCGAGGACGACCGGCTCGGCATCCGGTGCTGCGTGTACGCCCGGCGCAACGTGCGGCGTCTGCTCGGGTCCGGGAAATCGCTCTCCGCGATGGTGTTCGCGTTCCGGGGCACCGACGGCGGGCAGGGCCGCGACCTCATCGTCAAGAACATCGCCGCGGACTGGCGGCTGTTCCAGGCGCGCCCCGGGACGCCTGCGCTGCCCTTGCGTGTCGCGGGGCGCCGGCGGCTCGGCGCTGCGCGCCGTGCGTGGTTCAGGCGCGCAGAGCGGGCCGCGGCTGTGCGCGGGCGCGCGCGCTCGCGGGCGCGTCGCGCCAGTCGCGTGCTGGTATGTCGAGCGTGGAAGATCACTCGAGGTTTCTCGACTCGCGTTCGCAGGACCCAGACAAGGAGATCCTGGTCGAGAAGTCCGCGCGGCTGTTCGTGCAGTCCCGCATGCGCGAGGCCGAGGCGCTGTACCCCCTGGAGGAGTGGGTGTTTTATACCTGCGGACACTCCCTGGGGGGCTTCCTCGCGTGCTCGTGCGCGGTGCAGATCCCGCGCGTGGACCGCTGCGTCTCCTTCGAGTCCCCCGGCGCCACGACGTTCCTCCTCGAGACGGCCCTGCGCCGCTGGGAGGGCCACTACCAGCACTTTGGGCACTCGTATGCCACGGGGTCGGACACGTTCGCGGCGTTCTGGGAGAACAAGGTGACGAACTACGTCGCGGCGCCGAACCTCGTCAACACGTGCCTGCCGCACCTGGGCGAGGTGGTCAGGTGCGCACCACCGCGAACGAGGGGGGTGATGCTCTACACGCCCCCCGTGCGCCCGCCCCGTCGAGCACGTCAGCGCCGAATGCACGCGACACAACTGCCTCAAATACACCAGCGGTCGTGCTGGCTGCGCGCGAAACGGCCCCGTCGCTCCCACGTGTTGTGTTGTTGTTGTTGTTGCAGGGTCAAGTTTCCGGAGCACCGTCGGCGGCAGAAGTCGGCGCTCCGGCACGCGATATCCTGCGTGCTCGCGACGGTCTCGCGCGGCCTGTCGTGGATGGCCATGTGGCAAACGACGTCCGCGATCGCCTCTTACATTCATCTCCGCAAGGAGGTCAAGCGCGCGAAGCGGGCGAAGCGGAACATCGCGCGCTGGGACGTGATCGGGAAGTTCATGACGGAGCGCGAGGAGAAGCACGTGCAGGGGCTCATGGCGGGCTCGATCCTCGGCGCGATCATGTCGGGCCTGCTGTCGGGGAGCCTGGCGGTGTATTACCTGCTGGGGAGGGGACTGTCGACGGTGCGGAACACGGGGTACACGCACGACCTCGGGCTGATGATCCAGGCGTTCGACGCGAAGCGGGGCGTCCCGAAGCACTCCGTGCTCATGCAGGCGCGTTCCCTGCCCTCTGTACTGGTTTGGTGTGTGGTTATCGGGGAAATGAAATGAAACGACAGTCTTATTTCCATGTCTGACTTCCCCTCCGTGCAGTCCTGGCCGGACCTGCGCAGCATGGCCGGCAACGGCCGCATCTGGCGCATGCTCCGCTCGCTCCTGACCGAGGCCGTCGTGCCCATGGCGCCCACGAGCGCCGGCCTGCACAACCTCGGCCGGCAAGAGCGCATGATGGAGGCCCGCATCAAGACGATTCCGGGGTACATCGAGCACGGCGTGGGGCAGAAGCGCATCATGTCCGGGTACGGCATCTCGACGAACGCGTACTCGAACCAGAGCGCCGCGCGGCTGGCGCGGCTGTCGGAGGGCACGCGGGGGAGCAAGCACCGCCGCGCTGCGTCAGGGTTCCTGAACCAGCTCAACCCGTGGTCGGGCGCGTGAGGCCGCCGCGCGGCGGGCGCCGGCGCTGCGTGTACATATGGCGCCGTGGGCGCCCGCTGCGGAGCGGATTCGGGCCTCGAGGACCGCGGCAGCGTCGCAAGGCATGCTTTCCTCGCTGCCGCGTCCTTGTGAAGTCTGAGCTCGCGCGCGGCTCACACGTCTCGTCCCCGCCCTTCCCGTCCACGCGCAAAGAACAACGCTGCCCTTCTGATTCCCTCTGGGTCGTCCGTGACGTCGCGCCGCGTCGGCGTCGGCTCGCAGTTCCACGCTCACGCGCGGGGCTTGGGCTGCGCCTCCGTCGCCGCGACGTGCCGAATGTAGATCGTGTCCTGCGGGTGCTCCCTCTGCGAGCACGCAAGGGGGGGAGTATAGCGACTGAGTCGGACGACCGAGGCGGCTGCTGCGGTGCCGCGCTGCGCACAGCCGCGCGCAGCGCTCCTCGACAGCCAGTCGCGCGGATGGTGTGAAGCTCGAACATTGTTTGAGGCCTATTGTTGCTGTTGATGGTTGGGACTCACCGGGCCGCGCTCGTAGGTGTACGACGCCGCGACCGCGAGCAGCGACCCGTCGTGCGAGAAGTCGAGCGCCGCGATCGACGTCGGGAACTTCGGGAGCGCGAATATCCGCTTCTGGTTTATACCGTCCCAAATGTTGACGGCGCCGTCGCACCCGCCTGCACGCACCGCATCGCACAGCCGAGACGCGCGCTCACGCACACGCCTGCCGATCGCCACGCACCGCTGCACTACCTCCCACTCGCTGAGTCGCGCAAGAACACCAAACAAAGCGCCCGGCTGGTGTTCATGCCGCTGGTGCGCTGTTGTTGCAGCGGGTGGCTGTGGGCGGACCTGTGGCGAAGGTGCCGAACTGCGGGTGGAACGCGATGGCGTTGACGGGGTGCACGGTCGTCGTGCCGTCCGGGTGCTTCTCCCGGTGGCACTTGAAGACGAACCGTTTCCTCCCCTCTCCCTCTACAAAGTACTCGAACGACACCTTCCCCTCGACTGACCCCATAGCGAACCCCTGGGCGTCCGGGAACGCGGCGGCGCACCGCGTCTGCATCTTCATGCACGACGCGCGCTGCTGCTCCGGAGCGCCGCGCTCGATCGCGCCGGCGTCGAACACCCAGACGTGCAGGCCGGACGTGGCCACGACGATTTTACTCCCCCGGGGGTCCGTCGCCATGCTGAAGCACTTGCCCGGGAGCGCGACGTCGGTGCCGTCTTGCGGGAAGCCCCGCGCGAGGTCCCAGACCTGCGAGACGCGGCGCGGCGCTCGAAGACACTCGAAAGGAGTTGCAAGAACAAGAGACGAGAATTCTCGATTGCCGGCGGGACGCGAGGCCGCGACCGCGCGCCGGCCGCGGCGCGCCGCACCTTGAGCTTCCCGTTCCACCCGCCCGTCACCAGCATGTCCCGGCTGCGCAGAAACACGATGCCGCGCACCCCAGGCGGTCCTTGCGCCCCCTCCTGGGCCTGGTGCGACCCCACGTGCGTCGTCTGGCCCGTCTCCACGTCGTGCAGGCACACAGAGCCGTCCACATGCCCTGAAGGGAATCAGAGAGGGAGAGAAAGGCCGGTCCGGACCGGGAGAGGCCGAAAGCGAGGTGCTGGTGTCTGTTTCGCCGTCGTTCCGCGCGGAGATGGACCGAAACGGCCTCAACGCGACGCACGAGGGACGTGTGTGCAAGAGGGATGCAGTACCGGCGAGTGTGGGCCGCGAGCGGGCCGGGACTGCGCACCGGAGGCCACTTTGTGCGGGGCTCCCGCGAAGCAGCAGGACAGCGCAGGGCTGTCGTGCTGGAACTTGGCGAGCTCCGTGCGCGTCGAGGCGTCGTACACACGCACTGTCTGCACCACGGGGAGCGGCGGCGGGCCAGACGGTCGATCACGGGCGTGGCGGGCGCCCATTTTGCACTGCAGCAATGACGTGCGCAAGGACGCCTGCGAGCGCCGCCCTGGCTGGTCCGCGAGCCGCAATTCAAATGGCTGAGCCAGGCGGTCACGGTGTGGCCGGGACCGCGATTCGCGCCGCGCGCCAGCGCATGCATTGCGAGCAGGCCGCTTTTCGCCGCAAGAGCCGTGGGCGCACCCGGTCCCACGAGGCCACGACGAGGCGGTACGACGCGTCGTCGAACTTCAAGGCCGAGATGCCATCCTGCGGCCCGGACGGCAGCGGCTCTCCCAGGCCCTCGGCCATCTCCCGCGTCGCCCCAGTGCACGCTGAGCTCTGATGCGCTCGAAAGTCCCGTCCAGACGCCAAAGATAGATCTCGAACGATTCTCGTGGTAAGAAGACGTCCGTGACTTGCCAGCGCGCGCCTCGACGCGCCGCCAAGAGGCCTGCGCCGGGCTGTGCAGTGAGAGGAGGTGTCTCCAGGGGTGGTGTTTACGCGCTGTGGGGGTGTCTGACCCACGGTGCTGTGCCGGATCATCTCGTCTGGGTCTCTCGCTGCAAGTGCATGATTTCTGCAGCAGGGATCGGGTCGCGGGATCCACCGATCTAAGCGCGCGCGCCAGAAGGACATTCAAGTCTGGTTCTCACTCCTTCTTCTCGACCACACCGCGACGATCTCCCCGGCCCCCTCGCCCGCCGGCCGCGATGTCGCGCGCACCGCTCTGCGTCCTCCTCGCCCTCGCGTGCCTAGCAGGCAGCGCCCGGGCCGTGATGTCGCTCCAGGGCTGCCGTGACTTCCTGGAGGGCTTCAATATCGCGGAAACGCCTCTGAGCGTCCAGCTCCAGCTGCAAAGCTGCAGCCAAGGCACGCGCACGCATTCTGCGGTGGCACCCGACCGCCGCGCCGGCCTGTCCGCCGTCGGGTGCGGCCGGCGCTGCCGCTTTCCAACGTCGTGATACTGCATCGTCGTTTTCCGCGCAACGACCGGGGCGAATTCCTCTGATTCTGCCACGGGTGCCCTACCACTACAGCGATCCTCCTTCTTCGGCGTTCGTTGTGCACGATCACCCCCGTTGGAGCCCCTGAGGGTCGTGGTACGAATCGGTGCGTTGCAGGCTCGAGCGACTCTTGCTGCGAGGCGCTGCGCCTCATGTTCGAGGACCCGAGCCCGCTTCACGGCTGCTTCTGCCACAAGGTCCGCGCGCACCCACACGCACGCCGCGCCCGTCCCCAGACCGCCCGCTGAAAGAAAAACACCCCACGCGCCCCGGACGCCGACCGCAGGGCTTCGAGGACTCGGTGATCCGCAAGGTCCTGCAGAACCCGATCGGCATGCTGACGTCGTTCTACGAGCAGGGCCAGGGTTTCGTCATACCCATCTTCCAGGCCTCCCTGACTCAGTGCGGCATCGCGACGTACGCGGGCGCGCAGGAGGAGTGCGCGGAGCTCCTCGGGCGCGGGCGCTGACGGAGCCAGGCCCCGACGCGCGCAGTCAGGCGGCGCGCGACCTGTCTCGCTGCAGAGAGAACGACCACACACCGCGGCGACAACGTCAGCGGCAAATACCGACTCTGCAGCCCACGGCGCGCCGTGAGCACAGGTCGCAGCTGCGCCGCAGTGGGGTGAGGTGTGACATTCTTCGCGTCGTCAGCCATGAGGCTTTGGCACCTGAAACGATCATTCGACTGTGTGGCGCGTCATGCTAACCCCCCACCGTTATGGTAGCGACAGGTTCGGCAGCTGTGACAGAGTCAGCTTGTAGTGTGACCGGTCCAGCGACTCACCGCAAGACATCGCGTCGCCGCCCCGCGCGCTCGCGTCGCTGCTTCCCTGAGTCATGAGAGGGGGGGGGTTGCGTTGTCGCGGCGACAGACCGGCCGCGGGGGCCGCCGCGCACGTCGAGCGGGCGCCGCCGCGCATGGCGCCGCCACTCCGTTGTACCGGCGAGCTCGTCCACCACCGACCTGCGTTCGGAGGTTGTCCGCATGGCTGTGCGTGCACTCGCTGCTGCCTTGGCTGCTCCGTCCCGCAACGTTCGCGACCTCAACCGGCGCGCGTGCGCGCCCCGGATCCTCGCGTCGAGCTCACCGAAGCTCCCCGGCCCCGTAGCGCCGCTTTTCTCGTCTCCTGCGCCCGCGGTGCGGGGGAAGACCTCTGCCGTGATGGCGACCGGAAAGACCGCGATGGACGAGACGAAGAAGGGCGAGTTCGTGCGCACCGACAGCACGTTCCGGAACTTCATCGAGGCCGGCGGGAAGTTCGAGCCGGAAGCGGGTCTGTGCTCCCAGCGCCGCCTGTGTGCTGTGGCACACCAACACGCGCGACGACGCCGTGCGACACCGCGCTATCATGATGATTCACGCACCATTGCATTAAAACGGACGTACTTGATGGTTGTACGCGCAAACAGGCTCGTATATTTGACGGTGTACTGCTGTGTCGGCTGCTAACCTCACGAGCGGAAGCTCTCAGCTAATGCGGGCCAACACGGTCTGATATTGGCCAGTTCTTGGCGTGAACCGAGTCGCGATGCCTCACACGTGATATCTACCCCCAGACGCGCGGGCGGTTTGAGCCTCTGTCAGCATGACGTGCCTCCCCCGCGCATGTGTGTGTCGTGCCCGCAGGTCGCTACCACCTGTACGTGTCCTATGCGTGCCCGTGGGCGTGCCGCTGCCTGGCGGTGATGTACCTCAAGGGCCTCGAGGACGCGATCGGCTTCACCGTCGTGCACCCCATCTTCATGGTGCGCACAGCCGCCCACTGAGCCCACAGCGTGTGTATTTCCGCGAATTTCCCGACATCACGGGATCGCGCTATCCTACATTATGTGCTTGCACGATTGATATCACATTGAACATCCAAGAACTGCCATAGCATTGCATTTCAAGTGTCATGTCCGCATGTACCGCCCCTGTGTATGTGTATACACATCAAGTCACTCGTCTGATCGCTTCCTGGGCGCGCTCCGCCTCGCAGCCCACGAAGCCGGACAACCCGGACGACCGCCACGTCGGCTGGCACTTCGCGGCCCCGGGCGGGCCCGCCGTCTCGGGCCCGTCGGGCAACGGGTCCTTCACCTTTGACGACGTCTCCGAGGACCCAAACAACGGCGCTAAGACCGTGCGCGAGCTGTACGAGCTCACGGGCAACGACCCAGGTGCGGCTCCCCCTAGACCCCCGGACTGACGCAAGCCGTCCATGTGGTTGCCGGGTTCAAACAACAACGCGTGGCACGTAGCGTCGCGCTGCGTTGCGTGGCCGTTACGTCGCGTTGCTCCGCCGCGGGCGCAGGCAAGTACGTCGTGCCGGTGCTGTGGGACAAGAAGACGAAGACCATCGTGAACAACGAGTCCAGCGAGATCATCGTGATGCTGAACAGCGCGTTCGACGCGTCGGGCATTGCCAAGCACGCGGCCCTGGACCTCAACCCCGAGGCGCTCCGTCCGGCCATGGCCGCGGTCGACGACTGGATCTACAACTCCATCAACAACGGCGTCTACCGCTGCGGGTTCGCGACCACGCAGGAGGCGTACGAGCGCGCCGTGAACGAGCTGTTTGGCGCACTCGACCGCTGCGAGGAGCTGCTGAGCAAGCAGCGCTACCTGACGGGCGACACGCTCACTCTCTCGGACGTCCGGCTGTTCATGACGCTCATCCGGTTCGACCCCGTGTACGTCGTGCACTTCAAGTGCAACAAGAAGTTCATCCACCAGTTCCCGAACCTGTTCAATTATACCAAGGAGCTGTACCAGATCCCGGGGATCCGGAAGAGCGTCAACCTCGACCACATCAAGGCAAGCGCCCCGCCGCCTCGCGCACAGGAAGCGCACGCCCCGCGCAGCGCGTGCAACAATCATTCACCTGTTCTGAAAGTCTAGACTTGTTCGTTTATTACTACGTGATTGCAGAAGCACTACTTCGGGTCGCACGCGACGATCAACCCGCTGCACATCGTCCCCGTCGGGCCTGACATGAAGATGTACGACGAGCAGCACGACCGCGCCCGCCTCCCCGGCAAGCCGCTCGCTTAAGTGTCATTCCAGGCACACTGTCTCCCGCGGCTCACACCCCCGTTGCTCGTGGGGCTCGCCGTGGTCGGCGCGGGGCAGACACTGCTCTGTGTCTCGCGACGCGCCGCCGCCGCTGTGCGGTGCGTGCCCGGTCCCGGACGGCTTTGTAAGTAATATGCAACACCAAAGCGATTTCGTGGACAAAAATGAATCAGAAGGAACGAAGGAAGGCGAACCTCGCACGTTCTGAGGTCTCGCAAGCTCCCGACCCCCCTGGCTACGCCACCGCGGCCCCGCGCGACCGCTCAGGTCCTGTCCGCGGGCTATGTGCGCCTGGCGGTGACGCTCTTCGCCGCTGCGCGGGCCGCCCCTCTCGCCGCCGCAGCTCCTTGCCCTGCCCCGAAACCCCCTTCCGCTGCGCCGGCGCCGCGGCGCGCCGCAGCGCCTGCGCGACAGCGTCGTCGAGGGGGACTCCCAGGTCAGACAGAGCCCTGACACCCCCCCCGACCAGCCCCGGCATCGCCGGGTCCGCCGCCGCCCCGCCAGCGCACACCACCAGCCGCCGCGCCAGCAGCCCCACCGTCGGGTCGTCCTGCGGGAGCGCACGGCCCCACCGCTGCAGTGCCGCGAATCCCTGCAGCGCCCTGACGACGTCCCTGGCCGCGAGGACGTGCCCACACCGCACCAACGCGCGTGCGAGACCCTGCAGCACATCGTCCGCGCCGACCGCGAGGACGCTGCGGCGCCCCGCGGAATCGAGCGCCTCCCGAATGACCGTCCCAGCGCTGCCCGGGTTTATCGTCGTCGGGCCGTCGAGACCGAGCGCCTGCCGCGCGCGCTGCATCGCTCCAGTCGCGCACGGCTGCCGCGGCGCGTCCGCACCGGGCGCGCCCGCGCCGTCGGTCGACGGCTCCGCAGCCAGCGGGTCAGAAGCACACTGCGCTGCGACGCCCAAAGCGACCGCTGCTGCGCGTGCGCGCACCGCGGCGTTCGCGCCGTGCGCGCTCGCGTTGCTCCACGCGCCGAACGCCGCGACGCGCGCCGCCGGGGGGTCCGCCGCCGTCCTCCGCGCGAGCTGCGCACACAGCTGCGCGTCCGCGCGGAGCCCCGCGTCCGCCAGCAGCTGCACGCAGCGCGCGAGGTCCTCGAGCTGCATCTCGCGCCACGCCGCGGACACCGCCGCGCCGAGCGCGCGCAGCGCCGCGCCGTCCAGCCGGGGAAACTCCCCCCCGCCTCCCCTGCCGCGCACCGTTCCGCGCAGGGCCGCGTACGCCGCGACGGTCCGCGCGAGGAGCCCCGGCGACGGCTGCTCGACGCCGGTCCGCCACGTCTCGCGCGCCGCCAGCGCCTCGGACAGCAGCAGCGCCACCTGGCGCACCTCCCAGGAGCGCGCCGCGTGGGCCGGGACGGCCGCCCCGGCCGCGACCGCGCGGCACGCCGCGCGCGGGGACACGACGCGTCCGCTGCTGCCGCCGTCGATCAGCGGCCGCACCATGGCGTCCATCAGCGCGGACAGCGTTTGTCGCGTGGCGATGCAGTGCGCGGGCTGGCCGGCGCGCATGGCCGAGAGGGCGGAGATGGCCGCGGCGGCGTCGTCGGGCGACATCGCGAGCGCTTCGCTGCGCGTGCGCTCGCTCAGCGCGGCGAGGAGGGCGCGCGGGGGGGGGTCCGTGCCCCGCCCGCGGGTGCGCGACAGCGCGCTGAGCAGCCGCGCGGCGTCCGGGCCGGTCAGCGCGCCCGCGTCGCGGCGGAGCGCGACCGGCGCGAGCGCGGCGTGCATTGCCGCGGTGATCGGCTGTCCTATCAGCGCCCAGAGCTCAACCGCGCGCGCAACGTCAGCTGCGGCGGCGCCTCCTGCGGGGCACGGAGGACGGAGGGAGGTTTGCGTGGTGGCTTGCGGCCAGGACTGCGTGTCGTTGATGGCGCGGGCCGGAGGTGCTGGACGTGCCTGGCTGTGCGGACAGGACCGCGACGAGCTGCTGTCCTATGTCGGAGAGGACGTCTGTGGCAGGCCTGGCGCCCGCGACGTAGATTGCGTGCAGCACGGTCGTCAGGGCGTGGAGGCTGAGCTGCGGCACTGCCGAATGGAGAAGTGGAGGGTCCGTGCTCCGCAACAGCGGCCGCGCCGCGGCTTCGAGCGCCATGCGTGTGTACTTTGTCCGGTGGACGTCCGACTTGAGGGCGAGGGCGAGCTGGAGAGACCCGATCAGAGCCCTGGTTGACGCCGTCGGTCTTGGAGAAGACACTTCGTGGCGCTCACGGCTCGTGGGGCCCTCATTTCCCTCAGGCGAGCGCGCTTGCGCCGAGATATGGAAGTAACGGGCTGCGACGGCGCCTCTGATGTCCGGATGGGGCCCGGACGTGCGAGGAAAGGCAGCGGAAACTGGCAATCCGTTTCTTCCCGCTGCTGCGCGTGCTGGTCGCAACGCGCGCTGCAGCTGCGCGGCGAGAATGCAGACTTCGCTCGCTAGCTGCGGCGCCGTGCGCGAGGAACGTAGCGACGTCATCGGCGACGGCGTCGCCGTTCAAGGGTTCACCACACCGGTGCCAACTTCAGCGCCCTCATGTTGCGCTCCGGCCATACCCGACACCGCGACCGCTCCCCAGCAGAAGTGGACGGCGCTGCCCGCGTGTGCGCTACGTAAGGGACGTCGGATCCCGCGCCAGCCAGCCTGACGGACCCAGGCTTGTACCTTTGGCCATAGAAACGTGAACGCGCTCGCGTTTCGTCGAACGGCGCGATCTTCCCGCGATACGCCCGCGCCTCGGTAGATAGCGATCTGAACTTGTGCCCGGCCAGCAGCAACTGTCGTCACTGGCCTTCCAGCCGCCCCTAGCTGCCGGCTCTTGCCACCTCGTTCTTCGCGCACCCTGGCCTGCTCCTTCCCTCCAGCGACGATGGACGGCGTGCCGCGCGCGAACGAGTACCAGAGGAACCTCCTGCCGGGCGTCTCTGGCGGCTCACAGGGTATAATCGGCAGGTAGGGCCCCAAGGCGCCCTCCATCAACTCCAGTGCTTGCTGAGGCTGCTGCGCGGGCGATGCGCGGTGCCCGGCGCCGCCCGGCCTCCCCCGCGCTCTGTCCGCGAAGTGCATGCCGTGAGCAGATCGCAGAGTTCGCCTCGCCGCGACGCTGGCCTGAGCGGGCCGGTGGAGGATTTCACTCTGCCCGCGACGTGGCCCTGCCGCCCCTGCAGCGCGCGAAGGACGCTCCGGGCGCTTCTCTTCGGTAGACTGCACGTGATAGACTGGATCCTCTGCCTCGGGATACTATGCGGCGACCTGTACGCTGACGAGGCGCGCCCCCCACCAGAGCTACTCGCGCCGCGTCCACGCCGCAATCCGGCCCTTCCCGGCTCCCCGCTTCTCGCATATCGCAGAAAATACTCAGAGCGATGCGCGAGCGGGCCCGTCCCGGCCCGCGCCATCCTGTGCGCGCCTTGCGAGAGCAAACCGTTCCAGCAGTTGCACCCCGGTCTGCAGAGGATAGAGCCGCACAAGCGGTACTACGAGGAGGACGACGCGACGTTGATGTACCCCTTCAACTACGAACCGCTCCCGCTCGTGCCCATCCTCAACATCAAGATCGAAACGGCCTGCATCTTCCTCCTGCCGTGGCTGACCTTCGGCCTGTCGTCCTGCCTGTACGTGCTGCGGCGCAAGGGCGGCGCGGGGGACCAGGCAGCGCGCCTCCTGGCCGAAGCGCTCGTGCGCTTCCACCACGGCGTGCTCGCGACCTTCCAGGCACGCCACTTCCGCAACCCCCCAAGCGCAACGCCCCCGCCTGACCGCGGCCGAACCGGCGCCTTGAAACCGCCACACTCCGCAGCTGCGCCGCAGCGATCGGCCGCGGGGAATCCGGCTCCCAACCACCCATCTATGATCACCAATTGATCGAGTTTTCGTGGTTATTAATCCACCGAAGCGAGTGCTTGATCAACAGCTGCTCGCCCCGCGCCCGCAGGCCACGGCGATCACGTCGCTCGTCAAGGTCTGGACCATGCTGTACGTCGGGCGCGAGAAGCCGCACTTCCTGACTCTGCTGGCCATGGAAGACCCCCCGGAGGACAAACTCCGCGACGCCCACGAGAGCTACCCCTCCGGCCACGCAGCCTACATGTTCGCGGTCTTCACCGTCCTCGCGCTGCACGTCGCCTGCGCGCTCCGCGTCTTCGCGCCCGTGCACGACCGCAACGCCACACAGCAGCAGGACGGCGCCGCGGTCCCCGACGAGCCCCGCGCGCCGCGCTTCCCGACGCTGCGCCTCCTCGCGGTGCTCGCCACGCTCAGCCCCGCGTGGCTCATCGCCATCCACCGCATCCGCCAGTACGCGCACCATCCGAGCGACGTCAATGCTGGAATCCTAATTGGTAGTTTCTCCGGGGCTATAGCGTTCCTCGCGGCGTTCGAGGCGCCCTGGGCGACCCGAGCGGGCGCGCCTAGGGTGTGCGCGCTGCGGGGGCTGGCGCGAGAGGACGACGCGGCGAGCGAGGGCGAGCCTGCGTACCGCTACTTGCCACCGGTACCGCCACGCTCGTCGCTGCAGTACGCGCCGCCGCACGACTCGTCGCCGTCGCCGCCGCCGCGGGCGTGACCCGGAAGCGCCGCGCGACCCCCGGGACCGTCGTTTCAGGTTCGACAACCAGCGTTTCGCCGCCCAAGTTTGTTTGTGCTTCGCTGACCTACCAGCACCCTCGCCGCGAGGACGCTTGAGCGACCGAAATGGTACGGGGGACGAGACTCACACAGCAGACCAGCATTTGGCCGCCGAAGGAATCACTGGTCGTTTCCAGCGCGATCGAGGTGTTTGCATGTCCCCTATCGCTCGATCCATTCGGGGTGGATGGATCAGGCAGGAGCCCGGTGCTGGGGTCGCGCTGACCGGTCAACGACGCCGTGTGACCGCTCGTGCTCAACCACCTGCCATGCATCTCGAACTCGCCATCCGTCTCGAAATAGCCGGGAAGGTACAATACGAAGTTGGTTGCCGAACGCCCTGCACTGCGCATCACGTCTTTCCGCCCGCGCTTGAAACACGTGCCGACAGAGGTCCAGGCCGCGTCAAGAGATCGACGCGCGGCTGCCGCTGAAGGACCCCACGGCCTTGCGCAGCGCCCGCGCCGCCCACGTGCCCACAGACCGCCTGCGCTGCTGCTGCCCGGGCTCCTGCCACGCACTCGCGCCCGGCACGATCGTGCTGCTCCCGCGGCGGCTCCCCGCGCCCCCGGCAGCGGCGCCGTGCGTGCACAGCGCGCGCAGGCGCTTACACTCCTCCCGGAGTGTCTCCGCCGCGCGCCGGCACACCCCCGGGCACCCGCACACCGCGAGCAGCTCGAGCCGCTGGAGCCGCGTGAGTGCCTCGATGCCGCGCACGTCGCTGCAGCCCTTGAGCCACAGGCGCTGGAGGGACGGCACGGTGGCCAGCGACGCGACGGTGTCAGGGGGGGGGTCTGCTGACGGTGTGCGCGCCGCACCCGTCCACGACAGGTTGATGCTGAGGAGGCGGCGGTCGGCGGCGGGCTGCGAGGCGGCGATGTGCGCGGCGGCGCTGGCGGAGCAGAGCGCGCGGTTCGAGCTGAGGTCGAGGTGCTGGAGTTGTGCTGGAAGACCTTGTTGGAAGACTGCGGCGGTGATGCGCGAGTCGGTGATGCTGAGGGAGCGCAGGTGCGGGAGGGCGAGCACGGCACCGAAGCCTGCGGGGCGTCCGAGGGCGGGGGAGGTCGTCAGGTCCCGTTGTCTTCAGCTCTTAGACACAAGACTCCACGAATCGCAATCATAGAGATATATACAATCGAATAATCGACGATTTGAGCGTTCGATCGTGGGCATCGGCACACAAAACGTGGCCGAAGTGCTCGTTATGACGGAGCGGCAGCTCGGCCCGCCGGCGCGTCGCAGCGCAGGCTCGCACCTTGGTCGCTGATGCCCTGACACGACTGTAAGTGGAGGCTCCGCAACCGGCGGCACTCGACGATGTTCGCCACGTCGGCGTCGCGCACGTGGTTGCCCACGATCGACAGCGCCCTCAGCCCCCGCGGGAGGCGCAGCGCCTGCGCGGCGCGCCCCTGCGAGCGGTCACTCCCCCCGGGGGACTGTCCGTCGTCGAGCACCATGTCGCGCACGCCGTCCTCCGTGACGCAGTCGTCCTCGACCGGCGCGTCCGGGTCCGCCGTGCCGACGTCCAGCGCCAGCTGGGTCAGCTGCGTCAGGTCGGATAACACCCCCAGGGCGTCGGCGTCGTGGTCGCACCCGCGCAGCGCCAGCGCGCACAGCCCCGGCATCGCCTCCGCGATCTCGAACATGCCCTCCTTGTCCAGAATCAGCCGCCCTGCGCCGCCGGGGCCGCTGATCTTCAGCGACCGCATCGCACGCGCTGACAACGCGTGCGCGCCACGCACCACCAGCGGCACCTCCGACCGCGCCACGGTGCTCGCGGCGCTGCTGCGCCGCCGCGGGGGCGCGTCCGCGAGCGACCGCCGCCGCGCCGCCGCCGCCCAGTTGTCCCACTCGGTCGGCTGACGCATCTGCAGCTGCAGCTCTATGTCTGTCAGGGCAACACACCCCCCCAGCGCTCGAAACACCCCCCCGAGCGGCGAGAGGCTCTCGTCCGCCACCGCGCCCCGCGGCCGCGTCCCCGGCGGCGTCAGCGAGAGCGTGAGCTCCACGCGCCGCAGCGTCCCAGAGGGCCGGAGCTCCTCCGGGGGGTCCCACGCGGCCTCCCCCCCGCACGCGGCCGCGCACGCCTGCACCTGGATCTCCCCGGCAACGAGCTCCTCGAGCGCGGGGAGCGCGAGCATCGCGTGGAGGCTGTGCGGCGCGACCAGGTTGCCGCGTTCGACGACGAGCCGAGTCAGGCTGTGCAGGTTGGCAGGGAGCGCGAGGGCGCCCCAGCCCTCGGGCCGCGCGCCGTAGAGGCCGGAGAGGCTGGCGAGCGCGGCGCCGTCGCTGGCGGCGTCGGCGCAGGACGCACAGTTCCGTAGCACAAGTGTTTGGAGCGTCGGGGAGAGGGGCGCGAGGGAGGCCGCGGACGGCATCGAGGCGAGCGCGTCCACGGCGAGGGACCGCAGGGCCGGGAGCTTCGCGAACGTCTGGAGCGTCCTGCGGCGGGAGGAAGCGCGGAGAGGATGAGGGGGTGTCAGGGCCGTGGAGGGGGGGTTTTGCCGTTTCGAGGTGCGGGCGGGGCTGCCATGGCGGAGTGCGTACCTCTCGGTGATCCTCACGGGCGGAGGCGTGCCCCAGCCGGCGTTGTGCGCGCAGGTTGCCAGGGGCAGGACCACGGCCGATGCGCAGCCGGAGTAAATCGCGAGGTCCTCCAGGGCGTCCAGCGAGCCGATGGCGTCGAAGCACTCCGTCGGGAGCGCGCCGGTCCGCGAAAGGACGAGCCTTCGCAGCGAGCGCAGGCCGGCCAGGACGTCCAGGGCACAGGGACGCTGGTCCAGGCCGTCGCAGCGCAGCGTGAGGTGCCGCACAGGTGCCCCGTCGCGCTCGCGGCGGCCGAACGCCGAGACCAGGGCGCAGAGCGACGCGGACGATGTGCGCACGTCGCCCAGGTCGAGTGTCGCGAGGGATGGTAGGGCGCAGGCGGTTAGGGCCCAGTCCACGGGCGAGAGCGCGACGGTCGGCGTCAGGGACGTGATGTGCTCGCACACGAGCGCCGATAACGTCCGCCCGAACGCCGCTTCCGGCGGACACCCGCTCCCCCACACCGCCAGCGCGCCCGTGCTTCGCTGCGAGCTCCAGCGCTGCGCTGCCGCGTCGTTTCCCTCGCTTTCGATCAAACTACGCTCGCTCGCGGCGGACAGAGGGACGAGCGCGTCCGGGGTCACGCGCACGGGCGCCTTGGACACCTCCAGCGCGTGCAGGACCGCTGTGGCCGTTGCCGGGGAGCATCGGGCGAGCGCGGCGACGTCGTGCGGGTCGCGCAGGCGCGCGAGAACCTCGGCGAGCATCTGCGCCGGCACATGCTCGATGCCCAGCGCCTCGGTCGCCCCCGCGGCCTGCACACCGCTCGCGTCCCCCCCCATGGTCAATGAAGGGCACAGGGGCCGGCGCACAGCTCACGAGCGCGCAACTCGCATCCTTCGACGCCGTTTCGTGATGGTACAGCCATGTGTGTGCCGCTCGCGCGCGGCGCGCGGGCCCGTAGGCCTCGCACACGACGCACGGTGCCGCAACCGGTCCGTGGCGCACGCTTGACTCAGGCCCGGAAATGGAACTCCCCCACGTCGCGCAGCGACGTCGGGCTCTCGCAGGACGACGCTCCGCGCCCAGGCATCTCGCGATCCACGATTCCCGCCCAGCCCGGTGGTTGTCCGACCCCCCGTCGCTCTTGCAACGTTGCGTGTGCATCGCAGATCGAGAATCCATATCTCCGCATGCACGCGCTCAATCGTGGCCCACGCGCCTCACACCCGCCGCGTCTACGGCTGCCACGCCCCGCGCGGCAGCACCCGCGCCGGAATACCCCCCCTCCCAGACACCCCCCCCGTTGGGAACCCCCGCTCCCGTCGCTCGCCCTCCTCCTTCGCCAGCAGGTCCGCGTACGGGTCCTCCTTCTGCGCGAGCTCCTCCTCCCGCTGCCGCACGCGCCGGTCCAGCGCCAGCAGCGCGTCGCGCATCTCCGCGAGGTCCAACTCCCCCCCCCCTGACTCGTCATCACTCCCCTCGTCCCCGGGCGCGCCGAGCGCGGCGCGCGCGTCGCCGTGCGCGCTCGCCGCGAGCCGCTCCAGCACGAGCTCGAGCCGCTCGTCGTCGTCGATCCTCTCCGCCAGCGTCGCGTGCGCCACGCGCCGCCCGACGGTCAAGAGCTGTCGCCGCAGCGTGCCGACGGCGGCGCCGAAGCCCTCGACGTCGAGCGCGCGGCGCGTCTCCGTCTCGCGGAGCTTCCGCTGCAGCTTCGCGACCTTGTCCTCGAGGTGCTTGATCCGCTTTTCGTACTGCGCGCGGATGGCCCGGTGCATTGTCTCGACGGTGCGGATCATGGCGTCCTTCTCCTTGAGCTGCTTGCGGTACGTCTTGGCGTACTCGTCGAGCTCCTTGTCGGCCTTGGCCCTGCGGCGGCGCGGCGGGCGCGGGCACGTGAGACACGGCGGAACAACGACCACACCAACGGTGCAGGCGTGTACACGTGGGTGGGTGCGGCCGGACGAGCGATGAGGCGTCGGGTGCGCGCGGCATATCGTTGTGGACGGGTTTCGGCAGTCGAGCGTGCAAGGAGGGGCCGGGAGAGCCTACTTGAAGTCTGCGAGCTCCTTCCTGGCGCGGGTCTTCGTGTCGTCGAGCTCGCGCGCCGTGGCCTCGACGGCCTCGCTCAGCCTCTGCTTCTCCTCCGCCGCCTGCGCCTCCTTGCGCCGCAGCCCCGCGCGCGCCGTCAAATACTCCCCCAGGGTAGAATCCAGGGAGTGCTGCAGCCCGCCCTGGCGCCGGAGAGACTCCTCCAGCTGCGCCCGCAGGTTGTTCATGTGCGCCTCGTAGTCCTGCGCGCCCGCGGCCGCAGCAACGCGCCCGCTCCGTCAACACAGGACCCCAAACGCGCAACGGCAATCGAGAAACGGTGACTGCGCGTGCACTTCCGAGCCACGCGCGTGCGCACCATCTCGCGGACGCTCTTGTCCTCCATCAGCTGCGCGATGCGCTCCGCCGCGAACCTCTTGTGGTCGCTCAGCTGCGCCTGCAGGCTCTGCAAGTGCAACATCAACGCGTCGGTGCTGATGCCCTCCCCAGGATACGCCTTGAACGCCGACGGCGCGCCCTCCTGCCACGTGGCCATCGTGCCAATGTGGCTCTCCTGCGCCATCGCCGCGGTGCCGTGCGGGCCCCGGCCGGGCCCGGGCTCGCCCGGACCCGCCGTGCGCAGACGCGGCATCGTGGTGACGCCGGGCTCGGGGCCGCCCGGGTGCGCCATGCCGAGGAGGTGCTGGATGCGCTTGCGGTCCTCGGCCTCCTGGATCCGGAGGTCGTCGTTCTCGGCCTGCGACCGCAGCGACGCGTGCAGTTCTGCTCGTTGAGTGCAAGAGGCGCATGCTCCGCGGACGCCGCGTTGTTTCTTGTCTGAATTAAAGAATCCGTCGTGACTGTGCGAGCAGCGCGTTCTGGAGGCGTTTCGGGCGCGGTGAGCCCCGTAGCGGGCGCGGGTCATGCCTGGAGCGTCAACACGCGCTGCCGCTCCTCGAAGAGCAGCGCGTGGGCGTCACTGAGCGCTTTCTGGAGCTCCCAGATCTCCTCGGACCTGCGCGGGGGACGCCGGCGGACGGAACGGTCGAACGCGCACGGGCGGGCGCGAGCTGCTGTGCACCGGCGTTCGTATCGGCCCGGCCTCCCGTGCCCGCTCGAGCCCCGCGGGAACTGATTTCTCGGCCCGCCGCGCACAGTGAGAGCACAGGGTCCTCGCTGAAGGACCCGGACGGCGCCGGAGCCCGCGAGCGACGCAGCCTCGCGCTGCCTGCTGTGAAGGAGGGCGTGCGAGTCGTACCGCTGCTTGTTTTCCCACTGCGTCCGGTACATCTCCTTGCTGTGGGCCTTCGCCTTCTCCGCCATGTCCAGCACGTCCTTCATTTCCTGCTCGAACGCCTCTGCACGCGTCAAGAACAGCACACGACCCTCATCACTGGGACGTTCCTGGCCTCAGAGCGCGTACGGGTCGAGACAGCCGCGTTCCGCCACGCAAACGGGCGAAGAAGCATCGTACGCACCCACACGACCCCTGTAGTAGTCCAGAAGCTCCTCGGCCGACTTCTCCGCCCCCCCGTTCCCATCATCAGCGCTGCCCGAAGGCCCGGGCTCTGGCTGGACCATCACGTCCCGTTTCTGGCCAACGCGAAGCTTCCTAGGTGCACACGTGAGGCAGCGTCTCCGCGGAAGAACCACAGAGCGCCCGCCTGAGCAAGCCCGGCCCGCGAGTGCACCCCTGGCGCGCTGCTGTGTGCGGGAGTTCGAATCTCCCGCACTCTTCGGCGATCGACGCGCCCTCTTTTGGCTCGGAACCGACTCAGAACTTCTCAGAGAACAACCTGCGCCACCGCGGCGCGCAGCGGCGCCCTTGCGTCCCCGGCCAGCACCCCAGCGCCGTGCCGCACCTGACTCCTGCCACGTGCGCTGAATCACGAGGTACAAGTACGCCGATGACGCGACGAAGCAGCCGAGCCGCCGCAACAACACACCGGTGGTCGCCTCTGCCCATTCCAACGCCGCTCAGCACACTCGCTAGACATGGTAAACTTCTTTTGTAACCTTTTATCATTACAGGTTTCGACTTCTTGCTCTGCGAGCCCGCCCCGCCAGGCCCAGCGCGGCCACGCCGCACCGACACGCACCGAGCTTGCACGGGCCGGGCACCTTCGGGGCCGGCCGACACCACCCACGCCACACACCCACACACACCCTCTCTTGTTGGGCCGCGGGCACATAGCATCACGCGCTGGGGCAGACGGACAGGGCTCTCCCGGCTCTCCCAGTCACAGCCAGACAGCGCCAGCCGCCTACATGTCCTCCTCGTCGAAGCTCAGCGCCCCCGCCCCCGCCCCGCCACGTGCTCGCGCACCACCCCTGCCCGTCGGCCCGCCCGCGGCCCGCCCCGCCCGCTCCCCCTGCCGCTCCGTCCGCGACCGGAACTGGATCTTCGCCGGCACCGCCGGCGCCGCCCCCGCGTCCTCCGTCGCGTAGTCCCCTCCAACATCGACCCCTTCACCCCCACCACCCCCAACGCGTCCTCGTCGCCGCCCCCGCCGCGCCCGCCGCCCCCACCGCGCCCTCCGCCACGCCCGCGGCCCCTCAGCCCACCTCCAACTATAACAGGCTCGTCTAACTCGTAACATGTATATCTCTCAGGGTGTAAAACGTGATCCGGGACCCGCCCGCGGCCGCGGCCGCCCGGCCTGCCCCGCAGCGCTGCTCCGTCGCCGCGGTCGTGCCGGGCCCGCGCCGCGCGCCCGTTGCCGTCGCTGTGGCCGCGCGGCGAGGACGCGTCTGCGAAAGATACGCGGCGGCGCTTGCGGGCGCCTGCGTCCGGCGCGGGCTCGGCAGTGCGCAGCGCGCTCTTCAGGGCGCCGCGGAACGCGCGGCCCGCGCCGGCCGACGGGCCCGCGCGGCGCCGTGCGTCGTCGGTGGGTCTGTTGCCGCCGCTGTCAGGCTGGGCCGTGTCAGGGCGCTTGCTGGCGTCGCGAGCGCGGGGCTCGACAGTCTTCGCAGGAGGGACGTTCGCGGGCTTCTCGGCTCCGCGGTCGCCGTCTTCCTCGTCGCCGCTCGACAGTGCAGGGAGGTGTGTGCCCACAAGGCCCCCCGCGCCCGGGTACCGCGCCTCGCCCATCGCCATGCGGTCCTCGGCGTCTTCCTGCTCCTCCGCCTCGAACGCACGCCGGCTCCGCGCGCTCACGCTGCAACACACCTCGAAACAAGTCGCAGCAATCAGCAACTGCTGAAACACACCCCCCCCTCCGCGGTGCCGCCTTCTCAGACGCGCCCCAACGCATCAACGCCCACGGCTCCCTCCTGGCGCGGCGCAATGCAGCGATGAGCGGCCCGGCAAGCACGCAACCATGCTGTCGCCCCCGCTGCGCGTGATGAGCGAGCACACGCAAACTCCCGCGCACCTGCACTTGACCGCCCGCCCGCCCCCCGCACCCTCAGGTTCGTCTCCTTCCGAACCGTCTTCATCAGACCCTGAACTCATGTCTGCCCAGCCCTCCATGTCCCCCTTTCGTTTCGAGGCCCGCTCGCGCTGCGCCGCCTCCCACGGAGACGTCCCCGGCTGCACGCACGATGAGGTCACGCGCTGTCTGCGCCGCGCGAACCGGCCGCTCATAGACTCTGCGCCGCGCGCTTCAACAGACCCCAATTCCCAACAACAAAGCAGCGTTTCGCCACAGAATCGGGCAGCCTCCGGCCCCGCAAAACTCGTGCATGCAAACACACGTCACTCCTCGCCGTCCGCACGACTCAGCGACATACACGGCATCGCGTGCGTCGCGCATGACCCGGCAGACGCTCACCCGCTCCTCGTCCTCGCTGCTCCCTCCCGCCTGGCCGCTCTCGAACTTCTTCACCTTGTCGTTGATCCTCCAGCCAGAGTCGCCACCGAGCGCCCCGAACACCGCGTCGCTCTTGCGCGTGAAGTCCGCGTAGTGCTCGATACCTCCCGCCCCCGCACCGCCCCTCGCGCTGCCGTCGCCCTGCTCCTCCATGGCCGCCACCGGACCGGACCGCCGGGGAGAGATCCACCGAGCCGGCGTCCGTCTATCGGCACATCCTGCGCGCTCGGTTGCGCCGGCCTGCCGTGCGGGAGGCCGCGAGGTCACACGTCCAGTCGCTGAGGTCCGATTTCAACGAAAGAAAGAACGAACGTCGCACGACCGCGTCGCGTCCACACGCTGTGCGAGTTGCGCGCGGCCGGCGCCGGCGTCTGACCTCGATGGGCCCCCGCATTGCGCGGTGGGACTGGCCGCGACGCCTCTGGGGCCTCACGCGGCACGATGCTGCCCGCCGCGGACGACGATGTCGCGGCCCCGCGGCTGCGCTGTGCATGTGCAGCGCTGCCACGACCGTCTGTGGGTTGAAAGCGCGGGCCCGGCAGCCAAATGCGCGTAGTACTGAGCTCCTGACGGCAACGTTCGTCCACGCGTCGACATGGCGTCCAAGGAAGGCGGCTCAGCAGCCAGGCCGAAGGACAAGAAGGACAGGAAGAAGCTGAAGGAGAAAAAGGAGCGCCGCGAGGAATCAGACGTGAAGAAGCCGCGCGGGAAGAAGCAAGGTGTGCAACGCGCAGCCAGCACGGCGTCGAGAGGCTGTCGGATGACCTGCACCGCGCGTTTCGTTCAACACGATCGTCTCCGCCTTCTCAGGTTGCCCTGAAGCGCGCGTATACGCCCTGCGCCGCGCTGCGGGTCCGTGCACCTGCGCGGGATGGAGGCGTCCGTCGCCCTGGGCTGCCTGCTTTGAATCATGGCCCGCATTGCACGGCAAGCCACAGCTCACATCGCCTTCCTGCCGCCTCCGCGCACTCCATCCCTATCGCGCCCACCCGTGCACTCTCCACCACAACACATACAGACCTGCTTGGGTCGGGCACGGAATCCGAGGACGACGGCGGCCTGGAGATCAAGGTCAACGAGGAGTATGCCAGGCGCTTCCAGCACAACAAGGAGCGCGAGGAGCTCCACCGCCTCCAGGAGAAGCACCCGGAACTCGCAGCCAAGATTGAAGCCAAGGTCCGTTGCACAGCTCACGCCCACAGTCCCGCGCACTTCCAAGCCTTCCACCAGCAGCGCCGCAACTGCCGCCCAGACCGCCGGCAGCAGCCCCAAGGCCCATCGCGCAGTAGAAGACCCTGATTCCCGATCTCTTTTCAACTTCAGTTTCTATCATCGATTCGTCGGGCGTCCTTCCCCGGCCCCTCCTCCCGCGTGGCTCTCTGCGCTCAGGGATCACCGCGCACCACCTCGCGCGCCCGCCCGCCGCACCGCGCAGGCCCTCGCGAAGCAGGTGGTGGCGGGCGGCGACAGCGACGCGTCCTCCGAGTACGACAGCGAGGAGGAGGACCACGGATACATCCCCCCCGAGGCGGACGTCCAGATCCTCGACGTCCTCAACCGGATCAAGAACAAGGTGCGCTGCGCCGCCGCCTCGGCAGCGTTGGGACACAACCCTCAACCCTCTCTTCATTCTGTTGCGAATTCGGGGCCCCAGAATTCGTCGTTCCATGCTTCGGCCGTGCGCGCAGGATCCGTCGATCTACGACAAGGACGCCAAGTTCTACTCCGGCCCGGCGGCCGGCGAGGACGGGTCCGGCGACAGCGGCGGCGACGACGCGGGGCGGCACCGCAAGAAGACGCTGCGGCACGTGATCGCCGAGCAGGCGCTCAAGTACGGCGCGGAGGGCATGGCGGAGAGCGACAGCGACGCCGAGGACGCCGACGCGCCCGACAAGGGCCCGTCGTATTACCAGGAGCAGGCAGACCTGAAGCGCGCGTTTCTGCAGGCGGCGGGCGGGGAGGGGGGGGAGTCCGGGGACGAGGGCGCGGACCTCGAGGCCGGCGGCGTGCTCAAGGTGAAGTCGCGTGCGGAGCGGCCGGAGGCGCGCGAGGGCGTCAAGAAGGTCGCGAGGCTTGCCGACCGATACTTCGGGGATGGGCCGGCGCTATCGAAGGGCGACGCGTTCCTCAAAGACTACATTCAGAACCAGCGGTGGCTGGACCGGCACGACAGCGACGACGAGGGCGGGTCGGACGGCGGCGGCGGCGCGTCGGGGGGCAGCGACGACGACGACGGCGACGACGACGACGCGAAGCCTGCGTTGGTGGACGACGAGTGGGACAACGAGGACGAGGCCGAGGAGTTCGAGCACGCGTATAATTTCCGGTTCGAGGAGCCCGGGGGCGCGAAGCTCACGGGGCACCCGCGCGTGGTGGAGGGCACGGTGCGCAAAGAGGAGACGGCGCGGGCGCGGCAGCGGAAGGCGCGGGAGGAGCGCAAGGCGGAGGAGGCGCGGCGCGCGGAGGAGGAGGTGAAGCGGCTGAAGAACTTGAAGCGGAAGGAGATCGAGGAGCGCATGCAGCGCGTGGCGTCCATGGCGGGGATGTCGGCGCCCGACACCAGCGCGATCGACGGGCTCCTGCGGGGGGAGTTCGACCCCGCGGAGTACGACGCGAAGATGCAGGAGATGTTCGGCGGGGACTACTACGACGAGGACGACGAGGACTTCGTCGAAAGGGACGACCCCGCGCTGCGCGAGGCGCTCGAGGGGTTCCACGGCTCCGACGACGAGGGCGAGGGCGAGGGCTTCGAGGCCGCGCGGCGGCGCATGGCGGAGCGGCTCCAGGACGACGCCGGCGAGGACTCCGGCGACGCGGAAGCGGCCGGGAAGGCCGCCGTTGAACACGCAGCCGAGCAAAGGGCGGAGATGCAGCGGCTGCTGGAGGAGTACTACCGGCTGGACTACGAGGACGTGATCGGCGGGGGCATCAAGACGCGGTTCCGGTACCGCGAGGTGGAGGCGAACGACTACGGGCTGTCGTTGCAGGAGCTGCTGGAGACGGAAGACCGTGTGCTGAACCAGGTGGTGGGCCTGGCGAAGCTGGCGCCGTACCGCGAGGACGGCGGGTACGTTCCGAGCCGCGTGCTGAACAAGCGGAAGTACCAGCTCGGGTTGACGCGGAAAGAGCGGCACTTGGCAGAGGAGCTCATTGCCGGGGCGAATCTGCGCGTCAAGGAGGTCGGGCGGCGCGGGGGGCGCGGCGGGGGGCGTGGCGGCCGCGGGGGCGGCCGGGGCGGCGCGGGGCGGGGGCGGGAGGGCGCTGGTTCGGCGGGCGGCGAGTCTGCTTTGCAGGAGCGGAAAGCGACGTATGAGTTGCCGACCGGGAAGAAGGCGCGGGCGAAGCGGGCGGCGGAGGGCGCGGAGGGGGACGGGGCGGCGAGGAAGAGGGCGAAGAAGGAGGCGCCGGCGCCGAAGCCGGAGTTCGCGGGGCTGTCGCGTGCGCAGAAGAAGAACTTGAAACGGTCGCAGAAGAGGGCGGAGAAGCGCACGGGGGGCGCAGAGACGGGCGCGGGGTAGACGGCGCGTGTGACGGCTGTGCGCCGAGGAGGGCGGCGGGGTCGTTGCTGAGGTGTTGCGTCAGGTGCCGGTGTGACACCGTGTGACACGTGTCGTGCTGCGCTGACGGGCTTTGGGCCCCGGCCGGCGCGGGTGGCCGGCATGTTCGCGTGACGTTGGCGCGAATCGGCGACGTTTGAGGCGTGTTTCGTGGACGAGTGGTGGGCAGAATCCGACAGCATGCAGTTCTGCTTGCTACCCGCACGCTGGGGGGGGTTCGTGCGGTAATCTCGCCGCGAGAGTGCGCTGTCGGACCGTTCGCTTCCAGAAGCGAACGTGGCACGTGGGCCCGGTACACGCGCACGAAAGCTGCGTGCGAGGCATAGTGCCTGTCGCAAGGCGCACGCTCGTGGGGAACGCCGCGTCGCCCTCTAGATCCCACATATTCGAGCCGCCGGGGCCCGCCACACCGCTCGAAGATCCCTCTGCGGCGCGATGGGCAATCGGTTCGGGCTGTCCGTCCCCCGGCGGCTGCCCGGCGCGTTGCGATACCTCACGCCCTTCCTCCTCGGGTCCATTGCTACGTCTCTTTGGACCGCCCTCGTGCACGTCTCCCTCATCGGGTCCCCCTCCATACACCCCGTCACGCGGCAAGCGCCCGGCTGGAGCGCGGCGGACTTCCCCGCACGCGACCCCCTAGAAGAGGAGGCGAATAGCTACTCCACTATCGACCGGGTCCTTTACAAGGCAAGACTCCCCCCCTCGTCGCGCACGACGCATGTCTCGAGCCTTGGAGATCGCCCCGGACACAGAGAACGCGCCGTTGGCGATTCCTGCTGCTGCAGGTGGCGGCCACCGTCGGGCACGATGCGCAGGAGCTGAGTTTCGACGTCGGCGTTGGCTTCAAAGGGCGAGACCACACCCGCACCGGCGCACTCAGCACCGCTGTACCCTGCGCGCGTGCTGGCGCGACCGCAGACAGGGGCCCGGCTGGTCCGACTGGGTGCAGGTGGTACGGAGGGTTTGACGTTGCCGGCACGAGCTTCTGGGGGGACCTGCAGCGCGCGTGTCCGCCGTGCAACTTCTACCACGAGGAGGAGAAGCCGGACATCATCCTCGCGTCCGTGTACGAGCCACCGCAGACGATTGACAAGAACGGCGCGATCTTGATTCTGTTCACTCCAGAGGTGGTGGCCCCTGCCACAGATGACTTGGTGGGCATGCCGGCTGCGGACTGCCGTGGCCTGTCTGCGCCGGTGACCGACGCAGCGCGCGCGGACTCACGAATGGTTGCCGCGCGCCCTACTCAAGGACCTATATCTGTCTGCGCAGTCTCTGGACTGGGAGTTTTATCTCGACTGGAAGCGCGAGGTGTTCGACCTGCCCGCGGAGGAGACGGCGGTTGACTTCGCCTTCGGGTGCGCCGCTGTCCGCCTCGCCGTCACGGTCGACAGGGCGTCCGGAGTGCGCATATAAAGAGCAAGGGATGCCCTCATGCTCACAGCGCCGCGCCGCTACTCGTGCCCGCAGGTACCTGCCTGGCACGCAGCGAGCCAAGCTGCTCCTCGCCGCGACCTTCACCTTCGTGCAGCACCACCGCCCGATCATCGCGCACACCCCGGAGTGGCTCGGCAGCGCGCTCGGCGATGCGGAGTACGTCGACAGCCATACCAAGCCCGACGCGAGCTTGATCGACGGCCGGAACGGCCAGGTGGCGCTCGTGGCGCGCTCGGACTACCTGGGATTCCGGGACACGCTCATCGAGCAGCTCGGCAAGGTCGCGCAAGTGGACTGCCCCTCGGATCTCGGACACAACATGCCCAGTCTCGACGAGCAGGGCCTCAGCAAGATCGACTTCTTCCGCAAGTGAGCCCCGCACTGGCAGCCCGCGTCTCTGTGCGAAGTACCCCGCGCTTGGAGCCCGTCAGGAGGACGATAGCGGCCCCCCTGACCCCCCCCCCCGCGCAGTCACCTCTTCTGCGCCGTTCCAGAGAACACTCAGACCCCCGGCTACGTCTCCGAGAAGCTCTTCGACGCCGCACGGGCCGGGTGCATCCCCATCTACGCCGGCGACGTGCCCCCGGAGCCGCACGTGTTCAACCCCGACCGCATCATATTCGCTCGCACGATGGACGAAGACGGCGCCAAGGACGTCGCGGCCCAAGTCGAGGCCCTCCTGAAGTGCGCGCCCGCGCCGCACGACCGCGCACTCGAAGCCGCGAGCCGTCCCGTCGCCGCATCGCGTGCCCATGCATCAAGGGGGGGAGTCATGCCTCAGACCGACACAGACCTGCGCGGCGCGCCGGTGTTCCCTGCTCCGCAGCGACCGCGCGGCCCTGGAGGCGAAGTTCGCGCTGCCGATCTTCCGCCCCGGCGCCGTCAAGTCGCTCACGGCAATGCTGCAGGACAAAAACCTGCTCTTCGACGCCGCCGTGCGGCTCGTGCTGCTCCGGAAGCTCGAACGCGTATACGCACGTCCGCCCACGCGCGCCGCGGCAGCAGGGGCGGCGCATGCCAACCCCCCCGACTCTGCATAGCTCCCAGCGTGCCCAGGCTGCGGCGCCCCGCCGCGTCAGTGCGTCCACGGCAGCTGAGCCGGGTGGTGGGTCGCCGCCGTAGCGCGAGGATGTGTGAATGGCGCGCGCGCGGTCGGGCGCGTCGCGCCGTTGTTGGTGGCGAGGGGGCGTCAGGGGGGGCGGAACGTTGCTGCGCCGAGTCGGTGGCCGAGTTTGCCGCACACCGGCAAACTTGTGGTCCGCGCTGGCGCGTGCAGGCATAGTTGCGTACCGTTGGTGCGGAATATTGAGGATTTCGGCGCTTTGCGTCGAGATCTCGGCCCCATCCCCGGCTGCACTGGCCAACTGAAAGTCCGCGCGCAGGGCGGCCTCGGCGCGAACAGGCTGCCACGGGAGCGCACGGCCGGCTCGTCCAGCTCCAGGTCGTGCATTGCGCTCGTGAGGCCCGCGGTTCGTGCGCACAAGAGCTGTGCGAGAGCGCGTGATCCCGCAGCAACTGCAGCGAGCTCCGCGCGCCACCAAGGGTCGTGAAGATAGAAGACTTTGCTTTTTCCTGCATACATGCTTGAATACAAAGGTGATCCTGACGACTTCTAGCGTCATCGTTCTGTCCGTGGCTCGCGCGGGGCCGTCAGTTGCCCCAGTCAACCGCACCCGCGTTCGGTGCCACATTCCCGCAGACCGAGCCACTCGAACCATTCCCTCATCCTGAGGACCCGCCACTGAGCAATGAGCGAGCGGCGGAGGTCTTCGAGCCCCCGGCGGCCGCCCGGCTCGTTCGGATGCCTCGCGCCGTTCCTCCTCGGTGCCGTGGCCATGTCCCTCTGGACCGCCCTCGTCCACATTTTCCTCGTCGGGTCCCCCTCCATCCAGACCGTCACGCGCCAAGCCGCCCCCTGGAGCGCGGCCGACTTCCCCGCACGGGACCCCCTAGAGAGTGACGCCAACGATTACTCAACGACCGACCGCTTCCTGTACGAGGCAAGACTCCCCCCCTCGTCGCGCACGATGCGTTCCTCGCATCTTGAAGATCGCTCCGGACACAGTGAACGCGCCGTCGCCGGCCCCCGCTGCAGGTGGCGGCCTCCGAGGGCCACGATGTCAAGGATCTTAGTTTCGAGATTGGCGTTGGTTTTAAAGGGTGAGACTACCCCCGCACCCGCGCACTCAGCACCGCTGTACCCTGCGCGCGTGCTGGCGCGACCGCAGACAGGGGCCCGGCTGGTCCGACTGGGTGCAGGTGGTACGGAGGGTTTGACGTTGCCGGCACGAGCTTCTGGGGGGACCTGCAGCGCGCGTGTCCGCGCTGCACGTTCTACCACGAGGAGGAGGATCCGGACATCATCCTCGCGTCCGTCTACCACAATCCGAAATCGATCGAGAAAAAAGGGGCTATTTTCCTTTTGTTCACCCCAGAGGTGGTCACCCCAGCCATGCGTCGAGCCGTCCGCGCCGTTCGCGAACTTCGGCGCCTTGCGTGCGTGGTGGCGGCGAGCGCGGACTCACAAATGGTTTGCCGTGCGCCCTACTCAAGGAACTATATCTGCGCAGGCACTGGAGTGGACAATGTACGAAGACTGGAAGCGCGAACTGTTCTCCCTGCCCGCGGAGGAGACGATGGTCGACTTCGCCTTCGGGTGCGTCTGCCCGCTCCCGCACGTCTCCTGACAAGCCCCCCCGGGTCCGCCTCGCTCGTCGACGTCGGCTCGTACCGCTCCTCGTGCTCGCAGGTACCTGCCTGGCGCCCAGCGAGCCAAGCTGCTCCTTGCCGCGACCTACACCTTCGTGCAGCACCACCGTCCGATCATGGCGCACTCCCCGGAGTGGCTCGGTGGGGCGCTGAACGAGCTGGACTACGTGGACCGCCACTCGCGGCCCGACGCGGGCCTGATCGACGGCCGGACGGGCCAGGTGGCGCTCGTGTCGCGCTCGGACTACAAGAAATTCCGCGCGGCGCTCGTCAAGCACCTCGGCAAGGTCGCGCGCGTCGACTGCCCGTCGCGCGTTGGGAAGAACATGCCCAGTCTCGACGAGCAGGGCCTCAGCAAGATCGACTTCTTCCGCAAGTGAGATGCCCCCCCTGCATGCACCGCTCCCAGCCGCGACGCGCTGCACGTCGGGCCCGTCAGAACGACAACAACCCCCCCTGACTCCCCCCTTGCAGGTACCTCTTCTGCGCCGTCCCCGAGAACATCCAGAGCCCCGGCTACGTCTCCGAGAAGCTCTTCGACGCCGCGCTGGCCGGGTGCATCCCCATCTACGCCGGCGACGTGCCCCCGGAGCCGCACGTGTTCAACCCCGACCGCATCATATTTGCACGGACGATGGACAAACACGGGGCCGAGGACGTCGCGGCCCAAGTCGAGGCCCTCCTGAAGTACGTGCCCGCGCCGCTCGACGTACCTTGCCCGCAGTCACACCCCCCCGCCTGCGCAGCACTGCACGCCCCCGCAGCGGTTTGGGGGGAGTCGAACCTCCAGACCGACACAGACCTGCGCGACGCGCCGGTGTTTCCTGCTCCGCAGCGACCGCGAGGCTCTGGAGGCGAAGTTCGCGCTGCCGATCTTCCGCCCCGGCGCCTCCCGGGCCCTCACGGCCATGTCGCAAGACACACACATGATCTTTGACGCCGCCGTGCGGCTCGTGCTGCTCCGGAAGCTCGAGCAGGCGTACGCACACTGACGGCGCCCCACGCCGCCTCTCCGCCACCGCCCGTACGCCCTACGGCAACACGGAGTTCCGTAGTTACACGGGACCGAGTGCGCGGCGTCACTGCGCCCAGGGCAGCTTGCCGGCCTCCGCCAGCCGCACGAGCTCCTGCAGCCCGCTCTTGAGCCGCCCCGCGGCCTCCGCGCAGTCCTTCGGCTCCAGGTTGGCGAACGCGACGCGGATGAACCCGGGGCAGCCGCAGGAGGACCCCGCGATGGTGCAGACGCCGTGCTCGCGCACGAGCCACGCGACGACGTCCTCGTCGTGCTCCGTGCACGTGTCGGGCAGCCGCCCCCACACGTAGATCGCGCCTTCCCCGCCAGCGATGCCGTCGCCGACGGAGCCCTGCGACGGATCGAGCGGGGCGGATGCTTCGGTGCCGGTCGAGCGCGAGGCGTCGCGAGCGGTGCGAACAAGCAAACAAACAATCGTTGGTTAGTTTTGGATCCATTTTCCTCCTTTCCCTCCCTTTGAAACAGAAACAGACCTCAACACCCATCTAGCAAGTGCATAGCGGCTCCAAGTCGATTCAGCGACGACTTATGTAAACTCCTTCAGCCACCGTGAGAAGCGAGCGCCACGCCAGAAACGCCAGCGAAGACTAAGAACAAACGCACGCAATCAGCAGCACCAGCACCGCGTCGGCCACGCACCAGCGGCGACAGCGCGTCCAGCACAACGGCGCGGTTCTCCGCCAGCCCGTCCACGCGCTCCTGCACCCACTCCCGCCCCTGCCGCACCGCCCCGAGCGCCACCAGCTGGCTCGCCGTCGTGGCGCAGATGGGAATCGTGTCTTGCACCTTCAGGATCTCCGCGCCGAGGTCCGCCGGGGCGCCGAGCTCCGGCGTCGGGTACGCGATGTACCCCACGCGCCACCCCATCATTCCGAACGCCTTCGAGAAACTGAACACGTGGATGACGTTGGGCCCCGGGGGACACGCGTGCTCACTCCCCTCGCCGTACACGAAGTGCTCGTACGTGTCGTCGAGGACGAGCCAGACGTTGTGCTTCCGGCACAGCTCCGCGGCCTCCTCGACCTCCGCGCGGGACAGCAGGACGCCCGTGGGGTTGCAAGGGTTGACGATGACCACCATCTTGGGAGGGTTGGGGGACTCGAGGCGCTGACGCAGCCACGCGAGGTCCGGGTGCTGCGTGGTCGCGTCGCAGTCGCCGAGGATGATGTTCCGCGCGCCGCCCGTCATCTGCGCGCCACGGAACCACCGCACGTACGTCGCGTCGCGTGCCGCGGTGTGGGTGACGGGCGCAACGTCCTCGCGGGTGGGTTCGAGCGGACCTGGATGGCCATGAGGTGGTTGAAGTAGTAGGGGCGGAAGAGCACGACGCCGTCGTCGGCGTCCGTGAGCGCGAGGACGAGGTTAGTAAAAGCTTGGTTGGCGCCGGCGGTGACCATGACGTCGTAGCCGGTGAGCCCGTTCTCCTTCTCGAGCTTGTCCACGAGCGCCTCGCGCAGCTCCGGGAGGCCCTCCGCGGGGCCGTAGCCGTGGCAGCGCGGGTCGGACATGGCCTGCGAGTCCCGCGACGGGGCACAGACGCAAGAGGCGGTGGGCCAGGGTGTGGAATATGGACAAACGGCAGACGAAGCTGCGGGTTCGGGCTCAGAGGTGCAGGTTTTGGGCGATTGAAGTGCGTGGGGCGCCGTGGCTTACGTTGGTCGCGGCCTCTAGGGCGGCGGGGGGAGGGGCCCAGTGGACGACGCCCTGGGCGAGGCTGGCGACGGGGCGGCCGGCCGAGGCCATCAGGGCTTTCGTCTTGACGATGCATGGGGCGTCCGTGTCCTGGACGCGCTGCGACACGGGCGGCGCCGACGTCTCTGTGGCTGGGCCACCATTGCTGGACGCCCTGCGCAGCGAGACGAGGATCCTTGACATTGAATGTCGCCCGCAACTGAAATCTCGAAGCACGCTCGATATGATCCGCGAGTGTGGGACCGTGTGGCTCACCGCACTGTTGCAGAGCGAAGCGATGCTGGCCCGGTATACTCCATGCGTGCGTGCGCGCAGCTCAGGGAAGGATGTGCGCGCGGGACCCTCCCGGCGCACTGCGTTGCGCGCAGTGCCACCTTGTACGCAGCGCCGTGCCGGGACATCCGGCTCTGGCGGCCTCGGACGGGAACGAGCACCTAGCACCCAGGGTAGGGCGAATCGCCGTCTAGGTGAAACGCGACGTGACACTGATGCGTGCGCTCGGTGTTGCCTAACAGCAAAGGATCCGACTGTGCGGGTCGTCGGCCGCTGCAGGCCATCAGGGCGCCCACGCAGCCCGGGCGTGGTTTGCGCCCCCCTCGACACCGAGTCAGGTCGCTTCCCACGCCGGTCCTGAGCAGTCCTGGACAGCGCGTCCGTAGCAGCTGCTGCAGGCGTGGCTGCCGCGGGATCGCAACGTGTCAGACGCAGCACTTCCTGCGCCACCGCGATGGTCGAATAGATCGCGATGGTCAAAGCATGCCAAAGGTTCCTGCGGCGCGAGGCGGGCGATCTCAGACGTACCGGAGCGCGCCACACGAGGCCAGAGATGCGGACGCTGGACTCGCGTGGGGCGAACGGGGAACAGACGCGGACTGAAAGTTGCGCGCACACCCATCACCTGCGACCGTCAAAGCAACTGTCCCTCAACGATGCGTTCCGCGCCGCTTCCGCGACCGTCCGATCGTCATGCGGGCATCAGGCAGCTCGTCTTAGACGGGGTCACATTGTCGTTCTCGACTCGCTGTGTGTCTTGTCGTCTACCATGCAATCTAAATACCGAGTTTTTCCATGCCGTCGCGAATGTCCTCGTCGCTCGGGCGCTCCTTAGATTTGGCTTCCTCGATCAGCTTGCTGCAAACACGCCCCCGCTCAACAACGTCTTTGTCTCCCAAGCGCCACAGCGTGCGCAGCGAGGGGAGGACCGGAGTGCACGCTCAGCGAACCATGCTTGTGACGAGAGCTCAGGCGCCGCCCCGAGGCGTGCGATTGCGGCCACCTGCGCAGCGCAGCCGCCTACCTGACCAGCATATCGTGCAGTTCGTCACGTCCTTTCTTCGAGTATTTTTTCACGCCGAGTGCTTTGAGACAACATTTGATGTTTTGATCAGCAGCGGTCAAACCCCGGAACTTCTTCTTCGCAAGGTCCCCAACATCCTTCCTGAGTTGGCCCCTAGCATCCTCCAGTGCGTCTTTGCTGTACTCGCGCACTTTGCGGCGAACGTCATCCAAGAACTGAAGCTGGAGGTCGCCCAGATCGTTCTCGGATCCGAACTGGATGTCACTCAATTTGGGCTGCGCGCTTGGGCCGCCGCCGGGAGCGGGTGAGGGCGCAGCTTCAGCCATGGCGGGTGGTGGGGGCACAGGCGCTGCAGCCGGGGCTGATGAAGTCAGGGTGCCGTGATGTCCTTGGTCATCGCCCTGGTTCAGAGCCTCGCCGACGGCGAGGTCGTTGCCGTTGCCGTTGCCGTGCCAGACATGGCCTCCGACGGCAGTTCTGTCCTCACCGCCACCGCCACCGCCGCCCCCGACGCCACCGCTGCGCCCACCCCCACCGCCGCGTGCAGCGTCGTCGTCGCGCCCAGCGCCAGCGCGGTCGCCGCGGTCACCTCCGCCAGTCTCCGAATCCAACGGAAGACCCCAAGCTTCCAGGAGCATTCTGCAGTGCAGTGACCGGAAACTGTTCTGTTGTTCTTACGTCAGCCCCTTGCCAGCATGCCTGCCGAGTTTCTGTGCACGAGAGCGTCAAATCCAAGACACGGTACGTTCGGATGCCTTGCTCGTCTGGCGGCCGGCGGGGCAAGCGCGTCAGGGCTGTGATGTCACGCACACGAATGTGTGCATGGCGCGCTGCAAGCGTGAGCGCTGGTTCACGTGGACCACCTGACCCTCGCTTTGTGTTCCTTGCATGTCGCAGCCGGTGATCCACCAGGTGGATCGCCCGGATCGCTGCCGTTTGTAATGACGCGTCGCACCAGCGCGAACTCCGTCGGTCCTGCCTTCTGCAACTCGGTTTTCCGCTTTTCCCATGGGCCTTTGTCTGACAGTCGCGAGTTAATGTTCCTGTCTATCTGCGCTGACGGACCTTGAGTGAGGCCGGGTGGGACCACCATACATGCGTTGGCATCAACTACACACAGGGGAAGTCAGGGGTTGTCTCATGTCTAGCGTGAGAGCGCGGAAGGACAATTCTCTCACCAGGACGAGATTTCCAAGGCAGTGCTTCATCGTGTCGTGCCGCGTGGGCCTTTGCTTGTCGAGTTGTTGTCCAGGTAGCAGATCTTGATCTTCCACCGCCTCGAACCATTCTTTCCATTTTTTCGGCTTCCTGGGTTTCTTTGGAATGCAGTGCTCGATGTGATAGCCGCTTGCCTGGACACTTCGTTTTTTCTCCGACTCAGACTCACCCTTCACGGCAACAACCGAGTCGAGACCGGCAGGTTCGTTCGGCGTGCTCCGTTGCACCGGTTTGAACTCTGAGATGATCATCTCGAGGCGCATCAGCAGGTACCTGATGATCGGCCTGCGACCATTGTCAGCCTCGTTGTATATGCTGGATGTGGCCACCCAGATCGAGCGCGATGCCCGCCTCTTGTCCTCGTCGCTCATGTGCAGTGGCCCGCCTGGTTGCGGGCCAGCAGTGCACCGCTCGAGGATTTCCTTCGGCGTATGGTTCCCGTCGGCGAACATCACTTTGACGGTCTTGAGACACCTGCGGGTGAAGTTGACGGAAGACATAGGCCCACTCATTCACGCCCGCACTTCGTCACGGGATGATGGGAACGACGACTGTCATGCAGGACTGCGCGACAGGTACCTAGGTATGTAGGCGGCGATCGCGACAATAAAGTGCACGTTGCGCGCGCTGCCAACTCACCTGTGAACGAAATCCTTGATGACTTGACCGGGCCCTTCGACACCCCCTGGCTCATTCCGGCGATTCCTCTTCGCGCTGATTGACCCGAGGAGGTGCACAACAAGCAGGCGCTCGACCGCCTTCAGCATCTCGAGGCGAAGCTCCCAGTCCGCGCAACACATCATGAAGGCCAGCACTGGCAGCTGCCACAGGAACTTCGGCGACTTCGAGATGGCCGCCTTGTATTCTTCGGAAGGGACGAGGAGTAGAGACAGAGCTGCCGCGATGTGGCAGAACTCCCTGCACGCGTCCTTCTGTTCACGCTGCTGCTGCTCACGCCCGTAACGCTTTTCGTCGTCGCTGCAATCGAGGACCGCACGATTCAGCACGCGGTAGCAGGCCGCCCAGCGACTGAAGTTGTCGATGAGCACCTGTCCCAATTGACTCAATTCCCTCGTCTGCGGCTGTGTGGGAGCCTGAGCGGCATTCTCCGCCGTCGTGCGTTCGGAGCTCACGGCGACACGCTGCGCCAGCTCGTGAAGAGATTCGTCCCCTTCCTGATTCGGGCCCTTCTTGACATCGAGGAGCAAGAGGCCTGTGACCTTGTTGTTTAGGAAGTAATCAGATGGTCCCACGTACGCTGAATTCGACTCAGAAGCGAGACAGCTCTCCATAGCGCTTCCCTCACGGGGTGTCCAGCCGAGCATGTGGATGGCCTTGATCATCTCCAAGAAGCGCAGCGAGTGGAGTTCACGCGCCTCGTCATCATTGGCTTTGGGGCCACGAAACGGCATCATCTTGTCGCAAATGTCCTTGCCAAACTCACTGACGAATTGACTTTCAAATCCATACGTGGCTGTGCGTGCTGCAGGCGCGGGAAATGCAGGTTCGGGTCGGCGATAAAAGGCAACCTTCGCGCGAAACAAGGCTGGAGCTCAGAGCATCTCATGGGAGCTAGAGTAGGCGAGCCAGTCCTACGGGCACCAAGCGCCCGATGGCTGTCGCTTCGCCGCTCATGCGCAATTAAAACCGGAAAATTGGACAAGGTGTGGTCACGGCCCGCAGCGCAACGTGTGGTCGCACCTTGTCCGATTCTCCGATGGCAGGACACCACTGCGGCCTTCACAATGTCTCGCTCTCGCAACGAAAGGCCGGTCGTGTTCAGGGAGCGGAAAACCCTGAGGGCTACGGCCGTCGAGTCGTGAACTTCAACGCTGACGTATGAGGCACAGTTTGCCTCCGACATGCTCTCCCAGAACTTCTCCAAGTTCGCAACACCAAACTCGCTGCCGTGCTCTCGCAGTTCGTCACGTCGCTCTTTGAACTTCTGCGAGGACACGTCCGAGTGTGCCGTTGCATGGCCAACACAATGTTTTCTCAACGGCATGCATCAGACGCCGGCCTCGGAATGACGCGTGGCAGGGGCGCGGACCTTGAACGTGTCGCCGAGCCAGGTTCCAGCATCAGGATCTTTCTTTCGTGGACCTTCTTTATTACTGATGACCTCGCAGATAGCGTCGTACCGCCCTGTCGAAAGAAGTTCGCACTCGCCGTTCTCCTCGGCCACCTTCTCGCTGAAAAACCTCACGGCCACACACAGGCAGGACTGGATCCTGAGCTGCTCATGTTGGTCCTGCGGCTTTGCGGGCACAGTAACGCTCAGTGAGGCTTGGCTTGACTTCAATGTCCTCGTTCCACGGAGGCGCCACTTTGACCGCTACTCGCATCCGGGTGGCCAGAAGACCAGGCTGCGGCGGCAGGATGGCTGGGGCTGCCACAATCACCAGCCGCGCGGTCAAACATGAAGTCATGCGCAAGGTCAGCCAGGCAGGGTCGCGATCGTTGGCTGCTGATGAACGGGCGCTGACCTGGGGGATCTTGGAAGTGAGAAGCTTGTCCACATTGTCCAAAAACCATTTCAGCTCGCCCCTGCCAGGGAATGTCTCTGCGCCTGCCAACTTCCGCATGAAGTTCCTGCCCTCTTGCTTCGATGGCAGGAGGCGGGCGTAATACTGCTTGCGTGCACCCTGCTCTTCCAATCCGAGATGATCTCTGACTGGCTGCATCGCTGTGTCTCGCGCCGATCCCTGATAAGATTCCAAGTCCTTGACCAAGGTGAGGTACTCGGAGATGCCCGCTGCTGGCCTCTCCTGCGACTCTTCGGCACCTGCTGTTCCGTCGCTCCACCACTTGCCGAAACCAGCGCGCCCGAGCACGTAGCACAGGCCGGCGAAAACCAGAGTCAGAGTAGTGGTTCGCTGCGAGCCATCCACGATGTTGAGCACTCGCAGTTCCTGCTTCGCAGTTCCTGCTGAGTCGGGCGATTGGTAAGTAACGGTCCCGAAAAAGGCAGTAGCTGCGCTGCCCGGCGACGCGACGTGCCTCTCGTGGGCGGCCCACACATCGCACAGGAGCTTCTGGACTTGCTCCGTCTTCCATTGGTACTCCCTCTGATACGTTGGGATCACCAGGAGCGCTTTTTCCTGTGGACGTACAATCTCTCTGAGCGGCTTAACGCTTGCTTCGATTCGGTTGGGGGCCGTGCCAGTCGGATTGGGAGGCTCCATCCGGCTCCCGCTGCTGCTTTCGAGGCCCGCTCGGGGTCATGCAAGCGCTTCTTTCAGCACCACCGGCATCGATATGCATCTGCTGCTGCGCTCCGTCACTTACGATGGCGGGGCACTGGATGCAGCCGCGGGACCGGGGGGGGTGGAGTCCCATGGTTCGGGGGGTGTGACTTGCTCCGCCCACCAGCGGTGCCTTCGCGCCTCGAACGCATGCAGGGGGGCCAGGGCATCAATTCATAGTCGAACCCGCACACAGATTCGACGCACTGGGGTGGACAGCACGACCCTCAGGACCGATGGAGAGTCGCGCGCGGTGAGTTTTGCCCGATGCGACGTTGGCCTGCGCTCGTGGTGCGTCGCGGCTCCGCAGCGAAGCAGGTAGAGTGGCCCGCTGCGTGTCCGTTCCGAGCGTCGCTTCCGCCCACCCTCGGCGCTCGGCGCATGCGAGACACCCATCAGCAGGTCCAAGCACCTGACAGGAGCTCGGCGCCACCGCCGCGACTCGCCGGGGGCCGCACCATGCAGCGCATCACTCTCACGGAGCGCCTGGGCGAGTTGTTGCACGCGCCCCGCGGCGTTGAACCACACAACGTCACGGGGGACCGCAGCGACGCAACCTTCTGCGGAAGTTGGGGCAAGGCGTCGCCGGAACCACCGAAGTTCGGCTCTGTTGTTTGACCATGCTGCATCGCCACGATGGCGCGTTTGCAGCGTGAGCTGGCCCCCATGCAGCACAGCCACCCCCGTCGGACCTGACGCTCAGCTAGGTCTTGCCCCGCCACGGAGCTCGTTGCGCCGCCGCAAGCGCTGGAGCTGCGCACAGCGGCACGTATACCACAGTGGCTCGCTCTTTGTGGCGACCAAACGACGTCTCCTGCGACACAGACGCGTGCACTTTGGTCGGAAGCCCATGCGTAGCAAGTGAGTCGGTTGCTCGATGATTCCAGGGCGCACACGGAACGCCCTGCTGCCACGTCCCGGCTGCGTGTCGCACCACTAAGTAGAATCCGCCATGAACGAGTGGGAGCGCCATCAGAAGCGTCTGGATGAGTACTTCCGCTACTATGGGGGCGCTCGCAAGGAGGTGCCCGCAGAGGGGCTTCCCGCGCCCGCGAGCACGGACCTCGACCTCATCCGCGACACGTTCCGGTACGTCGCAACACGCACCGCTCAACAACCCACGCAATGAGGCCGCGAACAGCCCACGAGACGTGCCAAGAGAGCCGCGGCGCAGCCTCACGCGCGAGGCGGACGGCTGCACGGGCGCAGGTTCATCCGCGAGGACGGCGACGACGACGGCACGCAGGCGTCGCGCATGGCGCGGAGGTACTACGACCGGCTGCACAAGGAGTACTGTCTGGCAGACCTGAGTCGGTACCGGACCGGTCAGGTGGGGATGCGGTGGCGCGTCGACGCCGAGGTGATGCGCGGCAAGGGGCAGATCGAGTGCGGCGCCGTCGGGTGCTCGGAGCGCGCGGGGCTCGCGACGTTCGAGGTGCGCGCCGCTCGCAGACACGAAAACATGGTTGCGGAGGCACAGAACGGCTCTCGACTGGGCCGCAGCGCGCCTCGCACAGCCAGCGCAGCCGCAGCTGCGAGGTCCATGCCCTCTGCGCAGCAGAATGCCCCAAAACGTTCATTCTCGTCGTGTGCGTCCCGGCAGGTGAACTTTGCGTATGTCGAGGCGGGGGAAGGGAAGCAGGCGCTGGTGAAGCTGGTGGTGTGTCCGGAGTGCGCGTACAAGCTGCACTACAAGAAGATCAAGGGCCTGAAGGAGGGGCTGCGGGAGCGGGCCGGCAGTCGAGAGGCACGGAGTGAAAAGAAGTCGAGATCCAAAGACAAGAAGTCCAAGCGGGAGAAAGGGAGGAAGAGGTCGCGGAGCCGGAGCAGGGAGCGGAGCGCGCGGCGGAGACGGCGGTCGCCGAGCTCGTCGTCCAGCGGGAGCGGGCGCAGCCGGTAGATGAATAGGCGTGCACAGTGCGCCGGGAGTCTTTGCACCATATCTCGCTGTGAACCGGCAATCTTTCTCTGCCACGGCTCTGATGCGTAGGCCCGGAGTGTCCGCGCGCGGTTGAGCGAGCGCAGCCCTGACCAGGGCCCTGACACGTAAGCTCAGTCTTCGTTGGAAGACTGAGCGCGGGTCAATTGACCCGCTTCGGGCCCTGTGCCCGGCCAGGGTGCTGCGCGCTGAAGGGTCGCCGCACGCGCGCCTCGGCGCCAGTATCTTTGTCGGTCCTGAGAGAGCCTCTGTCGGCTCGTGACGGCCGCAACCGCCCAGCTAGGACCCTGAGCACTGCCACAAACGGTTCCTGCGCTGCTGCGCGAGAGGAGCCGACGCAGATCACGCGCTGCGGGACAGACCGAGTAAACGCGTGCTGCGCTAGCTCGTACGGAACCCTGGCGGCGCGGCGCGGCGATACGAGCACTGCCGGCCCAGTCGCTGTTGTGTGGCGCCGCGGCCAGCCTGGCGTGCTGGGGCGCGCGTAGCTCCTGAAGATGGCGCATTACGGTACGTTCACGCCGCCATGCATGCGCGGCGCCGCTCGCAGCGCCCCGACACGGCAAACGCCGGCTCTCAAGCGTGTTTTCACCACTGGTCGCGCTCTGATGCGGCCCAGCTGGCTCTGGCCTTGGCTCCACCTGCCCATTCCGTTCACAGGACGTATTCCTCTCCATTCAACAGCTCAGAACCTGCGTTGTGCGCTCAGAACCCCCCGTGCCGGCGCCACAGAGCCTCTGCACCTGCTCTCAGCCCGCCGCCCGCTCGGCCTGGCGCCGCCCGCAGATGAGGGCCTCGGCGAGGACGACCTCCTGTACGACGAGAACTACGACGGCGCCGACGACGACATGGGGGAGCCCGAGGACGAGGACGAAGACAACGGCCGTCGCCGGCGCCCCCGCGACTCAACGAACGACGAGTTCGAACGCGACCTTGCAGCCATGGACCAGGTGCCGCCCCCGCTCCCGCCAGCAGCCGTCCCACGGCCCGCACCGCGCGCCCCATGCACGCCGTGCGCCCACTCGAGACCGAAGAACTCACCCGCAGTCTTCCTTCCCCTTCTCCCGCCCCGCAGGACTTCACGGACGCCGCGCCCGCGAGCGACGCACGCGACAAACCCCAGCGCGCCCCCGGCAACGTCGTGGACCACGCCGGCAAGTCCCTCGAGGAGCTGATCAAGGAAAAACAACAAGCGCAGCGCAACAGCCAACAACAACAGCAGCAAAGGCGGCCCCCGCCCCCCGACCGGCACGACAGGCGCGCGGCCGGGCCCCCGACCGGCCACGCGCCCCCGGGCGGTCCCCGGCCGCGGCCCCGCCCGCGCGGCCGCCCTTCGCTGGACCCCCCCGGGGGCCTCCGGGCGGCCCCCCCGGGATGCGGCCCGGCCCGTGGCGCCCCCCGGGCGGGCCCTGGGGGCCCCCGGGGCCCTACGGCGGGATGAACTTCGCGGCGATGCGCGCGTCGATGCACGCGATGCAGCAGCAACAACAACAGATTGCCGCGCAGATGCAACAGGCGTCGTCGGCGGGGACGCTGACGCCCGCGCTGCTGGCGCGGCTGAGCGACCAGCGTGCGCGGCAGGCCGCGCAGCTCAACCTCATCCACCAGCAGATGCAGCAGCGGGCGGGAGGCCCCGGGGCCGGTGGCGGGGCACCGCGGCCCGGTGCTGCGCCGGGCGGGCCGCCCGGGAGCGACGCGGAGCGCGAGTACCAGAAGCGGATGCTGCAGGCGCGGCTCAAGGGCACCGCGGACGCGATCGCGCGCGGGCAGCTCGTCAACGCTGGCGCCGCCGCGACGGGTCCCGGCAGCCCCGGCGGCCCCCGCGGCCCTCCACTGCGCCCGGCGGGGCCTCGGCCGATGCCTCAGCGCGCGCCACACCAGCCGCCGCCGCCCGCGCGGCCCGCGAAGCCGCGGCCAGCCCCGGTTCCGGCGCTGCGCCGCCGGCGGCTGCGGCTGCGCCAGCAGCGGCGCCGTGGGCGGCGATGGGCGCGGGGCCCGCGCAGGGCGCGGGGCAGGGCGCCGACGAGGCGGAGCAGCTGCGGAAGCAGCTCGAGGAGCAGCAGGCGCAGATGGCGAAGCTCCAGGAAACGATTATGCAAATGCAACAGCAGGTCGGGGCGCAGCAAGCCGGGAGCGGGGCGATGCAGAGCGCGGCGTACCCCGCGATGCAAGGTGAGCGCACGAGCAACCCGGCCCGATCAATCACAAAACAAAAGCAAGAATCGATCCTGCTTTGATGGTTGTTGTTGTGCCGTGTCGCCTTGGTTCCGTCCTGGGCATTCGTTGACGTGGTGGGCATCCATCCGTTTGTGTTCGTCGCAGGCGGCGTGCCCATGGGCATGCCCGACCCCATGGGAGGCGGCATGATGCCAGGCCTCATGGCGCCAAACGTCATGGCTCAGATGCTCGCGCTCATGACGAAGAAGAAGAAAAAGAAGGACCGCCGCCGCTCCCGGTCCCGCTCCGCCTCGTCCAGCCGCTCCCGGAGCCGCTCGCGCTCCCGCAGCCGCGACCGGCACACCCGCCGCGGGCGCCGCAACAAGGTCTCGCGCGGGCGGAGCGCGAGCGCGGACTCGATGTCGCGGTCGCCGACGTACTCGCGGAGCCCGTCGCCGCGCGGGCGCCGCGATCTGTCGGGCCCGAGCCACTCGCTGCTGCAGCAACAAGCAAAGGAGGTGCTACGGCAACAAAAGGCCAAGGACGGCAAGGCGGGGGGGGTGTTGAGCAGGCTGGTGCCGCAGCCCGGGGGCGGGGGGCGCGGGCGCGGGTCGCAGCGGGATCCGCGCCGCGGGGGCAAGAAGAACCGCACGGTGTGGGGGGACGAAGGGCAGGTGCGGCCGCAACTTGCGACTTGTGCCTGTGTGGCGATGACCAATGTATCCGTTGACTGTTGCAGTTGATCGCGCGATGTTGTGCGAGGTTGGGAGTGTTGCTGATCGGTCGTGGCTCCGCGTTGCCGTGCAGGAGTGATTGGCTGCGTGTGCCATGACGTGATGGGCGCGTGCGCTTGCGTGCTCTTTGGTGAACATGACTCCCGGAACTTGCACGGCCTTAGGGACCCGATGCAGCGACCTTGCCCGTGCGATACAATCAGAGCCATCCAAAGACACGATAGTATTGCCTCTAAGTTCAACGCCAATCATGGATGGTGTTTCAGAACGTGCCAGTGCCCTCCCCGAACCACTGCCGTCCCTGAGCTGAACAGGCAGCGCTTCTGACGCGCCTTGCCCCCGAATGCTGCACCCGCCCCGCTCATTCTATTCTACGAGATGCCATTGGCATGACATGCAACACACAGACTTTCACCCTGGCCCGAATCCCACACCCGGCAGCCGCGACAAGCTCCGGCGCGCCACTGACGCACGCAGCCTCCCCCGCATTCCCCACCCTCCGCACCCCCAGTCTCAACAAAACACACCCCCCTACAGAAGAAGAGGAGCAACAAGAATCTGATTACATTGCAACATCAAGCACTGCTGTCCACCGCTGAACCACCCGCGCATCCCCACACACGCACGCACGCACGCTCTCTGCGCCCTCGCCGCTCGTCACGTCCCCGGCGCGCCAGGCACAAAAGCCAGCGCATCCCTTTTCAGCCTCTGCACCGACCACGCCAGCCCGTCCACCCGGTCGGGTTCCGGCGCCGCAGTCAGGCACACGCGCGTCTCCTCCCCGGCCAGCCCTAGGCAGCACGACGCCCACGGCCGCCCGCCCGGCCCCGTCGCGAACACCGCAACACTCCCCCCCCCCTGCCCGCGCTTCGCCTCCCGCGCCGACGCCGCCACGCGCTGCAGGTGCCGCGCCGCCGCGAGGGGCACGTCGCGGACGCGGTGCCACGGCGTCGCCTGCCGGATGCCCTGGGAGGGGTCGTGGTGGTGGTAGCGGTAACCGGGGACGTGCCAGTGGTCGTGCCCGGGGACCTCGCCCGCCAGCGCGGCGTCCACCGCGTCGGCGTAGCGCTCGCTCTCCGCCTGCGACCGCGCGGAATCGCCAAAGCACTGCGTCAGTTCGCATTTACTTGCTTTCTTTCTTGTTTTTTTTATTTTATTTTATTTTATTATTATTATTATTATTGTTTTGTGCTTTTCGCGTCATATCAAGTGGCGTGCAAGTGCTGCTGCTACGCGCGAAGGGCCACCGACGTGGTTGCGGTCTGAGTTCTGGACCCTCCGTCGCGCGTCTTCCAGCCAAGGAACTGAAACCTTCCTCGGCATTCGATGTTTCCCGAATCGTTGTTTTTCTCACCTGAATGGCCGCCACGTCCTCGGCGCCGAGCAGCACGTGGCCCTCGACGAGCAGCAGAATCACCAGCGACCGCCCGCAGCGCACGGGCACCAGCGAGGCGCGCCGCAGGTCCTGACGCAGCCCCGCCACGTGGCCCTGTGCGGCTTCGCCCTCCCCGGCCTCACTCGCGGCCCCAGTCCAGCTCTGCGTCTGCCGCTCACCACCCCTGCACGTGCGCTCGTACGAAGCGGTCGCTTTCGTCGAACAGAGACTTCCTGCTGCACAGACTCCTGTGTCCGTGTGGGCATCTCGATCAGCACGGTGTCTGTTGACACCCTCCAGGCGGAAACGACGACAGCAGCGGCCACACATGACGCACGCGGGACCTGTCTTGAGGTCTCAGCGCAAAACCAGCCACCTGGCGTAAACATGCAATGTACAAAACACAGGCCAACTGATTGGCGCGACACACGCACACACGCGAATGACGCGGGCGCTTGCCTGGCGGTCCCCGCATCGCCACCCCTGCGCGCCCCTCGCGCGGGGTGCTTCAGCCACACGTGCAGCGGCAGCAGCAGCCTCCGCGCCGCCAGGCTCTCGCCGAGGTCGCAAGACTGGTTTCCCCGATCTCGGAACGACACGTCCCTCGAAGTCACCGCGTCCTCGCCCGCGGACCCGAACGCCGACCGCAGGCCCCCCCACGGCGGCACCTGCGGCCCCGCGTGCGTCCGCACCACCGCCTCGCGCCCAGTGCTGACTCCGGCGACGCAGGACCCCCCCCACGGCTCCCAACAGGCAGAACTCAGGGCGCGCAGGGGGTGTTCGAGGCTGCACCAGGCCTCCGCGAGCGGCCGGCGGGGCGCCGGCGGGCGGCCGTTGGCCCGCGCGTCGTCGTGGCGCTGCTGGCCTGCCAGGCGGAAGAGGGTGGGGGTGTCAGGCTCGGTGACCCCCCCCTGGGTGCCGTCGGCGGTGTTGCCGAGCGTCAGCGACGCGCGGCGGAACGCGAGGCCGCTGCCGTGGCCGCCGTGCTCGCCGCTGTGCGCCGTCGGGTTCCGCGACGGCAGCGCTGACTCGAGGGGGGTGTCTGTCAGGTCCACGTCAGGCGTGGCCTCGGCGGCGGCCGACGGCACCGACCACGCCATGAACCTCCGCAGCAGCGACGGCATGCCGCTTCTGTCGCCCTCCACGCCACCCGCTCGCCGCGGCACCAGCCCTGACGCCAGCGCAGGACCCCCCCCCTTGAGCAGCGCCGCCGCCGGGCCCGCCGCGAGCCGGTACAGCGCGCCCGTGTCCTCCGGCCCGACCGTGGACGCGAGCACGTAGCCCTCGTGCAGCGCGACGGCGCCCACCGTTGGCACGTCGGGTAGCGCCAGGAGGGCGGCGATCAACGCCCCGACCTGCAGCGACGTGTTGTGGCGCATCTGGAGGAAGGGCACGCCGGCGCTGCGGCCGAGCGGATGCCACATCTCCGCGAAGGTGCGGCGCGCGGACGGCGCGTGCAGTGCGGGCGAGACCCCGAAAGAGACCCCCTTGCGCGGCGCGGTGTCAGGGGGGGGTCTCTCGAGCAGCTCGACGGCGAAGCGGTTGAGCAGCGCCTGGAGGGCCGCGCAGCACGTCGCGTGCCCGCCGCGCCCCGTCCTGCGGGGGAGCCGCACCCGAAAAAGCCACCCCGTGAGATACAATCAAGAAACCATATTTGCCGCTGGCGTGCTGGCGTTGTGTGTATCGGGCGGCGCGCGCGAGGCAGCCGCGCCACCGTACACACCTGGCCAGGAGCGGCGCTGGGCGGTGGAGCAGACGAAACGTCGCGTACACCTGACGGAGCCAAGCTACGATGGCGGGCGGGTCGCAGGGCAGGCCGCAGGGGCGCCAGTCGCGGCGCAGCGCGGCGCACATCCAGACGGTGGAGTGCGGCTCGACGCGCACCGCGACCCACGTGAAGTTCGCCGTCTGCGCAGCGGGGGGCACGCGCGGGGTGTTGTAGCGTGGTGCTGGCCGCGGCCTGGGCGCGAGGCGGGAGGTGTGTGCGCAAGCAGGGCACCTGGATCGTTTTTGAGTCGTCGGCGGTCGGCGCTGGCACGAAGACGTCCGTGAAAGACAGCAGGGCGCTCACGAAGCCCACCGTGGACAGAACCACGTCGCGTGGCGAGGACTCCGGGAAGAACGCGAGGACCTGCAGCAAGGGTTGGATTCCGGATACTCATGGCGATCGGCTGTGGCTGGTCCGGCGAGGTCGCGACGGCGCTGCCGGTGTGTGCGGGCGCTGAGGAGGCAACTGGTTGTTGCGTGCCTTTTCGATCTCGGAACCCTCCGTGCAGCCGCGTGCTTGGTCCAGGACGAAGACACGGACCAGGGGCTGGATCCTGGAGCGGAGCCCGCCCTCGATGAGCCCCTGCGCCATCGCTGCGAGGGCGCCAGCTCTGCCTGCTACCAAACGTCGCCTCGCAGCGCCATGGGCGACTCAGTGCTGCGTGAGGATTCGACCGCGTGAGGATCGTGCTTCTGAGCTCGAACGCGGGCCGCAAGGCACCGCCCAACCTCGCCTCAAGACGCGGACTGGGTCCCAGCAGTATATGATCACGATTCCCGACCACTCAAGGCAGCCTCTTCGGCTTCAGAGGACCGAATGACTACTACTGCCAACAGACATGCCGCCCGAGCCCCGGAATCCAGCCCGCTGCCCGCAGCGCACCGTACCAGCCCACGGCCCCAACTACTTTCACCGATACCGCGTTTGGTAATGAATGCGCGCTCGCACAAACGTGAGATGCACCTAGCACAGAGCTTGTGCACCACTCTTGCGATACCGCCGCGGGACGGGCCCATCGCTTGCGTCGTGCGACGGCTATGGGGTCCTCCTTTCTGACACTGCCCCTGGGGACCGACTGGACGCGGCCCCGAGGCGCCGGTCAGGCGTGTGCGCCGCGCCTCCGCCGTCCAGTCGCTGCGCAGATGCGCCTCGATGAGCGCGCCCCGGAGTCACCTCGGGGGGGTCAGGGCGCGTGCCATTACATGGCAACATGATTTGTTCTTCGTTCTGTTTCTGGTGGCTGCCAGGAGACGTGCGGTCGCGTCGGATCGCGAGGCGCGAGCCCTGCACGCCCGCTGCACCCCGCGGCCCCGGTCGGGGCTGGTCGCGGGCCTGCGGACACCCCACGAGTACTTCTTTGAACTGAGTCAGGAAGGGGGGTGTGATGCAGAGGCAGGGAGCGCCGCTGGGGCCTCATGCGGGCGCCGCGACGCTACGCACGTGTTGTGCGTCCAGCTGAAGCTCTTGAACGAATTCAGCGAAGACCAGGACCGAAAGAAGACGGGTGCAATCTACGTGGTCAGCCGAATCGCTCGAATCTCACTTTTGACGGTATTTCTCACGGCTGCGAGGGGCGGCAATTGTAGCGCATAGCTAGGACTTTCTGTTGCGGCGGCTCCGCGGTGTGCATCATGGGTCGCGGCGGCGCAGCGGCGGCCTCGGCGTGCACGGCCCGCCTGGCGCTGCGCCCGCGCGTGGCGGCCGGCAGGGCCCGCTGCGTGCGCGCGCGGGCGCAGGATGACTTCAAGGACTACGTCCTCGACCTCCAGTCGCGCATCCTCGCCGCGGGAGAACGCATCGAGAGCTCCTCAGGTCCACTTCCTGCCAGTCAGCCATCCGCACAGCCACGCCCCGACGCGCCCGCAAAACCTTTTCAGACGCGCGGAGCTTGATATCAACTACGTGAACGAGCCATCAAATGCGCTGAACTGCGCTGCGAATGCCTGCAGGCGCGAAGTTCCTGCACGATCGTTGGGAGAGGGACCCCGCGGACCCGTCGGCCGGGTTCGGGATCACGTGCGTCCTCGAGGACGGCGACGTCCTCGAGAAGGCCGCCGCGAACGTCTCCAGTGCGCGCCCGCCCTCCGCACGCAGCCCCCGCGGTGACTGTGGAACTTTGCGAGAGCAATAAACATCAGCGCTCCCCCCGCCGTGCTGCGCGCAGTCATCGAGGGCGTGCTGACGCCGGAGCGCGCGCAGGCGATGAGCTCCCGCGGCCGCGCGTCGATCGACCCCGCCGGCGGGCAGCCGTACGCCGCCGCGGCGATGTCTCTAGTGTTCCACTCCAAACACCCCTTCGTGCCGACGCTGCGCGCGGACGTGCGGCTGTTCCGCGTGGGCGGCGAGGAGTGGTACGGCGGGGGCTGCGACCTGACGCCGTCGTACCTCGACGAGGCGGACGCGCGCGCCTTCCACGCGCACTGGAGGGGGGTGTGCGACCAACACTCCCCCGCGCTGTACCCCGAGTACAAGGCGTGGTGCGACAAGTACTTCTACATCCCCGCGCGCAAGGAGCACCGCGGCGTCGGCGGCATCTTCTTCGACGACCTCGCGAGCTCCGCGGACCTCGATGCCGCCGCCTTCACGCGCGACGTCGGCGACAACATCATTCCGTCGTGGGTGCGCGCCGCGCCCTGAAACTGAGACTGCCTGACTGACTCACGAGGGCCTGCCAGCTGATGCGGCGTGGTTTGCCGAGCGAGTGCGCGCGCGGCGTGGGCTTGGCTGGCATATATATATATATACAGATGGAGGCCGTGGCGTTCGGGGAATCAGGTCTGGCGTTGCCACGTTTGGTTGCAGGAGCCGATCGTCGAGCGCCACCGCCACGACGCGTACACGGACGAGCACCGCAACTGGCAGCTGCTGCGCCGCGGGCGGTACCTCGAGTTCAACCTCCTGTACGACCGCGGCGTCAAGTTCGGGCTCAATGGCGGGCGCTTTGAAAGCATCATGGTATCAGCACCGCCGCTGATCCGCTGGAAATACAACGCGGTGCCCGAGGAGGGGTCGCCCGAGTGGGAGACGCTCGAGGTGCTCAGGAACCCGCGCGAGTGGGCGTGAGGGCGGCCGCGGCCCGCGTGAGGCGACTGCACAAGGTGCGCAGTGTGTGATGCGCTGCGCTGAACCGCAGGGCGCCGGACGTCCGCCGAGCGTCGCGCTCGGGTCGTCGCGAGCAGCGGCGGCCCTGCGGCGACGGAACGCGGCCGCCGCGACCGCGGCGACGCGGAAACGAGCCCCGCGTCCCACCGCGCATTGCGCGCCTCGTGGCCCTCCGTTCGCGGCCCGTGCCGCTTCTCCTTCCCCGCAAACGCGGCAGGACGATCGTTGCGGGCGTCGAGAAGTCGTACTGCTGTTACATCAAGGACATCGGCGGGCGCCGCTGCGCTGGCGGGCTGCTACACGCGGAAGCTGGTGGTGCGGCTGCGGGGGAGCTGGTTCTCGCGCAGGGCGTGCAGGACGGCGTCGAGGAGGTGCCTCTCGCGGCCCCACTTCATGTCCACGATCACGACGCGCGCCACGTCGCCCTCCAGCTCGTCCGGCGGGCCTCCCTCCCCATCCTGGGCGCTGGCCAGCTCGTTCCAGTCCTCCATCAACGTCGGGTGATCAAACCTGCGCGCAGCGCACCGAGCGAGACAGTCCGGCCATGGAGAACCCTTCGCGCGCCGGGAATTCGCGAAAAAGCACGGCGTTCGGTCGGGCGGGGCGAGAAAGGATGCATCCGGTTGTCACGCGTACCAGAAGCGGTCCGTGGAGCGCCAGGGCGCGGTCGGGTCGGCGCGTTCGAGCGCGAGGGGGAAGCAGGCGTGGCAGGGCTCGTCGCCCTCGGGGTCGGCGGTCCACGTCGCGACCAGGAGGTCCGTCTCCTGGCTCATTCGTTCCAACGCCGGCAGCAGGTTGAGCGAACAGTAGGCCTTCAGGCAGGCGCGGCGGCGCCGGACGTCGCTCGCCTCGCCCGAGACGTAGCTCGTCGTGACGAGCCCGAGCTCGTTCGCGACCGCGATGTCCTCCTGGCCGCCGTGCTCCCCCTCGGAGTCGCTCGGCGCGCTGGTGCCGCGAAACGCGGCCGCACAGCGCTTGCAGACGCCCGACCAGTACGTCGCGCTGAGGGCGTGCTTGTCCGCCACCATGTCCTCGTGCTGCGTCATCGTGCTCGCGAAAGTGCGCGCTGCGGCGCCCGCGCGGCCCAGCGAGCTCGCACAACCACCTCCTGTCCGACGGTGCCGCGACTCCCCCCCCGGGCCGCGGGCGCAACGCATCGCCACGAGCCGCGTCTCGGTACGTGTGTCCGCACGCGCTCGTCTGCGCGCCGCGGTCCCACGCAACAACGCCGGCCACGCGCCCACTTCTGCAATCGATCGATGACGCAACGCACCACGGCAGAACCGCATCGCACGGAACCCCATCGCTCCCGCGCCGGCGCCGCCCGCGCTCTTCGCGCGGCGCCGCACACCTGCGGACCGCGTCTCCGGTCCCCGCGCTCGTTCTCACACCCGCGGCACTGCACGCAACCCCCCGCCGTCAACAGCACGGCGTTTTCTGCCGCGGTCGTCACGCGGCCTTGTTCTTCCTGTACCAGCGCGCGCGGAGGCTCTTGCACTGTCCGAGGCGGATCGAGTTCATCAGTCCGACGGGGATCGCCGACACCGCCCACCACATGAGCGCGTGCGCCCAGTAGGGGGTTGTGACCGACTCGCGCCCGATGCAGGCCAGGCCGGCGCGCGCGTACGCCTTGGGCGTCGGAACCGTCAGCGAGGGCTTCCGGATCTTCGACATCTTCGACACAACGTACAGCGGGGCCTGCGCGCGGGGGGGGGGGGGTCCAAAACCGCTGCTGGTTTTCTTGTCGGCGATGGAAGCGGGGGCGGCCGTGGTTGCAGGGCGGGAAAAGCGCATACGTGCCCGGCGCTGCGGGTCGGGTTGGGCTGCGTCGTCCTCGCGGGACCGTGCGCGGGAGCGCGTGATGTTTGTTCGTTGCGTGTGGGTTGTAGAGGCGGGGCGGGCGGACCTGGAGCTGGACGTGGATGCCCTTCTCGCGGTACTCGACGTCGAGGCACGCGCTGAGCTTCTCGGCGTACGCCTTGGATGCGGCGTACACGGCGTAGAGGGGGTCTGTCGGCAGGACGGACCCCGCGGCGGACCCCAGGTTGACGATGGCGCCGCGCCGCCGCGCGAGCATGCCCGGGAGCACCGCCTTGACCATCCTGCGTGGGGGCGGCGTGGGCGGGGCTGATGGGGGCCGGATGGGCCCGTGCGCTGGCCGCGGCCGGCGGGTTGGGTGTGTGGCACGCCGCGGGGGGGTGTGTGTTCGTGCGAGTCAGGCGTGCGGGCGGTTGAAGTCGACAGCAAGCTCGGCTAGCGCCGGACGCGGCTAGAATGCAGAGCGGGAGGTCCGCGGGGTCCGGAACCACGATTTCATGTTTGACAGTTGCGCAGAGGCTTGTATCTCACCTGGTGAGCGAGGTGACGTTGATGGCGACGAGGTCCGCGATGAGGTCGTCGCTGACGGCGTCGAAGTACTCCGCGTGCGGGTACGACATGCCCGCGTTGTTGATCAGCAGCCCGACCTTGCGCCCGGGACGCGCACATGCAGTAGTAACGGCCTCGAACGTGGCGTCCGCGGGCTTCGTGAGGTCCGCGGGGATGGTCTCGGCCTCGATGCCGTGCTTGGCGACCAGGTCGCGCTTCAGGTCGTCCAGCTTGGCCGGCGTGCGCGACACCAAGATGAGGTTCATCTTCTTCCCTGCGCACTCGAGAACCGAAGACTACCAGCGATCTGTGCCCAGCACGGCCGGAACCGCGCCGTTCTCGCAGATCCGGGCGCGCTCGCGCACGCTGCACCTCCGTGTGATGTGGCTCGAGGCAGGCGGCCAGAAATCGACCGCGCACGCGACGGCGAGGGACGCGCAGGTGCCGCGAAGACACCCACCTGCTAGGAGCTCCGCGTACGCCTTGCCGATGCCGTCAGTGCAGCCGGTGACCACCGCCCAGTCGCCGTAGCTCTTCAGGTTGCGGCTCGGGCGCAAGAAGTACCGCCAGAAGCCGTTCACGGCGCTGGACGCGACCCGTGCAACCTGCGCAGGGGCACGGCACGAGCGCACGCCTGGTGGCTCGAACACGGACGTACGAGCACGCAACATCCTCCTTTCAAAGTGGACGATACAGCCACGATGAGAACCGCGTCGGACCGCCGCGCAGGACCGCGCATCGCACGCCGGTGTGTGCCGCGGCGCTTGCCCACGGCACCGCGAACGCGATTTCGCATCAGCCTCGCCGCAAACGGGCTCGTCCGCGTGTTCAAGCTGTGGAGATCACGCAATCCGGCTCGGGCGCTACGGAACGGACGGATCCGCGCCCACCTGCAGCCCGCCCAGGACCATGAACAGGAGGGCCACGCCCAGCGCCGGCCACGCCTCGCGCGGCACGTCCAGGAGCGGGGCGGAGAAGACCTCGTGCAGGTTCATCCTGCTGACGCGCCCTCGCACCGCCGACCTCGGTACACGCGGGAATTGAGCGACAGAGCACTGTCAACTGAAAGGGGTGCGATGTGCTGGCGGCGCGGCGAGTGGTGCGTTGCACTGGCCTCGCGCAATCTGTGCGGCCGGGGCCAGCTCGGGCCCGTTGTCCGCGGGCCGTGCGCGGCGCCCCGCGGCTGTCAGACGACAATTGTCCCCCCCGCTGTCAGGATTCTCGTCGGACTGTGTCACAGCGACGTGCGTGGTCACACGAGCGGGGGCCGAGCCCGCGCCCAGGTCGAGCCCGACGCATCGGCACAGCTCGCAAAGGAATAGCTGCGAGCTGCTGCGCCTGTAACCAACGTGCGGTGCGCGTGCCTTGCTCAACGCTGCGGGTCGTTTCCTTACGCCGCGAAGGGGTTCTTGATGGCCTCGACGCCGCTCGTGGGATGGACGACCATGACCGAGGTGCCGCGCGCGACGATGAGGCCCAGGTTCCTGCGAGACGACAAACAAACACAAAATCTCGAGTAGCGTTTTTCGTCTTCGAGGCGGACTGGGAGGCCGCGCCGGCGAGCGCCACGTGCGCGGCTTGGTGCGTGCAGCTCGTGTAGCGCCCGCGGCGCGTTCGCTTTCCGGAGCGTGGGGCGTGGAAGTGTTGCGTTGTGTGATGACGCACCTGGTCTCGTCAGTGACCCGCTGCGGGTCTTCTGGGTCCCGCAGGTGCTCTATCGTCTCGTCCATGACCAGGTTCATCATCTGGTCGTATCCCTTGAGCACGCCCGTGACCTCCCGGCCGCCCTGCCACCACCGGAGCCAAAGGAGGAATGTCATAGGACACAAAGCGCGCGCGACGAAGCGTGATACAAGTCACCCCGGCGCCTTCAAGGTAACGCCGGTGGTCTGGCGGCCTCGCATGGGGTAGGAACGCTCGCGCCGGGCGCTCGCGCGGACGCGTTCAGTCCGTGGGAGTGCACAGGAGCGCCGTCGAATGGTTACGGGCCCGAACGCCTCGTTCGTCGCCATAACGACATGATCCCGAGCGGTCCTATCACGACACAGCCGTCATGCAAGCTGGATGTCAACGCAGGCGGCGTTCTGGCGCAGGAAAGCGCCCTGGGGCAGAAAGCACGGACCTGCAGCTTCACGCGGATCTTCTTGTCAACGAATTTGGCCAAGTCGAGGGCCCATTCCTTCTTGTTCGGACCCGTGCGCTGTTGCGCCGCCATCTCCGCCGCGCCCGCCACCCGGGCTGCTCCCGCCCACGCAAACGCCTCCGAGCGCCGCCGTCCGCGTGTCCACGCCTCAATCGATCAACTCAACCGCCAGCAGGGCTTGCTACGGCGTCGTACGACAGTCTGGCGCGCCAAGCAGGCGGCCCTAGCCCTCGTGCTGTCGTCACGGCCCCATTTCCTGACCGCTGTCTGACGGGTCCCGCCAGACTCCCCACGAGACCACGCCGCGCTCAGCGGCCCGCCGCCGCGCGCCGCAGCGCCAGAGCCGCCGGACCTGGTACGCGCGCTCCTCGTCGTCGCAGCCACTTCGGCCTCCGGAGTAGCAGTGCCGCGGGCTGTCACACCAACAGCTCGCGCTCTTGCGCGCTGGCATTTCGCTCAGGTGCTGCGCAGCGACGTTCTCATGTACTGAGGGAGCCATCGGAACGGAGAGCGTGACCTGGTGCAGCACGTAGCGCCGTGCGCTGCGTTCGTGACAGCGAGACGTTTGGCCGTGAGGGCGTGCAGCCGCCATGGCGAATCGCACGGACAAGGAGGCGGCCGACATCAAGGGCACGAATCCGCAGGTCCGGTCCCGGCGCCTCCGGCCGTGGGGCGTCGAGCGCTCGCGTACAAGCTGCGGTGCTTCTGCCGCACCCTTTCGACGCCGCTGGTTCCTCCCCCGTGCGCCGCTCCGCCGCGCAGAACCTCGTGGAGTACATCGTTCGCCAGAAGGTCTACGACACGCGTTACTGGAAAGAGAACTGCTTCGGCGTCAGCGCGGAGGGCGTGGTGGACCTCGCCGTCGACCTCAGGCACGCCGCTCCCCCCGCTGCGGGCCTCCGACGGCGCCAGCAGCGCATGTCCTGCTGCGAATGTCCACCAGCATGCGGAATCTCCGCACTTCATCGCCTGAGTCGCTCGCGTTGCGACTTCGCGCACTTTCTCGCCCCCTCTTCTCGCCAGGTGCGTCGGGGGCACGTTCGGCGGCACGCGCAAGCCGACGGAGTTCCTGTGCCTGATCCTGAAGATGCTCCAGATCCAGCCGGACCGCGAAATCATCACGGAATTCATACGCAACGAGGACCACAAGTACATCCGTCTGCTCGGCGCGTTCTACCTGCGCCTGGTCGGGCGCGCGAAGGAGATCTACGAGTACCTGGAGCCCCTGTACAACGACTACAGGTCCGCAAGCCCGCGCCCGCTCCCGCGGCGTATTCCGAGCACTTTCGACCGAACATTGCGGCGGAACCGCAATCGAGGATCCTCGACTGGCTGCCACACGCACGCACCGCCCGGCCGCCCCGCAGGAAGGTCCGCTTCCGCGCCCTCGACGGCACGTACCGCCTCGAGCACGTCGACTCGCTAGTCGACAAAATGCTATCTGACAACTTCCTCTTCGACATCGCACTGCCCCGCATCCCGGCGCGCGACCACCTCGTCGAGCAGGGCGTCCTCGCGCCCCGCGTGAGCGTCCTCCAGGAGGACTTCGACGAGCAGCGCGTCCAGGAGGAGGCGGAGCGCGCCGAGCGCGAGGCGGCCGAGCTGGAGGGGCAGATGCGCGCGGTGGAGGAGGCGCGCGGCCAGTCGCGGTCGCCGCCGCCGGGGGAGCCCGAGGACGTGCGGCGGCGGTCGCGGACGCGCTCGCGCTCGCGGTCGCCGCGGCGGCGGCGCAGCCGGGAGCGCGGGGGCTCGGGGGAGCGGTGGCGGCGTACGCGGTCGCCGGAGGGGCGCCGGAGGCGCAGCCGGGAGCGCGGGGGGTCGAGGGAGCGGCGGAGCGAGCGCGACGAGGGGCGGCGGCGCGAGCGGGACGGGCGGTACGATCGGCGGGAGGACGTGCGCGACAGGAGGGGGGGGCGTGTGGACGATGTGCGGGACCGCGACGGACGACGGTCGGACCGGCGCGGCGAGCGGTACGACCGGTACGATCGTTACGAGAGGCACGACGATCGGTACGACGAGAGGCGGCGCCGCGGGGACGAGCGGGAGAGGCACCGCGAGCGGGAGAGGTACAGGGAGGGGGGGAGTGAGCGTGGGGTCAGACGGGGGGTCGAGGAGGTCGAGGAGGGTGAGATCGGGGGTGGGTCGCCGCGGGGCGCGAGGGGGGAGGCGGAGAGGGGCCGCGGGGAGGAGAGGGAGCGGCGAGAGAAGAAGGAGAAGAAGGAGAAGAAGAAGAAGGAAAAAGCCGACTCAGAAGTTGACGTCGAGATAGCGGAGGCGAACGCGCTGCGGGCCAAGCTCGGTCTGAAGCCGCTGCGGTGATCTCGGAGCCGGCGCCGCCCACCTGTGACCATGCTGAACGCAACGGCAGGCTGAAAGCAACGGCAGATACAAAACCAGGCCTTCCGGCCGCTTGCCCAACCATGCGGCGGCCTCGAGCGTCCGCGCGGGCGTTCGCGCGCAGCGCATGGTACCGGGCGCGCAACCACACCCCCGCAAGTCCACACGACTCAATACACCCCCCTGCCGACCCCCCCCCCAACGGCGCAGCATGTAATCACGCGTCCTTGCGGGGCGCGACAAGTTCGGCCGCGCTGGAGGCGCGCCGGCTGCGAGGGGGCACGCACAGCCTGCGGGGCGTCAGCGGAGCACGATGGACATAGAGTCGCACCCGATTGAGATCGATGAGAGTGGAGTGGTGGCACTGCCGCTGTCTGCGGCGGGGCGCGACGGAGGAGGCGGGGAGCGGACGGACGAGCAAGATGCGATGCTTGGAGAGTATCTGTCGGTGCGTGCGCCCGCGGCGGACCCCGCGCCACGCCGCCTGAGCCAGCGCACCTCCGGCGCGTGCATCTCGACGTGCTGCGCTGGCGCGGTACGGCGGCAAGACACGCCGTTTATCCGCGCTAGTGATCTTTCAGCACTGAGGCTTGGCACACTGGAAGTTTAGCTGCGTATAGAGCGCTGTGCGAGCGCTGCGGGCGCTGCTATGTCGGCACGGACACCGCGGTCCCGCGCGCGTCGATTTTCGGACGCGAGAGCGCGACGTGTGTCCCCGCGACCCATTCGCCGGAACGCTCAGGCCGCAGACGGCCGCGTGGCCCCAGCGAACGTGTGTGGCGCGTCCGATGGAGGGCGCTGCGCGGCTCGGTTCGTGAGGCAGTTGCTCCGCCAAGCAGCACGTTCGCGCCGCCTCACTCGCGCCTCGTGTCGCGGGGCGCCGTCTATCTGCACGCGAGGGTGCGGCACCTCGCAACCGCGTGGCGGGCTTGAGAAGCAGGTCCAGCATTGATGCGGCGCGCAGGTGGAAGTCCTGAGGGAGGGAGAGTCGCCAGCCAAGCGGTACAGTCTACGGACGGGACACCTGGTGGCCCACATCAAGGAGTTCGTCGCGAAAGATCTCGGGATACCAATGGAGAAGCAGGCGCGCCACGCGACCGCCCCGAGCGCGCCCGCACCAGCCTGGTGCCGCCACACTGCACGGTGCCAAGAAACGGTCGCCGCAAGAGCGCTCGCGTCCGCCGCGATGCCTGTTCCGCCGCCGAGGCCCGTGCGATCGTCGATGTGGTCACGAAACGACATGAAAACATGTCTTCATCCGAAGACACTTGATTAATTAATATTACTTTGATATCACTTGTACTATTGCAGGTGCTCATGTACCAAGGAGCTCCGATGATCGACCCGCTGTCGCTCGTGGACTACCCGGGCTTCAAGCCCGGCGCGACCGTGCAGGTCACGCTGCGGACGGCGTGACGACGGAATTCCAGACCTGAAATCTCGAGTAGGAGGAGCGCGCTCCTCCCAATGCGCACCGAGGTAGCGCGCGGAGGCAGCGGAGCGTGTGACCGCCGCTCCGCACGCGCGCCGCGCGCACCGCGAGGCCCGCGCGCCGCTCTGCACAGTCGCAACTGCGTGCGCGCGACAGATACGCAATTCTCGAGTCAGGGTGCACTTTTACGTTCCGTCTCACCGCCGGTCGCAACGTCAGCCCCCCGCGTCGCGGCGCGCGGGCAGTCGCAGCGCTCCGGACAGGCGCGCTCGTGCGCGCTGCTCGCCGCGATGCCAGCACCAGGCGCCGCCCGCGTCTCCCCTGGGCCGCGTAGCCACCCACCGCAGTGCCCTGTGGCGCCGCGCGTCGCGCGGCCGGGCCAGCGCTTCCTGTCGGCGCAGATACACATCAACGTGGCTGTTCGGCGCCGGAATAGCGCGGCCCACGCCGTCGCGAGAGCCGTGGCGGACACGGAGGGTGATGGCACGGGCCGCAAGCTTCCTGCGACCAAGGGGCAGGTGTCGAGGATGACGAGAAAGGAGCTGGTGGACGCTGCGAAGTACATGATATCGCAGCGGGGCGCGGACCCGCGCGTCGACGCCCAGGGCGTCGTGCATTGCCTGCTCGAGCTGTCGGCACGGGCTGCGGGGAAGACCACGGCGCGACGGCGCCGTCCGGACCAGGCGAAGGTGGTTGGGAGGCTCGCGGACATCTACCTCGAGGAGGTCGAGGAGGGCAACGCGAATGTGCGGCCGAAAGACCTCTGCCGCGTGCTTGCGAGCGCGTGGCAACTCGGGCAACCCGTGCACCCAGAGCGCCTCGCTGCGGCGGACGAGGCGGTCGCGCGCTTCCTGGCGCGCGACGGCGTGGCTGCACTTGGTGTCGCGAACGTCGCGCGCGCCGTCACGGCGCTCCACGGCCTCGGCCACACTCCAGGCACGCGCCCTCCCTTCGCCGCGACACTGTTGCGTCCTGCGGCCCGCTCCGGCGGAGTCGGCGCGTGCAGCGCACGACGCCACCCGCTTCTGGCTCGCCGCTGCTCGAATTGCGCCGCTCCAGAGCGGCCAACCACGTCGCAGCACCGCTGAGCCCGGGCGACCATAATTTCCGATTTGTTGCTCGTCTCTCCGCAGATGCCGCGCTGGCCGCGCTCGAGGCCTGCGCCCGCACCGACCCGGCCGTGCTCGCGGGCCTCCTCCCGAACACCGCCACCGGCGTCCTCGCCACCTTCACACCCCCGAGACCCCCCCCACACTCCAGCGCATCCACAGCGGCGTGCCCGTACCCGGCCGTGTACGCGGCCGCCGAGCTCGCGCTGCTGTCGGACCCCCGCACCTTCGCGCAGTCCCGGCCCCACACCGTGGCGCTCTTCCTGAGTCAGGCCAGGCGCCTGCGCCGCGCACCCAACAGCAAGGTCCTAGACCTCGCTGCGGACACAGTGGAGCGCCGCGTGCGCGAGTTCGCGGTCCCGGACCTCCTCTCGTGCCTGCGCGACCTCCGGCTCCTCTCGGACAGGTGCGAGAGCTCGTTATCTTTCGAGCGAAAACTATCTAAGAGTTGCTATGTTGGATTCCACGCCTGCGTGGATCGAAACCCGCCACCTTGATGCTGGTCGCGTAACTGTGCAATACGCCCTTGAGGCCGTCGTTTGCTTTGACCATCAGGTGCATGACGGCGTCTGCCCGGAACATCTCATTGTCTTGGACGTTCGCTCGCCCGACGTAGTACGTTCCGATCGTCGACCTCGGGCAGGCATTGTTGTGCTCGCTCGCCTGCCGATGGTGAAGGCGGCCGACGACCTCAGGGGCGTGTTGCGTAATTACGCGACCAGCCTGGCGCCTCGAGTGCGCTCACACGTCCGCCGACGTCCCGGCACGCCGCAGGCAATACCTGTCGCTCGCGAACGAGGCCGCGGCGTGGCTCATGGAGCGCCACGGGCCGTCCGCGCGACCGCAACGGGCACACAGCGCTCCCGGCAACGCAACCCCCGCGGACGAGAGAGAGAGGGGCACCGGGCCCCCGTTTTCCGAGATGTGCGACGCGGTCGCGACCTTCGCGGCGCTCGACGTGGACCCCGGAAAGCTCCTCGACGTCGCGGCTGCGCGCGCCGCGGAGCACTGGCGACGGCACGCCCAGGTGGATGATCCCGCCAGTGCGGCGCAGGGGGACTCTCAACACCCCCCCTCGCCGGGCGCTGTCGGGCGCGCGGCGCCGCTAGACGCCGCAGAGGATCAGCGCAACGCGCTGGAGCTCATGAGCGGGTTCGCGGGCCTGCGGTTCAGCCCTGGGAGGGGGGTGTTGGTTCTCGCTGAGTCAGCGCTGCTGTCAGGTCCCGCGCTGACGCCGCACGTGGCGGCGCAGGCGCTCTTCGCATTCGCGGTGCTGCTCGAGCAGTCCGGCGGGATGGTGCCGCGGGCGCTGCTTGCGGCCTGCGAGGATGCAATGGCGCAGCCAGGCGCACTGCAACGGTGCGGGACCAGGGACCTGGCGCGGATGCTCTGGGCGTTCGCGCGGCTCGGCGTGCGGCCACGGACGCTGATGGACGACGTCGCGAAGCAGCTCGGCAAGTCTGCGCAGGTGCGAACACAGCCACCTTGTTTGTTTGTTTGGAGTCTCTTCGAGCCATTTGAGTCATTAGATAGATGCCCGCGGCGCTGTACGTGGACGCAATGGTACGCATTGCCGCAGATCCGCGCGGCCCATGGTGTCCGACCGGCCGCGCGACGGCACGTCCGTCGCGACGCTACAACTGGAGTGTCCTCTGCACCGCTATCCGTGCAGGCCGTCGCGAAGGGCAGCGCGGCGCCCGAGGACCACTCCGAGGCGCTGTCGCGGCAGCCCGCAGCGCTGCATATCGGCAGCTTCGACGCAACCGGCGTCTCGATGCTTCTGTGGGCGTTTGCCTCCCTCGACTACTCCTGGGGGTATCTCGGGAGGCCTCTGCTGCAGGTCCGGCCCCGAGGCCGTCATCCACGCCTGCGCCATCACGCAACCATACGCGCGGATGATTTTTCAGACGGCGTTCGGTATTCACCGCTCCAACCCTCCTCCACCGCGCCCCGCCGGCCGCGCAGGTCGCGTGCCTGCGCCTCCTCCAAGAGCTGCCCCCGCGCGGCCCGGGCCTGAGCCCGCGCGTCGTCTCCAACGCCCTCTGGGCCTTCGCCCGCCTCGGAATGCACCCCGGGAGTCATTTCATCGAAGCCATGAGTCAGGAGACCGCCCGACAGATCCGGCTCTTCGGTGCCCGCAGCATCGCGATGATCGTGTGGTCGCTCGCGTCGCTCTCGTGCCCGCCCGCGCAGCCCGGCGTCCTCGACCAGATCCTGACCGGCATCGCGTTCCAGCGGAGCGGGCTGCAGCCGCGGAGCGCCGCGGTGATCGCGGCGTCGCTCGGGAACCTCGGCATCGAGCACCGGCCGCTCAGCGAGATGAGCCGACGCATGGTACGCCCGACGCTGCGCCCACAACGCGCGCCGCTGACGTGTGCTGTTGTCTTCATGCCCGTTCCTAGACCGGGCGAGCTTGGCTGCTACCGTGCTGCGCAGCTGGCGGACGAGCGCGTGCGGATCGAGCCCGAGGTCCTCGCGATGATGGCGTACTCCCTCGGGAAGTTCCGCCACGAGGGGCCGTCGGCGGAGCCCACTGCCAGGGCCATCTGCCGGCGCGCGCGCGCCCTCGTCGACAGCCTGTCGGCGCGGCACTGCGCCAACGTCATGTGGGCGCTCGCGCGCCTCGAGTGCTACGACGCCGAGACCATGCAGCCCCTGAGCGACAGGATGCAACAAGAGCTAATCGCGGACATGACGCTGCGCCCAGACGACGACGACGACGAGGTCGCGGAGCAGCCGCCTGCCGCGAAACCGGAAGACGGGACGCGGGGGGGCGGGCACGGGGAGCGGGACTCCCCCTCGGGGGGTTTTGTTGCGGCCGCAGCTGACAGCGGGGGCGGCGATGAGGTGCACGACCTGTCAGACGCGGAACTCGCCGGGTGGGGCGTCGAGGGCCTCCCGGCCGCGCTTTTGTGGAACGACGGCGCGCACCCGGCGCTCGACAACGCGGACGTGCTCGCGAGCGACCTGCGCGTTGCGAGCGGCGGTGATGCGTCTCGGGCGCCCGGGCTGTTGCCGGCGCAGCTGGCGGCGAGCGCGCTGTGGTCGATGGCGCTCCTGGGCCACCGTCCGCCGCGCGCGCTGCTCGGCGCGATCGCGGTGGCGCTGCGCGGGGAGGACGGTGCGCTGACGCCATCGGAGCTGTGCATGGCGCTCTGGGGGCTCGCGACGCTTGGGTTTCGCGACGAGGACCTCGCGCATGCGGAGAGGGCCGTGCGCGCGGGGAGCCACCGGCGGCCGCTCGTCGACTGCCTGATCGCCCGGCTCGAAGAGGCAAGCCCCTCCTCGCGCAATTTCAGACCCTGGTTCTCGATCCCTCGTCACAACAATGTCCCCTTCCACTCACCCATGCACACCTTCCAGCGCCACAGCCCCGCCCGGCTACCGCACCCGCGCCGCCTGCACAATCACTCTCCCCCCCTAACGCCTCCCTCGCCTCCGAGTCCCGCAGGAGATGCGTGCGTTCGCAGGGTACCGTCTGACGGCGCGAGAGGTGGCGCAGGTGACGTGGGCGCTCGCGTGGTTCAGCCGCCTCGCCTCCCGCCTCGCCGTCGCGGCCTCCCCGCTCGCCTCGGGCCTCCCCGCCACCGCCCTGGCCGGGGAGATCCTCCCCGTTGCCGACGCGTGGCTGTCGCTGCCGACGCTCGAAAGCGCAACGATGCTCCGGCAGGTGCTCGTCGCGGAGACGCTGTGGCGGACGGCGGCCGCGAGCGCCGGGCGCGGCGGGACGGCGCCGCCCGTGCAGCTCGGGGCGGGCCTGCGTCAGCGCGCGCACATGGTTCCAGACTCCCCCCACCCGCGGGGGGTCCGGGCCGGGGCGGCGGGCGGGCCGATGGGGGCGTGCGCGCCGCTGGCGGCGCGGCTGGAGCGCGGGCCGGCGTCGTTCATCCTCCGCCGGCTCGCGGTCGGGGGGGAGGTGTTGTGGATCGACCAGGGGGGGGGTGTCTCCGTGGGGGACTTCGCGGCGCAGCGCGGGGTCGCGCTGATGCCCGTCACGCCCTCGGACCTCGCGCGCGGCGCAGGGCCGCCGGGGCTCCTCGGGCTCGCGGCAGCACGTGAGGTGAGTCCCGATTTACACCCCCCCTTCCCTCTGCCGCTCATTCGCCCCAACACGGCCGTCCTCGCGCCCCGCGGCACCGCACCGCACGCGCATGCGTGCGCGCACGGTACCGACGGAGAGCGCGCGCGCGTGCCTGCCACCGCAGCGGATCCTGCGCTTGCGCGGGGCAACAGTTGTGCTGGTGCTGGCCACGGCGGGCGGCGCGGACGGGCTGGCGGTGGGCGCGGAGGGCTGGCTGGGGCGGCCCACGCTGCGGGTGCCCGGCGCGGGTCTGCTGCTCGTCGCGGGCCCCGGCGAGCAAGATGTGCTGCACTCGTGTGCCGCTGCGCTCGACGCGTGACGGTGCGCGGGGGCGGGAGACCTGCGACGCGGATGGGCGCGTCAGTTGCGTGTGAGGCGACGCAGGCGGGCGGCGGGGGGTTCCGGGGCGTTTGAGGGGGGGGGTGTGTCGGCGAAGGCCGACACACGGGCGGTGGACGTCTCCCGGCGCTCCGAGCGTAGAAGGTTGCCGCGCCGCGCCGTGCTGGGTGGCCAGATTGTAGGATTGCGCCCCTCACGCGAAACGACTGCGCTGCGAAGCTAGGAGCGAGCCGCGTTCGCACGTCGGCCGAGACCGCGAGCCGAGCAGGAGTGCCCTAAGCACCGACCACGGCGGCTGCGCAGTCCGCGGCTTCGTACCTCCTCGGAACCAGCAGACTTCCAACTCCCGATATGAACGTCGCAGTGCGCGGCCCAGGCCTGGTGGTCACGGCGCAGGCCGGGCACTCGTCTCGCGATGCCCTCCCTGGAGCCGCTCAGCCGGCCCCGCGCGCGTCCAACGCGCCGCGGAACGGTTCCTTGAGATCCAAGGGCCGCATCTCGCGCACCGACGGCGCGGGAAAGTCCAACGTCGTCGCGTACACGAGCACCGCCCTCGCCTCCCCCGCCACCGAAGTCGACCTCCCGGCACACCTCCGGACCATGAATATCGTCTTCGTCTCCTCCGAGGTCGCTCCCTGGTCCAAGACCGGAGGCCTCGCCGACGTCATGGGCTCCCTCCCCGAGGCCCTCGCGGCGCGCGGCCACAGGCAAGCCCAGCCCCCCCGCCAACGTTTCCGCCCTCCCGCGCCGCACACGCGCCGCGCCGCCCGCCCCCCCCGCCGACCCCGCACGAACCGCCGCGCGCGTTTCGCCGCGCCGCCCGTCACGCGCGCGCACCGCGCCCACCCTGCCCACCCGCCCCCGCCCGCTACGCTGGCGCCGCCGCTAGGACCGTCCCCGCGGGGACGCGCGCAGCCCCGCACCCCCTCCGGGCTTCTCCCGCACCTAGCCTACGCCTCGGGCACTTTCTTGCGCCCGTTCCGCGCCCAACCGCGCCGCGCGGGGGTGCCCTAAGCAGGCGTTCGCCTAGCCGAAAGGGCCTGCAACCTGGTTTCTTCGCTCTCGCGCCGCGGCTCGCCGTTCCCGCCCCACCCGGGCCCCCGCGGCGACCACCTCGAGCGCCACCAGCCCCCCGCGCGCACACGCGCCCGCTCGGGCGCCCTGACCGCGCTGCCTGCGCCCTAGCCTGGTGCTCCACAGCACCGCAACGCATCGCCGCCTCCCGCTCACGCCGCACCCCCCCGCCCGCCCCCGCCTCGCGCAGGGTGATGGTCGTCACGCCGCGGTACAACGGCGTGCCGGAGGAAGCGGAGCCGTCCGGGACGGTGGCGGACGCGCAGGGTGCTGATGTGCACTACAGTGTGTTGCAAAAGGACGGAGTGGACTACGTGTTCGTGGACCACCCGTCGTTTTCGCGGCCGGGCGGGCTCTACGGCGACGTCTTCGGGCCGTTCGGCGACAACCAGTGGCGCTACAAGACGCTCTGCCTCGCCGCGCTCGAGGCCCCGCTCCTGGTACGTCGACCCGCCCGCAGTCTCGAATTCTCGTCTCCCAGCGCCGCGCCCGCGCCGTTCTTCGCCGCGGCCCGCGCGCACGCCCAACGCCGCGCCGCCGCGCGCCCCGGCCCGCCCCTCACCCTCCACGCGACCCCCGTGCGCCCCCGCAGCTCGACGTCCCCGGACGCGGCCGCTATGGCGAGGACTGCGTGTTCGTAGCCAACGACTGGCACGCCGCCATGGTGCCGGTCTACCTCGCCGCCAAGTACCGCGCGCACGGCGTGTACCAGTCCGCGCGGTCCATCCTCGCCATCCACAACCTCCGCCACCAGGTCCGCGGCCCCCGCGACCCCGTGCAGGCGCACCATGCTGTCGCGCACGCGCACGTCGCGCACGCGCCGCCGCGGCAGTGCCGCGCGAGGTCGCGCGAGGCCGCGACTCCCGGGCCTCGCAGCCACCCTCCCTGCCAGCGCGAACCCCCGCACCTTCTCACGGCGTTGTGTTTTCTACCTTGCGGTGTGCAGGGGGTGTTTCCGCCGGGGACGTTCAAGGACCTCGGTCTGCCGGACCAGTGGTACGGCTGCCTGGAGTGGCAGTACCCGCCGCACCAGCGCATGGGCGCGTACGAGGAGGAGGGCCGCGCGGTCAACACCATGAAGGCGGCCATCATCACGTGCGACCGCGTGGTCACGGTGTCCCCGACGTACGCGGGCGAGATCCAGTCGCCCGAGGGCGGCTGGGGCATGGAGTGGCTCCTCGGCTCGCGCGCCCCCGTCGTCAACGGCGTCCTCAACGGCATCGACGGCGAGGACTGGGCGCCGGAGACGGACCGCTTCCTGCCCACGAACTACGGCCTCGAGGACTTCAAGGAGGGCAAGAAGGCGAACAAGCTCGCGCTGCAGAAGGAGCTCGGGCTCCCCGAGAACCCCGACGTCCCGATGGTGGCCTTCATCGGGCGCCTCGACCAGCAGAAGGGAACGGACATCCTGTTGGAGAGTCTCCCGTGGCTCATGGCGCAGGGCGCGCAGCTGGTGTGCCTCGGGACGGGCACGTCGGACCTCGAGAACGGCCTGCGCTGGGCCGAGGGCGCGTACCCGCAGCAGGCCCGCGGCTGGGTCGGGTTCAACGTCGAGATGTCGCACAAGATCACCGCCGCCGCCGACATCTTCATTATGCCGAGCAGGTTCGAGCCGTGCGGGCTGAACCAGATGTACGCGATGCGGTACGGCACGGTGCCCGTCGTGCACGCGACGGGGGGCCTGAAGGACTCGGTGGAGCAGTACGACCCCTGGACGGAGTCGGGCACGGGATGGCACTTCTACCCGTGCACGGCCGCGAGCCTGATCCACTCGCTCGGGCTCGCGCTCGCGACGTACCGCGACCACCCCAAGGCCTTCGAGGGCCTCCAGCGCCGCGGCATGGAGCGCGACCTCTCGTGGAACAAGGCGGCGGAGAGCTACGAGGAGATCTTCCGCTGGGCCAAGATCGACCCGCCGTACGCGTCGTGAAGCGGTCGCACGCGCGCGCCCAGACCCCCGCAGCCCCGCCATACAGCCCGTGTACCGTCCCCCCGCCCCCCCCCCGCACCGCGCACGCCCTCGACTCTTACTGCATGCGACGGGGTCTCGGAGCGCTGCGGCCGCCGGTCCGTGTACCGTGTGCCGCCGTGCGCGCCGTCAACCTCGACCCGTGCGTTTCGTCCCGTTTTGACAACCTGCATGGAACTCCTAATAGCAAGAACTGGATCAACCAACTTTCATCAAATACCTAGGAAACTCGAATGTGCTAGCGACCAACCCAAGCCCGCTTCAGAGCCGCAGTAGCCGTGGCAGCCCGGCGCCGGGACGCGGGCCGCGTCCCGGGCGCGCGGGCGTGCGTGCGTCCCCTGTGAGCAAGTACGACAGTGCGACGATGACGATACCGGCAGGCGACTGCTGGCGGGCGCACAGAGGATACGGCGCCGTGCGAGTGGCAGACGAGTGGCTGGGCGGCATGTCGATGCGTGCGGTGCATGCAATCCGGGAGGAGAGGGTAGCGGGGGGGGTCGTGCTGCCTGGGGGGGAGTCGCCCTGTTCAGTCTGCCTGAGAGCCCAGAGAGGGTTGGGCGCGGGCCCGGTGTTGAGAGGCAACGGCGCTAGGGAAGGCGGGCAGTCGCCCAGGTCGTCTGAGTCTTGTGGTCGCCGACTCTAAAGCCGAGTTGTTGTGACCCTGCATTGGGTGGTGTTCTGCGCACGGCGAGGCACGTGGAGCTCTCGGGGCACGCGCTTCGATTGGAAAACGATACCTGGAGTGTACATATCACTGAGAGCCTGCTGGTAGCGCTGTTCGTCGACGCTTCGGCCTGTCTCGGGCTCCTCCTTCGCTCTCAAGCAACCGCCGCGGGCTCGGCGCATCCGGGCCCTCAGGGCCGCGCAGCGAGACATGGCGTACACGCCTGCGTCCATGGGCTCGATCGTGAGTATCGCACCCCGCCGCACCCTCCCGACATGCGCGGAAGCGGCGCGTTGCCTCAGGGGAGAGACGTTCTCGACGCTCCTGCGGCTCACCGTCTCCTGTTGCCGATGATTTGCCACGGGACGGAGCTAGATGTCGACCCACATCCGCACTCGCGCGGCCAGATCTTCTCGGCCGCGCTCTGCGTCGCGACGGGCCCCGTTGTGCCCGCGCCCACCGCAGAGCGCCGAAGTCTTCACGCTGACGTACGGCCAGCTGGTCCGGCAGCTCATGACCGACCACCAGGACGTAGACGAGGTCAACTCGCGGCTCGACGCCATCGGGCACTCCATGGGCGTCCGCCTCGCGGACGAGTTCCTGGCCAAGTCAGGCACGGAGCGCTGCCTGACGTTCAAGGACGCAATCGACAAAATCGCCAAGGCGAGCACCTCCCCCACGCTCCGGCACGGGCGGGCAAAGCGCCCGTCGGCCGTCAGCTCCGCGCGGCGGAAGATGGCACAAGTTCGGCACAAATTTGTGCTTTCTCGTTTTGTGTTGCCCCGCCGCGCCGCAGCGGTCCCGCGGGGCGCACGAGCTGGCCACACGCGCAGGACTGGTCGCACGCTGCGCCGCAGGCGGCGCTGCCGATGTTCCTCGGCGTGGAGGCCCAGGTGACGGCGTGGGGCGCGGACGGGCGCGAGGTCTCTCTGGTGCTGCACGAGAACCCGCTGACGGACTTCGTGGAGCTGCCGCGCGGCCTCGAGGGGCTGCAGTTCAGCCAGGCGCTCTGCGGCGCGGTGCGGGGGGGGCTCGACGTGGTGAACGTCAGGGTGGACTGCAGGGTGGTCAAGGACGCCCTGCGAGGGGACCCGGCGTACGAGCTGCGCGTGCGGCTGCTGGAGCACCAGAGCGAGGAGTACCCCTTCAACGACGACGACTAGGCGCGGCGTGCCGGCGCCCCCCGGGCACTTCCTCAGGGTGTGCCGCTGTAACGCACTATCCGTGACGTTGCATGTAGTAATGACAGTCGGCCTGGCGATCTTCGCTCGTGGCATCGAGGATCTGCTCCAGGCTGACTCTGTCACAGCTGCCGAACCTGTCGCTACCATAACGGTGGGGGGTTAGCATGACGCGCCACCTAGTCGAATGATCCTTTCAGGTGCCAAAGCCTTATGGCTGACGACGCGAAGAATGTGACACCTCACCTCATCGACCAAGGAAAGGAGTGGCCGAGAGCAACGACGCGGTGGAGTATTTTTGTACTTCGCTGACCTACAGGCACCCTCACCGCGAGGATCTGTACGTCGCTGACCTGTTACTTCTTCGCTGACCTACAAGCACCCTCACAAAGTGTTAATTGACCACCCGCGCACGAAATCACCGCGAGGACGCTTCAGCGACCGAAATGGTACGGTAGACGAGGCTCACAGCGTGTAGGGTATGTACTACGTGTAGGGTGCGAGGGCTGCGCCACGCGCTGCATCGCGCTCGCGATCGCGTAACGTTGTCGATCGCGTAACAGCGTCCTCTAGCAACTCGTAGACAGATAGAGTACTGGCTTCGAGTCTTTGCGTCGCCGCGCTGCCTCACTTGCGCGCGGCCTCGAGCGCAGCCACGCGCGCCGCGAGAGCCGCCGCCTCCGCGCGCGTCTCATCGATGAACTCCCGCATCGCCAGCCCGCGGTAAAACTCCACGCAGGCGTGGTCGACGGTGTACTGGTCGCTCTCCGGGTTGTCCATGGCCAGCACGTCGGCGAGGGTGACGTCGCCCGTCAGGCGCTCCTCGACGAGGCTGTACGCCGCCGGGTCGAAGTCCAGGCGGTACTCGTTGGTGCTGACGCAGCGCGGGAAGAGCTGCGCGACCTCCTGTGCGATGAACCCGTTGGACACCGACAGGAGCTTGCGGATGATGCGCGCCTGCTTGTCGGTGCTGCTGTCCGCGGGGATCTCGGTGTCGTACGCGAACGACACGTGACGCAGCTGCAGGAAGCGCTCCAGGTAGTCGGTCCTCGCCTTGTCGCGCACGCTGAACTTGACCCGCGCATCAGAGACCTTCAGCAGGCTGCCGGCACTGTCAACGTACCACCTGCGGATCATGTTGTCCTCGTCGTAGTACTCGAGGGACGACCCGTCGCCAGGGTTCATGATCCACGTGGTGTCTGCGGGTCGCACAACGGTCAGGAAAGATATGCAGTGGGCCCCGCGTCGGCTGTAGGCGGCGTGCGCCTGAAGCGCGGTCAGGCAGGGTCAGCGCGGCCGCACGCCTCTGCCTTGGCACAGCGGGCAGCCCTATGCGCGGGCAGCGACCAGGACGTGGCGCGCACCTCCCGTCATGCCGATCAAGGACGACTCCGCGCCGGCCATGCCGATCGCGACACCATCATGCCTCACCCGCGGGGAACCCGAGGTCTTCAGCCGTCGCACATAGTTCTGGTTGCCGAACTGCTTGGCGTCGATCTTGTCCATAACAGAGTAGAAGCTCCCCACATACGCCTTGACGCCGCCCGTCCGCCCGTCGTAGGTCGTGACGTGCGAGTCGCCAGACTCCCCGCCGGCGCCGCCGCCGCCGCCGCTGCCGAGGGCGTCGATGCGCGCGCTGAGCGCGTTGTCACCTGACACGCGCGCGTTCCCCTCGTTGGTGACCCGCGTGCTGAGCGAGGAGTCCGCGTTCGCCCGCGTGCTGGCCTCCGCATTGATCCGCGAGCTGAGCGAGGAGTCCGCGGCCTGGCGGGCGGTCGTCTCCGCGGACACCGCCGAGGCGCGCGCAGCGGCTTCGGCGGCGAGGTCGCTCGACAGAGCAGCGTCGGCGGCCTGGCGCGCGCTCGTCTCGGCTGCGAGGTCGCTCGATAGAACGGCATCCGCCGCCTGGCGCGCGTTCGTCTCAGCGGCTAGCGCCGCAGCACGCGCCGCGGCCTCGTCGGCGACGTCGCCCGCCAGCCCGGCGGCGAGCGCTGCATCGGCAGCCTCGAGCCTGCTCACCTCGCCGGTCAGGGTGCTGCTCAGGGCCGCGTCCGCGGCCTGGCGCGCGTTCGCCTCCGCGGTGACCGCGGCGGCGCGCGCCGACGCCTCCGTAGCGAGGTCGCCAGTCAGCACAGCATCAGCGGCCTGGCGGGCCGCAGCCTCGGCGGCGAGGTCGTTGGTCAGCACGCCGTCCGCAGCCTGGCGCGCGGCGGCCTCGGCGGCGAGGTCGCTCGTGAGCGCCGTGTCCGCTGCGTTGCTGGCCGCAGCCTCGGCGGCAAGGTCGTTCGTCAGGACTACGTCCGCAGCCTGGCGGCGAGGCCCTGGGTCAGCTGCGTGTCGGCGGCCGCGCGCGCGGAGGCCTCGGCGGCGATGTCGGCTGCCAGCTGGCCATCCGCGGCTGCGCGCGCAGCGGCTTCGGTGGCGAGGTCGGTTGCGAGCGCCGCGTCAGCAGCGTCGAGCCTGCTGACCTCGCCGGTCAGGCTGCTGCTCAGGGCCGCGTCCGCGGCCTGGCGCGCGTTCGCCTCCGCGGTGACCGCGGCGGCGCGCGCCGACGCCTCCGTAGCGAGGTCGCCAGTCAGCACAGCATCAGCAGCCTGGCGGGCCGTAGCCTCGGCGGCGAGGTCCGAGGTCAGCACGCCGTCCGCAGCCTGGCGCGCGACGGCCTCGGCGGCGAGGTCCGAGGTCAGCTGCGTGTCGGCGGCCGCGCGTGCGGCAGCCTCAGCAGCGATGTCGGCAGCCAGCTGGCCGTCCGCGGCTGCACGAGCCGCAGCCTCGGCGGCGAGGTCGCTGGTGAGCGCAGTGTCCGCTGCCTGGCGCGCGGCAGCCTCGGCGGCGATGTCGGCAGCCAGCTGGCTGTCGGCGGCCGCGCGGGCCGCAGCCTCGTCGTCGACGGCGGCCTCGAAGAAGTTTTCGGCCGAGGCGAGCGCGTCCTGGAGCGCGTCGATCTCGCCGCGGACGGAGTTGGCCGCCGGCATCGCGCGGCGCTTGAGCGGGCCCTGCAGCTCAAGCGGAGGCCAGTTCAGTTCAGGAAAACTGAAACTGAATTCCAGTTAATAGTCCCCAGGTGGTGGGCCAGCAATGTCAGACGCAGCCGCAGGAGCCGTGACAGCGCGGGACGCTGCGAGACCGCGTGCTTGAGCGTGGCGTGCACGACAGAAACCAGGATGCGGCAGTCCGTGCGATGCGCGCGGACACCGGCGGTGGCGGGCTGCAGTCAAGTGGCGGGCCCGCGAACGCACGCACCCCGCGGGTGGCGAACGCCGGCGCGGCGAGCACCGCGAGCAGCATGAGAGCGGCGAGCGCCGCGAAAGTCGTCCTCATTGTGCGCCGACCTGCGGACAAGCGGCACATGTGTGACATGAGGGTTGTTCAGGCTGCTCGCGGGGGCGCCTCCGAGCAGTCTCGACGTGATGTCTGCACGGATGGAATCGCTTGAGTGATATCAAAGATGCGATCTGGACAGCTGGCGGGCCAAGTCGTGCGGTGGAGTGTGCGCTACGCGGGGCGTGCCCCTTAGGAGCAACCGATTGTGGGGGCACGGCCCATTCCGGCGCGACCAGTGGGGTCTAGGCGTGAAACGGCGCAGTTCGTGGAGCCTCATTTGTAGAGTAAGCGAATGTGACGGTGCAGCTTCGGAGCGGCTTGCACATCGCCGCGCCCGCCGCAATTTCGGTTGCGAATGAAAACGCTGCCTCGCCGCGAGCTGCGGCGCTTCGACGCGCCGCACGCGGCAGACGCGATGAGCCCACCCATCAAACATCTGCCGGCGTGGCGCGAAACGGCGATATCAGCGCTGCGCTCGACACGCGGCGGCACGGCATGATGCCGCCGGCAGCCGGTGCCCTACGGAGGCATCGCGGCGATCGCAGGCGGCGTTTCGCACCTGATCCCCACTCCCGAACGTGTCGATCAGTTCAGTGCCGCCGCACCGCGCGACGCCCGCCCCTCGAGCCCGCTCGCCGACGACGGGGCGGCCGTCTCACCGATTCAGGATGACTGCGTCACCGTTTGAGGACCTCGTGACAGTCTCAGACTCTGGGAGAACCTGCTTTCCCGGGTCCAACAGCCCGCCCCGGTCCGCCCGGCCCCTAGCTGTGCGAAGCGTTCCGCGCACATTCCGCGCGAGGCTGCGTGGATCGGACGTCGTTGCTGTTGAGGCCAGTTCCTGTGCAGCATCGCAGCGCGTGCTGCTGCGAGCGCCGAATCAGTGTTGTTGCTGCGCCGGTGGTAGTGAGCACACTTTAGCCGTCTCGGGGGGAAGGAATGGCCGGCGGCAAGCGCCGGAAGGCGCCCGCGCGGGCGAAAAGTGTCCCAGCCCCGGCGAAGCGGCCCACGCGGCGCCGGAAGGCCGATGCGGGCGAGGCCGTGGACGTGGCGCCCAAGGTTGAGCTGGTGGACCTGCCCACCGACGTCATCCACCGCATCTTCGCGTGTCTGCGGCCCACGGACGACGAGACCCAGCGGCGCGTGAGGTTGTGCAACAGCGTGGTGCACCCGCTCCACGACGGGTACGAGAGCGCGGACGGCATCGTCTACCAGCGAGCGCTGCTGGCGCTGCGGAGCGCATCGAGGTGCGAACCCCGCACAGCGTGGCAGGGCCATTGACGACGCGGAGGATGTGGGCGTGTGCGCGCGGGGTAGCGCGTGCACTCGCGCATGGAGCATCCGAACCGTAGACGAGGCATCTGAAGTAGCTGGAGCGGCGACGTCGTCGCGGTGGAGCGTCGTTCTGCGACGCGACGCGCTGTGGTTGCTGCCATTGGCAACAGCGGCTGGCGCGAGAGTGTCTCGATGCGTTTGCCCGCCGCCGTTGCAGGAGGACGAAAGAGCTCGTGGACCAGTACGTCGACACCGTCGCCATCGACGGCTCGTTCTCCGCGCGGCGGTGGTGCCACCGCTTGAGGTCGCACCACCGCGTCAACTCCGTGGGCGTGCCGTTCGGCGCGGCGAGCTTGTTCCGCGTCTTCCGCACGAACCTGCCCCAGTTAAAGCACCTCCACATGTTCGACGTCGAGTGAGTGCCCCGCCACTGCTCCCCCAGCAGTTGTCTCCCCTCCAGCACCACCACCTCGCTCGCAGCGGGCGTCTCATCGCGCCACGCGCCCCCCGTTTGCGTCCCGCAGGCCCTCAGCCGCCAGCACCTTCGCGACGTGGCTCGAGACCGTCGCCACGGTCCTGTCAACCGACGGCGTCCAGCCTTCGCCCTCTATGTGCCTCCTCTCCCAGCAGCTTGGGAACATCACGGACCTGCGCGTCTCCATCTGGCAGCCCCTCAACTCCACCGTCGGTACGCCGCAGCCCTCCGCGGCCCACGCCCCCCGCACGCCCCGCTGTTCGCGTGCACGTTAACGTTGCATGCCCCCCCCGGCACGCACGACGCGTCCGTCGCCGCCCCGCCGTGGCCGCAGAGCACTTCCTGGCGTCAGTGCGCTTTCTGCCCAGCCTGCGCCACCTCTCGCTCCGCGTCGGACAGGGAAACGTCCCGGAGAGCAAACACCTCCCCAGCAAGCTCGAGCAGCTGCCAGAGCTCCCCGCGCTCCAGTCGCTGCACCTCGCGGGCATCGAGCTCGCTCCGCGCGCCGTGAAGGACCTCGTCAGCAGCGCGTCCGCGGCCCAGCTCGAATCCCTGCACGTCGCCGTCTCCCACACGACGACGTGGAACGCGTTCGACGAGCACGAGCAGGTCTTCGAGTTCCAGGCAGCGGGAGCCGGGAGCGCGCTGCGGGAGCTGCACATCCTCCAGGCGGGCCTGCGGACGTGCGCGCAAAACCACGTGCACGTAGAGATGCTGGAGTGCTGTCCGAACATCTCCCGGATCTGGCCGGGCGCGTGCAAGGGCCTGAGGGAGGTGCAGATCCACCACCGCTTCGTCGACGACGGGGCGCTCGAGGCTCTGACGGCGCTGGCGCCGACGCTCGAGTCGCTGGTGGTGCGCGACTGGCTGGTGCTGGGGTCGGACGCCGCGGAGATCATCAGCGCGGAGGACCTCGGGGAGTCGCTCGAGGGGTCGCGCACGTGGGGCGTGGCCCAGGCCACGAAGCTGGCCACCCTGACGAAGCTCACGCGGCTCGAGCTGTCAATCTGCGCGTGCGGGGCGTCCGGGAGCTCGTACTTCCATTCGGACGCGGACGGGCAGATGGACGCCACGGAGGCGCTGGGTACGCGAGCGCGACCGTCCCCGCTTGTGCTCCTGCAACGCACACCCCCCTTGCACTGGCCTGGCAACACCGGGTGTGCGCTCCCCGCGAGAGCGCGCCGCGCGTTGCCCGCCCTGCCTGCAGTGATCCTCGCGACGGGCCTGCGCGCGCTGGAGACGTTCCGCTTCGAAGACGTGCGCCGGGGCAGCATCTTCCGAGACGACGCGCTGGCGGCGTTCGGGGAGCTTCCGCGCCTCAAGACGCTCATCCTGGGGCACAGCTGCAACGCCCCGCACTACGACACCACGCGCGTCAAGCGCTGCTTCCTCACCGCGGACGGCTTCAAGGCCCTCGCGGCAGGCCGCCCCCCGCTGCAGCACCTCGAGGTGGTCAACATGCGGTACATGCCGCTGGACGGGCCGCACGCCGCCGCGGCCCTCAAGGCGCTCGACGGGCTCAAGAGCACTCTGCGGCAGCTCCGGCTCCCGCGGGCGTGGCTCGAGTGCGCCCCCACCCCACCTGCCGCTGTGCGCTACGCGACAGGTGGCGTGCACGGGAGGCCGGAACACTCGCGCTGAGATCGTCGTGCCAACCCGTGCGGCGCCGCTCTCGCTGTGCGCAGGGAGCCGCTCCCGGAGGCTGCGCGCGGGCTGGGCCGCCGTCGCAGTGCGGGCGGCGTGAAGACCCTGGCCAACACGCACCTGAGTCAGGCGCTGCGGAGGTCCGTGGACCTGGTGGCCAGCCGCGCGCCCGACGGCCTCGAGCGCAAGCGTTTCGGGAACTACGCGTGGGACCTGGGGCCCAATCCTCAGCGCGACCTGGGTCGGACGAATCTCATGGATTGTGGTTCCGACCGCGGCAAGCAGACGCCTCTGGACCCGAACGACTACGACGACGCGGACGGGGACTGCGAGAGCCTCACGGCGCTCGCGGACGGGTCAAGTCTCGACTCGCCCCTGACAGGCTCGGACGACGAGTACTACTCGGACGACGAGACGGGCTACACAGGGGACGCGGACTACGCCGCGCTGATGGGGACGATGGCGGACACCTTCTGGAACGCGATCCACCCGCCGACGAACGGGCCGGGCGGGTACTGAACGGGCGGGGGGCCGCCCGAGCGCTCGGCGTCTGCACGGGTGGCTCGTGCCTGTTGGAGTGGGGTTGTGCTGCAGCGCGTGCATGCATCGGCACGTCGCGTGTGAGGTGAGGTGCGCCGGAGAAGGGTCGTGGATTCCTGTTTGTTGTTCCGTCCATTTCGAGCTTCGCGGCGGGGCAGGCTGGGGTTGTTGTTCAGAGACTCCTCCCTCGCTCGCTCGCGCCGGCTGTGCCGCTCCGGGTCGACGTCGCGCCGCGTGCGAGCCGCACGCGGCACTCGCCGTCGAGCGCTGCGCTCCACGGTGCCGTCAGGGGGACCCGTCGCCGAATAAATAGTGCCCAGGGGGAGTAATGAGGTGGCAGACTCGGCATCCGGGGCGGTGCCTGCTCGCTGCCGCAGCGATTGTACGTGCAGCGTGCGCTGCGCCAGGGTCAATCTCCGTTCAGGCGCACAGGCTCCACGGTTTGCCGCGCCAGCTACTTTCGTGTTGCATTGCGGGCCAGCTTTTGTGGACCCAACAGCGGCACAAGCACGGCAGCCTCTGCAGCGGACCTGCGCGCAATCGCGAGCTGCATGTAGCATCTTTCAAGTATGGCGGACGCAGAGCAGCCATGCGTTGAGGCGGATGTGCGCGAGGATGCTGGCCCACAACTGCTCGACCTGCCCACCGACGTCATCCACCGCATCTTCGCGAGCCTCCGACCCACGGACGACGAGACGCAGCGACGCGTGGACGTGTGCAACAGCGTGGTCCACCCGCTCCACGACGGCTACGAGAGCAGGGCTGGCATTGTGTACCAGCGAGCGATTTTGGCACTGCGGGGCGTGTCGAGGTGCGGCCGGAGCGCTCGTTTCAGCGCAGCGACGTCGAATGCAGTGCAACCCGCCGGACATCCCAGCCAAACGCATCGGTGCGCGGTGGCGCGGCAGCCCATTCGCTTGCTTGTGCCAGGGGCTTCCGCCCCTGCGCCCGCTGGCGCCGCGCGGAGCACCGTGGAGTGCGTAGCCGGCGCATGCAGTCCTCTGTCTCCGTGCACACGGTGCTCCGCGCCGCGCACCGGGCTGCTACGGTCGCGGGCATGCTCCTCGTGAGCGACGCAGGACCACCTTCCCGCACTCCCCCCCTCCTGCGTGTTCCCGGGCGATCGCGAGCCCCCACCTCGCACACGACGCGACCCCGCTTCATCAAGCGATCCGCCAGGAACCGCCCCGCGCACGCGGAGCGCCGCCCGCTGTGCGATGCAGCAGGTTCCACAGCGTGCCGCTGCGTCTCGGCGTCTCACCGCGCACGTGGCACCGCTGCTCGCGCGCCGTGCCTGCAGGTGCGTGCGGGACCTCGTCGACGCGTTCGTCACCACGGTGTCATACACTGGGAAACACTCCTCCCGCCGCTGGGTGGTCCAAGAAGGCGCGCACCTGGTCGTCAACCCGCGCGCGCCCCTCGACACCTCCAGCCTCTTCGCTGCGATCCAGGCCGCGCGCGCCAACGTCCGGAACCTCCACTTCTTCGACATCGAGTGCGCGCCCGTGCCCGCACCAGCGCAGCCACTGCGTCACTGCACCGGCGCACGTGGTCACCGCGGGGGGCAGCGCCCGCGCCCCTGCGCGCCCGTGCTGGTCCGAACGGGCAGCAACGCGCCGCGCACGTGCTCGCAGGCCCTACGCGGTGGACGTGTTCGCGTCGTGGCTCCAGACCACCGATGCAGTGAAGCAACAGGTGCTGGGCGCCGGACTGTCGCTGCCGGCGCCGATGCGCGCGCTCGCGGACCAGCTCGCCGCGATCACGGCCCTGCGGATCTCCGTGCGCGACCCGGGCCACGACCGCGTTGGTGCGCCATCCTAACATGCCCCCCATCCTAACATGCGAGTGCTGCGGCATGAGACGTGCCGACGGTGCGCGGCGCGCTCCGCCAGTTCTGCGAACGAATCATTGCAGAAACACAAACAAACATGATTTTTCAATCTTGAATCTTTCGTTCCGCAGAGCGGCTCCTCGCGGCGTGCCAGTGCCTCCCGAACCTGCAGGACCTCTCCGTCCGCGTAGGCCGCGGCAACGCGGAGGAGGGGTCGCATCCGATCACTTTCATCGAATCCCTGCCGGCGCTGCCCTCCCTCCGGCGCCTCCACATCGCCGGCGCCGACCTCAAGATGCGCGCCATGCGCCAGGTCGCGGACGACGTGCTCATGCCGCTCCTGGAAAGCGCGCACGTCAGCCCGCACCCGACTTCGGTCGGGGCCTTGCACGACTTCGAGACGCACTGCCGGTCGACGGCGCACGGCCGGGAGGGCGCGCGGCTGAAGGAGCTGCACATCCTGCAGGCGTCCGACCACCACTCCGCCGTGGCGTGTCTCAACTGCTCGCGCGGGGCATGCATGCCGGACGTTCTAGCGGTCTGGCCCGGCGCGACGCGGTCGCTGCGCGAGCTGCAGGTCCACCATCGCCTGCTCGACGAAACGGCGCTCGCGGCGCTGGAGGCGCTGGCGCCCACGCTCGAGTCGCTGGTGCTGCGGGAGTGGATGGTGCTGGGCGCGCCTGCGGAGACGCACGGCGAGGTGATGGCGCGGCGGATGGGCGTGACGGCGCAGTGGGGCGCGGCGCAGGCGCGCAGGCTCGCGACGCTCACGAGGCTCACGCGCCTCGAGCTGTCGATCCAGTACGTGCCTGACCGCGTGATGCAGGAGCCGGTCGATGCGACAGGGCGGCGCGAGCTCGACACCACGCAAGCACTAGGTGCGATAATAAAAGCGCTCAGCGCAGCATGCTAGAGCCGGCCGGCGCGGCTCGAAGCGTCCCTGACGCATCGCGTATCACCGGCCCACGCGCCTTCCTTGGTTCCTGGACGACGATCGCAGGGATTCTCGCGAAGGGGCTTCCGTGCCTGCGAACATTCCGTTTCGAGGACTGCCGCCCGCACTCCTACTTCTGCGACGCCGCGCTCGCGGCGCTCGGCGAGCTGCCGGACCTCCGCACGCTGATTCTGGGGTCCCTGACCGAGGCGTGCCACCTGACGCTGGCGGGCTTCAAGGCGCTCGCCGCGGGGGGGTGTCCCATGGAGCACCTGGAGATTGTCAACATGCGCGGCATCAGCGCGAACGAGATCGGACCGGCGGTCGACGCCATCCTGAGCGGGTTCCGCAACACGCTGCGGCAGCTCAGGATACCGTCGCGGTGCTTCACGTGCGCCCCCCGCGACTGCGCGCACCGCCGTTCGTTGCGTGTGCGTCGCGTGGCCTGCGCGCCATCCTCGTGTGTCTGACCCCGTAACCTCACGTGTTGCAGGGAGTACGACCAGGGCTACGACCACCCGGACCTCGTCCACTCGCTCGCGGCGCAGCGTCTGGGCGACCGCTGCGACGCCGTCCTCCTCAAGTCGTCGCGCCTCCCCGCGGCCCTGCGCAAGAAGCGCTTCGGCAACTACTCCTGGGACCTCGGGCCCAACCCCGTCCGCGACCTCTACCTCGACGCCCCCGGGCTGCCCCGCGTGGAGACCACGAACGCGTGCGACCTGTGCGACGACGAGCGCGACTACGACGACGTCGAGGAGGACTGCGAGAGCGAGTTCAACGACGACGTGAACAACAACGAGGTCGACCTCGCGGTCATGGAGCTCATGGTCGGCGCGCCCAACGTGCTGTTCGGGGCCGCGGGCGCGCTCCCGCCCATGCCGCCGGAGTGGGAGGAAATGACGCACGGCCTTCCGGGCCACCACGACTACTGGCACCCCGGGCTCCCAGCGCAGTATGGCGGGCTGCATTACGAGGACGAGTACGGCAGCGAGTCTGACTGAGGCTGTGAGCGGCGACGTGACGGTGCTGGCGCAGCGTGCGCCAGTGTGCTGTGCGGGCTGTGGACGGGCCGTGAGGGGTGCGCAGGTGACGGACTGAGCGCGGGATGGGGGGTATGAGCATGGCGGTGGTGCTCCGCAGCTCGCCGCTGCTCCGCACGGAGGCTGGCATGTGGCCTGCTCTGCAGGGTTGGCCCACTTGTGATGGGTGTGCGTGGGGTTGGCGGAGGAGGTGCTGTGGGCGGGGTGAAGTGGCTGGGGGGTGCGGCGAGAGGGCCTGGACGCAGGGGAGGGCTTGCGAGCGCGCCCGCCGGCGCGTGGGGGGGGGTTTGGCGGCCTGACGTCAGGTGCGGTGGTTGACCAGCCCGGCGCTCTAGGGCGCGCGTTTCCGGGCGCGTCATGCAGAGACTGCGCGCGGCTGGTGTGGCGGAATCGCTTGGTAGATCGAGCTTGTTCGCGGCTGGGTGTTTGCGCGGCGCGGCGAAGGGTTTCGGGGCAACTCTGGGGCAGCGGCAACAGAAGGAGAGATGAGGATCGAGGAGGTGGCTTCGACGTCGAAGCAGGCCCGCGTGGCGACGCACACGCACATCAAGGGGCTCGGGCTGGCAGATGACGGGACGGCGCTGCCCATGAGCGCAGGTGCGGCCCCGTTTCCCGATCTGCAGCTGCGCCGTCGCGCACCTCCGCGGGGAGGGATACAATGCGGCGCCTCGATGCGCTGTTGCGATGTGCGCAATTGGAGCTTCGTAATGTGTCGCGCGGGCACCTCCGTGTCGCGTCTGAGACTCGGGAGAGCGAGACCGCGGGCCTCGCTCTGCTTTTGGCCACTGGCCTGGGTCGCCGGCGGGTTGTTTTCGCGATCCCTTGCATCCACGCGCTGCGTGAATTTCATACCTCCCGACAACCGCGACCGCGTCTCGCCGCAGCCGCCCTCTCGCGCCCCCGCGAGCGTGCATGGCGCTCCAGCTGCCCCGCGCGCCCCCGCACCAACACCGCGCGCCCCGCCGACCACCCCCGCAGGCTGGGTCGGGCAGGAGGAGGCCCGGGAAGCCTGCGGCGTCGTCGTTGAGATGATCCGACAGAAGAAAATGGCCGGTGCGTTTTTGGAGCACGCTGCACGTCCCGCCCCCCGCGCGCCCCACGCACGCCGCCGCCGCCGCCCGCCCGCCCCTCCCCCGCCTCCCCCAGCCCTCGCAGACCCCCGCGCCGCCCGCTCCGCCCGCGCGCAGGCCGCGCGCTGCTCCTCACCGGCGCCCCCGGCACCGGCAAGACAGCCCTGGCGCTGGGCATCGCACAGGAGCTCGGAACCAAGGTGCCCTTCTGCCCCATGGTAGGCAGCGAGGTCTACTCCAGCGAGGTCAAGAAGACCGAGGTCCTCATGGAGCACTTCCGCCGCGCCATCGGTGCGCCCCCCGCGCGCGGCGCTACATGCGCGCCCGCCGCGCCCCGCGCCGCCCGCGCCGCCTGCCGCCGCCGCAGCGCGCCCCCGCCTCCATGCTATGCTGCGGAACCGCGCCGCGGGTCCGGCGGCCGCGCCCCGGCCCGCACTCGCCCCGCGGCTCACGTCACGTCTTCGTCGGTGCCTCGTTGCGCGACTTAACCGTCCTGGGCGGCCGCGACGCAGGCCTGCGGATCAAGGAGAACAAGGAGGTGTACGAGGGCGAGGTCACGGAGCTCACGCCGGTCGAGACGGAGTCCGCGGGCGGGTACGGGCGCGTGGTGTCGCACGTCGTCATCGGGCTGCGCACGACCAAGGGGACGAAGCAGCTGAAGCTGGACCCGTCGATCCACGACGCGCTGACGAAGGAGAAGGTCGGCACGGGCGACGTGATCTACATCGAGGCGAACAGCGGCGCGGTGAAGCGCGTGGGGCGCTGCGACGCGTACGCCACCGAATTCGACCTCGAGGCCGAGGAGTACGTGCCGCTGCCGAAGGGCGACGTGCACAAGAAGAAGGAGATCGTGCAGGACGTGACGCTGCACGACCTGGACGCCGCGAACGCGCGCCCGCAGGGCGGGCAGGACCTCATGTCGGTCATGGGTTCCATGATGCGCCACAAGAAGACCGAGATCACGGACAAGCTGCGGCAGGAGATCAACAAGGTCGTCAACCGCTACATCGACCAGGGCGTCGCGGAGCTCGTCCCGGGCGTGCTCTTCGTCGACGAGGTCCACATGCTCGACATCGAGTGCTTCACGTACCTCAACCGGGCGCTCGAGTCCCCGCTGGCGCCGATCGTGATCTTCGCGACGAACCGCGGGGTGTGCGAGATCCGCGGGACGGACATGACGTCGCCGCACGGCATCCCGGTGGACCTCCTCGACCGGCTAGTGATCATCCGGACGCTGCCGTACACGCCGCAGGAGATCGTGCAGATCATGGCGATCCGCGCGCAGGTCGAGGGGATCGCGATCGAGCAGACGAGCTTGGCGCACATGGGGAAGATCGGGGAGCGGACGAGCTTGCGGCACGCGGTGCAGCTGCTGACGCCGGCGATGGTGCTGGCGCGGACGAACGGGCGGGACGAGATCTGCGAGGCGGACGTGGACGAGATCAACGGGATCTTCCACGACGCGAAGCACTCGGCCAAGCTGCTCGTCGAGCAGGCCGAGCACTACATCAAGTAGGAACTTGCGCACAGGGGGGACTGTGAGCCGCTCAGTCTGACACGCCGACGCGTGCGCGTGCGCGCGCGGAGATGACTCGTGCTGCGCGGGGTAAGAAACGCGACAGACTCCTGTTACAGCATGACAACGCGGAAGCATCAGCGGGTCGTGGCGGCGGCACGCGGGCGCGTCGGCGCGCTACATCGTGCCGCCGGGGAGGTTCTTGACGTCCACGCCCTTGGCGGCGAGCGTCCGCGTCATCAGGCGTTCCCACTCCGCTGCGTTGTCGTGCAAGTAGCAGTTCACCGCGCACGCCTCCGGCCTGCAGCACGCAGCGAAAGCGACGGAGATCTCTCGCATGCGTCCGCAGAGTCTCACGCGCGCGAACTCGGGGCTGCGGCGGGCCGCGGGGCGCACCAGCGCGCGTCGAGAGGCTCCATGTCCGCGTGCGGGCACCCGCACGGCTTCGGGATCGGGCCGAGGCCCCTCGCGACCTCCCTGATGCGGTCCAGGTTCCGCCGGAACGCCGTCATCACCGCCCGCGGGCCGCTCCGGGCGCCCTGCAGCTTGCGTCGCCGCGCATCAAAATCGAACTTCACGCCCTTGGAGCGCGCCGTCTCCAGCTCGCGCTCCTCCGGGTCCAGCAGCTCCGCAAGCTCCTCCCGCAGCGCCCTGCGACGAGCGGCACGCGCGGCAGGTTCGGTCCGGCGCGCGTGTTTGTGTACATTTGCGCAGGTCGCGGGAGCGCAGGGCCGTGCAGGGCGCTCGGGGGCCGCGGGAAGCGGCGCAGCTAGGCCGCACGAGCTTAGCTGCGCGCGAAACGCAGGCCCGCGTCGCGCTCGCCGCCGCGCCGCACGCACCGGTTGGCCTCCTCGTGCTCTTGCAACTTGCGCTTGAGTAGCTGACTCTCCGTGAGCGCGCTGTCCGACAGCCCGCTGAGCGAGGGCTCCGAATACACCTCCTCCTCGCCCATGTACGACGCGCGCCCCCCGCGCTGCGACTCGCGCAGTGGCCCCCGCGCCACCCGGTAGCGGGCTTTGCCGTCCGGCGTCTCCGCGACGCGCTGCTCGTCCGCGGCCGCGATGTCGATCAGCGCCTGCCCGGAGCTGTCCTCCCGCTGCAGCCGCGCGCGCGTCGCCCGCTGCATGTCGTCTAACCGTTTCAGGAACTCCGCTTTCCGCGCCTGGAAACGGTTGGAAACGGTTGGGGCGGTCCTTGCGCGTGGGGGCTCGGACGGAGGTGCCCGGAGGCGGGCAGGGGCCCCGCGAGGTTGCGGGGGGGTGTGGGAGCGCGTGTGGGGTCGGCGACGTACCGCGATCTCGGTTTGCATCTGTCCGCGGGCGCGCATCTCCTCCTCGATGCGCTTGCCGAGCTGCGCCTTCTTCTCCCGTATGCGGCGGATGAGCTCGACCTGCGGGGGGGCGCGCGGGACACGGCGTCAGCCCGGAGCGAAGCGCACAAGCCCGGGCGCCTGCTGTAGGCGCCAAAAACGCAGCTATCACGGCCGAAAGCAGGCGTTCGACGGGCTAGACGGGACGCGTGACGATCGTGGGCGCTGCGCGCTGCGTGGCGGTCCACGGCGGCGTCCGCATGGCCCGGAAACGGCGTCGCGGGGCGCAGAAAGAGAGCGGCCCGGGCCGCCGACGCACCCGGGGGATTCCCGACTCCGTTTGCGTCGTTTCGTTGGCGTCGCCCTTCACTCTCTCCAAGTACTCCTTCGCGGCGGTGACCGCGTCGCCGAGCGTGCTGCTCCCGCGCTCCACGCGCACCGGAATGAGGGTGAGAGGCCGGTTGAACTCGCAGTTGATCGCGCACGGCCCCAGCCCCTCGAAGATGCGCGCGGCCGGGTCGATTGCGACGTCCAGCTGCTCCTTCACCGGCGGCTGGCGGCCGAGCGCCTGCATGCGGCTCAGCTGCGGCGCCCGAGACGTCACCATCGTGCCAGCTGTGCTGCAGGGGGCGGGGAGCACTGCGTTCGAACGGACGGCGCCGAGCGCGCCGCGAAACGGTCCCTCCGCGGTGCCAGGGGGGCAGGGGGGGCGTGAGTGGCGCGCGGGCGGCGCGGCGCGCCCCGACGGTCGCGGGGGCGGCGTGCACGACGCAGGGAGGCGTTTTGGGCCGAGAGCGCGGGAACGCCCGCGGAGCACGTTGGGGGCCTCTCCGCGCGCTTCGGGCACACACTACGCGGCGTTCAATTCAGCTTGAGGGAGCGTGTGAATCGCGAGTCCGGAGGAGGCTTTGCGGCGACGGGAATCGCGCGGGGAGTGCAGGTGCGGAGCGGGGGTGGACCGGCGCGGGCGTTGCGGGGCGTATCGGTGGCTGCGGTCGCGGCGGGCCGGCAGCGATGACGGCCGACGAGCCTGCGGCGAAGAAGCCGCGCCAGGAGGCGGCCGTGACGATGTCGACGGTCGAGTGTCTTGGGCGGTACTACAGCAAGCTCTTTCCGTTCGACCACATGTCGCGCTGGCTCTCGTACGGCAACGACGGGAAGCACGCGATGTCTGACGACACGTTCTTCCGCAACCGCGAGTTCTGCTACACCCTGGACGGCGACATCTTCGTCAGGTTGGTTTTCCCCGCCGACGCTCTCGCAGCCCGCGCGGCCGCTTGGAACGGCGCGCTCCGCCCGCGCCGGCTCGTCCTCTGAGTGCTCTACCTCGAGCGGCGAGCAAACTGGCGGAACCGTCGCGCGGCGCGACGCGAGGCGCCTCCCCGCGCGCTCAGCGTGCTGTCATGCTCCGCCCGCGCAGAGGCGCTCCCCGCGGACGCACCGCCCCCGCTGCGCGCCCGCGCGCAGGTACCAGTCCTTCCAGTCCATGGCGGATATGAAAGCCGACATCGAGAAGAAATGCAAGGGCCACGGCGACACCAACCAGGTGCTCGCCGCTCCCCTCACCCCGCCGCCGCCCCAGCCCCCCGCCCGGCCCCCGCTCACCCCCCGCCCTCAAACGCCCCGCAGGTCCCCGTCAAGATCGACATCGGCCCGGTGTACACCCGCGAGCCGCGCAGTCGGCAGAAGTACGCGGCACAGGACTTCCGTCCTGTGGAGCGCGAGCTCGTGTTCGACATCGACATGGACGGCTACGACGACGTCCGGCGGTGCTGCCAGGGCAGCCAGCTGTGCGACTCGTGCTGGCCGCTGCTGACCATCGGTGTGCAGTTGATGGACCAGACCCTGCGCGAAGACTTCGGATTCGCGAATATCCTATGGGTGTACTCCGGGCGGCGCGGCATCCACGGGTGGGTGTGCGACGCCGCTGCTCGCCGGCTCACGGACGAGCAGCGCGCGGCCGTCGCGTCGTACCTGGAGGTGTATAAGGGGAACAGCGACGACGGGCGCGCGAACATGACGGCGGACGTGACGTCGGACAGGCGGCACCCGGCGGTCGCGCGCGCGGTGACGCTGTGCCGCCGGGCCTTCGAGGAGCAGTACCTCCCGCTGCAGGGGTTCCTCGAGGACGAGGGGTGCGCGAAGAAGGTGCTTTCATATGTTCCGGACGCAAACATCCGACTGAGGCTCGTGGAGCGGTGGGGCAAGGACTGGAACGGCGCGAAGCGCGCCGCGAAGGCCGCCGCGGACGCGGACGACGTCGAGATGGAGGACCTGCCGAACCTGTCGGTCGAGAGATGGAAGGAGATATGCGCCGAGGTTCGGAAAGCCGCGGACAAGCACAAGGGCCGGCGGGACCGGCAGGTGGAGCTCCTGCGGAGCCTCGACGCGATCGCGGTCGCGTACACGTACCCGCGGCTCGACATCGAGGTGTCGAAGAAGATGAATCATCTGTTGAAGGCGCCGTTCTGCGTGCACCCGAAAACGGGGCGCGTGTGCGTGCCGATCGACCCGGCGCGCGCCACGGAGTTCTCGCCCGAGGCGGTGCCGACGGTGCAGCAGCTGCTGAAGGAGCTCGAGGCCGCGCGGCGGCGCGCGGCGGGGGGGGACGACGCGGACGTGGCGGCGGGGGAGGAGTGGCGCGCGACGGCGATGGGGCCGATCATGGAGACGTTCGAGCGGGTGTTCCTGGAGGGGATGATGAGCAGCATCCGCGCGGAGCTCGCGGCGAAGGCGCGCGAGAGGGCCGAGGAGGCGCAGGCAGCGCAGGACTGGTAGCGGGCGCGCTTGGGGTCCGAGGCGGGCGGGCGGGGCCGAGCGAGGCAGGTGCGCGCGGCGCGCGATGTGCGGTGGGAGGGCGGGGGCCGGCCTGTGAGACGCGAGATGACGCTGACGGGTGGGGTCATCTGGAGACTGTGTTTCACGACGGCGGGCGCGAGACTTGCCCTGCGTGCGCCGGAGTCTGGCGGAAAATGGGCGCGCGCAGGGCGCCGGCTGCGCGTGCACGTGGTGTGCGACCACGTGGTGAATGACAACCCTTCCGAGGCTTCGTCTCTCCGCAGCAAAGAGCCAGTGGGCTCAACGCCGGCGTGCGCAAAGATCTGACGCGTCACAGTGCTATGCTGAAGCTCCAGGGAAGGGAGGGGGGGTTCTTAGTGGAAAGAAGGCTGAACAGTCGACTACGTCATTGGCGGCCCGCGCTCGAGGCGCCGGGGGCGACAGCGAGCTGGCCTGAGCTTCACTGGCTGGCGGCCGACGAGCAGCTGGGCGAGGAGAACGGCGAATACTCCGCAAGTGGGGAAACCGAGCAACGTGCTCGCGCAGCTCGCCGCAGCATCAGTCGGCGATTCCAGAAGGTCCATAATGAGCGGCAGTTTCGTTCCTGAGGGTCAGGATGACGCGAGGGGGACAGGAGGGGATGGCGGCGGAGGGTGGGGGGGCAGGGGGAGTGATGCAGGGAGTCTGCGAGAAGGCAGGGGGTGTCGTCAGCTGCTCACGAACTGCTTTTCGGGCCCCGCGGGGGCGGGGCAGGTGCGAGGGTGCGAGAGATGCTCGCTGCAAGCATAGGAGCTCAGCGCGCATCCGCAGCGTAGGGTCGCAGCGGCGGGGGAGCGTCGACACAGGCACGAAGGGGAGCCACTGTGAGCGCATCTTGGGGGGTGTCGTTGCGCGTCTAGGGGGGGTGTCGGGGGACGTGACGCAGGCGCCGACCGCGCCAGTAGCGCGGAAGGGGGTGGGGAGGGGTGGAAGGGGGGCTGTTTTGTGCTTTGGTAGAACGCAGGCGCTTGGCGGCATCCGCGGGCCGCGGTGGGGCCGTCGCAGCGCCGAGAGCGCCAGAGGTGGCTGCAGGGGCGCGCCGCGAGGCCTACCGCCGCCGGTTGCGTCGCGGGGGCACGGCGAGTGCACCGGCGAGCGCGGGCGGGGGGCGCGCGGCGCGTAGGGATTGGCGTGCTCTCGCCTGCCGCCAGAGGCCCGGGGGGCTTCTGACGGGGCAGGGACGGGTCGGGGGCATCAATAGATTGCAGCGCGCGCGGCGGGCGCCGCTGCGGTGGTTTTCCGCCGGGCGAGGTGTCCTCGGACGAGCTCCCTCGCGATGGCGGCAGCATGGGGGTTGGTGAGTGCGAGGGGGGTGAAATATTGGTTCGGGATCCTGACGGGATCGCAGATGTGAGCGGCACTGGAAGCCGCGGTGGACGCGTCGTCGCCGTCGTGGGTCGTCAGCGCCCTCGGCCCGGTGACGAGAGGCCCGTCGTCGACGCGGAGCAAGCGGGCCCGCCCGCGCCGTTATTCCGCCGTGCTCTCGGACGCGGCCATGATGTCCTTCAGCTCCTCCTCGAGGTCCACGATCTCCTCCGCGAGCCGGTCCAGGTACCCGTCGCCCTCCTTGTCCAAAACCTTCGCCAGGGGCGCGCGGATCTTGCTCTCCTTGTCGAGCGCCTTCCGCGCCGCCTTCACGCCCTTGTCGTCCAGCGTCGCGCCCGCCGCGTCGTGCGTCGGGTTCCCCGTCTCGTCGAACCGGTACTTCCCCGCCAGGGCCTGCACCGGCGTCGGCAGCGCCGCGATGTTTTTATACTTGTCCAGCTCCCGCCGCTTCCGCTCGATCGCGAGCTGCACCTTCCGCATCTTCGCCTCGTGGATCGCGCGGCGCTTCTCGTCGATCTCCGCGCGCAGCGCCGCTGGGTCGTCCCGCTTCCACACGGCGCCGCCTTTCGGCCGGTCCTCGAGCCGGACGCCGAGGTCGACGAGCGTCTCGTCGCGCACGCGGTCGCACTGCGCGAGGAGCTCGCCCGCGACGGACCCGAGCGTGCGGGCGATCCCGCGGACGTCGTCCCGGAACGTCGCAAACGCGTCCATCAGGGCGTCGAACGCGCGCGTGTCGCCAGCCTGCGCGGCCTCGAAGCCCAGGCGGTCCGCGGCGCCCTCCGCGAGGCCGAAGCAGCCCAGGATGCGCGTCACGAACGCGGCGCACCGCCGCAGGAGCATGCCCTGCGCGGGGGGCGCGCCCTCCGCGCCGTCGCGCTGCGAGAGGTACACGTTCGTCGCGCGCACGAGGCGCTCGAGCGCGGCCATGGCCCCGGGCGTGTCGATGTTGTCCCGCAGCCGCGCGCGGACCTCGACCTGACTCGCCTGCAGAGCCGCGTGCAGAGTCGTCTCCTCGGCGAGCCACTTGGCCGGCAGCGACGTGCTGTGCGCGCGCAGCGCGGCCTCGACGTTCTGGAAGAAGTTCTTCAGCATGGCCTCCTTCGCGCGCATCTCCGCGAGAGACCCCTCCCCGTACACCATAGGCTTGTCCCAGGCCTGCAGCACGAACATGAGGCGGAGCTGCCGCGGCGTGAAGACCTCGAGGGCGTCCCGGATGGTGATGAAGTTCTTCAGCGACTTGGACATCTTCAGGCCGTCGATGTTGAGGCGCCCCGAGTGCAGAAAGTAGTTCACCCACTGCCGGCACCCGCACGACGAGAAGTGCGCCTCGCTCTGCGCGAGCTCGTTGTCGTGGTGCGGGAACCGCAGGTCGCTGCCGCCGGAGTGCACGTCCAGCGTCTGCCCGATGAGCTCCGACGCCATCGCCGAGCACTCAATGTGCCACCCGGGCCGCCCGGGGCCCCACGGGGACGGCCACGTGGGCTCGCCCGGGCGCGCGGCCTTCCAGAGCGCGAAGTCCGTCGGGCGCCGCTTCTCGCCCGTCGCGAAGTCCGCCTCCCCCTCGGCCGACAGCAGGCTGCTGCCCACCGCCCACGGGTCGAGCTTGCCGTACGTGTGGCCGCGCTCGCGGAACGCGGCGGTGGAGAAGTAGACCGACCCGTTCGCCTCGTACGCCATGCCCTCGTCGACGATCTTCTGGATGTACGCCACGATCTCGGGCACGTACTCCGACACCCGCGGCATGCAGTCCGGCCGGCGTACGCCCAGCCGGTCCATGTCCTGCAGGAACTCGTCCTCGTACCGCGCGGCGTGCTGCCGGAAGATGCCCGGGTCCGTCACCGAGTGCCCGTGCTCCTTGTCCAGCCGCGCTGCCAGGGAGTCCCCGCCGCACCGTAGCGCGTCCTGGGCGACGTCCGGCGCGGCCGGCGACAGCGCGTCGAGCTCGGCCTTGGCGCGCTGGAGCTGCTCGAGCTTCAGGCGCTGCTCGTCGGCGTTGTTGCGGAGGCCCTCGAGGCGCCTGTCTGCGCCCGGGCGGCCCGCGGCACTGTCGGCTGCGCACTCCTCCGCCGCGCGCGTGGCCTCGCGTTCCGCGGCCTCCTGGCTCGTGAGGGCGGCGTCGACGGCGGCCTGCGGCGGGGGCGGGGGCGGAGCTGTGTGCGGGTGCGGGTGGCGAGCGGGCGCGCTGAGAGCGGTAGATGGCCGGGTTGGTCGAACCGCGAGACGGGAAATGCCGATGTGGAAGTGAGGAATGAGAAGGTCGCGGAAAGGGGGTCCCGCGGCGACGCTGCGGCCGTCATGGCGCGCCCGAGCAATGCGCGCGCATGCGGCAGCGAGAAGCGGACGCTCTGGAAGCGCGGCGGCGTGCAGATATGCGCCGACCGGCGATCGCGAGGGCCGAACAGGAGGTAGCCGCTGCTGTGTGCGGTGGCCGTGCGACGCCGAATGCCGCAAAGAAGCACCGCGCTTTCGCTCCGCTGGCGCGTACGGGGCTCTGTGCCGCACCTTGCAGTCCGCGAGGACGCGCTGGCCGTCGGCGCCGTGCTTTTCCTTGTATGCTGTCATGAGATGGTTCGTGCGCGCCCGCTTGATGATCTTGTCGTCCACGTCAGTCACGTTCATCACCAGGAAGCACTCGTAGCCGAAGTAGTCCTCCAGGACGCGCCGGAGGATGTCGCCTGCGCACGTATTCCGCGCACACGGGCTGCACTGTGGCGCAACCAGCAGCGGCGGCGCAGCGCGTAGCAAGACAATCTCGGAACGACGCGCGCCCGTGCGGCCTCACTCAACGAAGCGGAAGCACGGGGGCTGCGGGGGCCGCGGGCCGGGCGCAGGCTGCGGCGCGCAGCGTGCTCCACCACCGTGCAAGCACGTTCGTCGCACCTGTGACGTAGTTCCGCGCGTGACCCATGTGCGCGCTATCGTACACGGTAGGACCGCACGTGTACCACGAAATCTCCCTCGCATCGGGCCCTGCGGACGGCAGCAACGCGCGGAACAGGGGGGCGGTCACACACTGGCGCGCAAGGCGGCTCGCACCGTGGCGGGGCGCGCGGACGCGCCCAATCGGGCGCCCGCGGTGCGCGCTTCGGGAATGAGCGCAGCATGGGCGCAACGAGCGCGCGTCAGCGCCCGCCCACGTCGCAGCCCGCCGACACAGCGCCACGCACTTGCGCCCGCTGCTCTCGACCCGGAGAGCGCGGCCGTGGGGCGCATCGGGGCTCGGGGAGCACCCGCGTACCTTTCGAAGGCACGAAGGGGACCTTGGCGTCCACGAGGGAGTTGTACAGGACCACCCCCGGCGTGCCCGTCCCGTCGCCGGGCGGCGCCCACTCTCTCTCGATCTTCGACATGGCCGTGGGCGGGGAGACGCCGTGGGGGAGTTGCCGTGGCCGCACGAGTCCTTCGCGTTCCGGTACGGCAGCTGGCGAGCGTCGCGGCCCGGGCACCCCCTGTGCTGCTCTGTACACACACCAACCTCGCCGGTGCTCCTCTGCTGTGGTATAACACGCCCGCAGCGCCTGCCCTGGTCCGACGATGAAGCGCTCTCACGAGTGGCGAGGCGGCGGCCGCCCTGGCCCATCGGTGCCCGGCGCGGCCGTGCCTTGCAACGTGAACGGCGCCACCCAGGTCCGACCGGGCTGACAGGCGCTGTGGGGGCCGACGGCTGGCCGTCTCGGGCCGTGCAGGTCGCGCTGCTCCCTCAGTATCCGCTGAGCTGCCTATGGCCCCGGAGAATCTTCTGTCGCGCCGCTCTCCGCCGTGCACCACTGGCGAGCTTGCGCGCCGCGAGCCGGGCGCCGGTGTGGTCGCGCCGCTGCGAGACCGCTTCGCCCAGCATCGATGGTGTGATGAAGGGCAACCAGGGGCACCATGCCGCGCGAGGAGGTCACCTTGAAGCACGTCTTGGAGAACATTGGGTCTCTTCTCCCCATGGGCGTCACCAAGCTCCGACTGTCAGCGCATCTGCTCTCTGAGGTTCCCGTGTGGCTACCGCAGTTCTGCGATCTCCAGGTGCGCACCGCAGCCAGCCCGCCGACCGCCGCAGAGCGCAGGAACGCACACAAGGACCCCTGGCAAGCACCTTTGCGCAGAGGCCGCATCGCCGCCCTACCGCCCCGGACTATTCGTTTCTTCGCAGGTCCTGTTCCTCGAGAACAACTCTTTAGTCGACGTTCACGGTTTGGAGGCTCTCACCGGCCTCAGGTCGCTCTTCCTGGCAGGAAACAAGCTGCCGAGCATCGACGCGTCGATCCGCGCCCTGCGGCACCTCACCGTCCTGGACGTCAGGAACAACCGCCTCAAGACCCTCGCCGGCGTCGGCGACCTCCCGCACCTCGCCGTCCTGCATGCCGCCCAGAATCAGCTCCAAGTACACACCCCCCCTTCAACCCCCCCCACGGACGCGCACCGCACCAACGCACAGACCCTGCCCAACAGCACCGCCCCCAACACACACCTCTCGCCCGCAGGCCACCGCGAGCCTCTCGGACCTGCCGTTGTGTACGCACCTGCACGAGCTCGACGTGTCTGACAACAAGCTGCGCTCGCGGCACGACGTCGTGGAGCTGCTCCTGCAGTGCCCCGCGCTGGAGAACCTCTGCCTCGAGGGCAATCCTCTCTGTCGCGGCGTGGGCGGGGCGCGCGCGGCGCAGGGCGGGACTACGGCGTATCGCCGCGCGACGGTCGCGACGATGCCGGGGCTGGTCGCGCTGGACCACCGCGCGATCAGCAGCACCGAGCGGGCCTTCAGCGAACGCTGGTGGAGCGAGCAGTCCGACGCGCGAGCACGCGAGGCCTCGGAGCACGACGAGTCTGCCATCGGGGTTTACACCCCCCCCGCCGTGCCGGCGGGGTCCGCGGCGCGTGCGGCCGCGTACCTCGCGTCCGGCAGCTCCGGCCCGCTCCGTGTCGCCCCGCAGACCGCGCCGCGGCCCCCGGTAGCCGCAGCACGGAGCTGTGTGTGGGCGCTTGGCGATCGCGACGCATGTGGCGCCGGGGGTGCCGTCCTGCACAGCGCCGCCGCACGCACGTCCGGCGAGCTCGCCAAGCTTCCCGAGGACGACGACTGCGGCGCGGAGGTCGAGCCGCCCGCGCCTGCGTCAGCGGCGGAGGAGCTCCCCGGGGGCGTGTTGGCGCCGCTGTTCGCGCGCCTCGGGCTGCGGGAGCTCGAGGCGTGCAGCCGGACGTGCCGGTGGTGGAGCCACGTGGCGCGGCCGGAGCTGGCGCGCCGGCGCGTGGAGGCGGCCGGGACGGGGTTCGGTGCGGCGATGGCGGCGTTGCGCAGCGCCTGGCGGGACGTGGCGGAGACGGACTGGGGGAGTGTGGCGAGGGAGCAGGGGGACTTCACGCTGCCGCCGTCGTCGCTCGGGCAGGTCGGGGAGTGCCTCGTGCTGCTCTGGCGGCGGGCAAACGCGGTGCTGCGCGCGCAGGGCTTCCATCCTGACGAGTGCCCGGACTGCTGCGACGAGGCCGATGGAGGTGCCGCGGACGACGGAGGATACAGCAGCCTGTGTGGGGCCGCGGGCAAGGGCGCGGGGGGGGTTGATTCGGGGGACTTTTCGGCACAAAGCGGCGAACACTCCCCCCGGGATGTCGACAGCGACGGCTGGTCGCTGCCCGGAGACTCCCCCGCGGCGAGCCCCTCGCGCGCCGTCGGCGACAGCGCCGCGACGGCGGTCGTCGCCCCGCCGCGCCGCGCCCCCGCCGCGTGGCTCGCCCTGCACGGCGGCGGCGGCGCGTGCTACGCGGACCTGAGCGACCCGCCCGGCCAGGGCCTGACCGACCCGCGCATGGTCGAGGAGGCCCAGCGCCGGCTCGTGCGCGCCGCGGCCGACGCCGCCCCCGCCGTCCTCCCGCCCGCCACGGAGCACGCGCTCAACCTCGAGGAGCTGCGCGACGCTCTGCGGTCGTCGACGCTGCGGCGGCAGGCGTGGCAGGCGGCGACGGACGTCGTGCTGTCGGACGAGCGCTTCCCGTGGCTGCTGCCGTGGGCGCTGCCGCTGCCGCGGAGCCAGCTGACGGCGCTCGAGTGCGCCATGGGGGTTGACAGCCACGAGGGGGTGTATATCAAGGAGGCTGACTCGGCGGAGGCCGCGCGGTGTCTGCCGGCGGCGGGCCTGCTGTGCGACATGATCGTGGCGGTGATCGAGGCCGAGGGCGCGAGGGAGGCGCTGAGAGTTGCCGTGGAGTTTCATTCGCAGGCCATGGAGCTGCAGGCGGCGTCGCTGAACCGGCTGGTGGCGGGCGACGTGCCGTGACGTGTTGGGGCGGGGTAGTTCGTTGCAGACAGATGTATTATAAGAGTGTGACGGAAGACTGCCTGGTTGTATTTACAGATACCACCCGCGTTTCGTTTCTTGCGCGGGTGGTCAATTACGTTGGATGGGCTGCGAAGCGGGGCGTGGGGCGCGGCGGGGTCAGCCCGGTATCCACGTGTCCATCTCCTTGATGCTCAGGTTGATGTCGTGGTGCGGGATCCGCTCCCAGGGTATGAAACAGACGGTGTTGGTCCCCCGGGAGTGGCTCTGGACATCGTACCCCTCGTACTCCTCGTCAGAGTCCCCCCCGCCCGGACCGTCCGGCAGCGGCGTCGCCTCGTCCATCACCTGCGCGCGAGGCCCAGGCACGGCATCCATCGTCAGTCATAGGGAACCCTCGTTGGACGCGCGATGCAACTCGTGAGTGCCCGGAATCGCCGAAAGCGGCGCGGCTCGGTCGATGGCGGGATCGCAGGGCGCAAGAGTGGCTCATGCGGGAGCGCACGGGGCGGTACGCGCGCATGAGCAGCAGTCTGAAGGGAGGGCGATTCGAACATCGAGAAACAAGGTCTTCTTGTCTCACCCTGTCGTAGGAAGACAGCGAGAGCACGTCGAGGCGGTTGTGCGCGCCCTTCACGGTCGACCGCAGCCGCATCTTCCACCGGATCTCCGTCCGACTGGAGTTGTCATACCGCAGCTTGACATACAGTCGGTCCTTGTCCAACAAATACGACCCCACAATTACCCCCTCCCCCCCCACCCACTTGCTCCCGCCGTCCCCGTCCGCCCTCAGCCGGCGGTGCATGTGCCGCACCACCTCCCGCGGGGCCAGCGGCGTCGACCGCAGCAGGCAGGTTCCGTCGGGGAAGAATCGCCATACGCGAAAGTACAGTGCCAGGGCCACCAGGCGCTCGCCCTGCGGCCCGATGAGCCCCGAGCGGAGGTACGTGTTGCGCGAGACGTAGAGGCCCTCGTGCCGCAGGCGCGTGCGCTCCAGCCACATCCGCTTCCACTCCCCGGCGTACCTGTGAAAGGATGGGAAAACAGTCGAGGATTTGCGACTCAGGGCGCGACGCTGGCGAGGACGGACAAGACCGGGGCGCGCGGGGCTCGGGCGAGGTCCTAGGCGCCGAGGCACGCCACAGCAGGTGCGGGAATCGATCGGGGGGTCCTCGGGAGGACGGCAGATATGATTTTCATATTGACGGAAGGCACGGGTCGCGCTGGCGTTGCGCAGGGGCAGCGCGCGGCGCGGGAGGACGCACTCGCTGTCGCAGATGTCCTGGTTCTCCTCGGCGCTGCACGCCGGCCAGGCGCGCATGCAGGCGGATCGCCAGATGAGGTCAGTCTTCATGATGTCCCGCCAGCGCGTGCACACGCAGCTCGCCACGCCCAGCATCCATCCGGGGAGCTCGCTGAAGATGCGGACTTTCAGCTCCTCGGGCAGCGCGCGGTGGAAAAGCGGCTCCGGCTCCGCGGGAGCGCCGTCGGATGCGTCAGAGGCAGCGTCGTCGCTCCCGCTCGTCTGCGCGCCCTTTCCGGGAGGCTTGAGCCTCACATTGTACAGCGCGAACCACGGCCTGCATGCGGTCACGGCGGGGGCGCACGCATCTCGTTGCAAGCGCACGGGTCGATGCCTGGTGAAGAAGCACACCGCCTCAGTCCGCCGCATCCACGACGCGACGACCGATGTGGCAGCTCGACATCCATCACGGCTTCTTTGCCCTCCGAGCCGCGCCGTGGAGACCGCGTCCGCCCCGCGGCCGAGCAGCAGGGAGGTGCCCTGCGCTGTGGAGGAGAAAGCGCTGCCGACGCCGGCAGCGCGGGTCGCGCACCTCCAAACCGGCAGGTAGGCGTCATTGGACACTGAGACAGCCGCAGTCATCTCTTCAGGCCGACATCACCGCCCGTGCGCCCCGTGCAGCGCGAAAGGACACACGCCCAGAGGTTCCCGCGCCTGAGCCCAGGAAACGAGTTCAGACCAGTCGCTGCTCAACGTCGCATCCAGCGTGCACTGTTCAGGCGCCTGTGCCGCACCTCGGGCAATGACACCCATTCAGGCCATCGAGGGGCCGGGCCCAAACGCCTGACGCGTGTGAGAGTGCCCCCGACGCCCCTTCTCGAGGCCGGAGCGCGGCGGGTGGCGGCGTCAGTGCCGCGTCGAGCTTTCAAGTGACGCATTCCTGGATAGGGAGTTGCGGGAAGAGCGCCGTGTCTGACGGGAGAGCGAGCAAACTGGTGCAATATGCACGGGCGCCCGCGGCCCCCCAAGGGCGCGGTCCCAGGTGACGACGCGCACCGCCATCGATGTCTCACGATCAGCTCAAGCTACACCGTGCCCGGGGGCGCCCTGGGCAGCGTGTGGGGCGAGGCTGACCGCGAACTGCCTGCTGCGAATCAGCGCCCCCTGCGGCTGCCCTCGCGGCTGATTGTGGGCGCGGGGGCATTTCTCGCGGAGGACTAGGTCTCGTTTGTGCTGGTGCTTGCTTGAAATATGTGCCTGCGGCGCGTGTGTGGGTGTGCAGACCCGGAGAAGGTTGCAGCAACGAAAAAGAAAGCTGCGATGCTGCGGCGCCTGATCGACGAGGTGCTGCGGCGGAAGAAGGAGGGCAAAGCCGACAAGGAGAGCATGGCGCTGGCCGCGCAGCTGTGCGAGCTGTCTCCGGAGGTGCGTCGCGCCGCAAGTTGCCTCTGCACAGCTCTTTGGTCGCACCACGCGGCGCGGGCGCACATCACCACGTCGCATCGCTGAGAAGGCGCAACCAGTGACTGCACAGGCGGGCGGCAGCTCTCCGCTGCAGTCACGACTCTTCGGACTCTCGGAAACGCTGCTTTTTGTTTCTAGCTGTTGTGCGGAGGCGTCGCCGCCGCTCGTCGGCCTCACGACGTCGCAGAGAACACGCGCAGCGAAGCGCCGGAGCCTCGCAAGGCGATGGACGTCAGTGCAGCCGGCAGCCATCATCGTTTCGGGCTCGTTGTTCGCTCTCACATCCCCTGCCGCACATCGCGTTGCCCGCGCAGGCCTACACCGCTTGGAACTACCGCAAGGAGGTCCTCGGCCCGTCGCTGTCGGAGCCGTCCGGCTCGGACGCCTCCCGCGGCGAGGCTCTCAGCGCGGAGCTGGCACTCACCCAAAAGGCTCTAGAACGCAACCCGAAAGCCTATTGCGCCTGGCACCACCGCCGCTGGGCGCTCGGGCTCGCCGACGCGGACGTCGCCAGCGAGGTCCCCCTCCTCGACAAGTAAGCACCACCAGCAACTCCCCAACTCCCCCCACCGCTCCGCACCTTGACGGCACCTGTCATCGCATCTGCTAGATCGACGGAGCGGACGTGCACGGCGCGCACAACGCCGTTGGGCGGCGGGGCATCGTCGCGTCGACTGCGGCAGCGGGTGCACGGCCGTGGTTGCGCTCAGGCTGACAACGCCCCCGCCCACCACTGCCGCGCACTAATCTCGTCTCCCGCGCAGGCTGCTGGCGATGGACCCGCGCAACTTCCACGCCTGGGGCCACCGCCGGTGGGTCGCGGCGCGCCTCGGCCTGTCCCCTGCGCAGGAGCTGGCACATACCAGCAGGCTTATTGAACAGAACTTCAGCAATTATTCCGCATGGCACTACCGCTCCATGCTGCTCCCGCTCGTCCACCCCGCCGAGGTGCGCCTCCCGCCGCCCTGCGCCGGGACAGCTGACGATTATAAGCTGGCGACTGCGCAGGAGAAGGGAATTTCCCTTCTGCAGTGATTCCGCGCTGCTGGTGTTCTTGACGGCCGGCCCCGCGTGCTCGTGCAGGGCCCACCGGCGGAGCGCATGCCGGACTTGGAGGCGGCCCCGTCGGGGGGGGCCGCGCCGGCGAGGAGGGGGGTGTCCCGCGTGGCGCTGGAGGGGGAGTTGGAGATCCTGCGTCAGGCCGTGTTCACGGAGCCCGAGGACCAGTCCGCGTGGATGTACCACCGCTGGGCCCTCGCGTGCTGCATGGGGCACGTCGAGGCGGCGCGGGCCCAGGGCGGGGCGGCGGAGGCGGACGCGCGAGCGTGGCTCGCCCGCGTCGTCGCCGGGGAGCAGGGCGCGATGGAGGAGCTGCTCGCGCTGGAGCCGGACGCGAAGTGGCCGCTGCTGACGCGGGCGCGGCTGCGGGGCCTCGCGGCGGGGGCCGCGGGGGGGGGCAACAAGGGCGCCGAGCTGGACGGGGGGGGGGAGTACGAGCGTCTAGCGGGGATCGATCCGGACCGGCGCGGGTTCTACGCGGACGCGGCGGCGGGGCGCGCGCACGTGGTCACGCCGCCGCTGCTCTAGGGCGTTGCGGAGCAATCGGGCAAACATATTTGATGTTGATTCTTCGTCGCTTGATTCCTCGCACGCGGGGACTCACACGCTGCGCCACGTGCGAGCTGCGTGCGGGGCTGCGCGAGCCCGCCCCGCCGAGCGCGCTGATCATAAAGAATCGCCAAAGCCGACTCGAGAATCCTCGAGTGCCGCCTACGCCCACATCCAAGGCCGCGGCCCGGCCTCCACGTACTTGCCGTGGCCGTGGTGGTGGTCCCCGCGGCTCGGCGGGTCGTCGTCGTCGTCGTCCGTGTCGTCGCCGTCGTCCGGGTCGTCGTCGTGCTTGTGGTGGTGCGGGAAATGCGGTTTGTTGTTGTCAGGGTCGTCCGGCGACGGGCCGTCGTCCGGCTGCGGCCCGACGGGCTCCGGCGGCAGCCCGGGCGTGCCGAAGAAGTACGTCATGTCCGGGCCGTCGTAGTTCTCCGGGTCGGGCTCCTCGCGCGCTGTGAACACCGCCTGGAAGTTGTTCATCACCATCTCAAGCTCCATCTCGAGGCTCTCCGGGCGGTGCTTGGACTGGCGCGCGAAGGAGACGAACTTGTTCGCGAGGTACTGCGAGACGCCGATCGCGTTCGCGCTGTGCGGCACCTCGGTCATCGCGAACTCGAACGGAGGCTTCTCCGGGTGCCACTGCGAGCCGAAAAAGGGGTACTTCCGCGCCTCCATCGTGGAGACGTACTCGGTGCCGTTGCGGTCGACGGACGTCGAGAGGATGCGGAACCAGTCGTTCAGGACGGGCCACTTGTCGTAGTGGTGCGGCGGCAGACCGTACTCGTGATTCTGCATCGCGATGTTCTGATCCGGGTCCGCGAGGCCGTCGAAGAGGTCGTCCGGCATGTCCTCGAGCAGAGCCGACTTCTCGCGGACGTCCTCGGCCCACTCCAGCGTCGTGGGGTGCGCCACCGAGTCGGTCTCAATCAGGAGGTCGTTGCGCGACACGTCCGAGACGAGAATGTGCAGGAGCTGGAAGCCCAGGCACGTGCCCCAGATCGGGAATACGTCGCCCTTGTCGTTCGCCTCGAGCGCCCACTTGAAGAGCTTGCGGGCTGCGCGAACCGGGCGGGCGCGGGAGCGCGTGAGGGGCTGCGGGCCTCGGTGGGCGGGAGGGGTGCGGTTTCTCGCGCGTCGGCGGCTTCGGGCGGGCGAGTGCATGGCGGTCCGGCGCGCAGGCCGGCGGGGCGCGCACCGGTGATGACGTACGGCGCGTCTAGCCACAGCCAAGTGAGGCCGCCGGGAAAGACGATGCCGTTGATGGACTTGAAGACGCGCTTGAGCTCCGCGTCGCTCTTGCGGAAGTGGATCGGGACCGCGCGGGCGCCGGACAGCTCGACCCACTTGACGAACCTGCGGGGCCGAAACGAGAAGATGCTCAGTTGCTGTGGTCGTTGGTGGGCAGCCCCGGCGCTGGGGGGGGTGTCTGCGCGCGCGGCGCGCCGTGTGGGCGGCGCGGGCGACGGTGGACGCGGAGCGCGGGCGGAACGAGCGAGAGAAGCGCTGCTGCGTCGCCGCGGGGCGTCCTGGAAGAGGATGGCAGCCGGCGGCTGCGTGCCGCGTCGTCGCGCGCCGGGGATCGGGATGTTTCGCGCGGGAATCTGAAAATAATAGGACTGGTCCGACGATCGTGCGCGACGCGACGCCGCACCACCGCGCGCTCGACGAGCACGCGGCCCCGCGCGTGCGCGAGCCTCTAGCCAGGCTCGGCCGCGCGCCGCGCCCGGCGCGCCCGCGCCGTCGCAATGCAGCGTTCCGGGATGCTCAGTACTCACGCTGCCGCCACATACGAGTCGCCCGGGCAGTCGTGGCACGGCTGAGTCAGGATACCGATCAGAGGACGACCGTACGGTTCCTTGTGCTTGTGGTGGCCCTCCAGGTCGCCGCGCGGCTGCTCCGACGCAATCACGCCCCCAGCCGCGCTGCCCCAGCGCGCGGCACGCGCAGCGGGCGCGCCCACGAGCACCAGCGCCACCAGGGCGGCCAGAGCCGCCCTCCACCTCGTAACCATCCCTTATTCCCTATTTGGCGAATCAAGCCAAGCTCAGAACGCGCACAGGCCGCTCCGTGGCGGAGGCGAGCCGTCAGTATCACGTCGAGCAGGGCGTGGACCTGCCGGGCCGGTGAGTGTCCGGTGTGCGCGGCAAACGGCGCCGACGTGCCTGCGGAGGCAGCGGGGAGTGTGTTGGGGGTGTGGCCCCCCGCGTCCTCGATCGCGGCGGCGGGGCCTTCGGGCCGCGGCTGCGCGGCGTGGAGGCATCGCTGCGCCGTTGAAGCGGTCGTGTTGATCGCGCAGGACGTCGGGAAGGCACCCGGCTGTTGCGTTTGGGCTCAGACGACGGCCGCGTCGCGTGCTTGGGAAGACGCGGAGGTATACTGCGTTGGTTCGCAAAGAACGGGAGTGAGCCGCCGCGTGAGGTGCTTCCGGAGGCGTAGCACGCTTCGAGCGGCGCGTACGAGCCGGTCTGCGTCGACCGCTTTCACTTCCCGCGAGCGCTTCGCGCGAGCCGAACGGACTCGCACGCGATGACGCGCCTCGGTCTCCTCGTTCTCACGCTCGCCCTGCTGGGCAGCCTGGCCCACTGCGCGTCGGCACGCGCCGTGGCGGGACCCGCCTCCGAGTGGGGCCTCGGCTCGCTCGCGACGCGCGCCTACCACGCGGTGTTCGGCCCCCCAGCGTCCGAGTACGATACCTTCCAGCACGCCGGCCGGCGCTCCCGCGTGAACAACCGCCCCGCCGTGTGCATCCTCTCCCAGGTGGGTCCCCAACCAGACCGCGGACGGCGGCTCCCCGCCCGCATCGCCGCCCCGCGCGCTTTCCGCACAGCCCTCACCGCACGGACCAAGCTTCGCTTGCTCCGCGCCCGCCGCTCCGCCCCCCCGCGAAGATCTCCCAGCCAGTGGTTGGCTGCGCCCACCCACTGACTTCCCGCCCCCGCTGCGCCGCAGCCGGACGCCGAGCTCGCCCCGAACGGGCAGTCCTACATCGCAGCGTCCTACGTGAAGTTCGTGGAGGGCGCGGGCGCCCGCGCGATCCCGGTCCTGCACGACGAGCCTGAGGAGACACAGCGCACAAAGTACGAGGCATGCAGCGCGCTGCTCATCCCGGGCGGCGACGCCGACCTCGGCCCGGACTCGACCTTCCGCATCAGCGCCAAGCGCTTCCTCGACTGGGCCGAGGTGCGCCGCGACGCCCCCGCCGGCCGCCCAACTGCGCCGCCACACTCTCGCGCCGCCCCGCCCCGCCGCCCGGCCGAACGCGCCCCAGCGCCCCGCCGCCACGCAGGACGAGCACGCCGACGGCGGCTACTTTCCGATCTGGGGCACGTGCCTCGGTTTCGAGCTCCTCGTAGCCATCTACGCCGGCGAAGGCACGCTGGCCGAGGTCTCCGGGCGCAACCACCGCGAGACGCAGCGCCTCGAGACGCGCCCGCACCACTCCCGCCTCCTGCGCGCCCTCCCGCCGCGCCTCGTCCGCCTCCTCGAGCGCGACGCCGTGTCTTACTTCAACCACGGTCACGCGCTGCCGCTCGAGGCCTGGAGCGCCGCGGCGGGCGCGGACGACGCCGGGGGCGCGCCGCTCGCGGACTCCTTCGACCTCCTCGCCTCGGCCGTGACCCTCGACGGCACGCGCGTCGTCTCCATGTTCGAGCACACCTCGCGGCCCATCTACGGTGTGCAATGGCATCCGGAGAAGAACCTGTACGAGTGGACGGAGGAGGAGGACATTCCGCACTCCAGCGAGGCCGCGCGGCTCGCGCAGGCCATCGCGAACTTCGTCGTCGACGAGGCGCGCCGGTCGGACCACGCGCTCCCGGAGGACCCCGCGGCGGCGGCGCAGCTGTTGATTTACAACTATCAGCCCGTGCCGGGCGTGGCGTCGGAGAACGGCCTGGAGGCGGACTTCGAGCAGATCTACGTGTTCCCGGGCTCGGCCGCGTCGGTGTGGGCCGCGGAGGCCCGGGCGGCGGCGGCGAGCGGCGCCGACGTCGACGTCGACGCTGTGGCCAAGCACCACCGCCACAAGCACGACGACGGGTCGGACAGCGACGACGACGACGACGACGACGACGACAACAGCGACGACGACGACGACGACCACCGCGCCGCGAAGGAGGCCGACCGCGTCACGACCCTCCCCGGCGCCGGCATCCTGCCGTTTGGCCTCTACGCGGGCTACATCACCGTGCACGCGTCGAAGCACCGGCAGATCTTCTACGTGCTCGCGGAGAGCAAGTCCGAGCCGGACACGAAGCCCGTGACCATGTGGATGAACGGCGGCCCCGGCTGCTCCTCCATCGGGGGGGGTCTCATGTCGGAGATGGGACCCTTCTTCCCGAACGAGGACGGCATCACGCTCCGGCCCAACCCCAACACGTGGACGGACCTCTCCAACATGCTCTACGCCGAGATCCCCGCCTTCGTGGGCTTCTCGAAGTCGGACTCGGAGGAGGACCGCACCATGGGGGACTCCATGATCGCGCTCGACTCCCTGCGGTTCGTCCTGGGCTTCCTCCAGCGGTTCAAGTCGTACCGCGGGCGCGAGTTCAACGTCGCGGGGGAGTCGTACGCGGGCCACTACGTGCCCAACCTCGCCGCGATGATCCAGGCCTGGAACCGCAAGGACACGGGTGTCGTCGAGGCGGTGCCCGGCGGGAAGGCGCGCATCCCGCGGCACTGGTTCGACGACTTCGCGGACGTGGGGGAGATCAACCTGCGCGGGATCTTCCTGGGGAACCCGTGGACGCACCCGCAGATCGACACCACGGCGGAGCTGGTGAGCCTGTGGGCGCGGTGTTACATCTCGCAGGACGCGATGATCGGCGTGCTCAACCACTGCGACCTCACGGAGACGCTCGTGCCGTTCAAGCGCGCGGCGCGCGCGCTGCTGGACGGCAGCGCGGACGGCGACGGCAAGGACGGCGACACGACGCTCGACGAGCTGCACGCGCTCGTGCACGCCGTGGTCAACAGCGCGGCGCGGCCGGAGGACACGGGCCGCCTGTGGGAGGACTTCGCGGTCGACGTGGCGCGGATGGACCACAAGAAGGACGCGGAGGACGGCAAAGATTGGGAGCTGTGCAAAAAGGCGGTCGAGCTCATGGACGTCGACATGGGCCACATCAACATCTATGACCTGACGGTGGATGTGTGCCCGGGGCCGGAGCACGAGGAGTTCGCGCTCGCGCGCGCGCTGGCGGGCTCCGGCGGCGGGAAGGGCGGTGCGCTGGGCCTCGTTCACTCGGTGGCGCGGATGGCGCGCGCGAACCTCGGCGCTGGCGCCGGCGCGCTGTCGAGCGCGCGGCTGCGCCGCCGGCGCGGGCAGGCGCAGCTCCCGTACTACGCGGCGAAGCACGGGCTGCGCCTGCGCGGCGACAACGGCGGAGACACCCCCTCGGGCGTCCCCGACCTCCCCGGGTACGACCCGTGCGTGCACGACGAGGTCGCGAAGTACCTGAACTCGCGCGTCGTGCAGGAGGCGCTGCACGTCATCCCGAAGCAGGACGACGCCGACAAGGCCCCCGACGACAGCGACAACGCCGGCATCATGGACTGGCACATCTGCACGCCCGAGGACCAGATCTTCTACGCCAAGGACGACGTCCTGACGCCGATGCTCGACGTGTGGCGCGGGATCCTGGACGAGGACCCGGACATCAACGTGGCCATCTTTTCCGGCGACATGGATGGCATCGTGCCGACGCTGGGGACGCGGCTGTGGGTGCAGGAGCTGGGGCTCGAGGTGAAGCAGCACTGGCAGCCGTGGCTGGACCGCGAGGGGCAGGTCGGCGGGTACACGGTCGTGTACGACCGCCTGGCGCTGCTGACGGTGCGCGGCGCGGGCCACATGGTGCCGTACACGCAGCCGCAGCGCGCCCACGACATGTTCGAGGAGTTCATCAAGCGCGGGCAGAAGACCGACGACGACGCCAGCGGCGACGCGGCTGCCGAGGCCGCGGCGTGAGCAACGCCTGTCGTCACAGGCGTTGTTTTTCCCTCTATCGCACGCCTGCCAGGCACCACTACATTCCCATTCACTGTTTTGCTACTGCGGCGCCGTCCTGCGCCCCGCCCGCCCCTGCTGCGCTGCTCGCGGCGACGCAGGCCGCGGGGGGGTGCTCAGTCGCTCGTCGTGCCGCCTTGGGACGACGACTGTCATGTGGACCCACGGCGCCTGCCCCGTGCTTCAGCGCTCGCTTCCGCCTTGTGAAACGATCCGAACGCATCCCCGCGTCACCCGCAGCCGCCCCTCCCGTCGGCTGCAACTGACGCCTGCAACCAGAAGCAGTGCGAACGGCCGCGCGAATCGGCCCGGTCCACAGCTGCGAGTTACACGGGGCCGGCGCGTGCGTTCGCGCTACTGCTGGTGCGGCCCGCCGTGCGCCGGCATCGACGAGAAGAACCACCGCTGGCCTATGTCCACGCCCTGTTGCAACACTGGGAACCTCGCCCGGAGACTCCGCGTCCGTTCGTCCACCAGGCGCCACGCTCGGCGGTTGAGCGCCGATGTGTCGGGCGCCATGTACCCCAGTTTGAGCACCTGTGTCAGGGCGTACGCCTGGCCGGCGAGGCGGAGGCGGACGCCAAAACCGCCTGTGAGCGGCCAGACGATTTGGAACGTTATGAGGCCGAGCACGACGATCGGGAGGAGGGCGTTCGCGAGGGAGGCGTGCTGCTGGTGGCGCGCCAGGTGCGCGGACAGCGGAGCGATGCGCTGCTGATACAGCGCGGTGCTGCTGGCGCGCTGCGAGAGGAACGCCAGGAGATGGTAGGTCCCGAGGACGGTCGGCGGGATCACGATCAGCGGCTGCGGAGCGTCGAGGCACGAGGGGCGCGGGTATCAGTCAGGGAGGGCGCAACGCAAGGCATCACGACGGGCGCGATCCACCACGAGCGTCGGGGCCGCGTCCGACGCCGGCGCCGCTCCCTCGTTCCTCAGATACCCTCCCTTCATACTGTGCGTGATTCTACGCCATAAAGCGCGATTTTGTCGCTTCGTGTCGTCTCACCTGGGGCGGGAAGGATAACATGAAGAACAACATGGTGATGGCGTGGTGGGCCTCGATGTACATCATCGCGCGCCCGACCCACGCGCCGACCGGCCGCAGCGCCGCCATCGACAGCCCCACGCTCGGGAACCGCCCCGCCCGCGGCATCACGCGCAGCGCGGACGTCACAAGCGCCAGCCGACACGCCCACACGTACGCCGCCGTTCCGCCCGCGAACCGCCCCAGGATCGGCACCCACGCGACGAGGCCCACCGGCGCGACGCCGCCGTAGCCGATCAGGCTCAGCGCTGCCAGGACGGGCAGCACGAGGTGTGCGGCGTGCATGATGAGGGTTCGCGGCGGGTCGCCGGAGCGCCGCAGGACGTCGAGGAGCTCCTTGACGTCCGCGACGATGCCTGCGCTCGCGGCGGCGCGGGCGGCGTCGGGGGCGCGCCGCGGCGGGCGGTCGGGGGGGGGGTTACTTGTGTGCGCCCCCCCGGAGGAGCTGGGGGCGGCGAAGGGGACGCTGCGCGGCTCGTACGCGTCCGAGGAGGCGCTGGCGGCCGCGACGGCCTCGTCGACGTTGAGGGACGCGTCGACGTTCGCTTTCCACCACTTGACTTTGCGGCGGAACATGGCGGCTTCGCGGTCGCCGTGAGACCCCGGAATCTCGATCTTCGCGGCGTACTCGATCCACCTTGGGTCGGCCGCGAAGTCGTGCTTCCTGCGCGCGCTCGCGGGCGCCGCGGGTCGCGGTGAGCAACAGCAACTGAGCGCGCGTGCAGCGGCCTGGCGCGGCGGGTTCGGGGGGTTCCGGGCGGAGCCCCAGCGTCGCGGCGTGTGCTTCGCTGTTGTGCTTCTGCATGGCGCGAATGCTTCCTCGCGGTGTCTTGCCGGCAGCACCGGGGCAAGCAAGCCCGCGGGTTGCACGCGCTGAGGCCAAAGTGCACCCGCGCGGCGCACACGGCTGATTTCGTGGTTGAAATCGGGCGAGGTCGATGAATGCGATACAGAGAGGACAGCGGCGGCCCAGGGATAATTCCGTGCGCGTCGTGTGCGAGCGCAGCGGGCGCTTGTCACGTCCCCGGGCCGCATATTCACCTGAATCTCTCCAAAGCCGACATGGCTGCTCCCCGCCTCGCAGGACCTGAGAGCACACGCCCGGACCTTCAACCCTGTGCGTCTGCCTTGCGCTCGCGCGCCCTGCACTGCCCTGGAAGCCCTCTGGGACAAACAGACACCAGGAGCCTCGTCGCCGAGCTCCACAGCGGCGCTAAAACCTATCCCGGCCTCCTCTCGTCCGTCCCCGAAAGCCAACGCTGCCCGCGCGCGGGCGCCGCGATCCCCACAAAGCCCCCTGACGTCTGCGTGGCCGTCGCTCGGAGGCTCCGGGGTGGTCTAGGTCAGGGCGACGCCCCCGGGCGCACAGGGGCGCTGGCCCGGCGCGCACCAGCGCAGAAGCAAGGCGACTGCACCGACCTGCCGCTCCGTTCGCTCTCGGGTCCCGTGCCTATCTGAATTCCGCGCCGCAACTCGACGAATCAAGACTCGCAGGGATCACAGGAATGCTCCGCGCGCCCGCGCCGCTCCGCAGCGCCACGGCCCCCCGCGCCCAGGCCAGGGCCCGCACGACCGTCAGGACCCGCGCCTCGCCCGCCCGCCGCCTCGCCGTCGCGGCCCTCTTCGGCGGACTACTCCAGGTAGCTTGTGGCCCCGCACACACCTAGCCCCGCCACACTCACCCCAACGGACAACACCGCGCCAAAATCGCGCCCCCGCGCCCTTCCAATCTACATCTTTGCCGCCGGCAGTGCGATGCGGCTGTCGCGGACCCACGCCCTGCGCGGGGCGCTGCAGAGCAGCGCGGCAAGGCGCGGGCGGCACGTCCGCAGCCATCGCGATCGATGCAGCTATCCCGGCTGTCGCGGAAGCCCCACCGAGCCTCCGGCATCGGAGTCGATGCCGTTTCCGGCCGTGCCGCGCCAGAATCGCGCCTCCGAGCTGCTAGGGAAGCCATGTGTGTGCCTGTGTGTGTTTGTCTCGACCTCTGGTGCCGCGATGCGCTCCCGCAGGGCCTGTTCGGGACCGGGGAGAGCATGGGGGCGTCGAGCAGCAAGGGCTGGGTCCCGGGCACCCCGGACACGCCCAAGAAGCTCAGCTCGAGTGGCTACGACATCACGCCGATGACGACTGCGGAGAGGGACGCGGCCGCCGCGGGTCTGCCGGACATTGCCAAGGTAGCCAGACGTTTCTGCACGCCGTGCCTCGCGCGGGGCCGCCGTCCTCGGCCCCGGAGCTTGTCTGAGACGCCCGAGTGTGTCCCGCGGTGCGTCTGTTGCAGTACGTGACGCTGAAGGCCGGCACGGAGCGAGCGTTCACGGGCCTGACCGTCAACGGCTACCCGCACGACAACAAGAAGAAGGGCGTCTACGTCTCCGCCATCAGGCACGCTCCCTGACGCCCGGTACCCCCAAGCACCATGCGACCCGCAACGCCGCGCACACGCGCGCGCCGCTCCCCCACGCAAAGTGTCAATTGACCACCCGCGCACGAAATGCGGGTGTGCTATCGTCCTGATCAAGGCAGCAGCGTGCTAGCCACGCACCCCCGCCCAACAGCTCGCACCGTCCCCCAACCCCGCCCCCTCCCCCTGCGCCCGCCCCGCAGCGGAGTCCCCCTGTTCTCGTCTGACACGAAGTATAACAGCGGGACGGGCTGGCCCTCGTTCTTCGCCCCGATCGACCCGGAGCACGTGATCGAGGTCGAGGACCGCAGCATCCCGTTCATGCCGCGCGTCGAGGTCGTGGACGCCAAGTCCGGCGCGCACTTGGGCCACGTCTTTGACGACGGGCCCAAGCCCACTGGGAAGCGGTACTGCATGAACGCGGCGGCGCTCAAGTTCATCCCGGAGGGCGAGGAGATCCCGAAGTGAGCTGGGGCCGTCGGGTCGAGAGGAGCGCGTGCGGGGAGTGCACGCGCGTGTGAGACGCGGGCGCGTGTCGCGGCGAGTGGACGTGCGCTTTCTTCTTCTGTGCGGTGGCCGCTTCGCGACCAATCTGCCCGCGCGCGTGGCGACTTCAGCACGTCATAATTCGCTGACCTACAGTCTGTACTTCGCTTGTACTTCGCTGACCTACAGGCACCCTCGCCGCGAGGATGCTTGAGCAACCGAAATGGTACAGTTCTTCGCTGACCTACGAGCACCCTCACCGCGAGGACGCTTGAGCGACCGAAATGGTACGGCAACGGCGGTGAGGCGCAGCGTCGTCGCATCGCATCACAGGCCAGCGCCGGCGCACCAGTGGCGGTAGCGAGTCACGGCACAGGCTGGGCGGGTGCTGCAACCGAGGCGCGAGGCCGGCCGGTCGCGCTCCCCTCCAGACAACGCCAGAGGGGAGGTCGCTTGAGATTCATTCATGGTCTTCGTCTGGCTCGGCGTGTCATCATCATGATTCACGTCGAGTCGTGCTACAGTATTTGCCAGACTCTGATCAGCGCTGGAGGGGCGGTCGATGTCTCGACCGCTCTCGAGACGCACTTCCCCGCGCGTGCTTCGGGAGCGGGGCGAAGAGTTCGACGTGAGCGTCGGGGGTTGGACTACGGGGGTGCTGAGGCGGAGCGCTGGTTGCGCCGCGCACGGGCACGTCAACGCGGACGTGCAACGTGGCGGTCGACAGCGAGCGCGAGCGCGAGGAGCACCGCGGAGGTGAATGCAGCTGCAAAATCGTGAGGCGTTCGGCCGGACGCGATTCGCGCCCGCCTGCGACAGCCAGGCGGGGGGTGGAGCGGCCAGAGAGGGGGCTGCCTTTGAAGGAGGAATAGCGGAGAGGTGGTCGCCCAAGGTCTCTGCCAAGGCCCGCGGCGCGTGAAGCATCTTGGAACCAGGCTGGAGGGCCGGATCGGATCTGATTCGGGCGGCCCTGCTCTACTGGCAGGCCCCCGCAGTGCCGTGCACGGGGTGCGCGCCCCAGCCCTGCTGCGGGGGGTCCATCGACCCGGGCATGCTGAACGGCAGCCCCGGCGCCGACATGCCCCCCGGCAGCGGGTGCCCGTGCGGCCCCGTGGCCGGCCCCCATGCGCCGGGCGACAGCTGCTGCGACGCCGTGGGCGTCGCGGCGGGCGCGTCCTCGTCCATGTCCATGCCGTCGTCCTCCGGAATGAAGATCAGGCCCTCCTCGTCGCGCGTCGCGTTCCGGACGTCCATGTTCATACCCCTGTAGGACTCCCCCTCCTCGTTCTGCGTGCCGAAGCCCCGCGGGCCGACGTTCACGATGTTCGTGCACATGTCGACCATGTCCACGGACGTGCCCATCAGGTGGTGCCCCGAGGCGCGGCCCGACGGCCGGCCGACGTAAGACCCCCCGTAGTATGACCCAAACTTGGAGGCGCGGTACGACCCGGCAGCGTCGAACAGCGGCGCGGGGGGCTCGTCCATCCCGCGCCCGGGGATCGCCATGGACGCGCCCACCGCCGTCGGGATGCCTGCGGGCCGCGCGCGGCGAGGAGCGCGGGTGGGCGTGGGCGCGGACGTGAGCGAGGCGCGACGAGGTGGGTCGGCGCGGCGTGGCGGGGCGGGGCGCGCACCGGCGGCGGCGGGGGAAGATCCGAGGAGGCCGTCGGCCCCCGCGAGTCCCCTGGCGGCGTGGCTGCCCATCAGGGCCGGGGAGGCGCCGTACATTGACGACGACAGCCCGGGAATGTCAAAGGACGGCTCGGCGCGCTTTTGCGGCACCTGCGACGCGCGGCGAGGGGTGCGATTCATTGCGGGGGGCGCGATCGGGGCGGCCGGGAGCCGGCGCGGCGAAAGGGCGCGCGCGCGACGCCGTGCGGGACGTGACATGGGCAAGGGTGGAGGCCAGTAGAGCGTGCGTTCCCGCTCGCCGCGGGGCCGCTCCGGGCGCGCGCGCGCGAGATTTGGGGCGGAGATACAAGCGGTGGCGCGTCCGTGGCGGAAACTTCGGGCGCGAGGGCGCGCGCGGCGCGCCGAGGTGGAGGGAAGGGCACAAGCACACCACCTGCTGGGGGTCCGTGCTCGTGTGGGGGCTGCCGCCCGCGTGGTCGTGTTCGGTGCCGCTGTGGGGCAGCACTGCATCGGTCGCGATGTCGTCCTGGGCCGGGCCGTGCCGCGCTTGCGCCGGAGTCTCGTTGGGGAGCGGGAAATTGGTCTTGGCAGCAGCACCGCGGATGGCGCGCGCTGCGGCGTCGTAGGCGCGCGCTGCCTCCTCCGGGGAGTCGAAGGTGCCCAACCATCTGCGGGCGGCGGGCCGGAGCGGCAGATGGGGCGCGGGTCGGCGCGCACGGGCCGAATTCCCATTACGCGAGCAGGCAAGGTCCACGGCCCGTTCGGGGACCAGCAGCTGGGAAATGTGAACCTGTCCGGGCATTCCGATCGCACAATGGGTTGTCCTCGCCGTTCTGCTCCGAAACGGCGCCCTCGCGGCCGCACGCGCCGAGGAGGCCGGTGAAACCGGGCCCAGACGGAAGCAGCGGCGCACGGCCCCGCTGGGCCAGCCGGGCGGCAATGCGCCGGCCGGTCGTTCTGGGGGATTCATTTCTCACCTGCGGGCGCCAATGCTGGGGTCCCGAATCTCCGCAGCGAACTTGCCCCACGGCCTTTGTCGCACCCCGGTATATTGGGCCTTCCGCGGCGGCTTCTGGGCCGACCCGCCCTGCTGCGCCCCGCTTTCCTGCTTCGCGGTGTGCCCTGATCCCCCGGCTGCCTGGTGAGTTTCCCCGACCGGGACCTTGCGGCCATCCAGACGTGCACTCGATCGCTGCCTCACTTGCTGCGAGCCTGCAAGGGAGCTCATCATCTGTCCGCTCTCGATCGGCGCCGGGTCGCGGCACGTATTGGAACGGAGGCGGGGTGACCGAGCCGCGCTATCTGCGGTCCGCGACGAGATCGCAAACGGCCACCGTGTCCCCGAAGGCCCAGCGACGCTGTGTGCGCACGACAAGTCGCCACGCACAGGCAGATTGGTTCACGCCGCACGTGCGAGTTGCAACGCCGCGACACGCGCCCGCAGCGACCCGTTGTCGCGCCGCTACGGGCCTCTCTCATACCCTGTCGACGTCGTCCACGCCACGCCACGCGCGATGGAGGCGGCCAGCGGCTCGCGCGCCGAGGTGCGCCCTTCTTCGCCATCTCTGACGACACAAGCTCGTCCTCCGCGGATCATTGCGCGCCACACGTGGACATCCAGCGTCGCCTGGTGGTCAAACTACCGATTCCTCGGAACGGCGCCGCGCGGCCGCCCTCACGCCCGCACTGCGCGGGACCAACCACGTCGACCGCGCCGCGACCAGAGCGCGGGGCAATCATGCCCAGCTACGCGGGCAAGGCAGGGCAACACACGCGACATGACACACCTCCGCGCGACGACCCGGGGGCGCGACGCGGCCCCGCGCACAGGCCCCTGGCGCGTCGGAAACCGGCTCACAGCGCGCCGTCGTGCGGCCGCCAGCGCGAGTCGCCCAGTGTTGCATATGTCGAGTCTGGTGCCCCGCCGCCGCGAGCGTCAGAGTTTGTCGCAGACGGCCTTGGTGTAGTCGTCCGTCGAGGCCTTGCCGCCGAGGTCCGGCGTGAGGTACTTGCCCTCGGCCAGCGTCGCGAGCGTCGCCGTCTGGATGCGGTCCGCGTAGTGCGGGAGGCCCATCGAACGCAGCAGCATCACGCCCGACAGCAGCAGCGCCGTCGGGTTCGCCTTGCCCTGCCCTGCAACGCTCGCACGCAGCACAACCGGCCCACGTCCGTCAGCACATCCACGTCGACACGAGCGAGCGATACGTACGCACAGACATGTTCAACGCGCCGCATGCGACGCTGGCGATCGGGAACGCACCGGCGATGTCCGGGGCGGTGCCGTGCACGGCCTCCATCAGCGCGAGGCCGTCGGCGCCGAACTGCGCGGACGGCGTCAGGCCGAGGCCGCCCACCATGCCGGCGCAGAGGTCCGAGATGATGTCGCCGTACAGGTTGGGCATCACCATGACGTCGAAGCGCTTGGGGTCGCTGACGAGGGTCATGCACGCCGCGTCGACGATGACCTCGTCGTACTCGATGTCCGGGTACCGCTCCGACACCTGCGGGCGCGGCGGAAGCGGCTGTCGCCAGCACTGTCGCCCACGCGAGCGTGCGGGGAGAGAACAGCGGCGCGCGGGTCGCAGGGGCGGGCAGCTGGCGCGCGAGAGGACGCGTGCGCGGGCGGCCACGGCCGCGCGCGCTGCTGCGCTGTTCGACCCGTGTACGCGCCGGGGCGCACCTCCCGGCAGCACTTGATGAAGAGGCCGTCGGCCATCTTCATGATGTTGGCCTTGTGCACCGCGGTGACCTTCTTGCGCCCGTTGTCGCGCGCGTAGCGGAAGGCGAATTCGGCGATGCGAATCGAGGCGTGGCGCGTGATGACCTTGAGCGACTCCACGACGCCCGGGACGACCTCGTGCTCGAGCCCGGAGTACTCCCCCTCGGTGTTCTCGCGGATCGTCACCAGGTCCACGTCGTCGTACCTGCACGCGCGCCGCACCCAGCGCCAACGCATCCGGCGTCGCGCCTCGCCGAGCGAGGACAGCGAGAGGGAGCTCGTGGCTCCGCGCGCGCGCTCGCAGTGCCGCAGTTGCGCGCAGGAGTAGCTCGCACCTGGTCTTCAGGCCCGGGATGGAGAGGCAGGGGCGGACGTTGGCATACAAGTCCAGCTCCTTGCGCAGCGTGAGGTTCAGGGAGCGGAAGCCCTTGCCGATGGGCGTGGTCATGGGACCCTTGAGCCCGAACCGGTGCTCGCGCACGGACTCGAGGTTCTCCTGCGCCGCGCGCGGGGGCAAGCCGTCCGCGTCACCGCAGGGGGGTCGCGCGGCGTGTGGCCGCGGCGGCCCGCGCAGTCGGGGGGCGCGGACGCATGTGTAGGACGCGGGTGACGCGCGTGGTGCAGCGGGGGCGCTTGCCTCGGTGATGAAGGAGCGCGTGCGGGCGTCAACTTCGGTGCCAATGTGCTGCTCGTCCCACTCGATAGGAGCGCCTGCGGGAGGGGAGGTTTGATGAGGAGGGGTGATTTGGTGAGGGGAGCGTGCAGGCGACGCGGCGCGGGCGCGGCGCCGATGTGCTGGTGTGCAGGGGCGGCTGCTGGGGTAGGGTGCAACGCAGCAAGGGCGCAGCCGGCCGCGGCGCGCGCAGTGCGTCCGCGACGTAATGAGATGCGGGACGGGGATGTTTGGGGGGTAAGCGCTACGCGCACGGCGTGGCGCGGCTGGTAGGGCCGCGGGGAGCGCGGTGCGCGCGACCGAGAGGGCATGGCAACAGACAGCGCCGTGGCGGCGCCGGTGGCCGTGACGGGCGTAGGCGAGCGATGCGCTTCGATGTATCCGAAATGGCTCGTGCCGCGACGCGCAACGCGGCGCAGGAGTCGCCCGCGGCGACGCTAGACGGCGACGTCAGTGCAGTCGAGCCCACGCGCCAGGGGCGCACCGGCGTGCTTGAAGATCGTCTGCACGGCGGCCGCGCACTCCGGACCGATACCATCGCCCGGGAACAGCGTGACCTTGCGGATCTCGTGCGACGAGGCCGAGCTGAACGCACGCGCGCCTGAGAGCCGAGACACCGCCTGTCGCAGCATTGTGACCGTCGTGCGCGACACCTGAGCCGGTTTCCGAACCTCTTCGCGTGTCTTGCCGACCACGACAGGCGTGTGCATGCCCGCCCCGCGCCCCCGGGCCCATGCCGTGCCCCCGGCAGCCCCCGGGCCCAACGCACTGCTGTGACACCCCACCTGTCCCAGGCGACCCCCCCCCCTCTCCGCACGCCCTGCGGCTGCGACCAGCGCAACACCAAGCGCCCTGCGACCCCTCCCGCGTGCGCCAGACGTCACGCGCCCCGCCACGACACAAAGAAGTAATTGACCACCCGCGCACGAAACGAAATGCGGGTGTGCTATCGTCCTGATCAAGGCGGCAGCGTGCTAGGAGTACTCGCGCGAACTGCCATGTGAGCGTGCCATCGTGTGCCAAGGTAAGGCTCTGACCTGCAATCAGTTAGAGTGAGTGAGTGGCGGGCGTCGTCAGCAACAACGCGGCGAGCCGCGCGAGTACTGGACGACGCCCGCCAGCCGACGCGCCAAAGTGCTGGTCCACGTCCCAGGCTGCTTGTACCGGGGGGTGTCGGCAGCCGGCTGGGTGACAGCGGTGACTGAGTCTGCGGCATTGTCCGCGTTGTGTGGCGACGCGCCGACCGCTACTCAGCTCTCCTCGTCACCGCCGCCCCCCGCGTGGCCTGTCATGCGAAAAGCCGTCATACTACGACACGACCATATGCAGCCGCGGGTGACCACCCGCACTGTTTATCCTGCGCGCCAGCTGCACGCATACCGTGCCCGCCAGCGCGGCCCCGTCCGGCACCGCCCCCCCCGCCACGCACACCCGCTCGTCGCGGCCCTCACACACCCCCGGAGGACCTCCAAGCACCCCCTCTACGCCGGGCGCGCCGGGAGGTCCATCTTCAGCCCCTTCTGGATCTGCCCCCACCCGATGAGGCGCCAGTGCTTGTCCACGCGGCGCGACAGGGCCACCTTCTCCGACTCCTTCGTGCACACTGGCGACGTGAGCTGCAGCTTGGCGAGGTCGTGCTTCACGGCGATCACGCGCGCGCCCGTGCACATCGACCCGATGTTCAGCATCAGCACCTCGTTCTTCGCCAGCTTCGACACCTTGCCCGCCTTCTCCCCCTGCGTCGTGCGCACGCCCAACAGCCTGCACGCACAGCCGGGACGCACGGGCGTCGGCGGCGCGCGGACGCACCCCCACTCGGAGAGGGCGGATAGACGCGCGCGGAGAGTGATAGACGCGCGCGGAGAGTGATAGACGCGCGCGGAGAGTGATAGACGCGCTCGGAGAGTGATAGACGCGCTCGGAGAGTGATAGACGCGCGCGGAGCAGCTGCGCGGCCACGTGGGCCGGTGCGCGGGAGGGAGGCGCATGCGTGCGCGCGTCACGACCGCCGTCGCGCCCCACGCGCACCTGCGGAGGAGGAAGAAGTTGATCTCGAGCTCCGTGAACACCTCCGGCAGCGCGCCGACGCCCCCCAGCACCTGCCCCACCAACCGGTCCGCCCGCGTCAGCGTCGGGTCCACCGTCGTGCCCAGCCCGATCAGTCCCCCCGGGACGGCGTACTCCAGCGCGTTGCGCTCCGCGAAGAGCGCCTGCACGCGCGAGTAGATCGGAATGCACTTGATCGCCCCGGACGCGTCCTTCGTCACGATCCCCGGCCGCACCTCGATCTCCTGGCCCTTCTTGATGACGCCCTGGAGGATCGAACCGCCGGCGATGCCGCCCTCGACCTGGTCGACGAACGTGCCGGGCTTGTTCACGTCGAACGAGCGGATCACGATCATCTGCGGCGGCGACGTGAAGTCCCGCACCGGCACCGGGATGCGCTTGGTGATGAACTCCAGCACCGCGTCGGTGTTGTACCTGGGGGGGTGTTGGGGGTGTGCGGGTGAGAGGTGCTGCGGGTGACGGGGGCGCGGGGGGTGTGCGTGGAGCGGGAGGGGGGGGGGGCGGAGTGTCGCACGGCAAAGAGGCCGGCTCAGGCGGTGGGGCGCCGTGGCCGGGTGACAGTGGCGCGCGGGGGGCACGCGGCCCCCCGGTGATCTCCTCAGGTGGTAGGGGCGAACGCTCGCCCACGGAGAGGGCGCGTCGCACGGAGTTGAACTGAGTTGCCGCGAGCTGGGCGCCGCGGGGGACAAGAGTGCAACACCCCCGCGTTCCAGGATGCTCCTTGGAGGTCGTAGCCCCACGTGTCGGGGCTTCAACAAGAGCCTCGAATGTGGCCGGGCTCAAGTCTGCACATTCGAGGCTCTTGTTGAAGCCCGGACACGGTGGGCTACGGCCTCCAAGGAGCCCCCCCTGCTGCCGTCTGGTATCCGAAAAAGAGCACTCTGACAAGTCAGCGAACGAAGAAATCGCGCGGGGGACAAGATCGTCTTCTCAATGCATGTACACAGATGTGCTCTTTCGGAATAAATCACGAGATACGATAATCAGTCAGCGATAACGACTGGGGCCTCGCGCGCACACAAGCACTCGGGCGACCTCGGCTGCGGACGGCAGGCCGAGTCGACGTGCGGATCCCGGGCGCGAACGGCGCAGCGCGGCGCACCTGAGCTGCGCGGAGATGGGCACGACGGGCGCGCCCTCGGCGACGGTCCCGCGCACGAACTCCCCGATCGCCTCGTACTGCTGCTTGGCCGAGGGCTCGGTGACGAGGTCGATCTTGTTCTGGAGGATGATGATGTGCCGCAGCCGCATGATCTCGACGGCCGCGAGGTGCTCCGAGGTCTGGGGCTGCGGGCACGACTCGTTGGCGGCGATCAGGAGCATCGCGCCGTCCATCACCGCCGCGCCGTTGAGCATCGTCGCCATGAGAATGTCGTGCCCGGGGCAGTCCACGAACGACACGTGCCGGATCAGCTCCATCCTGCGTGCACGGCGTGGTCGCGCAGGTGCCGGGGGCCGCCGCGCGGCGGCGGGCGCGCGCTGGCGAGCGCGGTCGCGGGGGGGGCCTCAGTGGAAACGTTCTCGTCAACAGGGGAGCAGAGCGCCCCTGACTCCGCCAGGTAAACGGCGTATTGTTTTGTGAATAATCACCGGCCGAATTATTGTTCTTATTATGAATCAGCACCGCCGCGAAGCACGGCGCCCCGCGCGCCGCGCGCCCGGGCGGCGTCGGCGCGATCGTGGCGAGCCGCGAGCGAGGCGCGGGGGCCTCCGGCGACGCACCTGGTGCCGTCGTGCGGGCACTGGTAGTCATCCGGCGTGGTGCTCCCGAACGCCTGGAAGCACTTGGGCCGCGGGCACTTGGGGCACTTGTAGATCTTGGCGTTCGCGTAGCCGAGCTTGATAGTAATGTTGCGCTCGAGCTCGTTCTTGAAGCGCACGGTCTGTACGCCGGAGATGGCCTTGACCAGCGTAGACTTGCCGTGCGCCACGTGGCCGATAGTGCCGATGTTGATCGTGGCCTGCCGGCTGATGACCTCGGGCGTCAGCGGGGTGAGCTTGGAGGTGTCTAAGGTGGCGAGGTTCTGCGGGGGAGGCGGAGGCGGCACGGAATGAGGTGGGGCGTGCGAGCGTGGGCGCTGGGGCGCGCGTGTGCGCGGCGTTCCCGGTCAGGTGCGGTGCGGGGGAGGAGGAGAGGGCGAGCCGCGCTGGATGGGGCCGCGGCGGCGCCCGTGTGGCGCAGCGGCGTGGGCTGGGTGTGTGCAGCAGAGAGCGGCGCCCAGCGCGCGGTGAGGCCGCGGCGGGGCGTGGGAACGGGCTCGGGGGCGGGGGATGTTGCGCGGGCGGCGTGGGCGATGGCCGCGTGCACGTGTGCTCGCTGAGCAACCGAGGTTGCGGGTGGCGAGCCACTGCGTCATATGGACGGGGAGCGCTGGCCCGCGTGCCCTTCCGCGATGCGGCGACTTCGCGGGCCCCGCTCATGCAAACAATGGGCCGCGCGGGAAATTGGTGGCGCCGCGCGAAGGGCCTGCCGCGCGAGACGCGGGGGCCGACGGCAAGCTCAGGGCCGGCTACACCGCCGCGCGCGATGGGGCGGCTGCGTCACGTTGCCGCGGCCGCGCCGCGTGGTCGCCAGCTTTCATTCTCGCGGCGCCGGGCGAAGAATATCCCGCAAGCCACATCGCAGCGGAGCGCAAGCGCCGAGCGGGGCTCCTGGAGCGAAATCGGCGCGCGTGGTCGTCGCGGGCGCCGGGCTCGCGCGAATCTCCGATCTCACGGCATCGTTCTACGCCCCGTACCTGCTCGCTAAGCCCCGCCATCCCGCCTATCGCCCCCGGAACCCCCTCACAAGCCGAAAACGAGCCTCTCGGACAGTGTCCCTCGCAGACAGCGCTGTTCTCGCCCGCCTCTGTGTCCTCACGCAGACCGGAAAGCACCCCGTTCGTCAAACTAACACGTCACCCCGGCACCCCGGCGAAAACTAGCCAAGACCTGCAGCAGGGGGGGAGTCGCCGGGAACGCCCCCCGCGCCGTCCGCTGGCCGCGGCGGACCTCCCGAGACCGAGCCACGGCCCGCGCAGTCGTCTGCGCGCGTGAGACTGCTGCCGCAACGCGATCGTCCGCGCACGCGCCCGGCTTCACCGCGTCGTACTCACAGCCCCAGCAACTTCGCCGCGCCGGCGCCCCCCGCGACGCCGTGCCGTCTGGGCCCGTACTCGACGTCTCCGCACCGCCCGTCGCGCACCACGCTCCCTTCCGCCCGCCGCCCCGCTGCCAAAACACCCCCGGGCTGTTTCGCGTCATACCCGCCTCGCTCCGCTCGCGCAAGCAGCGCCGCCGGATCCACCGCGCACGCGCGCAGCCGCTGCTTCGCCTCGGCGCGCGGCGGCTCGACCGGCCGGAACTCCGCCGCCCACGTCCTCCCGCCCCTCCGCGGCGATGCAAGATCAGCGCGAGCGTCGCGGTAGCTGTCGGGGGCCGCTCCGGGCACGAAGGTCATCCCGCCCTCGGACACGCGGAAGACCTTGCCTGGCGCCGTGCGCCGGAACAGCCGCACGCCGAGCGGCCCCCCGTGCGGGCTGCAGCTGCCGCTGGCGTCGTCGCGCGCACTCGCGTCGTCCGTGCCGGCCCCCGGCGCCCTCGGGGGCGCGGGGCCCTCGTCTCGCTCGGCGGCCTGCGCGGCCTCGGTACCGCCGCGCTCGCGCTTGCGTTTCTTGGCGTTCTTCGTCCCCGGCCCGGGCCCGTCGCTCTTGCGCGGCGACGCGGGCGGCGCTGTTGCGCTGGAGGCGACCTCGACGTCGCGCTCGATCTTCGCCGCCAGCATCGCGAAGATCCTGTCCTGCGTGCGCGAGCCGCGTCGTCCGGCGCGCGTGGATCGGATGCGCGCCGGTTGCGTCGCGTGTCTCAGGATACCAGTGTTGTGCGATCACGTACCTTGAACGCCGGGGGAAAGTCGTCGTCCTGGCCCCTGTCGTATATCTCGCGGACCTTGCTCGCCACCGGCGCGTCGCTCGCTCCGGTTGCGCGCTCGCGGGCCGTCACGAAGCGTCCCGGGCACGCCCTGCCGTCGTCGGCGCCGCGGCCCTCCTGGGCAGGGCCGGCCGCGCCCGTCCCGGGCTGCACGAACTCAACGACACATGACGCGATGTTCCGCAGGTCGTCGTCCGAGCTGCTGCTCGAGTCCGCACCGCCACGGCCCATCCAAGCTGGGCGGTGGTCTGATTCCTGTGATATTGCTCGTATGTGATAGTCTACAGGAGCGCACTGGGTCCGAACGGCATGTTTGTAATGCTGGCGCCGCGTGGAGGGAGCGCCGGGGCAAGACCGCGGGCTGCTGCCGCTGCTGTCGGGCTGCGCACCTGACTGCAGTGCAGGTGCTGGCTTTGCTCACGCCCCCCCTCGCAGCGGGCTCGCGGATCCGGGCCTCCATGGCCCCGCACGCACCGCGCAGCGACACTGCGTCCAGCGGCGGAGTGGCACTCCTTGCAGCGGTGCACCGCGGAGCGTTTGCGCGACCACGAGGGGCTGGTTGCAGCGCGTTCGTCTCTCGCGGCGTGGCTCGCGCGGTTTTGCGGCCGGAACCCTTCCGGATCCCCGAGGACTGGCCTTGTTTACCTCGCAGTAGTTCTGCGGCGTGCCCGGAGGGCTGCGGGGCGCAGGAAATCGCGGTTTCATTCGAAGAGGGTCGCTCGCCGCGCCTGGCCAGGCTGCAGCTGCTCTGGCCGATTTAGCGCCCTCACTGGGCGGCCTAGTTGCGGGGGGGGACAGCGCTGTCATGTCGGAGCAGGCGTTCCTCGCGGGGCAGGGCCACGGGCACGCCCAATGGTACACGGGAGGGTACGACTCCAAGCAGTACCAGGGCTATTCCGGGGGCATGGCACGGGGCGGGTCGTTCTCCAACCTGCAGGACGAACCACCTCTCCTCGAAGGCAAGCGTCGAACCCCCCGCGGCGCTCCAGGGGCGCTGCGTTTCCTCCCAGCGATGCTGCAACGCGCTCCGACGCGCCACGGAGCGCCCTTCCTGTCCGAGAACTGTAGCACGCGCATGTGGACCACGATGTCCGACGATGTGCGCAGCGCTCCCTCGCGTTCCCGCTCCAGCCACGACGCTGGCAGCACAGCACCACCCACACACCGCCGCACGCGCCCGCCACCCGCGTGAACAGGTCCCGCGACGATCACTCTCGTCCGCGCCGGCACCACCTGCCACGCCCCGCGCCCCCACCCTCCCGCCCCGCGCGACCCGCAACGAAACCCCCCCTCGTTCCACGCCACACCCCCCGCAGAGCTCGGCATCGACGTCCAGGGCATCTTCCGGCGAGCCGTCGCGGCCCTTCAGTGGAACCCGAGCCTCGCCGCGATGCGCGAGCTCGACATGGGCGGCGCGCTGCTCATCGTCATGGCCGTCGGCGCCACACAGCTCCTCATGGCGAAACTCCACTTCGGCGTGCTGCTCGGGTGGAGCGTCATCGCCGCGACGGCCATCTCGTGGATGGCGCGCATGGTGCGCGCCCGCGACCCGCCGCGCGCGCACCACTGCTCGCATGACCGCCGCGCTGTGCGCGCTATTGCGTGGGGCGCTGCGGGCCCCTGCGGCGCCTCGGCTGTGCTCGTGGTCACGCCGCTGACCGCGCTGCGCCGCCGGTGGGGAGTCGCAGGTGTCGGGGGGGAGTCCGAACGTTCTGTCTGTCTACAGCACGCTCTGTCTGCTTGGGTACTGCCTGATGCCTATGGTCGTGCTCTCGTTCGTGGCGCTCGTGCTGCCGCACGGGCTCCTCCTGCACACCATCGCCGCGCTCGCCGCGGGGTGGTCGGCGCACGCGGCGGCGCTGGTCCACGTGGGGCTGTCGGAGGGGTTGGCGCAGCACAAGTGGATCATATTCTACCCCTATCTGTGCTACTTCGCGATCATGGCGCTGCTCGCGTGCTACTGAGGGGTGTGAGCCGCCCAACAGCAGCGCAGAAGTCACCCGCGTCGCTCCCTGTCGCTGTGGCAGACTGCTAGGCTGGGAACGTGGCGGGCGCAGCGCTGCGAGGGAGCATGGGACCGCGCTGCTGCCTCGGTGCGCGGGGCCCTGTCCGGCACCTCGCGCTTGCGTCGCGATCCGTCTGCTGCCGCAGGTGACATGCATGAATGTTCAACACATGCTTGTCGTCGCCATTGCCGGGAGGGGCGCACAGGCTGGCGACGGCGCGCTGTGTCCCGCGGGGCCGAGGGCGAGTCCTTCGCGACCCTCGCGCGCGCGGCCGCGCGCCGTGTCTGACCGGCGCATCGCACCTCGAGATTCAAAGACTGCCACGACGTTAGCAAACCAGTATTAGTATTTGACATCGCGGGCCTCACGCCGGCGTCCGAACCGCCCCCCCCCCACACACGCGCATACAGGACCGCGTGGCGCCGTGCGCGCTGCCGCTGCGAGCTCGTCACAAGTACATGGCCAGACGCCCGGTCGTCGTCGCCGTGCCCGCGGCCACCGTCGTCGCGGGCGCGTCCGTCGCGGGCGGATCCGTCGCCGCGGCCGGCGCCTCGGTCGCCTGCTGGTCCTCGTACCCCGGGATCCGCACCTGGCTGTCGTCCGCGACGCCGGCGACGCGGAGCGCGATCGCCACCACCACGCCCACCACGATCAAACAAAACACCGCCATGATGCACTTGTCGGTGTAGATCCCGCGCATGATGTCGCGCAGGAGCTGCTTCGCCTTCTTCAGCGTGAAGTGGATCTCCTCCAAGTCGTCCTGCGCGGCACAGCGCCCAGGAACACGCACGCCGGCGTCACGGGTCCGCACGCACGCAGCGGCGCGGGCGGGCGGCGACGGGCAGGCGCGCGGCGCACCAGCGCGGCCTCGAGCTTGCGGTTCTGGTCCTCGATGCCCTCGACCGTCTTCACGCCCACTTGCTTCGTGTCCTCCACGACGCGCTCCATCCGCCCCAAACGCTTCTCAATATCGGTCATCTGGTGCCGCCCGCCCGCGATGAGCTGCTGGTTCGACGCATCCTTGATCGCCTGCGTGTCCGTGAGGTCGAAGAACGCCTTCATTCCGCCGTCGCTGGGCCCTGTGGCGCCGGTGCCGCCCTGCAGGAGCTCTCGTTTGGCGCTGAGCGCCTGCTGGGAGGTCTTCTTGATCATGATGTACTTGTTCAGCTCGCCCACCATCGCCTTCTTGCGCTCCGCGACGGCCTGCGGCGCCATGCCGTCCAGGCGGGCCTGCGCCGCGCGCGCGAGGGAGCGTCGAACGAGTGACGGGACGCGGCTAGGACGCGCCGCACGCACGGCCGCACGGCGCCCCCGCGCGGCGCGCTCTGCCTCGGGCGGCGTGCTGCTCGCGCCGGGGCGCCGCTGGGCGCGGCCTGGCGCTTCGCGCGCCCCGGGGGAGGCACGGCAAGCGCAGCGCTCAGTGGGGAGGCGGGGGCGCACCTCGCGCTCGAACTCCTTGATGAGCCCCTTGGCCTGCTGCAGCTTCTGCGTGACGTCGAGCATGATGGCCTCCTGCTGCTTTGCGTCCTGCTCCCGCTCGAACGCGCGGAACTTCTTCCCAAGCTCATCGTAGAGGTCCTCCAGCTTCTCCTCCTGCTCCGTGGATTCCTGCCACCCTCCCATCCTGCTCTCTACCAGGCTCGCGGCCCGCTACGACGAAACGGCGCCTCGCCCGTGCGCACCTCCGGCCGCCTCGGGCACTGCGAAACCAGCGGGCCTTGCCCGCAGGTGTGGGCAGCCGCTCTGCTCGTGGGGTCTGCGCCGCGAGCGGGCGCCCGAAAATCGCGAGTGCGAACGGCACGCCGCTTGCGTCGCGTTTCCTGCGGCGCAGGCCCTCGCGTGCGCGCTCCACGCGTCGCAACCGACCAGGCTCTCTGACGCTCCCAAGACGCGAATGCGCGGCGCTGCGACGGAACAACCACTTCGCCGGTATCAAGTTCTCCGTGAATCACGCGCGGCATTGCCGCAACGTGCCCCGTGCAGGCGAACTCGGCCTCATACTCTTTTCAGACACTCCATGCCACCGTCCACGCAGCACGGACGCTGCGGCCCACCCCAAACCCCCGGCAATCCGCCGCACGCGGGCACTCGCGCCCCCGCTCGTCGGACGCTCCACGCCCCTCGACACCGCGGCGCACACACCATGAGCACTCCCACACAGAATGTTGCAGTCGCGGCACGATGCGTCCCCGCCGCAGTGCACGCGCACGGCGCGTGCCGCCTGCACCCCCCCGCCGCCAGCAGCCGGGCGCCCGCCTTCGGGAGATCGGCGACGCTGCGGCCACGGCGCGCGGTCGCGCGGCGCGTGCAAGCAGCGCAAGGCGACAACGAGCAGCCGTGGACGCTCATGGGGCGCGTCGTGCGGCCCGAGACCGCGTTCAGCGCCACGGACATGCGCACGCGCATGATTCAGGTCCGCAACGGCCGACCACATCGCTCTCGGCCACAAACCCCCTGCGGCCCTAACCTGCAAGGCCCGCGCCCCCAGCGCGTCCGCCGCGCCGTCGACGCGCTCGAACGCGCCCCTCAGATGTCGGGATCGACCGGCCCGGGCCCGCGCCGCTGCGCATGCGGCCGGGAGCCCCCACCAGCGCGGCGCCCAACTTCCTGCTTCTGCAGTCGACGCTGTGCCAGCGGCTCGGCATGACGCCGGGGGAGCTCGACGCGGCCATGTCGGAGCTGCTCGCCCTGCTGCCGAGCTTGGACCGGGCGGTCGCGACCATGCGCCCGGACATGCTGGCGGGCCTTATCGCGGACCGTAGCGCGCTGCCGGGGAAGATGGTGACTCTGCGGGTGATGCTCCCGACGGCAAACATCGAGAAAATCGTAGCGCAGGCACGCCCCGGCCTCCCCGCGCTCGCTCCGACCGCAGCACGCCCTCCACTCGCGTCGCGCAATCACATCGCGCGCAATCACATCGTTGCGCATGACATCATTGCTCGGCCGCCCCGCGTCGCGAGCCTGCAGCGCCCGATGCTGCTGCTCGAGCCCCAGTGGGGCGCGCTGCCCGAGCGGCACGCCAGCCTGCTGGAGCTGTTTCCGGAGGCCAACGTGGACGCGATGGTCGAGCGCAGCCCGCTGCTGCTCGAGGAGGATGTTGACGACATCGTGAACGAGCTGACGAGGTGCGGGGCGCGCACGCGAGCGCTGGGAACGCCTGCGGTAGGGAGACGCTCTTCTGGAAGAAGGAGCGACTTCTTTCTGATCAATCTTGATTTCTCGATGTTTTTTTCTTGTTTTTTCTCGTTCGCGAATCGAGTGGCTGAGCCGAGCCGGACTGGGTCGGCTGCCGACCGGAGCACGGCGCGTGGCCCGCGTCGGGGGTGCTTTGCAGGCTCGGCCAGGCCACGGACTACGCCAACGGCCTGCGGTTGTTGGAGCACCAGCCAGATATGGTTACGCTGGTTATGAACAACCGCAGACTCTCGATGTGGTGACCGGTGCCCCGGCGCCCCCCGAGCAGCGCGGTGAGGCGGCCGCGCACCCCGCGCACGGCGCTGACCGCCGCTCGCGCCCCGCGGTGCTGTCTGCGCGGCTGCAGGATGCTGGAGTCTCGGGAGGAGGCGCTGGAGTACGTCGCGAAGCAGCCGCACATGCTGACGCTGGTTCAGAGGGGTACGAACGCGCTCGGGCCCGGCGCGGAGTTCTGGAACCAGATCTGAGGCCGCGCGTGAGTCAGGTTGGGTGGTGGAGTGTTGGCCCGCGCGGGGGCCTCTCGGTGCGTTCGTGTGTGTTCCGCGCGCGTGTAAATAGACATTCGTTTGTTTCGTGGAACAGGCGTCGCTCAGCTCGCCGTGCCCGCTCGCTGCGGGGCGATCGAGCGCTCCAACGACTATGAAGACGAACATGGCGCGACTGCGGGCGTCCATCGCGGGGCTGGCTGCGCTCGCGCTGATCTTCCCAGCCGTCGTCGGTGGACGGGATCTGCGGCAAGAGGAGGAGGGAGAGGTCTGCGACGAAAAAGCGGTGACGTGGAAGTACAGCACCGAATGCCAACGACGTGCGCCCTCTCCCCGCCCGCGCACGCTCTGCACGTATCCGCGTTTCCAGTGCCAGGAGGACGAAAAAGCGCGTGAGACCGGGGTTTCTGCGACTGCCAGCGTCCGCGTGCCGCTCGGAACGAGCCATACATCACCCCCAGTGTACACGCCGCTCGTGTGCTGCTTCTCGACACGTCACGCCCCGCCCCGCTCGCCGAGCAGCCGAACGCGATGTCTTCCTGGGGGGAATGCCTCCGCGCACCTTCACGAGGGGCGTGGGAGTCGCCGGAGGCGGTGCTGCTGCGGCGCCGCAACGCGCTGCGATCAGCCCGCAGGGTGCGGGTCCGACGACGTTCACCATCGCGAGCGGGCCCTCCGCATCAGCAGAGGCGGACTTCGGGTTCGCCACGGGCGGCGCGCAGGACGTCTCGAACTTCCGTGCCAACATCAAAGCAGGTGCGCCGTCGCTGGCGACGATGCCTCCCTCGCGCCGGCGCTGCCTGCTTGCGCACGCCTCGCCTGATTGACTGCGAGCGCGCGGCAGCTGCCCGGCCCCACGTTGGCCGGGGATCGCCCCTGGCGCTAGAGGTGCCAGATGTGCTGTGCGATGTCGTGCAGGGAAGCTGCCCCTGCCGACGGACGTCACGTTCGGCGGCGTCGTGAAGGACTACTTCTTCGACACGTCCAGGTAGGCACATACCGCGCTGGATGTCCGTTTCGCCATGTTTCTATGTCAGTTTCTATTTCGCGGCTTTCTGTCATCCAGGAGGACATGCAGCCCTTCTCCGACGTGGCCCGACGACCAGCGACAAGCGGCATGAAGCACCAGGGCAGCCGCGCCACGCGCCGTTTCGCCCCCCCGATCCGCCCTCCTGGCGCCCTCCCCGCTCCGTGCAGCCCAGACCAGGCACCGTGCCAGGAGCTCTTCTGCCCGCGGTTCTCCTACGCGCTGTCGCGCCCGCCGAGGATCTCGCCGCGCGCGGAGGGGGATCCGGCAGTCCCGCGCGACCTCTTCTTGACCGTCGGACTCGACTCCGGCATGACGGTCCGCACACTGTGGCACAACACCCCCCCCCCTTCGCGCATGAGACCGCGTCGCCGGTCGGCAGCTCCGCGCGGCCCGCGCGTGCGCTGCGCGGCCACGAGCAGCAGCTCCGTGCGCCCCGGCGACCACCCACGGCGCGTCGCCTGCTTACGGTGTGCGCGTGCGTGCAGGCGGAGCAGGCCGCGCGGAAGGACATCGATCTCGTGGTGGTCCTCGACATCTCCGGGTCGATGTTCAGCCCCTTCGACAGGTACTACTACGACCCCGACACGGGCCAGGAGCGCGAGCTCACCGAGGACGGTGCGCCACAACAACGCACATAACCCCCCCCCCCTCGCACCCCGGCTTTCCTTGACCGTGCCTGCGGCGAACTCGTGATGTCCAGCAAGCGCCACAACGGCCTCTCGTGGCGCTTCTCTCGTTCGGGCGGCGTGGACAGGGACATAGAATGATGTGTGTATCATTATTGCGTGCGTTCGCAGAGGCCCGCGTCACGAAGATGAAGGTTGCGGTGGAGGCCGTCGTCGGCGCGATCGAGAAGCTGCGCGGGAACGACCGGCTCGGGGTCGTGCTGTTCGACGACGACGCGTGCGTGCCGAAAGGACTGGAGCGGCTGGCGTGCACGGACGTTGACCGGCTGAAGCGCGAGATTCGGCGGGACGTGGCGGCCAGCGGCGGCACCGACATCTCCCTCGGGTGCGGCGCAGGCGTGCCCTGTTTCCCTTTGCCTGCTTTGTTCGTGCGCACCTTGTTGGCATAATGATAATCTTTTCGATGCGTTACCAAACACGTGTTCAAGACTCGAGGGGAGACGAAGTCGATGTCGCTGCGTGGGTTCCTCTTTCGTGACCACGCGCGCGAGCTCGCGGCGCGGCACTGAGCTCGCGTCGCGATGCGCTGCATGTGCGTTGCGAGTGCGCGCAGGTACGACCGCGGCACCGCCGAGCTGCGGGGGTGCCGCGCGTGCAGCCGCGCCTCGCTCGCGGAGCGCGAGCGGCGCATCCTGCTGGTGACCGACGCGCAGCCCAACCTCGGCGACACCAGCGAGAGCGGCCTCTTGGCGCGCATCCGCGCCAACGCCGCCGAGGGCATCTTCACGACGGTCATCGGCGTCGGGCTCGATTTCAACACGGAGCTCGTCGAGGCGCTGGTCGCGGTGCGCGGCGCGAACTACTTCTCGGTGCACACGCCAGGTGCGTCGCGGGGCGGCGGCGGCGGTCGCGCACCGACCACGGCTGCGTTGTTTCAACATGACATACTTCTTGATCAAGGTTTGTATCATAATGCCGGTTCTTGTTTGCACATGTGTCGGAGGACCAGCGGCTGCACGCGCACGAAGCTCCGTGGCTCGCAGGTGCGTTCAAGGAGCGCGTGGCGGACCGCTTCGACCTCATCGTCAACCCCCTTGTATTCGACCTGACGCTGGCCGTCGACCCCGAGTCGGTCAGCGCGGGCTGGAAGGTGCTTGCGGCGTATGGCACGGGCGCGGACGAGGAGTTCGACGAGGGCGCGTCCGACAGGCCGCTGATCGAGATCCCGACGCTCTTCCCGTCCCCAAAGACCGCGGCCGGCGTCAGGGGGGGGGTAATCCTCCTGCGCGTGAGCGCTCCGAACAACGACGGCGCCGCGGAGACGCCGCTGCGTGTCACTGCGAGCTACGAAGACCGCTCGGAGCAGCGCCGCGAGGTCACAAGGGACGTTCCGTTCCCTCTGGATCGAATGCCTGACTCAGGCGAATTATACCAGTCCTCCGGGGCGCGCAAGGCCGTTCTGCTGGCTCGCTACACGGACCTGCTCCGAGGCTGGCTGGCCGCGGAGTGGCAGCGCTGCGGGGCGCCGCCGGCGACGTGCTCGGCGGACGACCACGGCGCATGGTACGCCCCAGCGCAGCAGTGCGCGACGTGGGCGGGAGGGCGGTACTGCGAGAACTGGCCGCGGGACGACCTCGTTCGCGCGGTCACCAAACAAGAGGTCCGGCAACCCACCACACATGAGCACAATTCACGGTGCTCCTACTTGTTTTTCCTGTTTGTCTTTTTTTGCGGTTTCGCGACGCCGGAGGAGCCCATGCTCGGTTCTTCTCGGGTCCGTACCTGCAGGACCAGTCGGAGGACGAGTGCGCGGTGCGCAGCTTCCTCGCCGTCCCCGGCGACGGCGCCGGCGGACCGTCCTCTCTGTGCATCTTGCCGCTGCCCCCCCCCCTCGTGCGGCGGCTCGGGAGGTGGGAGCGCCAGTCGCGCCCGCTGACAGGTGCGCACGCTACCGCGGCAGCAACGCGGCCTCGTTCCCGGGCCCGCGCAGGTCGAAACTGACGCAGGATCGCTCGCAGTAGATCAATAAGATGGGGGGGTGTTTCGTGACCTGACGCTTGCCGCTACTGACGACGCGCAGTCGCGCAGCACGCACCGTGGCACTCTGATGATCGGCGAGGCCATCACTTTCACACGGTCTGTCGGCATGAATCTGATTTCGGCATTTGTATAAACATACACGTGCTCTGCGATCGCGCGCCCCCGCAGTCTCGGACGACAGCGCGCGGGCCCTGGAGCTCTTCGCGCCGTACCTCGCGGCACAAGCGCAGGCCGTCGGGGACCCCGAGCTCCTCGAAACCGAGCGCAACGTCCTGTCCTCCGTGCTGCAGCGCACCGGTGCCGGCAACGGCGACGGCGCGAGGCGCTGAGGACGCCGCGGCCGCCCCGCCGCCAGCACGCAGCCTGCGCACCTGCCTGCATGTTCCGGGCGTTTCCGCGTGTGAGGCGAACGTTCGCACGCAGCATGCACCCAAACGTGTGTGTGCTGTAGCCCCGCACGATGCCTCGCGTGCCCGCGCGCCCTGGAACCGCGGCGCCGCCGAGCGTGTGGTGCAGCGAGGAAGCACGCGGGGGCTGCGTGTCCTCGCAGTGCCGGCGGAGAGGCGCGCGGGTGGACCCTCTCCCTGAGCTGGCCCTAGGGCAGTGCGGGCGGGAGCGTGCGCCTTCGATGGTGCGCGCGGAGGCGCCGCTCTGGACGTTGCGTTGACTCGCCTTGGTTCTTCGAGCGCGTCACCGACCGCGTTCCGCCCGCATCGTCGCTCCACGGGCCGCGTTGCGCATCAGGCGAGGCTTTCTGAGTCCGGCCGCGGTCCAGCGCGAACCGAGGGTCTGGCACGTCGACGCCGACAGGCCTGGAGACGCGCCGCGACCACGATGCCTTGCTGCACCGCGCGGCCGCGCGCGGACGAAACACCGACTGCAGGGCCAGGCAAGCTCCCAGGAACCCCTGGGCGTCGCGCGCCCTGTGCGCAGCAGATTTTGCCCGAGAATCGCCACGGATTGGCGCCCCCTGCTCAGGACAGAGCAGCGACGCGCCGAGTCGGCCGTGAGCTGGCGGCAGGCGCACGCGCGCGGCGAAATTCTGTAGCAGCCCGCGTTGCCCCCGCGCCCCCGTCCGGGCGCGGCCGCAGCCGCTCGATCCCCCCGCCCCACGGCGCCTGCGTCGCCACAGCACTCGCGATCCCACGTCACCGCTGCGTCGCCACAGCGCTGCGTTCGCCCAGCCTCGTGTGCAGAAGCTGGCGTGCCCGAGGCCCCCGTGAAGCTCGGGGCGACCAAGTCCCTGAAGAGCGATGTCTCGAATGGTCAGGTCACGTACCGCCGGTGCTCGCTCAATGGCACGCCCGAGAAGTTCTACGACGCGCAGGACGTGCTCGAGCAGCACCGGGACTCTCTCGAACGCACGCGTAAGTCACGGGGCGGCCCTGGCCGCGCACCGCGACGTGCCTCTGTGCCTATCGTCACGCAGCGCGCGCCGCACGCCGCCCAGCGACCTCCTCCGGCCCGCGCGCAGCCTGTAACGGTGCCACCGAGGTCGCTGCCCAACGTGCGCAGGTACCGGGGGGAGCAAGCCCGGGCGGCTGAGCTCGGTGTTCAGCAGCGTGCTGAGGCGACACAGCACCACGAGGTCCACGGCGGGAGAGCGAGCCGCAGCCGACGACGTGAGCCCCCACCACGCTCCTCGTGCCTCCTCCTCCCCGCGCGCTCGCCCCCTCGCGCCCAGACGCCCCGCTGCGCGCGCGATCCTCGTCGCACATCCGACGTCCTGCGCGCCCCCCGTCCCCCTGCAGGGCCCTGAGCCGACTGGCCCAGTCGGCTGCTTTTCTCTCAAGCGCGCCGAGGACCGGACGCAGGTCGAGGCTGTCCTCGCGCACGCCCTCGGCCCCACCGCGCCGCTCCCGATGGCCGGCTCGTCGATGCGCACGGTCCGCGCGGCGCACGGCGAGGACGGCGTGGACGTTGCCGCCGGCGCTGAGGCCGAGCTGCAGCAGTGCTGGTGCAACTGCCACGGCGCGGCGTTCCAGCTCCGGTCGCAGCAGTACATGAAGACGCGCGTGAAGGAGGCCGGCGGCGCGTCGATCTACCAGCTCGCGCACACGGATTACTTCCACACCGCCAAGCGCGAACACAACATGGCGCGCCGGATGCTCGTGCCGCCCGCGGAGGGCCCCCTCGAGGTCAAGGGCTTCCCGCGCTGGCTCGCCGTGCACTCCCAGTTCCCCTTTTACAACCCCCCCTTCTTCAGCCGCGGGGCGGATGGTGTCGGGTCTTCCTTTGTTCTTTGGTTCGCGCTGCCCGACGGGTTCGACCCCGACGCGTACCCCAACCAGGCCGCCATCTCGCTGATGCGCAAGTTCTTCAAAGGCAAGCGCCTCTTCGCCCGCCCGCGCCGCGCCCGCCCGCCCGCAGCACGCGCTCTCGCGCCGACGCCTCCAGCACCGCCCCGCTGCTCGCGCAGACGAGGCCGCGCTCGACGGGAAGCCCGCGCGCGACCGCCTGAAGCTCGTCCACCGCATCGCGAACCTCGAGGAGTTCATCACCAAGGCGAGCATCTCGCGCGCCGAGGCCGGCCTCATGCGGCGGTACAACGGAAAGCCGATCCTGACGCGGCCGCAGCACGCGTTCAAGCACCACGCGGACCTCGGCATCCTCGAGATCGAGATCAACGTGCACGAGTGGGCGTTCCCCGCGCGGAAGGTGTTTCACGGCTTCATGGACAGGTTTCGGCACGCGGTGCTCGACCTGGCGTGGGTGGTGCAGGGGGACCACGCGGACGAGCTGCCGGAGGTCGCGCTGTGCGCGGCGCGCGGGTTCCGGATGCGCGTGCTCGACCCGGGCACGCCCGCCGCGCCGCCGGACGTAGGCGGCAGCGAGGGGGCGCGCGCGCACAGCGGGAGCGCGGAGGACGGCCCGAACCGGTCCACGCTGCCCGACGAGGGGGACATCAGCAGCCGGCAGATCTCGCTTGACGCCGCTGCGTAGCGCCGGGGCTGCGGCTGGTCGCTGGGTGCACTCTGCTCCTGGTTGTCGCCGCGTGTTGTGACGCCCCTGCGCCCGCGGAACGCGCGCGGCTCGCTCGAGGGTGTGCAGGCAGCCGCATCCGCGCGATGGCGCGGCCAGGCAACTCCATCGCGTGCTCCGATCGCCCCTTGTTCTTTTGTTGACAATACCTGTACGGGCGCGAGCGGTGAGCTTCCGGAGCTGGTCGGGACGCCTGCCGCTCACGGCGCATGCTGCAAGGAGCCTCGTGCCCGCGGCGCGGCGGGCTCCGGCGCGGCGCGGGGTGTCAGACGGACCTGCTCACCCCCCCCCCTGCACACAGCGCGGCACCCTAGGCGCTGCGGCGCTGGTCGCGCGGCGCAGTTCCGGTCGATTGCGCGCGAGCGGAGCCGAGCATGTTGGCGGTCGAGCACCTCCCCGCGGTGGGGCTTTCGGTGGTCGGCTGGGCGACCTGTTTTGGTGTCTCAGCAGCTGTGTCTGGGAAGCGGTACGATGCGGAGTTCAAGGGCCGCGCGGTGTCGATTCTGCACGCGCTGGTGATTGTGGGGCTGTCGCTGTACGTCGACGGCGGGGACGTGGCGACCACGTTCGCTCACGGCGACCTCAGTCCTGGGCGAAGGGCGATTTTGATTCTAGCCACCGGGTACTTCCTGTGGGACCTCGTGCTCTGCTTCATGGCGCCGGACGTGCTTATGAACCTTGCACACCACGTCGTGAGCCTCGCGTCCACGCTCTACCCGCTCCTCAGGTGCGACGCCTCTCTTGCACCGCCCATCATCTCACGCGGGCCTCACGCGCGCGACCGACCCGCAATCACACGCGTCTGCGGCGCGCCGCACCCCTGATTCACTGCGGCGCCTGATACGCGCGCCTCCGCTGGCGTCGAGCCCTGAACGGCGCCGTGCGTGGCGAGTGAAGGAGCCTCAGCTGACCAGCTTCGTGCGCGCGGCCCGCACGCCAAGCGGCGTGAAATGCGCCGACAGATACTCGTCCGCGTGCACGACACCTACGTGCACTGCGTCGCGAGGCGGGAAGCTCGGAGCACGCCGTCCGGCCCCTCACAGCCCGCGCCCCCCCTGTCGCCCCGTCTCTCGCAGTGGCAATGGCGCGCAGCTCCTCGTGGCGGTGCTGTGGACCCTCGAGGTGCCGAACCCCTTCATGAACCTCAGGTTCATGCTCAGAGCCGCCGAGAAGGGCCGCTCGAGCTACGGCCTCGTCAACGAGGTCCGTATGATGCTGCCACACGCCATGCTGGCACGCCGCTCCCGCACGCCGCGCGTGGCGCGCCGCCGCCCGCGCCTCGCTGCGCCGACACCTCACGCATGCCCAGCGCTCCCCGTCCGTGGCCCCGCGCGCACCGCCCCGCGGCTGCAGGCGACCAGGCGCGCCGCTCCACGTTCCATGCAGGTGCTGTTCGCGGCGGCGTACTTCGTGGCGCGAGGGTACTTCGGGGTGCGGCTGTGGTGGGCGACCATCGCGGCGCCGTGCCCGCTGTTCCTCCGCGCCATGTCGAGCCTCATGCTCGTCGTGAGCACGCTCTGGGGCGTAAAGATCGCTCAGGTCGCGGGGTATAAGATCCGGCAGCTGCTCAAGATGGTGACGGGCGGGAAGAAGAAGGCGTGAGGCGGGCGGGAACGCGCAGACAACGCCACCGCGCGGCCAGGGTCGCGGCCTGCGGCCGCCGCCGCGCGTGTGCGTGTGTGTGCTGCGCGCGACGCTTGCAGCGCGGGCCGGCGCCGGCCCCTGCCGCCCGGCGCGGTCCACAGATTCTTGACAGCTTGCTCCGCGCTCCTACGAACGATTCTTTCCCAGCACACGCCTGTGAAACGCTCCGAAGCACACGCGCGCGCACCCGCGCGCCCGCCGCGTCGGAGGTCACCGGAGGCAACCGGCCCGCGCCGTGCGCACCCGCCGCGACGCGCCCGTGCCCGCGCGCGGCCCCGAGCCCCGAGCGCCGCGCACGCGGCGCCCTCGTCGCTCGCGAGGTGCACGACCCCCCCACACGGTCCCAAGCGCCGCCTGTCAGGTTCCGCGTCTCAAATCGCACGAGACACGCACCGGAGCGACGCAACGTCGAAGCCAGCAGACGAGGGCAGCGTCGCGCGCGGGTTCGCGGATGTCAGTGCGCTTGCGCGACCGCGCCAGGTCCCGGACAGGCTACGCCCGCCCACCGCGACGCGCAAGCCTAGGGCACCGCGTTCCGCATGCCGCCCTGCGCAGCCCTCGCTGGTGGACCGATGTGGCCCGTCCGCCGGCCCCGTGGCGCGCTGTGTTGTCGCGCTGGTTCACATCAGCTTAGGTCTCTGCTGCGCCCACAGCGCTCCACGTGTCGAGGGGACTGCCCGGCAGTGCCGGGGACTCCTCGCCGCGAGCCGAGGGCTCCGCGCGCGCGTGGCGGCGTGTAGAACAAGCGAAGCTTACAGACATTGTGAAGAGCGCATCGCGGAGCGCACATACGTACAGACGGAGACTGCGAGCCCTACGGCGACTTTCAGTCGCAGCTATGGTCGGCAAGGGGACGCTTTGACAGCTGCGCCCCGCTATCTCGCGCCTCGCGTCAAGGAGAAGCCACGTAGCTCGGAAAAATGAACGCTTTCCACGAAGGGTGCGCGCAATTGAGCCCTTACGTTGCTGCAGCCAGGCATCACGCCTTCCCTCGGAACGCGCTCGTAGGGCGTTCGAGAGCTCGCCTGCCCGCGCGTGTCGGCGTGCGATATCAGCTCGCACCGCCGGGGCAGGCAGTGACCGACGGAGACGCTCCAGCAGTCCGGTCCGGACACGCTGTGCTGGCGGCGACCACACCTCTTTCCACTGCGCGCCCTGCACGTCCCCAGGCCCCTCCGCGCCCGCGCGCGACCTCCAGAGGTCGGCCCTTCCTCTGTGGTCCACCTCCACGTCCGGGGCACTCGAAACATTCCTAATTCTCGGCCACGCCACCTGCAGAGTCGCATCGCCCAAACACGCCCCCGCGCGGGACGCGAAGGCATCCTTCCGCGACGCCAAGGCCGGAATCATGTCCAGCAGGACCACGTCGTTCATCAAGCGCTCGATACACGCCCTTCCCCCGACCCCAACGGCCACCAGTCAGGGCTTTCACAACAGCCCAGATACAGCCTTCGCGAGTCCCTCCAATCCCGGCGCGATGCCCAAGGGCCTTCCGTCGCACGCCAAGCTCTCGCACTCCCCGTCGGCCGTCACCTCGAGGAGCACCGCGTCCGGCGCGCTCCCCGCGGCCCCCGGCGCCGTTGACAGTTCCCGCACCCTCGGCAGCTGGAGCCCGCGCCCGGCGGGGCCCACGGCGACCGCGTCCGGGTCCACGCTGCCCGTGATGCGCAACCGCAGCGGCCTCACTGACGCCGCGGCGTCGCTCCGCCGTCCCGGGTCCTTCCACCGCCCTGGAAGCCTCAAGCAAGCGTACAGGCACACGTCATCGATCGGGCGCGGCACGGCGGTCCCGGAGGACGCGGCGCTCGACGACCTCGACTCCTCGTTCACGCGCGCACGCCTGGCGTCTCCTCCGGCCGTGCGCCTGCCCCAGCGCGCCGCAACGGAGCGGGCGCGCGCGACGGAGCCGCTCCTGTCGCTGCCGCCGCCGTCGCCGTCGCCGCGGTTCGCGCACGCCGCGGCCCAGGCGCGGCGGCAGTCGGCCGGCGGCGCGCAGACGTCCGCAGCGACAACGCCGCCGCCGCCGCGCACCGTCGTGTCGCGGTCTGTCGTAGCGTCCGATGCGTCGGCCGACGAGTCGCTCCGGAACACCGAGTCGGGCGTGATCGCGTTCCTGAACCGCCTGAGGGGCCGCGGGAGGACCAGCGCCGCGACGCAGGGGGGCGCCTCCAGAGTCGCGCGATCGGGGGCGGAGAGCGCTGGGGACGACGGCGCGCCCGACGTCGCCGCCATGCCGCTGCCGAGCGCGCAGGCGTCGCGCACGGAGCAGATCGAGGCGCTGCAGCGCATCACCGGCGCGGCGCTGTCCCAGGAGCGCCGCGAGCGGGAGCGCGCGGAGTTCGAGGCGCTGCTGGCGCGCATGACCGCCCAGCGCACGGAGGGCGCGGCGGAGCGCTCCGCGCGGGACAAGCGCGGGCGGCGAGGCCTGCTGTCTTCCGTCCTGGGCGAGGCCATCGCCCCGGGCCAGGACACCCGCGGCAAGTGGGAGCAGAAGGGCGCGTACTTCCAGCTGCGCGGAAGCCAGCGCGCGTTCCTCGCGGACGTCGCGGGCCTCGCGAAGTTCTTCCACTGCGCGCAGCACACGCTGCGCAGCAAGTCCAGCGCGGGCGACGATGACGCGCGGGCCGCGACGGAGCCGTTTGGCACCGCGGGCGTCGCGCAGGAGACCGCGGAGGGCGGCGTCGAAGTGGTCACGCCGTCCGAGGTGGCGCCGATGCTTCTCCGGTCCGAGCTCGTCGCGCTCGGGTCGCAGATGGATCCGCGGGAGCTGCGCATGACGCACAGGGGGGTGTTGAAGGCCACGATGATGTCGGTGGCCGGGATGCGCGGGAAGGCCGCGCTGTCGTTCCGGGACGTCATCGCGGCGGCGTACCCGCTCGCCTCGCCCGCGGAGGTGTCCTTCCTCACCGCGGAGGGCCTCGGACCGGCGCTCGGGGAGGACAGGCCGCTTGGTGCGCATCCCGTTGCCTCGCACCCCCACAGCTGAGCGCTGCACCGCATCGCGCTGCGCAGCTGGCGCCTCGTTGCCCATCACGGTTCCCTGGCTGCATGCTCCACGGCGCTCATCTCGCTCACCGCCGCCTTGCCCGTTTGTCGTGTGTTGTCCACAGGGGTGCGAATCGAGGATTACCAACTGCTGACGCGGGTGCTGCTGACGCTGGAGACGGCTTGCGGGAGCGCCGCGGGCGGCATCCCCGCGGATCTCCTCGTGCGGATCGCGCTGGTCGTCCACGGCCGCGACCCAGTCGACGCCTCAATCACGCGGGACAGTGCTGCTGCCGTTGAGGCCCTGCGGCAGAATCACAAGGTGGGTCCTCGCGCGGCCTGTATGCATGCTGCGTCCCTGTCGAGCGACGGCTCGAGAGGGGCGGCCCCGCACCGCTGGTGCTGCTGTCCGCGTTTGCCTCGCTCCGCGGCAACGACAGCTGCGCTGTGCGCCGTGGGCCGCAGGCTGGTGCGTTCGACATCTACGGCGTCGTGGACTGGTGGCGCACGTTCAACCGCTCCGGCGGCGTCCCGCTGAACGCGGACGTGCTGGAGGCGCTGGCGTCGCCCGCCAGCGAGCTGCTGCCGCAGGTATTGGGCCGGGCCGAGGCCCTGCGCCAGCGCGAGGCGCGGATGCGCGCGTTCGCCGCGGGCGGGAGCAGCCGCAGGATGTCGATGGGAAGCTCGCGGCGCTCCTCGGTCAGGGCTCTCGCGCCCTCGCCGCCCGGCGCGGCGCTGGTGAGGCCATGACGGCACGGCAAACCACGCGGGCGCGACCTGCGGGAAGGCGCGCTCGCGCGGCAAGGGCCCCCGGCCGCTCAGCGCGACCCTGACGGCACAACACGCAGCTGTTGGACAAAAATTATATATCAAGATCAGTTTCTATTTGCACTCATCTCAGACGAGTCCTGGACTAGTCCCCGACTCGGATCGCTTTGATCGACACCAGGATGTTTCAGCGTTCGGCCCCCTCGCTCGGTGCTCGCCCCTTCGCAACCCTCGTGCGCTGTTGCCTGTGTGCTGTGGAACTCGCATCATTTCAGTGCACCGATCCCCCCCGTCCCTCCTCGATCCCGCCCCCAGCGCTCGCCCATCTGCGGCGCCGCCCAGCGCGCCGCTCCCGACGCCAGACGTACCAGGAACGAGCGCTCCCGGACGCGACAACCACCCCATGTGACTTCGAGACCCCCCCCCTTCTCGCAAACCGCGTCTCCGCACCGCAAATCCCACCCCCGGCTTACTACACGTACCAAAATCCTTTCCCACGCGCTATATGCGTTGCCGAGGCCCGTGCGGGGCCGGCACAGCAGGACCTGCCAGCGCACACGCGCACTCCTGTGGCCGCGCGTGGCGGCGGCGGCGCGGGGCAGGTGCGTGCGGGACGCGCGTGCGGCCGTCCGGGGGGCGACGGGCACTCTCTGCGCGCCGCGGCGGCCCCAGCGAGCCGCGGCAACCGGCGCGCACGTGCTCCGGAGGTCGCCCAACGGTTGGGGTTGGCTGACGTCGGCGGGGAGTACTGGCCGCCATCCAAGGTCGGTCCGCGCGGGCCATTGGGGCGCGGCGCGCGGCGCGGCGGTCAAATATCAACGCGTACAGTACCCGTTTTCAGTGATATCAGCATTCGAAGTGCACCTGCCCGGCATCTAAGCCTGCCAGGCAGCAACCTTCCCACACAGCAGATTTTGCCCCCACCCGTAGCCTCGCGCGGGCCGACGTGCCGCGCACCTGACATGGCATGAGGCTCTTTACGTGTTTCACGGGCGGCGTCCCTCCTCCAGGTGCGTTCGAGGCCGCGCCTCGCCCCCCGACGTATACACCGCCACCGCCCTCCCGCGGCCGCTGCCCGCGCTGCAGACGCGCACTCCCTGCCGCAAACCCCCCGGACGGGCCCTATCTTGCGTAAGGTATCGTTATCTCGCGAGAAAACAGTGCGACGAAGCTGCGTCTGTCGCGGTGTGCTGCAGGCGTCGAGGAGAAGCCCTGCAACCGCCCAGCGTGCTCCGCCGACGACGCGTCGTCGTGCGGGTCGGCGCCCGGCGACCCTCCTGCACCGGAGGGCCAGCCGCGAGGGCGCCTGGTGGACTACGACGACCCGCCGGCGAACGAACCCGTGCGCTCCTCCCACGTAGCATGGAGCCTATGTGGCGTCGCGTGCCCGGACGACGTGGCCGCGCGCGCGGCGTGGAGCGTGCACCAGCTGACGCCCATCGAAGTCATTGGCCGCGGCGCCAATTCCAAGGTGTGGTTGGCCAGCGACAGCGTGAGCGGGCGCAAGCTCGCCGTTAAGGTGCGCCTGTTGGGCTCCCAGCCCCGCGCGTGCGTGCTTGCGGCCTCACCGCACCCTTGGCACGCGGCCCCGACGTCTCTCAGCTCTCGCACTGCTCCATGCGCGCCAGAAGCGCGCGGATGCGGGCCTCGTCGACCCACGCAGTCGATCTGGAAGTATCTTCCCCAGCTGTTGATAGCTGCGCCCCCGCGTGCGCGTGTGTGCGCATCGTACACAGATTACAGCTATTTCCGGTCCGTCTGTCCCTCAGACGCCCGGGCGCGCGGCCCGGGCGGCGACGCTCCCGGATCCGCGGACGCGCGCGGCCGCGTTTGGCGGCGCTAGACACGCAGGATACTTTTCGTTTTCCGCGCGTTTCGCGGCCGCTCCGCGCTCGAGGCTGCCTCCACAGCGCGTTCGGCGAACTGGAGAAGGCAACGCGCCCAAAACCGGCGCGTTGTCGCCCGCGGCGAGCGCGGCCAGCTGCGCCCCAACTGGCCTTTATGCGCCGCCGTTATCGCCGCGTTGCACCCCTACCCCCCTCGTTCTTCGCGCCCCTGGACAACCACGCACCTTGGGCGACCGTTCGCGTCCCTCAAAGCGCCGGAAACGGCTCCGCTAACGCGCCCGCGCCTCGGCCTGCGCTGCAGGTGTACGACCTGAGCAAAATGTCGCCCGCGGAGACGGCGCAGCTGCGCTCGGAGGCCGAGACGCACGGCTCGCTGCGCCACCCGAACATCCTGCCGCTCTGGGCCGCGTTCCAGGACCAGGTCGCGTGCTACTTCGTCATGGAGTGCGGCGGAAGCGACCTCTACGGGTGGCACTACTGCAGCAGCCGGATCCCCGAAAGCACGCTCGCGACGCGCGTCGTGGCCCCGCTGCTCCGCGCCATCGCCTACTGCCACGCCAAGGGCATCGTGCACCGCGACATCAAGCCGGAGAACCTCCTCGCGGGCGGCCCGGTGCGTCAACTACCTCGCCCGCGACTCGATGTGTTTGCAGCGCGCCCAGACATATCAAACAGATACCCACCGAGCCACCGGCCCTTCCTCGCCCCCCCCCGCCCCCGCAACCCACCCCCCGCACCACCCACACCCTCCTCACCCTCCTCGCCACGGCATCGCGAACGACCGCAGGACTCCGAGATCCAGGTGACGGACTTTGGGTTTGCGATCAACATGGCAAAGGGAGGGCGCCCGGTGACCCGCCTGGGCACGCTCGAGTTCATGGCGCCCGAGGTGATCCTCTCCGGCTACGACGAGGCCACGGGCACCCCCGGCGCGATCCCCCGCGAGCTGCGCGACCCGTACACGGAGGCCGTCGACGTCTGGAGCACCGGCATCGTCACGTACGAGCTCCTGGCGCGCCACACGCCGTTCGTGCGGGCGAACGCGGCGGACATCGCGCTCGCGATCGTGATGAACGACCTCCAGCTCCCGCGCGGCGCGTCGGCGGAGGCGTGCGACTTTGTGCGCCAGTGCCTGCGCAGCGACCCGGTGCTGCGCCCGAGCGCCGCGATGCTCCTCGACCACCCGTGGATCGTGCGCCACACGGGCGTGCGCCCGCGCATGTCGCGCTTCCCGACGCTCCCGATGGTCCCGCTGCGCGAGACGCTGTCGATGGACCAGGGTCCCGAGGGGGAGGGGGAGTCGGGCGAGAAGGGGTCGCACGTCTTCGTGGGCTCCGCGATCTCGCAGGACGCGACCGCGTCGCCCCTGCGCGGCACCATCGAGAACGACTGCGCCCGGTGCACCGCGGCGGCGCTCGTGCGCACGCCCTCGGGGGCCCCCGCGCGCCCCAACCCGCAGGCGCTCGAGACGTGGGACGACCTCGCGGCCGTCCTCCCGCACATGCGGCCCCCGCGCAACACCAGCGCGCTCCCGATCGCGAGCCTCATGGACGGCATGGGCGTCAACGTGCCCGAGCTGTGCGATCCGCTGCTCGCAGACCACGCACGATGATACGCTGGGGCACCACCAGCCCTTGACCGATGCATGCGTCGTACCTCTCACGCAGCCGGCCCCGCGCGCGCGGGCGCCGGCTTGCCCGTTCCCGCACGACACCCTGGGTGGCCCGAAACGTTCCGGGCTGCCCAGGCGATGCCGTGCGCGACGCGACGCCGTTCGACCATTCAGCCTACTCGAAGTGATTGCACCGTCCCCCACCCCCGCACCCCCGCGCGACGACACCCCCCTCCCCCCCTTTGCTAAAGACCAGCCGACGGCGCACATGTGGCGCAACGTCCTCAGTTTCGGTAGGTTCTGTACACGTCGCGACACAGGAAGCGCTCGCGGAAGCGCAGCAGTGTGCAGGACTTGTCCACTGAATTGAAAGCCCCTCCCCCGCCCGCCCGCCCGCCCACACCATCTGCTGCCACAACCCTCCCCCCCCCGCCCCGCGCCCCGCGCGTTTCGCCGGCGCGTCTCACCGCACCGCGCTCCGGTGCCTGCGCCCGGCTGCCGGGCCCCTCGCCCGCTGTCAGGGCCCCGGTGCTGTTTTAGATTGTGTCCATTACCCCCCTTCCCCACCCGTAGGTCGCTCAGACGTAGCCTCGGGTTCGGAAGTGCTCCCTCTTTCTTTCTGCTTACATACATGCACTACGCCGAGCGGGCAGATACGCCCGGCGCGGCCAGACTACCCCGAGAGTGCTCTTTCCCACACACACAACGCCACGAGTTCCACTGCTCACCACCTCCGGCCCCCGCGAGGCGCCGCGACTCACAGTATCCTCTCGCTTCCCGCCCCCACCTTCAAGACCCCTTCGCTCGTCAATCTTCGACCCCCGGTCCTGGTATCCAGGATACACTTGAGCGAAAGCTCTCTCTCGTCCCTCGAAGAGCATGTCGTCGTTTTCACCGTCGCCATCCACCCGCTTCCAACCACCTATCCGATCACGCGTTCACCAGCACCGCTCGATCCCCGTCCACGGACCCCCCCGGCGCCGCAAGGCACCACAACGCAATACAGACCCGCGCAGCAAGGCTCTCATTGCCCGCGGCTCCACCCGCCGCTTGGCGCGGCCGCCCTGCCGCACCGCACGGCGCCAGATGCGCCTCGGTGCGCGCCGCGCGGCCGCGCCGACGGCCGAGCCCGCCGGGCGATACGTCACTGCACGGCCAACCAACCGCCAGCGCACGCGCCGCACGTGCCGCCGCGTGCCGACGCGCGGCCCGTCCCGCGCCGCAGGGATGGGCTCGCGGCACGAGCTGCACTGGCACCCCCTTGCGATGCCTGCGCGCCCCGGGGACCCTCTCACCACACACCTTCACACGCACACTCCTGTTCATGTGTTCCGCCCCGGTCGTCGCCGGACCCACCGCGTCCGGCGGACACGGTCCCGCCGAGGGAACTCCGTGCCTGGGCGTCACACCGCCTCGGCCTCCAACGCCCTCCCCGCTGCCGTGCCTGGTCCCTCGTTTGGCCTGTCTGTCTGGGGCGCACATTCGTACAATGCGGGCCGGGGCCGTGCCGAGCACACCTCGTGCAGCGCAGGACCGCCCCGTTCACGCCCACCGGCCACCTCCTCTCCCCGCCCTGTTCCCCCCTCTTTCACCGTAAGAGTCCCCCCCCGCCCCTCCCTCCTCTAACCACCCAGACCCCCTGCCCCCCCTTCCCGTGGGGGGGCTCACGTCGCATGCACGCTAAGCGCTCCGGTCCGAGACGGAGCGGTGCGGGCCGGCCGCCTCGAGAGGCGGGAGGCCCCTGCCGTCCTTTGGCCCCCACCTGCGCCCCCCCGCCCCAACCCCCGGCCTTCCAGGCCTGGTTTTTCTCCCCAACGCTCCTCGCGTCCGCGCAGCGACCCACTGGTGACCATTGCACCCGCGCAGCCCCCTGCGCGGCACTGGAACAGCAACGCCCAGCCGTACGCCGCGCGCTGGAACCCCCCGTCGGGTTCCGCGCTGAGCGTCCGCCCTGTGCCCGTGCGTTCCCCCGTCCCCGGCGCTCTGCCCCGCAGATCGCACGAAACACTCTCTCGCCACCGCCGGCCACCGCTGGCGACTGCCACCCCACTCAACCCCTGTCCAGCCGAGGTGTTGCGCGGTACCCTCGAACGAAGCACCGAGCGCATGCTAACACACACTGGACTCAGCCAGCAAGGGGACGCCTCTAGGTTAGCGAACAACCAAAGGGATCGAAGATATTCCTTGTGAACCACTCAAGACCAAGCCACACGTTCCACCTCTCGTCTGCCGTGCCGTTTCGGTCGATCAAGCGTCCTCGCGGTGAGGGTGCTTGTAGGTCAGCGAAGAACTAAGCGAATTCCTAACTAAAAAAAGAGGGTACTTGCAGGTCAGCGAAATACAAACAGGCGCCGCACGGCGCGTTCTGGACGACGGCGCGCGTCACATCGCGTTCCCGCGACGCCCTAGCCCCTGGAGCCCCCAGCGGCGCAGCGCAGGCGCCCACTCGACTCGAGGCCAAGCTGCGTCACGACCATGCCTCTATGAAGAGCCTCCCCCCGGACGCCATCGTGGCGAGCCACTTCGCGCTCTCCTCCTTCGACAGCCCGCCGACGTCCTCCACGACGCCACGCAGCGCCAGGCACACCGCGTCAGGCATCGTCCCCGCAGACCCGCACACATACATCACCCCCCCCTGCGTCAGGGCGTCCCAGACGTCCCCGGCCCGCTCCTTGATCTTGTTCTGCACGTACACCTTCTTCTCGCCAGACACCCGCGAGTACCCCACCGAGTACCCCCCCTCCCTCAGCGTCCCGTCCGTCAGCAGCTCCTGCCAGTCTGACCGGTACAACTCGTCCCCGGGGGCCCTGCACCCGTGGAACAGCAGACAGCGCCCGCCCGCGCCGGCGCCGAGACGCGCCCGCGCGCGGCTGCGCTCGAACAAGAGAGCGCGCAGCGGGGCCACGCCCGTCCCGGGCCCGACGCAGATGAGGGGGGTGTCGACGTCGCTGTTGAGCTTGAGGGCCCCGCGCTCGATCCACATGGGCACGAGGGCGTCGTCGCTGCCGGGCTGCAGCCCCGCGAGCCACGTCGTGCAGAGCCCGCGCTTGAGGCGGCCGTAGGGGGTGTGATACTTGACAACAGCTGCTGTCAGGTGGATGCGTCCCGGGTGCGCGGAGGGCGCGGACGCGATGGAGAAGAGGCGCGGCTGCAAGCGCGGCACGACCTGGACGAGGTAGTCGAGCGGGAGGTTGACGGAGGGGAAGTCAGAGAGGACCTCCATGACGGACCGGGACTCCTTTTCGTTGTACTCGTATAACTCCTCCAGGCCCTCGGGGGACGCGAGCTCTGCGAGGCGCTCCCGCTCGTGCTGCGCGCGGGCGAAGTGCGCCGCCACCTGCACCGCGCGAGCGCCCCGTCCTATCTGTGTGAGCGCCGGAAAAGCAGTCGAGAAACAAGGACTGCCGGCAACAACAGCGAATCGGGATCGGGGCGCCGCGCACCGTGAAAAAGTAGCGGCGCGGACTCGCGCCCGCGACGTCCAGCGCCGCCCGGAACAGCGCGCCCGCCCGGACGCGCACACCCCCCTTGACACCCCCCTTCTCCTCCTCCACACCCCCCGCGTAATACGGATGCGGCGCAATGTGCAGCACGTCGTTCTCGTGGACGCTGCACCGCGCACAGAACGCGTCAATCGCCGCCGCGCTCACCCAGGGCACCACGGCGGCGGCGTCACCGGCCTCGTACTGCAGCGCCGCACTGCCGTTGCGCGCCGCCACGTCGATTGCGGCGCTGACGTCGAGCTCGATATGCCTGACGTCGCGGTCGGCGGTCGGGTCCGATGGCGGCGGAGTGGTCGCGGCGGTGACACGCTTGTTGACCGCGACGGGCGCGAGGAGGGGGGAGTGAGGGCCAAACGGGGGGCGTGCGTCAGCTCGCTGCCCGAACGCGTCCTCGTCGCAGCCGATCGCCGCGGCGGACACGCGGTCGAGGAGCCGCGCGGCCTCGAGCCCCTCCTCGAGGAGCGCGCGGTGCGGTGCGCCGGCCGGGGGGGGTGTCCGCCCGACAACGCTCACTACGAACTTGGGGGGGTCTAATGCCGGCATCCCGTCCGACTCGCCCGGGGCGTCGAAGGCGCCGCTCGGAGGCGGCAGCGCGGGCGCGAGCGCGGGGAAGAGTTCGGACATCCACGGCTGCAGCGCGCCTTCGTAGCCCTTGGGGTGTTGGTCGTCGCCGAGGGCGGGTGGCAGGGGGAGGGTGGCGCCGAGCATCTCGAGGCGGCGGAAGAGCTTGAGCGCGGTGACGTTGTACTTCTGGTAGCCTGCGGGCGCGGGCGGGCGGGGCGTGCGGTGGGGTGGGCGCGTGGGCGTGTGTGTGCGTGGAGCGTGGAGGTGGGAGCGGAGCGGGGGCGGACCTGAGTCGCCGAGACCGAAGACAGCGCAGCGTGAATTGGAGAGCGAGTCTGCGGGGAGATCCTTGCGGCAGAGAAAGCGCCAGAACTTGCGCATGTTGGACGGCGCGTCGCCTTGGCCTGTGGTCGAGCACACGAAGACCACGCAGCGCTCGCTGGGGAGCCTGGCGACCTGCACGCGACGGCCAGCGGCACGCACGGTGCGTTGTTGAGCTGCAGCGGCGGTCACGCAGTGCTGAAACAGGCTACGCGGCGGCCTGGGGGCCCGAAACACCGCCCCGAAACGAACTCGCCGCTATCGCGGCCGCCCGCGGGAAGTTGAAGCACGCGTTCGCGGAGCCGCCGGAGCAGGAGATCGCCGCTCATGTGGGGGTGATATATTCGGCTCAGGTGGCGCAGCGCACCTCGTAATCATCCATGGGCATCACGCGCGCCGCGAACCCTTTTCGGCGCGCGGCGCGCCACACGCCCTCTGCGACGTCCGCGGCATTGCCTGTCTCGGACCCATAGAGCACGAGCAAGCCCGTGCGATCGCTCTCTCGCCCGCGGTCCCCCATGGCTGGCCGCACGGACTTGCCAAACAGGCTGCCGAGGCCGTCCAAGTTCACACCCGGCTCCTGCCGCGTCAGCCTGTTCTAGACAACTATGTTCCGGTCTGTCAGGATGTCTGCGCCCTTGCCTCCACCCCCCGCGCGCAATCACTGCGTTCCGACCCCGCGTCTGCGCGTTGACGGCGCCTTCATTCCCCCATCGCTGTCAGGGACTGGTTTCGCAGGATTCGGGCCCGCCTGACAAGACGGGGCGCCCAGAGCACGCCGCCCCACAAAGCTGGCGCGGAGCTCGATCACGGGGCGGTGTCCTCTCGTCGTTTCGGAACGGCGCGGAGCCACGGCACGCGTTGCTGCTGCTGGTGCATACGTCCGACCGGTCCAGACGGGCCAGGACCTGCTCTCCATCCAGCCCGACGGTCCCAACCAGCGAACACCAAGCTCATGGAGGGGACGGAGGAGGGCAGGCGCCTAGCCGCCGCCGCCCGGAAGCGTGCGAAGGAGCTCGGCAACGAGACCTTAAAGGCGCCCGCAGAACCACTGCGGGTACGACTACACCTCGCCAAGCACACGCACCCATGCCCCTCTATCGTACCCATCTGCCACAGGCCGCGCACCGCCCCGTTCCCGCCTCACAGCCGGCTAGCGCCTTTTCATGCAACGCTGCGCGCGAGCGGCGTCGGCGGCGCCCGACAGCGCCCCCCGCGCCGCTCGACCGGGCACCCCGACACACGCAGCGTTGTGCCGCGCGTTGCAGCACACGGACTCGGGGGCCCGGACGGACGCCAGCCCCGATGGCCCCCCCTGCACGCACGAAGTCGCCATCCCCCAGGGGTGGACGACGCCGCCCGACGACGACCCGAGCTCGCTCGACCCCGCCGTACACGGCACCCTCGAGAACCCCATCTGGACGGGCCCCATGGTCCGCCCCCGGAACACCCCCTACAGCACACACTCACGCCTGACTCATGCGTGCAGCGTGAGTACGAGCGCGCTCCCGCGCGGCGCCGCCCCTCGCAGGCCAAGGAGTACCCGTTCAAGCTGGATCCGTTCCAGTCCACCTCGATCGCGTGCGTCGAGCGGCGCGAGAGCGTCATGGTTGCCGCGCACACGTCGGCGGGCAAAACCGTCGTAGCGGAGTACGCGGTGGCGAAGGCCCTGAAGGAGGGCCAGCGCGTGGTGTACACGAGCCCGCTCAAGGCGCTGTCGAACCAGAAGTTCCGGGAGCTGCAGGAGGAGTTCGACGACGTGGGGTTGATGACGGGCGACGTGACGCTGTCGCCGTCGGCGGGCTGCGTCGTCATGACGACGGAGATCCTGCGGTCGATGCTGTACAGGTGCGGTGCGGCCGTGCGCAGGGGCAGGCCGCGGCGACGTGCTAGCTCGCGACGCAAGGGCTTGTACAGGGTGGTGCAACGAGGGTTGATTGCCGGGCTCGTCGTGGCTGGTGCAGGGGGAGCGAGCTGTTGCGGGAGGTGGCATGGGTGGTGTTCGACGAGGTGCACTACATGCAGGACCGCGAGAGGGGCGTGGTGTGGGAGGAGACCATCATTTTCATGCCAAAGCACACCCGCACAGTGCGGCCCCGCCCGCCCGCCTGCCGCCGCGCTCCGGGCTCCGCTACGCGCAGCCCCGCGGCTCCTATGCTGGCCTAGTGTCTCGCGGCGAGGCGGTCGCTCCTGTAGCGTCTGGAGCCCACGTTGCTGTTTGTTTGTTTTCACATCAACATAGCATGTCTTGCGATGCCAGGAACGCTTGTTCACTGGTCCGTCGTGCGCGCGGCCGCAGGTATTTCTGTCGGCGACGCTGTCGAACAGCCGCGAGTTCGTCCAGTGGGTGGCGCACCTCCACAGCCGCCCCGTTCACGTGGTGATGACTGAGCATCGGCCGACCCCGCTCCAGCACTACGCGTTCCCGTGCGGCGGGTCCGGGCTGTACCTCGTCAAGGACGAGCACGGCACGTTCAAGACGGAGATGTTCGCGAAGATGCGGCGCACGTTCGAGGAGAAGGCGCAGGGCAAGGGCGACGGCGCACTCAAGAGGAAGGGCGACGGTTCGCAACCCGACGGCGACAAGAACAGAGCGGGAGGGCGGCCCGCGGGCGGGCTGTCGCGGCAGGTCAAGGCGACGATCTCGCAGGACCTGTCGCGGCTGCTCTCGCTCATCAAGGAGCGCGCGCTGGAGCCGGTGATTGTTTTCAGCTTCAGCAGGCGGGAGTGCGAGCAGTACGCGATGAGCCTGGCCAAGGTGGACTTCAACAGCGAGGAGGAGCGAGCCGCCGTCGACGCCGTGTTCGACTCGGCCATGCAGTGCCTCTCTGAAGAGGTGCGCTGCGCAACACAACCTGCAACGACGCCGCGACGCACGACAGCCTGCCGCTCCCGCGACGTGCTCACCTGCTCCGTCACCTGCGCCGCGGCCGAACGCGGCTCCGCGGCCAGCGACCTGCACGTGTCTGCGCACGTTTCTACCATCTGCTCACAACACCCCCCTGCGCGCCGCTGCAGGACCGGAAGCTCCCGGCGATCGGGCACCTCCTCCCGCTCCTCCGCCGCGGCGTCGGCATCCACCACTCGGGCCTCCTCCCCGTGCTGAAGGAGCTCGTCGAGGTGCTGTTCCAGGAGCACCTCATCAAGGCGCTGTTCGCGACGGAGACGTTCGCGATGGGCGTCAACATGCCCGCGTCGACGGTCATCTTCACGTCGCTGCGGAAGTGGGACGGCGAGGAGCACCGGTGGGTGTCCTCGGGGGAGTACGTGCAAATGTCGGGACGCGCGGGACGGCGCGGGATGGACGAACGCGGCGTGTGCATCCTCATGGCCGACCCCGACATGGTGAGTGGGGCTGCGCTCGCGGACCCGCTCGTGCGTGCTCGCTGTGCATTTACCTCGATCCGCCGATGGAACGTCAGTCTTGAATTCCCTTCTTCTGTGCTGTTTTGTTCGCTCTTTCTCTCCGCCGAGGCCGCTCGGTCGCCCCATCGCTGCCCGGCCGCGCTGCTGCCTCCGCAGGACGAGGCCACGTGCCGCGAGCTCCTCGTGGGGCGGCCCAACCCCCTGGTGTCAAGTTTCCGTCTGTCATACTACACCCTCCTGAACCTGATGCGGCGCACCGAGGGCTCGACGCTCTCGATGGAGCACGTCATCAAGAACTCGTTCCAGCAGTTCCAGCACGAGCGCGGGCTGTTGGACCAGGAGCGCAGACTGTCGCTGCTCGCGGAGGAGATCGACAGAGAGATGAAGGCGGCGGGCCTGCGCGGGGACGGGGCGGCGACGGACTCCGCGGCGGCGGCGCGGCGGTGCGTCGAGCTCGAGGCGCAGCTGGCGGACGCGCGCCGGCAGCTCGCCGGGGAGCTGACTCAGCCTGGGCGCGTGCTGCCCTTCCTGCGGCACGGCAGACTGGTGCGCATGCGTCAGGCCGACGTGGACTGGGGCTGGGGCGTGGTCCTCGCGGCGCTGCGGCGGACCGAGCTCAAGAAGAAGGGCGACGCGGGCGGGGACGCGGGCGGCGCCGTGATCGAGGTGGATGACACCGGCGGCGCGGGGGGGAGTAAAGAGGGCGACGGCGGGGAGGGGAAGCGCAAGCGGAAGAAGGCCAAGACGAAGGAGGCGGCGGGGGACGCCGGCACGGACAAGCATCAGGCCGCCCTCGGCCGGGCTTCCGACTATGTCATCGACGTGCTTCTGCTGGGGGTGCGGGACGCACAGGCGGGGCCGGCGCGGTTCCGGCCGCCGCGGGAGGGCGAGGAGGGTGATATCGAAGCGATGACGGTGTCGCTTGCGCTCGTGGAAGGTGCGCGGCCCGCGCGGCGACCGCTGCGCGATGCACGCCGTCCTGCCCTGTTCGAACCGCCGCGCTTCGTGCTTGGCTCCGCGCTCACAGGCCCGCGCTTCCTCTCCGATGCAGCTGTGTCGCGGCTGCGGATCGCGCTGCCGCCGGACCTGCGGCAGAGGGCCGCGAAGGAGTCGGTCAAGGCGACGCTGGCATCGTTGCTGGCGCAGCGCGGCGGGCCGGAGGGCCTGCCGGTTGTCTCGCTGTGCACGGACGTTCTCAAGGGCAACGCGGCGCAGCACCTCGTCGATCTCGAGGCGCGCGCGGCGTCCCTGGCGAAGGAGGCTTCCGAGGCGCGCCAGGGCGTGCCTGCGGCCGACGCGGAGCGGGTCGGGGCTGCGCTGAAGCGGTCCGCCGCGCTGGCGGCCGAGCGCGACCTCCTGAAGCAGCGAATGCAGGAAAGCACGCTCGCGGTGTTCCGCTCGGAGGCGAAGGCACGCGGGCGCGTCCTGCGGCGGCTGGGGCACATCGACGGCGAAGGCGTGGTGCAGCTGAAGGGGCGGGCCGCGTGCGAGATCGACACGGCGGATGAGCTGCTGGCTGCGGAGCTGATGTTCAACGGCGCGTTCGCGAACTCTCTGGACAAGCACCAACTCGCAGCGCTGGCGTCGTGCCTGGTGCCGGTGGAGAAGAGCCAGGAGGAGATCCAGCTGTCGCGGGAGCTCGCGCCTTCGCTCAAGCAGCTGCAGGACACCGCGAGGTGCGCGACGGCGCGGTGCCGGGCCGTCTCAGCCCGATCCTCGTCGTACGCAGCAATGCGAGTTGGCTGGAGTCGCTGGCGGAGCTTCGAGGGTTCTCGGCGAGCTCACGTCGTAGATTTCATCGTGAAAATGCGTGCAGGATGATTGCGGAGGTGTCCCGGGAGTGCAAGCTCGACCTCGACGTCGAGGAGTATGTCGAGTCGTTCAAGCCATACCTCATGGACGTCGTGTACGCGTGGTCGCGCGGGTCGAGCTTCGCGGACGTCTGCAAAATGACCGACATCTTCGAGGGCTCGATCATCCGCGCCGTGCGGCGCCTGGACGAGCTGCTGAAGCAGCTCAAGCTCGCTGCCGCAGCCGTGGGCGACGAGGGCCTCGCGGGCCGCTTCCAGGAGGCGTCCGAGTCCATCCACCGCGACATCATGTTCGCGGCGAGCTTGTACGTGTGACGACCGGAACCCAGCGCGCCTCCTTGTTCGGAATCGGGGCTGTGCCAACACGCAGCCCTGCGCATGCAATCTGACGTTCGATCGCGGCGGCGCGGCCGACGGAGTGCAGATCAGGGCGCAGGCTCCGCGACGAGAGGAGGCAAGTCGCACGTCTCGTCCGTGCGACGACCAGGCGCGGATCGACCATGCGATTTTCTAGTTGTCACAGCTCCCGGCTGGAAGGGGGTCAGGAGTCCGGCTTGCCACCCGGGATCAGGCACGCGATGTTGTTCCCGTTGAGCAGGATCTGGTCCAGGTGGTTCGTGACCGGCCCGCTCGGCGTGGGGTCGCTGCACCACGACGCAACGGCAGTGAGGTGCGTGTCACGTGAACGCGCAAGGCAGGCGCCCGCTGCCGGCGTGCCGCTCGCTGCCCCGCCGCGCTCCACCGTGGAGCGCCTCCCGGCCCGGACAGGCGAATGCGCGGGGCGGCAGGCGAGCTGCACAGGCGCCGCAGGTGGTGTAGTGTCAGGCGGGCAGGTGGTGGCGGGGCACGCACATCTCGGTCACGTCCGACAGGACCATGTTGACGTACACGTCGAACCCCTCCAGCGTCCCCACCAGCTCCTTGTCGCCCTTCATCAGCACCTGCGCAGCGACGCGCCGTGCACCCACCATGAGACGCCCTCCACGCAACGACGCGCATTTCTGAGCTTCTGAGCGCCGCGGCGCCACATGTGGAAGCCAAACGCGAGGCACATGCCCGGCAGGAACCATCAGGACTGCCTGGCAGCGAGGCACGGCGCTTCTGCTGCCGCGGCGCGTGTGCCCTCCCGGGCGGGCTCCCGGCGGGTGGACCGCGAGTTCGCCGCGACGCCGCGTGCGAGCTGCGATGTGCATCGCGGGGCTGCACCGCCTCGGTCGTTTCGGGCTCCGCCGCGTCGCAGGGAGGCGGGCGCACCCAGATGCGCTGCCCGACGCAGCGGTCTACCAGCTCCGACGGCAGCAGATGGCTGGGGTTCCCCGGGGCCGCCTTCTTGGGTGCCTGCAGCGCCATGGCGCCGTGTCCACGGCCGCAGCCACTCCCCTGGACCGCTCGGGGCGACCTTACAACCTGCTGAGCAGCCTCACTGGTCGATCCGACGACGGCAATCGGATCTACGGTGCTCCGGCGGCTGACTCTGCGGGGTGCAAGCGGCTCTGGCGCGCCTTCGCGGCAGGGGCCCGCGGCATGGTGCGTGGAGGGCCTTATGCCTTTTACCAGGCCACGTCCGGCGCTCTTCCGGGGCCCGTGAGGCCATGCTAGCCGCGGCCCGCCCGCTCCCGCCACTTGTCGTACACAGGCCACGGCTCCAGATAGTCGAGCGCGAGCGTCCGTCCCCTCGGAAGCGCGAAATCGGCCAACCGACTGCTCCAGCGCGCCTAGGATCCCTAGCGCCGCTTCCGAGCCCGTGCGAGCCTTTTCCGGGCGCCTGTGCGCGAGCGTCAGCTCCGCCTGCTTCTGCTCTCCCTCTCCGCGGCTCCCGCGGGTCGAACGACCGGCAGGCACTGAGCAGCAGCCCCCCGCGCCCCGGGACGCTGCCAGGTGCCGTGGGCGCGTGCGTCCAGGATGGAGGTCGACGAGCAGCAGGCGCTGCCTGAGCAGATGCAGCAGGGCAACCAGCTCCAGATGGTCCAGGGCGGCGTCGCCACGCAGGGAGGCCCCGGCTGGAATCAGTCGACGTTTCCTATGGAGCAAACCATCAAGTTCATGGTCTGTGGGAGCCTGTTCGAGTGCCCCGCGTACTACCAGCCGCTCAAGCCCATCGGAAAGGGCGCGTACGGCGTCGTGTGCTCCGCGAAGAACGTCATTACCGGTGAGACACGGCGCGAGCCGGCCTGGAGCAGGCCCTCTCCTCCACCGCCGCGCCCGGCGCATACCCTCCGCTTCGGGGGCGGTCCGGCGCGGAACCCGGCGTGTCCGTTCGCGGATCATCGCACCGGCACGCCCCTGGCAGGGCTCGCGGCGCGCAGGACCGCACGCCGGCCGCTTTCTGGCCCCCCTGGTCGCTCAGCCTGCCGGGCCGCGGTGCGGCGCCGTCCGGCCGCGCCAAGCGCGCGTTTGCGCGCCGGCTCGCCGCTCGATCCGCCCAGAAACCCGCAGCGGCGTCGACGGGCCCATCCAGGGCGCCACGGGGCCGCACGCCGCACGCGACTGCTGCCAGCTGCGCTCAGATCGGCGTCGCTCCGGCCGCGCGCCGCCGCACCCGGAGATCCGACGGCCGCCCCAGCACCTCCAGTATCTCAGCCGTCCACGCCGCCGGTATAACCTCGGCTTAGCGGCCCCGGGCCGCGCGCGACGGACAACGTCCTGCGCTTGCGTTTCACACGCCGCGGGCGCCGGTCCTCCTTCGCACAGGCGGTGTATTTCGCACCCAAACGCCGCCTCTGCGGCCGCGCTGCCGCCCCCGCGCAGCCCCGCACCGATCCGCGCGTCGGTGCGGCCGCGGCGCGCGTTTCACATCGCTCACGACATGTTCACGTCGCCGCGGCGGCGTGTCCGGCGCGCGACGGTCCCACCCGGCGCCCTCCGCTGTCGCCCCGCAGGCAAGGACGTCGCGATCAAGAAGATCGGGCGCGCGTTCGAGAATGTGATCGACGCCAAGCGCACGCTGCGCGAGATCAAGCTCCTGCGGCACCTGGAGCACGAGAACGTCATCCGGTGCGCGGGACCCGCCCACCTCGCGAGCCGCACGCGTCGCGGCGCGCCCGCGTCCCGCGCGCGAGGGCCGGGCTGCAGAGCGCTTGGTCGCTGGCGGGGGCGCGTGCCGACGCGCGGCTGCGTCCCGCCCGCGCGTGCGTCGCAGGATTTTAGACCTCTGGCCGCCCGCGGCGATGGAGGCGTTCGCGGACGTGTACATCGTGTACGAGCTCATGGACACGGACCTGCACCAGATCATCAAATCGAACCAGGCGCTCACGGACGAGCACTGCCAGTATTTCATCTACCAGGTCCTCCGCGGCCTCAAGTTCATCCACACCGCCAACGTCCTCCACCGCGACCTCAAGCCCAGCAACCTGCTGGTCAACGCCAACTGCGACCTCAAGATCTGCGACTTCGGGCTGGCGCGCGGGAAGGCCGACGCGGCGCAGGGCGAGTTCATGACCGAGTACGTCGTCACGCGCTGGTACCGCGCCCCCGAACTCCTCCTCTCCTGCGCCGAGTACTCCACCGCCATCGACGTCTGGTCGGTGAGTTCCAGTTTCAGTCCCCCCCCCCTCGCGCCCTGCCCCGTTCCGCGCCGCGCACGTCCCCTCAACTCAGCCCCGAAACAGTCGGCGCGAGGGCTCTTCCTGTTCTTCTTCTCCGCCCCTTGGCACGCGTGAGCACAGCAGCTCAGCGGTCGGCCCCCTCGTCCCGTGTCGGCGCGCAGGTCGGGTGCATCCTCGCGGAGCTCCTCGGCCGCCGGCCACTCTTCCCCGGCCGCGACTACCTCCACCAGCTCAACCTGATCGTCAAGACCGCCGGGACGCCCCCCGTGAACGACCTGCACTTCATCACCAACGACAAGGCCCGGCGGTACATCGCGCTCCTCCCGCACGTGCCCCCGCGCGACAACTGGCAGGAGCTCTTCCCCGACGCCAACCCCCTCGCCACCGACCTCCTCGGACGCATGCTCCGCTTCGACCCCGCGCAACGCATCAGCGTCGAGGACGCACTCGCGCACCCGTGGCTCCGGAGCCTCCACGACCTCAACGACGAACCGAACTGCGACTCCGCCTTCGTGTTCGACCTCGAGGGCGTGCAGCTCGACGGTGAGGCCCCGCCCAACCGCCTCGCCTCGTCCACCGTCGCGCAGTGCTGGCGGCGTGTGGGGCGCCGCGGTGTGCGCCGCGCCTGCGGCGCGGCGTCGTGCCGGCGGCGAGGGAACGCACGACAGCGGCCGCGCCGCCGTCGCTCGCCTTGTCCTCGCACTCCGCCCCCGGCGTTGCGCTAGCACCCCCCGGCGCCTCGCCGCCGCCCGACGACCCGCCGCGCGCGGCTCTTCCGGCGCCCACGGCACCCACCTCGCGCCCCCCGTGCACGCTGCGTCGCGCAGGCAACTCCCTTCGCGATCTGATCTACCGGGAGGTGCTGCAATACCACCCCAACCACGTGTTTGCGCAGAACGGCGGGCACGCCGAGCAGAACGCGTAGACGGGGTGCCGGCTCGAGGGGGCACCGGAGCAGGCATGCGCCCAGGGCGCGGGCAGAGCCAGTCAGACACGTCTGGAAACAACCCCTCTTGCCGAAGATTCAGAGACTTGCCGCGAGTGGTGTCAATATCGTTGTGCGACGGACGGCGCAGCAGTCCGGCGACGCGCACGCGTGTGCGTCGCCTGTGATCGTGTGAGCCGGCTCCGGCGCCGCGCCTTCCCCGAGAGAGCTTGATACTCCCCCGCTTGACTCCCCCCCCTCAGAGGGGGCCTCTGCGCGCTCCGAGGGGCCGCCTTTGCCTGCTCGCGCACGCGAGGCGGCCCAGCTGCGGTGGGCGAGAGCAGGGAACCTCTCTGCGCTAAGCACTTCGCCGTAGGGCGCGGCGTCCTCCTCCTCGCGTGGACCGCATTTCACCCGCCACTGCCAGCCCCCTTTGTCCCGAGGGCCTGCGCGCGTACATTGCGCGGGAAGGCGGCGGAGAAGTCAGGGGCAGGCTGTGGACGCGGGGCGGAGCGGCTGAAGATGGTCAAGAAGGAGCGGGCGGCCCCCGGCGGGGGGGCAGCGGCGCTCCGGCTGTTCGTGTCCACGACCGTCGAGACAGACCTCGTGGTGGGCATGTCTCTGGCGGCGAAGAATGCCCCCAGTACAGTGGGTCATCTGTGCGAGCGGGTGGCCCGGGAGCACCGCGAGGCGTTCCCGAAGGGCCCGGCGCTCACCGTGAAGCAGCTTCGGCTGCTGCCGCCCTGGAAGCTCGCTGCGGGGGGCCGCGCGCGGTACGTCGAGGACGGCACGTACCTCCTGAATCGGAGCAGCCCGCTCGGCGTCGCGCTCCAGGACGGAGACCACCTCCTGGCCGTGCACGGCGCGGGGGCCCCAGCCGCACCCACTCCGTTGAAGATTGGTGCGTTTCCACCCATCCTGGACCTGTCCCACCGCCCCCTCATGATTACTCTGCTCATAGCGGCACTTTCAAGCTACTCACCTCGACCTGACAGCCGTTGTACAGCCGCGAACCAGCCTTCCCTCCACGCCCCACAGCACGCCCTCGCGCGGGCCTCGCAGCCCCGTTCCCCCGCCGTCCGGCCTCCCACGCCTCCACCTCCCCGCACGCAACTGCCCCGCAGCTGACGCCAGCGGCAAGGCCCCCCAGAAGACCCAGGAGAAGGACCCGGCTCAGAAAAAACGAATCGCCGAGATGAGGGACGCGCTCGCCTCGCCCGCGCCCCCCGCGAAGAAGGCGCGCGGCGCGGACGAGAAAGACAAGGCCGGCGCGCCCGCGAAGAAGCCCGGAGACGCGCCGAAGCCGCCGCCCGCCAAGCAGGCTCCGCCGGCGCCGTCGTCGTCCAGCTCCGACACCTCCAGCGACGACACGAGCTCGAGCAGCTCCTCAAGCTCGAGCAGCTCGTCCTCGAGCAGCGAGGACACCGGCAGCAAGAAGCCGCCCGCGCCGAAGCCGGCGCCGGCGAAGCCGACCGTCAGCAACAAGATCAAGCCCGCATCGCCCGCGGGGGGCAAGTCCGACGCGTCGCCGGTGCACACGGGGATGCGCCGCGTCACGTTCAAGTACATGCAGCTGCAGCTGCGCGACAGCAGCGGCATGGCGTCGCGGCAGTGGGTGTGCGACCCGTGCGGCAGCGGCGGGAGGGGTCTCGCGGCCTTCAAACGGCACTCGAACTCGCCGGAGCACAAGAAGGCGGTGCAGAAGCTCGACGCGAAGCCCGCGGCGCCCTCCCGCGAGGCCCCCGACGACGCCGAGCTCGACCGCGCGCTGGTGGCGGATGGGCGGTGGAAGTGCGCGGCGTGCGGGTCTCACGGGACGGGGCGCGCGTCGCTGAAGACGCACATCATGGGCAAGGTGCACACGGCGACGAAGCGGCGGTACGCGGACGGCGGGAGGCCGTGGGTCGGCCCGGAGCCGGACCGGGACGCGGCGGCGGCGGCGGCGCGCAAAGCGAAGCCCGCTGCGGGCGGGAAGGCGGCTGCGGAGGAGGCGAAGCCCGTGCCGGCGGCGCCGAAGGCGCAGGCGCGGTCGGCGAGCAGCAGCTCGAGCAGCAGCGAGGAGGACAGCGAGGACAGCGGCGATGGGCGCGGCGGAGGTGGCAAGGCCAGCAGCAGCAGCGACACGTCGGGCAGCAGCGAGGAGCGCGCCCCGGCGGGCAAGCTCGCGGAGAAGCAGGCGGCGGAGCAGAAGAAGGCACCGCCGGCGTCCCCGTCGAGCTCCGAGACGAGCAGTGACGACGACGCGGGCGTCGTGATGCCGAGCTTGCCGCCCGCGCCGGCGGCCAAGGCGTCTCCCGCTCCTAAGAAGGCGGAGGCGGAGCAGCAGCCGTCGTCAGGGTCGTCGCTGAGCTCCGAGAGCAGCAGCAGCAGCGACGACGTCTTCCGAAATGGCGACGGCCCCATCGTCAAGCTAGCGTATCCGCCCGCGGGCCCGCGGGAGGCGCCCGTGTTGGGCGCGAAGGCGGGGGCGAGCAGCAGCAGCGGCAAGGGCAGCGGGAGCTCGAGCTCGGGGGAGTCGGACGCGTCGGGCAGCGACAGCGGCAGCGACGACGAGACCCGCAGCAGGACCCCCCCCCGGAAACGGCAGCGCAGGAGCGCGGACTCGACCACGTCTGGGAGCGCGGGGAAGGGGGACGCGTCGGACAAGGCCGACGAGGGCGATTCGGACGGCGACAAGGTCGGGAGGCTCGCGATGCAAAAGGGTGGCCTGGAGACGATCCTCAAAGCCTGGACGAAGGGTCACAGCCAGCCTGCGACGCCGGCGGACGCGCTCGGCAGGGAGACGCAGCCGAACGGCGCTTTGGCGTCAGCGGCGGACGTCGGGGTGGTCCCGGCGACGCAGGTGGACGACGCGAGCGACAGCGGCAGCGAGGGCGGCGACGACGAGGGGACGGAGCGGGGCGCGCAGGAGGCGGCGCGTGCCGGGCGGCCGCGGCGCGCGACGGCGTCGTACGGGTCGCAGGGGCGCCCTGCGGCGTCGGCCGGGGGGGGGGTGTCCAAGGACACTGTGTCGGTCAGGCGGAACGCGTCGCGGGCCGCGCGGCCGCCGAGCGTGACGGCGTCGCCGGCCAAGGGCGTGGCGAAGGGCGAGGTGCCGACCCGGGGCGAGGGGGACGAGACGTGCGCGGTGTGCAAGCGCAGGCGGCGAAAGTACTGTGGGGTTGTGGAGAAGAAGTACGCCGACTGCGAGTACCTCGTGCGGTGGCGGAAGGAGGGCCTGATCGCGTGAGGCGGCCGTGTGAGCGGGCGTGGACGCTGGCATGGCCGCGGGAGCGAGTCACGGGGTTGGCACCTGTACGTTTGCTGCAGGTTGTGCCCGCGCGGTGCCGCGGCTCATGGCGGTGAAGTCGGGCGCTGGCGCGGCGGGCGTGTTCGTGAAATTACGGGTGTCGGGGACGGCGGTGCGCGGGTGCGTAGGCGGCACGCAGCGGGGCCCTCCGCATCCGAGGGGGATGTTGTGCCGGGCGTCCGCGCGTGCGTGGATCCGGCTGTTTTGGGCTCGGAGCGCGCGACACGATGCGCAGCTATCCGAGGCCCGTCGGTGCCAGCGGCTGTTTGACCGGCCGCACGGCGCGCGGCTGTATTCTCTTTGCGCGTGCATACGGTTAGTTCGACGTGCGTGGTGATTGAGCGAGCATCGCGCGGTCCTCAAGTCCAAGCGTGTATAACATATATTCGCGGTGCACGCGTCGACTCGCCCGGAGACGCACGCTCGAAGCCCCTGCATCGCCCTTGGCCTGGGTTTCCCCCGCCTGGAGCTCGAAAGGGGGCAGTCGGCCAAGATGGACAAACCAATTCCGGGGACAACAGAACGTCGCAAGCGGGCGGAGAGCAACATGAGCCACAGGCAAGCCGCGCAGCAGGCCCACACGGGTACACGTCTCGCTCCGAATCCTCCCAGAGCGCTGTCCCGTCCGACCCTCTCCCCCCCTCCCCCCCCTCTCCATCCTCCGCGCCTCGCGAATCACGCAGTCATCGCCGTTACGAGACCCCATGTCGCCGTCGTGCCCTGCCATGACCTCCTACCAAGACTACGCGCTCCAGCGCTCGCTCGCGACGTCAGCGTCCCACCGCCGCATCGCGCCCGCTTCCCGCAGAGCCTCCCGGGCGGCGAGCATCGTCAAGCCCGGCGGGGCTAGCACAGCCCGCGGCGGGACCAATGCGCGGAGCGTTCCGTTCGTTCCGCACCCGCGAATCGCTCAGTCGATCAAGGGGCTAGCTGCGGCGGCCGGGTCTGGCCACAGCACGCCGACGCGACGCAGCGAGACGGGCTCAGAGGCACCTACGCTCGCGGGCGCTGCCGGGACTCCGCGCGGGCTCCCGTTCCAGGCGAAGCTGCTCGACGGCGATCCCAAGCCCCCCACGTTGGCTAGGCGGTCGAGCGTGCTGGAGCCGTCAGGCTCCGGGACCCCCCGGCAGCTTCCGCAGCCCAAGTCGCGCCTGCGTGGGCCAGCGGCGAAGCCGGAGCCGGGGGAGTTCCTGACGGCGAAGTCGATCGTGAGGCGCACGCAGGCGATCTTCCACGAGGACGACGCGGACGAGGACGCCGCGACCACCGTCGTCGGCGACGCCGGGGCGTCCCGAGGCAGCAACGCGGGCGACGAGGCGCAGGGCGCCGGCCCCGAGCCGCACCAGGAGCCCGAGGAGTCGCGCGACCTCCTCCGGCCCATGGTCCGCATCCGCAGCCTGAAGCGGCAGCCGACCGAGTCGGGCGACTCGATCGTCGAGAGCACGACGTCGATCTTGCCGCCCATCGCGCGCAGCCAGACGACCGCCGCTTCGGAGGCGGTGGTCAAGCCGCGGCCGGCGCTGAAGAGCGCGATGGCGTCCGCGAAGGAGGACGCCCGGCCGCGGGGCGTCTCGTTCGCGCGGGCGGGCTCGCTGCGCCCCGCAGGGCGCCTGGCGCCCCTGGACCGCGCGGCGCCGGCGCCGGCCCCGGCCAAGCCGAAGCGCGGCCGCGGCGTGTCCTTCGCGGAGCACGTCGTCCGCGAGACGAAGGCGGGGCCGGAGAAGAAGCTCGACAGCGTCTTGTCGGCTGGCTCGATGATTAAATTTCTGCAACAGAACAAAACCGAGGCGATCAAGGCAAAGGAGAAGGTCGTCTCGGACGACGCCCCCGCGATCGACGCGACGCGCAGCGAGACGCTCGCGTCGCTGCAGAACATGTCGAAGGTCGCGCGGGAGATTGCGACGGCGGAGGCGGCGGCGGCGGCGCGCGTGGTGCCCCGCCCGGCGGCGCTGGCGTCGCGCAAGGAGTACGGCGTGCTCGGGCGCGTGGCGACGGGGCTGACGAGCCTGGTGAAGCTCGGCGAGGGCCGCGGGCGGTACGACGAGAAGGGGGCGTACTTTGCCGTCGGAACGAAGCACCGCGCATACCTGGCGGACGTGCGAGGGCTGGCGCGGCTGTGGGCGCGGGCGAGCAAGAAGGTCGGGGCGTACGACGGGTCGGTGACGCGGACGGTGCTCGCGGACGTGGCGGTGTGGAGCGACTCGCGCGAGCTGGGGATGCACTCGCCGAACCTGATCAAGAGCACGATTGCGCACCTCACGGGGCGCGCGTCGATGTCGACGCTGACGCTGCGGGAGCTCCTGGCGGGCGCGTTCCCGTTCGCGACGGCCGCGGACCTCACGCTCCTGCACTGCGAGTGCATCGGCGCGTCGCTCGGGCCTGAAGAGTATCTCGGTGAGCGCCCGCGCACTTTGAATCGGCGTTTGCCGATTGAACCGCAACGACCGCACCGTATCTCCTCAAACGCGCGCGTCCTTGCCCTCGTCCTTGCCGTGCTCCTGCGAGACGCCAACCCCGCGTCCCGCGATTACCCGCGTTCCGCCCCGCAGGTATTGATGACGAGGTGTTCCAAGCGCTGTCCAACTTCATGGTTGCGCTCGAGCAGGCGCACGGCCGCTCGGGTCAGGGCGTCCCCACCGATCTGCTGGGCAACCTGGTGATCGTCATCCACGACGTCGAGTCCGACTCGGAGCAGCGCTTCATCAAACAGCGCATGAGCTCCCTCAAGGCGCGCCGCCTCGGCGCGCTCGACATCGTGGGCATGGCCGACTGGTGGCGCACGGTCAACTTCCACACGGGCTTCCCGCTCGACCTCGAGCTGGTCAAAACGCTCGGCGACCTCCAGTCGAGCGAGCTGGCAGAGATCTTGCAAGAGGTCGAGGGGCGTTTCGCCAGGGACGCGAGGGAGCCGAGCGCCAAGTCGCGGAAGCGCGGGCAGAGCACGTACGCCTTCGCCGAGCAGCAGGCCGCTGAGCTCGAGGCGACCATCCGCGGAGGGCTGCAGTCCGTACGCCCGAACTGAGGGCTCGCAATCGGCGTCGCTCGCGCAGCGCGTGGACCGCGTCTCGTTGTCCTCGAACCCTCCAGCACCTTGCCGCTCGATCCCGCGGCACCGCCTAACTTTCCAACGTCGTATCACGCACCGTCCGAACACAGCAAGATTCGTTGACAAAACACTCCAACGCCAACCCCCTACCCTTGCCCTATCCACCAGAGACGTGCGGGGAGCTTTGCAAGACCGCTCCTCGGCCCGTCCCAACTTAGCCCAAATTAGCCCACCCGCGGCTTGCCGCCCCCGGGGGCGGCAAGCCCCGTCTATTTTCTACCACTCACGTCTGTCACAGAGCCACGACATCCACGCATTTGCCCTGGCTTTCTCGCCGACGCTGCGCGCCGTCCGTCTGCTGACGGCAGCTTTTGATTTCGGTTCGCGCTCCTGGTGGAGCCCCCACGACGACGTGTCCACTTCAATCCCCCCCCCGCCCTGCCACTGCGCTCCACCCCCTTGGGAGAGACACTCCCCCCTCCCCGCCGCGTGCGACCCCGCACGCCTCGCTTTGCTCTGTGCGCTTGACAGCACACACTCGCGCCGTCCAGGGTGGCGCTTGTGCGCCCTCCGCTCTCCACACTCTGCGTGCTACTCAGTCCACCGTCGATGCGACCTGAATCTTCCACGCACGTCCCATCGAGGCCACTCACCAAGAGGGGCCCGTTCCGCCGCACTCACGCAGTCGCACCATCCCTCCCCGCACTTGCAACTTTGCGCGAAACTGCGCGACATCACATCCTCACGCGCCCGCACAGAGTCCAACGGTGGGGAGCCGCGCTCCTGTCTCCGTCGCCGCCCAGATCTCTGTTCGATCCGAGGTGCGCAGCACGCGCCGCGGGAGGCGTGGCGCCCACAGAGCTCGAGACAAAAATAGTCAAGTCTGGATAGACCAGTTGCTTGTTGAAGGTTTGTGAGACGCCGGCTCAGGGAGAGTGCACGTGGTGTCGCATGGTAGCGCGCACGGCCTGGTCTCGAGCGGCTCCTGTGCTGCAGAGCGGTTGGAAGGACACCCCGCACGAGGTCGACGGTGCGTTGCACGGCACAGCGCGCTGGCGAACTCCAACTAAGACTCTTACTTGGAGCCTTGCTTCCTCCGCGTCGTGAGGGCGTTCGGGACCGAAACGGCGCGGCAGACAAGCCTCACTCGAAGCTTCGCAGTGGAAGTTTCGCAGTGGAAGATGCCATTCCGGTCTGCAAGCAACAGTCAGGATCTCTGGCCCCCTCCACCGCCACCCCTTCCCGCCCGCGGTGGACAGTTCCGGACAGGCGATGCTCAAGACGCTCCGCTGCGCTTCGCTGAGCGCATTGTTGCACAACGCGTCCGATCACAGCCCTCAGGAGTCGCTGCGGAGCTGACTGGCCTGCTGCGTCCGTTCGTCGACCTCCGCGGCGGGCTTGCCGCGCCTGTGCCCGAGCCAGTGCCACCCCGCGTGCGCGACTAGCAGGCGGTTGGCGTGGAAACACCTGCTCAAGAAGAACACCAGAAACAACCCCCACACCGCCACCAAGCTCAGCTCCCCACGCACCGCCAGCACCTGCACACATACAGCGCGTCTGGAGCGTCGGCTTGCGCGCAGGCGCCCGCAAGTACGTGGCAGCCGGCAGGAAACGCGTTGACGCTGGCGAGGGGGGGTTCGCGCACCAGACGTCCCACTAGGAGAGCTCCGACGGTCCACGCGTGTATGCACATGAAGTGCGCTGCCGCTCCGCGCCCCATCAGCGTCCCCGACGCCGCCAGCTCTCCGCCGTTCGCGAGGATGGTCAAAGCGACCAACGGGGCGACGTTCGCGAGGAGTGAGTGGAGGCGCACGTCCGACGTGAGCTGTCCCGGTAGCAGGACGAGCATGCCGGCGCAGGCCGCGGCGGTGCAGACGCTGAGCGCGACGCCGGCGACGCCGAGTAGCCACGCCACGTGGCGCTGGCCCGCGGCGGTGGTTTCGGCGGGCACGAACGTGACGCCGAGCTTCTCCACGGGGGCGTCGACGAAGGCCGCGAGGTTCCAGACCGAGTACGCGGCCTGGTGCGCCGCGAGCTGCGCGGTCGGAAGCGCCGCCGCCGTCGTCTGGCAGATCTGCGCGCCGCGTGGAGTCGCTCGGGCGTGGTCTGCGATGAAACGCGCGCGCACACACACACACATGCGCAGCTGCGCAGATCGTTGCCAGGCCTCGGCGCAGCGCGTCCGGGCGGTTCCTTACCAAGTAACAGCAGTTCTTGAGCAGGTAGCCCGTCCCGAGCAGCGACACGGAGCCCGCGAGCTCCCTCACGCGCGCAAGGCTGCCGCGCCACGGCACAGGGCAGGCGAACGACCGCCGCGGCAGCACGGCAAGCGCCGTCCACAGCAGCACCGTCAGGCCCCACTGGCACGCCGCCGTGGCCCCGGCCGCGCCCTGGACGCCCAGCCCGAGGCCCCCGACGAAGTGCACTGCGAGCGCACGGTGCAGCGCGACGCCCAGGACGGCGCAGATGACGACCTGCGGCACTCTGCCCTGTCCGATGAGGCCGGCGATGAACACCATGTTGCCAAAAATAGCCGGGAGCGCGAGGGCCTTGACGCGGAGGTACGCGATGGCTGGCGCGACGACGGCCTCGCTCGCGCTGCTCAGGATCAGCGTCACCAGCCCTGGGCCGATCAGCAGCAGAAGGAGGGTGAAGACTGTGCCGGCGGCGAGCGCGACGGCGAGGGCGGTGGAGAGGACGGCGTCGGCGTCGGCGAGCTCGCTGCGGCGGTGGTGCCGGGACGTGTGCGCGAGAGTGGTCATCTGCGGGGAGAGGGGGAGGGCGGAAGTGGCTGGTGCGCGAGAGGGGGTGATGAGCTGTGTGATCGATGTTGCGCAACGAAGTGCCAGTTGTGCGTGCGGCGTTGACCTGGAGACCTTGGAAGGCGTAGAGCAGGAAGGTGAAGATGAGTCCGTTCGGAACCAGTGCTGCGAGCTCGGCGGAGGAAGCGTGCAGTCCGAGGAGCTGGCTCTCCGTCATTGCGACGAGCGGATCGATCATCGGCCCGGCCATGACCGACGGCGTGTACCACAGCATCCGCCGCCACAGCGCAGGAGCCTCCTTGCCGTCCGCGCGCGCCCCCTCGACCCCGGCAGTTGGCTGCGGTGACAGCATGGGCGCCGCTTCCTCCACATCGCCCACTTGCGCCGGCCTCTCTGCCATCACGGCCCGCTCTTGATGTGTCTCTTGCTGCTCGCGCTCGCTCCCGCTCCACGCGACCACAGAACGCGACGCACGCCGTGCGCCCAGCCCGCCCACGGGCTTGCTGTGCCCCGTCACTCGAGCGCTCCACGCCCCTGTAACAGTCCTGTATCTACTAGAAGTTGAAGAGCCCCTGCTGTGGTGCACGCCGTGCGTCGGGCGACGCTTCTTGACGGTGCCACGGTGCAAGGAACACGGATGATCATAAGCAGCGCTCCGACACAGCATTCTCCGCGCCAGTCGACACGCGGCCGCGGACCCCCCCCCGCTCGAGCTCTGTCGTCGTCCGCGCCGGCCCGCGCCCCTCGTTTCCCCCTCCGCGCCACCCAAACGCATCACGGCATCACATGCTGACGTCAGCCGCCCCGGACACCCCCCCGTGGCCCCGCGCAGCCCCCAGGTCGCCCCCCCGTCCTCCGATGCTCGTGCTAGCTTGCGAAGGGCGGTAGCCCGAACGCCGCCGGGTCAAACTCGACCAGCGACGGCAACACCAGCGTGGCTTTCGTGCCGCCTGAGATGTCCAGGTTCGCGTCCGGCACCAGCACGCACGGCATCCCCGCAGCAGCCGCCGCCTCCACGCCTGCAGTGCAGCGCCCCGAGCAAACCCACCATCAGGATCCGATCCGCTGGGTGCACCTGCGCCGCATCCACGCGTCGGTATCTGGCCGCGCGCAGCGTCGCGCGCGGAGTGCGTACCGCTCGGAGCGTCTTCGAGGACCAGGCACTCGTGGGGCGCGAAGCTATCGCTGCTCGTCGCGGCGGCAAGCTTTGACGCCGCCAGTTGGAAGATGCTGGGGTCCGGCTTCCCGCGGGACACCTGGTCGCCCGTCACGACGGTCGCGAAGCACGCGAAGAGGTCCCTGTGTTTCGACGTCTTCAGGTCGAAGTGCCGCCGGTGCGACGACGTCGCGACCGCGAGGGGCACCCCGCGACTCGCAAGGTGCCGCACCAGGCGCCCGGCGCCCGGCAGGAGCTGCGCGTCCGGGAACAGCTCGTCCAGGATGCGCTCGCGCTCCTGCGCAGCGACCCGACGACACCGTTGCATCGAGCCACGCACCGCACGCAGAAAGAGAAGCACACACCCCATGGACGACGCCGGCGACGTTGTGCGCGCGCCGCACCTGGACGAAGGCCTCCGGCGTGATGCGGCCGTGGAGCCCGAGGTCGTCGACGAGGACCTGCGCGGCCTCCAGGGCGCGTTTGCCCATCATCTTCGCCTTGAGCTCCCACGTGAACTTCATGCCGAATCTGTCCAGTATCTTCTGCTGCGCGACGGTGTAGAGGGACTCCGTGTCCAGCAGGAGACCGTCCATGTCGAAGAGAACGCAGCGCACCGCCGCCCCTGCCGCCATGGCGCCCAGCTCACCGGCCCCGGGCGCGCGCTGGAACTGCAGTGTCGAGAGATTCGGGCGCCAAACGCGACCTACTTGGAAATTTGCCGCTTCGTGGGGTCGCGCTGGGTGGAGGCGCGCGCAGGGAGCGGGCGCGGGGTGCTTCTAAGCCAGCACTACTGCACAGCCCCGCGCGGCGATTCACTCCTAAATCGGTCCCTAATTACCATGAAAGTGATGTCGCTACCTGGTTCGTCAGTCCAGCGTGCTCCGCGAGCGTCGAGGATGATTTGCGGGCCGAAAAACACCTCTCAGGACGTCAGCGGAGTACAATTTGTCCGCTGTCTGACCGTGGCCGCAGAGGGGAGTGCGCGTCGCCGTCTCCTAGCCTCCCGGGCCTCCGGCCTCGACACATCAGCGTGCGCGCATCGCGGGCGTCGCCCGGGCGCGTCCTGCATGGAACATAAGAAGCACCCATCAGGGAATTTCCGTGTCAACGCGCTTCCTTGGCAAAGCGCATCTCCCGAGGGCCCGCGGAGACAGCCCAATCGTGTCGCGCACGCGCTCGGCCGCCGGAACCCCGCCTCGGCACTCGTCGCGTCGCGCGAGGCTCCTTGAGAGCGCGCTCGGAGAGCTGTGTGCTCCGTAGGGCCCTGTCGGGCGCCCTCTTGGAAGCGAAGGGACCATGGACAGGACCTTGCGAGTCAGCATACTCTCGGCGAAGGCCCAGGTGCGTCAGCGGGCGCTTTCCTCGAACGCACGGAAACCACCGGGACATCTGCAGACGCTCCACGCTCGATTGCGGCGACGCGCTTCGACATGGGCGACGTTTCTGCTCTCGACCAGAACCCCCCGGTCTCTACGTCGCCGGGCCGAACCATCATTCGCGTCGTATCGCGGGGAAGCCGGTCCAGACAGCGACTTCGCCGCACCTGCATGCACCGCCCGAGCAGCGCATGTTGTTGGTCCACACCGCTGCTCCCCCTCCGCATGCGACGACGTGGTCAGTCCACGGGCGTCCATGCGCTCCAGCGGCGCTCGTGCGCCCACCAGCCCCCGCGCCCCGCGCCAGCAGACAGCGCAGAGCAGCTCACGCCCCGCCCGCCCCCGCCGGCACCGTTCCCCGCAGGAGGCCCGGCGCTACTTCATCTCCATACGCGCGATGTACCCGGTGCCCCAGACGCACCAGCCTCCGTCGCGGGACAGCGCCGCGCGCACCGACCTCAGCGGAGCCTCGGAGACTCCAACCTTCCTCTCACGGTGCGCGCGCACGCAGCCCCGCGCCGCGCCACAGCCGCTCTGTCATGCACCTGACTGTGCTGAGCCAATGACAGACTAGAAACCCCGATTGCGACGTCCCCAAGGTCTGGTTTTGTGCTCTGCTGAGCGCCGACTCTCCCGGGTCTCACCGCCTCCCCTCGCTCCGAACCGCCGCTCTCTGCGCATCAGCGGCATCTTGCAACGTGTTCTGACGTCCTCGCAGGGTGCTGCACCTCAAGACGCGCCAGCGCCTCGTGGACACCTTCCAATCCACTGGCGGCATCGCCACGTTGGAAGTGGAGGTCTACACGGCGCCGAAGATCGCCGAGCGGCACCGCCCGCTGTCCGCGGGCGGCCGCGAGCGGCCCATCCTCGTCGCGTCGGGCCGCCACGTCATCAACGGCCGCGCTGCCGAAGCGATCATGGGCGGCGACACCATTCAGCTTTCGATGGACCTACCGGCGTCTGAGGAGTACATGGGGTACATGGAGCGCACGGGCGCGGCTGCGGGGACGTCCTCGCTGCTCGACACGCGCGCCGACGGCGACGCGGAGGCCGAGGGGGGGGCCACTGCCGCACACCCCCCGGGGAGCGACTCCGAGGGCGAGGACGGCGGCGGCGGCGCGGCCAAGGTCCGCGCGGGCGCGAAGGCGCCGGCGACGGCGTTCTGGCTCGCGCTCGAGGTCATGCACGCCGGCTCGATCCGCGGGCGGACCTTCAACACCGTCGCCGAGCGCGACGCGGCCCCCACGGGGCAGGACGACATCGCGGAGGCGGCGCTGCACACCTTCGGCGCGCAGTCCGGGCACGAGGACGCCGCGGACGGCGCCGCTTCGCCGCGCGACGGCCCGCCCGACGCGCTGGCGCGGACAGCGACGATGGGGCCTGGCGCCAGCGGTCGCGTCGACCTGGGGGCGATCAAGGGGGTGTCTGTGGGTCCGAAGCGGCTCCCCCGCGCGAAGACGCTGCCGCGGAAGCTGTTCAAGGCGGCCGCGGGGTCGCTGGCGCTCGCGGGTCCGAAGACGGAGCCGTCGAAGGTTGGGACGGTGCGCGTGCTGGTGCACGGGTGCGACGGCGTGCCGAACCTGTCGCGGGACGACAGCGGGCTGCTGCAGCCGCCGTCGGTGATGGTCGCCGCGAAGACGCTCGCGGAGGCCGAGGCTGGGAAGCGGGCGGCGGCGGTGACGCGCGCAGCCGAGGGGAACGACCCGCGGTTCCACGAGGTGCTGGAGCTGCGCGTGCCGGACGCGTCGATGGAGCAGGAGCGCGTGATGCTGGCGCTCGTGAACAGCCACCGGCCGGACGAGGTGGTGTCGAAGGTCGAGATACCCCTGGGGGGGTTGCACCCCGCGGTGCATTATACCATGGACGTGGCGCTGGGGGAGTTCTCCGGGTCGGCGTCCGCGGGGCAGGGCATCGCGGAGCGCCACTCGCGCATCGTGCTCACCGTCTGGATCGAGTCGTCCGCGCACCGCCTCTGCTCCAAGTACGCCGACCTGCGCGCGTCGGACTTCCACCTCCTGCGGTGCGCGATGGCGCGGCCGTCCGTGGAGGCCATGGCGGAGAAGCGCGGGCGCAAGGGCGTCGTGATGATGCGCTGGCGCCTCGGGCTGTCGGAGGTGACGGTGGAGCGGCCTCGCGCGATCGACATTTACGCCCCGAGCGCAAAAGTGGTGTCGGAGGCGGCGGCGGTCGCGACGCGGCAGATGACGCGCACGGACGGACAGGTGGTGCTGGACGTGGTGCCGGCGTTCTACTGGGACGGGCGGCGGATCACGGCGACGTACGCGGGCGACGCGGGCGACAACACGCAGGCGCAGCTGCAGGTGCGGCTCATGTCGCCGTCGTACCGCGACATGGAGGTCCTGGCGTGCGACGCGTACCTTTTCACGGGGATGAAGAAGCACGAGCACCTCTTCACGGCCACCGTCACCATGCGGGACCTGATCGGCCCGGGACACCCCCTGGGGGAGTTGAGGGTGTTCGACAAGCCCGTCGGGCTCTGGTCCGCGGAGGGCAGCCCGAGCGTCGCGCTCCAGATCCTCCCCACCGACGCTGACATCGAATTCACCACCCTGAAGGACAAGTTCAACGTCCGCGGCATCGTCGGCGACGACGAGCTGTTCCCGGACCTGGACGAGGCCGCCCGCGAGCTCGAGCGCCTCGCGCAGAAGCCTGGCGCAGCCCCACCGCCGCGCCGCAGCGGCAGCCGGTCTCCGGGCCGCGGCTCCCCCGGGCGGGGGTCGCCTGGGCGGGGGTCTCCCAGGGGGTCTCCTGGCAGGAGATCCCCCGGGCGGGGATCCCCGGCGCGGAAGCCGTCGCCGCGGGCGTCGCCCGGTCCGCCGCGCGGCCGCGGCCCGCCGTCGGCGCACGGGGAGGCCGCGATGGTGGCGGGGGAGTTGGAGTTTCTGCATGAGTCAGGGGAGGGGTTGGTGGGGATGTTGATGCTGGTCCAGGCGGTCCTGCACGCCGTGTCGGTGCGCAGCGAGCGCGCGGAGCAGTGGGGCATGACGAACGAGTGGCGGCTGCGCGAGGCCAAGCAGCGAGAGAAGGATCTCATGACTGACATGGGGCAGATGGAGAAGCTGGTCGAGGCGGAGCGGGAGCAGCGGCGGCGCGCGCTGAGCTCCGCGACGGACCTGGTGAACCTGCCCAAGGAGCAGCTCGTCGAGCGCGCGCACGTGAGTACCCCTGGGGGTGTATTGCACTGCGTCTGACCCCGCGCGGGTGCCGCTCTCTCGCGTTGCGATCCCCGAATCCGGGCGTTGCCTCGTAGTTCGCCTGTTGGTGAGCAAGAGGGGGTGTTTTTCCTGTTCCGTTCGCGATCGAGCGTCCTCAAATGCTCCCACATTGCATTTCGCCATATGCGATCCACCCGGCACCCGCACCCGTCCGCACTTGCAGATCCTGCACGACGCCCTCGAGATGGAGCGCGCCAAGTCCGCGGACCTCGACGCGAAGTGGCAGAAGGGTCACCGCGACCTGGTGGCGGCGCGCGTCGCCGTCAAGAAGCTCCAGGAGCTCCAGCGGGCGTACATGGAGCAGCAGCAGGCGATGCGGTCACGCGAGGAGGACGTCGAGCGCGTGGGGGCCCTCAAGCGCACCATCCTGAGTCAGGAGGGGGTCATTGCCAAACTCGAAGACGTCATCCAGGGTCTGGTCAAGGAGAACAAGAGCCTGAAGCAGGGCGAGGCGGCGCGCCGGCGCGAGCTCGACGTGCTCTCGGAGCAGCTCCGGCGGTCGCTCGGGACCGCGGCGGACGCGGACGTGTTCGGGAAGATGCAGGACCGTACCAAGGAGCTGTGGCGGGACCTGGAGGACGCGCGGCGGGCGCGCGTGGAGGCGGAGGACGCGCTGCGGGAGGAGCAGCGGCGGCGGATGCAGGCGGAGACGACCGTGCAGGCGCTGCAGCAGGAGATACAGGTGAGGGTGGGAGGGCAATCGAGGATTCGTGTGTGTGGATGCGCCGTAGACGCAGGCTGATGAGGTCGGGGCGGTCTGGCGCCGCGGCATTGCCTCGTTTGGTCCGCCGCGATACATATCGAGCAGCAGAAGACCGGCAATCATCGTCGTTGCTTTCCGACGATGCACTGCAGGACCTGACGAAGCGCACGGGCATCGAGATGTCCCAGTGGCGCGCCAAGTACGCCGAGGCCGTCGGACGCGCCGGTGGCGGCGCCGCGCCGCCCCCCGCCCCCACTGCAACGGGCCCTCCCCCCCAGGGACGCGACACAAGCCTCTCGCCGGGACGAGCGCGCCCCGGCGGACCCCCGGGGGGACCCCCCGGCGGCCGTGGAGGTCCTCCTGGGGGCCGCGGAGGCCCCGGCGGCCGCGGACCGGGCTTCGCCGCGGCCGGCGGCGCCGTCATGGCTGCGGGGCGTGGTCGCGGACCCCCCCCGGGGGGTCGCGGCGGACCGTCCCCGCTCCGTGGGGCCTCTCTCTCGCCCCCGCGTGGCGCGGGCCCGCCTGCCGGCCCCAGCATGGCTGGTCGTGGCCGCGGACCGCCCGGGGCGGGCATGGGGCGCGGACCCCCGCCGCGGCCGCGTCCGGTGTCGGTCGAGGGCGTGGGCCGCCAGGCACCGCGCCGGGACGAGGCCCTCCGCCTGGAACAGCGCCTGGGCGGGGACCCCCGGGCCGCGGGCGCGGGCCGCCGGCGCCCGGTGCCAGCGCATCGTCGCGGTCGGTGGCGGGCCGCCTGGCGGGCGCGGGCCGCCACCGGGGGGCCGAGGGCCGCCGCCTGGTGGCCGCGGACCCCCACCTGGGCGTGGGAGGGGCCCGCCGGGGCGCGGACCGCCGCAGGCCCTCGGAACGGTGCGGGAGGGTTGAGTTGAGGGTGTTGGTGTGAGGGCAGGTTTGTCGGGCGGTGTTTCGAGTGCGCGGCGCGTGGACTGCATCGGCGCTGGGATGGTTGAGGCGGGCGGGGCGGGATCTGTGGATCGTTGCGGTGCGTGGGCCAGGGGGGGGTTTTGTAGACCCCGAAGCAGGGGTCTGTGGGTCGTGGTGGGGCGTGAAGACGACGCGAGGTGCGTGGTGGGCGCCAGAACGGCACCGCGTCGACATGAGGACGCGGCGGGCGAAGAATCACGAGGCGCTGCCTGCCCCGGGCCCCGAGGCACCGCAGCAGGAGGTGAGAAGCACTTCGACCCGAGCCCGAGCGCGTGGAGCCGTATTCGAGGTCGTGATGCTCGCGGCTTGATGGATTGATTTGATACCGCCGGAACGTACCGGCCGGCGAGGGATTCCCTGGCGCGCAGGCGTCAGGGCGCCATGCAAGGCAGCAGGCCTCGGTGTTTGTTCGTAGCAGCGCACCCCGACTCGACGTCTCGCGCTGATATGCGGTCGTTCGAGCAGCCTGATGTACAGCTCGTCGCGTCGGCAGCGCCTCGACGCCGGCGCGGCGCGGTCGTGACCGGCGTGGCTCGCCCGCTCACATTTCAACTTGTCACGGACGCTCCCTCTCGCACACGGCGCGCGCTTGGCTTGTCTTGACACCCAGCGGCCATCTGCCCCGATGACACGCAGGTGTCGTCGCACGTGCTGTTCGAGATCCTCCACCAGGTGCCTCAGATCCTCGACCAGCTCCCGCAGCGAGCGGCGATCAACGTGGCCGCGACGTGCTGGGCGGGGCTGCTGACGCTGCTGCGGCACGGGAGGCGCGTGGTGCGGGGCGACGTCGAGTGGACGAACGTCTCGCATTCAACGAAATACGGCAGCATTTCCCATGGCTGGACATGTCACGACCTTGAGATCATCAAGGAGGAGCGCCTCATGACGCCGGTCCTCGAACTCACGTCTCTCAACGGTCTGCTTCATGGCCTCGCGCTGCGCATCAGCGCCGGAACCCCGTACGCCGGCAAACTGCTGGCGTCGGGCGCGCTCGTCGACGTCCAGGACGCACGCGCGCTGTACGACGCGGCGGTCGCTGCGGAGGTCGAGCCGAATGTCGCGACCTGGGCCACTACACTCGCACGCGTGCTGGAGGCGTCCACGGACCCGGGCATGACGCCGCTGCGCGTGCGCAGACTGTACGTTTGTCCGCGCGCGAGCCCACGACGGCCGCTTTTCGGCACCCTGTGCTCGATCCTGGAGACGCCGGCGGTGTGCAGCATCATCGAGGTGCTCGTCCTGGGGTTTGGTGTCTTCATGAAGGGCCAAAGTGCGCGGCGTGTGCTGGACGCGCTTTGTGCCAACGCTACTTCGCTGCGGGTGCTCGTCATCGTGGATTGCGACATCGGTTCGCCGGGGGACCTCGCGGTGGCGCGGCTGATACGAAGCTCCACTAGCCTGCGCGAGCTGCACCTCCACGGTACTGGCAGCCGCAAGCAAGGCCTCGCTACGATCAGCAACGCTATGTTCAAACAGGGCAAGGGGACGGTCCGCGTGCTCAGGCTATCTGGGATGTCTTCACGCTCTCCGCGCAGCGGTATGATGGCCGATCAGTTCGTCGGGGGTGGGGACGTGGAGCGGCTGGTCCTCGAGCACTGCGGGATTGAGCATCCATCCACTTTCCCCTCCACGCTTGCCACTCATGGGAAGCAGCTTGTGGACTTGCGCATGAGGCCATTGTCTGGGATGGACTTGGACGCCTTCGTGCCCCTTGTGGCCGCAAGTTCTTTTCTGCGGTCGGTCGATGTGGAGTTCGACAGAGGAACGCCATGCTTCTTCCGGGCCGTCGCGGACAACCCGGCGCTGCCCCTCGAGCGCCTGCATCTCCGGGGCGCCTACATCTCGGACGAGGCAGCGGAAGCCATAGGTGCGATGGTAGCAGCGAGCGGCACGCTCGTGGACCTCACTTTGGGTGTTGATGGGGAGCCTTGGATCTCGGACGCAGCAGGCGAGCACCTTGCGCGTGCACTGGCGAGCAACACTACTCTGCGCTCGCTCGACTTGTCCGGGTGTGCCTTCGGACCCGCGGTCTTCAACCAGGTGCTGCAGGCTGTAGCTGACAGCAGTCTGGAGGTCTTTCGAATCGTGAGCGTGTTTCGAGCCACCGGGGGAGCCGTGCAGATCGGACAGCTATCGCGCAGTACGACGCTGAAGACTCTGACTCTCCGATTCATTTCCGGCGGTCACACAGCGACTGTTCCCGTCGAGGGGTTTGACTACTTCGTCGACGGGATGGTGCACAACAACACGCTGCGCAGCCTCGCCCTCTACGGCCTGATGTGCCGAGGCGGCGGTCTAGCCCGTGCACTACGTACGAACAGGGCTCTGCAGTCGCTGAGCTTGGCGCGTTGCAGCCTCCGCGACGACGACGGGGTGCAGCTGGCGCGGGCGCTGGCGGTCAACAAGGACCTCCTGAAGGTCGACTTGACACAGAACAATCTGCTAAGCGACGAGACGGCGAGGGCCCTGCGGGCAGCGCTGCAGCAGAACAAGGTGCTGCAGCAGCTGTGTGTCGAAAACTGTGCCCTCCACACTTTGTCGTGGAGGGCGAGCGTTTGCCGCGGGGGAGGGAAGTACCCCAGCATCGTCCTGAAGGAGCTCCCAGTCGACCGGGGCCCGGACGGCGAGCGGTGCACGTGAGCATCGAAAGCAACAGAACAGCGGCGAGCACTGCAAACAACACACGCGCGTGGATCGACAGCACCACAGAACAGCAGCAGCGGCGGGCAGCGGGCGCGATCACCCGGCTCGACCAGAAGCGACAGCGCCGACGAGCGCCTGCCAACCTCCCGAAGATCGCGTGTAAGATACTGAACCGCAAACTCTGTGCCAACCAACACCTGAAGACCGCGGCGCCGCGGTCGAGGCAGCGCCCAGAGCCTGCGCGCTCGCCAGGTACCGCAGCGGCTGCCAGCCCCGCGCGTCGCAGTCGGGAGGCGCAAGCCGTGGGACAGAAGTGAGCCGATTCGATCTTTCTCAATTCTCAGTTCACAATGATTACTTTCACTTGCAATGCATCGGTCGGGAGCCCCCGACCCCGCCGGCGCCCTCCGCAGGGTCCCGCGTCCGCGCTCACTTCGAGAAGAACGCCTTCGCCTTCTTCCGCATCGCCACCTGCGCGCCCGTCACCATGCGCGGCGCCGGCATGCTGCACGGGGCCCCGGCGCCGCCGCCGCCCGGCGCGCCGAAGCCCTCGCCCTCCTCGTCGCAGTCCGTCGCGCACTCCTCGCGCAGGTCGTCGTCGTCCAGCATGTAGGCCCGCTGCTGCATCTGCTGCGCCGCCGCCGACCGCATCACCTTGCCGCCCTTGCTCGCGTACGTCGCGTGGTCGACGAGCCCGCCGAGCGCGGACTGCATGTCCTTCTGCGCGCGCCGCCGCATCATCCGCGTCTTCGACGGCGGCGCACCCGGCGGCGGCGGGCACGCCTCCTCCGCCGCCGCCTCTTCCGCCTCCTCCACCTCCATCTTCGCCAGCGCGTCCTGGAGCATCGCGCGCGCCGCCGTGATGTCCCCGCGGTCCGCCACGACCGTCGCCTCCTCCATTGCGCGCGCCGCGCGCACCCGCGTGAAGTGCGCCGCCACCGCCGGATTGCGCACCGCGTCCGCGTTCACCTCGTCCGGGCGGTCCACCGTGCACGGGACCGTCCTGTCGACGAGCGACCCCGTCGACACGTCCAGGTACGTCGCGCGCAGCGTCCCGACGACCACGTCCGCGGCCGCCCCGCGCATCTCCGGGAGGTCGAGCTCGATGACGATGTCCTTCGACTCCTCCGAGAACATGTCGCCGATCTGGATGGTCGTGCCGCGGTCGGCCGCGGGGACGGTCTGGAAGCCCGTGTGGACCGCCGCGACGCCCACGTCCTTCGCGGGCGTGAAGGTGAGCTCGAGGTTCTGTACGGCGACGGAGAGGAGTCCCCCGAGGGCGTTGGCAAAGGCCTGCGGGATCTTCTCCTCGTCCTCGATGTAGTAATACACCCCCTGCCCGACGTCCGCGAGCGCCTTGAGCATCCGCGGGTCGTGGTCCGCGCCGAAGCCGAACGTGTAGACGCGCACGCGCGGCGTGGCGTCGAGCATGCGGCGCAACGTCTCCTCGAGGCGCGCCGGGTCGCAGATGCCCTCGTTGGCCAGGCCGTCCGTGAAGAGGAAGACCGACCGCACCGCGTCGTCCTCGACCGGCTGCTCCGGCGGCCGCGGGAGCGCCTTGAGCGACGCAGGCAGCCGCGGAGCGCTGCCCACCACCGGCATCCGCTTCTGCGGCCGCACGGGCCGCGGAGCCGCGCGCTGCCCGCCGAACACGCGCCCGAAGAACCCGCGCGGCTGCGGCGCCGGCTGCGGCGCCGGCGGCATCGGCGGCGGCGCGTTGATGTTGATGTTGATCTGCTGCTGCTGCACCTGCACCGTCTGCTGCAGCTCCTCCCCCTCGTCCTCGTCCTCGCTGACGGCCTCCTCGTCCGCGCACTGCACGCACTCCGTGGCGTCCGGGGCGGCGGCGCCGGCGAGCAGCTGGTCGATGGCCTCCTGGGAGAGCACCCCGGAGTCGTCCGACTCAGTGTGCGAGTCGGACGCGCCCGCGGGGGGCGCGGGGGCGGTCCGGCGGGCGTCGTCCGGGACGGCGCCGAACCAGTCGAGGTAGCGGTTCGCGAGCTGCTGCTGGACGCCCTTGAAGAGGCCCCCCGAGAGGTTGGTGCAGCTGCCATCGCGCATCCGCTTGATGGCGTCGTTCGCCGCGTCCTTGAACTGGTCGCTGCGGTCGGCGGGGGGGACCGGAGGGCGTGTGAGGTGCGGTGGGCGGGGCGGGGGGTTCGTGGGCGTTCGAGCGGAGCTCGGGGCGGAACAGCGTGAGACAAAAAGGCGGTTGGTTTTGTATGGTTGCGGGGGGGTGTGGGGCGGGTGAGGGTCGCGAGGAGCGGCGCGGATGCGAGGAGCGGGTGGTGCTGGTGGCGGGCGCGCGTCGGGCCGGTGCGCACCATGTCTTGGAGAGCGGCAGGAGCTCTTGAACAGTGGAGTCGTACTGGACGACGCCGAGCTTGTCCGTGTTGCCCAGCTGGGTCGTCATGAACTCGCAGGTGCGCTTCACGAGCTGGAGCTTGCTCCCAGCCATCGACCCGGACCTGCAGGCGGGCGGGAAAGCGACCGGTTCACGTCGCGCAGGGTGGAATGAGTCGGGCGCGCGTCTCACGAAGCATCTCCGCATCGACGCGCACAGAAGGCGCGCTGCCCCGCGCGGCGCCGATTCTACGAACTGTTGGTGCACGGAGAGCGTCGGGGGCGGGCGCAGGGGCCGCGAACGCACTTGTCGAGGACGCAGGAGAGCGACACTGGGGCGCGCTTGGCGTCGTCGTCCCCCAGCACCGGCGCGCGGAGCTGCGCGACCATGGCGAGGCGCTGGCGCGAGGCGCGCTTGTACTGCTTGAACTCAGGCTCGAAGGCCAGGAACGGGGTCGGCCCCGCGGCGGCGTTGGGCCCAGACATGGTGTGGAGGTTGCTGCTGTAGAAGAGCGGCGCGTGTGGGACCGTCGAGGGCCGAGGTGTGCTTTGGTAGCGTTGAGAGTTGCGGTGGGATCGGTTCTGAGTGCCGGTCGCGAAAGTGTCCGGTGCAGGTGCGCGGGCGGGCTCTTGTAGCGCCGCGGGACGGAGCACGCCGAACCGCCCACGCCGAACGCGCTGTCAGGGGGCCGCGTGGGCCTCGAACGCCGAACCGCGGCACCCCGCGGAAGTTCGGAATATTTCCATGCGAACGCGCCACGCCGAACGCGGAATGGTCCCGTTTGCGCGCCCGCGCGCCGGTCCACGTGCGGCCTGACGGGCACGCGGGAGTGCGGTCGCTTCGCGCCTCTAGGGCCCAGGCTGCGGCCGCCCCGCTTCATTCACGCTCCTCACCGCCTCCTCGTCGACGCGTTGCCCGTATCACGCACCCACGGCGCAGCGCTGGGCCACGGTGAGGTGATTTCGCGGTGCGAGGCCGCTTCCTGCGCGACAGCCGCGGTCTGCGTTGGTCGGCGGAGAAGCCACGCTGACATAGATCGAGATGGCGGCGGCGCACGCCGCCCATAGCAAGGCGGCCGCCGACGCCATCACCATGCTGCAGCAGCGGCTGCAACGCAGCCAGCGGGCGACCGAGAAGCAGGCCGAGAAGAACAGCAAGGTGCGTCTCGCTGCCTGCACATGCGCTGGCGACGCAAGCACGCGTTCCGCGCCCACGACGGACGCCGCGGTGGCTCGCGCAATGCAGCTGAGGGAGGATTTGGGGACCATGCGCGGCGTCGTGGCGGAAATGAAGAAGGCGCTGCAGCGGGTGATCGACGAGAACGCAGACATCAAGGCGCAGCTCGACAAGGCGCAGGTGCGGACCGGGCCCGCGAAGAACCCGCCCCAAGTTGCACCGCGAGCCCGTCGCCGTCCGCACGACGCTCCTCCGGGGCCCGCATGACAGACCAAGCGCGCTCAGACTCTCTCCGTTCACAAGAGAGCACGCTGCGGCGCTTGGAGCGCCTAGAACCGTCCAGAGAAGGCCGCGCTGCGGCGGTGGTCCTAGGCGCCAGCTGACACTCTGAAACCAAACTATTGCCGGCTCTCACGACCAGTCCGAACCGTTCCGCCGCCCAGGGCCCCGACGGCGAGCTTGCACGCTGCCAGATGGAGGTGGAGGCGCTCAGGAAGGAGCTGGAGGACACCAGGACGCAGAGCGAGGCGGCCCTCCTCGAAGAGAGGCAGCGAAGAGAGAAGGTGCGCCCCTGACGCGGTTTCCGTCATCCAACGACCGCGAACGCACCGTTTGAGTGAAGATATAGTCTCATTCTGCAGCACCTGCCGGGTTTTTGTGACGACGAATGCGTATTCGCGCCCCGGCGGGCATCTTGTGCACCCGCCAAGCAGTCCCGCGGCCGTTTCGCGGCGTTGCAGGCCGAGGCGGCCGTCGACAAGGCCGAGGCGCTCATCTCCGAGGCCGCGGCGATGCGGGAGACCATCGAGCAGAACATGCAGGCCCTCGTCGAGCACCGGATGGCCACTGAAACATCCATGCGAGGCGCAGGCGCGCACACCGACCCCGCCCCGCGCGCCCCCACCGCCGCACCGCACCCACACTGCCCGCAACACTCACGCGGGCACCGCCGCGTGTCTCCCGCAGGGGACCGGCAGCTTCGGCGGTCTGTCGCGCACAGCATGCAGCAGGCGGAGGACACGTTGCGAACGGTGCTGGAGTTCAGCGCGACGCTCTCGGACGGCCTCTCCGACGCGCTGCTGTCGCGGAGCGCGCAGCGCGCGGCCCTGGGGGGCTCGTGCCCGCCGCCGGCGCCGCCTCTGCTGGGCGGCGGGCCGCCGTCGGGCCGGGGGGTGCTGGGGGGGGTCAAGCCCCTCGCGACGGTGTCGAACAACTTCCGGCACCGCGCGAGCGCGCAGGCGCGCGCAGGAACGAAGCCCGGCCACGTCCTGCCCGGTACGCCCCCCCCAACGTCTCCGCCACACAAGCGCACTGTATACACCTCCGCGCCTGCGCGCCCGTCCTCCCTCGCGCCTGTCCTGCGACGCGCGATCCTGGGACGACATCATCTTGACGCGGCGGTGTTTCCCGGCCGTGGTGCGTGTGGCGCGCAGGGGGGGGGTCTTTGGTGCGCCGGGTGCGACAGGAAGGCAAGGCGGGCACGGAGCGTCTGGTGAGCGTGATTGCGTCGCTGGAGGACGAGATCGCGGTGCTGGACGACCGGCACGACAAGCTGCTGCGGGAGGCGCAGGAGCTATCGGACGAGGTGGAGGGGGTGCGCGTGGGGACGGATGCGGAGGAGGGGGGGGGAATGAGGGAGTCCGCGGGGGGCGAGCGGACGCCGGCGGCGGCGGCGGCGGCGGCGCGGCTGGAGGAGGTCACGCTGATGGTGGGCGAGGTGCAGAAGCGGATGCGGGCCAAGGGGCAACAGGTGCAGCAGCTGCGGACGCTGGCGGCGGCGGCGCGGCAGGCCCGGGGCCGGTGACGGCGGTCGGGGAGCGCGGGCCGTGTGAGAGTCGGGCGAGCGCGTATCGAGGCGGAGCAGGAAGGGGGGGGCTGGTTGCGAGTGGCGGCACGATGTGGTGCCGTGGTGGGCGGCGTGCGGGGCGGGTGACGGTGCGGGCCACGGGCGGCTGGTGAGTGCATGTGTTGCGCGTGGCTCGTCACGGACGGTTCGTCGGGCGCGCCGTCCGAAGCGGCGCTGGACAGCTCGCTGCCTCTATGACGCCGTGCGCTCGCTCAGGAACGCGAAATTGTCCATATACTGGTATGATACGGTAGATAACTACGTGTGTAACTCGGATCCGACCGCGTTGAGTGCAATTATGCCCTGAAACGTGCGTCTGCCCCAACATTCTGTCCACCAATGCCTGACATCAGCGTCTGGACGGTCTCCCGACCCACACGCGCGTTCCTATGATGCGCGCTTGCGCGTGAACGCTCTGTCATAACAATCGCGTCCTGTGGTGTGGACTGGCTGGTTCCCGCGGAAGCACTACGCGTCGGCAGGCCCCTCGGATCGCTCACCCGAGCGGTCACGACCCGCCCGCTGCCTCGCGGTGGATTGCGCCGGCCATCCGTCACGACGAAACAGCTTTTCGCTCATTGACGCGTGATAAGGGGCATCATGATGCAGTCGGACGAGCTTGCCAAGGTACATCGCCGATGTCAGCTACCCTCCTCACCCACTCCCCGTTTCCTCGGTATCCCTGGAAGTACCCGCCTTGGCCTTCACGTATCAATTAAATAACGGTCTGGACGATCCTCGCGTGGTTCGTGCGTCGCGGAACGGGGCGGAACTAGCCCCGCGCGGCGTGCATGCTGCCCAGCTCACAACCACCCCGCGCTCCCTGCGCGCAGGTCAAGAAGCTCCTCTCGCAGCGCGACCTGAACATCGAGAACCTCAAGAATGCCCTCGACAGGCGCGGGTCCGACCTGAAGGCCGCGGAGGCCGAGAAACACGACGCCCAGCGGCAGCTCGCCTCGGCAACAGCCGCGCTGGACAAGCTGCGCCTGGAGCACGAGAGAACCGCGAAAGAGCTGCGAAGGAGGCAATCACCTGCGCCTATGTATGCGTGCGTGCGGATGATCCGCTCACCAGCCCGCTCCGGGGGTCCCAAGCGGCCCCGCGGCACGCGCACAAACACAGGGTGCACCGCGCACTCGCCACGCGGCCCGGCACGCGTTTATTTCGCGCGATTCCTCCGCGTTCCGCACGGCCTCTCACACTCTCGAGGCGTGGTCCGTGAATGCGGCCTCGCAGGCAGGAGGCGTCGTCGGACTTCGACAAGAAGCTAACTGCCGCCAAACGGCAGGTGTCCGACCTCCAGCGCGGCAACTTCGACCTCCGCGGGGAGCTCGCGCGCTCCGCGGACCGCCACAGCGCCCTCACGAAGGAGAACGCGCAGCTCCGCGGGCAGCTCGACCGCGCGCACGCCCTGCAGGCGGAGCTCGAAGCCCTACGCGCTGAGCGCAAGACCCGGCAGGCTGAGTGGGACGCGCAGGCCGAGGAGCTGCGCGGGGAGGCCGCGAGGAGCCGCTCCGAGCTCGAGGAGGCGCTCAGGGCCAAGCAAGAGCTCGAGGCGTCCCTGAAGGGTCTGCGCGAGCACGACGCGGGCCTCGCGCGGCAGCTCGGCGCGCTGAGGGCCGCGCAGGAGGGCGGCGGCGCGGACGGCGCGGCGGCGCAGGACGCGGCCGCGAAGCACGACGCCCGCGTCGCCGAGCTCGAGGCCCAGCTGCAGGTTCGTTGCACTGCGCGTACACGTGCTCCTCACCGCAACGGCGCCCGGCCCGGCCGCGCACCGACCCGACGCGCCGTGCTGCTTTGCGATTGCGCAGGAGGCCAAGGCGGGCGCGGAGCGCGCCGCGGCGGCCCTCGGCGCGGAGACGCAGCGCAACGAGCGTCTGCAGGCGGACTTGGCGGCGCTGGGCGAGGACGTGTCGCGGCTGGAGGATGCGATGGCGCAGTCCGCGGCGGAGGCCGAGGCGGCGCGGTCGACCGCCGCTGCGGACCGCGAGGGCCGCGAGCGCGCCGACGGCATGGTGGCGAGCTTGCAGGAGAGGCTGCGTGCGGCGGAGGCGGAGGCCGGGGCGGCGTCCGCGGCGAGCGGCGCGGCAGCGGAGGGCCGCGGCGCCGCGGAGGGGAGGCTCGCGGAGCTCGAGCGGAAGCTGAGCGAGGCGGCGGGTGCGCGGGAGGCGGCGGCGGCGGCCGCGACGCGGCTGGAGGTGGCCCTGGAGCAGGCGCGGGCGGACGTGGCGGCGCGCGACGCGGCGATCCAGCGCTGCACGGCGGACCTGCTGGCGAAGGAGCGCGCGCTAGAGGAGCGCGGCGCGGAGATGCGGACCATCGTTGAGCAGTTGGAGCAGCTGGAGGGGCTCGGGGGGCTCCTGGAGGGGGCGCGGCGGGAGGCGGAGGAGGCGCGGGACGCAGCAAAGGCCTCTGCGGGTGAGTTGCGCGCGTCTGACTGCGTCCTGTGCACGATACGACGACGTGATTTTTCGGTTGACGATGTTTTCGCGCGCCGGAGGCTCGCGCGCGCCCCGCTGCGTGCGTCGTGGTGATTGCACGTACGCAAATAGCGCGCCGCATCGTTAGGCGGCCCCGTATGTTCGCCCCGGACGATCTGCGACCCGCGTAGACCCGGAGTCGCTTGGTTGCTTATGTCGTCGCAGAGGCGGCGACGAAGGCGCAGGACGCGGAGCACGCGGCGGAGTCGTCGCTCAAGGACGCGCGCGAGAAGCTCGCGGCGGCGCAGGCCGCGTGCGCGGCCCTCGAGTCCCGCGCGGGGGACCTGCAGTCCGAACTGACCACGGCCACGGAGCGCGCCGACGCCGCCGCCGCGGACGCCGCCGCGACGCAGGCCCGTCTACGTGAATTAGAGACGGCGCTGGCGGATACGAAGGCCGCGCACGAGGCTGCGGCGAGCGACCTGAAGGCCACGAGGGAGGCCCTTGAAGCAGCTGGCGCGGAGGCGGCGGGGCAGCGCGAGGCGCTCGCGCAGGCTGCTGCGGGCGAGAAGGACCGCTCGCTTGAGCTGGAGCGCGCGCTCGCGGAGGCGCAGGCGGCGGCGCGGGCCGCGGAGGAGCGCGCTGCCGCGCTCGACGCCAAGGTCGCGGCGCTCACGCAGGACCTCGCCAACGCAGCGTCCCGCGCGGAAACCGCGGAGAACTCTATCGGGGACGCGGACAGGCGCGTCGGCTCGCTCGAGAGGGCCCTGTCGGAGAAGATAGAAGAGTTGCAGTTTTCGGTCGCGGCGTCGCACGTGGCCGAGACGGCGCGCGCTGCGGCGAGCGAGGAGGCGGCCGCGGAGGTCGCGAAGGCGCAGGAGGCCGCTGCCGCGGAGGCGGATCGCGCCGCGGAGCTGCGGGCGGCGCTCGAGGCTGCGCAGGGCGAGGGCGCGGAACGCGCAGCGGCGCTCGAGGCGGCGCGCGGGCAGGTGGAGGAGCTGCGCGGGGAGCTGAAGGCCGCGCAGGAGGCGCGGGGAGAGCTGGAGAGGAAGCTGGCGGGCTTGACGGCCGAGGCGGAGGCGGCGCGGGGGGAGCTGGCGCGGCTCCAGGCCGACGCAGCGGCGGCGGGCGGGGCGCGGGCGCGGAGTGCGGAGCTGGAGAAGGCTGTGCGCGAGAAGGACGAGCAGATCGCGGGTCTGAACGCGGAGCTGGAGGAGTTCCAGGAGGTGCGGGGCCGCGCACGCCGCTGCTGCTGCTGTTGTTGTTGTTGCATGATGCTGCGCCGCGACATGTTGCGGTCTCTCCCGTGCACGAACGAGAACGCGTTCGCGCGCGCTGGCCCGCAGTCGCTGGAGATCGCGGACAGGGCGGAGGCCGAGGCGAAGGCGGCGACGGCTGCGGCCAACGCGGAGCGCGCTGCTCTCGCCGAGCGGCTGGCAGCGGCCAGCGCTACCGCCGAGGAGCTCCGCGCGTCCCTCGCGGCCGCCGAGGACGCGCGCAGCGCGATGGAGGCCAAGCTCGCGGAGGTCGAGGCCGAGGTCGCGCAGCTGCGCGCATCCATCGCCCAGCTGCAGGCCCGCACGGACCACACCCAATCTTCGCTCGACCGCGCCACCTCCGCGTCGGCGGAGGCCGTCGCGGACCTTCGCGCGGCCGAGAAGCGGGAGAGCGACCTCGCCGCGAAGCTCGCGGCCGCCGAGGCCGCCCTGCAGACTGCCAAAACCGAAGCCGAGCTTCTGCACGTGCGCGCCGACCAGGCGGGACAGCTCGCGGAGCGCGCGGAGAGCCTCCGGCGCGAGGTCGCGGACAAGGAGAAGGCGCTCGCGGCGGCGCTGCGCGACGCGGCGGCCGAGCGCGCGCGCGCGGAGCAGGCGGCGGAGGGCAGGGACGCGTTGGAGCACGCGGCGACCGAGGCGCGGTGCGAGGCGGCGAAGGCCGCTGCGGAGGTGGAGCAGCTGCGGCACGAGGCGGCGTGCGCGGCGGAGGAGCTCGCGGACGAGCGGGCGGCAGCGGCGGCGGCGGCGCTGGACGCGCAGGCTGCGACGCGGGCGCGGTTGGCGGAGACGGAGGGCGAGGTTGAGGCGCTGCGTGGCCAGCTGGCGGAGGCGCGGGCGGTCGAGGCAGCTGCGCGCGCGGACGTGGAGGGGCTGCGCGCGGCGCTGAGCGCCGCGGAGAGCGCGCGGGCGGAGGCGGTAGGGCAGGCGGAGGGCGCGGCGGCAGAGGCGGCGTCGGCGGCGGAGCGGGCCGCGGAGGTGGAGGCACGCCGGGCCGAGGTTGCCGAGGAGCTCGAGCGCGTGCGGGAGGAGCTGAAGTTGGTCTCGCTGAAGCTCGAGGGCGCGCAGGAGCGCATCAGGTGCAGAGAACAAACACACAACGCAGTTTGGTTCCGCGAAAACTCGTTCCCGGCTCGCTTCTCACTTACACGCGCTTGCATCTTCTTGCAGCTTCCTGGAGGACGAGGCCGCGGACGCAGGCCCGGCCGTGACGGTGCACCTGACGGTCACCGCAGACCCCGAGGCCGACGCCGCGCTCTCTTCGCTCCGCGAGCAGCTCGCCAACGCGGAGGCCACCATCTCCGACCTCGCCGGCGCGCTCCGCGCGGAGGCTGAGGCGCAGGACGGCATGATCGACGAGATGTCGTGCCGCGACGAGCTCATTGCGTTCCTGGCCTCGGAGCTCCAGGACTCGGCGTACGAGTCGCGGCGGCTCGGCGGAGACCTCGACACGTCGCTCGCGGGCGCCGTGGTGCGCGACGCTGTCGCCGGCGCGCTGCGTTCCGACGCGGCGGAGCGCGTGGCGCAGCTGCGCGAGGAGGTGGCGCGTGTGGCGCGCGCACGGGACGAGGCGGCGGCGTCGGAGGCGCGCCGGCACGCGTCGGAGCTGATGGCGAGCGCGGGCGAGGTCGCGCGGCTGCAGGCGGAGGTTGCCGCGGCTCGGAACGCCGCGGAGGGGAGCGCAGCGGAGGTGGCGGCGCTGACGCAGGCGCTGGCGGAGGCGAGCGCGGGCAGGGAGGACGCGGTGGCTGCGGTGTGGCGCGAGGTCGAGGGGCTGCGCGCGGAGGCCGAGGCGCGCGCCGAGGAGGCCAGGTGTCTCCAGGGGAAGCTTGCAGACGCGCTGGCGAGGAAGGGTGCCGAGGGGACGTCGTCGCCGGAGGCGGCGGGGGACGACGCGCGGCGGTACATGGAGATCGCGGACAAGCTGGTGACGGAGAACAAGGACCTCAAGAAGCGCGTGCAGTCCTTGGAATCTCGACTGAAGTTTGTTCAGACACAGCTCAAGAAGGCAAAGGCCGCTGCGGCGGCGGGGGCGCAGCCGGCGGGGGGCCCGGCCGCCGCGGCTGGTGGGCGACGCAAGGCCGGCGACGCCGGGCTCGCCACGACCGCTGCGGGGCGCGGCGGGGAGCCCACGCCACACGCGCCGTCCCGCAAGGTGCCGCGCCTGCGCTCTCCGTTGCCGGCGGTGGAGCGGTCGTCCGGCAGCGGGGATGTCGTGACGCCCAAGAGCGAGCAGACGACGCCGCTGGCGCGCGTGCGGTCCCCGCTCGGGGACGCGACGAACTCGGGTGCCCCGGGGGACAAATTCGCCGAGAAGCAGGTGCAGGAGACCACCCCGGGGGAGTCTGGCGGGTCGGAGTCCGGCGGGGGGCTGTTGTCGTCCGCGCGCAAGTTCGCCGCGTCGTTCTACGGCGCGGTGTCGCCGATGCTGACCCGGTCGATGATGCGGAGGACTGGGGAGGACGGCACCGATTGAGGGGGGCGTAGAACGGGCGGGAAGACGGGGGGGGGCGCCACGGAGGGGGTCGCCAAGCGCGCGGTGGGGCCGAGAGGCACGATGTGGTGTGCTGCGAAGGAAAATCGATTCCGGGAGATCTGTAGCTTGTGACGCCGGAATACGCGAGGATACGCGGCGACGCGCTCGCAGCGCGGGCCATCTGCGTCACGAGCTGGTCACAGGGGATCGCGTCAGGCCCCGAAGCTCTGCAGCACCGCGAGTACGGCGCGGGCGCGGGAGGCCCTGGCAATGTCGGTGGGGGTCTCTCCGGCGTAGGGGGCGCCTGTTGGTTCGGTCGGGTCGGCGCCGGCCCGGAGCAGCGCCTCGGCGCCCCGCGGGAGGTTGTTCGAGGCCATGCGGTGCAGCGGCGTGAATCCGTACGTGTCCTTCTTGTTGATGTCTGCTCCGGCGTCAATCAGCACCTGAAAGAAGTCGGACACGTTGCCGCTCGGTCAGACGGCGGCGTACGTTGCAGGTGTGTCGGACAGGGGGTCTCAGGGGGGGGCAAGGTGGAACAGGGGACTTGGGGTGGTGTGCGCACCTGCGTTGAGTCCTGGCCGCGCTGACTCATGCCGCACATGTGCAGGGGCGACGCCCCGCCCGTCGTGACCTCGTTCGCGAGCTCAGGGAAGTCGGCGAGGACCTGCCGCACGGTCTCCGGGCCCGCCTGCGCGACAGCACCGCATGACGTGCCGCAGTCAGCAGCGGCAGCACGACCGACGGGTTCGGCTACTGCATTCGCACACGCGTTGACACACACACGCGCCTGGATGGCCTTCGACATGAGCGTGTAGCCGCCTCCCGCGTACACGGGCCCTGGGTGCTTGTTGTGGTTCTGGTACTGGCGCCCGATGACGACCTCCCCCTTGTCGTCGCGCTTCACGTTGCCGCCGTAGATACCAGGCCCCACCTGCGCGGTTCGGGGGCCCGCAGCGACGCCACGCTCACCACAGACAGGCTGCCGCTGCCATTTACCCCGCAATTGAGAGGGGGGAGTGCGTCGTTTCCGGCTCCTGATCGCCTACAGCGGCGAGACTGATCGTAGAGGGCGTACCGTGTCCGCGTACGGGTCGAAGCCCTCCGCATCCGTCGCACCGGGGAGGCCATACTTCTCTGCCATTCCCGGAGCGTACGGGTCGTGGGTGATCCGCACGCCATCCTTCCTGTAGTACTCCTCACGGCTCTCGCCCTGAGCCATCGTTTTCGTCGTGTGCGCTCGGTAGCCGTGCGACGACAGCGCGCGGGAGGCGGGCGGAAGCACCGAGTGGTGGAGGCCGAGCGCGCCTCTCACAGCGCCCGCAGCCACGAGCGCCACCTTGATCGCAAACATCAACGAGCCTGCATCACAATGCACCACAGCACGACCCCTTGACACCGCACAGGCGAGCCGCACGGCGCCACCTCAGGTGGGCAGCGCGCTGCGTCAGCAGGGGGGTGTGCGGGCTCCGACAAACTACCGTCGTCGACCCGCACGGTCCGTTCGCCCAACCCCGCGCGGCCGCCTCTTCCTGCCCGGACGAGCGGTGGGACCTCGCGAGCCACTCCGATGCCGGGAACAGCGCCAGCATCTCCGACGCTGCTGCATGCCACGTCGCATGTCCGCTCCGGGTGTGTAGAGGGGCGTTCCGAGGTCGTTCGGAGCGGCGCTGTGCTGCCGGCCGAGCGCCGGTGGCGTGCCGGGCGCTGGGCGCGGCCGCGGGGTGCAGGCGGGGAGGAAAAGGTAAAGGGGGAAAGCGTCGCGGCAGCGATCGGGATGTGTCGTGTGTCATCGCGAGGTGCGACCTCGACTGGCGTCCTGGCGGCGCGCGGCGGGCGTCGCCGGAGGCTCCGATGGCCGCGACGCGCGCCGCATTGGCCGCATCCGCCGCGGGAGGACACGCACAGGGACGGCATCGGCCGTTCGAGGGCGCGCACGGGCTTCCCGCGCTGGATGTTGGAGACTGAAAAGCTAGTACCCAGCGCAGCCTCGCACCTCCGCGCCGCCCAGCGGCCGGCCGGCCTGCTCTTCGCTGCGTCTCCGCGGGCATTGCGAGCTCGTCCCGCACCACGTCATGCCGCGCCTCGTCCATTTTCGCCGCGGTTTTCGCCCGGCAAGTGGTCCGCGACGGTTGGCCGATAAGTCCGCGTACACGGCTCGCCGTGGCGCGAGATCGCGCAGGAGAGGTGTCGTTGACGCGAGAAGACCGTTTTGTCGCGCACGGCTTCAGATAGGCACCGCAGCGGACGTCGCGGCGGCCCCTGGCTGTGGAGTCACCACCACCTGACGTGTTTGACTGCGCCGTACTCGCGCCAGCGGGCGTGAGGAGGAGCAGTGCGCGGCGCAGGGCGTCAGTAGCACGACCGGTATGCCCGCAGCGGGCAAATCGTCGCACAGCACCGGCCCGGGAAGGCGCGCGAGAGCGTCCAGGATCAACGTAACCACCCATGCAGGTTGCCGTGGCCTGCAAGCGCGAGGCGGGTGACTCGCTGGACGGGGGGATCGGACAGCCGCTGAAGAGGTTGAGGATCGCGGCCGGGGATGTCGAGGTGCGCGCGGCCCCGCCTGGCAGCCCGCGCGCCTGCCCAGAAATGGCAGCTGACTGCGCGGCCGGGCCGCGTGCCGCACGGGGAAATTTTCGACACCCCGAGGCCGCTTCCATGACAGAGAAACCACGAGGCGGCGGCCGCAGACGTTTCGAGCGCCCACCGCGCGCCGGCGGTCGCGTTGAAGCGACGAGTCAATTCGTAGCTCTCACCTCGCTGCCTGCCCGGCCAGGGCGCGCGGTCCACCCTCCCTCGCGCTGTTCGATTTCCTGCGGCGCATCCAGCCCGGCGCCACCGGCAAAACCGCCTCCCGCGGACCCGCACGAGAGGCGCACTGCGCCTCCCCCATCGGCTACCAGAATGCGGCCCGAGCGCACAGCCCGACGTGAATCAACGCGCTTCGACCGCCTCAGTCGGCCGACCAGTATCTGAGACGCGCCGTCGCATCGCAGTTCCCCCCGCGTGCGGATCGACCGGCCCTCGGCGCCGCCAAACCACCTCACGCCTGCCCACCAGCGCGCGTCCCGCCCTCTCGCAGGATTCCAACCGCCTCACGGGCCCTCCCGGCCACGCGAACGCGCCCAGCTGGCCCGCGGACAGCCTGCCGCGCTTCGCGTCGCCCGTGCTCGAGACCTCGGACGCGGCAACGCTTGCCGCGCTCTGGAGGACATCGCCAGGTGGGCATCCGCCGCGGCCCTCGGCGCCGCCTAGGCGCCCCGCGCGCCCCGCGGCGGCCGCCCTGCGCGCCCCGTCGACGCGGGCCGCGCACGGAGGCGGCCGGTCCGCCGCGCGGGGGCGCGCCGCCGCGGCGCCTTTCCAGTGGTGGTTGCGACCGCTCGGAAGACCTGGATTCCTGTCTGCCACGCCCTCGCACGCCCCGAACGCGCCGCCCCGCCCCGCCCGACCGCAGACGCCGACGCGGCCATGGAACCGTCGTCCCCCGGGGCGTCCGACGACGACTGCGCGATCACGCAGCGAGTCCCCGCGCACCGCACCAGCCCCGACGTAGCGACAGCTCTGGCGAGCGACGGGCCCGCCCAGGCGGACCCCGCGCTGTCGTCGCAGCTCCGCCCGGCTCTGGACAGCCTGCACGTGTCGATCCTGGCCAGCGAGCGCTCCGGGTGGCCCGACGGCACGGCCGCGGGGCGCTGCTCTCCGGCCGAGGGCGCAGGAGCGCGCCGGCACGCGGTGACGCTGCACGGCGGCGCGGGCGCCGTCCAGCGCGCGCGCTCGCACCCGCAGCTGTCGAGCCACAACGTCGAGATGCGCGGGGGCGGCGCGCAGGCGCCGCACTGCAGTCCGACGCTCGACCCCCCCCGCCCGGAGCGCAGCGGGGGCGAAGGCGACGGCGCGGGGACCTCGACGAGCAGCAGCAGCATCTCGTCCGCGCACGGGAGGCTCCACCGCGGCAGCATGTCGGGCCTGCGCCCCCCGGACGCCCCCTGGTCGTCGGTGGCGGTGCAAACCACGCGGCCGCGGCCGTCGATGGGCCTCCCGCCGCTGCCGCCGCCAGGCATGCGGAGGTTCCCATCGGACAGCGGGCAGCGGCCGGCGAAGCCGCACCACAGGGCGCTGGCCCTCGTGCTCGGCGCGGAGCACCCGTCGTGGGCGCCCGCACTGCACCCGCGGATCTGCGGGCCGCTGCGCGCGCGCGGGCGGGAGTCCGGCGACGTCGACATGCTCGAGTGACGCCCGCGCCGCACCGCGCGGCGCGCGTCCTGCGAGGACAGACCGACCCGGGCTTGCCTCCGTCTGACAAATGGCGGCGAGCAGCCGTGGGGTGGCACGGATTCCCCCCGTGCCCTCCCAAGACGCACACGAGTATGCCTAGGGACGACGCGGCGAGACTGGAATGCCGCGACGCCCCAGAACCATCCGCGCGCGCATCGCCCCGCGACAGCGGCGGCGTGTGCGTGCAACCCCCCCTGCATGATCCGAACTTGCATTCATTGTTCTCGCGAATCGTTGATTCGCGCCCACTGCGGCGCATCGGCGCACGCGGTCGCCACACCACGCCCCGGCCTGCTCCGCCGCCCTTCGCGGCGCAGGTCGCGCCACCATGTCACGCAGCAGGCCCCTCTACCCCTCGCAGTCATCATCGGGCACTGCAAGCATTGCTCCCGCCTTTTACACTCCTTCCGCCCTGAACCAGACCCCCCCTCCCCTTGACTCGCCCCCTGTTTGCGCCGACTCGCGAGCCGCCTTGCCTGTCCGCCCCGGTGGTGCTCCCTCCCGGGACGCACAAACGGGTCGGCGGGGCGACCTATTCCCTGCCTCTCGATTTCCATTGGCCTCCTTGCCGGCCGTGTCACCGCGAGTCAGTCGGCGCACCCGAGCGCCCGACCCCGGCTCGTGCCGCACGACGGCGCGCCCAAGCGATGGCTCCTCTACGTTACGTAGCAGCTCCATTCCACAGGTACCCTTGCTCCACAAGCCGATGGCTTGTGCCCAACTGGCCCGACCGCACTACCTTTTGTGGGCACGCGGGGTCTTCTGAACACACTGCGCTACCAGCACGAAGCCGCGCTTTCCGGTTGAAAGCGCGCATGTGACGTGGAGCTCGCAACGCACGCACAAACAGATTGCGGTCGCTCGAGCACATTGTCTACCCTGTCTGCTGTGCGGGTCTCGTCTGCCGTACCATTTCGGTCGCTCAAGCTGGTGCTTGTAGGTCAGCAACGTACGAACGAACAACAAAACGGACAACAAACGCACGCGACGACGTCGCAGCCGGCGTTCGCGGCCGCGCTGGCGCCACGGTCGCTGGCCTCGTCAGAGCACGCAGAACTCAGCAGCGAGGACCACGAGCCGAAAACCCTGCATGCAGCAACAACAACGTCGCATGTCTCAACTGCGCCGCACGGCGTGACGCCGGCGTCCGCGTCCACGCGCGGCTCGTCCGTCGCGCCCTTGTCCGTGCTGCGGGCTGTCCAACGCTCGTGTGCCACGCGGACGACATCAGGCGCCCGCGTCCCTGCTGTCAGTCGCGCTGGTCGGATCCGACGCGGCGTCGCCGGGGCGCGCCGTGCAGCCCTAGGGCGGCCGCGCGGCGACCCTGCGGTCACATCTGCACGCCAAGCGCTGCACCGTGTGGCCGGAATCGCGCACCGGAGGCGGTGCCGAGGGCGCAAGCGGCCTTTGCACCGCGGCGCGTCTGGGGCTCGCCGATAGTGGAACGCCGCGTGCCCGTAGGGGTGCGAGTCAGTGGCTGCGTGAAAGACACGTGTGCGGGATTCGAAGGGCGTACCGCGGGCTCGAGCGTCCGTGGAGGTGCGGCACTGCTGCGGTGCAGTCTTCCTGGGCCGCGCGACGGTCCTGCAGCGGGGGGGCAGCCCGCCGTTGTGGCTGACTTCTGTGGCGTGAATGTCAGGGATACGTGTGCACGGAACCTGGCGCGGGAGGCGGCCACGCTGGCCCGGAGACCCTGCAAGAGCTCGATGCCTTCCGGGGGGTCTCGCAGAGGATTGTCTTTTGAATTATAATGCCACCATCACCTCGCTCGAATCTAACTGAACGCACATTCCTTGCAAGTCAGGGCCCTCGCGCGCGCACCTGGACGGGGGCGCGCCCGTGAGGCAGCCTTGCAACAAAACGGCGTAGCTCGCAGCGGTCACGAACGCGCTGCCTCGTTCTCCCACGTCGCCACACGAGAACGCGACCGAACGTGCCTGCGCGCCCGCGAGACCCGGTCCTCCCGGCCGCAGCGCGCTCCTTTCGCCCGTGCTGCCCCGCGTGTTGCTTTGCCCCCCTCAGCGCGCGCCTGACGCGTTGCTTCCGAGCGTCCGCCGCAGGTGGGATCAGCCGCGGTCGTGGGAGCTGGCGAGCGGGCGGCGGCGATGGCGTCACCCGCCGTGCTCTCAGCGACGCCCGTCGGTGGCGGGACCCGCGTTTTTGAATACCCCCCTCGGGACCTCGACATCCAGGACTGGAGCACCATCGACGCGATCGACTTGAGCTCCTTCTACACCCCAGAGGCGAGTCGCCCGCCGCGCCGCGCCGCCGAGCCGCGCACGCCGTCCAGACCCTCGCCCTCTGCACCCGCCGCGCGACCGCTCCCTCGCTGCGCAACGCGCACAGCCATCCCGGAACTATGCACCCTCACTGCTCGTTCGCCGCGTCGCGAGGCTTATCGCTGCATCTCCTGCCGCGACGCGCGCCTACGGCGGACCTGTGCCGATCGGCGACGCGCTGCCCACCTTTACTGCGTGCAGGGCGTGGACCAGGGGAAGCTCGCGGAGCTGGACTCGGCCGTGCGGCTTCTCGTCCAGAACGCGGTCGGCCCCGCGCCGGGCGAGGACGCCGATGCGTCCGTGGCGCGCCTCACGCGTGCCTGTGTTGTCCTGCAGCTGGGCCTCGAGCTGCAGTCCATGCGCTACGACGACGTCCTGCAGGCGCGCGCCCGCACCGCAACGACGTCCCCGCCCGCGGCGAGGCCCTCGCCGCGAAGCCCTCGGGCCTGCCATTGGTAGCAACAGCAGAAAGATCCGAAATGAAGAATCTAGAACGTGGATTGGTCGCCTGCGTCCGGGTTCGCGCAGGAGGTGGACGAGAAGGACGCGGAGCTCGAGGACTACCGCGCGGAGGTGTCGGCGCTGCAGGCGCGGCTGGACGCGCGCTACGACGAGCAGGCGGAGCTGGCGGCGGGGCGGGGAGTCGGGGCCATGGAGGCCGAGGACCTCCGCATTCAAGTCAGCCAGCTGTCCACGGCGCTGCAGAGCGCCGAGCAGCGCGGGGATGAGCTCCAGGCACGCCGCCGCCCCCTCCCGGGCACTCGATCGCCGCGGCTGCGCCGCAGACCTGGAAACATGACTCGCGGTGCGCCGCTGGTGTGGTTGTGCGCAGGACCGCAACGTGGCGCTGGAGGACCGCGCGAGGGACCTGCAGAAGGAGCTGGACGCGGTGCGGACCAACGCGGACGCCCTGGACCGCAGGTTGCGGCTCGCGGAGGACGAAGTGCGTATGTTGCGGATGCAGGCCGACGCCGACGCGAGGTCGCGCGGACACAACCGGCTCATGGCAGGTGCGCGCCGGCCGCGCTCGCGGGCCCGCGTCTGGGTCGCTGGGACAACGCGGTGGCTCTCCGAACGTTGTCTGTTGTTGATGATTCGATGTTGGGTTTTTGCGGGACGTTGCCGGCTCGCCTGCGCCTCGGCACGCCGCTCGAAGCTCGCCCCGGCTGGGTCGTTCTCGCAGGCGGGCTCGAGGAGGAGCTCGAGGTGCGGAAGCGCGAGGTGCGGAAGCTGCTGCGCGACAACGGCGACCTGGACGCGCAGTGCCGGGAGCTGCGGCGGCGCGAGGCGGAGCTCAAGGGCGAGCTGGAGGAGACGTCGCAGGCGCTGGTGGCGCTGTCGGACAGCGAGAAGCGGTGGCGGGCGCGCGAGGCGGACCTGGCGCTGCAGGCGGAGGAGGCGCGGGACCGGGCGACGGCGCTGGCGGCGGAGAACGACGACGTGAAGCAGACGGTGATGCAGCAGCTGCGGGCGATGGAGGCGATGCAGGCGACGTTCGACCGCAACTACAAGATCTGGGAGGAGGAGCGGGCCGCGCTGGACGCGCAGTGCCAGGTGCGGGGTCGGCGCGTGCGCGAGGAGGGTCGGCAGTCGTGGATTCTGGAGCGGACGCGGCGCGAGGAAGGCGTTGCGATGATGTTTTGTGCCCTGGTCGTGTTTGCTGCGCGCAGGCCCTGCAAGACAGGATCGACCGCGTTGCGCGAGCGCCGACGCAAGATGGGGCGGAGCGCTCCGACCTGGACGACTCGGAAGTCGGGTCGACGCACGGCGCTGGCCGCCTGCGGGAGGAGCTGCTCAAGGCGCAGGAGAGGGAGCTGCTCCTGATGGAGGCGTACGAAGACCTCGAAAGGTGACTTCCGGCGCATTCCGCCGCCTCTTCTGCCCCCGACGCGCACCCCGCCTTCTCGCCGCCATGATACGTATTGACGGGCCACCCGCGAACAGATCCGCACCCTGAACGCCGCTACGCCGCAGCTGCAGCGCCCACGCCCGCACACCTGCGTTGCTCCGTCGCATCGCATCGCAGGAACGTCGGCCGCGAGGTCGACGCCGCGCTGGCCGAGGAGCGCGAGCGCACACGCGACGACCGCCTCTCCGGCAAGGTCGCCGAGGACGAGCTCCGGCGCGCGCGCGACCGCATCCAGCACCTCCTGGCAGACCTCGAGCGCCTGCACAACGACGTCGAGTACCACGCGGAGAAGAACAAGCAGTACGAGCGCGGGTACGGCCTCCAGGACGCGGTCCTCGAGCTCAAGGCCTGGCGCGACGACGCCCTGCAGCGCGAGCGCACCATCAAGGACCTCGGCGCCAGTCTCAACGAGGTCGGGGACAAGTTCGAGCAGCTCCTGGAGGAGAACCGGGCGCTGCGGGAGCGCGCGGGGCTCCCGGAGTCGGCCGCGGTGCCGCTGGCGGGCGTGCGGCTGCCGTGGCGCGAGGAGGCGGCGCAGTTGAAGCAGCTGGTGGCGCACTTGGAGTTGGAGCTGCAGGGGCGGGCGGACGAGGAGATGCGGCTGCGGCAGGAGCTGCGGTACCGCGTGAAGTGGTCCGGGTCGAACGCGGTGCGGCTGGGCCTGAGCGAGGCGCAGGTGGCGTACGTGGAGGAGGTGATCGAGGGGCTGAAGGGGGGGGGGTATGGAGACACCCCCGAGCAGCGCGCGCTGCAGAGGATGGAGGAGCGGCTCACGGCGATGCAGCGGCGCCTCGAGGCGCTGCACCGCGTGTCGGCGATGCCAGAGGAGGAGCGCGCGCGGCTGCTGCAGGCGCTGGCCGAGTCGGGCCCGACACAGGGGGGACTGATGATGCCCGTGTACCAGATCGCGCAGGGCCCGCCCGCGGTGTCGCTGGCGGAGCTCCGGCGGCTCGAGGAGTCGCTGCGATCGGTCGTGGAGCAGCTGGGGGAGGTGTTGGAACGGGCGGGCGCGCAGGGGGGGGGACTATTGCGGGTGGTGGAGGAGGCGCTCGCGACGGTGCGGGGCGCGGTGGGCCGCGCGCAGGCCGCAGGCGACGCTGCAGCGGCGGGCGGCACGCCGGGGGCCGCGCTGGGCACGCCGGGCGTGCCGACCCCCGGGATGCTCAACACCCCAGGGGGTGTCTCGCGGGTTCCGCCCGGCAGCGGCGCGGAGTACCTGCGGAACCTGTTCCAGGCGAAGGCGACGGAGCTGGCGCAGATGCAGGCGGAGCTGGCGGAGCGCGCGGGCGTCGAGGAGGCGATGCGGCGCGAGCGGGACGCTCTGCGGGCGCGGCTGCGCGGGGAAGGGCGCGGGGGGGCCGACGGGACGTTCGTGTCGATTCAAGAGCTGCAGGAGGCCCAGGTGAGCGCCGTGCCCTCGCATGGACCGCACTCAACGAACCAATCTGTCTCGGTCTTTTGTTCCTCTTCCTCTTCTTTCGTCCTCACTCGTTGCGTCATATTGGCTGGCACGGCGCCGCCCGCGGGAGGTCGAGACCGCCTGCGCCCCCCACCGCGCGTCCCTCGCACCACCCGTCCAGAACGCTGCCCTCGTGCCACGTGGCTCGCAGGCGGAGATCCAAGCCCTGCAGACGCAACTCGTGGAGGCCCTCGAGACGTCCTCGGTGCGCGAGCGCGAGTCCGCGGCGCTCGAGGACGAGCTCAGCGCGGCCCACGCCGCCCTGCAGCAGGCCCGCGACCAGACCGCGCTGCTTTACCGGGAGTTCGCGCGCGTGCGCGCTGCGCACATTGCAACGGAGCGCGCCCTGAACGACAGGCTGGAGACGGCGACGACGGAGCGGGACGCGGCGCAGCGCGCGGAGCAGGAGGTTCAGCGGGTGGTGCGCGTGCTGTCCGGCGCGGAGGGCGCGGAGGAGGGGGAGTCTGACGAGGCGCGGATGAAGCGGGCGCTGGTGGAGGCGACGCGGCGGATGGCGCTGAGTCAGGCGCGGCTGGCGCGCGTGGGGCGGCAGGTGACGCTGGTCGAGGCGCGGGAGGCGGCGAAGTCGCGCGAGGTGGGGGAGTTGAAGGGGGAGTTGACCGAGATGGGAGCGGTGCTGCGGGCGCGCGTGGACCAGCTGGAGCGGGCGCGCGCGGAGGCGGTGCGGCGGCTGGGCGCGCAGGTGCGGCGCGTGGAGCAGTCCGTGCCGCGGGAGGCGTACCGGGCGCTCAAGGACCGGTACGCCGCGCTGGAGCGCGCACACAAGAAGCTGCTGCAGCACAAGGTGAGGGGGGGGGGTATTGCGACAGCAACAACATGCGGCCGGTTGATGCTTGGTTTCACGTGCGGTGACTGTTGTACCAGGCGGATCAGGGCCATCGCTGCGTGCGGCAGGCTCGTCTTGCGTCGTGATCTCACGCCTGAACTCCTCACGGGTTCTACACGATGTCTGACGGGAGGTGGCACCCCTTTTCGTTCCTCCAGGCTGCGGGCGGGCACGCCGAGGGCGAGGTCATGCGGCTCCGCGAGGCCCTCGCGAAGGCAGACGAGGCCTGGGCCACCGCGGTGCGCGACGCTGCCGAGGCGAAGGCGAAGTTCGCGGCCGCCAACACCAACGGCGCCGGCGACGCCATCGCGCCGGGCCTCGGCGGCACCCCGCGCCCGCAGGACGAGGTCGTGCGGCTCTCGGTCGAGCTCGAGGGCGAGCGCGCGCGTCTGCAGCGCGCGACGCGCGAACTCGACCTTGCACGCGACGCGCGGGACCAGCTCGAGCGCGACCTGCAGAACGCAGAGCGCGACCTCGCGGACAAGGTCGCGGCGCTGCAGGCGTACCACGACGGCGAGGAGGAGCTGCGGCGGCAGATGGCGGACATGGTTCCCTTGGCGGCGGTGGCGGAGCACCAGCAGCGCGTGGAGGAGCTGGAGGCGACGCTGCGCGAGGCGGACGAGGGCCTCGCGGCGACGCGAGCGCGGGCGGACGCGGCGGAGGACGCCGTGGCGCGTGCGGAGGCGGAGGGTCTCGCTGTGCGCGCGGAGGTGACGCACCTCCGGCAGGGGCTGCGCGACATGGCGCAGGGGTCGGAGCACGCGCTGGTGGTCGCGCGGCTGACGGAGGAGATCGTGAGCGTGCGGAGCAAGGAGGCACTCGTGCGCAGTCAGCTCACGCGGTCGGAGCGCGACCGCGAGCGGCTGTTGTCGTCGGTGCTGCGTCTGGAGAGGGAGGTCGGGCAGCGCGAGCGCGTTGCGGACGTTGTTGGGGAGCGAGCGCGGGCGCTCGACGCGGCGCTGCACCAGGCGTCGCAGCGGCTGCTCGCGCTGCAGCACGGCGGCGTGCAGGCGCACCAGGCACGGCGGTGGGCGCTGGCGACGGCGGAGTACGCGCGGAGGGTCAAGTGGCTGTCCGAGCAGCTGGACCGCATGCGGGAGCTGCTGCTGGAGAGCGAGGGGGGGCGGCTGAAGGCCGAGTCTGACCTGGAGGGGTACAAACAATCGCACGTGCTGGCGGAGGGGAGCGAGAGCGACGCGCGGCGCGAGGCGACGCGCATGCGCGAGCAGGTGCGTCTGCTAGCCGCATCAAGTGACGGACCGCTTCGATCCGAGTGCGCTTGCAGGTGCACAGACCTGTTGCGCAGGCACTCACCATGCATTCTCCGCCCATGTGCTCTGTGTCCCCGCAGGCCGCGCGGCTCCGTCTGGAGCGCGCGCGCAAGGAGCGTGAGGCCGCGATGCTCCGCGAGCGCTCCTCGTACCTCGACCGCGTCAACGCGGAGCTCGAGGCCCGTCTCCAGGGGTACGAACAGGAACAGGAGGACGACGTGGGTCGGGCGGAGCGGGAGCGCGAGGCCGCGATGGCGCAGGCGCGCGAGCTGCAGCGGCGGCTCGAGTCGAGCGCGGTCGACCTCGCCGGCGTGTCGTCGCGGCTCGAGGAGGCGCAGGCGGAGGTGCGCGCGTTGCGGGCGCAGCAGGGCGCGGCGGCGGCGGGCGGCGGCGGCGGCGGTGGGCGGGGCGGCGCGGGGGGGCTGACGCGCGTGCACCGCGACGCGCTGCTGGAGCAGATAGAGCGGCAGAAGCAGGCGCGGATTGAGAACGCGGGTTTGATGCGCAAGGTGGAGGCGCTCGAGGAGGAGCTGCGGCGGAAGGAGAACGAGACGCTGCGGGCGCTGACGGAGCGGGACAGGGCGCTGGGGGCGCTCGAGGGCGCGGGGGGGCTCGGGCGGCTGTACCGGGAGCCGGAGGCGGACGCGATTCAGGGGCCGGGGCGGGCGCCGGGGGCGGCGGCGATCGGGGAGGCGCACCTCGCGGAGATCCGGCGGCTGGAGCTCAAGGCCGGGCGGCTCGAGGAGGACATCAGGAGGTGAGTGTGCGGGCGCGGGGAGGCGTCGCGGATGTCTTTGCGCGGATGCCTGCATGCACGCAAGAGCAGTATGATATGCGCGCTGCTCGATCGACGTTGCGGTTCGTCCTGCGTTGTGCGTGCATGTCTTCGATGCGCGGTTCCACGAGTCCCCACCTGCCTGTTTGAGCAGCTACGCGCCAGTCGAAACAAGAGTAACATCCATGGATCCTCGTTTCTCGATTTCCTGTCGCAGGCTGATGCAGGAGCGCGCTCAAATGCGCGACGAGCACCACCAGGAGATCCAGAGCCTCCAGGACCAGATCGCAAACCTCGAGGACGGCCTTGCCGCGCAACGCACGCGCCCAGCGGCGTCCACCCACCACACCCAAACGACCCCGCGGCCCCACAGCACGCCGCAGCGCCCGGCTGCGCACAGCGTCGCCGTCGGCCAGACCCCGCGCGCCGCCCCTGTCGACGCCGCCGCCAGCCCGATGGGCCGCAGCGCCGCCGCCACGCCGCGCCAGGGCCAGCACGCACGCGACGAAGCGTTCGTTCGCGACGACGCAGCGCCCCCTGCTTCGAGAGGGCACAGCGTGGCCCCGACGCCGCGCACGGCGACGCATCCTGGAACGGCGGCGCGTGGGTCCGCAGTGCCCAGTCATGGGGAGCCGCCGATAGGCTTCGAGCAGAGCAGCACGCCGGAGAGCATCTCTTTCGGGAGCTCGTCGCACCCGGGCGACGTCGTCGGCGAGGTCCGCAGTGCGCAGGCAGCGCAGTCGCAGACGGCGCCGCTTGCGATGGCGCACGCCGGCACCGGCACGACGCCTGTGGCGCACACAACGCAGGGCACGATGGCCGCGACGCCGGCGCCGCGCGAGGGCGTCGTGGACGTCACGGCGCGCCGGACCATCGAGGATCTGCACGTGCGCATAGAGAACCAAGCGTCCGCGCACGACGTCGAGATGGCGCAGCTGCAGGGGCGCTTGGCCGCGCTGCAGCGCGAGGTGGAGGTGCGCCGGGCCGAGGCGGAGGGGTACCTGCGCGAGCTCCACACGGCGCGGAGCTACTCGACGCGCCACGCCACGCAGACCCTGCGGTCGCAGCTTGCGAAGCGCGACGAGCTGAACCGGCAGCTGCGGAAGGCGTTCAAGGACCTGCAGAGCAAGGTGAGCGAGCTCCACACGCCGCGGCGTAGTCGGGACGTGCAGCGCTGCGACGAATCGGCGATCCCCGTTGCGCGGTGAACGACTTGCGTACTGTATGCATTCGCGTTGCGACCAGCACGCGCTCGCTCCCTCGAGGCGCGTCGCAGGTCGAGAAGCTGGAGGAGGGCCAGCGCGTGCGCGACGCCCGCGACGCCGACCGCACCGCGACTGCTGTGGAACAGGCGCAAGAGAAGAGCCGGAAACTCGACTCGCAGCTCCTCCGTGCGCGCGAGGACCTGCGGGACCGCGACGCCGAGATCGCGGAGCTCAAGTCCGCGCTCGACACCGCGCGCGGCCGCCTCAGCGCCGCGCAGCGGCGCCTCGACGAGGAGCTGGCTGCGTCGCGCAAGTCGTCACCGGAGCGCAAGAGCCCTCCGCGTGCGGGGCGGTCGGCGGCGGAGTCCGCGCGGAGGGCGCCGGGGCGGGGCGCGCGGGCCGAGACGGCGGAGCGCGGGGTGCAGGCGGTGGTGGGCGACGGCGGGCCGTTGCCGGTGCGGATGGTGGTGCGGGTGGAGGGCATGGGCCCGCTGACGAAGAAGGAGGTGGCGCTGGAGCACTGGGAGGAGGGGAAGCGGCTGAAGAAGAAGATCGAGGGCCTGGAGACGAAGCTGAAGCAGAGAGCCAAGTGAGTGCTCTTCGCACACACACAAACAAACAACCCGTGCAGAGACTGATCCATTCATTCATTTCTTGATTCATTGCGCGCGAGGCCGCAGAGCTCACGCAGCCCCCCCGCCCCGTGCCCGTTCTCGCCCGCAGGCAGCTCGAGGAGGCGCTGTCCACAAGCAGCTCCCTCTCTCGACGCATCGAGCGGCTCGAGGGCGAGCACACCCTCCTGCAGCAGCAGGCCGACAGCGCGGCGAGCAAGGTCCGCAAGGCGCAGGAGGCGGCTCGGCAGCGGTCGGCCGGCGCGGAGCAGGCCGCGGAGGCCGCCCTCGCGGCGCAGGCGGTCGCGGAGACGCAGCTGCGCAACGCGCTGGCGGAGCTCTCCCACGTACGCAAGGAGGCGGAGCTGCGCGTGCCTCCGGAGCGCCATCGTGCGCTGCTGGAGCGGAAACGTGCGCTCGAGAGGGAGGGGGGCGATCTGAAGGTGCGAGCCCGCCGTGCCGCGTCGATGCACATGCTCACCGCCCTGCACAGCTGCGACGGGCAGAGTGCAAGTGGACGTGCGCCCCTGCCGTCTCTCGCGCAGGAGAAGCTCGCGTCCGCGGATGAGACCGTCCAGGACCTCAAGAGGCGTCTCGCGGAGCAGCAATCGCGCGCGTTGCAGTCGACGTCGCGCGCCGAGCTGTTGCAACAGCGGGTCACGCGGGCGCAGCGCGAGGCTAGCGGGGCGCGCGCCGACACGGCCCCGCTCCGCGCGGAGCTGGAGGCCGCCGCGCGGCGCGCCGAGACGCAGCAGGCGCAGATCGACGACCTGCGCGGGAAGTGCCGCGCGCTGGAGGCACAGTGCGAGCAGTTGCGCAGCGCTGCCAGCCGTGGCGTGCCGGCCGAGGTGCTGGAGGGAGTGCGGCGGGAGCGGGACGAGGCTGTGGCAGCGAGGGAGGCGGCGGAGGCGGAGAGCGAGCGGGTGGAGGCGGAGCTGCAGAGGGCCCGGGAGGTGGAGGTGGCCCTCAAGTCGGAGCTGGATGTGGTGCCTCAGTTCATCGAGGAGATAACGGGGCTGCAGGCGCGCGTGCGGGAGCTGGAGGAGCAGCTGGGGGCCGCGGGGGGCGGTGAGGGAGACGCCTGAGACGAGGGCGAGAAGTAGGATAGCACATCATCATACTACGAGTTCGTTTTTCATATCCGTGACTCGGGTGGCGCCTGAAACCTGCAACGGCGCGGCGCACCGCCGTGACACACGAATAGCCGCTGTGAGTAGTCGCTGTGTAGGCCATGCGCCGCTGTCTTCGCCGCACTATGGCGACGCTTTCGTCCTGGCCGAAGATACCGCTCTCCTCCGTGGCGCGCGCATCCGCAGTCTATTTACACCGTCCGCGCGTTCCTAGTACTCTTCGAGCGCCTTCTCCGCCGCCAGCACGAGCTCGTCCGGCACCTCGGGCACCGCGGAGATCATGCGCGCCACCAGCGTGGCCATGAGCTCCCCGACGCCGGCCCCGGACTTGGCCGACACGTCGAAGTGCGCGCAGCCGTGCCGCGCCGCAAACGACCGCCCCTGCGCCTCCGAGACCACCCGCGGGTCCTCGTCCGTCTTGTTCCCCGCGACCAGGATGGCGGCGTCGTGCATGCCGTGGCGCTCCATCTCGGCCATCCACCAGTCGCAGCGGTCGAGCGACTTGAGGTCCGAGACGTCGTACACCAGCACCGCGCCGTTCGCGTCACTGCAGCGCAAGGAAGAGGCCGAATTCGTGAAACCCACGCGTTGTACAAAGAAGACCCAAAGGCCGCGTTGCCGTCGATGTCCGGGTCCGCAGAGAGGTCTCATCCTACTGAGAGCCTCGCTGGTTCCTCACGCACCCGTAGAACTCGGTGCGCACGTCCCGGTACTCGTTGAGCCCCCCCGCATCAAAGATGTTGATGTGCACGTCGAAGTTGCCGATCTTCAGCTGCCGGACGCCGAAGTCGATGCCTATTGTCTCCAGATGCCGGTCCGTGAACGCGCCCTGGCAGTACCTGCTCGGCATCGGGCGGCGCCGGGCCTTCGCGCGCTGTCCAGCGCAGATGCGCCTCGTCGGCCCACCGCGCGCCTGCGGGCGCGGACGAGGCTGGCCGGCGCACGACGACGTTCGTGCACACGGAGGCTCGCGACTCGACCGACCTGCGGATCACGCTCGTCTTCCCGGACTTGAACGGGCCCACAAACACCACCTTGAGCCTGAGGGGCCGCAACCGCTTGTCCTTGACGGCTTTGGCTGCCCTGACGCCGTCGCCGGGCATGGTGCGCGGAGCCTATCACGCGGGGGGCGTCGCCGTTCGGAACTATCCGCCGAAACCGGCGCAAACAGCCGGGCCGCGTCCCAGAATGAAGTCCGCAGCTACAGCCTGCCCGCGGGGCCGTCTGGGGACGGGACTGCGGGTCCGCGCCCGCACGTTGGAAGCGCAGGATCGCTGTACGTCTCAGAGGTGGGCAGTTCTAGCGTGTATTTCGATGGCTTGCGTGAAACAGACCCGCAAGCGCCGGAACACCAACTGTGAGCCTCTTTTGACGTGCCTTGTGGTGGAACAATGTGGCGAAAGGTGCAGGAGCTTGTGCGGTGTGTACAGACACCGCCGGCCGGGCGAGTGATTGACGGCGAGCCGCGGTGGGGGGTCCTTCGGCCGCGTAAGACACAGCGCGCTCCCAACTCAAGTCCGACGACTACACTGTGCATCTGCGGGGGGGATATCACGGGAAGCGGTGCAGTAGTCAGGACTGATGCGGAGGGGCCATCCGCGGATCGATACCGCGGCGACCGGTCCGAGCCGTCCTGCATTTGCCGCGTGAGAGTGCACAGGAGGGCTCCTTCCTGTGCGTCGCGTTTTGAGGAGCAGGACTGGACGGGAAGCTACAGGCCAGCGGTGTCATGCCTCCTCAGGCGCCGTCAGGTCACCACGACCGCCGCGCGCTGGGCGTGAACGCCGACTGCGCAGAGTTTTGCCCGACGCCAGGGCTCACCGACGTCCTGGCGATCGGCACGTACCAGCTGGTGCAGGAGCGAAACACACGCGTCGGTACTCTCTTCCTCTACACCGTGCACGCGGCCCCACAGCCGCCTGACCCGCCCTCACATGGTCCCGGCGCAGTCCACCTCGCGGACAGAGCCGCCGTCGAGGGCTGCGGAATCTTCGACATCAAGTGGCGGCACGCCAGCGCAGACGCGGCCCCGTCGTCCGCGCTCATCGCGCAGGCGGGCTCCGACGGCGCCGTCCGCGTGTTCGAGGTGACGCGCAGCGACGCCGCCAGCACCCTCGGCTGCCGCGAGGCTGCGCAGATGGAGGACGCGGTCTGCGGCGGCATGTGCCTCACCGTCGACTGGTCCGGCCGGCCGGTCCCCGGACAGGGGGGGGGTCCCGAGCTGACCGAATCGCTGTGTCGGGCTCGAACGGCCACGTCGCAGTGCTGCGTCTCGCCGAGGGCGCGGTCGAGGACGAGGAGGTCGCCTGGAACGCGCACGGCGGCATGGAGGCCTGGTGCACCGCGTTCGACGCCTGCAGCGACCACGTGTTGTATACCGGCGCGGACGACTGCAAACTCAAGGTGCGCGGCGCGGCGGGTGTCTCGAATCGCTTGCGTGCCCCTGAGGGAGCCTCGCGCGACGGCTGTGCCCGCACCGGCGCGGTGCAGGCGTGGGACTTGCGGGCGGGGACGGGAATGGCGGCGTGGGTGAGTGTGGGGTCGCATGGCGCGGGGGTGTGTACTGTGCAGCCGAGCGTCCACCGGGAGCACGTGATTTTCACGGGCAGCTACGACCAGCATCTCCGGGTGTGGGATGTGCGCGCGCCGGGGCAGCCCGTGCTTGCCGCGGCGCTTGACACAGGGGGGGGGGTGTGGCGGTTGAAAGAGCACCCCGAGTCAGGCGACGTGGCGCTGACGGCGTCGATGCACGGCGGGTTCTGCTGCGTGCGTGGGCTCAGCGGGACCGCTCCGGCGGTGGCGTGCGTGTACGAGCAGGGCGCCACGTGCCCCGATGCCATGCCAGATCAGCCCGCGCTGGCGTACGGGTGCGACTGGTACCGTGGGGGGGTCGGGGGAGTGGGGACGGACGAGGACGGGTGGCTGGTGGCGACAGCGAGCTTCTACGACCAGGAGATGCGAATATGGAGCGCTCCATGGAAGTGAGTGTTGAAGGAGATATTTTGAGATGACTTGTGTATTCTTAGTATTATTGATCGATTGTCTCACCCATGGGTCGAGACGCAGGGGCGCCGCACCCACCTCGATATCAATAGAGGGCCACAGCAAGTCACAATCTCCCTTTTCCTACGTTTCCGTCCCAGTGTGGCCGCAGCAGCACCTCGAGCCATATCGGCCCCGGGCGCAGCGTGATCAGCGGCTGCGCCTCCACCGCCGGCCGCCGCAGCGCCGCCAGCCCCGTCGGCGGCCGCAGCAGCGTCCGCTGCAGAATCGTCGCCAGCAGCAGCGTCGTTTCCACCAGCGCGAACCTCGTCCCAATGCAGTTCCGCGGACCGGCCCCGAAGGGCAAGTACGCGCCGTTCGGGCCGAGGTTCGACATGAGCGCCATCGAGCCCAGCTGCCCGCGCCCGCGCCCCGGTCCTCGCAAGAACTCATACCACCTGTCAGGCCGAAAGTCCCCCGGGCGGTCCCAGTACCGTGCGTCGCGGTGCATCAGGTACGGGCTGATCAGCACAGTCGTGCCCTGCGGGATCCTGTGCCCCTGCACCTGCACGTCCTCCGCCGCGCACCTCCCCACCAGGTAAGCAGGCGGCATCAGTCTCATAGACTCGAGTAGCAGTGCCTCGACCTCCCACAGGTCCGGAAGGTCACCCCAGCCCGGCTGCCGCCCGCGCAGCGTGCGCCGCACGCTGCGGGACACCTCGTTCTGCAGCGAGGGCCGCTGCGCGAGCATGTGGCAGGTCCAGCCGAGCACGATGGCGGAGGTTTCCTGCCCTGCCACCAGCAGCGTCATGAGCTCGTCCCGCAGCGAGCGGTCGTCCATCCCGCCGCCGCCCTCGTCCTCGTCGTCCCGTGCGAGGATGAGCCGCGTGAGCAGGTCGTTCGGCTGCGGGGCGCCGCTCGGCGCTGCGTCCAGCGCGGCGCGCCGCTTTGCGATGATGCCGTAGACCGCCTCGTCGAGGTCGCGCACCGCCGCGTTGTACCGGGAGTTGCCCGGGGTCGGGACCCACTCGGGGATCGCAAAGCCCGTCGCCGCCCGCTGCAGACAGACAGTCGAAACAACCAATCCGACATCAATCAATGCTTGTCTTCATTTCATAGTCTCATACCTCTGTGCGGGGACGTCGGCACCCGCGCGGCCGCGGCTGCGCTGCCTCTTCTCTGCGTCACGCCCCCGAACCCCCCCGCACCTGTCCGAAGTACTCGAACGCAAGCGCGATTGCCGAGTTGATTCTCTCCGCAGCCGGCCCCGTTGCGTCCTCCCCGAACAGCGCGCGCGTCGCCACGCGCAGCGTGAGATCGTTGAAGTCCGCGTACACGTCGCGCGCGCGTCCGCGTGCGTCCTGCCACTCCCCCTCGAGCAGGTCTGACATGCACGCTGTCATGGCACCCACGTAGCCCTGCACGGCCGCCTCGCGAAACGCGGGGTTCGAGAGCCGCCGCTGCCGCCTCCACACCTCGCCGTCGCTGCGGGGGGCGGTGCGGAGCACAGTGCGTGGTCGTGTGCGCAGGGGGACACCGACATGTGCAACGTGAGTCCTGGCGTGTGGGGCGGCGCCCTCACCTGACCAGGAGGCCCTCGCCGGCGAGGGAGGAGCCGGGGAAGAACGCCGTGCCCTCCTTCTGAAAGCTCGACGCCGCGTCGACCATGACGTGCCTGGCGGCGAGCGGCGAAGACACGAGCACCACCCTGGCGCCCGCCAGCGCCATTCCGACCACGTCGCCGTGCTCCCGCTGCATGTTCTCGAGGAATGCGAGAGGGTCGCGGACCAGAGAGAGGCCCACGTCCCCGCTGGGCCCCGCAGGGAACCCCACTGGGGGCTCCTCCATGCCCCTCGTCAGCGCGTCGAGCGTGGAGAAAACAGCGTCTCGGGCGGACGCACTGAGCTCTTGCATATCTGGGAGGCCGCCGGTGGGTTGGGTCCGGGGCGGGACGCGTGGCTGCGTCGCCGCAGGCTGCTTGGAGCTGGACGCAGCCGGCCGCGGCTCCGGGTCCTGAGGCGGGGACCGCGACTGAGACGCAGGGCGCTGCGCTCGCGCACACACATGCTGCCGACTCGGGCCTGGCCGGCGCAGGGGTTGCGCGGGCGCAGGTGGTGCGGGCGATGCACCGGTGCACAACCCGGCGCGGACCGACATCTCAGGGCACGTCTCCGCGACGTGGATCGCAGCGCGTGGGTTCGCTGCGTGTTCGGGGAGCCGTGCAGCGCCCGCGGGCATCGAAGGGCGCGGGCCGGCTCGCTGGCGCGGTCCGGGGTGTGTTCCTGACCACAGGGGGGGTCTGACACTGTCCCCGCTCCGTCGGGAATCAATTTGCTTCCCGTCGGCAGACGTCGGGAGGTCGGGTGGTCGCTCGCGCCGTACTGGGAGCAGATCGCCCACCACTCCGCCCACCGCCTCGCGCTGGTCAATGGGGAGCTCACCAGGGCGGGCATCACCGCAGCACACGATCTCCGCATCCACGATCCGTCTCACAGTGCCCCGCCCTCAGTAGGCGAGGAGCACAACAAGCGCAAGAAGGGCCACAACATGTCCCGCGAGCCCTGCCGCGGCGGCGCCACTGGAGGCCGTGGTGCTTCCCACGACGTCGGCCGGGACCGTCTGCACCGAGGCGCTCGTCTCCATCGAGGTGGGGAGCACAGTCATCGTCCCGCGGCTCCTCAGCATCTCCGTCAGTTCCGCCCCGCCGTCGCTGCCGAGGCGGTTGATGTTGGCCTGCAAGCCGCTGGCCAAGGCCGGGCTCGACGCGACGTAGCTGGCCGACGACGTGTACACGAAGGATTGCTGCAGGCGGCGACGGGTCGTCCCGCCGGCCGACAAGGCGCGGCGGCGGGTGCAGGTGCCCGAGGTGCTCATCGTCAGCAGCCCGTCGTCGACGTAGTCCTGCACGACCTCGCTGCTGCCGAGGCTGAAGAGGACGATGGCGAGGGTGACTTGGAGGTCGTCGCGTTCTTCGCACGTGAGCTGCCTGTCGAACGTGGCGCTCGTGGTAACCGATACGCGGCTCACGGTGTCTTCGGCGGGACTCGCCGTTGCAGCGGGTGCCTGCGTAGCCCGCGGCTGCTGCTGCTGCTGCGGCCCTGCGGTCCCCTGCGGCGCGGCTGCTGCTGGCGCTGCGGTCCCCTGCGGCGCGGCGGCTGCTGGCGCTGCGGTCGCCTGCGGCGCCGCAGGCGCTGCCGTAGCGGTCGTCGCTTCTGCGCTGGGGGTGCAGCTCTGGCCGATGTCGCAGAAGAAGTCGCCCTGACCAGCGCGATGGGCAGGGCCGTCGTATACGTAGGGCTGTGCCTTTCCAGTGACGGGGTTCGACAGCGCGTTGCCCGACGAACATCGCGTGCAACGCTCAAACGCCGGGCCAGTTGGCCAAATGATGCAGGCTTCGCAGTCCGGGTGAACCTTCGCGCAGTTCTCAGTGCCCACCAGGTGGTACACGTGCCGGGAGCACGAGGGGTCCTCTGCAGGGGGCAGTGCAGGGCACGGCAGCGGCGTGTTTGCAATCGTGACGGCCGCGGCTGCGGTGCAGTGGCACATGGATCCCGAGGCACTCGGCGACCCGGCGGGGCGGTCTGAGTGTTGCTGTTGCGCACCTATCGCAGCTGCGTATCGCTCGGCGGTCCAGGGCCGCGAGGAGAACGAGTTCTGGATGTTGTCGCCCGAGACCCCAACGACGGGCTGTGCCGCAGTGGTCGGGAGCCCTGGCGAGGTTCCTGGAGGAATGTTGGACGCGACCGTGGGCGGCGCCGGCGTTGTTGCTTCGATCTCCGCGATCGTCCCTGTCACCATTTCGGCGTTCGTGAAGGAGTCGAAGGGCAACGTCGTCACGCCCACGTCCCTTAGCGCCTGCTGCATGACCTGATCGGCGGACAGGTCTCTCGCGATCCGATCCCTCATGACGGCGGCGGCGGTCTCGTCGTACTCGATGTACGAGAGCTGCATATCATAAATGGAAAACTGCAGGCGACGGCTGGCCTTGCCACTGAATCCCGACAGACTGCGGCGCTGGGCGCAGCCCCCGGCGGGCGGCCTGGTTGATATCGTCAGCAGCCCCTGGTCGATCGCGTCCCGCGCGGCCTGCCTGCTGGGGAGGTTGAAGAGCACTTGTGCGACAGCAAGGTCATTGTCGTCCTGCTGCGCGCACGTCAGCGTCTCCTGGTACCACAGGCTGAGTCTGGCGAAGATGCGGCTCGCGATGTTGTTCTCCGCGGGACCCAGGGTCGGAGGCGGTGCCGGCGTCGTCGGTGCCGGGGGAGTCGTCGGCGCCGCCCGTTCCGGGAACTCGTCCAGCCAGTTCGGGATGCCGTCGCCGTCGGCGTCCTCGCACTGCTCGACGAGCTCCGGGTCGAAGAGGCGCGGGCAGTCGTCGGTCGGAGTGAAGAACGCCAGCGCTTCTACAATGTATATCGCACCAGTGCTCCTCCTCCTTCCCGGGGCGCCGGCCAGCACCAGGCTCCCGCTCACCGCCACCGCGGTTCCGATCTGGTTGTCCGCCGTGCTGTCCGTCGACTTGACGTCGATCCTCGAAACCCAGGTGGCGGTCGACCGGCGTTCGTACACCTCCGCTCGCCCCGCGGAGGTCGTCAGGGTCGGCGACGAAAATGGCGAGAAGTTGTACGCGCCGACGACGAGGAGGCTCCCGCTCACCGCCACCGCGGAGCCGAACATCCCCTGGCCCGAACTGGTGAACGTCGTCGGAGTGATCCTCGCAGTCTGCACCCACACCCCGAGCTCGCGCCGGTCGAACACGTACACGGCGCCCAGATTCTCCGGGGTGTTGGAGCCGCTGATGATGATTCCGTCCACGTCGTCTTCCCCGGGCGCGCCGCCGACGGCCGTGTTGCCGCTGACGGCGACGGCGAAGCCGAACTGGTCGCCGGCCGAGCGCTCGGAGGGCCTCAGCTCCGTCCGGGTGGCCGCGAAGGAGATGGGCGAAAGCTCGTAGACGTAGGCTGCTCCGGCGAAGTCGTCGGCGCCCGGTGCCCCGACGACCACGCTGTTGCCGCTCGCCGCCACCGAGTAGCCGAACGCGTCGTCGTCGGTCCCGGCGACCCCCTTCAGCTTGTTCTTCGCGCTCCACTCCCCGTCTTCACGGACGAAGACGTACGCGGCACCGGGATTGACGAACCCGTCTGCGGCTCTCGGTGCGCCCACCGCGATGATGTCGCTGTTCACGGCCACCGAAAAACCGAACAGGTCCCCCCGAGCCCCATCAAGCGTCGATCCGATGGCGGGCCGAAGCTCGGCGGAAAGCGAGAAGTACGTGCCGTCGTCGTTGTATACGTATGCCAGACCGGACTCAGTGCCCCGGTCGTTCCTGCCGGGCGCTCCGATGACGATGGTGTCGCCACTGATCGCGACCGCGTCGCCGAACCGGTCCCCCGAGACGCCGTCGGGCGGCAGCAGCGGTGGGCCCACGAACCACTCCCCGCTTGACGGGTCGCGCAGGAACACGTTTGCCGAACCGGCCGTCGCGTTCTCGACGGAGGTCCCGCCCGCGACCACAGCGCGGTTGCCGCTGATGTCCAGGGCGCGCCCGAACCTGTCGCCGGGCTCCGTGCCAGTGGGCGCACTGGCCACGAAAGGGCGCGCCTGCAGCAAGGCCCTGCTGACGGGCTTGAGCTCAGCACACAGACCGGTGCGCATGAGGAGCGCGAGGATGGCCGATGCGGCGACGAGGGCCACCGCCTTCCGACTCATCTTCGCCAGTACAACCGGCTTTCGTCCCTTGATCGGCTGCATCGAAAACGTGCGCCGAGAACAGGCGCCGAGAACGATGCAACCTGTCCTCTCTCGCCTGCACAAGGGTATAGAACATGAAACATGCTGAATGCGGTGGATATGGTACTCGACAGGGACACGATCGCCTGCGATGCTGGCTGGCTCCGGAGACAAGGCCCAGGCCTCGTTTCGGATTTTGCACGGCGATCGGTGTGTGATATGACCCGTTCTGTACGCAAACGCGCATACACTGTTGTAATTGATGCGCTTATCGAGCGGTACACTGTCGAAAACGAGAATCTGTTCGCGGCAGCGGCTCGTGCCCTGCCGTGCCACAGCACGACGCGCGGACGTACCTGGAGGCGAACCGGGTACCCCTGGTCCTCCAGAAGCCTTTGAGAGTAGTTTGTCTGCGGAAGCCGCCTGGACAGACCCAAGATCAACGCACGACGGGACACAGCGACCCCAGCACCTGTGCAAGGGGGAGGTCACCTTACGTGGCCTCGCCTGTACGCGGAGACCCGCCCGGAGGCCGAGTCTCGTTGATACTGGCATGGCACAGAGATACTGTGCACATCGCGCTGTCTGTTTTGGTGAGAAAATCTCGCGTTGCGCCGCGTTGCGCCTCGGCCCCTCCGTGCCATCCATTCACGCAGGAAAGGCCCCCGTCCTACACAGCCGCGATCCAACGGTCAAGCTGCTGCAGTCAGTGGCGACCAGCCAACACGCCTGTAGCTCTCGCGTGCGTCGTTTCGCCCCGAGCCCAGACAGATCGTCACGCCGAGCCTTGCGGCTTCTCCCGGCAGTAGACGCGCTCCTAGCGCCGCGCGGCGACATGTCCGTCACGTGGAAAGCGGCGCTAAACGCTGCCCTCAGGAAGAACAAGCGGCACATGCCCTACGCCAAGGTCAGTTCCGCCTCTGCTCCCCGCCAAGCACCCTCTTCTGCCCCGCACACGCGCACACCTTCGCGAGCCCGCCGCAGACGCGCGGCTCCGCCCCCGCCCATCATCCGCAGTACGTCCAGGTTGCGACGGTCCGCGCGGACGGCCGCGGCGCCGCGAACCGCACCGTCGTGTACCGCGGCTGGCTCGACCAGTCTGACGCGTGCTCCACGCTGACCTTCGTGACCGACTCGCGGAGCGCCAAGGTGGCGGACGTGGCGGCGCAGCCGCTCGGCGAGGTGGCGTGGTACCTCCCGGGGACGCGGGAGCAGTTCCGGATTCACGGCAAGCTGACGATAGTTGGGGGGGGTGAAGCGCCCGAGGAGCTGGCCAAGGCGCGCGTGAGGGCGTGGAAGGCGCTGTCGGACGGAGCGCGCAAGCAGTTCTGCTGGCCACACCCGGGCCTGCCCAGGGAGAGCGCCGCGACGGACCCGTTCGACGGTGAGCCTCGTCCTAGTTCTTTTCGCGCACCATCACTCCCGAAACAGTATCTGTCGGTGCAACGCTGTCTCTCTCGCTCTGCGTGCGCGACAGACGCGTGCTTCGACCGCCCGCGACGGCCTCACGCCCCCCCCGTGCCCACAGACCCCCCCAACGTCCCTGCACAAGACGAGGAGCCGGCGGAGATGTTTTGCCTCATGACGCTGGAGCCCGAGGTCGTCGACCACCTGAGCCTGCGGTCGAACGAACGCTACCTGCACTCCCTCAAGGACGGCGTGTGGGACAAGGCCTTTGTCAACCCATGATGGCAATGATGATGGTGATGCACACTAGCATGATCATGATGCTTCCGCGTGGACGGAGCGGGCCGCGAGGACGCGGGCATCACGCAGCGCGGTGCGCATCCCTCATGCGGTCCTGCACGGGCGGCGCGATGCGCCCGAGACGTGCATGGGCGTTGCTCGCGTTGAGCGCGGAGGAGGAGGGACCTCCGGGGTGTTTTGGGGGGTGTGATGTTGTTCGGATCGCGTGGCGCTGCGGTGCGTGCGGCGAGGGTCACGGCGCACTGGGCGTGGAGGAACACGACCGCGCCACGTGCCCGTCGGGAGCCTGGCGTCGGTTCCACCCTGCATGAGTCAGCACACAGGCTTCAAGTCCCCCCCCTCCGGAGCTCGTGCCGGCCACGATCGCCACGCGAGCCCGGCCGGGCGGGCAGTCTGCCGCAGAGGATCCTGCGCGACGGAGGGGCGTTCGGCCCGCCTGCGTCGGTGTGCCTCTGGCAACGCTACCCAGGGTTCCGTCTGGCAGCATGTCGGGGGCGTTTTCGCGCGTGTGCCGCAACCTGCGTCCTCTGGACAGGTTCCTGACGTCGGCGCGCGTCGGATCCGCGAGCGAGGGCGCGTCATGCACCCTGGCGACGCAGCAGTCTGCTCAGGGTAGGGGCTGGACGGCCGGCCTGTTGCGTACAGGGGCGCCGGGCTGCGGGCCGGGGCTCGGAAGCATGGACATGGGGATCCTAGGCGGGCAGGGGTGGTGGATGGCCCGCGCAGTGCACGGATCGGCCGCTCTGGCGAAGCACGCGCACGTGGCGGGCACGCACAGCTTCGGCTGGAAGCGCAAGGACAGGAAGCACAAGCCCTGGATGGGCGACCCTCGCCAGTACAACGCCAGGAAGTACGGGAAGCTGGACACCCACGCGAAGTGGCAGAAATACGTCCGATCACGCGATGAGCACCTGGAGGTGCGCACCCACGCCCGTCCGCAGCCGCACAGGGCCTTCCACGATGACACGCAGCCGCGAACGCGTACCTCCTCCCCGCCTGCGCCCTGTCTCGCTGTCGTCGCGCTGGGACCGCCGCCCCCGGGACGCTTCGCGCTGCTCCTGTGCGGAGCTCCCACGTCGCGTGGCGCCCGCTCCCGCACCGCAGAGGATCAAGGAGCGGCTCGACGAGCACGTCGTAGCCACCTGCAAGGCGCGGGGACTGCGCATCAGCCACAAGAAGCTCAACGCGCCCTGCACCATGATCCGCGGTCTCCACGTCGACGACGCCCTGGTGCAGCTCGCCGCCACGCCCAAGAAGGCCGCGCAGATGCTCCACACCGCCGTCCTCTCCGCCAAGGTCCGCATCACCGCTCGCCCCGCACCGACCCGCCACAGCCCGACTCTCACACAACACTTCGCGCGTCGCGCCCACCAACGCACCGCACCGCGCCCCCGCCCGGCCGTCCGCGCCGCACCGCGCTGCCACGAACCACGTCGGGGTCCCGCGGGGCCTCGCCGCGTCCCAGCACCTGTGCGATACACCCCCCCCCACCCCCTCTCGTCACCGCAGGCCAACGCGGTGAACAACCACGGCCTGAAGCCGTGGAAGCTGTTCGTGTACCGCGCCGACGTGGGCCGCGCGACGCCGCTGAAGCGCATCCGCCTGCACGGCCGCGGCAAGTTCGGCCGCATGGAACGCTACCGCGCGCACCTGCGCGTGGTGCTCAAGGAGGGCAACACGCGGCCCGTGACCAAGGTGCTGCCGCCGATGCTGTTGCGGGAGCGGCTCGCGCGAGAGGAGGGCGAGGGCGACGAGGGCGGCGAGGTGCGTGCGTGCGTGCGTGCGTGCGTGCGCGGGGGCTGCAACTTGTGTTGAGCGCCGTTGGCTGCGCGTTCGGCCACCGGCGCGGGCGTTTCACAGCTTGGCGTGTGCGTGGCGTGCAGGCGGAGGGCGGAGAGGAGGGCGAGGCGCCGGGAGACGTCACGCCGGCGCACGTGCAGAAGCGGAAGCCTGTGCAGCCGCGGCGGGCGGTGGTGTGGTGAGCGGCGGAGGGCGAAAGCGCGCGCACACGCGCAGGCTCTCGGCGCGAGCGCGGGACGTACGCAAGGCGCCGTTGCGTCGCGCCGAACCGACGACGTGTGACTCGTGTTGCGTGTCACGCTGCTGTGCCGCTGGCGCACGTGTCCCCTTCGCGCGCCGCACGCCTGGCAGGCATTGGCACGTCCCTGGAGGTGCGGCGCGCGCGGCTCGCTGCGCCGGGCCCTGGCGCTGAGTCAAGCGGTGGCGTCAGACGCACAGAAGGCGGCCCGCAGCCTGCGGCGTGTCTTGGGGCCGCCGATCGCCGGCGGGGTGGCCGTGACGCTGCCTGGGACTGCCCTTGCAGAGGACCATCGGCGTGCACGTCGTCTCTGACGCGCAAGCGGGTGGCCGGCGATCACAAACTCCGCCAGCAAGCACGCCCACGGCTGGCTGCTCCGGGTCCCTCCACACACGCCTCCCATCGCAACCCCGTCGCAAGGTACGCGAGCTGCTTCGCGGCATCGCGAGTGCAGCCCGGCCCCCTCTGCTGGCGCGGAATTCGGGCATCACCTAAACCGCCGCCCTGCTGCAGCTTTCGCGCGCGCGTGGGCAGCCGTGTGGATCTCCGCGCTTTGGCTTGTCCGTGCGGCCTGTAGAGATTCGTGCGGTGGCGTTGCGGGCGTTGATGGGCGCGAGTGAATCGTCCACGCGCGCCTCCGGGCCTCCGCTTGCGTTGCGGGTAGCAGCCGCTGCGGAGTCACGGGCGAATTTGATCGTCTCTCCCGCCGCACCGTGCGGATGGCAGCGATATATGACGCCCCGTCACATGTGTGCGGGAGCAAATCCGCGCGGCGCGACAGGACCTCACGGCCGCGAACCTGCGCTCACAGCAGAGCCGTGTCCGCGCCGCAGGGTAGCAAGGACTGGCACAGGAGACAATCGAGCTTCGTCGTCGACATGAATTTCGAGGTGAGCGACGCGATAGACCGCGGAGCCCTCCCGCGCGGCGGCGCCCGGTCAATGTCCGCGCCCAGCCTAGCCCCTCACCAGGGCGCAGCCGCTCCGCCGCGATACCTCCACCTCAGGCTCCGCAGAGCTCCAGTACGTGCGCAGCCGCGCGGGCGCTCGCCGTTCCCCCCCCTGGCGACCGCGGCGGCCGAAACACCGTTGCAGTTCCTCCTTGATGCTGCCCCGCCCCTGCGACCGCACTCGCGCGGCGCTCGACACCCGCGGCGCGTTGCAAGTCACTGCTGAGCCCGCCCCACCGGTCGCCCGCGCCCCGCAGCCGGAGACTCAGCAGCAATTCGCCTTCGATGGGGGACGGGGCGCCGGCCCAGGACGGGGCCGCGGGCGCGGGTCTGGCCGCCAGCCGGTGCCGCCCGACACCCCGTTCGAGAAGGGCATCGTCGTTTCCACCAGGCGCGACCCCGGAACCGCCCCCCCGCGCCCCCCCCGCGCGCCGCGGCGTCAAACCACCCAGGAGGGAGCCAACGTGTGCGCGAATCTCCCCCCGACGCCCGCGTCCCGCTCCGCAGGGAGAACTACGGCTTCGTACGCAGCGAGTTCCGTCCTGCGGACGTGTTCTTCCACTTCTCGGAGGTCACCGCGCCCGACGGGGCCCCGCAACCAGCCCCCACACCACCCGAGGCTCCGGCGCCCGCCACGGAGGACGGCGTCACGAAGACCTTCCCCCACCGCGGCCACGTCGCCACTCCGCACGTGGCGCCCGGCACCTGCGCCGAGTTCCAGGCACGTTGCGCCCGCGCCGCCCCACGACGCCGCACCGTCGACGTCGCCGCGACCACCTCCCCCGCCTCGCGCCGCAACGCCCGGCCCCGGCGGCCCGCGCGCCGCGCTCACCTCCTCCACGCTCGCGCGCGCGCAGGTCGTGCACAACGCGATGACGGGCAAGCTCAACGCGGTCAACCTGCGGGTCCTTGAACCGGGCAGCGTCAGCCTGGAACGCACCCTCCCGGACACCTACATCGGCACGGTCTCCGCAGAGTGCGCCTCGCGCTCCCGCGGCGCGCACCGCGGCAAGGGCGCGCGCGGCCAGATCACGGCCCTCGAGAAGGCGGGCGGCGGCGCTCTCGCGGAGCCCGCGGCGCCCGCCGAGGGCGCGGTGCCCGCGCCGGAGAGCCCGCGGCTGCGCGACGTCTTCTCGTACCACGTGAAGGACGTGGTCGGCCCTCCGCCGGTCGCGGGCCAGCGCGTGGAGTTCCGGGTGTGCGAGGAGAAGGCGTCGGGGAAGCGGCGCGCGGTGGGCGTGACGGGGCTGGCGGCGGTGGTGGACCGCGCGACGATCGCGGGGATGGAGCGCGTGCAGGGGTTCGTGGCGGCGCTGAAGGACACGTACGGCTTCGTGCGGTGCGCGGGGCGGCTGGCGCAGGTGTTCTTCCACAGCTCGGAGGTGGATGGGGGCGTCGAGGGGCTCGACGTGGGGCAGGAGGTGTCGTTCGTGGTCACGACGGACGTGCGCACGGGGAAGGACGCGGCGGTGTCGGTGTCGAGACTCCCCGCGGGGACCGTGACGGCCGAGGTCAGGGTCCCGGGGGTGTTCAAGGGCCGCGTCGTGCAGGCGTCCGAGAACCAGCTCAAGTCGTGGTCCGACGAGGACGGCCGCCTCCTCGTCGAGGGGCCCTACGTCGAAACACCCCCCCCTGACGCAGCCACGGAGCAGCAGCCCGACGCCGACGCAAGTGCCCCCCCGCCCGCGGACGCCGACCCGCCCGAGCGCGCCGGCACGACCGCGGTGTTCAGCGGCGGCGCCGTCGCGCCGGGCGCGGGCGAGCGCGTCGAGCCGTGGACGCCCGGCGTCGGCGACGAGGTGGCATGCGAGCTGTGGGAGGTGCCCGCGCTGGGCGTCGTGCGCGCCGTCGCGCTGCGGTTCCTCCGGCGCAACCCCGAGCGCGGCCAGATCCTCAGCCTGCAGCCCAACTTCGGATTCATCCGTTCTGCGGAGCGCGCGCTGGACGTGTTCTTCCACATGACGTCCCTGGAGCCGCCGCTGAAGATGGCGGAGCTCGCCGTGGGCGTGGACGTGTCGTTCTCGATGGGGAAGGACACGAACAGCGGCCGGCCGTGCGCGCTGAGCGTCGCGCGGGCGGCCAAGGGGTCGGGCGCGTACCAGGCGCTGTCGGGGGGGGAGTTCTACGGGGTGTGTCAGGAGACGGCGCGCGCCGCGCGCGCGTACGGCGCCACAGGCACCGCCGGGCTCATCGAGTTCGCCACCCCGGACGCGCCCACCGAGCGCCAGCTCATCACCTACGGTGCGGGGGATACGGCGCGGGAAGACGGCAACAAGGGCGGTCTGCGGCCGGGCGAGCACGTGGCGTTCCGCATCATGACGGACCTCCGGCACGCGAACGTCGCCGCGGGCGCGAAGTCGCCGAGCGCGGAGCTCGCAGGCAAGCGCGCCGTGCGTGTGCGCCCCGTGCGCACCGTCGGGCGCGTGTGCGCGGTGTACGAGTCCACGGGGATCATCGAGGTGCTCGTGCCGGACAAGGCGGCCGACGCGCCGCGGAGCGGGAAGTCGCGCCGCGCCTCCACGAAGAGCAAGCGCAGCTCTGTTGGCGGCGCTGCTGGCACGGAAGAGGGGGCGAAACCCTCGCTGCCGGCGTCCGCGGCCGGCTCCGCGACGGAGGAGGCGCGGGAGAAGGAGAAGGCGGCGGCGGAGCCCGCGGGGCCCGGGACGGCCCGGGTCGGGCAGCAGGTACAATTCCATGTGTCTGACTTGCCGCCGAAAGTCCGACTGAGGGTCGGGGACGAGGTGGAGTGCGTGCTGACGACGGGCAAGGGCCGCGACGTGATGGCGCGGCAGCTCGTGCGCACGCGCGAGGGCGACGAGGAGGACGTGGCGGAGGCGAATGCGGCGGCGCCCGCCATGAAGGCAACACCCCCCCGCCTGCAGCACCTCAAGCTGGCCGCGGCGTCCGGCGGCGCGCGGCCCGTGACGACGGCACGGATCGCCAAGGGCCCGGACGGCACGCGCGGGTTCGCGCTGGGCCGTGGGAAGGCGATCGAGGCTGCGTTGCACGACCAGCATCGCAAGCTGGAGCAGGTGACGGACGCGCCGGAGTGGGTGCCGCCGGGCGCGGGGGCGGACGCGGAGAAGGTTGCGGACGCGGACGAGGCCGCGCAGTGAGGCTGCGGGGTGCGCGGCGCGCACCATGCCTGGTTGGCGCATGCCGCGAACGCGAGATTGCATATTGCATGCGGCGCTTGACATGTGATGCTACTTTATCTGGAGGTCGAAGCGGCTGTGTGCGTGTCCGAAGGCGGGGGCGCGGGGGGGGGGTCAGCCGCGCGTGCACGTGTGTGTCGCGCACACACCTCACCTCATGACGTCATCATCATTCGAGTCCGGCCGAAGCTTGTGGACGTGGCAGCGGAGGCGCGCGACGTGGCCTACCGCGGCCGCACCGTCCGCTGCAGCTGTACCTCGGGCGCGGGGAGATTTCGCCCCCGCGGCCCCGCGCGGCTCGGGACAGTTCGAGAGCGTGCTCGAACCACCTGGAGTCTTCTACAACACCTCCCAATTACTCCCCCCTGTTCCGGGGCTATTTCAAGCCCGGGCGGCGGCGCACCTCGGCACTTTCGGCGACCGTACACCAGGCTATCCGAACCTCCCGCAGCGCTCTTCACTCGCTCTCGAGCAGGGATCGCAACCAGCGCGAAGCGTGCACCAACTTCCAATCTCGAACCTCGAGGAATGACCAAGATGATCCGCGTCGTCGTCCCCCGCACCGTGGCGCGTCCGATCAAGGCCCAGCAGGCTGCGCAGCGGCGCGCGATGCGCGGCGTCAGGTGCGTGCCCCCCAGAACGATCTCATCACAGTGCACCCGCGCGTTGTGGCCTATCGACGCGTAGTTTTCGCGCACTAAAGCAGTACGTGCACGCTTCGCTGCGCGATGAGATCGGACGCGCGGAGAAGCGCCGTCCGAGGAGCGTTCGGGGCGATTCCTCGGAAATGCCTGCAGCGAGGCTAACTGATTCTAGATCTCCACGCCCGCCGCGGCCCGCCGCGGCGCCCCCCGCCTTTCCCGCTCCGTCCCTCCCCTTTCGACATTTTCATCACCCGTTTCCGCGTCCGCGTTTCCGTTCCGACGCAGCCCCCGCGCGGCGAGCGGCCCGGAAGGCGAGGAGCTGGCGAAGGCGCCCCGCGAGATCAGCCCGAAGGTCGTGACGGGCATGATGCGGTCCATCGAGGACGAGATGGACAGCCTTATGCGTGAGGCTTTCGGCGCGTGGTCGGGCCGCGCGTCCCCGATGCACAGCGCCCTCTCCCTCCTCGGGCGCGCCTTCCCGGAGGCCGAGCTCCCGGCGCGCCGCCTCGAGGCCGCGCCCGCGGCGTGGCGCATCCGCTTCGACATCGCGGAGACCGACGAGGCGTACACGCTGCACGCCGACGTGCCGGGCCTCACCAAGGACGACGTGTCCGTGGAGATCGAGGACAACATGCTGGTCGTCAAGGGCGAGCGCCAGGCGCAGAAGGCCGAGGAGGACAAGGAGGGGACGTGGCGCCTGATGGAGCGCACGCACGGGTCCTTCGAGCGGCGCTTCCCGCTGGACCCGGAGCGCGTGGACATTGACGCCATGGAGGCCAAGGTCGCGCACGGCGTGCTGACGATCGTCGTGCCCAAGGTGCCCGTCCAGGAGCCCGAGAAGCCCGCGCCGAAGAAGATCGAGGTCCGCGGGGAGTGAGCGGGGCCTGAGCGGGCCGCCCGCGGCCTCCGAGAGTTTGCATGCAGAGAACTGACGTCAGCACGCGGGGGGGTGTCCGGCGATTCGAATCGTGGGGCATCGCGGCGGCGTGACGCAGCAGACGATTCACACGCAGGGTTGATGTACATGTAAGCGGTGAACCAGTCTCGCACAGTCGAATCAGGATCCGACTCTGTTCCTGGATCTGAAAGCCATGGAAACGCCCCGCGTTGCTCCCTTCCTCTCTCTCACGGCCCCTCGCGGACCGCCCCGCCGAGCACCGGGTCGTAGTTGGACATCCCGAGCAGCAGCAGCTGCCGCCGGACGCCCTCGCCGCCCTCCCTGGAGTCGTTGGCCACGTGCGGCACGATCGCCCGCGGCCGCAGCCACTTGATGAACTCCCGCAGCTCCATGTACGACGAGTGCTCCGAGTAGGGCACCTCGTGGATCAGCGCGGTGCCGCGCGCCTGCGCCCTGCGCCCGGCGTACTTGGGCATTCTACCTCGGAACCCCCCCTCCGGCGCCGTGGACCACCCGGTCGGCTTGAAGCCCACGACGGTGTGGTACCGCGCCTGGTTCGCCGGCACGCGCAGCAGCGAGAGGAGCCCGTTCTTGTTGATCATGCCCATGGGCATTACGTGCAGGTTGCTCTCGTCGGGGTTGGTGGTCAGGAGCGCCATGTCCGACTCCGGGAGCTGCATGTGCGACAGCACCTCGTACCGCGCGTGCTGCACGTACACCTTCATCCCGAGCGCCCGCGCCACGCCCATGTACAGCCGCTCCTTCCCAATGCGGTAACACCCCACGACGAACAGCGTCCCGCAGCCGACGCCGTTGAACGACTCGGCGCGGACGGCGTCGGCGACGAACTCGACGACGTCGTCCTGCGGCGGGTGCTGCCACGACGGGTCGCAGAACGTGGTGTCGAGCACCACGCGGCACCGGCCCACGGCGCGCTGCAGGTGCGGGCTGTCGCAGAACGCCCGCGTGAAGCGGATGTCGCCGGTGTGGAGGATCGGGTCGCAGCCGTCGCGCTCGAGCAGGACCATGGCCGCGCCGGGGCAGTGGTTGGCGTCGATGAAGGTGAGGGTGGTGCGCGCGTCGACCGCGGTGGGGGTGTCGAAGGGGACGGGGGTGATGCGGTCCGCGGGGAGCGCGACGCCGCCGACGCGCGAGGCGAGGATCGAGGCCGTGGCTGCGCGGGGCGGGGGCGCGGTGATGCGTGAGTGGACGGGGGGGGGTGTTTCGTTCGACGGGTGGACAGGAGCGTGGGGGACGTACGCGGCGTGCAGTAGATCGTGCCCTTGTTCCAGGTGTCTTCCAGGCCGCCGTAGTGGTCCGTGTGGAAGTGCGTCAAGATCCACTTGACGTCCTTGTCCTGCAAATCGAACAGCAACCACGAAATGCCATCAAGATCAACAAACACGCAAGAAGCACACACCCGTCCCCCGGGCACCCACGCCACCGCGCACGAGCAAGCAGAGCTGCGTCAGGCGCGTGTCGTACCGCGCGGTATGACGGCGAGAACCCGTCGATCATGAACGTGTCAGGCCCTGAGTCCCCCGGGTGGAACTTGATGTGGACCCACGGCGGCGGCTCCTCCAGATCATCCTCGACCTTAGCAGCCGCCCCGACGACCTCCCCATCCGTCGCCGTCCCGGCCGCACCGTCGCGCTCCCCGCGACACGTCACGTCGCCATCAATCTCCATGCCGCCCGCCGGTCCCCCGCCCAGCGCCGCACGACCCGGTCCCGCCGCTGCGGCGTCCTCCCGCTTCACTTGCACCGTGCCGGCGTCCGCCATCTCGGCGTCGGGCGGGCCCGCCGCGGCGGCCCATGGCGCGGTGCGCGGCGCCGCAGGCACGGCCCACGGCGGTGGCGTGTCCCGCGGAGGCGCGGCGGCAGGCACCGGGCTGCTGCCGCGCTGCCAGGGCGCGATAGCGCGCGTGGGAAGGCGCACCGTCGCGGGCGGCGCCGAAGCCGCAGGTCCCGGGTTCGCGTCCTCCTCTTTCACCGCAGCAAGCGCAGCGCCGCTTTCGCTGTCGCTGTCGCTGCTCACCACGATCGGAGCGGCCGGCGCGGTGGGCGCCGACGTCGGCACCGACGACGGCGCCTGTGCTGACCCTACGGCGGCGCGGCCCGCCGTGTGCTCGCTCGGCGTCGCCGCTGTCGGGCATGGAGCGTTCGCGTCCGCGCCCTCCTGCTTCACCGGCCGCGCGGCCCCGCACGCGCGGTCCGCGAGGTCCGCAGCCCGTGCGAAGTACCGCGCGATGCCCCCGGCGTACTTGGGCGTCCGGCCGGTGCGATCGGGGCTGCCGGCCACCTGAAGGAGCTGCACAGCGATGTCGCCGCCGCCCGGCGCGCCCTTCGCGGCCGTGTCCCTGCCGCTCGCCGGCGTACTTCGGTCGCGCTTGCGTCCACGCCCGCCGCGTCCGCCGCGCCCGCCGCGCCCCCGCTGGCCCCGGAACCCCCCCCCCTTGCTGACGTACGGTGTGTCTGTCGCCGCCGCGCCGGCAGTCGCGGCGTCGCCCTCGGCCAGGAGCGTGGTGATGCACCTGCCGTCGCGGACCTCGATCGTGCGGTCGGGCAGCTGGAACACGCGGCCCTCGCTCCTCGGCTTCCGGCGCCGCGGCGCCGTCGGCTCTGGAGGGGGGGGTATTGGCCGCCCGGGTCCGACCAGCGCCGCGGCAACCGGCGTCCGGTCCGCCGTGATGCGGTCCTCGAGCCCGCGGAACGCCGCGAGCGCCCGCCAGACCACGGTGGGCCACGTGGCGCACTCGAGCAGCGGCGGCACGGAATCGCTGCTGTCAGTCGAGTCAGGGTCCCAGGGGTCCGACGCGAAGTCCTCCCGGCCGTGTCTCCTGCGCGGTGCGTGCGGAGGTCGCGTGCGAGGCGTTCTAGGCTCGAGCGGGCCGGTATCAACACGATGCTGACAACAGACAACCTCGAACGCGACGCACCTCAACAGGAGCTTGACTTCGAGCGCCCACGGATGGTCTACGGCGAGCACTTCGTCCGACAAGTGCCGCACGCGCCGCCACTCCGCCCGCCCGGCCGCGGTGAGCGCGCAGCGCGCCACTTCCTGCCTGCGGTCGAATGCAGTCGCCGACACCGCAGCTCAGGCCCGTCGCAGCGCCACGAAAGCGGCCCCCACGGATCGTTAATACCACGTAGCACGTGTTTCTGTGCACTCAACGCCGCTTAGGGCCCGCAACCACGCACCTGAAGCGCAGCAGGGGCTTGATCAGTGGCTTCTGGTCTGGCTCCGGAAGGAAGCCGCTCGCGGCCGCGGGAGCAGCGGCCGCGGGCTCGCGCTGCACGCCCAGGTCAGGGACCTCGGCGTCGAGGTCCATGTCGTGCCCGCCGTCCTCGCTCAGGCCCATGGGCGTGGCCAGCTGGGCGCTGCTGAGCACGGGCAGGTCCGCCGCGGCCTCGTCGGCGTGCATGCGGAACAGGTGCTTCACGGGGGCGTCCGCGGGGATCCCGCACGTCCCGAGCAGCGCGCTCCGCGTCATGGCGGGCGTCACTTCCGGCGAGGGAGACCTCATGGCGACGTGCTACGCGCACCGGGGCGCTCCTAGCCGGGACGGGCCGCTAGTTCCGTCCTGCAGGGCCGTTCATGTCTTCAAGATTCGGGACATCATGCCGTGACTTGTTGAGAGCGGCGGATACGCGGGGAATCCGAGCAGTAGGGTGCGCGTGGTGCGGCGCGGCGCGAGGCTCCCGCAAACTAGAGGCAGACGACGCGGAGCGCGGTCGCGGGATGCCCGTGCCGCTGGGAGTGGCGCGGGACGGCGCCGCGTCGGCGCCATGGCGTCAGAGAGCAGCAACGCGAGACGCCCCGCCCGACGCGCTATGTGTCATGATCCTGACGTGTCGCACCAACGGGCCGGCGCCGCTCCGCGGACGCCCGTCGTAGCGCGTGCCCGACCCGCGCAGCCGCTCTGGTGGCCAGAGACCGGACGTGGCGTGGCGTGGCGATGTCGTCAGGTGGCGAGGTGCTCTGAGGTCGCTCCGGGCTCGACAGCCGCGCTCGTGGCCCCGTTTGTGTTCGTGCCGACTCTTTACGTGTTTGTCGGGGCGGAGGAAGGGCCGGAACGGAACGGAGAGGGCGGGAGGCGGCTGCGCGCGCTCGGGGGTTTGCTTGTGCGTCGACAGCGGTGCAGTCAGACGCCGTTTCGCGCGCGTCCGTGGCCCGATTGCCCGCCGCGGCGGTCGCGACGGGCACAGCTGCTCGGTGTGTCGTAGTGGGAGCGGGTCGGCCAGATGAGCAGGTCCACGAGGGTGCGGAAGGTGGTGTCGTACAACGACAAGGCCCTGGAAGGCGCCCAGCGGGAGAAGGCTGACGCATGGTTCAAGGTGAGCGCAACGGAAACACGCGGCAACAAATCTGAGTATCTGTGTTCCGCGGAGCACGCGCGCGAGGATGCGCGCGTCGGGGCGGGACGCCGGTGAGCAGCGCTCAGCATTGTTGCCGAGCGTGGACCTGGCTCCCGCGCAGGGGTCGAGCGCCTTCTCGAAGCTCGAGAAGGACGCGCAGGCGAAGCGGGCCCTCGAGGACGATTTCGATGAAGAGAACCGCGAGAACGGAGCCGCGAGGCCCGCGGCGAAGCCGGCCAAGTCGAGCAAGCAGCGCGCCGGACCGACGGAGCGCAGGAAGACCGTACACACGAAGGACGCCGGCTACAAGCGCCCGCACGCCGTCGAGAACACAGAGCGGGACGCCCTGAAGCGCCGGCGCACCAACGTCGACCCCGCGGCGCAGCGTGCGGCCGCCTCGAAGCACGCTGCGGTGCACCGCCCGGCCTCTCCGCCGCGCATCGTCCTCGACGACTCGTCGCTTCCGTCGCCCGGAGGCGCCCCGTCCTCGATCGACCTCACGACGCCCGGAGCGGACTCCGTCGCGGCGCCCGCGAGCACCGAGGCGCCCTCGTCCCCCGCGGGCGTGCTCTACGACGTCGCCCCGGCGCCGCGTGGGGGCGGCGCGCGGGCCAAGGACGCGCCCCGGGAGTCGGAGAAGTCCTTCAACGCGCTGATGGACGAGTTCAGGTGAGAGCCGCGGCCAGGAGAGCGCGCGCTGCGGCAACTCGCGCGCGAGCCCAGGCAACAACCGGCCGCGGGGGCCCTGGGCCGGCGTCCCGCTCATCGCTGCGCCCTCTGCGCGTCCCGCGGCGCAGGAAGCTCGAGCGGAAGTACCGGGCCCTGAAGGAGATGAAGATACAGGAGGTGGAGGATATCATGCAGGAGCAGAGCAAGAACATCGAGGTACGGTGACTCCTGGCACACCTCGTCCACCACACACCGCCAGCCGCGCACCTCCGCGCGAAACCCGCGCCCAGGCCCCGCTCGTGGCCGCACCATGCTAGCTGCGCGGCTCCAAGGCGCGCCGAGCCGAGAGCGACGCGTTGCGGCGCCCGCTGCACCCAAACGGCGACGTCCGACTCGCGGGTGCAGAAGCACAGCCAGGCCACGCGGAAGCTCGCGACGCACTGGCGCGAGGAGGCCGAGCGGCAGGCGGCGCTGGCCGCCGGCGCCGCGGAGGCGAAGGCCGCCCTCGTCGCCGTCACGGACGAAAACGGCGAGCTAAAGCAGGCAAGGCGCCCCGCAGCGACAACGACAAAACCGCCGCCCGCTCCCCACGCCGCAGCTCCGCGCCCCAGACCTTCCGCACCCTTAGCTGCGCTGACCCGACCGGCTGCTGCGCCCCTGAGCGCAGTCCCTGCTCGAATCCGAGGCGAAAGCGGCGGCGCTGGAGCAAGCGCTGGTGGACCTGGAGCGCCGCACGCAGGCCGCGGAGGCCGCCGCAGCGAACGCGGACGCGCGTGTTGCGGCCGCGGAGACCCGCGCTGCGCAGGCGGAGCACGCCGGTGCGGCCCCGGCGCTGCAGGGCGACCCGATGGGCAGCCTCGAGCTGCTGACGGGGCTGCGGGCGTTCCCGGCGGGCTGCGCGATCCGGTACGAGGACAGCCACACGGGGATGGCGTTCGAGCTGCACCCGGGGGACCCGCGGCCGGCTGCGAACGGGATGGAGCTCGAGGACGAGGTGCGCAGCGACAAACAGTCGTGTTTTCCTAACTGCTGACGCGCGCCCGCGCCATGTCTACGTCGACATACGCTCGAGGGCTCGGGCCAGCGCTGCAGCGAGCCTGCCGCGCCACGCGCTCTGCCGGCGTCTCTCTGCTCCGCTGCCCAACTGCCGCGTGCCAGTGCAGCTCCAACGTCCCTCGCGCGCAACAGCCAGACCCAGCCCGCGACGCCCACGGACTCCCGCAGGTCAAGTACGTACCGTGCTCGCTGGGATCCGCCGGGAAGTTCCTGCCGAGCTTCCTGCGCGACGAAATCGTGTTCTCGCTGCGGCAGATGCCGCAGTTCATGCAGCGCATCCTCCCGGGCGTCATCGCGGGCCGCGGGGCCGCAGCTCAGCGCCAGAGCGTCATGTGAGCCGCCGGGGGCGGTTCGGGGCGCGGCCGGGGCCAGCTGCGCGGACGTGTGTGCGTTTACTGGCGCAGCGGGGCCGCGGCCGCGGGGGTGCGGAGAGCTGCGTGCGCCCCGGACGAGGCGGCTGTGTGATGGCGCCCGGCTCTGTTGGTGCCTGGGCGCGGTGCGTGAGCGTCGCGGGCGGTGCGCGGTGGGAGTGCAGTCAGGGCGACACTGCACTGCAGGCCGAGTGCGGTGCGCAGTGCGGAGGGTGGGGCGGGGCGAGGCGCGGGGGCTGCCGGCCCTGCGGGCTCGTGCTCCGTGGGTCTAACGGAGCGGCCCCGGGGCGGCGGGTTGTGTGTGTGTGTGCTTAGGGGGGGGGAGGTGTCTTCGGGCCGCTGGACTGGGTGCGCGCGGCGACATGTTGGGCGCGGGCAGGGCGCGGGACGTACTCGGCGTGCGTCGATTCGTCGCGCCTTGGACCGCGGGAGTGTCGAGCACGCGGCGGCGACGCGGGCGGCCTGTCGAAAGGCATCTTCCTGAGCGGGCGTCGCCCGGCCGCATCGACGGTCTTTGGAGTGCCGTAGCGGAAGTTTGAATCGAAAGATCGCGCGCGCGATGGCGTCGCACAAGCTGCGGTTCCGCGCGAGCGTGAATCTCGAGCAGTGGCACGCTGCGCAGGAGACCAACCACGGCGGGCCGAGGAAGATCGCGGTGGTGGGCGACTGCCCCGAGCTCGGTGAATGGCACCTGCATGCCAGCGTGGATCTCGAGCCCGTCCATGGTGCGCCCCCCGCGCGCTGCAACCGCCCCTTCCCTAGCAGCCCACCTCCGCCCAGCTGGCACCCGGTGGCACGGCCGCGCGCCGCCCCGCACGCGCCCCTCGCGCTGTGCAGCGGCCTCTCTGAGCTCCACACTACCCGTTCCTGCGAGTTTCAGCCTGTTTCCTGTCCCCAGGTCGGCGCAATCGCCGACGCTTGTCCTGAGAGCTGACCATCGAACTGCCGACGTGTGTGCGCCGCGCGATGCCCGCAGGCGACCTCTCGCAGTGGGAGTCCGAAGACCTCGAGATAGCGGCCGACAGGTCCGCCCCGTTCGCCCCAGATCCACCGCGTCTGCGCGCGGGGACCGGCGGGGCCGTTGCGCGGCCACTGGTGCTCGCCACTGGGCCGCGGTCCCGCGCGCCCCGCGCCGTCCCGGCCCCCTCGAGGCCCGCACAGCCTGCGCCGCCAACTACCTATCCCGCGCGGCGCACCGCTGCTGCGGTCCAGGGCGTGTCCCGCGCGAAATCCGCCGCGAGGGCGCCCCGCTGCGATCGCGCCCACGCACCCGCGTTTCGGCGCGCGCGCGCAGGTTCCCGCTGCGATTCCGGTTCGTGATGAACGGGCACCGCTCGTCCCCGACGACGCGCCCCCTGCTCTTCGACACCCAAGCCAGGTCCGCCGCCCCTCGCCGCCCTCGCCAACCACTGTCCTCCTGGCACGGCACCCACGCCCTCTCCCGCCGCGCCGCAGCGCCCACAGGCCGGAACTCGCACCCCAGCCACCACCGCACGCACACGCCGCGCCCCTGCGAGCACCTCGTCCGCGCATCGCGTCGCGCACGCCGCGGCGGGAGCCGCCTTTGCGCGCGCGACGCGGTGGTCTCCCGCGCCCGCGCTCTGCAGGACGGTGGAGCGGCCTCCCGAGGACGGCGTCGTGCGGACGACGCTGGACCCGACGAGCGCGAACTCGTCGACGGGGTGGGTGACGCGCGAGGGCGCGGGCGCGGTGCAGCTGCGCGTGGGGCAGCACAACGGGTCGTCGGCGCCGCTCGTGGAGCTCCGGCCGGACCTGCGCGGCATCGCGTACCGCGTGGACCTCTTCGAGGCGTACCCGAAGGACCCGAACGTGCCCGAGGGGAAGGCGTTTCACCGCGTGACGAGCAACGACGTTGGGCTGCACGTGCCCGAGGACGGCGACAGCGACACGGAGACGCTGACGTTCGTGATGAACGCGCAGGAGGTCGACGGGCTGGTCTTCCGCGTCGACGTCCGCGCCGTCGACGACGGCCGCCTCCTCGCCCGCGGGTGCGCGTGCCCCCCCGCCGCGCCTTGCTCACGAACGCACAGGATACACGCGCGCCGCTCGCTCGACCGCGCCCCCGAACGCGCGCGCGCCACATGCCGTGCAGCGTGGTGACGCGGGAGACGATTTCGAAGCTGGAGGGCCGCGTGGCGCTCGCGCTGGTCGACCCCACGATGCGCCCCGCGGGCACGTTCCGCGCGTCCTTCCTCGTGGTCAAGCAGTTCACCCACCCGAACAACCACCTCGGGGACATCATGCGGCACCGCTGGGCGCCCGGCGGGGGCTCGCTCGACATCGGGCACCGCGGCGCGGGGGAGTCCCAGACCCACCTGGGCAAGCTGGTGCGCGAGAACACGATGCTGTCGTTCCTGACGAGCGCGAACAGCCGGACGATGGAGTACGTGGAGTTCGACGTCCACATGACGGCGGACGGCGAGATCGTGATTTACCACGACTTCGAGATCAAGGTTTTGGTGGGGCGTAAGACGGTGCTGAAACAGGGGCTCCCGAGCCTCACGCTCGAGCAGCTGCAGAGCCGGGACGTGCAGAGCCACCTCAACCCGCACCACCACGCCACGCACCGCGACCACCTGCGCCACAAGCGCATGTTCGAGAAGGACCACGACCGCCGCACCAACACCATGAAGCGCTGCGCCTCCTCGGGCGAAACCGTCTTCCGGTGCGATCCACCCTCGACCCCTGACCGGCGCGGCCTCTGTGCGGCGGCGTGCGCGCCTGCGCTGCGACGGGCGGGCGGTCGGGCGCCTGTGTTGCTGACTCATGGATGATACACCCCCCTCTTCTTTCCACGCGGCGCCGCGCCTTGGCGCAGCGCGGGGTGCCGTCTGCGGGCACGGCGCGTCCGTGCCGCCCCAAATCGAGTCAGGTCAAGCTTACTCCCCCCTGGTGCTGTGCGTTGCTGTGTGCAGGGATCCCCGCGAGGCGTGGGACCCCAACCAGCCCCACAAGGACGAGGACGACGACGACGCAGGGTCCAGCCAGGGCAAGAAGACCCACCGGAAGGCCGCCAGCGCGGCGCTGCGCGCCCCGCCGCTCGACGGCAGCGGCATGGGCCAGCCCGTCGCGCCGCCCGCCGCCGCCGGCGCGGAGCCCGGCGGCTCCGGCGCGCCGCCCCCGACCGCGCCCGTGCGGCCCCGCTGGCGCATCCACGACCGCATGGCCACGCTGCGCGAGCTCTTCCGGAAAACACCGCGGTGGTTGGGGTTCAACATCGAGATCAAGTACCCGACCGACCAACAGAAACAGCGGCAGCCGTTCCGGATGTACCCGCGGAACGAGTTCATCGACGCCATCCTGAACGTCGTGTTCGAGGAGGCCAAGGGCCGCAAGGTGCGACGCGTGCAACAGCAGCAACGTGCTTGTGCTCGTGCTCGCTGCTGCGCGTCGCGGGCCCCGTACCGCCCCGGCTCGCTGTACGTGCGCGGAGGTGTCTGCCGCTGCTTGACCGCAGCCAGACGAGACGCCGCACCTTCAAGCGCGAGTTATTGCTTCGTGTTTTCTACCTTTGACACCCCCCTTCCTCCTGCCGCCCCGCTTCCGCTCTGTGCTGACTCGCCGCCCCCCCGCGCCCGCCCGCCGCAGATCATCTTCTCTTCGTTCGACGCCGACTGCGCGACGCTGGTGTCCCTGAAGCAGCCCCGCTACCCCGTGTTCTTCCTGACGTGCTCGGGCACCGAGGTCTTCGCGGACCCGCGCATGAACAGCCTCAACGCCGCCGTCGCCTTCGCGCGCGCCTCGGAGCTCCAGGGCTGCGTCGTCAAGTCGGACCCCCTCCGCGAGAACCTCGACCAGTGGATCGAGACCTTCCACCGCAACGGGCTCTACCTGTTCACGTGGGGCCACCAGAACAACGACTACGACTTCGTCAAGCGGCAGAAGAGCGCCGGCGTCGACGCCGTCATCTCCGACGAGCTGTTCAAGTTCAAGCGCATGGGCAACCGCGTGGGCGCCGACAAGGGCGGCGGGCCGTCCGACCCGGCCACCAGCCCCGACGTGCTCGACCAGGCGCCCGGCGGGCCGTGGCAGACCAAGGAGATCGTGCGGCCGCCGTCGCTCAAGGACCTGGAGGGCGAGCCGCAGACGGTGGCGGGCGCGGCGGCCGAGGCGAGTGCGGCGCTGGTCCGGGGCGTCGCGGGGCCGCCGGGGGGGCTGCCGACGGTGATCGACGCGGAGGGATCGTCGCAGGGCGCGGAGTCGACGAGCGACTCGGGGACGTCGCCCGCGCGGTCGCGCGGCGTGAGTGCGGGCGCGGCGGAGTCGGGGGACCTGACGCAGGAGCTGCAGAAGCTGATGCGGCCGATCGACGAGGTCGGACAGGCGTAGCGGTGGCGGAATCGTGCTGCGCTGGCTGTGCGGCGCGAGGTAGAGTCTGACTGACATGCGCGATTCGCGCTGAGAGAGAGGGCGGCGAGTGGCGTGTGATCTGCGACGCGACGGTCGACGCAGGCTAATCGACGGTCATCTCGTGCAGGTGGCAGGGGCGAAGTTGAGGTTCGAGGTGAGCTGATGGGTCCGTCCCGGCCTCGCGACGACAGCGTGTGGGTCCGACTGTTGTTGACCCTGACAGGACTTGTTGAGCGCCCTGCGCGACGCGCTGCAAGTCGCCGTCGGCCGTCGTGCCGGCGCGCACTCTGAGCGGGGAAGATTCCTGTCCGATTTCCCGTGTGCTTCAGCGTCGTGCCACCGCTGACGAGCTTCAGAGCTCTTGCTGCAGCCGCCTTGTAGTTTGCGGCCTCTGACAGCACGTGACGCAGCGCAAGGTGAGTCCGGTGCCTGGAGAATAATGCAACACACTCTGCGAGACCCAGGATCTCGCGCCTCGTGCCGCGGCCGATCGCGCCCGCGTCGTAACAGGCTCGTCTCACGAACACCGCGTTTTCATGCACGATACAGGCACGCACGAACGCCCGCGGCACCCCAACGGCCGTCACATTACTATGGACCCAACCCGTGCAGCGCACCGGGGCGCCTCACGCGGAGGCGAGAGAGCAGCCACCGGAACCACAGTCGCAGCGGGCAGCGTCCCCGGGCCCGAGATGACTGCGGCAGCGTTCCGCGACCTCCTTCGCGAAAGCCCCACAGTCGATCTCGGAGGTGCTACAGTCGACGTCGGCCCCGGCACCTTCGCGATTGGGTTCCGCCAGAGGACACGTCTGAGGTCTCAGCATGGCATCACGATCGCCAACGGAACCATCAAGGGCCAGCTTTTGTGCACGGGGGCGGATGCGAACCCCGCTGGCTCCGGCGTGGCGGAACTCAGGCTGGAGTTTCGCAACGTGACGTTCAGGAGCGAGCAACCAGTTTCGGAGGACAAAGCGTCGGACGCGGAAAATGCGACCTTTGCCGTCAGGGATGATGACCTGTCTGTATCGCAAATTCCCATGGTGGCCGGGCTTGTCGTTGCCCGGGACATCAAGGACCTCACGTTCGAGAGCTGTACGTTCGGCGACGCGGACCCCGACTACAAGGCGACGCCCATCGTGCCGCGTCAGGAGCAGATGCCACGTCTCCGCAACGTCACCCTCGCACCGGCGCTGGCGGTGCTCGACAACTCGAAAGTCAGCATTCAGCACTGCGCTTTCGTGAACAAGATGGGCCCTGGCCTGTTGGCCAAGGGCAGTTCAGTGAAAGTCCGGCGCTCCGAATTCAGCAAGTCGACCACGGGCGTCCTCGTCCTGGGCGGGGCGGAAGTTTCGCTGGAAGACACCATCTCGGCTGGGAACGACCTCGATGGTCTCATGACCATAGGCGGCAGCCTGAAAGCGACAAGAACGACGTGTCGCAGCAACTGGTGTCACGGGGCCATCGCGGAAGGCGGAGGAGTCATGACACTCATTTCGTGCGACATAAGTACCAATGGATGGTTCGGAGTCCACGCCAGCGGTCCGGGCACCAAGGTGGAGGTGAAGGACATGCACCTCGAGCACAACACGTATGCCTTTGGCGTCGTTGCCGAAGCCGGTGCGCAGTGCACAGTCCAGGGCGCCAGTATTCAGGGATACTCCTTCTCAGGGCTCAAGGCGATCGGCGAAGGTTCAAGGTTGACCGCGAAGAACGTGGTCATTGCGGACCGAAGCTCCCCGCGCCCTGCGGTTGCGGACGGTGGGATCGGTGCAGAGGTAGCGGACGGCGCTATTCTGCGCCTCAGCGGCGTACACATCCACGGCATCCGTAAAACCGGAGTGTGGGTGCATGACGCCAAGCTGTACGCGCACAACCTCGAGACGGGCAGCGAGGTCTCGACGGGCGTATCCGTGACAGGAGAAAAAGGACGGTCGACCACCGATCTCGAGACCTGCAAGATCAGTGGCGGCAAGGTCGGCGTTAAAGCCGATGACTGTTCGAAAGTTATTATGACAGACGTCAACATCTTCAACTGCACCGAGTACGGCGTGCTTGCGAGGAACGGCGGCCGGGTGACGATGAATCGTGGAAGCATCGTCGGCAACGCGCTCCAGGGCATCAGCATCGACGAAACGCGTTCCCGGGTGACCATGACGGACGTGGCGTACACGGGCAACGGGCAGAATGACTTTGTGGGCAAAATTTGGATCGAGAACAGCGAGGGTCGCGTTTCATGCGACGTCGGCTGGGCGGACGAGGACGATTTCTCGGAGTAGGATGCGCAAGGTCCTCCGCAATGAGCGCGTCGTCACGACTACGCTTGGCGCGCAACAGCTGAGCACTCGAATCGACTCGATAGCGACTTCACACCACTTTCCGACTCGGAGTGGCACAGACACCTCCAGCCGTCGAACCCCTAGGGCGGAATTTCCTCAACTCGTCGGATGCCCGCCGCTTCTGCTCGAGATAGTCTCACCCGCTGTCAGGACCCCCCCCCCCTCCCGCCGGCAGCTTCCTCGAGCGCCCGCAAAAACTGCTGTAAGATATCGTCCTCATTCTCCCGCATCGTCTCCAGCGCCCGCTCCGCCACCGCGCCGTCCGCGGGGCACTCCTTGCACATCCTACGCAGCGGCGCAGCATTGCTGTCCGCTTCCCTGCTCCTGCGTTCCCGCCAAGCGCCCACCGTGGCCCGTAGCGTATCCGCACAGAGCGCGCGATCGCTCTCGTCCATGTCCTGAAATAGCCACGCGACATGCGCGGTCTTGAAGTGCATGTCCACCACGTGGTCCCGTCCTCCGCACCGCGCCCGCAGCTGCAGGGACGGGTGCTCGGGCGCCGCAGATCCCAGCTCCTCGCGCACCCGCGCGCTCCGCCGCTCCAACACGTCGTCCAGCGCGGCGAACAGCGGGGGGGTGTGTTCACTGCTGTCGGGAGCGCGTGTCCACCGGGCGAACTCGTCGTCGGTCGCGAAGAGGACGCGCAGCGCGAAGAAGGCCGCGAGGTTCATCCGGCCGTCGTCGAGCAGCTCCCAGGGATCGCTCTCCTCGTCGCTCAGCCCCACGTGCGGCACCGGCACGAGATCGGTGTGCCGCATGAGAAACCGCAGGCGCCGCCGCAGCCTGCTGTTCGGGTCGGCGTCGGCCCGCACTGTCTCGGCGAGGCGCGCCGTGAAGTCGTCCCGCGGGAACCGGACGCGCGAGAAGGGGTTGTGCCGCAGCGTGAAGGCATACTTCTGCAGCAGCTGGGCGTTCGTGAGCTCGCCGTAGCAGTTGAACACCTCGCTGCCCTGCGGTGCACGTGCGCGCGAACCGACAGGACTCAATGCCACGGGGCGGCGCGGCAGCGCGCGGTCTTGCAGGCATGCGTGTGCGCGTGCCGAGGCCGCCTGCGTGCCGTGGCGAGGCGCGTACCTTGGTCAGCGGGCTTGCTGCCACGATGTGCAAGACGTCCTCGTCGCCGTCGTCGCCGTCGCAGATCGCGATGTGCAGCCTCAGCCCTGCCCGCGACGACAACAGCGGGTCGTATTTCGCCCCCTCCTCTGCAGCCGCGAACCACAGAACCCGCTCGAGCTCCTCCCCGCGCTCCCGGTCAGGTGTGCTGCGGTCGCTCCCGTCCTCGCCGTCGGTCTCGTCCTCGCCGTCGCTCCCGCTGCTCGCGCCGCTCTCTCTCTCCCGCTGCGCGTTTCCGTCGTCGCTGTCGGCTGCAACGTCGCCGCCAGAGCTGTCGGAGCTGTCCGCGGAGCCGCGCCCAGGAGACCACAGCTGCGGATCGCCACAAGGGGAACTGCGATTCCCCGTCACGAACAGCAGCAAAAGCAGTGAAGCGCATCAACAAAACCTACATAAAAGAGAGTCCGTTCGCGACGTCCTGCATCAAACAACACCGCACAACAACGTGCACAGCCAGCACTTGCCTTCCAGTCGTCGCCCATGGCCACGACGGACGCCTTGTGGTTGAAGATGTCGGCAACAGGCACCATCGCGTTGCCGTGCTCGTCGTCGATGTAGAACGCACGCGACGACACCAGCGACGCAGCGCGCCGGAACTCCTCCAGCGTCACCCAGTCCTCCGCCCCCCTCCACACCTGCACGCGCCGCCCGACTCAGCCCCGCGTGTCAGATCAGATCTCGTCGCCACGTGCCTTTGGACGCCGGCGCGGTGCTCGCACGCGGGTTGCACGCAACGACAGAGCGGAGGGCGCGCTCCGCTCGCCCACGTGCGGCGCGATTCCGCGGGGCAACGGGTGGAACAGCGCGTGCGCGTGTGCGCGTGTCGCTGGAGGCGCTCGCCTTCTTGTGGCGGCGCATGGCCGGGACGCACTGCTCCTCGTAGTCCCTCTCGGTCACCTCGAGGTCCACCCGCGCGAGCTCGTCCGCGGGGGTCCCCCCAAGACACCCCCGCTCGTCCTCGGGCCAGAACATGGGCACATACTCCCGGGGGGACATCGACTGGAAGTACCCCCACCAGCGCCCCTGCCGGCCCCGCTTGATCTCGTGCGCGACGGCCAGGACCAGGTCCGGGCCCTCCTCGACGTGCTGGAGCACCTCGGCGATCGAGGAAGTGAGGCACGAGAGGACAGCCGACTTCGGGACCCGCGCCAGCACGTGCTCCTCGGCGACGTCCTGCGGAGGATTGCGCCGAGCAAGGGGAGGGAGCGGCGGCTGGTTCGCGAGCGACGCGGGCGAGGGCGCGGCGAGGAGCACGCGTGGAGGTGCACGCGGTGGGCGCAGCACCTGCTTCGCGAACACGGCCCAGCCGGCGCCGCTCGCGCACGCCGGCACTCCCGTTCGTATGTCTATGACGGTGTCGTCGATCTCGACACCGTGCTCGCGGCACCACGCGCGAAAGGACCCCAAGCGGTCCTCTGGGGGGGCCGCTGGCATTGCATCGTCGTCCTGCGGGGCCTGGCCGGCCCGCGCTGCTCGAACATTGCGCCGCTGCGACCGTCCAGACTCGGCGTGCGATCCCTTGCGCTTCGGCGACATCGCGGCGCGCGACGCCGGGCGCCGCGACGCGCTGGCTGTGTTGCCGCACCCGCTCTCACCGCCCCAGCATCGCTGCGGACGAAATAGGCGATGGTTTCACCGCCCACGACGCGTCCAGTGGAGTGGCGTGCGCCACGGGTGTCGAGGGGACTTGTCGGGGAGTCACTGACGGGGCTAGGTGTCATCGACAGACTACAACAGTGCAACAGTCCCTGCGGGCCCGCGGAACCAGGGCTATTTGAGGCGTCGGCGCAGCCGGGCGTCGGGTATCCGACCGACACACGACCGTACGTGGACTCCGGACCGTTCCAGATCTCGCATCAGGTGCGCGCACGCGCTCCCCCATTCGAGAGCGCGTGCCTCCGCGCGCCTGCGTCCCCGCATTGCGCGCGAGAACGCCAGGCCCGCCACATCGGAAGTATATTCATGCCGTTTCGTCCGTCACGTCCGCCCGGGTAGCCTCGAATTCCGCGGACGGGACCCTCACGTTCCTCGGGCCGTTTCTCCGCGTTCGCGCGCACCCGCGTGCCTATTCCGCCCGGTTCTTCCTCACCGGCGAATCCCCAGTTCCCACTCGGCCGATTTATGCGTGTAAGTTTGCACGCGAAGGTCCGCACGCGCCCCCCCCGGCCCACCTCCTGCCCCCGTCCATCTCGCAGGCACCATGATCTACGCCGCCAACGTCACCGCCGCCAAGGCCTTCGCGGGCAAGAAGGTCGCCCACCGCACCCGCCTGCAGCAGCGCGCCTCGGCCCGCGCCTCCCTCAAGGCGAGCGGCCCGCCCCCGACCGAAGCCAACTGCCCTCCCACCCCCGACCCGCCGCGCCGCGCACAGCCCCGTTCCGCGCCCTGCCTCCGCCTAACCGCACCGAACACTCTCAGAGGAACCCGGACGCGCGGCGCGCGGCGCCCCGGTCCCTCCTGCACCGCGCGCGGCACCTGGGCTGGCCTAGTGTCCACACAAACCGTTGACCCCACACGTCATCGCTCGGCCCCGAGGCATCTGTCGCGGGCGCGGCCGCGCGCGCCCGCATGGTCTGCTGCGTGGCCTCCTCGCGAGGGCGCTGTTCGGGGCATCGCGCGTCCGCGCCGCGCGCGCACGGCCACGTAGTCAACGTGGTGACGACGAGTCTCGGCTCGTGAGCGTCCGGCGCGGGCCTTGCTCGCGGAGAATCGCCTCGACCGTGGCGGCCACAGCTGAGACGCGCGCATGCACCGACCGGCAACCCTCCCGGTGCCACGCCTGCTCCGCGGCGCCCACTGCCCTGGGGCAACCACCCACTCTCACGGGTCGCACGGACCACACGCGCGCGCGTTCACGGCACATTTGCGCCGCACGGCCCTCATCTGGCCCCGGAACCACACTGGAGCGCCGCGATTCGCGCAAAACCGTCGTTCGTGCCCTGTGCGCGTTGGTCCCGCAGGTGTCTGCCTTCAAGATCACCCTGAAGACCCCCGACGGGGAGCAGGTGATCGAGTGCGACGAGGACACGTTCATCCTCGACGCCGCGGAGGAGGCCGGCATCGACCTGCCCTACTCGTGCCGCTCCGGGTCGTGCTCGTCGTGCGCGGGCAAGATCATCTCGGGCGAGATCGACCAGTCCGACCAGACCATGCTGGACGACGACCAGGTCGCCGCCGGGTTCTCGCTGCTCTGCGTCGCGTACCCGTGCTCGGACGTCGTCGTCGAGACCCACAAGGAGGAGGACGTCATGGGCTAAGTCCCCCGGTGGCGTGCCCGGGCTGGGCACGGCGCTGTGGGCTGGGCGAGGACCCGAGTGCGGCGCGCTGGGTCCGGGCTCGCGCGTGCGTCGATCCCACTGTTGTAACCGCACATAGCTAGGCAGGATTCGCAACAGGAAGGGGGTCTCACGGCGCACGGCGTACGCGGCTTGCCGCCACGTCGCCCTCGCACGGCCGCGGTGTCTCGACCAGCGCGAGAGCGGCGTCGGCACCACATTGGCGGCTGGGCCGTGGGAATGGTAGAGCGCGGCTCGCAGCCTGGGACAGAACGACAGCAGTGCTCGTCATCGTTCCAGACAGCAGCAGCAGGCGAGGGGCGGCGGTCGTGTTCGTGGCGGATTTTCACAGTCTGGCGGCTGCGGGCGCGGTCCCTGCTAGCGGCGCGACGGAGATTATACAATCATGGTTGCTGGGTTCTCGATGAAGCCCTTGAACGCCTGGAGCCACTGGGCGGCCGCGGCGCCGTCCACGACGCGGTGGTCGCACGACAGCGTCACCGTCATCACCTGCACCTCCTCCAGGTTGCCGTCCTCCGACAGCGCCAGCTCCTTGCGCGACCCGCCCACCGCAAGGATGCCGGCCTGGGGGGGGTTCACGATGGCCGAGAACTGCTTCACGCCGAACATCCCGAGGTTCGAGATGGTGAAGGTGCCGCCGTACGAGTCCTCCGGCGTCAGCTTGCCGGCCTTGGCCTTCTGGGCGTAGGCCTTGATGTCGGCCGACAGCTGCGCCACGCCCTTGTGCGAGGCGCCGCGGACGACGGGGACCATGAGGCCGTTCGGGGTCTGCATCGCGATGCTGATGTCGGCGTCGCGGTACTGCCGGATCGACTCGCCCGCCCACGCCGAGTTCATCTCTGCAAAGGCAACAACAGACGGCAAAACGTCATCATCATCGGTGAAACACGGGTTCTGGTGTCTGTGCGGCGCGTGCGACCGGATCACCCAATCGATCGACAAGCAGTGCATGCCTGGCTGCACTTGGCCAGGCGCGCGTGCTCGCGCGTCGCGGCGGCATCAGTGCACGCGTTGCCCAGGCCGCAGCGCTGGTGCCCCATCCCAGCGGGCACCAAAAGCAAGGCAACGCGAGCAGGTGCGAGGGCGCGCATGCCTCGCAGCCGCGACGCGGCGTCGTCACTCACCGGGCACCTTGGCCAGCGCGCACGCCGAGGCCTTGACGATCATGTCGTTGACCGACACCTTGCCGCCCGACGCCGCGAGCGCCGCGTTGATCGCCGCGCGCGCCTCCATCAGCGCGTCCGTGCGGCAGTCCATCGACACGTAGTAGTGCGGCACCTCCAGCTTCGACTCCAGCAACCGCCGCGCGATCACGCGGCGCACGTTCGACAGCGGGATCTCCGCAAACGGCGGGTACCCCTCCGCCGTGCCCGTGTAGTTCACGTCCGGCTTCGGGGCCGCGGGCGCAGCCGCGGGGGCGCCGCCGGCGCCGCCGGCCGGCGCGGCCTCCACGTCCGCCACAACTATACGCCCCCCGGGGCCTGTCCCGCTGATGGTCGACAGGTCGACGCCGCGCTCCGCCGCGACGCGCTTCGCGGCCGGCGAGGCCATGATCTTGTCGCCCGGCGCGCTCGCGGCGGGCGCCGCCGCCTGCTTCGGCGCCGCGCTGCTCTTGGGCGCCGCCGGCGCGGGCGCTGCCTCCGCCTTCGGCGCGGGCTCCTCCGCGGCCTTCGGCGCGGCCTTCGCGGCCGCGCCCGGCGCGTAGTCCTTGAACGCCGCGACGTCGTCCGCGTCGTCCACCATGATCATCACCGGCGCCCCAACCTCGATGTCCTGCGTCCCCTCCGGCACCAGGATCTTGGCCAGGACGCCCTCCTCCTGCGCCTCCCACTCGATCGTGGCCTTGTCCGTCTCGACCTCGCAGAAGATGTCCCCCGGCGCGATCGAGTCGCCCTCCTGCTTCCGCCACGACAGGATGTTGCCCGTCGACATGGTCGGCGACAGCGCAGGCATCGTCATGACCTCGTGCGAGGGGTAGTCGCCGCCGGACGGCGCCGCGGGCTCCTCGGCGGCCGCGGCCGCGGGCTCCGCGCCGGAGTCGCCGGGCTTGTAGTCCTTGAACGCGTCCACGCTGCCGGCCTCGTCGACGACAATCATCACGGGCTCGCCGACGGGGACGTCCTTCGCGCCGGCCTCCTTCAGGAGCGCCGCGACGACGCCGTCCTCCTGACTCTCCCACTCCATCGTAGCCTTGTCGGTCTCGATCTGCGGGACGGCGGCGGCGCCACAAGTGTGCCGGGAGTGGAAACACACACACACCGCGCCGGGGGCGCCGCGCGGGCGTTCGTCGGTGCGCCCGTGCTGGCGCGTGCGTGCGGTGGCGCAGGCGCGGCGGCGGCGCGGTGGCGGGCGCGGTGCGGCGCGGCGCGGAGCGTGCATGGCGTCACGCGCAGGTGCATCGCGCACCTCACAGAGGATGTCGCCGGCCTTGATTTCGTCGCCGGGCTTGACCTTCCACTCGAGGATGTTGCCCTGCTCCATGGTCGGCGAGAGCGACGGCATCCCGAACACCTCGTGGTCCGGCAGCGAGGCATACCCGCGGAAGTGCAGAGCCGACCACGCGGGAGCCGCGTCGAGCTTGCGGCGCGCGGCGGCCGCGGGCGTGGACGCAGCGGTGTTGGCGCATGCGGCCAGGGCGGAGAGGTGCCTGCGCGGGGCGGCGGGCGGCGCGGGAGCGTCGGGGGGAGCCGGCGGCAGTGCCGGCGTGGTGGCGGGGGCGTGCGCGGTGCGTTGCGGGGCGCAGGCGCGCTCTAGGTGGGCCGTGCTGGTCGCGGGGAGCTCAGGGGAGGACGGAGTGCGCCGCGATTGCGCGGTTGCGGCCCCTGGGACGCCGGACGAGCGGCCCGGCCAGGTGGTGGGCGCGGACTGCTTGCTCGGGCGCACGGTGCGTCGCAGGGCTCGTTCGCGCGCTCTACAGCCGCGCGCTCCCTTTTTCAACTCTAGCTGCGGTAGTTCAGGAACTTTCCAGCCCAGAAAGCGCGCCCCACAGCCCCCAGAGCGCGCACAAGCGACCGTCCACATCGAAGCCCGGGTTCGCGCGCACGAGGGCGCACAGGGGGCGTGTCGCGACGGCACCCGCAGGACAAAATGCGAATGCGTCGCCGAGGCCACAGGGTTGCGCCCACCTGGCGGAGCCCGCGACGGCGCACCGAGCAACCGCGCACCCACTTGCGCCCGTCCCCGCCAGCGTCGCCCGGGCGAGCGCCCTCGCAGCCCCGAGTCCGCGCCTCATCGTCACTCCTCTTCCGCAGCCCCACTGTCTCTGCCCGGACCCCCCGCCCCCCCCCAGCAACCACACAGCGCTGCGTAAAGGCCCTCAGGACCGTCGGGGGGGGGCACCGCTGCCCTGACTCCAGCGGCCCGCAGGGGGGGGTTCCCATGGGCGGGACGCGCTGCTCCGAGCCGGGACTCGCGCATCGCCCTGGCACGGGGAGGTTTGGGCGTCTGGCCGTGCGTACACGACCTGCAAGTGGGCTGCCACTTCACCACGCCTCGCCGGCCGCGCTGGACGTTGCGGCGCCATGAGGGGCAAGCTGGCCATCTCCGTCATCGGTACGTCCACTGTGCATGCACCGGAGCCGGGCAGGCCCGCGCCAGGACGCCGCTGCACCCGGCGCCCGGCCCGTGCGCTGACGGGCAGATGCCGGGGCGGGGGGCGCCCTCGCAGCGCGCGGAGGGCGCCGCGGACCCCCCCGCGGGGCCCTGGCGGCGCGTCTGGCTCCCGTCTCCGTGCTCGCGTGCGCAATTCGCGGCTGCGCGACGGCTGCGGTCGCCGGCCCGCCACGCTGCTGGCCCGCAGTGGCGGAGGTGATGATGTTGCGCCGCGTGCGTCCTCCCTGGTGCGCGTGCAGAGGCGGTGGACGTCGTCGCGGACGCCGGGAGCCCTCCTAGCTTCTACGTCAAGGTCTCCATCGATGCCGTGACGGTGCGAGGCCCCCCGCCCCTTGAGCCCCCTGCGAGCCGTCTGGGGGCAACCTCCCGTCGAGAGGCCCGTGCGCGGGCCGGGACGCAGTCCCGCACGGCGTGACGGCTCCAAGACATTCCAACCTGCGACGCGCGCGCGCCGAGCGCGGCGCGCGCCGGCGAGACGGCCCGCACGCCGCGTTGATAGCCAGGGCTTGGGCACGGCTTGCTGCGTCAGGTCTCCGGCCGCAGCGGCGAACCAGCGCCGTCTCCTCGCATGTCCGTTCCGCAAGGCACGTCCTGACCAACTCCGGGACCGTTTCGCCCCGCCGCTGCGCAGCACGCCACCCAGAAGGCCAGCGGGCTGAAGCCCAAGTTTACAGAGGACCTCGAGTTCCGCATCACGGGTGCGTCCGGCCAGCGCGGCCTCGTCGCCCACGCTACCGCCGCCTGGGCCGTCATTCGCAAAAGCTGCCACGTCAGGGCCGCACTCCCCGATACAACCTGGCACTCTAGCCCTGGGGTCCCGCCCCGTTGCGCTGCAGACCTCGAGCGGCAAGCCGCCACGGTGGAGCTCCTGCATGAGTCGTCGACGGGCGACCTCATCATCGGCAGCAGCGACGTGCCACTCGCCAACCCGAGCACCTGGGACACCAAGCCCGTCTGGCTGAGCCTCCGAGACGCCGCCAACAGGCCGGTGCGTCGCGCGGGCCCCTCCCCGCCGCTCAGATACTCGGTCCACACCACGCGGGCTGCGTCCCGCGCGCGGCGCACCGCAGCACGCGCCGCGCGGACCGTCAACCTCCGTCGCTGCGTGTGTTTTTTCCCGGCTGGTGCGGTCTGACCTCGCCGCGTTCGGTGTTCCGCAGGTCGGGAAGCTTCTAGTTGTCATGCGGTTCACGGGCGGCGCGACGACGCCCAAGGCGACGACCCCGCGCGCGCGCACGCCCGGGCGCACGACGCCGCGTTCGGCGCGCTCGGCCGCGACGACGACCGCGGCGAAGAAGAAGACGGCGAAGAAGGGCAACGGGCTGCTGTCGGGCCTCGTCGGCGGCGTGGGCACGGTCGTCGGCGGCACGGTCACCATCGCCGGGAAGATTCTTGGCTTTGGAGGTGGAAAGAAGAAGAGAAGGCAAGTCTCCGGTTCCACGCCACGCCACGCAATCCCATCTGACCTCCCGCCCGCGCGGAGCGTAGCGCGCGCCGCACGCACCCCGCTCGGCGCGGCCACGCGCACGCCGAGGCCTCGCGCGCACGTCACGCAGCGCGCTCACGGTAGGTGTCTTCGCGTCCCTGTGCGTGCAGCGGGGCGCCCGGGACGCCGCCACGGACGCCGCGCAGTCCGCGCGCAGGCCGCGAGGGGCCGTCCACGCCGCGGTCAACCACGGGCGGCGAGCCCCGGAAGAGGACCAGTAAGGCGGGCGGGAAGAAGAAGGCGGCAGCGGCGGCGGTGCTGCCGCTTGCGGCGGGCGCGGTGGTCGGCGTGATCGGATACCTGTACTCGCAGCGCACGGTGTACTACGAGGTCCAGGAGGGCGACACGCTGTGCGGCATCGGTGGTTGCTACAATGTGGGGTATCTCGACATCTACGAGCGCAATTCGGATCAGATCCGGGATCCCGACCTCATCTACCCCGGCACGAAGATCCGCGTGCGGTGATGGCACGTGCTCACGCGCGGCGCTGCTGTGAGGACCTCGTTACGGGCGCTTGTGCCATGTTATGTTTTGTGCGCGCGTACTGTCATGTCGGGGCGTGGGACGCGCGGCTCGCTGCAGCGGCAGAACGCGATCGACGTGCGTGGCTGCAATCACGCCGACTGTGCCCCAGTCCGTAGAAAAAAAAAAAAAAAAGCAATGCGACGTAGACATCGCTAACAGCGTCCCAGCGCGTCACGTCCTCAAAACCGTCGGACGACCTGGCATCGAGTACTGCTTCAGGCACGTTGCAACTCGCTCAGGGCATCGACCGTCTCGCGGACCGCAGTCACACCACACACCACCCCACAGGCGCAGACGCCGCCGCTCCCGCAGCAGCAGAGGCCCGACATGCCAAGTCAGATGTGGCGGTCGAATGGCATACGCGACCCTGGAAGCCACCCACGCAACACAACACCCCCTCATCCGCAGCTCGAAACCACACGCCAGCCTCCTCGACACGCGGTCAGAACCCCACCTGCGCCGCGGGCACCTCGAGCGCCGTCGCGCCCGCAGCAGCACCGTCGCCCGGCGCCAGCGCCCCACTCACCGGGAACTCGAACGTCAGACTGCGGAACAGACACGCCGACTCCTCTTCGCAGTAGAACACGCGCGCATTCACGCGCGCAAGCGCGCCCTCGCCCCCGGCGCCGAACTCGGCCTCGAAGTGCGCCGTCGCGGTCGTGAACCCGTCCGCGTCGGGCCGCGACTCTGCGAGTGGTACGCGGGTCTTCGCGCCCTTCGCAACGGCGCCGTTTGCCGGGAGTGCGAGCTCCGCGGCCGACCCCGCCCCCTTGGTGAGGTGGTAGCCCTTCGGGAGCCGGATGGCGACGGAGAGCTTCGTGCGCCGCGCGGTGACGGCGTCGGCGGGGACGCTCGTGGCGCCCGCTGGCGCCGGCGGCGAGGCGGGCCCGCCGGACTGCGCGGCGGGGGTCGCTGAGGCCGAGGGGTCGCCGCGGGGCTTCGGCACGCCGGCGAGCGCGAGCGTGGAGACGTCGCCCGCGGGCGAGAGCTTGCGGATGGTGCAGTTGTTGGTGTCGGCCACGTACAGGGTGCCGTCCGCGGCGAGGGCGAGCCCGCCGGGCTCGGAGAAGCGCGCGGCCCTGCCCCGGCCGTCCGCGAAGCCCGCGGACCCGTCGCCGGCGACCGTCACGACCTCGGCTGTCTCGGGATCCAGCCTCTTGATTCTGTGGTTGTACGAGTCTGCAGCAGATGGGAAACAAAGACTCAGAGATCCGGAAACACGTAGCTGTAAATTCAAACACGTGTCAAAACCACAGTCGATGCAGGCTGCGAGCATCGACCCAGTCCCCCCGTGTCCTCGGCTCGAAACGACGCCATGCGCTGCATACAAACAGATGCGAGAAAACGTCATCCGCGCACCTGCGAAGTACACGGCGCCGCTGGGCATCGCCCGCACGGCGAGTGGGTGCTGCAGGAGCGCGTCCGATCCGAACCCGTCGCGGTCCCCGAACCGGAACAGATTGTCGGCAAACAGCGGGTCCCCGCCTGCAACGAGCCCGCCGGACCCGTCCGCCGTCGCGCACGTGCGCACGGAGGACGACTCGCTGTCGGCGACCCACAGCGTCCTGCCGTCGGGCGACAGCGAGAGCCCGGACGGCTGCGCCCAGGACGTTCCGAGGCCGCCCTTGCCGTTGCGGTTGCGCTCGTAGCCGTCGCCGCTGAAGGCCGCGGCGAACCCGGTCTGCGTGTCCGCGCGCCAGATCTGGTGCTGCCCCGCCATCGCGATGTACAGGACGCGCCCGTCCGGCGACAGCTCGAGGTCCCAGGGGGAGTTTAGGCGCTGCGCCTTCCCTTCCTGCGGCGCCCGGGAGCATGAACGAACGGTCAGACGAGCATCGCGAACGAGAACGGCGCCGCAACCGCGGTGACGCGTCTTTGGTGGGAAGCCGCAGCAAGGACGCGAGGGCGTCGCGGCGCGCCACCAACGCACACAGCAGCAGCTGTGCCGCGCGCACCTTGCCGCCGACGTAGTCGTCGCCCTTCGCGCCGTCGCCCACGAGCGTCGTCACGCGCCCGCCGCGCCCGAAGTCCACCACGCGCACCGCGTGAGCCTCCGTGTCCGCCACGTACAACACATTCTTCTTCTCGTCGAACACCAGCCCCTGCGGCCTGTTGAACGCGGCCTCGTCCGCCGGCCCATCGACCAGACCCGCACCGTTCCCGCCGACCTCCGCCACGAACTTGCCCGTCGCCGCCTCGACGACCACGATTCGATGGTTGTTGGAGTCTGCGATGAACAGTCTCTCTCCGGCGGGGTCCAGGCAGACCTTGCCGGGGTACCGCAGCGGCGACGCGGCCAGCCGGGGGTCCTTGTCGCGCTCGAGCGCGGACGGCAGCGGCGTGGCGTCCAGCAGCCCGCGCTCGCCGTAGTACTGGAGCGCCGCTGTCAGGAACACGTCGAGGTCCTCGCGGTGGCCCTCGCCCGGGATGAGCGAGATGAGCTTGCCCTGTGGGGACACGACCGCGAGCGTGGGCCACGAGGACACGCCGAGGGCGCGCCAGAGCACCATGTTGCCGTCGTTCACCACCGGGTGCTCGATCTCGTACCTGCGCACCACCCGACACCAGTTCGCCGAGGTCGCGGTCCCGGACGAAGTACCTCGACAAGTCCTTTGCCCCGGCGCGTGCGTTCTCGCGACGAAGCGGCACGAACAGCAACACGCCCGCAGGACCGCAACAGCACAGCAGCTCTCTGCGTGTGCGCCACACAGACCACGCAGCACGGCGCACTAGCACTCGCGCGCACCTGATCGTGGCGCTCCGGATCGCCTCCGAGTCCTTCTCGTTGTCGAACTTCGCCGAGTGCACGCCGACTACCGCCACCGCAGTGCCCCGGTACTCCCTCTCGAGGTCCCGCAGCTCCGGCAGCGTGTGGATGCAGTTGATGCAGCAGTACGTCCAGAAGTCGAGGATCGTCACCTTGCCGCGCAGGCTCTCCGCGACCGTCAGCGGCGCAGGCACGTTGAACCATTCGGCTCCGCGCGGGAACGCGGGGACCTGCTGCATGCGCCCCGACGCCTCGAGGTCCGCGATGAACTTCTTGAACGCCGCGACGCGCTCGGCGGGCGGGCCCGCGGAGCCGCGGGCGGTGGTGTTGCCCATTGTGACCCCCGGGGGCGCTGCGGCCGGGAGCAGCGCGTTGAGGACCGCCTGCGGGCTCACGAACGACATCGCCTGCGGAGACACGGGCGCGGGGCGCACAGGGGCTTGAGACGCGTGCCCGTGGCGGAAAGCGCGTGTGTGCGTCGTGCGGCGCGCGAGCGGCGCCCACCTTGGAAAAATAGGTCTGTTCGCGCCAGATGAACGCAATAATGCCCACTTGTATGAGCGTCCCTACGGCGGCTGAGAACTGCCGCGGGGAGACGCCCGCGACCGCGAGCTGCCGCTGGAGCCGCGGGTCGGTCTGCGGGCGTGCGCAGGGCCGGGCGGGGCTGAGCCGGCGGGGGTCGGTCTACCGAGGCGGAGGGCGTGCGCGGGCGTATGCTGCCGGGCTGGGAGACGGCTAGAACGGAGCTTGCAGGGTTTGTTGTGGTGCGGTGTTATGATGCTTTGACCAGCGTGAGGGTGTTGTCGCACCTTGGCGCGGGAAGCGGCGACGTAGAGAGAGCCGACCGCCGGGAGGAGCGTGCCGACTTTGAGCACGTCCCTGCGCGTCATGTAGTATCCTCCGGGCAGCTCGACGCGTGCGCTGAGGGCCTGCACGAGATCGCCAGCGTCGCGGCCTCTTTTGCCGGACGCCGCTGTGGTCGCGCCGCACGGCCACGCACGCTTCGCATCGCAGGGCCGGCGCTCACCTGCGCCAGGGCGCGCTGCGCTCCTGTGGACGCAGGCGGGCTTGTGCCATCGGGCGTCGCGCCAGCGGGCTCCGCGTCGCCGGATCGCTCGCTCGGCTGCGCTCTCAGCAGCAGGGATGGGCCCCGAGGAGACGGTCGCGATCGCGCCGGCGTCGGCTGCCGCGGCGCTGCGGGTGTGCTGGACGCTAGCCACGAGGCCCGCAGGCGCGATGTCTGGGGCTTCATGGCGATCACGGCGAACGAGGCGTTCGCCCTAGCTCTCGTCCGTGCAGGGGGATCACGGAGCGGCCCGGGGACCGCGGCTCGAGCGCTTGATTCCGGACAGGAGGGCCAGTCCTTCCACGGGGCGTCAGGTGTGCTCTGCTGTTTGATCTACAGCCAAAGGGCTCCCCTGGCGCAGCTCAGATGCTGCGGGAGGAGGAGGTCGCTCGGCAAAGTCGAGACCGGGACCCTGGTGCCCCCCCGGCAGGATAGAGTCCTCTCGACGAGTGCTTCTACTCGACTCCGCCGTGCGCCGTCGACAAGGGCGCAGCGGCCGCGCGCGCCCCTCCAGGAGCTGTTTCTCGGCGCAAGCTTCCGGTCTCGCATCGTCGAGTCCTCCAGCGCGGGCCCGGGGCGACGCACGCGATGGAGAAATCCGCCCAGGCCTCGTCTGCGGGCAAGGCGCCGTGCCGCAGCCCGGTCTGCGCCCGCCTGCCGCAGCGGCCGGTCAGACACCCTCTGGGCATACGGCCGCTGCCGTCGCGGGTAAGCCGCACCCCTTGAGCGCCTCGCCCAACGCCATGAGCAACTGCACAGCAATACCGAGAGCCTCGCACGCCCTGTCCTGACACGTCACTCGACAGCGGCTGCTCTCGTCCGACGCCGACTGCGTTGCGGCACGCTTTCCATGCCCGAGGCTCGCGCGGCCGGTCCCGTGGTCGCGCCGTCCCAGCGATGACTGCTGGTTCCATCTGGCGGCTGCCCGGTGGCTCACCGCGGCCACCCGGCCCACGGACTCTCCGTCTCCTCCGCACGCCTGCACGCGCAGGGTCCGAAGGTCGTCGAGACGGGATGTCTGGCGCAGGAACGGCGAGGCAGGGCGGCCATGCGGCCCCCGTCTGCCTTGCGGGGGGGAGCAGGTGGCTCCGGAGGCGGCGACGCGCGGCCCCAGTACCTGTACGACCGCAAGACGGGCCTTCCAATCGTGAGGGACAACCTGTCGTACGGCGACCTGCTGCGCGACATCCGGACGGAGAAGGTCCAGGCGCTGCACTGGCTGTCGTCGCTCGAGGACGAGCCGCGCGTGCAGGGGCCGTGCCTGGTGGAGTACCGGGACGGGTCGATCAAGCAGGCGCACGTGCCGTCGTATGACACGCGCACGATGTACGCGATGGAGACGCACGGCGTCAGGGGCACGCGCTTCAAGGCGCGCCCGGCCAACATCACGGCCACGTTCGAGCCGAGCCAGGCCATGATGACCTTCTTCAACAAGGTGAGCGTGCACGGGAGGGCCGGGGACGCCGCGGTGCGCGTCTGCGGAGGCGCGCGCTAGACTGAGTGTGTCGGGTTGACGGAAGTCGAGGTTTCCCAACTGTTTGTTGCAGGGCATCCCCGCGATCGGTCTCCTGATCATCTGGGCGGCGGCGCAGTACGCGTCGCACCTCAAGGGCGATAAGGGCGACCGCGCGGACGTCAGGGCGTATGAGCGTGACGAGCGGAAACGCAGCCAGGCCAAACAGGTGCGCCCAACCTGCTGCTGCGCCACCCGCCCCGCTCTCGAGCGCGATCGGCCGGGACGCCCGCGCCTGCTAGGGGCGCTGATGCCTCTTGGCCGCACACACCGGCGACGGAGCAGGTTGCTGCTGCCGGTGTTGCTCGTTGTTGTTGTTTCGGGCGACGACGGTTTACGCACGCAAATAAACACCTGCACGGCCCCGGGGAGGTTCTGTATCTGCCGCCCCGGGGCTGTGGTGCCGGTGCGTCCGCGCGATGCAACAGAACCAGGGTGACGACGTCACCAGGGGGCCTTTAAGCACCTGACGTGGCCCTTCCAGCCGCGGCGGGTTTCGCAGTGGTCCTACACCCCACCGCACACCACGACACACAAACCGATGCGCGTCCCTCGCGCCGATCCGCGCGCCACCGCTCGCGATGCCTGCGCAATCGCCGCTGGGCCGATCTGAGCGCGCGTCCGCGCCGTCCGAGCGCGCGTGCAGAAGGAGGACACGCGGATGTACGAGGCGCAGTTCATGGCGGAGCGCGGCGCGACGAAGGCGCAGATCATGGAGCGCCTCAAGCGCAACAACATGCAGGACCTCTTCACGGAGGAGGACGTCGACGAGATCATCGCCGCGGCGCAGCGCAAGCGCAAGGCCGCGGGCGAGGACGTCGGGCTCTTCGGCGTCAAGACGGAGCTCCGCGTCAACACGCGCGAACAGTTCAAGAAGCAGCAGGAGGCCGCGCAGGCGGCGCGCGAGGCAGCCAGGGAGGAGGAGGGCCTCTCGGAGATGGAGTCGGCGCAGCGGATGCTGCAGATGCGCACGGTGAAGCGGAAGAGCCCCGCGACGAAGAACTACCGCGCGCAGGAGCTCAAGCGGAAGCTGCGGCAGCGCGGGACCAAGGTGCAGGACGACGACAGCGAGGTGTTCTTCGACGACGTGGCGGGCATCGGGGAGGCCAAGGCGGAGCTGCAGGAGGTGGTGGACTTCTTCGTCGAGGGCGACCGCTTCAAGGCGTCGGGCGCGAAGATGCCCAAGGGGGTGTTGCTGTGCGGTCCCCCGGGGACGGGCAAGACGCTGCTGGCGCGGGCGGTGGCGGGCGAGGCCGGCGCGGAGTTCCTGTCCGTGAACGCGTCGGAGTTCGTGGAGATGTTCGTCGGCGTCGGCGCGGCGCGCGTGCGCGACCTGTTTGCGTCGGCGCGCGCGCTGGCGCCGTGCATCATCTTCATCGACGAGATCGACGCGGTGGGGCGCGTCCGCGGCGGCGCGCAGGGCAACGACGAGCGCGACCAGACGCTCAACCAGATGCTGTCGTGCATGGACGGGTTCGACTCGGAGACGGACGTGGTGGTCATCGCGGCGACGAACCGGAAGGACATCCTGGACCCGGCGCTGATCCGGCCGGGGCGGTTCGACCGCATCGTGTACGTCGACGTGCCGGACTTCGACGGGCGCATCGAGGTGATGAAGGTGCACCTGCGGAACAAGGTGTGCGACATTGACGCGCTGGACCTGCGGAGCATCGCGTTCGAGACGCAGCGGTACTCCGGCGCGCAGCTCGCGAACCTGATCAACCAGGCGGCGGTCATCGCGGGGCAGCGCGCGGAGCTCGACGCGGAGGGGAACGTCGTGCGCGAAACGGCGACCATCACGCAGGACGACCTGCGGCGGGCGCTGGAGTACGAGCGGCTCGGGCCGCGCGTGCACGTGCGCGGCGCGGACCGCCTGCGGCGCATGGCGATCCAGGAGGCGGCGACGTGCGTCATCGCCACGCTGATGCCCTCCCTGGAGGAGGTGAGCAGCGCGACGATCGTCCCGCGCGAGAAGCACCCGCTGGGGCACACCGTGCTCAAGATCTGCGAGCAGCGCGAGGCGACGAAGCTCTTCACGCGGAGGTACCTCGAGGAGCAGCTGCGGATGGAGCTCGCAGGCACGTGTCACACTCGCGCGCATGTGCTTCTTGGCCTCGCGTGTTTTGTACGCGATGCGCCGCGCGCGGCGCCCGCCCATGTCGTCAGTCAGGCCGCGGCGGCTTCTTCCGTGCGCCACGAGCCGTTACACGCATGGCAGACTGAGTGCGGTGCCCTCCGGCGCCGCGCTGCGCCGTCCCGGTGCAGCGCCGGGCGCTGGAGGCCCGCGGACGCCTGCGGGCGCGTGGAGCGCCAGCTCCGCGACGCGCGTGCTGCTTGTTGCGGATCACCGTGTCGATGCACGTCCGGGACCTAGCTGCAGCACCGCAGGAGACATCTCACTCCTCCACTCAACACTTCATGAGTGCATTTCAGTCGTGGTTTCCTCGCCCGCCGCCCAGCTGCTCAGCGAGAGCGTTCACGCATGTCTCTGCAGGTCGTGCCGCGGAGGAGGTGTTGCTGGGCGTGGACGAGCTGTCGTCCATCAACCAACGGAGACTGGTGAATGCACGGCGCATCGTGGAGAAGCTCGTCGTGTCGGAGGCCCTGATCGGCCACAACGGCTCGAACGCCGCGCCGCGCACCATTGCCCGGAAGCTCGAGGTGCGACGCTGCCCGGCGGCATCACCAACCACCTCCCCGCAAACCCCACTGTTTCCCAGGCTGTGCATCCGTCGCACTGTTCGGCCCGCATGCGCTCCGCTGCCCCCGGTCACGCACTCGGACTCGTGCTGTGACTCGCAGGGCGTCGGCGGAGCGAAGAAGACGTTCCAGGTGGTGCCCGACACGGTGTCGGGGAGCACGCATGCGGGCTGCGACGAGCAGATGACGGCGCTGCTGAGCGAGGCGTACGACGACGCGCGCGCGATGCTCGTGCGCAACCGCGCGGCGCTCGAGGCGCTCGTCGACGAGCTGCTCGAGAAGGAGAGCCTGACTGGCGAGCAGGTGCGAGACCTGGTTTCTCGCCTGGGGGACAAACGGGACCTGGAGGTGGCGGAGAAGGAGGGGCGCGAGGAGGAGGTGCTGCTGTGAGGCGGCGGCGGGACTAGGAGCCCGCCGACGGCCCTGCTGTGATGCGATTCACGTGCGTCCGGCTGCCTCATCGTTCGGTCGGGCTGTGGGCATCGGCTCTCCTCCTCCTGTTACGTCTCCAGGCACTGACATGTGTCTTGCCGCCGAGCAAAAAGATCAGAATCCGCATGCAAGGAAGCGTGCTGCGCGCTCCCGGTCGTCGTCGTTCGCCTCCCGCGACCGCCAGTCCCCGTAGTCGTAGATCGCCTGCGGACACACGCGCGTGAACCACAAAGATGGGTTGACGCTGCGGCACGACAAACCCCGGTCGACTGGCGCGCACACTGCAGCGACGGGGACGCAGCAAGCTGCAACACAGCCACCGCGTACCTCCTCGCCCGCCCGCAGCCCAGCGGTCGACACATCAGCAGCAGTCCGCTGGATGGTGAGTGCAAAGACGGGGCCCGAAGCCTGCGCAGCGTCCGCTGCGTCCGCTGCCTCCGTGCAGCCCACGCCCCGTGCGGCACGGATGGCGTTCGCGACCTCCTCGGGCTCTCCGAGCAGCTTCGCAAGAGGAGCAGGTCGGGTCGCGCTCTCTCGCCGCGAGGCGGGGTCGGGCGCCCCGTCCGCCGCCCGCGCGTCGCTGTGGTTGAGCAGGTCCAAGTACGGAATGAGCGCCGCCTCCGCGCCCGGCCACGGCTGCAATCACGCACGTGTCACGACCCGCGTCGCGCGACGCGTCGCGCTTGTCCATGCATGCAGGCAGCGAAACGACCTTACTCACCCTGAACGCGCGCGACATCACCATCTCGAGCCCCCACAACATGTCCCCGCGGGCCACATGCGCTCTCTTGCGGCACACCGCTGCCATTCGTTTCAGCCGCGCCTCGACGCCGTCTCGGTGCGCTTCCACCGCCGCCGCCCACCCCTTCTCGTCCATGCGGCCCGCCAGCTCCCTCGGCACGGACGCCGCCAGCGCGGCTGGGTCCTCACACCCCCCCTGCCAGTCGCGCCATGGGGTGGACGGTTCGTGCGGCAGGAGCGCGAGGTACGCACGCAGCGGTGACGCGCCCTGCGCAGCCGCGCTGCGCTCTAGCGCGAGGTACAGCGCCAGGGCCTCCTTGTCTTGGAGGAGGCCGGCGCGGGGGGAGTCCAGGTGCGCGTTGATGGCCTCCGCAGCTGACGTGGCCGAGATGAAGAGCGAGGGCGGCGCGACGAGGATCGGAGAGCCTGGCGCGAGGTCTGCGAGCGCTCGCGGGGCAGCGGTGCTCTGTTTCGCCGGGAACGACCGCAGGCGTGTGTGTTGCCCTGGTCGTTGCGTTGCATGCATTTGTCTACGCGGTTGCCCGCGACGAGGCGTGCAAGCTTGACGTGGCCGGCACGAGCTCGTGCTCTGCATCCCCGTCGTACGGCGGTGGGGGCTGCAGGGGCGTTTGTACCTCGCGTGGCGACGAGGCCCCTGACGCCGCTGCTGGGTGCCGGGTCTTGCAGGCGCAGGTGCGGCGTGGTCCACCCGCCGCGCTCCCGGACCAGCTGCCGCAGTTCTTGAAGCTCGCCGTCCCAACGGAGCTCGGCGGGCGGGCCCGGCGCGGCGCGGACGCGTCGCTCGTCTGCTCCGCCTCTGAGAGCAGCGCACGCCGTCCGCTTGAACGACGGAACGGACACGGAGGGTGGTCGGACGCCCAGTTCCATGAGAAGGTATGCCATCAAGCGACCCGGTCAGGTCTATAACAGCGACATTTCGCAGCAGGGGACCGAGGGACAGCACGGCAAGGGAACTCTGGTATGTCGTCGCATCGATGCGGGCCAGCCTTCTTCTTCCTCACATGCTCTCGCGCTGGCTCTGACGCCACGCCCGCCCCCCCCCGTCGCATCTCACCCCCCCTCGCTCACGAACCCCCCCGCTGCTGCTCAAAGTGCCCCAGCACCCCCCAGAACGTCCGGCGCTCCCTCCGCTCCCCCTCCGCCCTCATCGCCGCCGCCCGCGCCCGCTCCCCCTCCACGTCCGCCCGCGCCGCCCCCGCCTCCAGCGCCGCGCCAAAGTCCTCCTCCGCCTGCACGTGGTCGCCCCGCTGCGCCCGACACACCCCGCGCAGCAGCAGCGCCGCGCCCCGCACCCAGCACTCCCCGCCCACGCGGTCCGCAGCGGCCAGCGCGTCCTCGCACGTGCGCGCCGCCGCGCCCCACTCCTTGAGGGCCGCGCGGGCGCGGGCGAGCTCGAGGTTGGCCTCGGCGTGGTTGCGGTCGACCTCGGCCTGGTCGGGCTGCGTCAGGCCCGCGACGTACCCGGTGATGGCGACGGCGCGCACGAGGCACGCCAGGGCGTCGGCGTGGCGGCCCGCAGCGGTGTGCGCTGCGGCCAGGCGGCGCTCCGTGACATGCTCGTTCAGCGCCGACACGAGCGTCTCCGCCGGCAGGTACGCCTGCGGCAGGAGAGAGGGGCGCGGCCTTTCAGACGAACTGGCTCCCTTTCAGAAAAGCGACTTTTTCGACGTCGAAGAGCGGTGTTTGGTAATTGTTGGTACTATACAGCTATACAGCTTTGCATCCTTGGCCCGCACAGCAGGACTACTGCGGACGTGTGTGCCCGACCTTCCTGTGCGCGTTCGCCGCGAACTCTTGGTGTCCCGCGCCGCGAGGGTCCTTCAGGCTGGCCAGCATCGACTGCTCGATGTCGGCCTCGCTGACGACTCCGCGCCCGATGGCCTCCGCGGCGCCGCGCAGGACGCGCTGGACGTACGGGTTGGCCGCCCAGCGCTCGAAGTCGCCGCTCGGGTCGCTCATGAAGGTCAGCATGATGCGCCGCAGGACGGGGATGCCCACGAGGGGGCCCAGGGCCTGCCGGACCTCGGGGCTGCTGCGGAGGATGCGGTCCTGCGAGGGACACGTGCGCGGAGGGGGGTGAGGTTCGGTGCGACCGGCCCGGCTCGAGCGGGAGGGGTTCGCAGTGTTGTTGTTGCGGGTTTGCCCTCATGGCGAGGTTGGACGGGCGCCCCGCACACCTTCAGGAGGAGTCCGAGCCTGCGTTCCTCGTCCTTGACGGCCTGGAGGTGCTCTTTGCGCTGGATGGCTTCGAGGACGGGCCTGTTTTCGGGCTGAAGGAGGTAGTCCTTAAGCTCTCGTTGCTGCAGAAACAGAAACAGTAACGTTGCGAACGTTCGAGGCGGGGGCTGGAGAATGTAATCGCGGCAGCCGGAAGCGGATACCCGCGTCGAGGCTGGGGGTGCCGACGAGGCGGGCTGATGCGCCCGCGAGTGCAATCGGCTCGCCTAGGGAAATGCAAACGCCTTGGTGTCCGACTCGGGGCGCACCAGCTCGCTGCTCCCCGACGCGCCGCCCTCCCCCGCCCACGCATCCGCCGCACCGGCTCCTTGCGGCCCGAGAACGTCTGCAGCGCAGGGTGTTCCGCGCGAAACGTCGCCGGGAGGAAGCTGCATCCAAAGCAAAGCAGCACAATTCGAAAGCGAAGCGGCACGTCGCTGGCGGCCCCGCACCTGGGTGACCCTGCTCCATATCCGCGAGACCGTGAACCGAACAGACGAATCGTCGGCGCCCTCACACGCGGCCCGCAATGTACACGCAACCAGCACCCTTGCCACATGTGGGACCTCCCCGCCCTGACGGAGTCCGGCAGCGGCGCCCTTGAAACAAGCAGCGCGCGCGTCAGCACTCTCTCCATGTCCGGGCATCAGCGAGATGCGTCGCTCTCGCGCGCGCGGCCCTCACCGGTCCCTTGCGGACGAGGCGATGCACGCGTCGACCACGGCATGGAAGGCGGCGTCCTTCGGCCCGGGCACCCCCAGCGTCGCGAGTGCGCCCACCGCCACGTCCTCGCTGATCCCGAGCGACGCCAGGCGCTCCATCGACGCGCAGAAGTCCAGCACGCGCCCCGCGCTGCCCCCGCTCGACCCGCTGCCCACCGGCGCCACCACCACCGACAGCCGCACCGCGCTCTCCGCGAGCCCGAGCGCCGTGAACCCCGCGACGTGGCGCTTGTGGGCCGCGAGGGCCGCCTTCATCGCGTCGCGCGTGATCGCGCAGGACGCCCGCGACGACGCCTGCGGCCCCTGCGAGAGCATCTCCTGCTCCAGCGCGGTGTCGAAGGACGGCTGCGCGCGCGGAATGTCGCCCATCGCCGACTCCGGCACCTGCGGGGACGACAACGTTCCGAGCGAGCAGCTCTCTCACGTCAGGCCGGGAGAGGAGGGGGGGTTGCGGCTGGATGGCGATGACTGTGTCTTGGGGCCGAGTTGCGCGTCCTGGGGGCGACGCGCACGGTCCGTCTGCTGCGAGAGCGCGAGCGGGCGCGCGTGCGTCGTCGCGGGCGTCGTCGCCGGCGGGCGTACCTCGACGGGCGGCGCAAGTTTGTACTTGTCAGACACACGGAAGCGCGGCTGGGAGCGGGCGGGGCCCGCGGACGGGATGCGTCCGCCCTGCACGGTGGACCGGGGTCGCCGGCGGGGGGAGGGCTGGTGTGTGGCGGCCGTGACGTGTGGGTGGTGTGGCGGCATGGAACGCGGGGGCGCCTGGCGGCTGTGGGGGCGGTGGCGCTCGCGGGACGGTGCGAGAGGGCGACGTGGATGCGGTGGTACGCGGTGCGGTGGGTTCGGGGCGTCTGGCGGCGCCTGCGCGCCCGCGGGACGGGTGTGAGAGGCGCACCCACCTGGTGGGCACGGTGACTCTGCGGCGCGTAGGATCCGGGGCCGGCGCTCGGCTGGGGCGCCGCGTCTAGGTTTGGGTAGCGGCCGGACATGGTTGAGGCGCAGGATCGTGCGCGTGTGCGGCCTGGCGGGGCCCCGCTGCTCCACCCAGACACGAGTCGCGGCCTCTCCCGCCCGGTCGCCGTGCACTCAGGTCCGCGTTCCCACGCCGCAACAAAGCAGCTCTTCCGCGCAAGACTGCCGCGCAAGAACAGCGTCCTCGTGACCGCGGACACCGCCGGAGCCTCCTGTTTGCCCCACCAGCTCGCGACGCGCACCACCAGACGGTTCGGCCGCGCAGCTTTCCTCTTCCAGCGCAAGTTCGAGCTGCCACGCGCGCGCTCGGCGGCCCGGCGAAGTAAGTTTCCGCCGCTGGTGCCGCGACGCCCCCCCCGTGACTCATGGCCACCCAAGGGCCACCGTCATCAGGCCGCCGGCCGGCCCCCGCGCCTTCGCGCGGGTCCATCGGCGCCGCCGCCCATGCTCCGCCGCCACTCCGCCCCCCACGCGCCCTCGATCGACCCCGCGCGCACGCGAGCGCGGCCCTCGCGGAGCACACACACGATCTGTCAGATCCCGCCGCCGCCCCGGCTCGGACGGGCGCGCTTTTCCCGCGAAACCTCGCTCGCTCGGCTGTCCGCGATCGATTCGCGATGGGAGCGGGCGCATCGCGCGTGGAAAGCGAGGGGGCGGCCGCGGTGGAGCGCGGACAGCTCTCCGCCGCAGAAACGCCTCCTCGCCCGACGCGGTCCCTGGTCGAGCGTTTGTCGTTCCGGAAGTCCATGCGGCGCCAGCAGTCCAAGCGCGACCCCGCGGAGGCCGACGAGGCCGGGAGCGACGCGGCGACGACCGCGCACAGCGCAGCGACCGGCGTGGCGGGCGCCGTGGTCGACGCCCGCGCGGCCGTCGCGGCGTACTTCGAGTGGGAGCGCGCGTGGGGCACGCGCGTCTCGCTCGGCACCCGCGAGACCGTCCGGGCGATCATGGGCGCCGGGGGCTGCGCGAGCGAGGACTCCGTCGACCTGTCTGGGGAGCCCGGGTTCGACGGCGACGGCGCGCGCGCGCTCGCGGCCTCCCTGCCGCACGCGGGGCACAAGCTCAAGGTCCTCCGGGCGCTGGACAACGAGCTAGGCGACGGCGGCGTCGCGGAGCTCGCCGCCGCCCTCGCGCACTGCGGCGTGCTGAGGGAGCTGGCGCTCTCCAGGTGCGCCGCGCCCCGCGTGCTCCCGCACCGACACACCGCATGGCGCTCCACCGGGCAGCGTGCCGTCGCGGCCCGTGGGGCGTGTCGCGCCGCCCTGCGTGCGGCCACGGGATCTCTGCTCCCGCAGTGAATCTCGCCCGGTGGTGCGGCACCCGGCGCTCGCTCTGCGCGATGCGGCGCGCCACCTCGACGGCCAGTTCGTGTTCGGTCGCCAGGGGGGGCGGCGAGGCCGCGTCGTCCGCGGCGCTCGCGCGGCGGGCGCCAACGACGCCGCGGCGGGCATGCTACCACCGCCGCGCTCCGCCGCAGCAGACCGCGTTGGACTGTTCGCCCCCCGCGTGCAGGAACGCGATCGGAGACGTTGGAGCCGCGGCGATCGGCGACGCGATCGCCCAGGGGCACACCCCGAAGCTGACGGTGCTCAGCCTGGGGCGCAACCACCTCTCCGCCGCCGGCGCCGAGGCCCTGGCGCGCGGCTTCGAGCGCGTGCCGGACCTCGACGTCCTCGGGCTCTACGAGAACGACCTCGGCGACGAGGTGCGCGCCCGCCCCCGGCCGCCTCGAACCCCCAATCTCCAACCGCCTCGCGTTTCCGCTCGCCCACGCGCCCCGCCAGCTCGCTCCGTGCCCGCCGCAGGGCGGAGAGGCCGTCGGCAGGGCGCTGCGGCACACCCGGCGGCTCTCCAGGCTCTTGCTGGAGCGCGTCGGCCTGGGGGCCCCCGGCGCGCTGGCCCTCGCGTCGAGCGTGGCGTCCCTGCAGCGCCTGAGCACGCTCCAGCTGAACGACAACGCCATCGGGGAGGCCGGCGCCGTCGCGCTCGCCGCGGCCCTCCGCGCCTCGCAGGCGCCGCTCGAGCGGCTGTGCATCGACAACAACCGCGACATCGGGGACGCCGGGGCCGCGGCGATCTTCGAGGCGATCGGGCCGACGCAGCGCTCGGCGCTCGCGCTGCGCACGCTCAGCGCCGAGGGCGTCGGGTGCGGCGTGGAGGGCGCGCGCGCGCTGGCGCGCATGCTGCGCCGCGCGGTGGACGTGACGGACCTGCACCTGTCGCGGAACCCGGACGTCGGCGCGGAGGGCGCGGCGGCGCTCGGGGCGTCGCTCGCGTGCGCGGGCCGGCTCTGGCGGCTCGCGCTCGGGCGGTGCGCGCTGGGCGACGAGGGCGCGCGCGCGCTGGCGCCGGCGCTGGCGCAGCTGCGGCACCTGTCGACGCTCGCGCTGCACGGCAACGGCCTGAGCGACGAGGGCGCGGCGGCGCTGTCGGACGCGCTCAGCGGGAGCCAGGCGCTCGTGCTGCTCTACCTGCACCGCAACGAGCTGTCCGACTCGGGCGCGCGGCAGCTGGGGCGCTCGCTGTGCGGCGCGCCGGGCCTCGCGGAGGCGCACCTCGAGGGCAACCGGCTGTCGGAGGCCGGGGCGCTGAGGCACTCGCTCGAGCGCACGCTGACGGGGCAGGTGTTTACGTGAAGACGAGTCGCGGGCAACTACGACCGACTGGGACGCTGCTGCTGTAGCTGTAGCTGCTTCAACTACCGAGAGACAACAGAGAGAGAACTGGAGTCACGCTGCGCCGGCGCGGCATCGCGCCAGCAGCGTGGCAGGAGGCCAGCGCGGGCCGTTCCACACCGCACGGCGAGCGGACGGCTTGACACTGGGCAGGAATCAACACCAACCACCTTCTAGCTGCTTGAATTTGACCCACTTGCATTCGGCTTACTTCCCTTCCCCCCCTCCCCCCCCCCTCGGATTGCACGCGCACTTGCTCGCCTGTTCACCACGTTGCGACCCGCCTGGTGCTAGATGGACCGTGACGCTGCGCGGCCCGGCGGCACCTGCCGCGCCGCGCCTCGCCGCGCCGTCCCAAGGGGCCGCAGCCGCCCAGGTGAGTGACCTGGCGGCCGCAGCCCCCCCTGTGACACGAGACTTGTTCCTGTGCGCCGCGAGAACGTCCATGGCCGTGCGGGGCGCGCGGATCACCAGCGCGGTCCTCACAGTCCGCTGTGTCAGCGGGTGACGAGCTCGATGATGAACCGGAAGACGCTCTCTGGGATCCAGAACTGCTCGCGCTCTTCGTTGGTGCCCTTCAGGTGGTCGAGCGCGCTGAAGTACACGGCGAGGACCCCCTGGAGAGGGGACGCGAGCTCGGGCCCCGTTGCGCGCGGAACCAGACCTTCAGCGTCCAGGACGCGCATGAAGCTGCGGCGGCGGAGGGCGCGGGGGGCATGTGACGCGTGCGAGGTCGTGACGTGCAGGCAGCGAGGTCGGGGGTGCGCACGGACGTGCGCTTCGCCGCGGTAGCAATCGGTCGGGGGCCTCACTGCCACTGTTCCGCATCGAGGTGGGAACGCATCGAGGCTTTTTTTTCGTAAGAATGCGCGACGGGAAGGTGGCGCAGGGGCGCCGGTACCCCCTTGCAGCGGCGCATGGAGTCCTGCAGCTTGCTGTCTCTGTACAGGTTCTCGTGCAGGGTGACGCGCGGCGACGTGGACCAGGCGCTGGCGACGAGCGCGGTGGCCTCGTCGCGTGTGTGCTCGAAGAGCATCACGTATTCCACGAGGCTCTTCTTCGCCAGCTCCTCGTTCTCCTCGTCCTGCCACACCTCATGGCTCCACACGGAGCCCGGGTCTTTCTCCGCCCCCGGCCACTCCTCCTGGTCCCACAGGGAGCCCCCCAGGCCGGGGCCACCACCCTGCATCGGCAGCGGAGAGTGCGAGACGCGCTGTCGGCGTCGGCCAGGCCGTGTGGGCGGCCGCGGGTGCGGGGAGCCGGGCCAGGAGGCCGCCGTGGGGGGGCGGAGAAAGCTCGCCAGAGCTGCGCGGCAGCGGTGCTCCCAGCAAGTCAAACCAGCGTCGCCCTGCCGGCCGGCGTGCGCGCGGATGACCACCGACGACTGCCTCCAGGGACGGATCGCCCTGTCTTCGGCGTGACGCGTCGCACGCTGCGCCCCGAACGTCCCCGGGCGCTCGGCGAGCGGGCCGTGTGACGCACGGATGGCGTGGGTTCCCGAGGCGCGGATGCCGCGGCGCACGGGCGACGTCGACCCGTCCGCGATCGCGCGAAACGTGCCACGAGGAGGGCCTGGTATGCAGCTGCTCGTAGGCAACGCTGGTTTGATCGTTGGCCAGGTTCTGGGGCAGTGCTCACTCACTTGCATCATCTCCCTCTCCGTTGCGCCTCAAGACAAGAGGCGACGTGCAGAAGTAGCCTCGCGGACGAGTGGAGGCAGGACGGCGTCGCGCGGCCGCCTCGACCGCGTCGTGTCGGCGGTCAGGGGGAGGTGTGTGGCGCGGGGGTCCCAAGCGCTCGTTGCGGTACAGCGGCAGCGCCGCCGCGCATTCGCCGTCTGCGCCAGGTCTTCGGAAGTGTCTCAGCGCGGGAACGCGGCGTACTGGTGCCAGGTGCGCGTCCACGCCCCGCGCGAGCACCAATGGTGCGTGGGCGCGAGTTGCAACGTCCAGCGCCGTCGGGCGCTGTGGCGGCGCTGCGACGCTTCATGCGCAGCGCTATTTCCGAGCCTCGATGTTGATGACGAGGCTGAGCGATGTTGGATCTCGCTTAGTACGGCGCTGGTCCCTATGAGAGCCGATGCACCCAGCGCACAGCAGAGGCCGATTGCGGCCGCGAACGAACGTGCTGCCCTGCGACGCTGGCCGGGGCCATGTCATTGGTAGTTGCCAGCGCGAGCGGGCTGCTGCGCGCGTGCCACACGATGATTCACGCGCCGTAAGAGCCATGCGACCCTTGCTCTGCAGATATCCGGGGAACGGCGCGTCGCGGCCGCCTCGGACGGCAGCGGCGGAGCCGCGCATCTCGGCCTCGCACACACGACGCTAGCAGCGCCAACCACGCCTACCCGCTGCAGCAAGGCCCCCTGACGCGACCTCGGCAACATGGTGGGCCCCACCCACCATGTGACACATCTTGGCTGCGGTGCGTCGTCATCGTGCCGGCGCCTGACCCACGGCCCCGCGTCGCCGCTCCGTATCACGCAGGGGTCGGCCTTCGAGGAGCTGCTTCACGGCGTGCCCGCGGTGCTGCAGGCGCTGCCCGACGACAGCAAGCGCAGCGTGGCAGCGACGTCGTGGAGCGCGCTGGTGGCGGTGCTGCGGGGGACCCGCGCGACGCCCCGGCTGTCCGCGGGCGGCGCCCTGCTGCGGTCGATCGCCGAGCACATGACGCTCACGCGCGGTGCGAGGCCCGCGCTGGGAAGCGTGTGCGTGAAGGAGCTGGCCGAGGCAGTGGTCGCTGCCGACGAGGTGGGCCCGCTGCTGGACGTGCTTGACGACGAAGACTCGGGCTGCGGGGTCAGCCCCGTAGACAGCGACGACGGTCGAAGTCCCGATGCCTACTTTGAGGGCGGCCAAGTGCCGTTCCTGAACCTTGCCAAGGTGGTGAAGCAGTGCGACAAGCTCGGCAGCCCGCTCAAGCTCCGCGGCGTCGTAGCCATGGGAGACAAGGACGCCATTCGGGGATTCACAGACAGCCGTTCGAAGGAGATTGGACCTGCGCTGCTGGACCTGCTGCCCCGACCGTCCGTGGCGGACAACCTGCGCGATCTCACGCTGTATCGATTTCCGCTGTCGAGCACGTGCTTCGCGGACCTTGTCGACGCGCTGCGCGGCGCCAAACGCCTGGAGCAGCTGCACATCCTGGACGACGATGGCGGCATGGACGCGTCGCCCGACGGCGTTTTGGCGCTCTTCGACGCGGTGCGCTCCACGCGCACTGCATGCATGGCGCGCTCGTGCTCGTGCGCGTGTTGTGCCTGAGGTCGTTGATCTGAGCGCCACGTCATTCAACCGGGCCTGGAACCGCCGCACGTTGCAGATCTCTGGCATGGAGGCGATCCGCGAGCTGACGCTGCCTTTCACGGTCCAGCCGTCGGCGTTTGTCGCGCTGCTCGACATGCTCGGTGCGCACGAGTCGGTCGTGGAGGTGATGCTGCGAATCGAGTCGAAACATCTGAGCAGGGCTGATGTCGACGCGCTCGAGCGGATGCTGCGCACGAACACGGCGCTGCGGACTCTCATGATGAGGGACGTCTACGACGAGAGAGACGGACCGATCGACCAAGAGAAGGAGTGGTATCTCGGCGACGAGGCCGCAGCCATTGGTCTTGCGTGGCAGTCGTCCGACGGGTTCACGCTGCTCGGCGAGGCTCTGGGCGCCGGGCTCGCGCGGAACAGCACGTTGCGGGAGCTGCACGTCTACTGCGACCGCGCCCCGTCCGCGGACGGCGTCTCCGCCCTGATGGACGGCCTGCAGCAGAACACGACGCTCGAGTGCCTGTACCTGCCCTCAGCACGACACATGCCCGACTTCCCCGGCAAAGTCGCGACGGCCGTGAGGCAGGGGAGCGGTCTGCGGGAGCTGCACGTGCCCACCATCCAGAACAACGGGGCCGCCTTGTTCGACGCGCTGTCGCTGAGGCCGTGCACGGTGCTGCACATCGGCCAAAGTCCGTTCCCGCCGCTGGCGCCCGGTGTCGTGGCCGAGCTTGCGAAGGCCCTCGCGGACGGAGCGCTCGGTCGCACGCTGGGGACACTGGAGCTCGCTCACGCGCGGGAGACGCAGGGGTTTGTGGCGCTGGGACGCGCTCTGGAGCACAACCAAGTGCTGCGCAGTCTCCGCGTCCACGACAGCCCAGTAGGCACGGAGGGTGCTGCCGCACTCGGGCGCGCGCTGGCGACGAACCACGCGCTCGAGTCGCTCGAGCTCTGCGGGTGCGACGTCGGCGACGAGGGCGCCGCTGCTCTCGCAGCCGGTCTGAAGCAGAACGCCGTCCTCCGGGAGGTGGAGCTGCGCAGGAACCGCATCGAGACGCCCGGAGCTCTTGCCTTGGCGCGCTCTCTCCGCGCCCCGTCCCGCGTGCAGCGCATCAGCCTCGGCGAACAAAGCCGCAAGCGGAGCGGCCATCGGCAGCGGCTTCGGGGCCTCTTCGACGAGTCCGTGCCGGTCGCTTTCGCGGATGCGTTTGCGGCGAGCAGCGCGCTGGAGGTTGTCGACCTCGGGCTCTGCAAGCCCGGCTCGGCCGCCCTGGACGGGATGCACTCGTTGGTCGACGCGGCGATCGCGTCGGCAAGGTCCCGCCACGTGCCTGGAAGACCCAAGGTGCTGACAGCGCAGCTCACGATGACGACGTGCTACGATGAAATCTGCCACGTGAGAGGCTCGATGGAGCGGGAGGTTGGGCGCCTCTACGACAAGGTGCGCTGTGCGCAGCGCGCGGGGTGGGGGGACGATTCCAACGCCGCTTCGAACAGTCTGGTGAGGCGGGTCAAACTTTACGTCGACAGTATCCGCTAGAGCGGGGCGGTGACGACGGGCAGCGTTTGCACGAGCGCGGGAGGACACGGGACGCGCGCCAGCGGCGGGAAGCGAAGGTCGTCGCTCGCTTCGACGGTCGGGTGTGAACCGCGTGCGCACTTGCTCGCTGCCTGCGACGTCCCCCGGGCACACACCAGATGCAGCAAAGGACGCCGTGTGCGCCAAGGCCTGCAGCATCGATGGCGTGCGGCTGTGCGTCGCGCGGTCCACGATGCCGCTCGTGTACGGCGTGCACGCGAACGCGAGCAGGCAGACCTCGTCCACGGTGTCCGCATCGAGCTGGAGGTGGAAGACGTGGTCCGCTTGCATCTCGGTGAACCACGGGTGCTGGCGGACCTCGAGGATGGTGACGCGCTTTGTCGGGTCGGCGAGGAGCACCCGTGGGAGCAGGGTTTTCGCGCGCCACCGGGTACAGGTGCGACGGCAGGCTGGAAATGCCCCCCTTGAACTGGTTGGGGGTGTTTTCGTCGAACCGTCGGGAACGGAAGGAAGCCGCTGCCCGCCGCGACCGCACTGGCTATCTGAGGCCAGTACACACGCAGCGAGACATGGTCGCGTCCGAACCGCGTCGTGTCGGCGGTCAGGGGGAAGTGTGGCGCATGGGGGTCCCAAGCGCTCTTTGCTGTACAGCGGCGGCGCCGCCGCGCATTCGCCGTCTGCGCGAGGTCTTCGGGAGTGTCTCGACACGGGAACGCGGCGTACTGGTGCCAGGTGCGCGTCCACGCCTCGCGCGTGCAGAAGGGTGCCCCTAGACACACGGGCGCATGTCAACCCTATCCGTCATGGGTCACTGTCTCCGCAATCGACCGCGCTTGGTCGCGCTGTGCCGCGCGCCGCGTCCGTGCGCGCAGCAGCCCGTCACCGACCCCTCCATGGCAGATACCAAGCCCGCCCCTGCGCGGCTCGTCATGCCCAGCCCCGCGTCCCGGTCGGGCACCGTCCGTGATGCCTCGTCGCCGGCTGCCGGGGGGGTGTCTCAGCAGGCGCTGGGGGGGGCGTATTGAGCGTTGGGCAGCACGAGGCGTCGGCCCGTGACACATCGGAGCCACAGCGCACCGTCACGCGCCACGCGACGATCGCGAAGACGTCACAGCTCAGTGCGCTGTTGCGAGCTCTCCCCAGCCCGTCGACGTCTACGCGCCCGTACGTCTACGCTCTTGCCGTCCCGCACCCTGAACTTTCGACCACCCTCCGTCACGATGACGGTCTGTCCCTTGGGCAGCCTCTGCGTCCAGCCTAGATCGTCCATCGTGAGGCCAGTCTCCTTCTCCTCGCACTCTACACCGACTCTGATCTCTTCAATTGCCTCCAGGCCCTCGGGAAGCTCCGACACAAGTGTCCTATAGAGGTCCAGCTTCTTCAACCCTCTCGCCGATTCCCGGTCGATGAAGTCCGACCGAACGTTGCACCACGACACGTCCAGCTCCTCCAGCGCCGGCATGCCCCGCACGCACGTCGTCGCTGTGTACGATGCATCCAGGACGCGCAGCTTGCGTCTGGAGGTCTCCGGGATCTTGCTCGCATCCAGTGCCTTGCAACCCGCGACCTTGAGCTCCTCCAGCGCCGGCATGTCCCGCACGCACGTCGTCGCCGTCCATTCAGCATCCAGGACCCGCAGCTTGCGTCTGGAGGTTTTCGGGATCTTGTTTGCATCCAGCGTCTTGCAATCCGAGACGTCGAGTACCTCCAGCGCCCTCATCCCAGCCGGCACCTCGCACAGGTTCGTACATTTTTCGGCACGGAGCTCCTGCAGCGTCTCCCGCACGCTCGCGCTCAGCCAGCTGGCGTCAAAGCTGGCGCACCATGACACATCTAGCTTCCTGAGCTGTGTCATGTTACCAGGAAGGCCGCGCACGCCCGTGCTTCGCACGTCCAGCTCCCGCAGCGCTGCCGCCACGCCGTCGTCGATCCAGTGCTCGTCCAGGTTCTTGCAGTAGCGCACAATCAGCGTTTCGAGGTGCGTTGCAGAAGCCGGGACGCGACGGACGGTCGTTCCCGCCACGTCGAGGTAGCGGAGCTGCCGCACCGAGTCTGCCGGCAGCCAGTCGTCGGCCAGGTCGATCGGACGTCTGTAAAAGTCACTCAGCGTCAGCTTCTGCAGCGACACCATCCCGGCAGGCATCCGACGCACGCTGGGCCGCTCGATCTTCAACTCGACCAGCGACGCGCACGAGGCCTCGTCCAGGAAGTCCTCGCACAGCCCCACGCAGTCAACGAGCGTCAGCTTCTGCAGCGACACCATCCCAGAAGGCATCCGACGCACGCTGGACCGCACGATCTTCACCTCGACCAGCGACGCGCACGAGGCCTCGTCCAGGAAGTCCTCGCACAGCCCCACGCAGTCAACGAGCGTCAGCTTCTGCAGCGACACCATCCCAGAAGGCATCCGACGCACGCTGGACCGCACGATCTTCACCTCGACCAGCGACGCGCACGAGGCCTCGTCCAGGAAGTCCTCGCACAGCCCCACGCAGTCAACGAGCGTCAGCTTCTTCAGGACCGTCATGTGCGGCGGTACGTATTTGATGGAGCACGCTGTACAGACCAGCTGCCGCGGCCTCGAGCCGAGAACATGAATGATCTCCCCCTCCTGATATAGGCGACGTCTCACGGTCAGCTCCTCCAGTGCGCTCATGCCGGGGGGGAGTCCCTGTATTTCCCACGCGTCCAGGTCGAGCCCCCTCAAGCTGCAGGCGGAGCTCGACGGCAGCCAGTTTGGTGCGCATTTCTGGGGCCCTCGCTTGAATTTTAGTCTCTCGAGCGCCGGGAGATCTTCCGGCACGCGGTCGATGCTATCGCCACCCAGGAGCACCCTCAGCGCTGGGCGGCTCGACACTGGCAGCCACGCGCTTGCATCGATGCGCTCGCAATCCACGACGTCCACCTCCTCCAGCGACCCCATCCCCTCCGGCACGCGTCGCAGCCCGCTCCGAAACGCGTTCAGAGTCTTCACGCTCCCACGCGCACCACGAGGTAGCCACGCGTCGCTCGACAGCCAGTCCCGGTCGAGGTGCGACACGTCCACGTGCTCGAGCGCCGTCATGCCGTCGGTCAGCGGCGGCGGCGGCAGGTCGTCCAGCCCCTTGTGATCAGACGACCATCCAGGGCAACCATTGAAAAAGTTGCTCCATTTTCCCAACGTGCGCAGACCCGCCACGGACACCTCGTCCCGCGGGTCTGCCCCCGCCCGGTACACCAGCACCCACCCCTCCTCGCTCACCCGCCCGATCCGCGCGTTCGGCGCCACACACCCCTGCTGGTGCAGGCGCTCCATGATCTGGTCGGCCACCTGCGCCGTGCTGGGCGTGAGCTCCACGCCGCCCGGGCAGCACTGCAGCACCGCGCTCATGTACGCCGACGACGTCGCCGCCAGCGCCGCGCGGTCCCGCGGCTTCAGCAAGCCGAAGACTTTCGCCAGAGGGCCACTGGGCAGGTCGGTGAGCCGGAGGGCTCTGCGGGGCGCGTCACTGCACGTCATGTGAGAGGTCGGGGACGTCTACGTTGAGTCGCTGCTTGCTGTCGCATCAGCACACGCAACCCGTCGCTCCCGAGCCCCCGCGCAGGCAACCACCACTGAGCGGGTCACCTCGCGCTCGCAGGACCCTGCGCTCCCGCGTCCATCGTCCTCGCGCGCCGCCTCGTGATCATCTGCATGGTAATGATCAAGTCACGACGTCATAACCACGGCAGCTCGCTGCGGCGGCGGATGCTGCGCCACATACCCTCTGCTGCCCAGCACGAGCCCCCCGCACGCAGCGACAGCGCATACAGACCGCACCTCGACCACAGTGCCGCGTCCAAGCTGCACCTGCTCACCACCTCCGACTGGCTCGGCAGCCTCGCGCCCTCCCACGCAAGCACAGACCGACAGATGCAGCCCCGCGTGCGTGAGCGTCGCGACCTTCGTACGTGCGCGCGCCGCTGCACACCCGACTGCGCGCTGGTACGTGACTGTCCACGCCGTGCCGCCACGACACCGTGAAGAAGCCTCGCACCGCGGGGCATCGACGGCAGGGGGTGTCCAACTGACACCCCTGTTCAAGACCCCCTCTCGTCGCCTCTGGGCGAGGCCCGTCACTGGCCGGCTCCATGGCAGCTGCCGCACCATCTCCGCGGCTCGTCAGGCCCAGCGCCTCCCTGTCGGGGCCCGCCCGTGCGGCCTCGTCCCCGCCGCCGTGGGGGTGTCTCAGCAGGCAACGGAGAGGCGTATCGAGCATCAGACAGAGCGCCCACAGCAGCGCGATCTGCGCCCCCCTGCCGCATGCGCGGGCGTCGCCATCCTGTGCACGGAAAATATGTGATCGTGCTGCGCCAGCATTTCGCCGGAGTGTGACGGCGCCGCAAGCCGCGCTTGGTCGCGCTGTGCCGCGTGCCGTGCCTGTGCGCGCAGCAGCCGTCGGCGGTTGCGTCGTCTCACGAAGCACCGGTCCGCTTGACCTGTGCCACGCGCGGGCGCCAGGAACGATGGCGTCGTCGGCAGCGTGCGGCATGACGGACACTGCGAGTCCGCGCCCGAGCCGCTGCCCGCCGCGACCGCACTTGCTGTGCGAGGCCACCGCAGATGTGGCGAGGAACAGTTGGGCCGGCGTCGCGTCGTGTCGGCGGTCAGGGGGAGGTGTCTAGCGCGCGGGGGTCCCAAGCGCTCGTTGCGGTACAGCGGCGGCGCCGCCGCGCATTCGCCATCTGCGCGAGGTCTTCGGAAGTGTCTCAGCGCGGGAACGCGGCGTACTGGTGCCAGGTGCGCGTCCACGCCCCGCGCGAGCACCAATGGTGCGTGGGCGCGAGTTGCAACGTCCAGCGCCGTCGGGCGCTGTGGCGGCGCTGCGACGCTTCATGCGCAGCGCTATTTCCGAGCCTCGATGTTTATGACAAGGCTGAGCGATGTTGAATCTCGCTTAGTACGGCGCTGGTCCCTATGAGAGCCGATGCACCCAGCGCACAGCAGAGGCCGATTGCGGCCGCGAACGAACGTGGCTGGCCTGCGATGCTGATCGAGGCCATGTCAGTGGTAGTGGGCGGCGCGAGCGGGCTGCTGCACGCGTGCCACACGATGATGCACGCGCCGTGAGAGCCATGCGACCCTTGCTGCGCAGGTAGGCAAAGTGCCCGGCAGCCGCGCTCTGCGCCCTGCTCGCCGCCCACTACGTCGCCAGGTCCCGCAATCTACCTGGTGCAAACCATCCAAGCTCAGGAGACCCATCACGGGTTCGAGCGACGACATATCATGGGAGATGATCATGGTGAAGAGTGGTGAGCACGGTCGTCGACTCGACCCGCGAGCCCACCACCGCGTTGGGTGACCTTCATCCAGCGATCGGTATTGGAGAGGCGCCCAGGGGCTGTTCGATCCCGCTCGCGGCAAGACAGCGTTGCAGCAAGGACGTTGACGGTCGCTGGTCACGTCGGCGCTGAAGGCTCTTCGCGCAAGCCGTGCGCTGCGAGAGCCCCGACTGACTGAGCGCTGCGAAGCGTGCGGCTCAACGCGTGGGAACGCACCCTCGTGTGCTGCAGCACCTTTTGAACATGTCACGTGGCGGCCCACGGCGACGACGGCTCGCGTCGTACTTGCCCCTGCGCCGATCTGATATGCTTGCAGGAGGTTCCGTCCACTGCTACCCCGGGTGATGTTCCCCTGGGCTGAGAACGCGGGCGTGCCCCCCAAGGCCCCCGCGTTGCTCGGGCCGCAACCAAGCGCAGCCAGCCCCGGGCTGCTCGACATTCCCGTCGGCACGGAGACGAGCTCCCCTCCGCGGGGGGCATACCACGTCGAGGTGGCGCGCGCGCTGCTATGTGCACATGCAGTCGCCTCCAAACAGGGCCCGCTCCTACATGGCGACGCCCCGAGGAAGGCCCTGATCAAAGCCCTGGGATGCAACGACATGGAAGCAGTGGCAAAGGCGTACACGAGCGACTCATTCAAGAGGGCGGAGCAGCAGGTGCGTTGACGTCGCGGAGCTGCGCACGCAGCGCTTGAACCGTCACGTGCCGGGTTCGCGTCGATGTGCCTGCTGCTGCCTTTGACACCACTGCGCGGCACCGCGACATCTCGTCCTCAGGCGCGGGCGTTCTCTCGGGATCTCGCACGCACATGCATCGATCTCGCATTGGTGCCTACTGACGCCAACTCCGCACGCTCGCGACGCAGCTGATGGACTTCGTCGGCACGTACCTGGTGAAGCAACGGAGCGCGAACAGCGAGAGGATGACCGCCGTGAGGCGCAAGGTGGCCGAGTGGATCGAGATCGAGTACGGCCAAGAGACGCCCGAGTTCTACGCCAGGTACAAGCGGGACGACAAGCCATTCTTCGAGCGGCAGGCGGGCGCGTTCCTGCGCGGGGTCTTCTCCGACGACGAGAACGCGGTGCCAGCCGACGACACGGCCCGCCTGTGGCAGATCGGGCGCGACATGCGCGGCACCCCTTTCCGCGCCTGCGAGCCTCTCGGAGACTTCCTGGGGAAGGTGAGTCCCGCCGATCACGTCCGGCTCGGCGCAGGCTTCCCCATTGCCATAGTCGTGTGCGGCGCCGCTCACCGACGCGCGCCGCTGCTCCGCCCCTTTGCCGCCGCTGATGCAGGAGTGTGCCGGGCTCAGCGACTTCTGGACGCGCCTTGAGGGCATCACCGACGTGGAAGCCACCCCCCTCAATGCTCCTGCGGACACTGACGAGGTCTTCTTCCCCAACGTGTACTTCGTCCCCTACGGCAGCGTTGTGTGGTGCTACACACACCTCTACAGCGCGTTCGGTCACGCCGAAGCGCCGCGGCTGGACGCGGACCTGGTGGGGAAGGCAAAGGGGAAGCTGGAGGCCACGGGGGCGGGAAAGGACACGGTCGACTTCTTGCTGCGCGTGGTGCAGTACAAACATATCGTCGACCCGTTCTGCGGGGTGTGAACAAGTCTAGTCTAGTCACGAGCGCGGGAGGACACGGGAGGGGCGCACGGGTGCTGGCGGACCCCGAGGATGGTGACGCGCTTCGTCGGGTCGACGAGGAGCACCCGCGGGAGCAGGGTTTTCGCGCGCCACCGGGTGCAGGTGTAACGGCAGGCTGGAAACGCCCCCCTTGAATTGGTCGGGGGTGTTCGTCGTCGAACCGTCGGGAATGGAGACGAGCCGCGGGAGTTCGCCGCCTGCGCCGGAGTGTCTCGACACGGGAACGCACCCGGCGATCATGGACGAGTGCGGACAGTTCGAGCCGTCACAGGTGCCCCGCTGCGCCACGTGGGCTTCTCGGCACACACCGTGGCGCCGCTCGACGCGAACGCGGCGGGCTCCGGGATCTCCCACGAGGGGTCGTCGATTCCCGTCGCCGGCAACCAGCGGAGGCGGGCAGAGTCCCCTGGGAGGACTCCAGTGACTCCACCGGGACTGCCCCACCACTCGCGTCTCCCGGCCCGCCGCCGGACATGGCCTGGCCGGCCCGGACCGCGAACGCAGCTTCGATCGACCAGCGTCAGCGCTCTCTCCCTCCGCGCTCCCACGCGGCGCGCGGCCCGCCTCGAGCGCCGCGGCTGGGCAGCACGCGCGCTGCGGGCACCTGGGTGGTCGGGCGTGAACCGCGAGCCGACCATGCGCCGCTCCGACGTGCAAGCTACCTGGTCTGGTCGCGCGGGGTCGTGATTCCCGGCGGGGCGCGCGCGCGGCGGCCAAGTTGGGACACGTCCTCTGTCAAGCAGTCCGTCGTGTCTGGATCCTCGCAGCCCCCCCCCTGGGGAGCGCGGGGTGACGACATAGGCAGGGCCTCCGCGATCGGCGCGCCATGGGCCCCCGCGAGATGCCTGCGACGCCATGGACGGCGCGGGTCACCACGGGCCTCGTCTACGACCGCCAGACGCCGCGCCGTGGGCGCCTCGCGCGATCCTGCGGGTCTCCGATCCGCGGTGATCTGTCACATGGACGGATGGCTCTGCGGAGCCCCGGGTGCGTCCGGCACACCTCGTGCAGAGCCTCGCTGCCAACTGCCGCCGTGGTTGCTCGCCGACGCGGTATCCGGGGCGACCAGGCGCCGGGGACCCCGCTGCGGCGCGCCGTGCGCGGCCTTTGGGGGCGGGGGGGCGGGGTGGTGTGTTGCTGTTGCTCTGCCGACGCGGCGGTCGGCGCGTCCACGTGCACGCGTGTGACGGCGACGTCGCCGAGCGCGCGGACCTGGTGCTGCCGCGCATCTCCGCATCGCACCCCCCGACTCGCCGCGCCCGCCGCGCAGAACACCGCCCCCCCGCCTGCGTGCGACGTCGACGGGGCGGCATGCATATATGCATGGGGGGGGAGTTGGCGTGACGAGGCGCTGGGCGGTCGGTGCCGCGATACCAAGCTCCGACACACATCACCATCGCGATCTCGCGCCGCTCGCGGCCGCGGCGCTGTGAGCCGGAGCCGAAAAGGACCTTCCTCCTCGCGTGCGCCGCGCCACCTCTCCGCTCGCCCCCGTACGGGACGCGTCCTGCTCCGCGCCGTGCCCCCGACGAGCGCGTCGAGGACCGGCAGCCGCGCTCCTTGGCGGCGGCGTGGGCATGCGCGGGTGTCAGCATCATATGATGCATGACAGACCGTCCGGTGGCCCTCACTGAGTCCCTGCGACGAGCGGCGGACGTACATGGCGGCATGCCACGGCGACGTGAAAGCGCCTCCAACAGAATGTGGGCCGGAAGCCTTCGGTGCTGCTACGCGAAAGCAACAGATGAGCGGACAGAGGGAAGAGGGGGTGGAGAAAGACGTCCGTGGGCTTGTGCGTGGGTGATTCGAGTAGCACACGACGCGATGAGTGCACAGAAGGTGCGGAAGCGGCACAGAAACGGGTGTGCGGCGCGGGTACGTCGGAAACGTGGAATGAGAGGCACATATTGGACTATCACGCGCTGCGGCTTGCGCTACAGGACCAACACACTGCCCTTGGCCGTAATGCATCGATCGAGCTGTGACGTAGTGTGAAATGTCTGGGGCTGCGCCCACCATCCGGGCGCGCAAGGGCGGGTCGAGCTGCTCTGAGCCCGCCCACCCTCCGCTTCAGCTGGAAGTTTTGGGGCCTACAGGGCACGACCGGGGCCGTGTGCGCCACAGGATCCGGCATGCCGTTGTGTCGACGCGTTGATGGCGCCCGTACGGGCTCAGGGCGTAGTGCTGGGGCAGGCTTGCCAGCCGCAGGGTCAATGGCGCCTATTTCTGCACTGCTTGCGCGGCTTTTTCGGCGATTCCTGCATCAAGGAGCGCGCTTTGCTCCCCTGGAGTCGTAGGAGCCGCCCGGAGGGTTCGCAGTGGACATTGCGAGCCTGCGGCGACCTCCAGGTGCCTGGCAGCTTTGGCCGCCTCTCTCGGCCCCCCCGAACGCTTCGCGCGATGTTTGCGCGCACGAGCATAACAAAACGCTTGCCGACAAGGTGGATCGAACACCTGACCTCAAGATAGCGGACAGCGTGCGCTCGTCTTCAGTCTTGCGCTCTTCCAACTGAGCTATGTCGGCGTGTGAGGGCCCAAATTTCTTGTTAACATAAAAAGGATTTGTATATTCGTACACATACCTTGTCATAAGCACCACGGCACGCCGAAACACAGTGATTTCGCCGAATGCCCGTGCAGCATACCACACGTGCACCCCCCCTGCAGCTCAGATGTGCGAGCAGCCCGACGAGTGCGGACACCTGCACTCTCGGAATCCTCCCGCATGATACTGCATCGGATCCATCAAGCGAGCGCCGGAGCGGCTAGTTCAACTCCTCTGTAACCGCGACGGGAAACGACGGCTCTGATGTAACCCCTGGTCCCGCGCCCAGCGCAAACCCTCCGGGAGACTGCTGCGACTCCGGGTGAGCAAAACGCGCTACTTGATGCGCGAGTCGCCGGAAGAGATGCGCAAGAGGTGCACGAGTGCGCGGCATCGTCCTTGCGGCCAGCAAGCCTGTCCCGGCCACTGCGCACCGTGCGCTTCGAGCGCACGACCCCGGAGGTGGTCGAGGCGCATGGGGAGGACCCGCGGGACGCGACTCGGGTGGCGCCCCCCTGGGCGTGCGGCATCACGGAGACGCCGCGGTTCCAGGCCAACGACACTAGAGTGTCGTCGTCAACAGAGGCACCTCGGTCTTCTGCGTGGCGCGAAGATTGGACAGGCGCTCGACCTCGACCCGTGGACACCGGAAGCGGCCCGGCGTGCTCGCGAACGCCCGCAAGCCGGAAATGGCCGCAGGCGCGCTCGCGAGCGCCACGAAGACATGGAGATCATGGAGCTGCGAGCGCCGGCGCGCTCCCACGCGAAGCCCGGCATCCTGTCGCGCCGCGGCTCACGCTGAGCCCCGGCCCGCCGACTCAAGTCTTCCTCCGTGCGCCCTCGCGGGCCCGGAGTCGATGCTGCGCAGCGCCCACGAGGCGCGCTCCGTCCGTGCGCGGCGTATCCGCGCGGGCCGAAGTGCATGATGACACGCTGTCGGCCAGGTCCTGGCGGTTTCAGCCGTCCCATGCCCCCCCGCCTCGGCCTGGTGGCATAATCTGATGTCTGCGCTCACAATGCTAACCCCCTGTCCTGCGTGCTAATGCGGTGTGGTGTGCCCTCGGCCGCACCCTGCCCAGAGCTCGGCGGCGCGCGCATGTCGGGACGCTGCGGCGGCCGCGCTGTGTGTGCTGTGGAGCTCTAGCACAACAGGCCGTCAAGTGCCTGCACGATAAACGCACTCGCACGTCGGCTGTCGGTGCACCCCCCCCCACGTTTCCCCGCGGCGACCCACGCCGCGCCCGCTGCCCCCCCTGCGCGGGCCGTCTGCCACTTCCCTTGATGCTGTCGGCAGGAGGTGGGCACTCGTCCTCGGTGTTGCTGACAAACTAGCGCCGCTATGGGTGGTGTGACGCCTGCCTTGGCGGTACGTCCCGGTCTCCGGGCTGTAATCGAGTCGAGTCGAGTCGCAACAGTTCGCGGGGGGGGGGCGCAGGAGGCGAGTCAAGTCACAAGAGTCGGGGCCTTGCCGCGGCCCGTGCCGTCGGTCGCGTCATTGCGCTCTGCACGTACGGGACACGACAGTCACACGGCCACCCTCTGCCGTGCAGAAATCAGCGCATCCGCACCGTCGCAGGGACATTCGCAGGCACGATGGGCAGGTGAGCACTGCCGTTGCCGCGGCCCGTTCGCCCGACATCGCTGGCGGATCCGAGCCCGCCGAGCACCACTTACACGTGGAGTGAGCTGCGGAACGGATCGAGCTCCTTAGAAGCATCGTAGCCCCGCGAAACGGGCATCCTGGGCCGCTCCGCGCTCGCGCCCATCCGTCGGGCGCGCCCGCGAGTACAACCGGTGACGAAGGTCGTGCGCAGGCGCATTTGACGGCCCACACTCTCCGAAACCACGTCGCCCATCGTGGTACGCTCTCGCAGGGGGCCAGACCCGAAACTTCCTCGCGTGATGCTTCCCTGGGCCAAGAACCAGGTCTCAAAGCCCGACGAGTTGGCCGTTCCGAAGCAGAAGGATGGCGAAAAAGGTCTGCACATTCCCTCCGATGGCCGGCACTTCGAGGTGGCGCGTGCGCTGCTGTGTGCACACGCGGTGGCCTCCAAGGAGGGCAAACTTGTGCACGACGACGCCCCGAAACGGGCGCTACTCGTGGCTTTCAACTGTGGCAGCACGGAAGAGCTCAAGCAGCGGTACACGCCCCAGTCGGTCGACGAGGTGGTCGAGCAGGTGCGCTGTGTTTGTGCTGGACGATGCTGATCGACGCGTTGTTGCGTGGTCCGACTGCGTCGCCGCGGCAGCGGCCCGTCCCCGAGCGACGAGCGTGGACGTCGCGGAGTTGTGCATGCGCGCGTCGATCTCGGGCTGCAGTAACCCACTCGCACCGACTCCACGCGCAGCTGGAATCTTACGCGAAGAAAAGACTGGTCGGACTACGGAGCAGCCCGAACGGCGCCGCGATGACCGCCGTGAGGGAGGAGGTGACCACGTGGATCGAGATCGAGTACGGCCAGGAGACGCCCGAGTTCTACGCCAGGTACAAGCGGGACGACAAGCCGTTCTTCGAGCGGCAGGCAGACGCGTTCCTGCGCGGGGTCTTCTCCGACGACGAGAACGCGGTGCCAGCCGACGACACGGCCCGCCTGTGGCAGATCGGGCGTGACATGCGCGGCACCCCGTTCAGCGCCTGCAAGCCTCTGGGAGAACTCCTGGCCGAGGTGAGAACTGCCGGTCGCACTGACCTCGTTGCAGATCGTTCCACCCTCCGTCTCAGGCGTGTGCGGCGCCGCTCACCGACGCGCGCCGCTGCTCCGCCCCTTCGCCACCGCTGCTGCAGGAGTGTGCCACGCTCAGCGACTTCTGGACGCGCCTCGAGGGCATCGTCGACGTGGAGGCCACCTATCGGGATGCTCCTTCGGACACCGACGAGGTCGTCTTCCCCGACGTCTTCTGCGTCCCGTACGGCAGCGTCGTGTGGTACTACACACACCTCTACCGCAGGTTCGGGCACGCCAAAGCGCCGCGACTGGACGAGGACCTGGTGGCGAAGGCGAAACGGAAGCTACAGGCCACGGGGGCGGAGATGGACACGGTCGACTTCCTGCTGCGCGTGGTGCAGTACGAGGGCGTCGTCGACATCCGCGACCCTCTGCCCCCGTTGAAGAGGAGCAACGGGTAGGCGAGGGTAGCGGAGCGCGCGGAGGAGGCGGGGTGCCGCACGCCGCGGTCGACCCGCGCACGGGGCAGCACGACGAGCGACGCCCTCACTGTTATCATGTTCTGTTCAATCACATACACACGTCGTTGCTCCGCGGCGCCACGTCACGCCGCCGCGTCGTGGCGTCTCTAGCTGCGGACGTGGCCGCTGATCACCTCCCCGCTCGCGCGCGCCGTCGCCACGTGTCATCCGGGGCGCCGCACCGCAGCGAACTGCGGCGTGCGCCTCCGCTCCAGGCAGGCGCGCTCGTGTATATCCCATGGAGAGGTCGCGTGCACCGAGAAGCGCACTGTCGCGCCCCGAACGTCGCGTACGTGCGCACATCCCATCGCGCACGTGCGTTGTGCACGTGCAGGTTGAGCGCCAGCTGAAAAAATCGTGGCGCCTGCAGCGATCCACCCCGGCGCGGACCTCCTCGACACCAACCCCGGCGCAGGCGGCGCGTGATTCGGGGCCTCGACAGACGTACCTGCCGCCCTGACTAGCCGCGAAATGGCTTGCAGCGCCTTTGGCCCCGCGCGCATCCTGGACGGTGCCGCGGTCAGCGCCCACGACCCGCGCGCTGACACCCCACACCTGGCCCACTGATCACGTTCCCACCCGTTTCGTCCATCGAGCGCCCACGAGGAGCCGCCGCTGGCGATGGAGAGAGACTGCGGAGCTGGAGGCGACCCGTCCGCCCGAATGGACGTCCCCGGACGCTTGCCCGCCACGGATGTACTACAGGACGGCACTCTTGAGCACGGAGACGATACGGCGCGGGCACTGGAGGATGGCCGGCGACGCGCAGGACAGCCCCACCCGCTGCGGTGGTGGTAGCGCGCGAGCGGCCACCAGAGCCACGCGCAGCGGCACGCGCGTCCCGCCAAGCGTCGTGCAGCAATCTTCCCCGTCCCGGTGCGCGTGGACCCTGGTGTGGCCGGCTGGCGTGGGTCCACCACGCGAGACACTCCCCGGGTGCGTTAGCGCGTGACCCCCCCCCAGCTCGCTGCCAGCGGCGGCGCCACGCTTGGAAGACGACTCCCCCCTCCCCTCCAACCCGCGGACGATGCTGCCCTCCCCGCTCGCGCGCGCCGTCGCCGCGCGTCACCCCCGCCGCCATCGCGCAGAATGAGCACCTTGTTGTGTTTTCCCGGCCTGCACGGTCGCGGACCGCAGCGTGGACGCCCTCCGAGACGGCCGCAGCGCGACGCGCACGTCATGCACACCGACTGGCATGTCCAGCGCGACGGCGGCGGCGCTGCGCAAGTTCTTGTGTGTTGAGCCTCCCTTGCTTGCAAGCGGCGTGTCCTGAGGCGACGGCATAGTGTCGTGCGGGTGGCGCAGCTACCTCTGGTGGCCGGCAGGCACGACGAGCTCGGGGCGGCCCGTTCTCGGCGCAGGTCGCGCATGTTCTTCGAGCCAATGCAAAACTTTCGCCAATCCTGGCGCCGGACGGGACCCTGCTGCTCTCGGTGCGGCCTCACACGCAAGATGTCCACGTCGCGGGCCTGCGCCGGTGTTGTCAGTCCTCTGGCGGCCTGCATCAAGCCGGGGGGGGGGGAGGTAGATGTGGGGGGGTCGCAGGCTGGAGGGCGGGCGGCCCATCTTGGGCTACATGGTCCGACGGCTGCGCCAGCCGGCACCTCGTCGACGACGCACGTTCGCGGGCAGGCGCATGCGAAGGCCGCGGAGGCGGCCGTGTAGATGTACCACCAGCTGGGGTGCGTTTCCCGCGGCGGCGCACGGTGGGAGGCGATTGCAGTGAGAGCGGCGCACGCGGAAGTTGTCCCCGATCGTACGTATCCAGCTATGAACCTGCGAAGAGCCTTCGTACACAGGATACGTCGCTGCGGGCCGGCAGTCCCTAGTAGGGTCCCGAGAGCGAATACGCGGCGCTCCTGGCTGTGACATCGCGGTTCATCGCACAGTTCCGGGCTACTCGTGATCTGGTTGCGCGCACGCGAGGGTCCCCATGCGCGCGCAGCCGTCCACAAGAGCTCGTGGGCGCCCGGCCCCCTACCGGCGAGCACCAAGTCGCACGCCTGGGGCACAGGCACGTCCAAGGAGCGACATTCTGTGTGTGTGCGCGCGCGTTCATCGCATCAAAGGCCATGTCGTCGATCGCAGGGACACTCTAGCGGACGGGAAGAAGTTGTGCAAGTTACTAGGCTTGCTTCTTCAGCGCAGGGTCCTCCGCCGCCGCCTCCAGCACGAGGAGGCGGACCTGGAGAGCGGGGCTGCCCATGCCTGGCCCGTCGCGCACGCGGCTCACCGAAATCCGCCGCACGCGCGACCCGGACCCGGCCGGACGCTGCCGTCGTCGCAGTTGATCAGCAGCGGCTCCGTGCCGCCCCGCTCGTCGCCCGGCGGGACCGCGATGATCGCAGGTGGCCGTCCGCGTGTGGCCCCCAAGCCGGGATCGCGCCCGTCGCCCCGCGGCGTGGCGCAGTCAACGAAGAATCCCCTCCGCGCACCTGCACCGCGCGGCATCGACGCATCGCGTGGACGGCTCCACGACGGGCGCCTGCAGGTCTCCGGCGAGCCTGCAAACGGCGTCCCGCGGCGCCTCGAGGTGCCTGTGCGCCGAGACCGCCTCGGCGCTGCTTGGAGGGCCGAGGTGCGCGCACCATGGTGAACCCGTGCCGTGCATGCACGCCGTGCCCGAGGCTGCCCTGGCGCCGGCCCCGCGAGATCACACGCATCGTTCCGTCGAGCGGCACGCCGCGCTGCCGCCTGGCTGCCTCGACGCGGGGCCTGAGTATAGGTGCACCTGAATCAGGTCTCGTGGCGCGCAGCGGCCTCAGGGGGGCCGCAGGGGAGCCGAGACCCGGCAGTCGACAAGGCAAGACAGTCAGCCGTCGGGCAGGGCCTGTGTTGCGGACACAGAGCCATCCCGTCGGGCTGTCGTGGCAGCCTCGAGCTCTGCTGCCTGCCATCCGCACCTCCTGCTTCCGCTGGCACGAACGGAGCGCGGACCTGCGCGTCCCTGACAGATCTCGATCTACTGTTCACGTGGCGCACCACGAATCGTCCCAGCGCCTCTCGCAACGGTGAGCAGCCCATCGCGACTCTTCGCCCCGTCCGGCCGTCATCGGGCCCTTTTCCGCACAGCATGCACGCTACGAGCGCCGACACGCACCCTCCGCGCGGTTTACGAGAATGTGGTTGACGAAATATCGCAAGATATCCGCGATTGCGTGCACGAACGCGGAGCGCTCGGCTCCTCCACCTGGTGGGCGGATCCACCGCGCCGCGCTGCGCTTCTGGTTCATCTCATCGCGACCAAAGTCCCCAGACCGGGAGTAGAGAATGACGTGAAGCACCCGAACTACGCTCACCGCGCCGCCTCGACCTCGTGCACACCGCAGGCGGGGCAACTGCACCAAGGTCCCCGGCCACGCGACCGCGTCGCCTTCGAGCATGGGGGGCAAGCGCGCCGCACCCAGCGGCCCGGGGGGCGAGGGGTCGGCTCCCCCGAAGCGTGCCAAGCCGGGCGGGTCGCTGCAGCACGGCGACGGGCTCGGCGACAACGCCGGCGCCGGGGCGGGCAGGCAGGAGCAGCCGGCGCCCATCGTCGCTATCGCGGGAGCGAAGGCGCCGCCGAGCGCGAATGACGCGGTGAACGCCAGCTTCGAGGAGATCGACGTCGACGACGAGGACATCGACTGGGCGAAGGAGGACGAGGAGGAGGACGAGGAGGACGAGGACGAGGAGGAGGAGGAGGAGGAGGAGGAGGACGAGGACGAGGAGGACGAGGAGGAGGACGAGGAGGACGAGGAGGAGGAGGAGGACGAGGAGAGAGCGGTAGGCAAACGCAGGAACAAGAAGGCGCTCAACAAGGCCGAGGACACGTGGGTGGAGAACAAACTGCAAGCGCTGGACCCCGGTGGCGGTCCGGACAGCACGTGTGCGAAGGCGCTCAGGGACTACGCCGCTTTCATGAAGACCACGTACTTGTCGTGCGTCAAGATGGACGCGCGGCCGAAGTTCAAGCACAGGCCTGACCAGCTCAAGCTGAGTCAGGCGGCGGTGCGCTTCCCCCAGCTCGCGGACTGCTGCTACCCGCAGCTCAAGCTCACGGACGGAGGCGGCCCGGTGTACCCTGTCGTCATCTCGGACCACTACGACGACGAGCCCCTGCCGCTGAGCAGTGCTTCCCCGGACCGAATCGAGAATCTTACGCACGGGGCTGCAATCGCGAAGGGAGCGATCGTCCTGACCGAGATCGGGACGAACAAGATGCTGGGGGACACGGTGGAGATGTACGAGGACCTCGCGGGGTGGGACGAGCTGGCGCTGCTCGTGGGCGACGCGAGAGGACGGGCTCATATCAAGGAGCAGTACGATCGGACCAAGAAGGGCGTGAATCCGATCGCCAAGATCATGCGGGAGACGCCCGGGCTGGAGGCGACGCTCATGTACGGACCCCCCACCCCCCGCGCTGACGACCCCGTCCGCATGCGACGCGCGCCATCCCCGCGCTCCCGTGCACGGTACAGCCCACGCAGCCGCTCACACGCATCACGCCTCCTCCCTGTCGGCCACAGGCATTTGATCTACAAGGCGGTGCTCAAGGCGTGCAACAACGACGTCAAGCAGGGGAGGAGGCCGGAAGGTCAAGGCATCCCCGACGAGGAACTGCGCTCGATCGTCTGGAAACTGTACGACGCCTACCTGGAGGAGCCCGACGGGTTCGTCGACCCGTTGGCGCCGAACGGCATGGCGGTGATCATCGCGCACCGCTGCGGCGTCAAGGGCAGCAGGTTGCCGGGAAACCTGCTGCAGATAACCCCCGAGAGGAGGGACCCGGCGGGGCGTCACGACGTCGACAACGTCGGGCTCGCCTGCGTGGGCCTCAACGCGCTGAAGGATCTCCGGAAAAAAGACGAGGGGAAGGAGCGCATCGAGCGCACCTGCCGGGGCCACCTGAAGCGCCGCATCGAGGGCGCGGACGAGCGGCTGGTCAAGCGACTCAAGATCGGGCAGCCGAGCGACCAGCGCTTCATCTTGCGCCCGCACGACGGGGTCGGCATCTGTGCCAACGTCGAGACACCCGAGTCGGTGCAGGGGCGCTGCGACCACGTGCTCGCGAAGGTCGAGGAGAGGTCCCGCGCTGGCCTCGAGCGCTACGACAAGTACGCGACCGTGACGGGCGAGGTCGAGCGTAAGAGGCCTCTGAGCGTGGCCCTCCGCGTCGAGTGGTGCCGATGCCCGCACAGCCGCTGGTGCGTGCGGGTGACGGGGCTCGACCGGGTGGATGATACGGAGGAGTGGAGGTTCCTCGGACACGACAAGAAGCACTGTCTGAACCTCGCACGCACGCCGGCATCCTTCGAAGAATTCGCAGACGCGCAGTGGGAGTACGTGCACTGCGTCAAGTGCGAGACACATCGGGAACTGCGCGATCCGGACAGCGAAAGCAAGCGCCGGGAGGGGGCGCGCGGCTTTTGCCAGCCTTGTTACCAGAACCTCTTGAACAACGAGGCCAGGGTGGCTGCCGCGCAGTGGTTCGACGCGCATGGACCGCGGCGAGACCCCAAGAGCGAAGCCTCCAGAGAGGAGAAGATCGAAGCCCGCGTCAAGGTGTTCGAGGAACTCGCAGAGAAGCATGACCACGAATTCGTCGCGAGCGAGATCGCGGAGCAGTGTCCGCACAAGGCGTGGTGCACCGTGCCCTCGGCCGACCGGCGGGGCGGGCACGTGTGCAGGGGGCCGCCCCACCGCCCGCACCGCTTCCCGCCGTGGTTCATGAAAAAGATCAGGGCGCTTCATGTCTGCGCAAACCGAGACTGCCCAATGCATGACTACGAAAAGGCGACCGTTGAGAAGCAGCACGACCACACGGTTTTCACTACGAAGTTTCGACTGGGAGACGACGGGCAGGTACGCTGCGAGGGCTGTCACAGGGTGTTCTATGGCAAGACCACCCCCAAGAAGTGGCGCAGTAAGGACGACTGCGACCGAGCTTATGAGCGCCGAGTGACACAGGTGTGCGGTCAGACCAAGGCGGTCGCTGCAACGACGGACGGACAGCGAGCCGACCCGCGAATCCCACAACACCACCTCGCAGCGCTTGCACGACGCCGACCTTTTGCGCCACGGCGCGACCTCACCCATACGCGTTGAGTCGTTTTTGAAGTACGCGCTGCATCCCGCTGCTTGTGCAGGTCGAGCCTGAGGACGAGCTGCGCCCTTTCGAGTCGACTGTCTTTCTTCGGAAGCTGATGGCCCTGCAGGCCGCGGCGCGGGGCTACCCCGATGCGAAGACCGCGGTCCTGTCTATGCTCGGCTTTGTTGATCCTGTACCATCCAGCGTACCAGCGCAGCTGCTGAAGGCCAAGGCGGAGTTCCACGAGGACAACGTCGACGGTGCGGTGGTGGAGGTGAGCAGGCCTGACGCATCGGAGCTGCTGCCGCACGGACGCGTGACCACACAATGCATTTTCCGGTCCGCTGAGCTTGTTTGCCGCCGTTGCCTCCGGCACCAACCCGTGCGCTTCTTTTCATAACTTGATGCACTGCCGAGTTTCGCCTTCGTGGCGGCTGTCCGAACAAACTAGGCAGTGCTTGGTCACGACCGCAGGTCAGTAAGAAGGTCACGGTCGAATTTTATGACCCAGACATCAACAAGGTCAGGCACGCGCGCAAAGGATGCCCTCCTTTGGTGAAGAAACTTACCGAGTTCATGAACGCCGCGCTCAGCGAGCACCAGCTCGGAGCCGTCAACTTCAAGATTGATATCGCTTCGTTTATGTCAGGCGCGCTGTCCTTCGGGCCAGTTGCGCCAGGGACGGGTGGCACGGCGGAGAAAGTTCCCGACCATGTGCCGGACCGTCACGACGTTCTGTATGCCGCTGGCAGGGCGAAGGTCGACTCGGACGGCTTGTTCACCATGTGCGACGAAATGATCGACTTGGTCTTCTCGGTGAGTGAGATGCTCTGCTCTGCTCAGTTGTGCTGCTCACTACGTGCACAACCTTCCCACGTGGGCACCATCCCGACGCCCCCGCGTGACGCCGGCATGTCTAATTCTCGTCAGAGCGTTGCCGCACGGATACCCCGCATTGCGCGCAGGCGAACAAACGCATTCTGGACAACGTCAAGCTGGACGTGCCAGGTGTAGAAGCAAGTTTGCCAACGTTTGACGTTGTCGAGTACGGCGACACGACGAAACAGGTCATCGCAACGTCGGACGAGCTGACGAGCGACCGCCATCTTCCGTTCGACGTGATCGTGCACGTCTGGGTGAGCCTGTGGAAGGAGTACGTGTGGCCGATCACGTCGCAGACACGCGGCATCGTGGGCGCCCACGGCGGAGAGTCATTGAAGAAAACGAAGCAAGTCAATCTCAAGCAGGTCGCGCAGAGGGCGTATCGATACCTGCGGACACGCGACGCGGCGATCGCCGAGGCGAAGACGGCGGTCGAACGCAAGTTGAACCAGACTGCAGGACCCTCCTCCAAGCGGCGGCGCACCGTTCAGGTCGTCAAGCTGCTCTAGCCATGGACGCAGGACTGTCCATAGTCGGACCGATCTCGCTCGAGGGCCTCGGACGCCCGTTCGCCCGTCCACGACAACATGCTTGAGAGGCCCGACCATTCCACCACCAATCCCCGCCCCCTCTCCCTCCCGCCCCCCCTGCCCCACCATCTCCCCACCCCCCTTCATCCGCCGCGGTGCATCGTCTCCCGCCGAAACAGCGGCGACCTCGGGCGTCCACTGATGCAAGTGAGCACCGGATCGGGAGTAGCCGAGCGGAGCGCCGAAGGGGCGCCATAGAGTCTAGAGCGGAATGGCTTGGTCACCGGCCTCACCGTCGTCGGCCGTGACGGGGTCGAGACGTCTTGAGAGATGTGAGGCCAATCTGCCGCACATCATGTGCGATGCCGCGCCGCCGCGCCATCTGAAGACCGTGTTGCGCTTCCACCTCTCCGCCGTGCATCTGATCGCCACCACGGGGGCCCGCCCGGACCACGGCAGGCTGCCGCTCGCGCGGCGCACGTGCCGTTGCTGCGGATGCAACACGCCGGAGGACCAGCGGCACGTGCTCTTCGAGTGCACGACCCCGGAGGTGGTCGAGGCGCGCGGGAAAGACCTGCGAGACACGGCGCGGGCGACGCCTCGTGGGCGCGCTCCATCACGGGCAACACAGAGACGCCGCGGTCCACGGCTAGCGTGCTATCAACGACCCTGGCTGCCTGCAGAAGCGCGCGACCTCGACGCGCGCATGCGGCTGCTCTTCATACAGGGCGACAGCACGGCTGTGTACCGCGGGATCGCGCGGGTCGATGCTGTGCTGTTCAAGAAAGTAACCGCAGTGTGACCAGCTGGCATGTGTTTTGGTGTCCATCTCGTGGGTGCCGACGGCTCCAGGCCAACGCACCGGGCCCACAGTATGTGCACGGGCACGCGTCGATCGCGGGCCGCAACCGACTGCCGCTCTCATCTTGTGACGAGCGTAATAACTTACAACGGCGCAAACTCTACGTAATATGCCTCCTGGCCGCCGCCGCCCCACCGCCCGGCGCCGCCCGCTAGTCGCTGTCTTGCTGGTCGTCGTACATGAACCGGTGCATCACGCCGCGCACCGGCCGCGGCACCCACGTCCACGCGTCCCCCCCCGCGTCGCGGACCCCCCCCGCGCGCATCAGCTCCCACAGCGCCTCCGCGGGCGCCCGCACCCCGCGCAGGCACACGTGCTCCAGCGTCCCGCTCGCCCGCACCAGGTCCGCGACCCGGAGCACCCCCGCCCCGCCCAGCGGGTTGCCCCCGACGTCGAGCGACACCAGCGCGGTCAGCCCGCCGCCCTCCCGCACGCCCTGCTCCAGCGCCGCGGCGCCCGCGGGGCCCAGGTCCGTGTCCGCCAGGCACAGGATGCGCAGGTTGCGCGCCTGCGCCACGGCGCGTCCCAGCCTGCTGACGGCCTGGGCGGCGTACTCGCTGTCGTTGCCGTCCGGTCCGGGGGCCCAGACCGTGACGTGGCGCAGCGACAGCTCGCGGAGCTCGGGGAAGCTCGCGAGGATCATCGCGGCCGCCTGCAGCGCGTCCTCGCCGCGCGCGCACCAGTCCAGGCGCAGGCGTCGCAGGAGGGGGGGCGCGTCGCCCGGGGCGGCGCCCTCGGCGAAGTCGACCAGGCCGGAGTCGTGCAGGGACATGTTGCGGCTCAGGTCGAGGCCCTGGAGGCCGCGGCCGCCGCGGCACAGCGCGGCGGCCAGCAGGCGCGCGGCGTCGCCGTTGACGTTGTTGTCCGCGAGGCCGAGGGACTGCAGCGCGGGGAGGCCGCTGTCCGGGTCCTCCTCGGCGAGCAGCGCCGCGACGGCGGCGACGCCCTCGGGCCCGATGTGGGTGCGGGCGAGGTTGAGCCTGCGCAGCCGCGTGTTGCCGCGCAGGGCCTCGCACAGGGCCTGCGCGCCCGCCGGGTACAGCTTGTTGCCCTGCGCGCGGCGACGACGGGGACGGGAGGCGGATGACGGGGAGGGCGCGTCGCGTCGCGTCGCGTCGCGTCGCGTCGCGTCGCGTCGCGTCGCGTCGCATCACGTTGCGTCACGTGCGCGCTGGAAGGAGGCCGGCCCGCGTTTGCGGCTCACCTCGAGGTTGATGCTCACGAGGCAGCGGTTGTTGGCCACGGCCCCCGCCAGCGCGCGCGCCGCGAGGTCCTCGTGGATCATCCTGTAGGCAAGATTGCAGTGGTCATCGGGAAACCTCGAGTCCTGAGCGACCGGTTCGAGGTCCGAGTGGACGTACCGCACCCCGGCCTGCGGGGGGCGCGCGGCGGAGGCGCGAGAACGGTCATGGACGGCCGCGGGGCGCGCGTGGTCGCCTCTCTGCGCGGCCTCAGGTGGGCAGCGTGCCGATCGCGCGCTGGGACGCGCGCAAACGGGCCCGATGCGATGCGCAGCAGCCGCGACCGTTCGGGAGCAACGTCGGGAAGAGCCGCGGGCGCGCGTTCGAAGGCGGAGCGCGGCGCGAGGCCACGCGTCTGGAGCGCAGGGTTGCACGCGCCGCGGGGCCCGGGGGCGCGACGTCTGCGGGCGCTTCGCGACGGACCCGCCCGTGCGATGCCGGGAAGGCGTCGCAGGCACGGAACGGCGCGCATCGCACGCTCGCAGCCGCGTCGGCGCACGGGCGGTTGCTCGCTCTCTCTCGGCAGCCGGGAAACGGGCGAGCGCAGCGGGCAGAGGCCGCGAGGCGCGCTCCGCGATACGCGGCGTCGTCGTACCTTGTAGAGGGCCTTCTTGAAGGCCTTGTCCCACTCCTTGGCCCGCTTTTTTCGCTCCCTGGGGGGCAGGGGCTGCGGCTCTGGGAGGTTGGCGTCGTCGTCGTCGTCCGAGAGGCTCGTCGGGTAGCTCGGCCACACCTTCGCGCCGGGCCGGGCCCACGCGTAGTGCACCACCGGGCCCCCGCCGGGGGCGAGCGGAGGCGCCACGGACGCGCCGTCCTCGCCAGCCTCGCTCATCGACGTGGAGGAGCGGCGCAGCGAGCTGACGTCCATCGGCGCAGACAGCAGGGATCGAGAACTGCGCGGGCGCGGCGCGCGCGGCCCGCGTTGAGCGCACGACCCCGCAGGGGATGTGGTGGTTCCACCCAGAGACCCCCACCAAACCCCCCCGCCAAAACCCCGCGCCTCGAGTTTCCGGTTACATATACGTTTCGCGTGAGGTCGCGCAGCGCACGCGCGGTGCACAACAACTAGGGCGTGGTCCTCGGCCGCGGCTCGGCTCACTCGGCCTTGGGCCGCGGGTCGCCTCGCCCTCGGCCGCGCTTGCGGGGCGTGAGCGCCGCGCACGTCGCGAGCCAGAAGACGACCATCAGGTGCGGGGACCACATGAGCGACGACCAGACCTGCATCGAGGGCGCGAGGTGCAGGAGGACAAAGGGGGGAGTGATGGCGTCGAGGCCCCAGCGCGCGAGCACGTAGTTTGCGCCGGACAGCACCGGCCCCAGCCTGGGCCCCGCGGCGCGCGAGAGCCGGAAGAGCGCCTTGCCCGCGAGCACCCACGGTATGAACGTGGCGAACGTCAAGAAGTACCCCGGGTACACGCCGTGCCACAGCGCCGAGACCGCGAGCGCGACGATCTGGTTGGCCGCCCCCGGGCGCTTCCCGAAGAGCGTGATGCGCTCGTAGACGTAGATCCGCATCCACTGCCCCGTCTTCACGTTCCAGTCGTGCGAGATCTTCACGGGGCTCGCCGCGAACTCGCACGAGAGGGGGTGTATGTTCTGCATGGCGTCCCAGGCCCACTCCTCGGCCCCCTTGGCCTCGGCGTCCACGCGCCGCGCCGCGAGGCCCGAGAGCGCCCAGGACGACTCGGCCATCATCCACGCGAAGTAGTACTTGCCGCGCACGCCCATCATCGTGAGCGACGTCGTCAGGGCCTTGCCGAGCGCGCGCGGCGACAGCTCGCCGGCGAGGAGGCGCGCCGCGTCGGGGAGCCACGGCAGGGCCGCGAACGCGCCCGTGGCGAGGAACTTGGGCGGGAGGCGCGCCCCGACCGACACGTGGAACGCGGCCCAGATGCACGCCTCGCACGCGAGCCGCAGCGAGACGGACACGCGCTGCGACAGCGTGGGCTGCGAGCGCGCGGCCGGGAGGGAGCGGACGACGGGTGGGGTCGCGGTGCGAGAACAAACGGGCCGAGTACGAGAAGTGAGGGGGGGGGGCGCTGCGCGGCGGTCGTGATCTATCTCACCCGCGGCATGTCCTTCGCGTACTCGCCCGTGTTGTTCGTGAAGGCCAGGTAGTCCGCCATCTCGTTGTACGGGCCGACGAGCAGGTTCCCGCACGAGAACGTGTACCCCAGGAGCTCCAGCACCGACGGCAGCCGGTCCAGCCGGCGCTCGCGCTGCGTGGGCGTCAGCTCCGCGTCGTCGCGCCCGCCGTCCCTGCGGGCACCGCGACGGCCGGGAGCGCGGCCGGTCCGGGGAGCGAGAGAGGGTGCGTGTGTGCGTGCGTCGTCGTCGTCGTCGCTGCGCGGCGTGCGCTGCCGCGTGCGAACGTACCCGTAGCAGTGCGCCATGGAGATGAGCTTGAGCGTGAGGACCATGGCGGCGGTGGTGTAGTCGAGCGTCGGGCGCTGCGCCACGTGCTCCGCGTCGACGTACAGGCCGTACTTCTTGTACACCAGGTGCGTGAACGACACCCCCCAGGCGACCGCGGCGCAGCGGGAGCGCATCGCGATCATGGCGGCGTACACGACGGCCATGGTCAGGAGCATCTTGAGCGTCTCGGGGCCGAAGGAGATGACCGTCAGCACCACGCCCGTGGCCGTCGAGTAGACGTGGCGCGGCCACCCCGGGGGCAGCGCCGGCCACGCCGAGTGGATCGGGAACGTCGCCAGCTGCGGGAACGCGGGGTCGACGTGGGCGGTGGACGCACGGGGGGGGGATGGCCAGCACCTCCAACGGCCAGGCCCGCGCGCACGACGCGGCCTCCGCGGTGCGCGCGGAGACGTCGTGGTGCAGGGCAGTTCGGACGCAGCGGCGTGCGGCTCACCATGCACACCAGGAACCGCACGACGGCCTCCGGAAGGCCCACCACGGCCGAGGCGTCCGCGAAAACGGTGCCGAGCGCCATGCCGCCCGCACGCCGCTACCCCACCCTCCAGAACACCCACCCCCTGCCTGATCTACACCTCAGGTATCCGAAACGCCCGCGCGGGGACACGGCACCCCCGCGGGGAGACCCCGTCGCGCGCTCGCACCCTCGGCAGGCGCACCAGGGCAGGCGTCCCCGGCGTCTCGTCGACTCCTCAAGCGGGGCCTTGTCCGCCCGTTCTGCGTCGACGCGAGCCGCACTCGCCGCGGCCGCCCCGCCGCGCCCCCGAGAAGCCCCCCGCGCGCCCGACTCCCCGTGACTGTCCCCACGCTGGTGCGACAGACGCCCCCGCCGTCGCCGACGCCCCTCGCGCCCGGCCGACGACGCCGCGCGCGAGCCGAGGGCCGCGCCAGTCCGCGGCCGACGCGTGCGCGTTCCGCCCCGGGAGCGAGCAGGGCGCTCGCGAGGCACACACGCACGCACAGAGCGAGTCTGCTGCTCCTCGCCGCGCGGGGAGTCGTTGCGGGCAGACACGATGGCGCGTGCGGCGCGGCTCGCCCGGCTGGCGCGCGGGGCGGTCGGCGTGGCGAGCGCGGCTCCGGGGCCTCCGTGGCAGGAACCCTCGTGTGCTGCGCTCGGTCTGGCAGTTGGGAGGGGGCGGGCGGGCTGGGGCTGCGGGGGAGTCGAAGGCGGGCGAGCGGCGGGGCCTTGGGAAGGATCGAGGGGGTACGCGAAGGGTTCCGCGCCGCGGGACCGCGCCCGGAGGGCGCGGCTGCGCGCGAAACGCACCGCCGCGGGGACGCAGCGCGCGCGGCCTGCTCAGGGCGAGCCGCCCGGCGGGTTCCACGTCTACGAGGTGCGGCCATCGGGCACCAATCGGCCGCGCACGTGCGACGTCGCACGCGCGCGGCGCCACCGTCGCTGCCGACGATGCCTTCCAGAGCTCCTACGGGCCCCCGCCGCGCCGCGTCCGTCCGTCTCGCGTGCCGCCGGCGCCGCCCAGCACCTCGTCTGCGATCCCGTCTGCGCGCGATCGGCGCGGGCGCCCTGACGCGCGCTCCGCGGCGTGCATCGCAGGGTGGTCCCAGGCCGGAGCAGGAGCAGCGGTGGGGCGCGTGGGGGCCCGCGCAGGGGCACGCGCCGCCGCCACCGACGGCCGTGCGCACGCTGACGGACCTCGTGTCGCGCTCGAACGTCGGGATGCGGAAGCACATCGAGTGGGCCAACGTGCTGCTCAACTTCGAACAAGAGGTCACCTACGACTTCTTCGACGACCACGGGCAGCCCGTCGCGCAGCTGAGGGAGGAGGGCGGCGGCTTCGGGCGGCTCCTGCTCCGCCAGATCCTCCACCGCCGGCGCCCGCTCTCCGCCGTGCTCTACGGCAACGGTGCGCACAAACACAACGCATACACACCGCCCCGCGCCGCCGTCGTGCCGCTGCGACGCTCTCGTCGCCAACGGCCACTCCCGCATCGTCTGCGTGCAGATGGGACGCCCCTGCTGCGCATCAAGCGGCCGCTGTACCTGATCTCGTCGACGACGACCGTCGAGGACGCGCAGACGGGCGAGTTCCTCGGGAGCGTCGAGCAGCGCTGGCACCTCTTCCGCCGCCTGTACGACATCTACTCCGGGACCGACCAGGTCGCGCGCATCCAGGCGCCCCCGCTGGCGTGGACCTTCAACGTGACGGACGAGGACGGCGGGCACCTCGGCGCGGTCCGGCGGGGGCTCTCGGGCCTCGGGACGGAGCTCTTCACCGACGCCGGGGCGTACGGCGTCGACTTCGGCGTCCCCACGCCCGGAACACTGCCCCGCGGGGGTGCGCCGGGGTCGTCGATCGTCGAGGGGCCGGGCGGCGCGGTGGCCGCGTCCGGGGCGCTGGCGCGGAGCCTCGACGAGGACGAGCGCGCGCTCGCGATCGCGGCGGCCGTCGCGATCGACGTGGACTACTTCTCGCGGCGCGCGACGCGCGGCGGCGGGCTCGGCGCGTTCCCGCTCCTCTGGGGCTGGGGCGGGGGCGGCGACGACGACGAGGGCGGGGGCGGCGGGGACGAGGGCGGGGGGCCCGACCAGGGGCCTGGGGGCGGCGGGCCCGGGGGCGGCGGGGGAGCCGGTGGGGGCGGCGCGCGGCAGTGGTGGGAGGGGCTGGACACGAGCGAGAGCGCGTGGAAGGAGAGCAGCGAGCAGGGGGGGGGTTGGGACGACGGGTGGGGCGGGGACGACGGCGAGGACGACCGGTGACGCGGCCGCCACGCGCTGTGAACGGTCGGTCACAGGCTACGAGGCGAGCATGGCGCGCGCCCCGGCCGTGAGGTGGTGCTCGGCCCCGTTCGTCACGGCCAGCATGTCCGCCGCGCGCGCCAGCACCTCCCGCGCCTCGTCGCGCTCGCCCACGTGGCGCAGGATCTCGCCCAGCGTCAGGAGATCCAGCGCCGCGCGCGGGTGCGGCTGGCCGCCGTACAGCTCCTGCCGCACGCCCGCGAGCTCGCGCGACAGCGCCGCCGCGCCGCCAAAGTCCCCCGCGATCAGCGCGAGCGACAGCCGCGCGTCCAGGGCCGTCACCGTCTTCGCGTGCCGCGGCCCCAGCGCCGCCCTGTACGCCCTGAGCGCCGCCTCGGTCAGACGCACCTCCGCCTCGAGTCCCTCCTCCGCCGCCGCGCGGGCCATCAGCTGCGCACGAGAGAGAGCGCAGCGCCGCACGCCCTCACGAGCGCGAGGGAGGGAGCCGGACGCGTCGTCGTCGTCGTCGCCGGCGTCGTCGGGCACCTACCTGGTCCGCGATGCCGACCTTCCGCGCGTCGCCCGCTTCCAGGTGCCCCTCGCGCGCGGGGAACCCGCTCTCGCACGCCGCGCAGTCGCACGCGAACCCGTACCGCTCCCGCAGCACGTCGCGCCGCTCCCCCGCCGTGGCAAACCCCGCCAAATCAACGTACGAATGACATATCTCCTCGCCCGGCGCGATCCGCCGCACGGCGCGGAACTCCTGCACCACGCGCGCCGCCGCCCCCGGCGCCCGGCCGCCGTCCTGCCGGGCCACGCGGTACGTCACCACGGCGTTGGGCAGGCACGCGTGGTTGAGGATGGCGCCGGCGGGGAAGACGCCGCTCGCCACCTGCCCCAGGAGGTCGTCCTGGACGGCGAAGTTGTTCGCGCGGAACGCCCGCAGCAGCGCCCGCGCCTCGCCGGCGACCTGCCGCTCGCGCTTGGTCGGTTGCGCATCCCGCGCGGGCGCCTTGCCGGCGTACCGCAGGGCGGCGGCGACGACGGCGTCCTCGTCCGGCGCCGCCGGGGCGTCCGGCGGAGCGCGCATGGCGCGCACCTGCGCCGCGGTGGCCGCCACCGGCGCGGGCCGCACCGGCGCCGGGGCGGGCGGTTGCAGTTGTTGTCGCTGTCGGTCTGTGAGCGGCGGCAGGAGCCGGAGCACGCGGCCGAGGAGCACGGCCTCGAGCAGCGCGGACCCGGCGAGCGCGAGCTGCCCCCGCGCGGCGACGTCAGCGCGAAAGGCGCGGCACTCGGGTCCCCCGTGGGGGCCGGCGGCGTCCGCGGCGGCGCAGGCCTTGCAGCAGTACGGGACGATGCCGCAGTCTGCATGTGGCGGGGCGGGCGCGCTGCGGGGTGACGTCGTGCCGCGACGGTGCGGCCGGGCGCGCGCCTCGGCACAACGCAGGAGCGGCGTGAGCGGGGCCGCGCTCCGGGTCGTGTGTCGCACCCGAGCATCGGACCGCGTCGCCTGACTGGACCGTCTTGTCCAGGCAGTAGTGGCATCGCTCGGCGCCGAAGAACGGCGCGAGACTGAACGGGGCGTTGGCCAGCACCAGGTCCCCCGCCTCGAATCCCCGCTGGGCGACCAGGCGGCGGCCGCGCTCCGACGAGCTGTCCTCGACGACCTCTACGCCGTACGCCGCCACCGACTGCGCGAAGACGACGCAGCTCGCCGTGGCCGCGCTCATGGCTCCCGCCGTCGCGCCGGAGCACCGACGCCGCAGCCGGGGCGTCCGAGATTCTGGGCGAGCGAGATTCGCAATGCGCAGAGCCATCTCCGGCCACGGCCTCGAAGACGCCGCGCTCCGTTCGTCATGATGGCTCATCCCCCCCACGTCAGTGACTGACGGACACCCCCAGCGGTGGAGTCGCTGGCCTCGTTGGGCGCGCGGGGCGGAGTCGCACCCTGCAAACAGTGTGTCCGCGTCAGTGTGGTGCTGCGAGTGTGTGTGGTGCACATCTGCGCGTGGAGGAGTCACCTAGACGCACTCAAAGTGCGACTCGTCCCGCGCTGGATGATGATGGCCCGGGAGCCACTCGAGCCGGCGGGAGGCGCCTGCCGTGTGCGTCGCGGTGCGTCTTCGATGCCGTGGTCTGTCTTCTTGGCTGGGTTGTACCCCCATGAGGGGTCACCTCACACACCGGGTGTGTGCGGCTCTCACCGGCCCGGGCGACATCATGTGGGTGCGCCCGCCTCGCACACGCTCAGTGTGACTGGCTCGCGATCGGTCGCACATCGGCATCGCGCCGTGACAGCAGGCCGTGCAAGTGCTTGTAGCAGGTGAGAGACGGGGCGGTGCTCGCGGAACGCGCCCGCGGTGGTTGGTGCTGATCGCACGGCCGTGGCGGAGGTGTATGCTGTCTCGCGGGCCGCCGCGAGGGCCGCATGGAGCGCCCAACACGGTGCATGCGGCGTGCGTCTCGGGCGCTGAAGGGACCTTGCAACAGTATGACGCTGCGGAGTCAGGCCTTGGTGGCCGAGCTGCGGGCTCATGTTGGGAGCGTGGGCGCTCCAACTGTAACTCTACTGGCTTACATTTGCATCACAGTGCTTACATTTGGGAGCGGTGGCTTCCTTCATTGCTTCTCATCGCCTTGTCTGCTCGTCGCAGGGAGGCCACGAGAGCCTTGCTACGCTGTTCCTGCAGGAACTGATCGAAAGGTCACAAGCGTGGCCTCTGCTACCGATCTGCGCCTTGCGCGAAGGTGAGAATCGCGTCTATCGGTTCGCTTGCTGCGCGACCTTTGCCGGTTCGCTTGCCAGCGCTTCTCCGTGCGCGAAATGACCCTTGTATCAACAATGATGGGTTGAATGAATATGAGAAAAGCTTTTCAGCGTTGCGAAATCGCGGATGTTGCCATGAATTGCGCGGAACCGAGACCTCTGACCTCGGCCGTGAGGCTGCGTGGCGGGAGACCCTTGCTGGATTGTCAGGATGCCATATGACAGGCACTAGGTGTCATGCCGAGCCCGGCTGCATGCGCGCGCCGCGCAGCCCTCACAGCTCCCGCTACCTCACCTCCTGGAATCTCTCTCATTGGCACCCGCAGGACCCATCTACGACACCCGACGGCGGCGCGGCATCACGGGCACGATCTCTACATCCGATGGAGCTGCGAAGCGGCCGCTGCGTCGGCGGGTCGGGGCCCTCGCAGCGCCCACGCGCCGGTGACGATGGGACTGCGGTCCCTCTGATGGACCTGTCGCTCGGGAAGGACGGCGGTCCGCTGGTCGACATCATCCGCCTCCTGCCCGACAAGTCGCGCGTCGCCCTCGCGGCCGCGTCGTTGGGCACGATGGCGCGCGTTCTGGAGAGCTGCGACAGTGCTATATGGACTGCACGCACAAGGGAGGTGGGGAGGGCGGTGGCGGGGAAGATGGAGGGGCGCGTGTGCGCGGGGGCGAGATCGCTGGTGGGGCGGGCGAGCGACGACGGGCGGTGGGTGGTGTACCGGCGCGCGGGTGCGACCCCCGACAGTGAGGCGGCGATCGCTGGGCTGGAGGCCAGGAAGACGGGCCAGGGGGACGGGCCTGTGGCAAACGCGCGTCGGCTGGTGATCACGGAGGCGATGACGGGGCTGGAGGTCGTCAGGGCGCGTCGCGTGGACTTTGACATTGATCGGGAGTGGGGGGCAGACTGGCTGCCTGCAAGCGTCGCGGCGCGGTTGAAGGAGCTGGTGGTGGACGGGGAAGGTCTGCGGAGGCTGCCGGAGGGTATGAAGTCGCTGGAGGTGCTCAGCGTGCGTGGCTGCAAGCAGCTGGCGGAGGAGGGGTGGCTGCCGGCGTCGAGCTGCGGGAGCGTGAAGAAGCTGGTTGCTGATTGGTCGTCGCTGGCGAGGGTGCCGGAGGGGATGGGGTCGCTGGAGGAGCTCAGCGTGGCCGGGTGCGAGCAGCTGGCGGGGGAGGGGTGGCTGCCGGTCTCAAGTTGCGGGAGCGTGAAGAAGCTGGACGCTCAGAGCTCCTCGCTGGCGAGGGTGACGGAGGAGATGGGGTCGCTGGAGGAGCTCAGCGTGAGCTATTGCATGCAGCTGGACGAGGAGGGGTGGCTGCCGGTGTCGAGCAGCGGGAGCGTGAAGAAGCTGAATGCTTCGTGCTCCTCGCTGGTGAGGCTGCCGGAGGAGATGGCGTCGCTGGAGGAGCTCGACGTGGAAGAGTGCAAGAAGCTGGACGACGAGGGATGGCTGCCGGCGTCGAGCTGCGGGAGCGTGAAGAAGCTGGTTGCTGATTGGTCGTCGCTGGCGAGGGTGCCGGAGGGGATGGGGTCGCTGGAGGAGCTCAGCGTGGCCGGGTGCGAGCAGCTGGCGGGGGAGGGGTGGCTGCCGGTCTCAAGTTGCGGGAGCGTGAAGAAGCTGGACGCTCAGAGCTCCTCGCTGGCGAGGGTGACGGAGGAGATGGGGTCGCTGGAGGAGCTCAGCGTGAGCTATTGCATGCAGCTGGACGAGGAGGGGTGGCTGCCGGTGTCGAGCAGCGGGAGCGTGAAGAAGCTGAATGCTTCGTGCTCCTCGCTGGTGAGGCTGCCGGAGGAGATGGCGTCGCTGGAGGAGCTCGACGTGGAAGAGTGCAAGAAGCTGGACGACGAGGGATGGCTGCCGGCGTCGAGCTGCGGGAGCGTGAAGAAGCTGTTTGCTCGTGACTCCTCGCTGTGGAGGCTGCCGGAGAAGATGGCGTCGCTGGAGGAGCTCGACGTGAGGGAGTGCGAGGAGCTGGACGAGGAGGGGTGGCTGCCGGCGTCGAGCGGCGGGAGCGTGAAGAAGCTGCTTGCTGCGTACTCCTCGCTGGCGAGGGTGCCCGAGGGGATGGGGTCGCTTGAGGCGCTCGACGTGAGCGGGTGCGAGAGTCTCGACTCCTCGGACCACGACACGAACGTGAGTTCCGGCGACCAGCAGGCGTGGCTTCCACTGTTGTGCCGCGAGCGCCTGGTGTACCTCCGCGCGTGCGGCAGTGCGCTGCGACGCGTCCCGCGCGGGATGACAGCGCTGGAGCTGCTGGACCTCAGGTCGTGCGAGGAGCTGGAGGTGACGGAGGCTGACCTGCGCCTGCCTGCGCTGCGGGCGGTGTGTCTCGAGGGCAGCAGTGCTGAGGGGCTGCAGCTGTCGTGTGGGGCCGATGCGCTGCTGGTTGACAGCCACGATATTGAAGAAGAGGCATCATGGCGCTTTCCAGAACTTGATTACAGGTGGTTTGAATATGAGGAAGAATAGATTTAATCTGTTCTGCGAATTGCACCGCGGCTTCGAAGAATCCTACATGATGTGATAATCCCTCACTCGGACCACATGGGCCAGCGTCCTTCGCGCTCGCACTCCTGGCGTGGCGCGTGTCTGACGCGCCGCCCTTCCCTCAGAATCAGTCTCAGCTGACATCTCTGTTACGTTGAGCGATCGTACGAATGTGAGCGCACGTACGACCGTCGACCCCCCCGAGGACGATGCGATAGGTCACTGCCGGCGACCGCCCTGCTTGGCCGTCAGCGGTAACGTCGTGAGGCCACAACAGGCTGCAAGACCATTGTCGTGGACGTAGCTCAAACGCCACCGACGGGGCGTTTTGTCGCCGCAATGGCCCTGGAGTTGGCGGTGGCTCCGTACCCTGCTGATGTCGCACTCATGGAGTCGCACCTCGTAAGCAGTGTACCCGTGTCGGTGTGACGCTGCGAGCGTGTGTGGCGCACATCTGCGCGTGTAGGAGTGCGACTCGTCCCGCGCTGGATGATGATGGCCCGAGAGCTCAGGCCGGCGGGAGGCGCCCGCCACGTGCGTCGCGGTGCGGCTTCGATGCCGTGGTCCGTCAGTGGCCGAATTGTACCCCCAGCGGTGGGGCCGCCGGCCTCGTTGGGCGCGCGGGGCGGTCCGCGACGGGCATGCTCGCCGGCGCACCGGCGCCCCTCACACGCCGCGCGGCGATCTCGGGTCGCGAGCGCTCTCGAAGGGGCAGGGCGGGCGTGCGTTGACGCGGCCAGAACGGGGGGGCCGGGCCACACAGCACGATGCCGCCGAACCCCGCGGCGCAGTACAATGCGCTCACGAATGCGATCAACTCGATTGCGACCGGGGGGCCGGCCGACGGGCTCACAGTAGGGGCGTCGCGGGCCATTCACGCGGGCATGCACCCCGCCCCGAGGCAGCTCGCGTGCGACGCGCTGCTGGCGACGGGCGTGGCGGCCTCGGAGTGGCACGAGCTGCTCGCTGCGATACTGAGGGACCTCGAGGAGAGCCGCGACGACGAGACGCGGGCGCAGGCGGCAGGTGCGGCCCGGGGCACGCTGGGCAGCGAGCGCGCCGCGGATGGCGCGCAGCGTACGGGCGTGAAGCGTCGCTGACACGCCGGACATGCGCTCCGGGAGGCCGATCTCCCCGCTCCGTGCTCCGCGGGACCGAACGCGCGGCCAAGGGACCCGCCTGGGCGCGCATCGCGTCGCGGCCCTCCCGCGGCACCCCGACGCGTGATCGTGCCCCGAAGCCGCGCCCAACCCACTCATCATCCACTGAACCCGCCTCACACGCAACGTTTCCGCCCCGTCCGCGACCACGTGTCCGCCGCGCGCACCAACACCCCTGGCGCGGCACCCAACGTGGCCCGCAGGTCTCATCAGCGCGCTTCCCGCCGCGGCTCTCCCCACGGCCCTGGCCCAGGACGGCCTCCACCGCCGTCTCGTCCAGTGCGCCGACTCCCACGCGCCGTCCGTGCGCGCCGCGGCCTACGGGGCCATGGGCGCCCTCCTCGTCGACCGCCACGTCCTGCGCGCCGCGCTCGCGGGCGGTCCGTGCGCGAACGCCGTCGACCAGTTCCTCGAGTACCTCCTCGACGCCGTTCTGGACCCAGCCGACGTCGCCGCAGAGCACGCGCTCGCCGGGCTGGCCCTCGTGCTGCGCTCCGCGGCCGCGCGCCACCTCGCCGCGAGCTCGCCGTCCGCGCACGAGGCCGCCGGCGCCCTCCAGGCCGTCGGCCTCCCGCTCACCGCCGCGCAGTGGCAGTTCGAGGTCACCGCGGACGGCCACGCCAGCAGGGAGGCAATCGTGTCGCCGACGTGCACCGCTCTCAGCGTGCTGCAGGGCGCGTTCGCAGCGGTGCTCGCGCGCGTCGTCGCGCTCGCGCCGGACCACCAGGGCACCGCGGCGGGCTTCCTGTCCGCCCTCGCGGTCGCCGCGGCAATCCTCCCCGCCGCGCCGCCCGACCCCGGCGCGGTGCAGCCCTCGGCCACAGGTACGCCCGCGCTCGCGGAGCAGCTCCCCCGCCGTGCACCTACCGCCGCTGCCCGCGCGCCGATTCGACTCACGCCGGGGGGCGGGTCGACCGCGATCCGCACCGTCGCTCATCGCGTCCGCCCACGGCCTCGACGTGGCCCCGCAGACCACCTGGCGCTGGTCCCGATGTGCCTCGACGCGCTCGGGCGGCTGCGGCGCGCGGCGGTGTCCCCCGCGGTGACCGAGCTGACGTCGACGGCCACGCTGCGCATCGCGGAGATCCTGGGCCTCGTCCCGACGCCGGGGATCGTCGACCTGGCGCGGCAGCAGCGCGCCCTGGACGCCGTGCGGCGCGGCGGTCTCGTGCCCGAGGCGGGGCTCGCGCACGTCGACGGCGGAATCTCGTCACTCCTCCGGGTGCGCGCAGCAACCTTCCCCCCCCCCCCGCCCGCCTCCGCGCCGCGGCTCGCCCTCCACGCCACGCTGCTCCGCTGCTCACTTCCCGACGGGAAACGTCCGTCGGTCAGCGAGACTCCCCCTCGCAACCTCAACACCCCCCTCCCACCTGCGCGCGGCCGTCTGCAGCTGTATCTGTCGCGGTCGGCGCCGCTCGCGGAGCCCTCGATCATCGCGGCGCTCTGCGCGCACCCCGCGCTCGCGATCCACAAGATCGCCACCCTCGAGAACTGCGCGCCCCACGAGGCCATGGTCCGCCTCATCCTCGCCGTCGGCGCGTCCCTGGCGGAGCCCAACGAGCGCTGCCAGGCGCTCTCGGAGCTCCTGTTCGCCGCCGTCGCGTCCGACGTCCCCGCGGACACCTCCGTGCCGCCCACGAACCTCCTCTCGAAGCTCTTCGGGGCGCCGGAGCTGCGCGGGATCCTGTCTGCGCCGCGCGCCGGCGGATACGTGCGCAACGTGTGGGCGTGGCAGAATGCGCAGAACGCTGCCGCGCCCGTGGCCGCGGCGCCAGCGGCGTCGCCGGCGAAGGGCGCGAAGAAGGGGGACGCGCAGGGCGCCGAGCCGGGCGCGCCGGAAGGCGGCGGGGGGAGGGGTGAGGGGCCGACTGGCGGGGGCGACCTGCTGCCGGTGGACGCGTCGGTGATCGCGGGAGGCGACGCGCCGGCGAGCGCGAACGGCGGCGCGCCAGCGGCGGCGGACGCGTCCGCGATCGCGCGGGGCGGCCCGCAGCAGCGCGAGCCGCGCGTGCCACGCGGGATCGTCGGCGCGGACGTTCCGCGCGAGATGCTGCGCGCGGAGCTCGCGTGCCTCGCGCTCGAGCTCCTCTCACAGCACCCCGCCGCGTCGCTGTCCCCTCCGCGCTGCGTCGGCGAGGCCACGGGGCCTCTCGCGGCGGCCGCCGCGGAGTGGCTCCACAGCGAGGCCGCGGTGGTGCTGTGCCGCTGGGCGGGCGTCGCGACGCGGCTCTTGATCGCGACGCTCCCCGTGCTCGCGTGGGCCGACGACGTCGGCCGCGGCGCCGCGGAGCCGTGGATCGCGCTCTCGCAGCACGTGTCGTGGGTGGCGACGCGCCTCGGCGAGGCGGTCGCGACCGCGGAGGCGACGGCAGGCGCGGCGGGACTGTCAGTGAGGCAGCGGCAGCTCGCCGAGGCGGCGCGGCAGGTGCGCATCGGCACCGACCGCCTCCTGGCGGAGACGCTGCGCCTGTGGGACCGCATGCCGCCCGCTGCGCGCCCGCGGCTGCTGTGGCTGCTGTCGCACCACCTCGAGCTGCGCTCCGCGTCGCTCGCGACCTGGCAGCGGCTGTCGCGCGTCGTGAGCGAGGTCGCGGGCATGGCGGCGGACAGCGGCGCGGACCTGCTGTCCAAGGAGGACATCATCGAAGCCGCGCGGCTGGGCAAGATGGTCAACCCGGAGGGGCTGCGGCAGGTGGCGCGGCGGCGGCGTCTGCTCGGCCTGGGCCGCGGGGGCGAGCGTGCCTCGCGCTCCCGGCGCAGCAGGACCCCGAAGAAGGCACGTGGCGGGAAGCGGCGGGGCAAGAGTGGGGCGGAAACGGCGGCGCCGGAGTCGGACGACGAGGCGATGATGGACGTGGAGGACTACGGCGCGGTGCTCGAGGCGGACGACGCGGCGCACGTGCTGCTGCCGTGCATGCTGCGCCTGGCGATGGTCACGATGGAGGTCGTGCGCGAGGAGGCGTCGGCGAGCATGGTGGGCGTGACGGGCGGGACGGAGGGCGGCGCGCGCGTCGAGGTGATGCGCGCCGCGCTCTCGGAGGCCACGGCGCGGTGCGCGCCCTTCGCGGCGTCGTCGCCGGGCGCGAGCCACCTGCTGTACCAGGTGGCGCAGGTGGCCGCGGCGGACCCGAACAGCGCGTTCTCGGAGGAGATCGTGGCGGCGTGCGGGGACCTCGCGGCGGCGTTCAGCGCCGGCGACGTCCTCGCGTCGCCCGCGCTGTCGTCCACGGCCGCCGCGTCGCCCGCGATGGCCGTGCTGCGGCAGCGCACGCTGCAGGCCATCGGGATGACGCACCGGCGGCACCTCGGCGACTTGATCGGAGGGACGGGCCCGCGGGCGCTGGGGCGGCACGGGCCGGCGCCGCTGCCGGCGCCCGCGCTGTCGGCCGCGGAGGGGGACTTGCTGGGGGGGTCGGGGGGCGCGGCGGCGCAGGGGGCGCGGCGGGGAAGGACGACGCGGTCGGGGCGCTCGCGGAGCTCGTGGAGGCGGCGCCGACGGCGGCGTGGAGCCACGACGCGGCGGAGCACAGCCGGGCGGTGGCGGGGGCGCCCGGGGCGGCGAAGCGGCTCGGACTGGCGCTGGCGCAGGATCTGTGCGGGGCTCCCGCGTCGGCGGTGGCGCCGCTGGCGGGGCTGATGCAGCTGGGCGGCGGCACGCTGCTCGCGCCGCTGCTGTGCCGCGGCGGGCAGTACGGCGCGGCCGCGGAGACGGGCGCGCGCGTGGTGGAGCTGACGGCCCCCGGGGACCCCGTGGTGGTGTCGTGCATGCACGAGATGGCGCCGGATCTCGCGGCGGTGCGGCTGACGATCAAGCTGAAGTCGCGGCTGACGACCGAGGTCGGCGGCGTGTCGGTGCGACTCGGCCTCCGCGGCGGGTGGCGGACGCTGCAGTGGGGCACCGTGCCGCTGGTGTGGACGGCGAAGTCGCTCCCGCCGGGCGGAGAGACGCTCTTCGAGATGACGCTGGTCGCCGACGAGCCGTCCACGATGGTCGTGCAGCCCACGCTCGTGCTGCCCGTCGGCGCCCTGGGCCCCAGCGCCGCCAGCGCCGCACCGGCCAAGCAAGGCACGCCGCTGCCGTGCCGGGGCTACACGGTGCCGTTCACTGCGTTCCTGCAGCCGCTCGGACACCCCCTCGGTCCGCAGGGCTTCCTGACGCTGTGGCCGACGCTGCAGCACCAGGCGCACGCGTCAGGGAAGACACCCCCGGGGCAGCGCGTGTCGCGCGAGGACGCGGTGGCGGCGCTCGAGCGGCGCGCGATCACCGCGATCCACCGCGCCCGGCTGCAGTCCGGCGCGGGGTTCGACGGGTCGTACGCGGCGCGGACGTGGTCGGGGGCGCTGGTGCTGGCCAAGGTGCTGGTGCAGGAGCTGGCCACGGGGGAGCTGGCGGCGGGGCTGGTGGTCAAGTCGAGCTCGGCGGCGGTGCTGGCGTCGATGGCGTCGGAGGACTGGGTCGCCGCGCTGTTCGAGGGGTTGCTGGTGTCGAACTGACCTGGTATGTGGTGCGCGCGACATTGTAAATATGTGTCAGGCGCGACGCGCTGCCTCGGAAACGCACTCGCAGCGACGGGCGCGTTGCACACGGACTGTTGCCGGCGTGAGCCGCAGCAGCGGCGTCCGTCGGACCCGTGCCGTTGCAGGGGGTTTTCGGTCAGACGCGTTTCGTGCGTCGTACACAAACACTGCCCCCCCTGCCGCACGGGCGGCCGCGCCCTCACGGGCCCGACGGCACGCCACCCAGCGCCACTTGCTACCTCGTTGCCGTGCTCCTTGTGGATCCAAACGTCGCGCGTTCCGCAGCCACGCGTCCCTAGCTCACGCACAGAAGAGCACTTTGCACCCGCGGCCTCCGAGCCCGCCGGCCGCGAGGCAGCCCCGGCGGCCCGCACACGGCTTTTCGAGCGCGCAAGATGGGCGTGGAACATGGCTGGGGCCAGGCGCCGCTGCGGAACCTCGGGAACCTAGCGCTCATGTTTGCGGTGCTCCCGGCGCCCATCTATTCGGCCAAGGCGCTGCTGGAGATGTGCCCGGTCGGCGCCGTGGGTAGCTCGGGGTCGCTGCTCACCGACGCGCTGAACTGGTGCGCGAAGACGACGTGCGAGAGTCCCATTGTGGCCACGAACCTGTTTTTCCTGGTCTTCGTGTGCTTCGTTTTCTGGGTCATCGGCCTCGTCCAGGGATCCATCTGGCTCATCGACCCGTACTGGACGTTCATCCCTCTCCTCGTCCACTACTTCTACGCCGCGCACCCCGGCGCGGCCGCTGCCGACTCCCTGCGGAGCCAGACCTCGCTGGTCATCCTCTGGGCGTGGGCCTTCCGCCTCACGCACTCCTACTTCCGGCGTGAGGAGTGGGCCGTGGGCGCCCGCGAGGACTTCCGGTACGAGGACATGCGAAGGTGCGCTCGACCGTCGCCGCACGCCGCGCACAGAGCCGCGCCGCGCCCGCTCCAGGGCACCGCTCAGCTGATGGTGACTTTTCGCCTCGCTCGCCACCACGGCGCACCAACCGCCCGATTCATTCCACACTCGGGATACCTCACTCGCAAACAGCGTCGCGACGGACGCACGTGTCAATGCGGCGGCTCCCGTGGCCTCGACTCGGCGCGGTGCAGGGAGCACGGGCGCAGCTGGTGGTGGAAGTCCTTCTTCCTGGGCTTCGTGAGCCAGCAGACCATGCTCGTGGGCCTCACGCTGCCTAGCTACGCCGTGACCTTCCACACGGGCGCGTGGACCGTCGTCGACACCGTCGCCGCGGCCACCTGCGTGCTCTCGATTGTCCTGGCCTACGTCGCTGACACCCAGCTGCGGGACTTCTGCGTCGCCAACGAGCGCCTCGCCGCGCAGGGCAAGCAGCCAGTCAAGGCGAGTCCGCGGCGTCGCGTTCCACCGCCGCACACCGGAACCCCCCCCGCACGAGCACCACGTGTCCCCCACGCATGGTTTCCGTGCCCATGCATCCCGCGCGGCAGTGGGGGACGCCGTCCGGGTCCCTGCAACGCGCGCACTCGCGCTTCATCGTCCGCGCAGATCCTGGAGACGGGGCTGTGGAGGTACTCGCGGCATCCCAACCACTTTGCCGAGCAGCTGTTCTGGTGGGCGTTCGGCGTGATGGGCGCGGCGGCGGGCGCGCCCTGGGTGCTCCTCGGCGCCACCTTCAACTCCCTCTGCATGGTCAAGGTCGCCGACGTGAGCCCCTGCGCCTCCCGTCGCCACACACACACACAAACCCCCCCTCCCCTTCAAACGCCCTGACTCGAGGAACGACGCAGCGCACCCGCCCGCGGATTCCGGCGCGACGCCCTCGCACGACGCGCGCGCAGAACCCGTCTGTTCGATGTGTCGTTTCGCAGATGGTGGAGGACCGCATGCTGTCGCGTCCGAGCCGTTCCGCCGAGTACCGGGCCTACATGAAGCGGGTGAGCCGCGTCATTCCGTGGTTCCGCAACGAGGAGAAGACGGTCTAGAGCCGATGCGTCTGCGCAGGGTGTCGCTTCCGGACGCAGCGCCACGTGAAACGGAACAACTCTGGCCTGCGTGCGTCGTGCGTCATGCGGCAGGGGCGCCGGGGGGCGCGGGCCTCCCGCGCACGCCGCTGTCATTGTGAGTGCACCACCGCATGCGCTGCGCGGGTGACGCACGCAATGCAACCAGCGAGAGACAGCGCCATGCCGGTTCCAGACTGGGGGCGGGCAGCACAGCACAGACTCTCTCTCGGCGTCACAGGTTTCACTCGAACGGCACGCTCCATTCGTGCTGCGGCTCCTTGCCCCACTGGATCTTGGTGAGCTGCTCGTACACCTTGGCGCACACCGACCCCCCCGGCTGAGTCATGTCGACCTTGGACTTCAACACTTCCCCGTTCGCCCGCTTGTACCCCAGCACGGGCGTCACCACCGCGGCCGTCCCGCACCCGAAGCTCTCCAGCAGCCGCCCCTCCGCGTGCGCCGCCCGCAGCTCCCCCAGCGTCAGCTGCCGCTCAGACACCTCCAAGTCCCCCCACCCCCGCGTCAGCCGCAGAATCGAGTCCCGCGTCACGCCCGGGAGGATCGTGCCGTCCAGGGGCGGCGTCACGAGCTCGGGCTTACCCCCAGCCTCCTTCGGCCCGAGCACGAACATGATGTTCATGGTCCCGCACTCGGCGACGGTGCTCTTGTCGGGGTTCTGCTTGTCCGGGAGGAGGTACAGCACCTGCGACGAGCCGTACGCGCGCGCCGCGTCCATGCCCGGTTTGATCGTCGGGCCGTAGTTGTACCCGACCTTGGAGTCCCCCGACCCCCCCGGCCACGCGCGCACGTTCAGCTCGTCGATGAACAGCTCGATCGGCTTCAGCCCGCTCTGGTAGTACGGCCCGACGGGCGACAGAATCACGCAGATCGTCGCCTCGCTCGGCGCCGCGAGCCCCAGCGCCGGGTTGTTGCCGTACGCAAACGGCCGGATGTAAATCGAGTACCCGTCCTGCGGCGGGAGCCACGCGCGGTCGACCTTGAGCAGCTCCTTGATGCAGCTCTCGAGCTCCTTCGTGTCGAACTCCGGCATCGCCAGGCGCGCGCACGACCGCGCGAAGCGAGCCATGTTCATGTCGGGGCGGAACAGGCGGCCCTTGCCGTCGGCGCCGAGGTAGGCCTTCATGCCCTCGAAGCACGTGATGCCGTAGTGGAGCACGGAGGAGCCCGGGTGCATCGGGATCGGGGCGAACGGGGTGATCTTCGGCGCGGCCCAGCCCGTGGCCTTGCTCCAGTTGATGGTGAGCATGTGGTCTGCGGGAGACGGGAAAAGCCGGGTGCGAGTGAGCCAGCGCGTGCAGGGACGTGCGGTGCGCATCGGATCCGCCCGCTGGAGCTGCCCTCAGGCGTTCCACGCGGCTGGGACCATGATGCAGCTGGGACCCTGATCAGACATGTTTTCTCGACTGCCGGTGCCGCGGCAACTGATATGTATTTCGAGTTCGCGTCACTACGAGTGCCTCATCGTGGCGCGACGTCGGGCGCCTTTTCGGGGCACGACACGGAGCGCAGCGCGGACGGAACAGGAGGGGCGGCACACGAGCGGCGGCACGACCAGGGTGCGCGAGCGTACCGGTGAACTCCGTGCCGAAGCGCAGGTCCTGCGGCGCGGGGATCGGCTTGCACTTCTCGGTCTTCGTGACCGTCAGGTCGGCCGCCTTGAACGACCCGGTCATGGTGACAGCCTGCGCAGCACCACACCGAGCACGCAGCGTGAGGGAGCGAGGGACGCGGCATGCAATCATCGCAGGCCGGCTGCGGACCGCTGTGACACTGCGCATCGGCCACTGTGCGTGTCAGAGGGTGCCGCGCAGGCCGTGGGTCGATGCGGCGGTGCTTGAGGCCCCGCTGCTCTACCCGCAGTTGTGCAGCGCACGGTGCCCCAGACACAGTTTGGGATGACCCGTCGAATAGTCTGAGATATGATAGGTTCAAGGCGATCAAGTGGGCGCTCCTCGATGCCCTAGGATGCCGTGGCTGCGACGCACAGCTCGCAAGGATAGAGACGGCCCCGCGCAACGGTGATTCGCGGGGAAGCCCGCGAGAAAATGCGATGACTGAGTCCCTAGTGATGCGGATGCTGTGATCATCGGGTGTTGCACTCGAGCGCAGCAAACACGCAGCGCCCAGAGCATCAAGTGACAGGGATGGTGACACACAGGCGCCGCGGCGTCCAAAGCGAACATCCGCAACGAATCTGCACATGCACGGTCTCATCAAAGCACCAATTTCTTCGCGGGGGAGGTACGTGCCTGTCAAGTCCTCGTCGACGCCTGAGAGACCCTGCTTGTTGCCCTAGCAGGGCTGCCGCGAACGACGCGTGCCTGGCGGTCCAGTTACGTCGAGCTCCCCGAAATTGAGGTGACCAGCAGCAGCGCGAAGTGCACAGAGCCCGCCGATGCGCGGCCATCGTGCGCGCGGCCCCCGCGGGACCCGGACGGTTGTGCTGAGTCATGCCTCGTCAGCACACCCCCCCTCGCCGCGTCAGCGAATGGCGTCGCCCATGTCGCTCCCCAGAGCACCCCCCGCACACCGCTGCACCATGGATGTGCGGCACGTACGTGCGAGTCGCAATCAACACCCCCCTGCCACCACCAAGATCCACAGCCACGCGTCAGAACCGCCGCATGACTGACAGCAGGGCTGCGAGCGCACGTCTTACACCCCCCGATCACCCGTATCCGCCGCACCGTCCTGTGCGTCGCCGCCCGTCGCCGTGCTCCTGCCCGCGGTGCTGCCCTCCGCTGCGTCGCCCGCCGTCTTCGCGCCCGCGTCGTCGGCCTTCCCAGCCTGCGCGTCCTCGCCGCCCGCTAGCAGCGCCTCGAACTTCGCCAGGAGCGCCTCGCTGTCTTCGTCTGCACCGCGACGCGATGCGGGCGTGTTCCGAGTCTCAGGACCACCAGACAAACACAGCGCCGTTCGACAGACAGGACGGCCGTGCCTGCGTCCCCCCGGCGCGCGTCTCGCAGCGGTGTGCGCGCGAGGGTCCGGCGGGGCCTGTGTCGGGCGCACCTAATCGGCACGCCGGCTGCGACCGCGTGTTTCTGCGCAGCGCGAGAAGCCACGTCTTCAGCTGGCGGTTCTCGCGGTCCAGCGACTCGTTGTCCAGCGACAGGTCGTACACCATCTTCTGCATCACCGTCTCCTTGTCCGGGCCGCGCCGCTCCTCCGACTGCCCGTCTGCGCCTGCACGATCCACAACATGATGTTGTGTTATGTGGTGGGCACCAGGGTCTGTTGAACGCTCTGGGTGGCGAGCGGGCGCCTGCGTCGTCTGGCAGCGTGGCTCCGCCGTCGGGCTGTGTCGCCGGGGCCGCGGTGTGTCGCAGCGGCCGGCGCGACTCGCCTGGTGGGCGAACGTCGAGGCGCTTGTTCTTGTTCGCGGGCATCTCGTTCAGCGTCGAAAGGAGAAGGAAGACGAATATGAGCGCCATGAAGAACGCCCTGTTGCACGACAGGGGGCCGCCCTGCCCGCCCCCGCCCACGAACATGGCTGCACTCCTGCCTAACTAGAGACCGCGCAAGCGGGCAGCCTGAGCCCGTTCCGGTTGATTCGTGGACAGATAGAGCACGAACTGAGCTGCGAGTCGACGACTTTCCGGGAAATAATGCTGGAGGAACGCTGCTTGCCCGCGTCCTACGCACCGGAGCTCCAGGTGCGGAACTGCTCGCGCAGCCACGGCTCTCGCGGCGTGGTGGGCGCGCGAGGTGCGTTGTGGAAGCGAGCCTCCGGCACGCTAGCAGGACGATCGCAGGATGCCGCGGCCGAGCCCCCGCGGAGCTGGTGTGTGAGCACGCTCGACAAAGGTCTCTCGCGCACTCGCTGTGCGTGACGAACGTGTCTCGCGGGTCACCCGAAAGTACCGCTCGGCCGCAGTGCATCCTCGGCCTTGGCATGTCATCCCTTGGGTTCGTCCTGACGTCAGGTGTGGCCTTTCAATCATGCCTCCAGGGGTGCTCTGTGCCTGTCCTGTGCCGGCGCTCAGCTCGATTGTGCGCCCCTCGCACGTGTGTCGTCAGATTGGAAGAGTGCAGTGCTGCTGAGGACGTCGCAGAATCGCCCTCGCCGCGAGCTCCGTGCGGGCTCTTGCTTTTGCAGCTGCTGGCCGGTCCGAATGAGCCGGACACGCCCGTGCGCGCCCAGCATTCTCGACTGAGCCTGCGAGGGAGCTCCCGCAGCCGACAGATTGGTCTCGCTTCCGCCAGCTCAAGAGGGCGCGGCTCGAAACCGCTCTGCCGGCTGCATAGGTCCGCGCTGTTCGCGTGCGACTTTCATAGCGATAGTTGATAGTTGGAGTTCATAGACATCCCATATGAACAGCAAGTCGGCGTAGGAACACATGCAAGGCGCTGCACAGTAGGCTGTTGAGGAGTTCAGGACCATGCCCAAGCGCACCACCATCAGCTTCACGTCCGAGGACGCCCCGGACCTGCAGGTGCGCCAGCACGTCGCCGCACACGTCCAGCGTCGTGCAGCAACCACGCGCGAGACCACCGCGTCACCCGGGCTCGCCGTCTCCTGCATGCACACACTGCGTGTATTGTATTGTGCTGGGCAGCTTCCCTGCAGCAACGCACTCCCGCGTCACCTTCGCATCCCGATCACCGTGCACCGGTCGGCGGCGTCGTCCGACGGCACGAACACCCTGTAGCCTTGAGGGTGCGTGCGAAGGTGACGCGGGGGTGCATTGCTGCAGACGCTGGGGACGTGTGCGTCGATGAGACGCGAGCCGTCTCGGTGGCGCGCTGGTTGCGAGCTCCCTCTAAAGGGAAGGGACAACGGCACTGTCGCGTTTCACATCGCCCGCCCACCATTGCACGGGAGTGCGCAACGGGGCGCCGAGTCGCTGGCAGCATCGACGCGCTCCTCTTCGCGGTGCAGGAGGACAAGCTCTTCGTGTACTACTGCAAGTACTCCGGCAAGCACGCGATGACGACGGACGTGGACCTACAGTCGGCGCCGCGCCGCCAGTCGGACAACGCGACGGTCATTGACACGAGCAAGTGCCTCTGCCGGACCTACCTGCAAGACGGTGGCGTCAAGGTCATCAAGCTCCCCGAAGGCAAGGCGGAGAAACACTACAGGTGCGCGTACAGCAACACAGAGGCACCGTCGCATCAACGCCGCCCACCGCGGTCCCGCCGCGCTCCCGGGCGCGCCCCGTTCCCGCCGCACGGCCCGACGTCGCATCGGTTTCGTGCCGCTGCAGGCTGTGCGTCGGCCAGCTGCCGGTGGCGTATCGCACCGAGCCGAACGGCAAGCTGTTGTACGTGATGGACGGGGCGCTGTCGACGTACGCGGACGACTCGAAGAAGGACCTCGCGTCCCTGGTGCCGCCGTGCATCATCTCGAGCGGCACGGGCGGCGTGCAGGTCATGCTGGAGGTCGAGGAGCGCGCCGAGGTATGACAACCAAAATGCAACACACCCCCCCGACCGGCTTCTCTCTCCCAGAAGCAGCAGCCCCGGTCAGCGGGGATCGCTTCTCTGGGTAATTCACGCTACGAGTAATGCCCTGCTGCTGCCAACTATGAATCCAGGGTGCGTGTTACGTCAATACACTTGCACGTATTTGTGTTGCAGAATTCAGGGATCACTGGCATCAGCGCGGACTCGGTCCAGCTGTCGATCCAGGCCCCGCTCGACTCCGTCAAGGCCAAGGAGCAGATCTTCGAGCTCATGTCCACCGCGCTGCAGCGCCGCTGGGCGCAGTTCTCGCTCATGAAGGGGTTCTCGCCGACGAGCAAGGTGCTGATGGTCGACAACCTGGAGCCCGCGCAGGCGTACGCGCGGCTCGAGGAGGCCAAGGACAAGGGCGACGCGAAGAAGGGCCGCGGCGCAGGGTTCGGGCTCGGGGGCCGGGGACGCAAGCGATGACGCGCCGCAGTGGAGGCGTGGCGCGAGCGCGGCGAGCGGTGCCAACGCACCGGCGCGCATGTGACGAATAATGCGCGGGCGTATCATTCAGTGAGGCGCCGGGCGGAACGGTGTGTCACGTGGTGTGGCAGATGAAGGCCTGGGTGGCGCCGAGGTGGGGAGGCGCGCCGCAGCGCTGGGAGCGAGGGATTCCACGTGCTGCGTCGGGCGCAGCTGGTCTGAGGGCGCTGCGGGATACGTCGGTGCGCTGGACGCCTGGCAATAGATTGAGCGACGCCGTGACGTGCCGCGACATTCGTTTGCAGAACGAAAGGTGGGTCATGGCGCAGCACGGGGCAGCGCGCTCGATTGCGCGGGGTAGCGCACAACCCCTGGCCTCGTCGTGCCGCATGAGAGTCACAGATTCTCCACGAATGCAGATACAACACACACAGGCCATAAGATAAAGCAATCACCACTGGGCGAATATCGCGATCGTCCAGCAGCGGAGCATGCAGTGTACAAGTTGGGCGACACACCCACGCGCGCGGGCGTAGCCGCCGCAGCGCTATCGGTCGGGCGGGAGCCCATGAGGGTTGGTTATGCCGCGCATGTCGCACTGCACGGGCGACGAGTCAAGCACCGACTCGCCCCCCCCGACGTCGGTCCCCGGCGACGACCCCACGCGCCGGATCTGTTCGCACGGTCCCCCGAGGCGCCCGACGCTCGACGGCGGCACCTCGACGCCGATGTTGTGGTAGGGCATCTGCAGCGCGCGTGCGCTGGGCGACACCGCCACGCCGGCGTTCACGAGACCCATCGTCGGCGACAGCGGCGAGTTGTTGCCCACGAGCAGCTTCGCGTCCGTCGTCGGCGACACAGGCCCCGCCTGGCGCGACGAGTCTCCCACCTCCAGCATGCTCCGTTGCGCAGCCGCCTGCGCCGCCGCGTGGCTCGGCCGCGTCGCCGCCCCGCCGTCCGCGAAGATGAGCTCCTTGGCGTTCTCCAGCGACCCCGTGGACCCCGCCGTGACCAGCTGCGGCGCCTCCAGCGACGCCTGCACCGTGTTTCGCCAACTGGCCTCCACGCCCGCGCGGCTGCCGCGCCGCACCGTGCTCCCGCGCCGCTCCAGCACCCCGACGCCGTCGCCGTCCCGCGGATTCGTGACCTCCATCGACCCGCGCCGCACGCCGCTCGTGCCGCCCCACGGGTCGTGCAGCGCACCCGACATGCGCCCAGGCCCCCCCATGGACATAGAGATCGATATCGAGGTCGGGGAGGACGCGCGCGTGCCGTGGAGGTACGAGGACCGCCGCTCGGCGTCGAGCTCGTCCGCGGACGACAGGCTCGACGCGTCGTCGTCGTCGTCGTCGCCGACGATGGACACAGACATGCTGGACCGACAGGGATTGCTGCGCATCGACTGGGAGTGGCGCAGGCCCGACACGCCGAGGCGGCGCATCTCCTGCGCGAGCTCGCGCCCGGAGACGTTCCGTGCGAGCCGCGACCGCGCGGGGCCGCTGCCGGCGCCCATGGAGAAGGGGGCGTTGGCGGCGAGGGCGGTGCGGTCGAGGGAGCGCTCGGCCGCGGCCGGGCCGGCCTCGCGGATGCCTGGGAGGATGTTGATGGTCATGCTGGACGGGGACGACGGCGGCCCGGACACCCCCCCGCTGTGGACGGGCCCCATGCTGCGACGCATGAGTTGCCGCATCATCGCGGTTCGGCGGAGGTCGCTGAGGTGCTGGTGGACGTTGTAGTCGCTGGGAGAGTTCGGGACGTCGGAGAGGTCCACGGCGGAGAGCGGAGACGCGCTGCCGGACCGGGGTGTGAAGGGAACGCCCCCCGCCTCGCTGGTCGGGACGGAGGCGCCCTGCGCGTTCACGCGCGGCGCCGGGTCGAAGAGGACGGACTGCAGCGCCATGGCCACGGGGCTCTGCGCCTGTCCGGTCTCGATGTGGTCGCTCGCCGCCCCCAGGTCCGTGGTGGACCGGCTGTGGTTTTGGCTCGGGTTCATGTACGCGTCGTGCGGACCCTGCCCCGCGAGGATGTCGCTCGGGGCGCCGGACGTGCGCCGGGACTGCGCTGGGCTCATCTGCGCGCTCAGGCGGCGGCGGGCGATCAGTGTGGGCTGGTGCGGCGCCGACGGACCCGACATCGCGGCCGGGACGGGCGGCGCGGGCTCGCCGGCGTCGCGGCCCTCGTCCGGATGCTCCCGGAAGACGGCCAGGCGGCCCAGGTTCTGCGCCATGACCTCGGACAGGAACCTGCAGCGGCGGGGCGCGGGCGGGGCAAAGTGCGCTATCGCTCGAGACGCAGCAGTGCGCGCGCAGGAGCGCGAAGGCGAAGCGAGCCGGGCCGTCGGAGACACAGAAGGAGCGGGGGCTCGTGGGTCGCCGGCCGCGTGAGTCCGTTGCCAAATGTTTCTAGGGGTGGTAGCGACGGGGCGGACGGCGGGGGCGAGGGGGCCGGCCGCCGCGCGAGGCGAAGCCACCGTACCTCTTCTTCGTCCTGACATTGTCAAGCTGGAGGTCCGCGCACTCGCCGCTGTCTGGCACGCCTGTGCATATGCCACTGGCACTTCGCTTCGAACCAGAGCGGGGAGGCGGTGGGCTGAACTTGTAATTGCCCGCCTGACCGTTCGCGATGACCCTCTCGCTGCTCTGCGGAGCGCAACGGACGCCGGGGCCCGCACGGTGAGGAAACGCCGCCCAAAGCACCTGCACGAGCACCGGCCTGGTACCCCCGGACCAGCGCGTCCACGAGCCTCCTCGGCGCCAGCGGCGACGTCTAAGAGGATCTCTCCGCCATGGTCATGAACGAGATGCACCGGCGTCGCGGGCACGCCCCGCTCGCGCGTCACACGGGAGGGTCGGAGGTGCGTCGTGGGTGATGCCACGCCTAGCAGGCCGCTCCGGGGGCGGCGAGGGCGCGCGCGCGTGAGCGCAGGGGCGCGCCGGGGTCTCACCTCGGATTCGAACGAAGCGCGGTCGGTCCGGCGGAACAGCGGGCCGGTCGGGCGCGATGAGGCGGAGTGCTCTCCGCGCCCAGAGTCGAAGCTGCCCCGCATCGCCACGCGTGCGGCCGCCTCCCCGGCGCGCACGGGGCTACCGTCTGGCCCTCACGAGCGTCGTCGTCGCGCCGCCACCTTGCCTCACGCGGGAACCGGGCCGCTCGCGGACCACCACGCTCGTAGCCGTGCCACGCGCGGCGCGGAGTTTGCGCGGGCGCACAGCTCTTCCGTGCCCAACGACGAGCCTCAAGCTACCAGGCGCGGCGACATACGGCGCTGACGAGCTGGTGAGCCGTCCTGGGAGGCCGGCCACGCTCCAAGTGTGGTCTACGGTCAAGACTAGGCCGGCGCGACGCAACACAAGCTGCTTGCGGTGCCGCGTATCAACAAAACTGACGCAGTGGTCCGGCGCGAACGCCTCGTGATCGCCTACCGCGCCCCAGACGCGCAGGGCGACCGGTCCGGACCTGACTGACCGCACCACCTGGCGCTGTGGTGCGCACCACCCACGGGCCCGCGCTCGCTTCCAGCCGCGCTCATGCGCGCCAGTTGCCGCCCCCGCGGCACGTGAACGACACACGCGCACAGGCCTGCCGTCGGCCCCCACGCCGCACTGGCGCAGTCTCATCACACCGCCGCAGCACGCGCGGCCGCAGCCCGCCCGCGCGGCACCGCGCAGCTCTGTCCCCGGCGAGCGCGCTCCCCGCCGGGCCCAGGACCTCCGCCGCCCCGACCGCCGCGCGCGCGCCCCGCCGCCGTGTCCCGCCGCCGAGCGCGCGCGGCTAGTTCTTCACGTCGAGTCCGAGGCCCATGCGCGCCTGGCCCGCGGTGAACGCGTTCATCTCCATCGCGAGCGACACCTTGGTCTGCGGCCGCATCTCGGCCTCGTACAGCACCGACGCCTTGCCGGCGTGGTCGATCTTGGCCTTGTAGAGCGCGCCGTTGACCTTGTGTTGCCACCCGATGGCGTACCCGATCGCGCCGGTCCTGATCCCGTACGTGCCCTCGACCGCGACGACCTCGTCGCGCAGGAGCGGCATCGCCGCGAGCGCCTTGGCGGTGCCCATCTTGTCCGAGACCAGGAAGCCGACGGAGAGCTTCTTGGCGTTGTACCCGACGCCGACGTCGAGCTTCTTCAGCGACGACTTGCCCACGTCGTACGACGCCGACACGCCCGCGAACACGTCGGCCGAGAGCCCTGCGGTGCGCGCGCACGAGTGTGTGTGTGTGGGCGCGGGCGCGGCGGCCGGGCGGCGGCGCGCGGGGCGAGCGGGAGGGGCTGCGGGCGCACCGGTCGAGGCGGTGAGGTCGACGGTGGGCGTGGCGGCGAGGGGCAGTGCCAGCTTTGACGTCAGGTACGGGCGGGAGTAGTCCACCGTGAGCTTGGGGTCGAGCGAGAGGGCGCCGGACGCGAGGACCGGGGACGCGAGCGCGAGCTTGAGGCCCGCGACGGGGAGGCCTGTGTACGTCAGGGAGCTCGCGACCTTGCCCGCAGGCAGGCTCAGGGTCGTGTCGACGTCGAGGGCCTTCATGGGCGACCCGGAGGCCTTGATGTCGACCGTGTGCTTGTCATCCTTGAGGATGCTGGTGAGCTTGACGTCCTGCGGGGGGCGCGCGAGGCGTGAGGCGCGGACAGAGGTGAAGCAGGAAGGACGGACGCGAACGTCGGGGCGGGGCGTCGTGCGGCCGAGCGGCGCCCTGGCGCGCTGCGAGCGAACTGGGGAGCGCGGAGCGCCGGCTGCGAGGCGGGGGGGGCGAGGGCCCGAGGCTGCCGACGTCGTAAACATCCCTGGCTGTAGGTCTGTGCGCGGGGGCCGCGGGTGGTGCGTGTTGGCGCGAAGTGGCGACGCCTGTGGACCTCTGGATCGGCGGGGGCGCCTCGAGGCACTCACCGCGCCGAAGTCGGTCTTGGCGAGGAAGGCAGCCTTCTTGTCGAACTGGTACACGCCCTCCTTGCCGCCCTGCAGCACCTCTGCGGGATCGAGCGCGGCGGAAAGACGGGGCTATAAGAATTCCGGTGGGGGTGCGCGCGGCGGCCGCGCTGGTACGAGCCGCGCCGTGCACGGGGGCAACACGAGCCCGTGCCCAACGACTGAGGCACGGCGCGAGGCCACTGCGCATATTCCTGCACCCCCGCGCTCGCTCTGGGGCGTCCGGGGACTCCCCTCCACGCGGGGCAGCGCACGCGCGTTACCAGCACGCGGACAGCCCGTGCGGGGCGCGCGTTGTGGGCGGCTTCTGGTGCAGGGGCGAGAAAGCCCCCGCCCCCGCCGACTGCGGTGGGGATTTCGCGTTGATCCGTGCACGGTACGCCGCTGCACTGTGTCACGATGCCAAACAGCGCCGATACCGCCGTCGGGGGGCCCGCATGACGGCGGCATTGCCATCGTGCTAGCGCGACGGAGACAGGGCTCGTTGCCCCGCCGCGCGGCTGCCTCGCACGCGCCGTCCCGCGGCGGCGCCGCGCGGATCGCGGCGGGTGCATGCAGGCGGGGTGCTTCGTCCGAGGCGGAAACGCGGCCGCGGCAGCCTCGGGGGCCTCGGTGAAACCAGAGGGGTTGGGGGCGCACCCTTGGCCTGCTTGCCGATGTCTCCGAACGCGGGGATCTTCGTCATGGTGCCACGCTGGCTCTGGAACGAGTGCCGCCGCGCGGCCGCTCGCCTGGCCCTTCACGGCGCGGGCGGGCGGTCCCTTTCCTTCCTGCTTCTACTCCGTAGATGACGCGCGGTACATTGCTCCAGGGAGCCCTCGTGTCGCCTCCGTCGGTTGTATTCAGGACATACATTCAGTGGAGCAGCATGTTCGGCACCGCCCCCAAGCTCACGATCCGCACCACGGGCCCGGCCCAGGGCTCGCGGAGGGTCACTACGTGCGCCGCGAAGGGTGCGCGCTCCATCCGCACAACCTGTCGCCGCGAAACTGCCCCGTTGCCGTGCGCCGGCGCAATGCCGACCCCAGCTCGCGCGCCCACGCGCCGTTCGGTCTCACAGCCGCTCTCTCCGAGCGTCTTCCCGCGCGCGGGCGCCCGGCGCCGCGCCCCCGCGACGACGCGAATCGACCAATTCGCGCAATGCGCCGCGCCCGCCGTCCGTCCGCTCGCGTCGCCGCCCGCACCAACTCGCCGCTCCCGTCTGTGGCCTGCAGTGGCTCGCGTCCTCAAGCTGGCCCTCCCGGCCGGCAAGGCGAACCCGTCGCCCCCGGTCGGCCCGGCGCTCGGTGCTGCGGTGAGTGCCGCCCGCCCTCGCGCCGCCACTGACCTGACAGGGAGTGCACCCACACGCAGCAGCGCCCGCCTCATCCAGCGGGCTGCTGGCCCCTTGCCGCGCGGTGCGGCGCGTCTGCGCCCCGTGGGCGCTTCCTCCATCAAGTATCATCGGGTTGGCGAACATCAAGCCGGATTTCACGGCTCGTGGGTCGCGCTGCGAGGCTGTGCGCGCCTGTCTCGTCACCGCAAGCAGCTTGCCGGCCCCTCCACGCGCGATGCAGGGCGTGAACATCATGGGCTTCTGCAAGGAGTACAACGCGGCTACTCAGCAGCAGATCGGCCAGATCATCCCCGCTGAGATCACCGTGTACGAAGACCGGTGCGCCCGAAACACCTGCCGCGCTCCCGCCACCCTCGCGCGCGTCGCCGCGCCCCCGCACGGCGCCGGGTACCGGCGCACAGCACGGCCGCGGACAGACCCTGAGAATCCTACCCGTTCTCGCCCTCCCCGGCGCTCGAGGTCCGACATGACAACTCGGCTGGCGCTGTCGCACGCGCTGACGAGCGCCTGCGTCCCGTCCTCTGCAGGTCGTTCACGTTCGTCCTGAAGACGCCGCCGGCGAGCGAGCTCATCAAGAAGGCTGCGGGGATCAAGGTCGGCTCGGGCGAGCCCAAGACGAAGAAGGTGGGCAAGATCACGCGCGCGCAGCTGGAGGAGATCGCCAACATCAAGATGCCGGACCTGAACGCCGTGGACCTCGAAGGCGCCTGCCGCATCGTCGAGGGCACCTGCCGGAACATGGGCGTCACCGTGGAGGCGTGAGCGGGCCCGTGAGGTGGTGGACAGATAGCGGCGGGGGGGTGTCGGGGATGTGGGGCTGCGAGGCGGCGAGGGGGCTCGGTTCGCGCAGGGGTGGAGTCGCCGCGGTGGCTGTGGTGGCGCGGAGGGCGCCGTGGGTGGTGGCGGGCCGAGGGTGGGCTCGCACGGGGCCCTGTGGTGCACCCTGAGAGGGTGCGGGGGGAGTTTCTGGCACACGGGGGGCGTCAGCCCTGAGCGTGCTGTGACAACGTATGTCGACTGCAGTCGCACCGCGCGTGCGCCTCGGGGGACGACATCAGCGCCTCGACGTCGTTTTGTGGCACTAGGCCCGCCTCTTGCACACAGACGGAGACACGCAGCGCGTTGCGACGTTGGCTCGGCACCCGCACTCCGATCCTGCATCGCTGCTCCGCAAGCACCGTGCGCCCCGATCGGCGTCGTTCGCGCGCCACGCATCACAGCTCGTCCACAGGCGGCGGCACCAGCGCGCCCGCGCCGGCCAGGTCGCCGCCGCCCGCGGCCCCGCCCCGGTCCGACTTGATCATCATCTCGATGAAGAACTCCCCGGCCTTGTACGAGCTGCGCACGAGCGGCCCCGACGCCACGAACCGGAACCCCAGCTCCTCCTCGCCGTACCGCTTCCAGTGGTCGAAGTCCTCCGGGGTGACGTACTCCACCACCTCCAGGTGGCGCGGCGTGGGCTGCAGGTACTGCCCGAACGTGATGATGTCCACGCCGGCGTCGCGGATGTCCCGCATCGCCTCCCTGATCTCCTGCACACGCACGCACACCAAATCGCCCATTCCGCGTCTGCGGTTCCTTGACGCCAGCTGTGCGTCGCGAGGGGCACCGGCTGGACGCAGCGAGGCTCGCTCGGGACGCGAACGCGGGCGCGGCGCGCGGGGAGCTCGCGCATGCTCCGCGTGCTGTGCGGTGTGCTTGGCGTGGGGGCGTCGCACCTCGTGGGTCTCGCCCAGGCCGAGCATGAGGCTCGTCTTGGTGTACACGCCCTCCTTCTTCGCGTGCCGCAGCACCTCGAGGCTCTGGTCGTACGCGGCGCGCGGGTCCCGCACCCGCGGCGTCAGACGCCGCACCGTCTCGACGTTGTGCGCGTACACGTCGAGGCCCGACCGCGCGAGGTGCCGCGTGTGCTCCTCGCTCCCCACAAAGTCCGGCGCGAGGCACTCCACCAGGATGTTCGGGTCTGCGCGCTTGATCGCCTTGACCGTCTGTGCAAAGTGGTCGGCGCCCCCGTCCGGCACGTCGTCCCGGTCCACTGCGCACAGTCACGCCCGCACGCGCGCAACCGTCTGGGCTCCGCGCGCACGGCGCGGCGCGGCTGCGGGCGCGCGGGGGCGTCGGCCGGCGGAGCAGCGTGCAGCGGCGACGCACCTGACGTCAGCACGACGTAGCCAACGCCCCACGACGCAACGGCCTGCGCGGTGCTCTCCGGCTCCGTGGGGTCGAGCGGCTCGGGCGTCTGGGAGGTCTTCACGGCGCAGAACCGGCACCCGCGCGTGCAGGTGTCGCCCATGATCATGATGGTCGCCGTCGCGGTGGGGCCGTTCCAGCACTCGCCGATGTTCGGACACATCGCCTCCTGGCACACGGTGGCGAGGCGGAGGCCGCCGGGGCCGAGCTGGTCGCGCAGGTGCTCGTACTTGTCGCCCTGGGGCGCCCGCTGGCGCAGCCACGAGGGCTTCCGGGGCTTGGCGGCCGCTGGCCGCGCGTTGTGGGACGCCAGGGACTGCTGGGCCTTCTCGCGGAGACTGGGGTCCTTCTCGACGGCCATGTTGACCAGCTGGGCGAACGCGTCGCCCTCCGCGGCCGGCTCGGCCTGGCCCTGCACGCACCACAGGTGCGTGGGGGGCGCTTGGACGGCGTGGTGACCAGCGCGAGCTGCTCAGGGGGAGACGGTGCGATTGGGCAGCTCGCGACTGGCACCCAAACGCGAGGATGCGACGGGCGCCGCTGCCAAGCCGGATGTGCTGAGCAGACGCTCAGCGAGGGGCAGGGCAGTCACGGGGAGGGCCGCACCACGGATGCGCCGCCAGCCACGCCCTCAGGGATGCTGCGCCTCGTGATGGCGCGCGGCCGGCGGTGCGAGCCGCTCCGCAGCGCCCCGCTCACTCGCACTGCATCCGCGGGAGCGCGCAGCGCAGGCGCAGGCATCGCGCTGACGGGCCGCCTTCCTTTCCGAGCTGAAGTCTGGAGAGTCTCCTACGTCGCAGAACCGCAGCAACTGCGCGCCTCGAGCGCAGCCCAGGACGCCGAACGCGGACTGCTCAGCCCTCAGCTTGCACTTCGCAACTGCGCCTCACACACGGAGCAATGCAACGGTTCCAGACGACGGTCGCGTGACGGGGTTGCATCTGGTCGCCCGCACCCGCAGCTTCCGCCCTCATCCGCGCCCCTGCGTGTTATACGACTGCTGTCAGCGGCGTGTCGCGCTCCAGGCCTCCGCCGCGCGGCTCATCGCCCCTGCTGCCCGCGCGCACCGGCCACAACAGCAAGCCGAGGGGGGTCAGCAGCAGGACGCTAGGAGCAACGCAGGAACCATGTTCGAGGCCAGGCTACAGCAGGGAGCGCTGCTCAAGAAGGCACGTCTTGCGCTCCCCAGTCCTGCCGCGAACGAGCCGCCAGCGCCCTCGCGCCGGCCTCTTCCTGGCGCGAACGAGTCCGCTTTGTCTCGAACGTTCGGTCGCGACGCTATTTCGGGCGATTGGCGCCCGGGGTCGCGCCCGCGGGGCCGTTGGCGCCATTCTTGCTCGACTGGGGCCCTGCGCGACGGCCGCTTCGTGCGCGGGTCTGGGGCTCGAACGGCGGCGCCTCGGGCGTCGAGGGATTTGTATGCGGCGAGCCGTGCCGCGAAAACGCGCCGTTTGTGTCCGCGTGCGCGCAGGTGATCGAGTCGATCAAGGACCTGGTGACAGATGCCAATTTCGACTGCAACTCCCAGGGCTTCGCCCTGCAGGCCATGGACATCTCGCACGTCTCGCTGGTGTCCATGTTCCTTCGTGCGGACGGCTTCGAGCACTACCGCTGCGACCGGACCCTCTCGATGGGTGCGCTGCCCGCCTGCTTCGCGCACTGCTTGCCCCGTCGGGTTCGGTCGCGGAACTGAGCGCCACGGGCCCGCCTGGCGCATCCGCGGTGTACGAGGACGTGGCTCGCGGCTCGCGCGGTCGCAGCATTGCGTGCGCCCCGCGAGGCGCCGTGCGACGGGGCCGTGCACAGGGCGAGTTGGCGCGCATCGCGCCACCGTTCGCTCGGCGCGTTCAGGAGCGCGTCGCCAATCCTCTGAGGTCGTACGCGAATTTTCCTGCGAAATGCCGCGCGAAGCAGGGCGAAGCGTGCCGCCACGCGGGAAATATCGCGGCAACCATTCCCTGCAAGCTCTCTGACCCGCAGGCATGAACCTGGGCAACATGTCGAAGATGCTGAAGTGCGCTGGGAACGACGACATCATCACGGTCAAGGCCGACGACGAAGGCGACACCGTCACCTTCATGTTCGAGAGCCCAGGTCCGCTTCCTGCCTTTGTGCGCCACCTGCGCGCGCAGCGCCCACGCGGCCCGCCCCCCACCTCCCCCGCCACCTCCGTCCAGGACGAGCCCCTGGCCGTCATGCACAACACTCCCATCGCTTCCAAAACGCGCCAGCGCCACCCACGAGCGCTCCCGGGCGCCCCTAGAGCGCACCACCGTCCGTCCCGTCCGCCCCAGACCGCTCCCGGCCTCCACCGGCCCCACGGCGCCGCGCCGGCCCCCCTCCCGCCCCTCCAACCGCGCACGCCGCCCCTGCGCGCCCCGCCCGCAGGCCAGGACAAGATCTCGGACTTCGAGCTCAAGCTGATGGACATTGACAGCGAGCACCTGGGCATTCCGGACCAGGCGTACTCCGCGGTGATCAAGATGAGCTCCGCGGAGTTCCAGCGCATCTGCCGCGACCTCGGCACCATCGGCGAGTCCGTCGTGATCGCCGCGAACAAGGACAGCGTCAAGTTCTCCACCAGCGGCGACATCGGGTCCGCGAACGTGACGTGCCGGCCGGGCACCGGCGCCGTCGACAAGGACGAGAACGGCGGCAAGAAGGACAAGGAGGGCAAGGAGGTCCGCCGCACGCCCACCCGATGCAGCCACGCCGCGCGCAGCGCACCAGCGCTGACTCACGGGCGCCGGCGCCGTGGCCGCGTGCCGGTCGAGGAACGACCAGCCGCGCGGAGTAGGACGCGTCGTGCGGGCGGGCCAGCGTCGTGAGCATCGCGGCGGTGTGCCAGGAGTGTCGCGCTTGACGGCTGACGGGCGTGCCGTGTGGGTGCGTGCCGCGTGCAGGTGAACGTCCAGATCGAGCTGCAGGAGCCCGTGACGCTGACGTTCGCGCTGCGGTACCTGAACAGCTTCTCGAAGGCCACGCCGCTGTCGGACGAGGTGACGCTGTCGCTCAGCAAGGAGCTGCCGGTGATGGTCGAGTACAGGATCGCCGACATGGGCCACATCCGGTACTACCTCGCGCCGAAGATCGACGAGGAGGAGGGCGAGGAGTCGTGAGCCATCCCGCCGAGGCGGCGCGGGGGGGAGCGGTGGAGGGCTCTTGGCGACTAGGGGGGGGGTCCAGGGGGGTGTCGGGCGCGGACAGGCCGCGGACGCGCGATGTGAGTGCAGGCGCATGCGATGCGCCTCACGTGGGGCGCAAGCTTGCGTGGGGGTGTCTAACGCGACCTGCGACGCGCGCGTTGAGGTGTCCTGTCGCTGGAGACGGTGGTCGACTCGCGGAGGCTGGGTGAGCGCCGGCGTCGCGGCTGCGCGCATGCGTGGGAGGCCGGCCTGAGGGTCGGCGCCGGCGGAGGCGGTGCGGTGAACCTGCCCTCGCGCCTGCCACACAACCATGTCATGGAGCGCTGGCCGACCCGCAGGCACGTGGCTGCACACCCTCGCGCGACGGGCGCAGTCAGCGAGGGCCGGGTCGGTGGCACGTTGCGTTCCGTTTGTTCGTCACAGTACGTGGCTCCGACGGGGCTGCCTCCGCAGGCACAAGCCCTTCGCTCCCGAAGCAGCACCCGCTTACTTCTTGGCGATCTTCTGCGGAAATGCAAGAGAAAGAGATGGTGCGTGATGAGCAGGTCGAATGAGCGGCTCAGACGGGCGCAGCGCGCGCGGCGGAGGAGCGCAAAGCAGCTGTGCAAGCTAGCTGCGCGAGTGGCAGCGCGCCGAGCGCTGCAGAGTCGGTCCGACTGTCCGCAGGGTCCGCACCTTGCCGGCGACCGTCTTCCTGCGGCCCTTGCGCGTGCGCGCGTTCGTCTTCGTCCGCTGGCCGCGCAGAGGCAGCCCGGACTGGTGGCGCTTGCCACGGTAGCACTGGATCTCGATCAAGCGCTTGATGTTGAGCCCGTTGAACCTGCGGAGCGCGTGGAACGTAACACGAACGACACGTGAGGGACGCGGGCTCGCCCTGCTCGCCCGGCAGCGACCGTGCGTCCTGGATAGAGTGGCCAGGGAGCAGCTGCAGGCACCGGCGGCGCCGCGCTGGAGGCGCGCACGAGGCGCGCGTTGCGCGGGAGGGAGCGTGAAGTGGAAGAAGCGCGCGCGGGGGGCGCGCTGAGGTGTGCCGCCGCGTGCGCTGCGCTGCCGAGGCCCCACAGAGGCGGGTGTGGCTGGCACTGCCACCAGGCGCGATGGCCGCCCACGGCCCCGCACGTGCGCTCTCCGCCGCTCCCGCAGCACGACAACGCGACGAGGGGGCCACCGGGCGGCGGTACAACGCGGGAGCGGCCCGTCGCGCCTCGCACGCGCCGCCCGGGCGGCACACGAGCCCGGCTCGCCCAGCTGCGTCGTCCGCCGCATCGCGCGGGCGACGCGGGCGCGCGGCCCCGGGGATGGCGCGGGTACTTCACGGAGAGGCCGCTGGGGCGGCGGGCCGCGGAATGCGGGGCGCGTGCGCACCTGCGCAGGTCACCCTCCGTCATGTATTGGTCCACCTCGTTACGGAGCAGCTGGAGCTCGTCCTCGCTGAGCTCGTGGGTGCGCTTGTTCTCGAGGCCCGTGGCGCTCATGATGGACGCGGCCGTGGTCGGGCCGATCCCGTAGATGTACGTGAGGGACGTCTGGATGCGCTTGGGATTGGGGATTTCCACGCCGCCCACACGCGCCATGCGCGTCTGGAGGGCCCCGCGGCCGGTCTGGGGCACCGAGAGGCGGGCGGACTGCACGCGGCTGCCCGTGAAGCTAGAGGCCTTGCCGGCGAGCGCCGGGTTGGCGCAGAGGCGAGCAGCCATGGTTGCGTCTCGTCGCCCCGCTCGATACCTCGACCCAAGATCGGCGCGTCTGATGCCGAACGATTGGAAAGGCGCATGGACGGGCGGACGCGCGCGCCCATGGCGGCTCGAGGGCGCGGTGGGCGTCGACGTCAGTCGTGAGGCCGTCTGCCCGACAGGGACGTCACTTCAGCGTCCGCCGAGGCCGTTGCTGCGTTGCCATGCTGCATCTGTGCGCGTCCATGCGACATCGAGGGAAGCAAAGCTCGGGCCTTCAGACGGCCGTCCGCGCGCCAGGTGGTGTGGTGCAGCAAGCACGTGCCACAGCCCGAGCGGCGCGGCGGCCCACTTCATGCGCATTCTCTGACCCCACCAGCCGTCGAAGGGATCCCTCGGCGCCGAAGACGCGGACCTCCAGGTCGAGCGCGCTGCATTGCGGACGAGGTGCACATTGTGTGTCATCGCTGCACGTGCGGCAGCAGGGAAGCGCGCGTCGCGGTCATGGCCCTGGGTGCGACAGCAGCCACGTTGACGGTGTTGCTGCTCCTGATCTATGGCGGCCTGGTCATGCTAGTGGTCGCGAGCATGGCCATTTCGAAACTCATCCTCGTCACGGCCGGGAGCTTGGCTGCGATCGGGGGCGCGCTGCTGGCATTCCCGTCCAAAGAAAGGTGAGTCGTCAGCGTTGACATTTCTCGGGTGTCGCTCGACGCATCTGACTGGCTCGGGGTGCAGCGGTGGAGGCAGGTGCGCCGCTTACGTGGCCTTCGCCGTTCCGTGCGGTCGTTGCAGTCGTGGCGAGGGGGCAGAGCGTTCTGGCAGGCGCCACTCGCTCAGGACGAGTCAGGGACGGAAGTCCAGCGCCTGGTCCACACGCGCCTACGGGTCCAGCGCTCTCACTGTCGCCGCCGCGCTGTTCGTCTTCCGCAGCATCGTCTGTCGGTTCGAACAGGCAGCCCTGACTCTGTCTTCCACAATTGCCGGTGCCCTGAACGGCGACGGCGTGGCGCAGCTCGTCGATTTCGTGCTTCGGCCGATTCCATTCTTCTTCACGACGTGCATGGCCGCGGGATCCATCGTGCTGGCCGCGTGGGTCGACAACCGATTGGGCGCCAGACGCGCGCAGCTCCTCACCGGCCACGAAATCGCACTTCGGCTCTTGGCAATGCACTGCATCATGTTGCGGGGGCCTTCGGACCGCGTTCTGGCCACGTTCCTGGCGCTGGCGTGCGTTCTTGCACCGTACTGGCCCGAGCGGTCCCCTCCGCGTGACGAGAAGGAGCGGACCCCTGAAACCTCAGTGGCTGGCAAACACTTCTGGGCGAGTCCTTGGACGCTGACGCGCATGACGGCGCTCGCTTTGCCAGCCACACCCGCACGGTACCACCTCAGATCTTCGCCAGACAAGCTTGCGCGCAAGGAGCTGCTTTCCGTGGGCTGGGCCGAGCACGACGACGGCGAGCTGGCCGCGCTCTCGCCCCGCACCACCAGCTACAGACCGAGCGATGACGGCACGCTGACACCGCGAAGGCAGCTTTCGTCGCACGGCTCGGGCGAGCAAGCGAGCCGCAGGAGCCCCAGGGCCGCCAAGAGCGGCCACCAAAAAGACAAGTCTAAGTCTAAGACTAGCTGATCGCAATTGCAACCCCCCCCCCCCGCACGGGCTCCTGTACGCGCCCCCCGCGCCGCCGGTCGCGGGTCGCTGAGCTGCTGGCTGGTACCTGCGGTCGCGCGTCCCTGCACACACAGAGTAGTAATTGACCACCCGCGCACGAAACGAAATGCGGGTGTGCTATCGTCCTGATCAAGGCGGCAGCGTGCTAGGAGTACTCGCGCGAAATGCCATGTGAGCGTGCCATCATGTGCCAAGGGAAGGCTCTGACCTGCAATCAGTTAGAGTGAGTGGCGGGCGTCGTCAGCAACAACGCGGCGAGCCGCGCGAGTACTGGACGACGCCCGCCAGCCGACGCGCCGAAGTGCTGGTCCACGTCCTAGGCTGCTTGTACCAGGGGGTGTCGGCAGCCGGCTGGGTGACAGCGGTGACTGAGTCTGCGGCATTGTCCGCGTTGTGTGGCGACGCGCCGACGGCTACTCAGCTCTCCTCGTCATCGCCGTCCCCCGCGCGTGGCCTGTCATGCGAAAAGGGATCATACCTCGGTCTAGCGGCCACGGAATACGCGCATGGCCAACATGTCAACATCGGGGGGGTAACAGAGTGCGTCATGTGTGCGGGCATGGCTGGATAGTTCCGAGCCAGCTTCGCAGCGCCGGGATCATGTATGAGGGTGACGAGTTGCAGGGCGCCGGGCACGCCCTGTCAGCAGGTTGGCCAGTATGGTCTGCAAACTGCACGTGGCGACGCACGAGGTCAGCCAGGCCCGCCGGCGTGGCAGGGCCAAAATGCGGGCTCGGGTGCGTCCGGCAGGCGGCGCGGTGGATCGCCAGGACCTGTCGCATGCAGTAACCTCGATGCGTACGCATGTAGCGCATCATGGCCGACATCTTGGCTACGTAGCTGTCGCGGTCAGTCACCTCGCTGGACACGCGGATGTGTTCGGTGCGGACGATGTTGTAAAGGTGTCGTCGCAGCAGCGCACACGAAGCGTGGGGGTACTGTATGAGGTGAATGTTCTCAGGAAACAGACCGCGTTTGTCATAGTGCGAGATCAGGAGGAAGCCCTGATATTCGGGATGCGGACGCACGCGGAGGTCTAGGAAGGAGACACCGTCGAGCGGGTTCGCTGGGGCGTCAAATTCGACCTCAAGACAGGGGGGGTACATGTTATGTATACCAGAGATGAGATCTACGATCGACGACGGGGTTTCGGGGGGCGGGGTGGGGGGGCGGGGGTGGGTGTTGAAGTAGCGGTACAGTGCGTTCGCGAGAGAGAAATTGTCGTCGATGTAGCGCCTGGAATAACGGAAAGACCCCAAGACCTTCAGCCAAGCGACGTCGCCAGTGCTCAACCAGCGGTCGCGAAACTGGCAGAGGAACGCGAGCTCATGCCGGAACATGTAGCAGTTCGCGAGGTGGGGGGAGGCCGAGAGCCCCATGGGCACACCGCAGGTCTGGTGATATACGACGCCCCCGAACACCACGTAGGCGCGTTTGACGAGGATGTGCACGAGACCATGAAGTTGCTCGATGCTCGGTGCCCATTTCCCAACCATGCCGTCCGCGTCCGGCAGCTGCGCCACCCACCACCACGTCTCCCTCGCGTCAAACGCGGGTTGCAAGTCGATCAGGAGGTGTTGCCCTGGATGCAGTGCAAAAACAGCGTCGATGTGTTCGATGACGCAGTCGATGAGGCCGGTCCCGTGGTCCGCGCTCGTCTCGTGCCGGATGTGCGTGTAGAGCCGCTTGATGTCGGCGCCCAGCAGCAGAGGTGGTTGTTGAGCATGTATCGCTGAGCGTGGTGGGTTGTCATGTAGATACGCGGTCACCATGTCACGCATGCCGCGGCTGGAGTCCACCAAGAAGGGCTCGTCGAGACCCAGGTTAAGCGCATCGGGATGCATGTGCGACACGCAGTGATGGAGGGAGAAGAGGTATTTTCCGATGTTCGCTGCCGTGCAATGGTTCACCGCGCGTCTCCAATGATCGTGCTCTGTGTCGCCGGCGCGGCGTAACAAAACAACGTCAAGAAGGAGGCGAGTCTGGTAGATATACTCGCGTGTACCGAGGCGCGGAGACATGCCTGCGATAGCGGGGGGCAGGGACAACGCTGGTGCCGTAGTTGTGAGGCAGTTGTCAGCGTCGAGGTGGATGGTACGTTGATGCGTGGAGGAGATGGCAAACGTTGGCTGGAAGAGGGTCGCCAGCGCTGGGAGCCCACTCGGGCCGGGCGGGACGGGGAAGTCGTTGTGGGGGATCGCTACGGGGTGGGGGTCAGCGGCGATTTGGAACGCCAGGGGGGATAGAGGCCATGGGGCAGCATCAGAGTGGCCAGCTCCGTAGCCGAAATTCCACATGCCCTTGCAGTAATTGAGGCCGCCGGGGTGTGTGGAGCCCAGACAGCGTATCATGGTCTGCTCCCAGGCCAGGGAGTAGGTGCGGAACTTGTGGAACCAGGCCTTCAAAGCGTCCGGGCTAGTCGCCGGCGGGATGGGCACCTGGCGTGCGAAATTGATGCGAAAGAGGGGCACGATGGTGAAGTCGCGCCACGGGACATGGCCGTTCGGCGACTGCGCCCACACTCGTCGCATAAACTCGTAAAGCGGGGTGTGCACGGCGTTCGGATGGTGCGTGAATGCTGCATCAAAGTGCTCCTGCAGTCGTTCGATCGCTGTGCGGTATGTCTCCCCGACATAGTAAAAAAAGGGGTATTTCCGGCACAAGAGGACATAGACAACCCCGCGCGCCGCAAGCGGGGGGTTTGCCGTGACCGATGGTAGCGCGGCGAGGTCCGAGAGCGCCGGCGGGGGCGGTGGGAAAGGAGCGCTCGGTGGGGGGCACGGGTGCGGGTATGCGGGCGCCCGTTCGTCGCGGGGCACGTAGTCCCAGTAGGGTCGAGGGGCTAGTGCGGAGGCGGGGTGGGAGGGTGTGTGGTGGGGGCTAGGAGGGGGCCAGGCACGGGGAGATGCCTGCGGAGCAATAGCGGCCGCGATGCGGCGTGCGTGCGTGATGCTGGGTCGAAAGTTCGGGTCGTGGTCATTTAGATTTGCGACATGGTGGAACAGGGTGCCATTCGAAAGGTGGCCACGCAGCGTGCGCGCCTCGGCGGTGCCGGCCTGGTCGCTGAGACGCAACGCTGCTTGGAGCCGTTTCCTCCGTCGGCGACCGATTGGAGTGCGCATGGTGAGAGGTTTTGGGGGTGAAAAGAGGGTGGTGTGCGGAACTAGACCGAGGATGCAGTAATCAAGCCACGACGGGAGGGCGACGATGACGGGGAGAGCTCTACCTAAGTTGCGCGTTCCTAGCACGCCGGGCGGTGAGCCACGGACGTGAGACGGCGGAGTCAGTTAGCCGGAGGCAGGCTCGTCTACGCCGACGGTTGAAGGCCGGAGTAGGGAGGTAGCTCTCAGCTGGCACTGCGCCAAAGCCCCATGTTCGAGGCCCGGCGCAGCACAACACGACACACAGAGTAGTAATTGACCACCCGCGCACGAAACGAAATGCGGGTGTGCTATCGTCCTGATCAAGGCGGCAGCGTGCTAGGAGTACTCGCGCGAAATGCCATGTGAGCGTGCCATCATGTGCCAAGGGAAGGCTCTGACCTGCAATCAGTTAGAGTGAGTGGCGGGCGTCGTCAGCAACAACGCGGCGAGCCGCGCGAGTACTGGACGACGCCCGCCAGCCGACGCGCCGAAGTGCTGGTCCACGTCCTAGGCTGCTTGTACCAGGGGGTGTCGGCAGCCGGCTGGGTGACAGCGGTGACTGAGTCTGCGGCATTGTCCGCGTTGTGTGGCGACGCGCCGACGGCTACTCAGCTCTCCTCGTCATCGCCGTCCCCCGCGCGTGGCCTGTCATGCGAAAAGGGATCATACATCGCATGTGGCCTGTCATGCGAAAAGGGATCCCTGCACACACACTCGCTGGCCAGAGAGGCACCAGCGCCACAGCACCCGTCGGGGGCCCGGGGGGTTGTGACTTTCCCGGCGTGCACGAACAGATCGGCGTGCGCGCGCGATGCGTTTTTACACGGAGTTGATGGCCTTCTGGATGTCCGCGAACACGTCGGTCTTGGCGCGGTTGCCGTCGATGGTCACCGTGATGTCCGCGTACGCGTTCAGCGCGTCGCGGTTCTTCTTGTACACCTCGAGGCGGTTCCCGGCCTTCTCCTCGGTGTCGTCCGAGCGCTGCGTGCACCGGTCCGCGATCTCGCCCTCCGGCGGGGGGTTGAACGTCATGTGGTAGATCTTGCCCGTGACCGGGTCCGTCCGCCGGCCCACCACGCGCTCAATCTGCAGCCAGGAAGTCGCACGCGCGCACGAAGGTTACCCCTTGCCGCCAAGGTGCCGCACTTTCGGTGGGTGCAGCCGCGACGGGAGGCACCCACAACCGTGGCACGCGCCCACGCATCGGCAAGCCCTCTCGTTTGAGCAACCCAGACACGAGGGAGCCGCCGGTCCGGCGCCGGGAGCCCGGAGCCCGTGCACGCGTTCGTCGCCGCGGCCACTCACCAGCACCTCGTCCGGCACCTCGAGCACGATCACGACCTCGGGGTGGATCCCCGCGTCCGCGAGCGACTGCGCCTGCGACGCCGACCGCGGGTACCCGTCCAGGAGCCACCCGTTGTTCTTCGCGTCGTCCTGACTCATGCGGTTCTTCACCATGGCCGTGACGATCTCGTCCGGGACCAGCGCGCCCTGGTCCATGAACTCCTTCGCCGCCAGCCCCTCCTTCGTGCCGGCCTTCACCTCCGCGCGCAGCAGGTCGCCCGTCGAGATGTGCGTCAGCCCAAACTCCTGCGAAGCAAAGGGGGGGGGTTTTCGGCTGACTCATGCGACCCAACTACGTGGCGCGCGGGGGCAGAATGTCAAACAAGTGGCGCAGAATGCGCAGGCGGAGAAGACGGGGCGGATTCCGCGGGTCCAAGGAGAGCGGGGCGCGTGGGTGTTGCGGCACACCTGCACGATGGTCTCGCACTGCGTGCCCTTGCCAGAGGCCGGGGCGCCCGAGATGAGAACCTTCGTGGCGGCCTGAGTGATCACCTGCAGACACCATGCGGGTTCGAGGCTCGCGCTAAGAGCCATCGACGTTGCATCATCTGCTCAGCAATGTCGGCACGCAACGCACGATGCGACGTGGATGCGCGCACATCGCGCCGGGCCTCGCCTGTGACCGGTGGCTCTTCCCAACGACGACGTACCCGCCCGTGAAAGCCGAGTTCGAGGGCCCTGCGCGAGCCGACCCTGCAGCGCAAGAGGGGCACCGCGACAGGCTCGGCGGCGGGGGGCGCTCGGCCAGCCCGGGCGATTGCGATGGCTTGTGCGTGTACATGCGTGAGCAGCCGCGCAGAAAGATGGCGGGGGCCGCACCTGCGCGCTGCGAGGCAACGGCCCGGGGCTGCGTCCGGGCAGCTGCCCTCCTGTGGCCGGCCTGCGGGGCCGCGAGGGCCACCTGCGCCGACGTAGCGATAGCCGATTGCATGTCCGCGATCCAAGAGCTCACCGATGCTGCGTCGCGTAGCGCGAAGTGGAGCCAATCAGCGCGGCAAGGGAGGTCCCCTCGATCAGGGCCCGCGCCATGTTGTGCCCCGTCAGGGGGGGTCTCCCTGCGGCGACGACCGACCGCACACCGTCGGCGAGCTCGTTCAACCTCGCGCGTGTCACGTAGCGCCACCACTCGCTCGAGTCGCGCCGGCGCGAGCCTGCACGAGCCAAGCACAGTGCAGCAATGCAGAGCTGCCCGGCTCGAGCGGCGCTGCCGGCCGCCGCGTCGGTCCACCGCCCGCCTCGGCGGGCAGCTGCTCGGGCCGAGCGATCGTTGGGGATTCAGCGCACGAGCTCCGTCGTTCGGGGTTCTGCGCGTCTCTTGGAAGGCAGCGTGAATGCAGGGCGGAGCCCGATGCGCTGTTTCGGGTCCGCTGTTTCCGGGGCGCGGAGCCGACGAAGAAGTTTCATATGCAGGCGCGTGCTCGGTGCCGCGGCGCTTTGGTCCGCATACCCGCGCTGTGGGAGGGAACAAGCGGTTTGCCAAGCGAGCTAGGATTCCCCCGTCCGCAGGTCGTGGGTCCAGCGCGAGGTGGAGGTGCCCGAGCTGCTGATCGGCGACGTGCTCGCCATCGTCGTCTTCGCGCTCTGGCGGCAGCTCGCCAGCATCGCCCTCGCGCCGGACTTTCCAGGATGGCTTGCGCCGCTCGCGTTCAACCCGGGGCGCTTCGTCGAACTCGCCAACTTCGTCGCCACCCTCGCAGGTGCGAAGCGCATCGCCCACGCTGCTTGGTCTCGCGCGCAACGCACGGTCGCATGCGGAGCAGTTGACAGCTGTCACAACGTCACCAACTGGGGTTCGTTGCGTTCGCAGGCACGTGGGCGGCGGCCTCGCTGATCCTCGGGGGCTACCGGCGCGAGAGCCTGACGTCCGTGCCCAAGATGCTGCAGACCACGTGCCAGGTGTGGCTCGTGGCGCTCCCGGTCGCCCTGGCGTGGCTCCTCGTGTCCGTGCTCGCCGAGAACGGCGCGCTGGTCGGGGAGCCGCTGACGACGTCCCTGCCGCTCGCGCTACGCGGGCCGATGGAGCCCGCGGGCATCGCGGCGGGCATGCTCGGGCTGATGGCCGCGTGGCGGTCGTGGTACACCTTGTACCTGGGAGACCCCTGGGGGAGTCCGTGGGAGACGGAGGTGTGGCGGCAGTCGTCAGCGGGGTTCGTGCGGGCCGTGCAGGTCGCTCTGGTGATCGCCGTCGCGTGTCTGATGGGCCTGGAATATTTCGAGAAGGTGTTGATTGGGCAGGCACTGTAAATATGGGTTGTGGACACGAACGGGCGCGCCGCTCGCCCTGCCGGATGTTGCTTAGTCCTGCGGACGTCCGAGGCCGTAGAGGCGGGGGCGAACAGACCCTCATTCGTCGAGTCAGGTGGGGTGTGACTAGTCCTCCTGGGCGTGCGAGCCGCGCCTGAGGGGCGCGCACAGTGTGGTGCGTACATCACTTTGCGAGCGAGATGATCAGGGGGGTGAGGAGCACGCTGAAGCCGCATCGCGCCTGCGCGTCGCGCCTGAGAGCAGCAGGCAGCCTGCGCCCGGCTCGGGGGCAGCGGGCCCGCCAGCTGAACGTGAGGGCAGAAGCGACGCAGTACGACATCAAGGAGCTCGCCGACGCTCGTTCCGCCATCGCCGTCGGGATTCAGGCGCGCACCACCGCCCCAGACAGCACCCGGTCGGTTGGCAGCGTGCGACGCGCACGCGGGGTCTTAGAGCGTTTTGGTGCGCCGCATCACATGTCGCTCATCTGTGGATGCTGCCGGTCGGCTTCACGACGGCGCAGGTGTACGCGGAGGGGCGCTATGAGGATGCATTGGAGATCTTCGAGGCGGCACTGAGCAAGCCTGGCACGGGCGTGAAGCGCTTCCGGGACAAGCCGGCGGAGATCAGCCCGGGCGAGCGAGCTGCTGCGCTCTACAACTGCGCGTGCTGCCACAGCAGGATGGAGAACGTGCGCCCGGGCCTCGTGGCCATTGCTGGTGCTCTCGAGAGCGGTGAGTTGACGATCCGAGTGACGCACGCCCGCACACGCACGACCGGGTGCCCGAGCGCAGGTTCCCTTGCCATCTCCTGTCCGGCAGTGCTAGGCTGCAGCCGTCCGGGTCCGTTGCGCGAACAACAACGACGCGGTATGCCCCCTCACGCGCGGAGGCGCAAGTGTGTTTGTGCGCAGGCTTCGAGGGGTTCAAGGAGCTGCGGACCGACCCGGACCTGCAGTACCTGCGCGATGCGGACCCGGAGAAGTTCGAGGGGCTGGTTGGGCGGTTCGACCCCGGCACGGCGAAGCCAGGCCTCTTCGGGGCGGTCCTGTACCAGCTGGACCCCCGTAACAGCCGCATCTACAAGAAGTCGACGGGCCAGGACTAGGGGGGGGTTGTACCAGGCTTGAAGCGGCGGCGGTGCCAGGCCTGCGGCCTACTGACCTGTGTAGGACCAAGGTAGTCGGAGGCGGGGACGGAGGTTCGTTGATAGCGCGCGGGGGAGGCAACCGGCGCTCAGTGAATGCGCTGTGCGCCTGCGCGGCGTCCGCCACCCGTTCTGGCGCATGATGCGACTCGTGATGCGTGGACGCAGAGGCACATGATACTGTGGGGCTCGAGATGGCACGACGCCCGATTCGGTCACAACGGCGCGTCCCGAACTCGTCCTAGTCACGTCAAGAGAACATGCTTTGTGGGGCGGGGCAGTACGACGACTTGTCCCTTTGCACACGTGACTGTGTCTAATGGGTTGGTAGAGGTGATCATTTCCGCACACCGGCTGTGGTGCGTGGCGCTGTACGCGGGGCTGCAAGCGCATCTCGCTCGCCGCGCGACAGCTTGTCGTGCGTGCGTGCGCGCGTGTGTGTGGGGGGGCGTCCTTGCGCTGGCGCACAAGCATCTGGCACTGCCGCGTGTCCATTTGCTGCATGCCGGGGGAGACGGACACAAGGGGTAGAGGGACCCGTAGAGGGGGGAATGAGGGGGGTAGATGGAGGGGTCGAGGTAGGTAGGACACAGAGGGTGTGGAGGCTGGGCCAGCATTCATATGCACGAGTTTCCCACTTCAGGAACCACACTCTCAAAAAAGGCGCGTTGTACACGCACGTCGCTGCTTCGCTCGACGTGCCCGGAGCGACTGCTGTGCCCACTGCGGGCGCGTGGGCGATGCCGCGGCAGGGGCCGCGACACGTAGAGTCTCCGGTTGGAATGAGTCTAGCCACCTGATTGGCCGACAGAGTTGGCGTGTTGGCGCGGCACGACGTGGAGGCCACGTCGCGACGCGGGTCAAGCCACCTGAGTGGCGGACACAGCGAGCGTGTCGGCACGACGTGACGGAGGACCTATCGGGAACGAGGCGTGTCAGCCGTGTGTAGACAGAGAGTATCTCAGCGAGGGCACGGGAGGGAGGGAGCAGGGCAGGAGGGAGGGAGGGGGAGAAGGCAGGGAGAGGGGGAAGCGAAATGGGGGGACCCATGTCTCGTGAGGGGTTTGTGTGCCACGTCAGCATGTGAGGGAGGCAGGAGCGAGCGCGAGTGGGCCTCAGGGCCTGGGGGCGCGCGTGCTCGATCACGGAGGTCGCTCAATCGCGGTCCGAGCCCGGCGGCTGCGGCACCAAAGCATGCGGCGGGACATGAAGAGCAGGTGGCATGGCATGCGCACAGCTGCACGTCAGTGGTCCATCGGCCCCCGCTGGCGCACGACGACGCGGAACCCGCCCTCCAAGGACCCCGTGAACCTCGGCGTCACGCGCAGCACCCCCTGCGCAGTCCCGGGAGGGTGCGCCTGCGCCGACTGCGGCGCCGACGCAGCGCCCAGTGTCCGCGCCGCGGGCGCCGCGCGCAGCGGCTCCGGCGCCGTGCCGGCCCGCCCCATCAGGAACAGGTTCGACTCCCCGGGCGTGCTGAACCGCCGGTCCTGCACAGCGAGCACCGGCAGCGCAAGCGACAGTGAGATTCCCTGGCCCCGTTGACGTGCACTCAGCGCCCACCCGCACTTCGCCGCGGCCGCCCGGGCGCCCCCGCGCGCGCCGCCGCGCCGGCCGGCATCGTCCCCGACGCGCAGGCGGCCCCCTCGGGCCTGTCCCTGCGCGGTGGCGCGCGTGCACGCACCTTGGAGAAGATGTGCAGCCGTCGGCCGCACACGTCCGTGCTGGCGCCGACCGCGCGCGGCGTCGCGGCGCCGTCCTCGCCCGGAACCGTCCACGACGTCCCGCCGTTGCTCAGCCCGCTCGCGTCGCGCGACCCGGGCGACGCGACGCCCCGCCGCGCGGCGATCTGCCGCCCGAGGGCGGCCACCTTGCCAACCTCCACCGTGGACGTTGGCAGGCTCGAGGGGGCCGCGGCGGCGCCATGCGGCTGCGCGGGCGCGCCGGGGGCGGGCTCCTCGCCGAAGCCTGGCCGGCGGCGGCCGCCCCGCGCCGGCGGCCCCGGGGACGCGGTGGTGCGAGCGCGGGGTGGCGTGCGGCCCGCCCGTCATGAGGGACAGCAACGAGCCCTCGCGCTCCGGAGAGACCAGGAGGCGCGCGTCGTTCGGAGGGAGGAGCGACCTCGTGCCGGGGCTCATGCCGAGGGCCCTGTTGGGGGACTTGAAGGGCATCGGCGCGCCCGTCCCCTTTCTGTGCAGGTTGGTAGGGGACCACAACGCCGTGGCCGCGGCGCCGGCGGCCAGGGGGTCCAAGTGCGCGCCCGCGGCGCTGTCCTCGCGCGAACGCTTGCGGGAGGCGACTGCGCGGCGGCGGGGGGGGTGGCGACGGCGCGAACGGTGAGCATGTGCCCCGGCGTGACCCAACCGATGTGGGGGTCCGTTGTTGCGCTGGCGCGTGACGCGCGCAGCCGCGGGGGAGGCGCGTGGGTTCCGAAAGAAGCTTCGCAGACGAGGCGCAGGCGGGGCGAGTTCGCAGCGCGGCGGGGGCACCGCGCGGAGGCGTTGCGAGCGATGCAGCGATGCTCACCAGGGATGCCTGGGGCCGGAAGCGCCTGGAAGCCCGCCCGCAATGATGCTCCGTCTTTTTCCGCATCGCTTTGCCCGACCGCGTCGTCGGCGGCTGCGCAGGGAGAGGGCAAAGCGAGGTCTACATCAGGACGGAAAGGGCGTGTGTGTGCCGGCCTCGCGATCCCCCGCCAATCAGACCGATACGAGAAGAACGTGGACAGGGCACGCGAGCAACTATATCGCCACGCCGGTGCCTCCACGCGAAGCGCAGATCACCGGGAAGGGTCGCTGCGTTGCCACGCGCGCATTTCGCTGCGGGGGCCACGATCTGCACCACCCCGATCGTGCACGATCATGAGAGCCCACCACGGGCGCTCGGGTGTCGCGCGCGTGTCCGCTGCGCGCGGCGCGGCGCCACAACGTGCCGTGCGCCTCGCGAGCGCCGGAGCGGCCCGTCACGGCGTTTATATCGCCCGTGTCGCGGCGCAAAGAACGTACCGATAGCTATCCTCTCTCCAGGGAGGCCGTGAATGTCGTCGGGCCCCTCGAAGATCCACTCATCCATGGTTCTTTCCTGATGTCTCTAAACCCGCCGCGCTAGGCTGCTGAGCCTCGTCTCACGTACGCGATGCCCCACAGTGGCTCGAGAGGACCTCAGCGATCTTGTGGCAAGCGCATTGCCCTCGCAGGCCCATGAGCGCCTGCCGCCGGTGCAGGCCCAACTGACCAGCGCCGCACGCACCCCCCCCCGGGCGCGAGGACACGCGCAATGAGCCACCAGCACGTGCCGTGGGACTTACGCACTCTGACCGCGACAGGCGCCATCAAAACGCCCCGATGATCGCGGGGGCGCCAGCCCGCTGCTTGGACAGCTCTTGCTGCTGGTGCCGCGCGGCGCCATCGCGCGTCGCCCGGCGCAGCGCGTTACGATTGCGGTCCCGGGACTTGCACACACGCCCTCGAGCATGCCGAAGCAGTGGACCGGAGGCTCGCGGCGTCGCGGCCCGCGGCGCTGCCGCGTGCGTCCGTGCTGGCGCGAGAGCAGAACGCGGGAAGGTAAAGCGAGCGTCAGGTCGGCGTGATATGAGCGGATTTCGAGCTCGCGGGCACGCTACGATATGAACACGGAGATTCGGGGCTGCGCGCGGCGTGAGCGCCCGCCACCGCCGGCGCGCGGGGCCACGAAGGGAACGGAGCCTCGCGGTGGCACACGCTGCGCGCAAATCAGCCGCACGCCCCCCGCCGATGACTCGCCAGCCGCAGGGGCCCGGCGCTGCGGCTCGCGCGCGGGTCCGTCGGGCTCGTCGTCACACGCGGCGTCAGATGCGCATGAGCGGCGTGATGCCGAGCAGGCCGAAGCACGCGCGCATGCACACGGCGGTGGCCTCGCACAGCAGCAGGCGGCTGTCCTCGGAGTCCGACCCGAGCACCTGGCACTCCTGGTAGAACTCGTTGAACCGCACGGAGAGGTCGTACAGGAAGTCGGTCAGACGGTTGGGGCCGAGCTCCTCCACGGCGGCCTCGACGGCCTCGGGGAACTTGAGGATGTGCATCGCGAGGGCGAGCTCGTTCGGGTGCTCGAGCTTCAGCTCCGCGGTCTGCACGAGCTCGTCGATGTTGCGCCCGCTCTTGCGCCCGATAGAGGCGATGCGCGCGTGGGCGTACAGGAGGTACACCGCGGTGTTGCCCTTCAGGTCTAGCATCGCGTCGTACGAGAACTTGTAGTTGGTCGTGCGCGAGTTCTTCAGATCGGCGTACTTCACCGCGCCGTACCCCATGGCCTGCACACAAACACACACACGCACGTTCGCGATCGCGCCGCCGCTCGCGGGGCGCCGTCACTGCGGGCAGCCTCTCTCGCGGTCCATCGCACCTTGGCGGCGAAGTCCAGCTCGTCCTCGGGGATGTCCGGCCGGCGCTCCTTGATGGTGCCCTTGATGCGGTCGTAGGCCTCGTCCAGGAGCTCCACGAGCCGCACGACGTCGCCCGAGCGCGTGCGGAAGCGCTTGCCGTCCTCGCCGAGGACCAGCCCGAACGGCACGTGGTCCACGCGCGGGCCCTCGGCGCCCGCGGGCGGCAGGATGCCCGCCTTGCGCGCGCCCGCAAAGACCATCGCGAAGTGCTGGCTCTGGCCGGCGTCCGTGACGTAGATCACCCAGTCCGACTTCATCTCCTTGACGCGGTGCTCCACGGCGGCCAGGTCGGTCGAGGCGTACCCGAACCCTCCGTCTGACTTCTGGATGATGAGCGGCACGTCGTAGCCCTCCACGAAGATGCACTTGCAACCGTCCGACTCCTCGGCCACGCCCTCCTCGCTCAGCCGCTCCACGAGCGGCTTCAGCATCGGGTTGTAGAACGACTCCCCCCTGCAACGCACGCGCGCGGCGCAACACCCCCCTCTCAGACCGGCAATGCGCGGCGGGCGGCGGCACGCACGCGGCGGCGCGGCGCGTGGGCGTACCGCTCGTCGATCACGACGCCGAGGCGCTCGTAGATGGCCTGGAACTCGACCCGGCTGGCCTCGCAGATCTTCGTCCACGCGGCCAGGTACTCAGGGCGCCCGCTCTGGAGGTCGGTCACGGCGTTGCGCGCGCGGGTCTTGAACTCCTCGTCCTCGTCGAAGCGCTTCTTCGCGTCGCGGTACAGCTTCATCAGGTCGGACACGCCCTCCTCGCCGGCGCCCTCCAGCCCCCGGGGGTTGGTGTCGGCCATGTGCTGAATCAGCATGCCGAACTGCGTGCCCCAGTCGCCGATGTGGTTCAGCCGCGTCACGTCGTGCCCGCAGAACGCGAGCAGCCGGCACAGCGTGTCGCCGATGATCGTCGACCGCAGGTGCCCCACGTGCATCTCCTTGGCCACGTTGGGCGACGAAAAGTCCACCACCACCGACTTGGGCGCCACGGGCGGCGCCCACGTCCCGATGCCGTCCTTCAGCATCGCGCTGATACGCGCCGCCATCCACCCGCCCGACAGCTTCAGGTTGATGAACCCGGGCCCGGCAATGGTGGGCTTCTCCGTCACCACGTCGGTCGCAGGCAGGTTGGCGATGATCGCCTCGGCCACCGCGCGCGGGTTCTTCGGGGCGCCCTCCTTGCCCTTCATGCGCCCGAACAGCCCCATCGCGTTGTTGATCTGCAGGGGTGTGCCGCCCGGCGGCGTGCGTGTGAGCCCCGGGACAGGAGCCGCGAAGGCTGCGTCGCGAGGGAGCGGTCTGTTCCCGCGAGCGGTGCACGGAGGGGCAGGCGTGCGGCCGGGGCCGGTGTCCTGCCGCAGCGGCGACCGTTCCCGAGCCCGCGCCGATGCGACACGTGAGCGTCATGCACACACGCGAGCCATGGCGCGGTCTGTTTCCGCCCCTCTTTCTACACCGCCGACCGTTGGCTCGCACGGCGTGTGCGCCGGTCGGCCATGCATTCTACGAGGCGTGGGGTCGCGAGATGCAGCGCGCGCGTCCTGGCTCAGCACACGGAATGGCCCGACGGTCCGCACGTGCGCGCGCAGGAGGTCGCCGCGCGCACCTGGTAGTCCCCGTTCTTCAGGTTGTTGCAAGGCGCGACGAGCGGCGCATCCGTCGCGTCGGGAAAGGCTGCCGCCAACGCCGCCTTGGTGAGCTCCTCCAGCTCGACGCGCACGGGCGCGCAGCGCTTGTCAAGCGGCAGCGTGTTCTTCTCTCCCGTAGTTGCCATCTCGATCGTCGTGAACTTCGCGACTCCGGCGGCTGCCTCGCTCAGCTCGGCCGAGGCCCTGGCCACAGTGCCTGCGGAGACAGCCACCCCGCGCGCGCCCTCGCGAGGTGACGCACTGCCACGCAACGACTGTCCGGCAGCGGGCGGCGCAGGGGGCGAGTGCATGGCGGTCGCGCAACGCGACGGCGCAGTGCCGGCGGCGCACCTGAGACGCGCGGCCGTGGGGATGCGGGGGCGGCAGCGCGTGACAACCGAGCGTACGACGCCCTCGATACAGCGTACACTGCGAGCAGGGGCACGATGGGCGCGGCGTCGCTCAGATTGCACGGCGAGGGCGCCACGGCAGCCAGCGGCAGTGCTCGCCCGTGCTCCAATGCGCGTCGTACGCGAGCGATCACGCGCATCGGGGGCCGCGACCGCGGAGCCCGTGCGTGCAGTATGTCGGGCACCAGGTTGAAAGGGGGGAGCGGGGCGTCCCGGGTGCTCCAGTCAGGGATGGCGCACCGGAGCGAGGGCCAGCGGGGGGCAGCTTTGCCAGCATAACCCTCCCTGGATGGCAGGAACGGAGCGGGAGCCCTCTGAGGATCGCGTGCTTCGCAGGCACAGTGTGGCGGGCGGGGCGCGGCGTGCGGCTCTGAGGACGGGGACCCCTGCGTGACGGGAGTGTCCTGCCCGTCGGGCGGGAGGGCCCGTACAGCGCGTGACAATGGGGCCGCGTGCCACGGGCGCGTGGACTAGCGGCCGACGTACCAGACCACGGTGCAAGGAGATTGCCAGGCTCGATTGCGCGCGTATCTCGCGTCGAGGTCTAGCAACCCTTGCAGGCGTTCGAGCGATCGTCCCTTGCGCCTGGGGCGCTGAACTGGGGCGCTGAACCGGGGCGCGTGACTGCTGGTTCGTCGTCGTGTCGTTGGAAGCCGCCTGGTCATCCGATGCGCGCTGCCTGCGGCGTGCGGGCAGGTACCGCCCAGTGTCCGCTTCACGCGCCCCACGGGCACCGAAAACGTCCTTTCTACGCATCGGCCGCAGCCGATCACGCCTGTCTATGCGCCTCACACGACAGCGCGAACAATCCTGACGACACGTCGCGAGCGTGCCCGGACGCGCGCGTCTTGCTGCCCTCAGCCCGTGCTCGCGGGGGCTCCGCTGCGCAGCGGCCGAAACCTCCCCGCCACGCAATGACCTGGATGCACGGCCACCTCATTGGCGCAGGATGCCACCAGCGGCGCTTGCCCGTCACGGTCCGCTCGTCACCCTCCAAGCACGATGTCACGCGGCGGCAGCCCCTTGCCCGCGCCCGGGCGGCCCCGGCGAGTTCAGACGCGGCGTCTCTCCATGACGCCGACCGTGCGAACCTCGCGCGGCAGGTCGAGGTCGTTCAGGGTCTCGAGAACCACGTGGTGGACGCAATGCTGCCGCGCGTCGGCGACCTGAACTCGTGCTGGCAGCCCGCCGACCTCTTCCCGCCCTCCGAGGCTCCGGACTTCATCGAGCAGGTGCGCACACGGGCTGCGGGGGCGGAACACCGGCCCTGCGATGCGTCACCGACGGCGCCGTTCGTTCGCATTCTTCTGTTGCCCGACACGAGACGCCGGGCGTCACTGCGCGCCCCCGTGCGCGTGTGGTCGCAGCTCGAGCGGCTGCGCACCGAGGCCGCGGCGCTGGAGCAGCCCGTCGTGGACGCGGTGGTGGCCCTGCTGGTCAGCAAGGAGATGGTGCCGGCGTTCCTGAGTCAGCTCAACACGCTCAGGGGCGCGCAGGACGAGACGGGCGCGAGCGCGCTGCCGTGGGCGCAGTGGAACCGCGCGTGGGCCGCGCACGAGAACCGCCACTGCGACGTGCTCAAGCGCTGGCTGTACTTGTCGGGCCGGGCGGACGTGCGGGCCGTCGAGGTGCACGTGCACGCCCTGATGCAGGCCGGCCTGGACACGGGCGCAGAGGGCCTGCCGTACGCCGGCCTCATCAGCGCGGCGTTCCAGGTGCGACGGTGTCCCGCGATGCGCCGCAAGGGGGAGTTTACAGTTTTCGACGTGCGAAGGCGCGGCGCTGCGTCGCCACGCAGCGAGTACATGGACGACGACGCGTGTCATTGGCCGCCCGTTGCGATGTTGCTGCGCAGGAGCGGTGGCACTCGCGCGCGTTCTACGCCCTGAGTAAGGCGGCGGAGGCGGGGGGGTGTCCGACGCTCGCGAAGGCGTGCCGGGCGATCTCGGAGGACGAGAAGCGGCAGGAGGTGGCGCTGTCGAGCGCCGTGACGCGGCTGTTCGAGGCGGACCCCGAGGGGGCCGTCATCGCCATGGCGCGCGCACACCAGGACGGCCGGCTGGGGGCGCTCGGGTCGCTGCGCGCCGCGCAACGCACCATCGAGGCTCCGACGAGCGGCGCGGTGAGTGGTTCTTCTGTCCCCGCCACAGCACGCGTCTCGCGCCGCTCGCCGAGCACCTCGCGGCCTCGCCTGTCAGGGCATGCTGTGTGCAATGTGCGCTGTTGCTGTCGTTGCCGTCGCCGCTGGCAGACCCGCGGCGTTCGGCTGTCGGCGCAGGGCGCGGGCGCCGTTGCACGGTCGCTGGAGTGGATCCGCGGGGCGTGGGGCGCGCTGGAGGGCATCGAGGGGCTGCAGGGGGACGTGGAGGACGTGCGCGCGTTCATCGAGGCCTGGGGCGTGCCGGTGCGCGCGGTGTCGTCGACGCAGGCCGCGGCCGCGCAGGACTACCTCCTGGAGGTGGACTCGGAGTGGTGATGCACGGCTGGTGCGTGAGATGGTGTCATAGTGTCATGGGACGGGGCAGCGCGGCGCGAGGTGCGTGTGGGGCGTGTGACGCGATCGGAGGCGTCCGGGTGGTGGCCGAGCGGCGATGCGTGGCGGCGGGCGGGCCATAGGAGGCACGGAACCGGCGGGGCACTCGCGACGTCGAGGGGCAGCTGTGCGAGATCCTGGTGTCGGCGCCGGCTCGCGCGTGCGATGGGCCTGCTGGGCGGGTCGCCGGTCCAACTTAGCACTTGGTGCCCGTCACGAGCCGATGGCCCCATGTAAGAGCAGCAGCGCGAGCGATGCGCACAAGCGCGGAAGGCGGAGTCGAAATACGTAGCTGAGGAGACCATCCGTGGCCAGGTGAGTGTGAGCGGCGCCCACGGCTGCTTTCATCAGCGAGCCCTCGGCCAGCACTCCCGAGAAAGTCATACATGCTCGTCAGCGTCACGGCGGGCGTTGTTTCTTGGCGCTTTGGAACGTTCCACGCCCCGGAAGTGCCCAGAGACCCGTTTTCCTGGCGCGACGCAGCAGAGCCTGGCTCGACGAGGGCCCCCGGCAGCGCACGGCGGCTCTCGCGGGCTCTCCGGCCGCGGACGGGCCACAAAATTCGTACTGCGTGCTGATGACACGCACGGGGTCTCGTCCTGGCCGCAGGTGCGAGCGGAGGAACCGCTCAGTCGAGTCCGAAGTGTTTTTTCCGCGCGCTTGCGGGAGTCGCTGAAAGTTACAGCGTCTGCGCAGGGACCGGATGGCTCTACACGGCGCCTAGTACAACCATCAACGTGGAGGCACTTGGCCCGCACAAGCGGACGAGAATCGCGCCCAGAGGTTTGGTGTCCGCTCCCGCCTCAGAGCAATGTGCGCGTGACGGGCCGGACAGGGCTTCCCAGCGCCTCCCCGCGCGCCAGGCGACAGGTCTGACCTCCAGCTCGTCGGCCTGGCACATGAGGCGAACATGACGGACAACGCGGAAGCGCAGGCCGCCCCTGGCGCCAGCGTCACCGCCCAAGATGGCGCCCCGCAGCCGGCCCCCGCGGCCGCCGCGGGCGAACCGGCCAACGGCGCCCCGCCCGGCAAGACGCCCGCGGAGGTCCACGCGGCCGAGTCGAAGCGCCGCCAGGAGGACGAGATCCTGCAGCGAGCGCGTCGCGTGCGCCAGATGAAGGACGCGGTGGTGGCCCTGCTGGTCAGCAAGGAGATGGTGCCGGCGTTCCTGAGTCAGCTCAACACGCTCAGGGGCGCGCAGGACGAGACGGGCGCGAGCGCGCTGCCGTGGGCGCAGTGGAACCGCGCGTGGGCCGCGCACGAGAACCGCCACTGCGACGTGCTCAAGCGCTGGCTGTACTTGTCGGGCCGGGCGGACGTGCGGGCCGTCGAGGTGCACGTGCACGCCCTGATGCAGGCCGGCCTGGACACGGGCGCAGAGGGCCTGCCGTACGCCGGCCTCATCAGCGCGGCGTTCCAGGTGCGACGGTGTCCCGCGATGCGCCGCGAGGGGGAGTTTACACGACGTGCGAAGGCGCGGCGCTGCGTCGCCACGCAGCGAGTACGTGGACGACGACGCGTGTCATTGGCCGCCCGTTGCGATGTTGCTGCGCAGGAGCGGTGGCACTCGCGCGCGTTCTACGCCCTGAGTAAGGCGGCGGAGGCGGGGGGGGGGCCGACGCTCGCGAAGGCGTGCCGGGCGATCTCGGAGGACGAGAAGCGGCAGGAGGTGGCGCTGTCGAGCGCCGTGACGCGGCTGTTCGAGGCGGACCCCGAGGGGGCCGTCATCGCCATGGCGCGCGCACACCAGGACGGCCGGCTGGGGGCGCTCGGGTCGCTGCGCGCCGCGCAACGCACCATCGAGGCTCCGACGAGCGGCGCGGTGAGTGGTTCTTCTGTCCCCGCCACAGCACGCGTCTCGCGCCGCTCGCCGAGCACCTCGCGGCCTCGCCTGTCAGGGCATGCTGTGTGCAATGTGCGCTGTTGCTGTCGTTGCCGTCGCCGCTGGCAGACCCGCGGCGTTCGGCTGTCGGCGCAGGGCGCGGGCGCCGTTGCACGGTCGCTGGAGTGGATCCGCGGGGCGTGGGGCGCGCTGGAGGGCATCGAGGGGCTGCAGGGGGACGTGGAGGACGTGCGCGCGTTCATCGAGGCCTGGGGCGTGCCGGTGCGCGCGGTGTCGTCGACGCAGGCCGCGGCCGCGCAGGACTACCTCCTGGAGGTGGACTCGGAGTGGTGATGCACGGCTGGTGCGTGAGATGGTGTCATAGTGTCATGGGACGGGGCAGCGCGGCGCGAGGTGCGTGTGGGGCGTGTGACGCGATCGGGGGCGGCCGGCTGGTGGCCGAGCGGCGACGCGTGGCGGCGGGCGGGGCCGAGGCGGGTGCTTGGCGGGTGCAGCTGTGAGATGTCGCCATGTCACTGTGTCGCGGGCCATAGGAGGCGCGGAACCGGCGGGGCACTCGCGACGTCGAGGGGCAGCTGTGCGAGATCCTGGTGTCGGCACCGGCTTGCGCGTGCGATGGGCCTGCTGGGCGGGTCGCCGGTCCAACTTAGCACTTGGTGCCCGTCACGAGCCGATGGCCCCATGTAAGAGCAGCAGCGCGAGCGATGCGCACAAGCGCGGAAGGCGGCGTCGAAATTCGTAGTTGAGGAGACCATCCGTGGCCAGGTGAGTGTGAGCGGCGCCCACGGCTGCTTTCATCAGCGAGCCCTCGGCCAGCACTCCCGAGAAAGTCATACATGCTCGTCAGCGTCACGGCGGGCGTTGTTTCTTGGCGCTTTGGAACGTTCCACGCCCCGGAAGTGCCCAGAGACCCGTTTTCCTGGCGCGACGCAGCAGAGCCTGGCTCGACGAGGGCCCCCGGCAGCGCACGGCGGCTCTCGCGGGCTCTCCGGCCGCGGACGGGCCACAAAATTCGTACTGCGTGCTGATGACACGCACGGGGTCTCGTCCTGGCCGCAGGTGCGAGCGGAGGAACCGCTCAGTCGAGTCCGAAGTGTTTTTTTGCGCGCTTGCGGGCGTCGCTGACATTGGCAGCGTCTGCGCAGGGACCGGATGGCTCTACACGGCGCCTAAGTACAACTAGCAACGCGCGGTGGCACCTGAGGCCCGCCGAGAATCGCGCTCAGAGGTTTGGTGTCCGCTCCCGCCTCAGAGCAATGTGCGCGTGACGGGCCGGACAGGGCTTCCTAGCGCCTCCCGCGCGCCAGGCGACAGGTCTGACCTCCATCTCGTCGGCCTGGCACACACGGAGGCGAACATGACGGACAACGCGGAAGCGCAGGCCGCCCCTGGCGCCAACGTCGCCGCCCAAGATGGCGCCCCGCAGCCGGCCCCCGCGGCCGCCGCGGGCGAACCGGCCAACGGCGCCCCGCCCGGCAAGACGCCCGCGGAGGTCCACGCGGCCGAGTCGAAGCGCCGCCAGGAGGACGAGATCCTGCAGCGAGCGCGTCGCGTGCGCCAAATGAAGGACGCGGAGCTCGCGGCGCAGAAGGAGCCGTTCCAGCCGCCGAGCCGCAACCGCTCGCACTGGGACGTCCTCCTCCAGGAGGCGCGCTGGATGGCCACGGACTTCATGCAGGAGCGCAATTGGAAGATCAGCGCGGCGGTGCAGATTGCGCGGGAGGTGTACGCGCAGAAGGCCTGGAAGAACCTGAAGAAGGTCCCCGACGCAGAGCTGCCGCAGGCCAAGTCGTGGGTCGCCTGCGGGTGCGTCGCGTGCCCTGCCCGAGCGTTGTCCGCGAGTTGCCGCCCAGCTGCCAAAGAGGCCGTCGGTCGCGAGGTGGGCGCAGAACCGCTCGCGCGCGTGCGTCGCTGCGTCCGCAGGGTGAAGAAGAAGAACGCGTGGAAGGATTTCGAGGGGGACTGGCAGGCGGTCGACGTGGGGCCGTACTGGCGCGCCGGGCAGGACATCGAGGCTGATGCCGGGGCGGCGGCGGCCGGGAGCGGCCGCAGCGGGCGCCGCGGCGGGCGCAAGGGCGAGCCGAAGGCCGCGGGCGACGAGCGCGGGCAGTGGGAGCCCGACCCGATCGACCCCGACCTGCCACAGCCTGCGCCGCCAGCGACGGCCCCCGGCGCGGCGCACTTCGCGTACGCGTGCCCGCCGACGCTGGCGAACTCGCTGGCGAGCGACCTCGAGGCCGAGGAGGCGAAGCTGCGCGCCAAGCACGAGGCGGAGCTGAGCGACCACGAGGTGGAGCTGGAGGCGTGTCGGCGTGCGCAGGAGGCGGCGCGCGCGGCGATGGCGCAGGAGGAGCGCGCGCGGGCGGCGGCGGCCGCGCAGGACGCGGCGGCGGCGGGGCGGAAGAGCGGTGCGCGGAAGCGGGTCCCCGGGAAGCAGGCGCGGCGCGCGGGGGGCGAGGACGACGGGGAGGACCTGTACGGCGTGCGGCGCGGGCGGAGGGGGGTGTCGGACGTGGACGACGAGGAGATGGACGGCCGCGGGGGCCGCGCGGCGAAGCGGAGGAGGGACATGGACGACGACGCGGCCGAGTCGACCGGGCCCGCGCGCTCGTCCAAGCGCCGCCAGGGGGCGGCCGCGGGCCGCACGCCGCCGCGGGGCGCGGGCCTATGCAGCAGGCGCGCGCGCAGGTCGACCCGCGCAGCCTCCGCGCGCGCGGCGGACGCGGGATGGCCGGCGCGCCGGTGCTGCCGTGGACCCCGCAGGAGGACAACATCCTGCTGGCGACGGTGCACGAGTTCGGTTCGAACTGGCTGCTGGTCGCGGACATCGTGTCGTCGACCAACCAGCTGTCCGGGGTGTTCCGGCGGTGCGACCACTGCCGCCGGCGCTTCAAGGAGCTGCAGGAGAGCGGCGCGGTGGCGCGCATGGGCAAGCAGGAGGCGCGCGAGGTGATGATGGCGTCGACGCCGGTGCCGTCCGAGGCGCTGAACGTGCACCTGCAGCAGATGCTGCGGTCGGGGCAGGCGCTGATCAACGCGCGGCCGCGGGGGATGCCGTCGCCGCAAGAGATGGCGCAGGCGGCGCAGATGGCCGTGCACGAGAGCCACCAGCAGGTGTACGCAACCAAGGTACACGAGCGCCTCCACGGGGACATCGGGCCCATGGCCGTGGCGCGCTGGCTCTTGCGGGAGGCGCGGAGTGCGCAGCAGCAGCAACTGCAGCCGCAGCAGCAGCAGCCGCCGCAGCCGCCGCCGCAGCAGATGCCTCCGGGACAGGGCATGCCGCCCGGGCATCAGCAGGCCGGTGCGCCGATGCCGCAGGTCCCGCCGATCCCGCAGGCGGTCGGGCAGATGGCCGGCCCAGCCCCCGGCGCCAACGGCGGCGCCGCGCCCCCGGCCGCTGGGTACGGCATGTCGCAGCAGGCGCAGGGCATGCCGCCAGGTATGATGCCTGGCAAGCCGCACGCGGGAGGCGCGATGCCGCCCGGGATGATGCCCCCCTACCCGGGCATGCCTCCGCAGCAGGCAGGTATGATGGGGGGCGGGCCGAACGCGGGGATGCCGCCGGGGTTCCCGCAGCCGCGCATGCCCGGGGTGATGCCGGGCGACCCGCAGGGCGGGCAGGGGAGCTAGATGTGATGCATAACACCTCACACGACCTGCTGACATCTGAGGCGTTGCATGCGACTGCGACCGTCGGCAACTAGTTGTTTCGCGCAGCATGTTCTGGGAGGCGGGACGGCCTATGTGCTGGCGTCCGAGAACAGCCGACTGCAGAGTGCGAGGAGGTCTTCGTCGGACCCTCGCGGCCCGATCAGGCTCATACCGACGGGCAGGCCGTCGACCTTGGCTAGCGGGATGCTCACTTGCGGCAGACCCGCGATGCCTGCAGTGCACGTCAGAGCCAGGGCCCTGGCTCGGAACACCTCCAGCTCCGCGGCCGGCAGGCCAATCTTCGGCGCAGGTCCTGGCGCAGTAGGTAGCGCCAGGACGCCGTCGGCGCCAATCAGAGCATCCACGTGAGCGACGATTTGCTCCCTCTTGGCCTTTGCACCTGCCACGTCCTGCAGGCGACGGACAAGGGCCGCGGCGGTACCGTGCGATCGGGAAAACAGAACGATCCGATCATCCGTGCTCCGTCGATTGCCTGGAGCGCGTCGCAGGAGCCGCCAGACAGACCGCGCTCGCGTACGCATGGCCAGTACGCATGCATCGCACCTCCGCGGTGATCTTGGACGCCATCTCGAACCGCTCGCGGACGCCCGGCCCGAACGACGGCTTCGCGGACGCGATCCACTCCCCGTGGTTCGCCCACACCTCGGCGGCCTGCAGCACCCGGAAGACGTCAAACCACTCCGAAGGCCCCCCGAGACCCCCCCCTGACGCCAGGTCCACCTCCTGTGGGTCCCCCAGCACCTCCCTCACGCCCTGCGGCGCGAAAGGTTCGTGCAAGAGTGCTCGTTGCGCGCCGAGCTCTCGGCCACGGGTGTCTGTGCTCATGTGCAAACGGCACGCGTTGCGCGACTTCGGCGCCCGGCCCGCACCCTTCCAACGTCTCCCTGCAGTCCGTCATAGATCGCCTGCGCGGTCTCCTGCGTGCACAGCCCCCCGAACGCGTCGCGCGCCACCAACCACCGCGCCAGGCTCGCAGGTCTCCTGCCGGGCGACCCCGTGGGGAGGAGGACGCCGCCGACGGCCGCGAGCGTCGCAGCGTCCCTCGCGAACCACCCGCACGTGTCGAAGGACTGCGCGAGCGGCCGCGCGCACTCGAGCGACGCCCGGCCCCACGTGGGGCGGAAGCCCCAGATACCGCAGTAGCTCGCCGGGATGCGCACGGAGCCCGCGGTGTCGCTCCCGAGCGCGAAGGTGACGTCGCCCGTGGCCGTCACGGCGGCCGATCCGGAGGACGACCCCCCGGGCACGCGGCCGGGGGCGGCCGGGTTGACAGGCGTGCCGTAGTGGACGTTCTCGCCGTTCAGAGAGTACGCGAGCTCGTCCATGTGCGTCTTGCCTGCCATCTTCGCCCCTGCGCGGGCAGAGGAACGGGCGCCGGCGGCGGGCGGCGTCTTCCGGGTCCGACGACCTCGCCGCTGTTGCGCGGGCGGCAGGTCCAGCTTCGGGGTGCGCGCGGGCTCGCTGCAGTGTCCGGCGTGCGGCGTACCTGCCCGTAGACAGGCCTCGACCGCCGGCGCCGTCGACGCGGCAGCATCGTGCGTGGCGAGCCACGTAGGGTTCCCGTTGCCCGTTGGCTCCCCCTGCACATCGAACAGGTCCTTCACCGCGAACGTCATCCCGCTCAGCGCGCCTGTCGCAGAGAGCGGTTCTCGAACCACGCGGGGCTCGACCCAGGCGGCTGGATCGGGCTGCGCCGCGGCAGCAGCAGCAGCGCCGCGGACCTGGGCCCTGCGCAGAGGAAAGGACAGGTCGGATGGGCGCCAGTGCGGGAGGGAACTCCTCCGCGCATGGCCGCAGGCTGGCACGGTCCGCGGGGGTCCGATCGCGCAGGATGTCACGCACGCTTGCCGGTGACGCTGCGGCGTCGGCAGCGCAGATGGACGTAGCGCAGGATGGCTCACCCCGCGTGCATTTGGACGGACTGTCGATGAGTGCTGCACAGGAGGCGCCTAGTGTGTGATAGGCAGGGCCGGGCGCAAGCGCGCATCGCGGAGAAATGGCCAGAAGCCAGCCGGAATCAGAGCCCGGCGCGAGCACAGGCAGCTCTGTCAAAAAGCCTCGCTTCTGCCGCTTGAGTGCACACGCTGCTTCGTGTGTACCCGACCTCGCAACGTTCAGCGAGTGCTGACTGTGCGTCTGCCCTAGACTGGCGAAATCAAGCGCAAATGTCGTCGCAGGAGGCGCTTCAAGGCAGCGACAGGCTCCGGGGCACTCGGCCCATGACGTGGCAACTTCCGCACGTTCGCCCGGCGCAGACGCTCGTTGGAAGAGCAACATGCATGTGGCGGCAGAGCCATGCGCTCGGACCCCCGCTGCTGTGGGCCGCGACGAAATGAGGCCTCCGTGGTGCAGCACCGAGGACACCAGCGTGTTGCCTCACTGCGTATCTCACACAACCCCCAGCCCCCACCCACATCTGCTTCATCCCGGTGTCGTCCCCCGCCGCCCTGTCGCGCCCCCCACCGCACTGTCTGGTGGCGGCTCTGCAGCACTGGCTGCTACCCGCGCGCGCGTCTCTGCAGCGCGAAAAGGCGGCATCCCGCCCACGAGCCTACTCACAGTCCTATTTTCATGCAAGCTTGACCCGCTATCCGCGTGAGACGCCCTCAAGGGCGGCCAGCGGGCGGCGAGTTGCGCCACCTGCCGCCGCAGGGCGTCCGCCGCGCGTCGCCGTTCCGGTTCAGCCCTCCGCCTCGCGCCCCGCAGTGCCAGCGTGAGAGCGGTGGAGGAGGGGGATCAGATTGGATAGGTGCGCTGTTAGTAACAAGGTTGTGGGAGTGCACACCCTTCCCTCATGCTCACGAGGAGCGAGGGCGCATCCTGCTCATCATGTGTTTGAACCAGAAGGATGCCCAAGCCCAGCGCCGCGGCGCCGCAACGACCGCCGCGCCGCCGGACCGTCCGCGACCGCCCCGCGTCAGGCAGTGTATGATGATGCAGCATCACATCACGCCCCCCCCTCGTCCCGCAAGAGCGCGTTGCTGTACTCCCCGGACACGCGCGACTTGAACGACGACGCCGGCCGCGCGCTCCCCGCGCTCCGCCCGCGCCCCCCGAGCGGCGGCAGCGTGTGCTCCCGGTCGTCGAGCACCTGCGCCACCAGCGCCTTGTTGTAGTAGCGCATGGCGTCCACCCCGAGCAGCGCCATCAGCGCCTTCGCCTGCTCCCCGCCCAGCGACACCTGCGCGTCCTCCTTGATCTTCGGCAGCTCGATGCCCTCGGGGAACTCCCGCGCCAGCAGCTCCTCCACCGCCTCGTCCGGCTCCACCTCCTCGTCCTCGTCCTCGCCGCCCTCGTCGCCCGAGCTCTCCGACTCCCCCGACGCCGCGAACAGCTCGCCGTCGCTCTCGCTGTCGCGCGCGCCGCCGCCGCCCTCGTCCCGCGCCCGCGCCTCCACGCGCTTGAACCGAATGTTGTACTTGCTCTCCAGCGCATGCGGCAACAGGCCCTCCCCGGGAATCTCGTGGTCCACGCCGGGCTGCGGACCCGTGAGCGGCTTCGGCAGCTCCTGCAGCCGCGCCATCTGCTCCTCCATGCGGCGCCCCTCGCGCTCGCGCGCCTCGATCAGCCGCGCGGCCGCCGCGGGCACGTCGCGCGTGGGGTCGTACCCCTTCTCGCGGAACATGCCCACGTCGTGCGTCCACAGCAGCCGCTGCGCGAGGCTCTTCTGGTTCAGCGCGTGCTGCGCCACCTCCGGGTCCAGCAGCGCGCGCGACTCGAGCTGCGCCTTGAGTTCGCGGTACGCAGTGCGGTTCTCGAGCGACAGCGGCATGTTCGGGTCCTCCTCCTCGGCGCCCTGGGCGTCGCCGCCGTGCTGGAAGGCCTCGGCGAGGCGCTTCACGCGCGCCGCGAGCCGCGCGGTCTGCCGCCGAGTGGTGTTCTGGAGCTGGCGGTCGAGGTGCAAGGCCTGCTCGGCCTTGGTGCGCACGCGGGGCTTGAGCATGATGCGGCCGACCTCGTTCGACATCTTCTCGCGGTTCCACGCCACCGCCGTGTCGCGGACCTGCTGCCCGATGCGCGCCCACCGCGACTGCTTCCGCGCGCCCGTCACGTGCATCGTCCCGTCCTTGTCCTGCACGAACTCGACCTGCATCCCCCCCACCGTCAGCATCTTCCGCTTCCCACCCGCCGCCAGCGCCCGCTGCGCCTCCTTCGACATCCCCGCCTGCGCGCTCTCAGCGCCCTGCTTCGCCGCTGCTTGCTTCATCACCATCTTCAGCCTCTCCGCAGCCGACTTCTGCTCCACCACCCCCTCGTCCTTCCCCTTCCCCCTCCCGCTCGCGCTCGCGCTCGCGCTCGCCGAGTCGCTCGCGCTCCCGCCGCGGAGCGAGGAGCCCGGAGAGCCGCGCGGGGAACGCTCGTCGTACGACACGGACTCCGTGCCGTCGCCGAGCAGCATCGCGAGGAGCTCCTCGTAGCCGTAGATGTCCTTGTACGCGTCCGTGTACTGCTGCGCGCGCAGGACGCCCCCGGAGCCGTCCTCCACCCACGCGAAGTCCCGCTCCGGGTGCCACCCCATGCTGGCCACCACTGCCGCCTCCCCCTGCGACTGCACGTCCAGCGCCTCCACGGGGACCGAGAACGGCGAGCCCTGGATGTGGTGCCCGTCGAGCGTGATCTCCAGCGCGTGCGGCCCCGCGGACCGCGCCCGGAATATGATGTTGTACATCCCCGTGAGCGTCTTGCGGTGCTCCTTGCCGTCCGCGTCCCGCAGGGCGACGCTGGCCATCGTCACCGTGGTCAGGCCGTGCGTCGACGGGTCCGCGACCTTGCCCTTGGGGTAGATCCGCGCCGCGAGGCCGCGGCGGTGCAGCGTGGATTGCGGGCCGTGGGTGTCCTCCACCGACTTGCTGTTGCCCATGTCGTCGCGGATGAGGACGGCCACGATCGCGGGGACGCCCATCGCGGCGCGCTTGAGCCCCGGGCCCCTGGCCGTGCAGCGCACGCCCGTGGCCCGCCCGGCCTGCACCACTACGCGCTTCTGGCACACCAGATGGGATTTGGTGTCTTCCAGGGGGTCGCCCAGGTAGTTCACCGCGATGTTGTACGCCCCGGCCTGGTCGAGCGAGTACTTGACGCGGTACAGTCCGTTGCCCAGGTCCGTGATGTCGGCCTTCGCGGGCCGCACGCGCCCGAGCCCCTTATCAGACACCGCAGCAACACTGACGCTGAACCGGTCCCCGCCCTCGTTCCGCCGGTTTGTGTACACGTCCCTGGCCTCGATATGGAAGATGGACTCCTCCCCGGCGTTGCAGCCCATCAGGCCCGGGCCGTACGCCACGCAGGCCTCGGGGTGCGTCCGGGTTGGCTTCACGTGCACGCGGCATGTGAGGTTGGGCCAGAACTTGCCCATGAGCGCGAACTTTAGCAGGTACTCGCCCGCGAAGTCCGCCTCCACCGACACGTGCACCGTGCCGTCCCCGGCCCGGCTCGGGCGCAGCCGGCAGTTGAGGTGCGCCCGGCGCCCGCGCAGCTCTCCCTCCGCGACGCGGTACTGCGGGAGCAGCTCCGACTCGAACCGCACCTCGCCTGATCCGGACGTGGCCATGTTGCCATTCTCGTCGCAGATCAGCAGCAGCAGCTTGCTCATGTTGCCCGCCGTCATCTCCTGCTTGAGCTCGGGGGGCGGGGCCTCGGGCTTCGGGGGCTTCTGCCGCTCCACGCCGCCGGCCGTCGCTGGGTCGTTCGCGATCTCCTCCTGCCGGATCCGCCGCTGGAGGTCGCGGAGCAGCCGCGCGGCGTGCTTCCCGACCACCTCGGTCTCCTCAATGTAGGAGCTGTGCTGCGACCCGCCCGACCCGGGCCGCAGGGGCTTCGGGAGCAGGTCCGCCCAGTCGAGATACCGCGACACGTTGTCGCCCAGGATAACGCAGTGCGGGCCCGAGGGCGCCCCGTGCGCGATGGTGACCGTCGGCACCACCTTTGAGAGAATGTACGTCGGAGTGACGTCGATCCACCGCCCCGGGGGCTTCGGCTTCGGCACGATCTGTATGGGCTCGGGGGCCTTGACGGGGGACACGCTCCGGCCGCCGTCGCCGCTGTCGTGCGACCCGATTTCCGACTCGGGGGGCGTGACGTGTGGGCGTCCGTGCATGCCGCCAAAGGGCGAGCTGTACGGGTCCTCCCCGACCATCCCGTCGAACCACACGTCCTCCTTCTCCTTCAGAGGCTCGGGGATCGTGGCCTCGGGCACGAAACGCAGCGCACGGATCGCGAACTGCCCCGCGACGCTTGGGACGTACTCGGCGGTGCTGGAGCCGTCCGGGTTGTTGTGCAGGTGCACCGGCACGATCCGCGGCGGGCGCATCCACAGGTCCTCCGCGTCCTCCTCGCGCCGCACCGCCCGCAGCAGCTTCGAGAGGTGCTCCTCCTCCTCGGTGTTCTCCGCCGACAGCACCGCCGTGCTTGCAGGCACCCGCCCCACGGTCGACTGCGACTCCTCCGCCCCGCCCGGCGCGCTCTCGGACGGCTCGTCCGACGCCGGCGCGGCATCCGCGGCGGCCGACGGCCCGCCCTCGAGCAGCCGGCGTTCCTGCTCGACCAGTGCCGCGCGCCTCTTGACCATGGTCTTCATACGCAGCGCCTGCACCCTGTGCCGCGCGATGAACTCCTTGCACCGCTCGATCCAGAACTGCTTGATCATGTTCGGCAGCCGGCTGTCCGTCCCCTCGAGCATCTCGAGCTGGATGCAGATGGGCGACTTCATGCCCTGCTCGATGCCGAGGTGCGAGATGCGCACGTGCCGGCGGATCGCCGCGAGCGCGTCGCCGAGGAAGTACTCGCCCGACTGATCGAGCAGCCGCGCGCGGAACGTCGCCGGGTGCCCCACGAGCGCCGTGCGGAAGCCCTCGCCAACGTATGCCGTGCGCCGCGACTTGGGCGGGCTCACGATGACCGTCCGCGGCGTCCCGAGCACCTGCACGTCGTTGCACAGGATCACCATGCGGTACGTCCCCGCCTGCCGCGCCCAGTACGACACGCGGTACGTCCCGTCCCCGTGGTTGATCACCACCGCGTCCAGCTCCTCGGGGCCCGTCATACGGCACTCGATCCGCGCGGACCCGTCCCGGAGCTGGTTGCCGTACTTGTCGTGCGTCGACACCCAGAACGCCCCGGAGATGCCGGCCTCGGCCTTGCGGATGCCCTGCCCGGACGCCTTGCACTTGCTGGGCTCGCACGTGCCCGGGACCACGCCCAGGCTGAAGCGGCCCTTCTTGACGAGGCGGTCGTTGATGCCGACCGCGACGTCGTACATCCCCGCCTGCGCCAGACGGATCTCCACCTGGTACACCCCGTTGCTCAGGTCCGTCACCTCCGTCTTGACGCCCGCCAGGCGCACCGCCTCCGGCAACAGGTGCGACAGTGCCCCCGCGCCCTGCGTGTCCTGGCGCTTCGAGCTCGTCTCCGGCACGTCGATCTCGAGCCCGATGATCTGCGGCTGCGCGTGCCCGTCGGCCGTCTTCGCCACCGCCGACCGCAGCACCTCCCACTTGTCCGCAGTCAGCCGCGTGGCCAGCGCCTTCGTGGCCATCATCAGGCCGTCCGTGGGCAAGTCGTGCCCCTTCTTCGTCGCATCGCCGCGCTGGAACGACACGTTCACCAGCACCCGCTCGTTCCCGCGCTCCCGCGGGTTCTTGTACCTGTCGCGCGACAGCACCATGTAGCGCAGCACCGTCCCGGCCACCACCTCCTCCGGCACCTCCTGGCTCCTCAGGAGCAGCGTCGTCGGGCCGTACCCGGGGCCCGCGAACACCCGCACGCGGAAGTTCGCGTGCGGGACCGGCTCGCTGTTGACCGAGATGTGCGGGGTGTACACTCCGGCCCTCTTCGGGGTGAAGCTCACGAGCCACCGGCCGTCCTCGAGCACGTGCGACTTCAGGGGGATGACCATGTCCGTGCCATACAGCTCCGCGTGCCCGGACACGATCTCGGGCTTCTCCGTCGGCAGGACGGGCTCCCGCTTGCCAGAGATGGGGTTGTTGAACCTGTCGTGGAGGTGCAGCACGAACTCCACCGGACTGCCCGCCTGACCGAGAACCTTCTCCGCCCTCTGCAGCAGAGACGGGGCGGCCGGAGCAACGCGTCGGGCGACGCGAGGGTGGGTGGGGCAGGACAGAACGCATGTGCAGCGCGATGTTCATCATTTCAGGGGCCGGACAGCGGCGCGCACCTCCCGCACGGGCCCATCGATGTCCGCGTCTGCGATGGAGAGCAGCGCCCGCGCGCGCTGTCGCATCTCGCTCTGCAGGAAGAAGCCCTGCTTGCCGCGCGTCTCGTTGACGTTCGACTGCCGCCGCGGCGTAGCGGGGGCCTCGGCGTCCCGGAACATGAGGCGCCCCTGCGCCCGCCCGAAGCCCGCGCCCTTTGTCGCGGCCGGCGACGGCGGCTCGACCAGCGGCTTCCGCTCGCGCTTCTTGGTCGCCTTTTGTTTCTTGGCCCTCTCCTTCTGCTCCTGCTCCTCGGCCTCCGCGAGCTCGCGGATCCGCCGCTCCTCCTCCGCATCGATCACCGGGTCCCTGGCCTTCCCGTCCGGGGCGTGCTCGGGGCGGATCGCGGCCACCGGCGGCCAATTCTGCCCGCTGTACATCACCAGGCCCTCCTGGTGCGCCTCCCGCTCCCGCGCCTCCACGCGCAGCGCGTTCGCCCGCTCCATGCGCGCCTTGTACTCCTCCTTCGACACCCCGTCCTCCGTCCGCCGCCTGGGCCCCGCCTTGCCCTTGCGCGCGCGGCCCAGCTTCTTGGTCATTGTCTGCGCGTCGTCGGCCTCCGCGCCCTGCGCCGCCGCCAGCGCCTGCTCGTTCCAGAATATCTCCATGTCCTCCACGAACGCCTCCTTGTGCCGCATACCGAAGTAACCCTCGCGCTCCTCCGTGTCAGACTGCAGGGCACCAACAACACACGACACGGCACGAGGGGTCACGCTCGCCAGCTCGCGCTCGCGCACAAATGCGATGTTACCCCGCACGGCGCGGGGGATGCAACACGACCCAGGGGGGTTGTCCTCACCACCACGTCGGCGTTAAAGTGGATGAACGCGCGGTCGCTGCTGCTCGAGGGGAACCCCAGCGCGTCCCACGTCTTCGGCGCGTACACCTCGGCGGTCGTCGTCCTCGCGAACCCCGGCGCGGGCACCACCGTGAGCTTCCGCGGGCAGTTCTTGAAGCTGACGTCCTCCAGCTTGACGTCGACGAAATACTCCCCCGCGCGCGTGGCCGCGAGCAGCACGACCTGCGACCCCTCCGTCGGCTCGTCGATGAGCGCGCGCGCAAGGATCGCGGGGCCCTTGACGCGCACGTCGAGCTCGTCCTGGGCCTTGGAGCGCTTGTTGCCCGCCTGGTCGCACACCATGACCGGGAGCTGGACCTCGCGCCCCGCGCGGACGTACTTGGGCCCTTGCAGGAGGGACTTGTCCGGCTGCGTGACGGGGTACTTGACGTCGAGCTCGATGGGGCTGCCCTGGATGCCCAGGTGCTGGCAGGTGATGGCGAGCGAGTACGAGCCCGACACGTTCGTCGACCACACCATGTCGAACGTGCGCTCGTCGATCTGCCAGATGTGGATGTCCATGTCGCGCGACTTGGACGGCCCGTGCCGGATGTACATGTTGAAGTCCTCGGTGGTGACCTGCCGCGAGAGCTGCGTGAGGTCCTCGTTGACGACGCGCATGCGGATGTGGCACGGGCTGCCGACGATGGCGATCGGCGGCTCGCCCACCAGGCAGCACCGCGCGCTCTGCCGCATGTTGCGCATCAGCCGCTGCATCAGCGTCTGCCGCCGCACCGCGCCCGCGAACTTGCTGCTGCCCTTGCTCATCGAGCTGCTCTGGCGACTCATGCTCGAGCGGTCGCCGGTGGACTTCGCGGGCCCCTTGGAGACGTCCGTGGAGCTCGTGCTGGCCTCGGGCGCCGGGAGCGCGGGCGCCGCCGAGTTCGCGCGCGGGCGCCGGACGCTCGCCGCGACGACGCCCCAAAGATTACGAGCGCGGTTCCCTGCACGCCAAGCGAGCGAACGAGGCGTCGGTCGGGTGCGGCGCGACAGGCACGCGGCGCAGGGGCCAGCCGCGTGGGCGTCGGTCCGCACCTCGCTGCGGTGTGAGCGGCCTGTCCTCCCGGATGCTAGGGACCTGCAGAGAGGCCTTCATCTCCGCGCGGCGATCCTCCGAGGACAGGTACTCGTCCGCGTACGACATGAACTTGCGGCGCGGGAGCACGACGCTCCGCGGCGGCGGCGCGGCGCCCTCGCCGCCCACGTCCCCGGGCGACCGGAACGACGCGCTGGGACCGAATCCCGGCACCTGCAGCCTCGGCAGCGAGTCACGCGCGCTTGTTGTGTGAATGCTGTCAACGAAGTCGGGCCTCCCGCCGGCGCTACGGAGGCGGGCGGGTGGCGCAACGACGCATGCAGTGGGGGCCGTGCTTCTCACCTCGTCGAAAGATTTCAGCGAACCGTCGTCGTCGGTCACGGGAGGAAGCGGCGGCGGGATCTTGGCCCACGAATCTCCCCTGGCGACCGGCCGCCAGCTAGCCTTTCGGGACGGACTGCGCATGGATGACATGCGAGACGGCCCCGGGTGGCTGCTGGCCGACCGCTCCGGCGTCGGCAACGCTGGGGAGCTGGACTCCTGTGCTGCGGGCAGGCCCTGCTGCGACCTCGCGTGCGTGCCGGACGACGTTTCCGCGCTCAGCTGGCCTCCGGTCAGGCGGGTCTCTGCAGCGAGAGCGGCAACGAGGGCACCGGTTCGCGACGGGCGTCGGCGCACCGGGGCGTGCTGAAGCACAACATCTGGGGGTCGCAAAGGCACGAACGCCGCCGCGGGAGGCGCCAGGGCAACGCACGCGACTCGCTCGACTCGAGTGCAAACGCTGACGGCGAAGGCGCCTCGGAACGTTCGGGCTTGGGCTCCTGCGAGGCCGGTTTCGCCCTTGCTGCGTCTTCTGGAGGTGCGCCCGGCGCTGTCGAAGGCTCCTGGGCGGTGCCTCCGTGCCCGCCATCGACCTTCAGGAACGTATGTGCACGTGGAGACATTGTGAAACGCGGCGTCCGGCGAATGCGACGGAGAGAGCAGGACATGGCTCGAGGACCCACGGCAGTCGCGCAGGAACTGCGCCGGGGCTGTTCGGGCCGCCACGCAGCGGCCCCGATGACGAACTGCGACAGTCCGTCAGTCGCCTCGAGTCTACGCCGCCCGAACGGCCTGGCCCCGACGCACGAGGCCGCATGGTCTTCCTGTCAGAGCTTGAACGAAAGCTCCGGAAGCCATCTCTTCCGGCCGCGTCATACCGAGCGCGTCGGCTCGCGGGGGCACTGACTGCGTGTGGAGGCCCCACCCGGGTGGCGGGCAGCTCGCGCACCTCCTGGGCGCCGCGCTCGGTGTTCGAGGCATGTCCGGTGCCCGGGAACGTCTCGCCCTGCGCCCCCTCCGCGTCCAGCGCTTCCTGACTCCCCTCCCAGGGCCCCGGCGACTCCGCCCCCCTGGACGACATCCTGGCTGACTCTCCTAGCACCAGGTCATCGCCGCTGTCCCTGGAGGGCGCGTGGAAGTCGTCTCGCCGCGAGCAGGGAGCTCACGCGTCCTTCGCCGAGCTCGCGCGCAGTCGTGACAGCCCGCCTCCGCCGCTGCGATATGCGGCACCGTCGCTGTCCGCGCAACGCCGCCCGGCCGCCCTTCGTCGCGCGGCCCGCGCAGGCGGGGTCGTGTTTGACAGACTGCGGTGTGTTCACGGCTTCCGTCTGACCGAGCTCAGGGGTCCATGTCGCGCGCGTACATGAGTGCGCACGCGACCGGAGACGTTGCGCACAACGCGAGGTGCTTCACAAGTTCGTGTGACGGCGACGTGGAGTGGGGTGGCAGTGACGGTTGCACCAGTCTGCTTCGGGCGCGCGGAAACAAAGCACACGCCTCGCGCCTCCTGCCCCGGGGAGCCACGGGTATTGCGTTTGTCTCTGGGATCATGCAGGGCCGACGGAGCTCGGGCGCGAACGCGAGGGGCCCGCGGATGGGCCCCGCGAAGTCGTCACAGAAGGGCATGGGAGGCCTGCTCTGCAAAATGGTCTTCTTCTCCCTCATGATCATCGGGCTCCCAACAGCGACGTTCTTCCTCTCGTACCACCATCACATGGATGGTGCGCCCGCCACACCCCCGTGAGCCCTGCGCAGCCCAGACCGGTTCGCGGCCCGCGGCCGTCGTGTGGACGCCGGGTCCCTGATCTCGAAGTGGTTCCCGAATGCAGGCTTCTGGAAGTCTTTAGGCCTGAGGCTGACGAGCAGTAATCGTGCTACGTTCAGCGGCGCGGCGGCGGTTCTGGTTGCCAACGTCTGCGTCATTTGCTACGTGCTCATGGCGGTGTTCGAGGACACGGGCTACAAGGCCAAGAGCGACTGATCGACGCGCTGCTGTGAGCCCGTCGGCGTACCGATCCGCGAGGAAGGTCGACAGACACGCCTCGATTGATAGACAACAACGAAAGCGCTTCGCATTCTGCGCGGCGCCGCAGGTCAGGCGCGTGCTCTCGACGGCCACGGCGCACTAGCAAGCCCTCGACGCACCCGTGTCACACGCGCGGCCAGCTTCCGCCAGCAGGAGCACTGCCTCACTCCTCGCCGCCAGCGGCAACCGTCCTGGACGACGGCGGCATGCCCTGCGGGTTCCCCCTCATTTTCCGCGCGGCCTTGAGCCGCTCCACGTCGGTGTACGACCCGTGCTTGCGCTCCTCGACGTGCTGCGAGGGCCACCCCGACTCGCGCCGCGACTTGTCCAGCTCCTCGTGGCGCTTCTGCTTGCTGACGGCCTTGCTCGTCGACCGCTCGGTCCGCAGGTGCCGTCGCAGCGCCTCCTCCGCCTCCTTCTCCTTCTGCTTCTTGGCCTTGACCCAGTCGTCGAACCCGATGTTCTTCGTCAGCTGCGCGAGGCCCACCGCCACCGTCGAGCGCCCCGGGCCGAGCTCCGCGTGGCTCGCCGCCGACGCCTCGGCGGTCGCGAGCGGCCGCGACGCCGCGGCCACGCTCGCCGCGCTGGCCTGCGCGCCGCCCAGCGACGTCATCGAGGCCTCGGCGCGCTGCCGGAACCCCCGCTCGAGCCGCTCCCGCTTCAGCTCGCGCATCGCGTCCATCGCGGCGCGCACCGTCGGCCCCATCTTCTCCGCGCCCCGCGCCGCCATCGCCTCCCACCGCGTCAGCGCCTCTTTCAGCACCTCCTCGTCGTCCTTCGACGACCCCATCGACTCGAACAACACCATGCACTCCTTCGCCCGCATCCCCACGCCCTTGGGCATCACCACGCCCGCCGCCTCCGCCTCCCCGATGGCCGCCCGCAGCGCCCCCGCGTCGCCACCGCAGATCCCGCCCTCGAGCGCCTGCGCAGCCGCCTTGCGACGGTCCGCGGCCTCCTTCTCCTTCACCGCCGCAAGGTCCGCGTCGGACAGCTGCCCGCGCAGCACGGCCAGCACCGCGGCGGTGCGCTCCGCGATCTTCTCCGTGGGCACCGGCGGCGGCGCCGAACCGTCGGCGGGCGCGGGGCCGTACCACGCCTCCTTCAGCTCCCCGGTCAGCGGGTTGCCGTTCAGGCTGATGAACGTGAGCGTCGCGACCTTGCCCAGCGCAGGCGGCAGCGACGTCAGCGAGTTGTCCTCCACGCGCAGCTCCTGCAGCTCCTTCAGGTCGCCCAGCGCGTCCGGCAAACTGCTCAGCTTGTTGCCCGCGAGATTCAACCTGCACGCGGAAGACAGTGACGCGGACGACGAGTCACGCGCTGCACGCGCGGAGCCGGCGCGCAGGCATCTGCGTGCACGCGAGCCATGTGCGCGCCTGCCCAGCGCCCCCACGCGTCGCAACAATACCCGTGGGCGCGCGACGCAGGGAGACTGGCACGCGCGGGGCCGCGGGGGCGCGCGACGGACCTGCGGAGGCTCGAGCACCCGCGGATCCCGTCGGGGACGGAGCTCAGGTTGTTCCTCGCCAGGGACAGCGTGCGCAGCGTGCTGTGGGAGAGAAGCTCCTTCGGGACCTGGTCGAGCTCCCTGCGGTCGAGCCGAATGATGTCCCTGCGAGGCAGCGGCGCGCGAGCACGGGTGGGCGCGCGGGGGGCCGAGCGCATGCTTGCTGCGCTGCACCCACGCCTGCGGCGCGTCTCCGCGGCGGCGCGGCATGCAACGGCCGTGTAACCATCCGAGAGAGTCCAGTCTACCGCATGCGCGCGATGGGTGCGCCGCGGAGCGCGTCTCGCGCCGTCAGGGCAGCCCGGAGCCGTGCGCGAAGCTTTGCAGGTGCCTCAACAAACAGTCGCCGTTGCCGGCGCCGAGAGCCGGCACAGGCGCGGGGCGGGGTCGCCCGGCACGTACAGGTCGCGGAGCGTAGTTCGCGGGGCGCTGCTGGGGCCGGCGCGCGCACCTGCCCAGGGCGTTCGCGAGCGACAGATCCTTCTTTTTTGGAGCGACGTCCGCGTGCACGGCGGCGCGCGTGGCCGGGGCAATGCTGTACTCGATACCAGCGAACATCTTAGAGACGTGGGCGCGTGGATTCGGGGTCCCCGGAGGCTACAGCTGCGGCCGGGCGAGCACGCGTCCTGTGCAGAAGGATCTGCCGCGAGCCACGCGTCTGCCGGCCGATGCGGGTCCCAACGGCCCGACCGTGCTCAGTCTGAGGTCGGCCCTGCGGCCGCTGGGATGCGCTTTCTGGAGTAGAGCCCTAGCACGAGCAGCTGCCGCCCTGTGTGCTTTGTTGCGTTGCACCACCTGCGCGACGCGACGCGACGTGCTGCGCTCGCCCGGTATCAATCGGCTGTGCAGCACAGCACCGGTTCAAAACTCGCCGCAGGCTGCGCGTCCGCGCAGCAACGTTACGAGGACGTTGACTCAGAGTCACACACCTGGGGGTGTTCGGACAAATACTCGCTGCGCCCGCCCGCGCCGCAGGGCCGTGACGTCGCCCGCGCCGCAGCACCTCGTCACACCTCTGCAGCCTCGTCGCCCTCCTCGGGCTCCTCCACCACCTCCTCCAGCAACCCGCCCGCGTCGCCAGTGGCCGTCCCGAACTCAATCGGCGCGAAGTCCGGCTCCTGAACCGCCCCCTCAAGGAACACCGACTGCTCCTTGCCAATGTCCAGCTCGGACTGCTGCCACGACACCTCCTCTTCCAAGTCCGGGGCCATGGACTCGCGCGCTTTGGCCATTCCCGGCGCCAGCCGTAGCAGGCCCGGGTTCATGGCGAGCAACGCGCCGCCCACCGGCTGCCCCGGGTTGTGCATCTCGGAAGGCTCCCGCGCCGAAATTGCGCGCGCCGCGGCCGCCATCAGCGCCAGCTCCACCGGGCCACGCCGCTGCCGCTGCCGCTGCCGCCCGCCGACGAATGCAGCGTCTGCGAACGACCTCGCGGGCTGCGCCTCCTCCTTCGCCGCCTCATCGGTGCCGCCGCCAGCGCCGGAGGGCCCGGCCTCGGCCGCGGCCTTCTGCGTGGCCTGGGCCACAGGCGCCGAAGGCTTCGGGCGGCCGCGCAGCGGCGACGCCTTGACCGTCCGCATCGGCTTCTGGACGTCCTCGAACAGCGGCCCGTTCCGCAGGCGCTTCCCGTACTCGGCCATCAGCCCCTGCACCTGCATGATCATGGCCAACTGCTCCTGCACCCGCGCCAGGTTCGCGCTGCCGTTCAGCGTCGACTCGTGCGGCGCGGCGGGCTCGTGCGCCATGCGCTGCGCCAGCGGCAGCATGCCCACGCGCGCCAGGACCGCCGCGTCCGCCTTGGACACCTTTGGTTTGAGCGCGGCAGGATCCAGCGGCCTGAGACGGCGCCGCCGGGGCACGATGGCCAGCTCCGGGAAGTCCCCGGCGCGCGAGTCCACGTCGGTGTCGTGCACCGTGTCGAGCGAGCCGGGCGGGCGCAGGCGCGAGGGCTGCACGCCGCCGCGCCGCGCCCTCCCCGTGCCGGTGGTCTCCGTGCCCGTGAACGTGCCCGTGCCCGTGCCGGTGCCCGTGCCCGTGAACGTCCCGGTGCCCGTCCCGGTGCCTGTGCGGCTCTCCGTCGCCGTCTCCGTCTCCGTCCTGCTCGGGCTCGCTGTGTCGTCCTTGCTCGCGTCCTCGCGGCGGCTGTCCACCTGTCCACGTGGCGGCGGGGCCGCTTCCGCGGCGACGGGCGGCGGGGGGGATGGAGACGCCGCCTCCGTCCGCGAGGGCACCGCGGTCCGGTCCTGCGGCGCAGGGGGGTCCCCTGCGCTGGACGCGCCGTCCTTGAAGTCGAGGTGGGCGTCGTCCTCCAGAGGGTCCCCGTACATGCCCTCCGAGATGCGCACGCGGCGACCGGTGCTGCTCGCTGCATCGCGCGACGGCTGCGGCGGCCGCCCCTCGTACAGCACGCCGCCGTCGTCCGCGTCGCCGGTCTCGCGCCCTGACGTGTGCTGCGACTTGGCAGCCTCGCGGTCCGAGTCCGCGCGGCCGTGCCTGGAGCGCTCGTCGTCGCGATGCCGCGACCGGTGCGAGTGGCGGGAGCGATGCGAGTGCCGCGACCGTGAATGCGCGCGGCGGTGGTGGTGGCCGTCGCCCGAGTCCTCGTCGCTCTCTGCGCGGGACGCGGCCGTCCTGCTGCTCTTGATGCTGCGCATGCTCTTCCTTGACTTTTGGCTGTGCATGCTTCGGCTGGACTTGCGGCTGTGCGCGCGGCGCGACAGCGAGCGCCCCACGTCGGAGTCGTCGTCGTCGTTGCGGTGCCGCATGCTGCTGCCGCCCGTGGACGGGCGCCGCCCGGTGCTGCTCGCGTCCCGCCCGTGGCTCCCCGATATGGAGCCCAGGCGCCGCATCATCGACGACGGCGGCTTCGACAGACCGTCCTCGCTGAACTTGACCGCTGCACACATCCGGCACGGCGCCCCGCGTGTTTGCGACCAGCGAAACACCGGCGCGCCGCGACAGAGCGCCGGCGGTCAGGCGTGATACCGCGAGCGGGACACGGGGGGGAGCTCGGCGCACCTGATTTGCGTGACCCGATGGTCCAGGACGAGCGGTGCGACATGGCGTCGGGGTCCTGCTGCACGAGGTTCCCCGCGGACGCGAGCGCCTGCTTCATGCGGTCGAGCCGCTGCTTGTGCTGCTCCTTCTCCTTCTGCATCTTGTGCCGCAGCATGTGCACCTCAGCCGACATGCGCTTTGTGTTGGCTGTGTAGCGGGTGGCCTGCGTCTCGAGCCGCTCCTTCATCTCCGCCGCGCGCTCCGTCGCGTCGCGCGCCTCGTGCTCCAGCCGCATCCGCGCCTCCGTCTCTATTTCGAGCGCCCGCCGCAGCTCGTGGATCTGGTGCAGGTGGTCCTCCACCAGCTTCTTGTTCCGCTCCGCCTGCTTCGCCTTCGCCGCCGCCGCGTCCGCGCGCTGCTTCTCCACCGTGATCTGCAGGCTCCGCCGCATGCTCTCCAGCGCCACGATCTCGTCGTCCTTCCGCCGGCACAGGGACTGCATCTGGTCCCGCTCCGCCTCCGCCTTCGTCATGCGCTCCGTCAGCTCCGCGATCTGCTCCTCCAGCCGCCCCTCCTCCAGCGTCTGCTTCAGCGCCGCCACCTGGTTCTCCAGCGCCTTGCCCTGCGCCGACAGCGTCGTGATCTGGTGGTCCCGGTTGGTGATCGCGATGCGCATGTCCTTCACCTCCCGCGCGTGCGTCCGGAGCAGCCGCGAGTTCTCGTCGCGCAGCTTGGCGAACGCATCCTCCTGGCCCGACAGCAGCGACGCGCGCTGGGTCTGCAGACACACACAGGGGCACCGCGGCACGCGTGAGGCGCACTGCGCAGCGCTGGCGGGCCACAGGCGCGCGCGACCGGCCCGCGACGCACCTTGAGCGCCTGCTCCAGCCGTACGGCCTCCGCGGCGCGGTGCCGCTCGAGCCGCCGCGTCAGCTGTTTGACCGTGAAGCCCAGGTGGTCGCGCGCCCGCTGCTCCACCGCGTCCACCTCCCGCTCGGCCCGCTCGTGGCTCCCCACGATCGCCTCCACCTTCACGCGCCGCAGCTCCTCCTCCGCGCCGTCCAGCTCGTCCTGCAGGTGCTTCACGCGCTCCTGCAGCGTCCGAATCTCCCCCAGGTCCGAGTCGTCCGTCTGCTGCGCGATGTGCCGCCGCAGCTGCCGCCGCCCGCCCGCCGCGCCCTCGCCCGCCTGCAGGGCCTTCTCGCCGCCCGACTCCCGGGTCCCGTACTCCTCTGCGCGCAAGGTGATCGCATGCGGGGGTGTTGTTCGGAGCGCGCTCACGCCAGGTGCCGCGCGTGCGGCGCGTGCGGCGCGTGCGGCTCACCGCGCTCGAGCTCCGAGGGCCGCCGGGCCAGCGCGGCGCCCTCGAGGTAGCTCAGAATGTTGCCTTCGTCAAACTCGCCCGACGCTCGCGGGCTCTCCGCGGCGCCCTGCGAGCTGCCGTCCGAGGGCCAGTGCGGGGCGTTGCGGCCGGCCAGGGCGCCGAGGTCCTGCACGCTCGAGCTGCCGTGGTCGCTGTCGAGGAAGCCCGCCCCGGCCGCGGGCTGCTTGCTCGAGCCCGACTTGGCGGCGCCGGGGGGGGTGGCGCCGGAGCCGGGCAGCCCCGACGCCCTGCGCTGCTCGACGATCGGCTCGCGCTGCAGACGCGACGCTTCGGCCCGCAGTTTCCGCCGCGCGTTGCTCGGGTCGTGCGCCGGCGCATCATGGGCCTTGCCCTGCGGACGAGGCGCGTCGCGGGGCGTCAGAGGCGGTGCTTCGCGATGTCCATCGCGTGTCTTTGCGACTCGGCCCCGCGTGGGAGGCCGCCGCCGCGCCCGTGAGAGCCTGGAAGTGAGGACATGTTGGGGCGTGGAGGGCGCAGCGGAGCCGGGGGCGGGCATTGGGCGCGCGCGCTTGCCTGGACCTTGCGCTGCACGAATTGTTCGAGCTCGTCGCCATCGAAGATCACCGGTTTGCTCAGCGCCCGGGCGGCGCGGTTGCCCGCAATGGGACCAAACTCTTGGGACGGCTCGCTCGAACTGAGCTCGTCATCCTTCTTGGTGTATATGTCGCGGAGCTGCGCACAAACGACCACGGGGGAGGTTCGGCGACCAAGCAGCCGCAAGCGCGCAAGGCACCAGCGGTGCGGGCGCTAACACTCGGCACTGCAGACCGTGGCCACGGCTCGCAGGCCGGGCGAGGCACGCCACGGCCCGACCGTGCGGACGGCCTCGACGTGCGATCAACACCCGCTCGGACCCGTCGTTGGCGGCGAGGGGGCGCCCGCACCTGCTCGCGCAGCTCCTGCAGGTGCACCATGCCCGGCTCGTTCCCGCCTTACTGCGTCGACATCGGCCCGCGCGACCCTCCTAGCTACCAAGCCCGCACAATAACCTGGGGGGCGCAGCCGTCAGCACCGGCGCACGAGGCGCGTGTGCACGCCCAGCGATCGTCGTCCGGGAGGGAGGCTCGTCGCTAGATTCTCAACGCGCTCAGGCGGCCGTTGCGCACAGCAATCGCGAACCAGCGCACAGGCCGAACTATGTGTGCTCGGTGAACCCGCAGCGACTCGTGCGCCCGTCCAGCGGGCTCTGTCGGACCGGAACGCCGGACAGTCGTGCGCTTGACCACCGACGCACGTCCCCCGGCCGTCTGACCGTTGCTGGACGCCTGACGCGACAGCGGCTGCGCGAGGATGTCGGGCCTATGTGCAGGCGTCGCGGCGGCCACTGCAACTCGTGGTTTCGGACTGTTCGCCCAAGCACGCACTGCGCAATGCTCACAGCACACCTGGCCCGCACGCGCTGCTGACCGTCAGCCACTTCACTTCGGCCCCCGTGAGGACGCTCCCGCTCCTCGAGTAGGCGCAGGGCCGACGAGTGCGATCGCGACTGACATGGCGACAGCAGGCGCTCCGACTGGGTGAAGAGCGATTGGCCTCCGCACCTAGGCCGTAGAAGGCATGCAGGAGCCTGAAAAGGGCAGTGCGCTGGCCCTGGCGCTCCTTTCGGCCGTCAAGAAGGCGCAGGCTGGTGGCCAGGGGCCGCGCGCACGACGAGATGCGACGGACCCTCCTCTGCCCGCCCCCCAGGTGCGCACGGGCTCTCGGCGTGACGCAGGCGTCGTGCGGGGTGTCCGCAGCCTCAACACCGGGACGCCCTCGCGAGCGCCATGCCGCGCGCCAGTTCGAGCGCGCAGAGGGCAGCGGTCACGCGCGGCGCCCGCCTCGAGCAACTTGGCAGCCGAGTGGCAGCCACGCCAGCCTAGCCGCTGCACGCGGCGTTTCGTGCGCCCCGCCTGCTCGGTATGTTTGCGGACGCCCGTGCCGACACGTTCGCGGAGTCGCCCGACGCGTCGCGCGCCGGTCTTGGGCACTCAACTAACGAGGCACTTTTGTCGTCGGCGACCACCCAGGCGCTCTGGCCGCTGACCGACGCCGGCACCCGCCCGCTCACATGGCGCAGGCACCAAGTCCTGCCGCCGCGGGGCGCCCGCGCCCGGACGCGCCCCCCCCGGTCCGAGGATGGACCCCGCAGCACTCGCGCGACCATGCGTCGCCCGCACGGGACACCAGCGCGCACCTCAAGCCCTCCATCGGCACCTCTCCGATCCAGGGCGGCAGGATTCCTCCCACGAGGCCCTCCGTCACCAAGCCGCCAGCCCCCGCGGAGCGCCGGAGCCCCTCCGCAAGTCCTGTGGGAGGGCAGACGCACGTGAAACACCCCCTGCCGTGGCTCGGCGTGGGCGGCAAGGTCGCGTACCCGCACTCCAGGTCCCCCACCGCGGCGCAGAAGCAGGCCGAATCCCCCGCGGCACCCTCGGCGGCGCCCAACGCCACTCGGGACGTCGAGGATGCTGGGCCGAGCGCAGGCGCCAGCCCCGCCGCGCGGGCGGGTGCGCCGGCGCCCGCGCACCTGCGCGACGCCGTCATGAGCATGGTGCGCGCCGTCGACATGGTGCGCTCCGCGACGGCTGCGCGGGGCGGCGATCCCCTGCCGTCAGCGGCCGCAGCACCGTCGGCGCTGGCCGCGGCGCCGCAGGAGCGCGAGCGGGAGCGCACGCCGCGCGAGCTGCGCATACAGCGGTGGAACGAGTCGCGACAGCGCGCGCTCGGCCTTCTGCGCGGCCCCGCGCACCGCCGGCCCGCCCTGCGGCCCCTCAACGCGCCGCCGAAGCGCGCACGCGTGGCCTTCGCGGACGAGGACGAGGTCCTGTCGTTCGACTCCTCCGTTGCGTCGTCCCACGGCTCCCGCCCGTGGGGCTACGGCTACGAGCGCGACCCCGACGAGGAGTGGTCGTCCGACGAGTCGTGGCACTCCTCCCGCATGAGCCTGAACTCCCAGGACGCCAAGGTCGACGCGCAGCGGCAGCAGAGAGTGTCGCTCGGCGAGGGCCTCGCGACGCACCCCGTGGGCGCGGACGACCTCGACGTGGTCAGCCAGTCTGACGCGAGCGACGCTGAGCCCGACAGCACGGTGCCCGTGGGCGCGGACGAGGGTGACGGCGGGGCGACGACCGCGGCAGAGCCGGCGGCGGAGGACGCGGGCGCGGATGGTGCGGACGGTGCGGACGTGGGCCCGTCGCGGGCGCCCGTCACATGGCACGCCGCGTACAGCCCTGGAGCGAGCACGGAGTCGCCGGTGCGCGCGGCGCCGCAGCAGCCACAGCGGGCGGCGGCGACGCCCGATGCGAACGCGGCGACGTCTGGCGTCACCGCAGCGATAGGTGCGTGCTGCGCTCTGGCCCGTGCGTTTGTTGCAGGTGCTGTCTCGTCGTTCTGACGTTGTCCGCGAGGAACGGACTGCGCCGTGTACTGCTGCATCACCACTACACGGACGCTGTCGTGCACGCGAGATCTGCGCGTGCGATCGAGTCCCGCCAAGCTTACATGCGCTCCCTCCTGTGCCCGCAGGTGGCTCTCCGCACCTGCACCGGGAGCCGCGGTCGGCGGACGCGCACGAAGCGAAGCCGCGCTTCCACTCCCCGCGCACCGTCACGCCGCAGCTGGTCAGTCAGAACTCCACGTCGTCGAAAGAACTCAACCTGAAGGGACTCTCCCGGGGGGGACTCGAGGCGCCGGGCGCGGACCCAGACGCCGACGAGGCCGAGGAGCAGGAGCTGATCCACTTCGCGCGGACGCTCGACTTCGACTTGTACGTGGCCAAGCTCGAGGCGCTCGGGCGCTCGTCGGCCAACGGCGACCCCAAGTCCGGCCCGATGCTCGCGCGGTACCTCCGCGAGCAGCGCCCGGACTGGCAGACCGCCGCCGACCCAGACAACAAGCAGTCCCCGCCGATCAGCAAGGACGACTCCTTCCAGCGGCGGTCGAGCGGGGGCAGCGCGCGCTCGCCCAAGAACAGCGGGGGCGCCGCGGCGTGGAGCCCGCGCGTCGACGAGCAGATGCGCGTGGCGGGCGCCGGGAGATACAAGCCGTGGGCCACGAAGCACGGCCTCGGCCACGGCGCCGCCACCCCGCCCCAGAAGCGCGGCACCGGCCCCAGCGCAGGCCCGAAAAAGGACTCGTCGCGCAACTCGGACCTGACTGGACAGGCCGCGGTGCCGGCGCACGCGATCGAGCTGTCACCGCGCGTGCAGGGCTCCCTGGGTCCCGCGGCCGCGCAGTCGATCGACGACCTCGACGCGCTGTGGACCACCACCATTGGCGTGCTCGGGAAGGACGCGGACAAGGACGCGGACAAGGACGCGGACGCGCCGGGCGACGCCGGACCGTCGGGGCAGGGCGGAGCGTCGCCGGCTGCCCCGGACACCGCGGGGAGCGGCGCGCGGGAGGCGTCGGTGGGCACGGCGACGTCGCCACTGCCCACGTCGCGCACCGTGGAGCTGACGCGGAAGCTGGAGAGCGCGTACAGCGGGGCGCTGACGCTGCTGGACCGCATGGTGGCCGAGGCGGAGCAGGCGCACGAGTCTCCCGAGAAGCAGGAGCAGCACCAGCAGGACGAGGAGGGGGGGTTCTCGGAGATCAACAAACTGATCGAGAGGATCGAGGAGGTCGGGGACTCGATCCGGAAGCACCGCCTGGTGTCGCCGCGGCCGAACAGCTCGCTGCGCGCCTTCAAGGCCACGCCGTCGTCGTCCTCGCTGATCAACCCCAACTCGCCGCGCATCGTGCGTGGAAACAGCGGCGCGAGCCTCGCCGGGAGCAGCGCGGTCAAGGGCAGCCCGCACGCGGCGCCCGGGACGCGCTCCCCTGCGCGCGCCCCCATGCGCGAAGCATACACGCAGACGCCCCCGAGCGAGCAGCCGCGCGCCGCCACCAGCACAGAGGCTGCCAACTCCGCAGACGGCGCCCGCCCGAGCGACCAGGGGTCCGGCGCGAAGATGCCAGCCGTGCCCTCGTTGCCGCTCCAGGGCATCGGCGCCGGGGCGCCGCAGGGCCCCTCGCCGGTGTCCCCCGCGGGCTACAGCACCACGCCCATGTCCACCACGCGGGCGTCCACGCCGCGCGGCGCAGCGCCGCCGCAGCCCGACCTGGCGACGATCCGACAGGAGCTGGCCCGGTTGCGAGTCGAGAACCAGACCCTGGCCTCTGCGGTGCGGCGCATGAGTGCGCGGCGCAAGTCGGGGATGTCGACGGGGTCCAACGACTTCCTGAGGTCTGACGCAAGCGGGGGGGGCGGGGCGAAGAAGTACGCGAGTGTGCGCAGCAGGGTCGACACAGGCCGCAGGTCTTCAGAGGGTCCTGCCGGTGCGCCGTCGCAGGGCCTCCGCAGGTCGTGGCAGAAGCCCTCTCCAGTGCAGGCGCAGCCCTCCGTGTCGCCCGTGCGGCGCTCGTCCTCCTACGCAGACCGCTTCCGCAACTCCGGCGTCTCCCCTCTGCGCCAATCTGGCGTCTCGCCCCTCCGCAGATCGCCAGGTAGTGGAACTCATTAGCTGCCAGTTGCTGAATCCTATTGAACAAACTCACGGCGACTTTGGCGGTTGGCCACTGCTCGTGGCGCGGCTGGACGCGATTCGCTGCCGATGTAAGATGGCTCACATTGCGCACTCGCCGCCGTACCGGGCCGCTCAGCTCTTGAGCAGCGGGAATGCAATCACGTCCCGGATCGAGGGTGAGTCGGTCAACAGCATCACCAGGCGGTCCACGCCGATGCCCAGCCCGGCGGTCGGCGGCATGCCGTGCTCGAGCGCGCGCAGGAAGTCCTCGTCCAGCTTGACCTCGTAGTCCATCTCCACGTCCACGTTGCCCTCCTTGTCCTTGGTGGCTGCGGCGCGTGCGCGGTGCGACTCGATCTGCGCCTCGAGGCGCCTGCGCTGCTCCACGGGGTCCGTCAGCTCGGAGAACGCGTTGGCGAGCTCGCGCGCCGTGACGAACAGCTCGAACCGCTCGACGCAGCCGGGCTTGGAGCGGTGCGGCTTCGCCAGTGGCGACACCTCGACAGGGTGGTCCGTCACGAAGGTCGGCTGCACGAGCGAGTCCTCCACGAGCGCCTCGAACAGCTCGTTCACTACGTGCCCCACCGACGGCGCGCCGCTCACCGCGCCGAGGGACGCCATCGCGCCGTCGCTGTCAGCCTTCTTCAGCGCCTCGGCGCCGGCCGCACGCGCGGCCTCGAGGTCGCTGCGCAGCTCGTCCGACATGAAGTCGAGTCCGGTGGCCTCCTGCACGAGGTCGTGCATCGACGCGCGCCGGAAGGGCCCCTCGAGGTCGATCTCGACGCCGTCGTACGTCACCTTGTGGCCGCCGCACACCGACTGCGCGGCGTCGCGGATGAGGTCCTCCGTGAGGTCCATCATGTCGTTGTAGTCCGCGTACGCCTGGTAGACCTCGATCGAGGTGAACTCCGGGTTGTGCCGCGTGGAGATGCCCTCGTTGCGGAAGATGCGCCCCAGCTCGTACACGCGCTCGATGCCGCCCACGACGAGCCGCTTCAGGTGCAGCTCCGTCGCGATGCGCAGCGTGAAGTCCTGCCCGAGCGCGTTGTGGTACGTCACGAACGGCCGCGCGTCCGCCCCGCCCGCCTCCTGCTGCAGCGTGGGCGTCTCCACCTCCAAAAAGTCGCGCGCGTCGAGCAGCCGGCGGATGCCCGACACGATGCGCGAGCGCGCGACGAGCGTGTTGCGCGACTCCGGGGACATGATGAGGTCCACGTAGCGCTGGCGGTAGCGCTGCTCCACGTCCGTCAGACCGGCCCACTTGTCGGGCAGCGGGCGGATCGACTTGGTCAGGATCGACAGCTCGGCGGGGACCGCGGAGAGCTCGCCCTTGTCCGTGCGCCGCACCGACGGGCACCGCGCGCCCACGATGTCGCCCACGTCCACCATCGCCTTCATCTCCGCGAAGCCCCCCTCCGGGAGCGCCTTCTTGTCCACGTACAGCTGCACGGCGGGCCGCGGGGGGACAATGTGGGACGCCGACGGGTAACTCGTGATGAGCGGGTGCGGCGGGGCGTAGGGCGCGGCGGCGGGGCGCGCGGGGCGGCGAGCGGCGTGCCTGGACTGGGCCGGAGGGGTCCTGGATGCGCAGGAAGGCCAGCTTGCCCATGACGCGCTTGGCCATCAGGCGCCCCGCGACGCAGATGTCGCCGCCGGCCTTCTCGGACGCTGCCTTCTCCGTCCCGGGCTCGAGGTCGGTGTACAGGCCTTGCAGCTCGGCACACGAGTGCGTCCGGGGGAACGTGTAGGCGTACGGGTTCTGTCCGGCCTCGCGCAGCGCGTCCGCCTTGTCCATCCTGCACGTCAGCAACGTGTCGTGTACCTCGTGGGCCAGACCGTCGCAGCACACTCGTCCGTGCGGCCCGAGCTGCTCTTGAAGCAGTGCTTCATCCACGGGCGCCGCGGCGGCCTCGAGACCTCTTGAGGACGGAACCGGCGGAATTCGAGGAGCGTTTGCTCTGATCATGGGGCAGGCGGGCGCGCGCACTGCGCACCTGATCTGCATGAGCTCCTCGAGCGAGCTGCCGGTCTCGCGGCCACCGCCCTTCTTATTGCCGCCCTGCTTCTTCTGCTGCTGCTGCTTCTTCTTCTTCCCGTCGCTCTTCGGCTTGTTGTCATCTACAGACGCCTCTGCGACGCCCTGCGCCTCTGCACTGGCCCCGGCCGTCGTCGTGCACCGCCGCCCGGCCCATGGATGGCCGAGTGGCCTGGGAGCACGACCCGCGAACGCCTGCCGCCTGCGCTTCCCGCAACCCTCTGCCGCCGCGCTGGACGAGGCGAGAAGCCGCCGGGCAAGCATGGCGGTCAATTTTTCCCCGAAGGACCGGATGACGGGCCTCCCGGCGCTGCAGCAGCCTGCGACTGGAACGGATGAGGTGCCTGCCGCGTGTGCACGGGCGCGGACACGCACACGGTAGCCGCTGACGGAGCCTCGTTTACGAGCTGAAAGTCTCAGCTTCGCGCCGCGCGACGGACATGTGCGGCGCGGGTCCCCGCAAACGCCGGCATAGTGCCCCAATTCCTAAGTAAAATTTGGTCGCTATAGGACCAGTCTCGCCGAAACTCCGTTCTCAAACCAACACGGCTCACTGCCCGCAACGCCTCGGGAAGGAACTTTGCGTTCTTGCCGCCGCAAAGGGGCGGCCTGTTGCGCCGCGTCCCGCGCGAAACGCGGGGCATAAGGCTGCCTGAACGACATGAGCTTCCGCACCCGTGCTCAATCATTTCTGCTGCCACAGCGCCCAACCTGCGCTTTCCCAGGGCGTGAGCATGCGCGTCGGGCGGAAACGTCGCGTGGAAAAGCGCGACCCCCTCGCTGACATGCTGCGCAACCACCTAGCATCATGAGCTGGTCTGCGGCGAAGTTTCCGTGCGCGTGCACTGGACGTGCGAGACTGGCAGAGATTAGCCATGCCGATGGAGCGGCGAATGACGCCCTCTTGCGGGTCAAGCGCCGTTGAGAGGGGCGCTAGGCTCTGCTCAGCTGTGCGCACATGACCCTGCTCTCCTGCGCTTTGCGCTCGAATCCCATCGAAGGAGGGGCGCCGACTGCGCAGAGATCGCTGCAAAGTTTCCCCCCCACCGATTGCGGGCAGTACCAGCGCCCTTCTCGGGGTCGACTTCGCGGCGAGACTGGTCCTGGGGCGACCACCTCAGTTGGGCACTATGGGACGACGCATGACGGCACACCCCTGGGGCGTTCCAGCGACGCCCCTGGCGTGGCCAGCGGGTCTCGGCGAGCGACGCATACCGCAGCCCACTGCGTGGACCCGCAGCTACGCGGCTTATAGGCGCCATTTCTCCGCAGTTGTCACACATACAGGACACTGAAATATGATGGGGAGGCGCTGCGTTCAGTCATCGCCACCGCCTTGCAATTTGTTCTTTTTCTTCTTCTTCTTCTTCCCCACCTTGTCGGCCACCCCGGCCCCGTGCCGTCGCGGGCCCAGACCGAGGATTTCCGCCCGCGACAGCCCCGCGACCTTTTTGTGTTTCTGCAAGCTGTGTTTCGCGCGCCCGGAACCTAGCTTCGCGCCCGCCAACCCGTCCTCGTCCTCGCTGTCGCTTCCCCCCGCGCCGCCGCCTGCCCTCGCGGCCGTCGCGGTCCGCGCCCGCACCTCGGCGTGTTCCAATGCTGCCTGCGCCTGCCTCTCTCTGCCGTGCTTGAGCTTCGCGTTCAACTTGTGCTCCACACCGGATGACTGCCCCGCAGAGGCCTGCGCACCAGCGACCCGGGGCGGTGCGCGTGGGCACCAACGGCTGCGTCGCGGCGCACCGCAACGTTGCTCAGTCAGTCGGCAACACGGAGAGGCACCTTCTTGTGAGACAGGAACTTGGCCCCGAGCCCGAGCCGCCCTGGTCGCGGCTGCTCGTCGACCTCGGGGTCGTGCGTGTCCCGCAGTATGTCCTGCCGGCGCTGACCCATCCACGACGAGACAATCTCCAGTCCCCTCGTCGAGTACCTGATCTCCGGCCGGTCAGCGCCCCGCACGTCGTGGTCGCTGTCGTCGGTGGACATCGCGAGCTCCGTCAGCCGAATCCTTGGCCGCCAACGGCGCTTCCTCGCAGGCCTGCCCGCCTCCTCCGCTGCTTAGCTGCTGTGCATTACGCTGACCGCGCCGCGCGCCAGTGCAGGGGCCGCTCCGGACCCGACACGGATAGGGGACGAGATACTATGCTCCAATACGACGAGCGACCATCCGAGGTGCCCCGACGGCTGTCGGCCCCCGCTCGTTTAGTCTCCAACAGCGGCGCAAACGAGCGCAGTATGGCTCGCAGGATTCGCGGTGGAAAGAGCTGGACCTGCTGCGATCACGACAGCCACAGTAGTGTGTTGCCGCTGCTGCGGGCCTCGGAAATCAAAGTATCGGGGGAGTTGCGCTGTGTCGAGTTGGCGGGGGGCCAAGAGGTAGGACACGCCTTGCCGCGCTGGGGGCGTCTGGGCGGCGCACATTGCGGCCACGAGATCGCATCCGTGCTGACATTCTCGCGTCCTGTCTCCGCGTTTTCCCAGGGGGCGCGACATCTCTAGGACGTTGCCAGAGCGGCGCTGGTAGCACACAAGGGCGCTGGTGGTGGAGGGGAGCTCTGGCGGCGCCAGCGGTGCGGACTGCGGAGGGATTTTTGATCGAGGCACCCGGCGCTTGCGGGGCCAGGGGGCGGGGACACCCGGCAGTCCGCTTTCCAGGGCGAAATGGTGGCAACGGGGGGGGCGGGTCCGGCGACGATGGATCCCTCGATCATGCCCGATGATGACGACCTGGTCTACGAAGCAGAGGTTCTCCGCAACCCCTACACGCTGAGGAGCTGGACGAAGTACCTGAATGAGCGCAAGGACATCCCGGTGAAGAGGAGGTGAGACTCATGGCCGCTTGCCGCCCGGATACCGCGCCTGCGTCGGCATCTCGTCGCTCCCGGTGCCGCACTGGTAGATTTCCTGCGTTCTCACCTGTTACGGAGTCCACGGCGGCTCAGTCTGGTCGCCGTCAGCAGCTGCCTCCTCTGCAACTTTGCCGCGCGCTTCGATTCCTTGAGATGCCGGCCATCCTGATGGCGTCCGGCTGCGTCTCGGCGCGTCAGAGTATCTGAGGGAGCCATGCCGGCGGTTTGTGCGTCGCGTCTGCGAGTATTACGGGCAGCGGAGGCTTGCACTCTCAGGTGGGTTGGCAGGCCGCTGCTGACCCCCCGCGTCCGCAACCCCGAGCAATCTGCAGGTACGTCATCTACGAGCGTGCGTTGCGCGCGCTGCCTGGATCCTACAAGCTTTGGCGGGCGTACCTAGGCGAGCGGCTCGAGGCGGTGCGGGCGCTGCCGATCGACAGCCCCGCGTGGGACGCGCTGTGCAACACCTTCGAGCGAGCGCTGGTGACGATGCACAAGATGCCGCGGATATGGATGGAGTACCTCGCCGTCCTCACGGGGCTGCGGAAGGTCACCAAGGCGCGGCGGTGCTTTGACAGAGCGCTCTCTGCGCTGCCGGTGACGCAGCACGACCGCATCTGGGTCGAGTACCTCAAGTTCGTCCGCATCCCGGGCATCCCGAGGGAGACGGCCAAACGCATCTACCGGCGGTACATCAAGCTGGAGCCAGGTGAGGCTCCCCCAGCCGCGTGCGGAGCTGACGGCGCTGCTGCGCTGGCACGGTTGAGCGCCGCGTCGGCGCACGGCGGCACGGCCCGCGGCAGCCCGCGCCTCGCCTGGGTGCTGCGTTGACGCCATGCACCCCAGTGTGGCTTGCATCCGAGGGAGCTGTCACGTTGTTTGGTTCGCAGGCCACGCGGAGGAGTACGTCGAGTTCCTGAAGAAGCACGAGGAGTGGGATGAGGCGGCGCGGAAGATCGCGGAGCTGGTGAACGACGACGACTTCCGCTCCATCCTCGGCAAGACCAAGCACCAGATGTGGCTCGAACTGTGCGACATCATCACCAAACACCCGCAGGACATCAAGGGACTCGACGTGGAGGCCATCCTGCGCGGAGGTGCGCCGAACGCCGGCCCACGCCGCCGATGCCACGCACACGAAACACTGCGGTCGTTGCATGTCGCGCAGGCGCCGCGACCACCGGCGGCAACTCCCTGCTCTCTCATCTCCGCGTGCAGGTATTCGTCGGTTCACGGACGAGGTCGGGCGGCTGTGGTGTGCGCTGGCGGACTTTTTCATTCAGCGGGGGCTGTTCGAGTACGCCCGGGACGTGTACGAGGAGGCCATGTGCGCGGTGAGCACGGTGCGGGACTTCTCGCTCGTGTTCGACGCGTTGACGCAGTTCGAGGAGTCGATGGTCACCGCGCGCATGGAGCAGCTGGGCGACGACGCGCAGGACGAGGCGCCCGAGGGGTCCGGCGCGGGCGACGTGGAGCGCATGCGGCGGTTCGTCCTCGAGGACGACGGGAACGACATCGACCTGCGGATCGCGCGGCTGGAGCTGCTCATGGAGCGGCGGCCGGAGCTGCTGTCGTCGGTGATGCTGCGGCAGAACCCGCACAACGTGGCCGAGTGGCACAAGCGCGCGAAGATCTTCTCGGACCGCCCCGCAAAGCAGATCCAGGCGTACACGGAGGCGCTGCGGACCGTCGAGGCCGCGAAGGCCCTCGGGAAGCCGCACACGCTGTGGGTGGCGTTCGCGACATTCTACGAGAAGAACGGCGACGTCGACAACGCGCGGGTCATCTTCGAGAAGGCCACGCAGGCGGAGCTGCTGTACGCGGACGACTACGCGTCGGTGTGGTGCGAGTGGGCCGAGATGGAGCTGCGCGCCAACAACTTCGTGGGCGCGCTCGAGGTCCTGCGGCGCGCCACGACCGAGCCGCCGGAGTACGAGGACGCGGCGCGCGCGGCCGCGGGCAAGCACTCGCTGCCCGTGCGGCTCCGGGTGTGGCGGCAGGTCCGCATCTGGAACATGCTGGTGGACCTTGAGGAGTCGCTGGGGACGCTCGAGTCGACCAAGGCGGTGTACCGGCGCATGCTCACGCTCCGCGTGGCGACGCCGCAGACGGTGCTGAACTTCGCGCTGCTGCTGACGGAGAACAAGTACTGGGAGGAGGCGTTCCAGGCCTACGAGCGCGGGACGGCCATGTTCCGCTACCCGCACGTCAAGGACATCTGGCTGGCGTACCTGCAGCTGTTCGTGGACCGCTACGGCGGGAGCAAGCTCGAGCGCGCGCGCGACCTGTTCGAGCAGGCCGTGGAGGCCGCGCCGCGCCCCGAGCGCCGCGCGCTGTACCTGATGTACGCGTCGCTGGAAGAGAAGCACGGGATGGCGCGGCGGGCGATGGCGGTGTACGAGCGCGCCCTGCGCGAGGTGCCGCGCGACCAGAAGATGGCCGTCCTCGAGCAGTACGCCGCGCGGTCGTCGGAGATGTTTGGCGTGGGCAAGGTGCGCGAGGTGTACGAGGCGGCCATCGAGGCCGAGGGCGACGCCGCGCTCGCGGACAAGGACGTGCTCGACGTGTGCACGCGGTACGCCGGCCTCGAGCGGCGCCTGGGCGAGATCGACCGCGCGCGGGCGGTCTACGTGCATGGGTCGCAGCTGGCAGACCCGCGGCGCGACAAGGCCTTCTGGCAGGAGTGGAACGACTTCGAGGTCAAACACGGCAACGAGGACACGTTCCGGGAGATGCTGCGGATCAAGCGGTCGGTGTCCGCGGCGTTCGCGGCCATCCACTTCAACACGACGAACGTGGAGGCGGCGGCGGTGGCGGCGGTGGAGGAGGAGTCGTTGAAGCGCAAGAGGGACGACGTGATGGGCGCGCTCGAGCAGCATGCCGCCGCCGCGGCCTCACAGCCCGCGCCTGGCACATCCCTGCCAGGCTTCGTGTCGGCAGGCGTTGTGGGCAACACCGCCAAAGACGCGGAAGCCGGGGCGGCGCCCGACAACGCGGGCGCGGGCGCGGGCGCGGGCGCGAACCCGGAGAGCATCGATATCGATGACGTCGAGGAGGAGGAGGATGTTGACATTGCGCAGAAGGCGGTGCCTGACGCAGTGTTCGGCGGGCTGGCCAAGAAACAAAAGACGTGAGGGGCGTGTGATGCAGTTCTGACGATGACCGGGAAGCTGTACGTGATGCGCGGGCCGGCTGGGGCGGGCACGTGCTCTTGTAGATGGCGTGCCTCATCTCAGGTCCTGACAGCTCATTTTCGACGACGCAAAACATGCGACACATCGCATCCTCTCAGGTCGCTGCGGTTGCCTGGGAGCGGGGACAGAGGGACTCGTCTGCGGAAGTCGGACGGCGCACCTGACGTCGAGCATCGACACCGTGTATTGTTGCTCGCTCTCCCTCCTCGAGGGCCTCGACTGCTTCGCCCCGACCTTGCCACCACCAGTCGCCGCGGCGGGACCAGCGCCTCTCGCGATCAGCGGGCGAGCCGCCGTTGCGCACGATGACGCACCTCGGGCGCTTGCTGCTGGCACAGCGGCCACCGTGCTCCTTAGCCTCACGCCGCAAGCCCCTCATTTGCGCTGCGCCGCCTTCTAGAAGATCGAAGGTTGGGTTCCAGCGCTGCGCCGTTAGTCCCCGCGCTGCCTCGTCGCGTGCGCGCGCTGCATCAGAGCTCTCACTGGAGCATGCAGCAACGTCCAATGACCTGCCAGTGCGGGAAGCATTTGAGTCCGTGCGGGACGCAGTCACGCAGCACGGCTCGTGTGTCATCTGTGCTCCGACAGGATCAGGTGAGGGAACGCGCCTCTTCTCGCACGCGAAGGGAGTCGCTGCAATTGCACCACTTCCGGGCCGGCTGCGCGCATGTGGATGCTCCGTCGCGGCCCTTGTCGTAGCGCCGCGATGTCTCATGATTCGATGTCCGGCTGCTGTACATATGTGCAGGAAAAACTACCTTGGTGCCGCTTCTAACGCCTGGATTGCTCGAGGATGGCGGCGACACTGAGCGCAGGTTGGCTGGTATAAATCGCGACATCGGACGTCCGTCTCTCGCGTGGCTGCTTGCCGTCGGCCGCAATTCGACGGGGCGAACCTCTGGCCCGTGGTTGGCTGTCTGTGTTGGCTGCCTGCAGGAAAGTGCTGGTGCTGGTGCCGCGACGCCTCGCCGCGCGAGCGGCCGCCGAGCAGATGTCTGCAGTCATCGGAGAGGATGTCGGCGGTCGAGTCGGGTACACCGTGAGGCTGGAGCGCAAACGGAGCCGAGACACTGTTGTGGAAGTCATGACCACCGGGGTGCTGCTTCGGCGCCTTCGTCGAGACCCGACCCTTGCCGGCGTCGGCGCAGTCATCATCGACGAGGCACACGAGCGGTCGATCGAGATGGACGTCGCGCTCGCAACCGCAGTGAGCTTGATCCGCTCCGGCGCCCGGTCCGACCTGCGCCTGATCGTCATGTCCGCGACGCTCTCCGACTCCCTCCGCGAGCGGCTGTGTTCCGTCATGGCCAGGGTACCGGTGTCGGCTGCCAGCGCGCCCGCGTCGGACCGCAGCACCCCAGCTCCAGTGGTGTCGTCAGAGGGGCGTCTCTACCCCATCGAATTTCGGCGTCTGCCTGCGCCAGCTGTCGGAGATGGCGACTTGGAGCGGGCAGTCGCGGCGGCCATCGCTGAAGCTCTTCGAGTGCCGGGCAACGGAGATATCCTGACGTTTCTTCCAGGGGAAAGTGAAATCGAGCGCACGATGACCGAGTTCGAGAAGCTGGACGCCTCGGTGGCAAAAGGTGAGCCCACATCCCACTAGCTTTGCGGAATCGGTCGGGTCCAGGCGTGGGCGCCCCGGAGCCGCCTAGGAAGCTTCGTAGGCGCCTGCCCTTGCCAATGCATCCACCAGCGCGCGGTGTGCTGAGCCCGTGGTCACACGAGGTCCGTGGGGAGCACTCAATGCAAAAGCGGCGCAGCGCGGCTGGTCTCATCGCAGGCGTCTTGCTGCTGCCGCTTCACGGCGGTCTAGACAAGGCGGCGCAGGACCGGGTGATGCGGCCGGAAGGTCGATCACAGCGGCGCGTGATTCTGGCGACGAACATCGCCGAGTCAAGTCTGACGATCGCCGGCGTCAGGGTGGTCGTGGACTCGGGGCTGAAGCGGCGATCGGTGTACGATCCGGACAGAGACCTGCACCGCCTCAAGACGGTGCCGATCAGCCAGCAGGAGGCGGCGCAGCGAGCGGGACGCGCAGGACGACAGGCGCCTGGTGTTTGCTTCCGGCTATTCGACGACACGAAGCTGGCGGCAGAGTCGCCGGAAATCATGCACGGCGAGCTGACCACACTGGCGCTGGATATGCTCGACACGCCTGCCGAGCGATGTCTGGGCGACGAGTCGGTGTGGCTGGATGCACCAGACCGCGGCAGGCTGTCGTCGGCGTTCGACCTCCTCGCGGACCTCGGTGCCTGCACCGAGATCCCCGGTGCTGTGGGCGGCGAGGGCGGCGAGCTGAGCGCAGTGCCGCGCAGGTGGTCAATCACCGCCGCAGGAAGGGCGATGTCGCGGATTGCCGCGCACCCTCGCGCTGCTCGCATGCTGCTAGCCGCACAGGGCTCGAAGGACATCGAGGAAGTCGCCGCAGTCCTCGCTGCGCTGCTGACGGAGCGCGACGTGCTGTTTGGCGACGGGCGTGTCAGCGCAGACGTGACGCTCCGCGTCGCCGCTGTCCTCGGCGACGACGCAGTGCTCGAGGCTGCCGGCGTCGCCCGCCGCTTCGTCAGCCGCAACGGCGTGCGTCGTGTTCGCATGCTGGCGCGGCAGCTCTTGTCACAGCTGCGCACCTCAATGGACCGCGACAGCGAGTCCTCCTCCGACGAAGGCGTCGCGCAACTCGGCCCAGCGCTCTCCTTGAGCCGCCCCGATCTGCTCGGGGTCCTCCTCGCGCACGCATATCCGGACCGGCTGGCCACTCGGTCGGGCTCCTCCAGTCGCGCTACGTCGTTCCGGATGGTCAACGGGGAGACGGTTGCGCTCAGGGGCGCGTCGGATTATCTGGCGGAGTCGGAGCTGCTCGTGGTGTCGTCGGTTGGGGGCAATACGAGGGGCAGGGCGGGCAAGACGAGCCGGAATCTGCGCGTCTTCATGGCAGCAGCAGTGGAGAGGGCGTCTTGCATGGACCTGCTGGCCGAGAAGCGCCGCGTTTGCTTCTGGAACAGCGGACAAGGGCGGTTGACGGTGCGGGAGGTGGTTGCCGTGGGCGACCTCGTGTTTGCGTCCGAGGATGTTGACTTCGACGCGCACAGGGACAGAGACAGGGCGCTGGAGGCGGCGCTGGACGGCAGCAGGCAGCTTGGAGCGAGCGGGCTCAAACTCGTCGGCCCCAAGGTGTCACTCGTGCGCCAGGTGCAGAACTTAGCCGCCAGTGGGTACGGCGCCGCAGAGGGCGAGGACCTCCCGCAGCAAGCGTCCGAGTTGCTCAAAGCGGACTTCACGGACGCTGCGCTGGTCGGGGAGGCGTCGCTGGTTGTCAAGGCAGCATTCGATGCCGGCGAAGCCCCCCTGACGGTCGAGGACATGTTGAGCGTCGTCAGCGAGGAGGTGGTCGTGGGGCGCATCGTGGCAAGAGTCCTCGGCGCAGGGGCGGACGCGGGAGAGGTGTGGGCCGTCCTCGAGGCGGTCTGCGCCGAACAAAGTCCCGCGATGTCGGTCCGAGGCGCAGGGGGCAGCGAGAAAAAGAAGCCGAGACGCAGGGGAGGGAAGTCGGGGCGCAAGCGTCGCGGACGGTAGCTCGAGGGCATCCTTTGTGACCCGTGACGCAGCGCGAGGCAGCTAGCACGCCGGACCGAGCGCCGCGGCGGCTGGCCCGGTCGAAGCGGCGCTGACGCATGGCACTGGACAGAGGAGCATCACTGCCTGCGCTGGCGCGGCCTAGCTCATCTTGTACTCGCAGATCATGCGGAACGCCTGCGCGAGCATGGTCTTGGCGGTGCGTTCGCCCCCCGGCGGCGTCTCGAGGTGCAGGATGTTGGCGGCCTCCTTGATGTAGTTCTCCACGTCCTCGTCCGTGTGGCCCTTGCTCAGCGACGCGTACTTGTTCGTCAGCTCCGCCAGCTTGACCGACTCCGTGGAGAACTCGTCGTCGAGGTCGAACAGCTCCAGCTCGGGCGCGGCGGGCTCCTTGAGGATGGGGTCGAACACCGCGGGCTGCAGCGCGGGCAGCGGGGTGTCGAACTGCGGCCGGACGAGCCCCAGGAGCTCCTTCTTCAACCCGAGCTTCTCGTACAGCGCGGCCGCCTGCAGGAGCGCACGGGGACACCAGTGAGCCCAGCACACAGCAGCAGCCGCAGTGCGAGCGTGGCGCGTCAGCGGGGCGCGGTGCGGGGCGCTCACGTCGGGCACGTGGCCCATGTGCAGGGTTTGCAGGCGCTCGTCGAACATGGTGGTCCAGTCCGTGGGGAGGTCCTCCCCGAGCGCGAGCGCGGGCTTGAGCTTCTCGGCGAGCGCGGTGATGTCCGGCACGACGTTCTTCTCCGGGTTCACGTCCGGGTCGTCCGCGTCCATGGGGTCGAGCGCCACGTCGTCCCCCGGCCGCATCCACCGGAAGAGGAAGTCCATCACGCGCGAGTTCTCCTCCTTGTCGAGCCAGTCGTCGCTGAGCAGGTCCGCGCTCCCGACCACCGCGATCTTCCCGCGGCCGCCGGGGGCCTGCCACGCCGCGGCGACGGGCCGGCGCGTCGGGTAGGAGACCTTGCCCGTGGAGAGGAGCGGCACGGCGGGCTTCTGCACGTTGACGGTGGCGCCGCGCGGGTACACGAAGGTCAGGTCGCGCTCGGGGGCGTCCTCGGGGGCGTCCTCGTCGGCGTCGCGCGCGGTCTCCTTGCGGCGGGAGCGCGCGGTGCAGGTCACCACGGCGCGGTTGACCACCCCGTCGGCGATGAGCACCTCCTTGGGGTGCAGGTACTTGGCGTGCGAGGCGCGGATGACCACGTCGTCGTTCACCGACATGCCGTACTCCTCGAGGAAGTAGTTGATGTTCGTGCCCGCCGCCGCCTCCCCGCCCTCGCGCAGGAGGACCAGGATCGACCCGCCGAGGCTCACGAACTGCTGCAGCATCTTCACCTCGCTCGTCAAAAACTCCTCCGTCGGACACCCCAGGACCAGGATCGCCGCCGACGACAGACGCTCCGGACTGAAGTCGTCCGCGGTCATGCGCCCCACCGTGAACTGCGTCTTCAGCCGCCTGCACCGCGCGCACACGACGCGGACCGCAGTTGGCGCGGTGCCACGCCGCCCAGGCAACCACGCGCCGCCGCCGCGGCCGCGCAAGCGGTGGCGATGCACGAGGAACAGGCGGGGCCGGCTCGCGCGCGCGGAGGACGCAGCCGTCACGCGCCCGCGTGGCGCGCGTGCAGGCAGCGCTGCCTCCCTGTGGGGAGGGCCCCGGCGGGCTGTAGGATGGCTGGACCGGTGTGCGCGAGCTGCCGCCGAATGTCCGCACACGCAGCTCGGAGGGGAGGCGGCGGGCACCGAGCGGGGGCCGCGCGGGACGGGCGCGCGCGGGAACCATCTGTGCGTCTCTGTCAGCAGGCGCGCCGGTGTGCCTGGCGGGCGAGCCGCGCGGTGCCGGCGCGTGGCGGCTGCCTCAGCAGCTGTTCATCCGGGCGCGGCGCTCACCTGAATAGATTGCGAAACCCACGCTTCGGAGTGTGCGTCTCCTTCTTGGCCATCGAAAACAGCACGAGTCCCCCCTCCCCGCTGCCCGCATTTTCATTCCCCGCTCCCGTATCTATGAAGGCCTCTGCACCGGGCGCGGTGCCCGCGCGGGAGTTGTTCCCCTCCATCCCGCTCGTCCCGTGGTGCCTGAATTAAGAAAACCACAGGGCGCCGTCCCAGGCCCGCCAGGCGCTACTCCGGCCGCCCCCCGGTACCTTCCCAGCTCTCACGCGCGTCTTGCGGCCCGGCGGCGCTGTCCGCACTTCTCGTGGGCCACTCTAGCCACCCGCGGCCAGTGTTCGTGCCTTCCCCTCGAGCGTTTCTCGCCGACACACGCCCGCGTCGCTAGAAATCGACAATTCCTGTGAAATTTAACGCTCATACTCGCCGTGCGGGGGCACTCGCCGCCCGAAGGCGCCCCACGAGCCCCTGTCCGACGCACGAAGCGTTCATACACCGACCCCCTTGTGATCAGGTTCCTGCGGAGCGCACGGCGTCTCATTGGCCGCGTCCGCGCGTCCCTGCGGGTCAGCTGTTAGCGAACGCCCTCCCCCGACGCACGCCGTGGCTGCGAATTGCCCAGCCCCGCGATGATAGGCCAGCTAAGGGGCACTTGCCCGCCTAGCGGGCGCCTCCGCAACGCCACGGAGCTCCGCACCGCGCCCACGCCTCGGCTTCCGGCGCCACGCCGCGCCTTGGCGGCTGTGCGCGCTGCCGCGGACGAAGGGCCGCAGGACGAGGCGTCGAGGCCCCGGCCCCGGCGCACAAGCATTTTGAGGAGGAGCGCGCCGAGGTGCGACGGCGCCCCCGCGCCCCCGCCCCCGCGCCCGTCGTGCAGCCCCGCCGAGGCGCCCGTGTGCGCCGTGTGTCGCCGATCTCACGCGCCCCGGGGCCCGAACCGCCGCGTGCCTCCCCACGGATACAGGGCGCCCCGGAAGGAGGCGCGCGTGGCGCCGAGCAAGCCCGCCGGGCGGCCGGTGGCGAGGGACAGTTCGGAGGCCGAGCCCTCGGGGCGGGACGTCGCGGTCACGTTCGAGCTGCGGCACCCCACGGAGTGGGGTCAATGCGTGCGGGTGATTGGCTCCGTGGCGTCCCTCGGCTCCTGGGAGCTGTCGAAGGCGGCCACTATGACGTGGACGGAAGGCCACGTCTGGAAGGCCGCGATCAAGATGCCCGTGGGCTCTGTCGCCGAGTACAAATACGTCGTCACGGATCCCTCTGGCAAGCAACCATTCTACTGGCAGCAGGGCAATAACAGCGTGTTGGCGCTGAACTTCAACGACAAGGAGGTGCTCACATCGGTCCCCACCTCCCCGCGCCGCTGCCCCCCCCGCGCGCCCGATTCCCACGCCGTGCCGCGCCCCAACGATTAGGGCTTCAACGTGTCCTCGTCGCGCGACGAATTTCCACGACGATCCGGCGAGAGTGCGCTCAAAACGTTCTCATCGTGCCGATACGGCGCGGCCCGCGCTTCATCGGCCCATGCAGACGCCCGCTGCCGGTCTACCTCCGAAGGCCTAGCCCTTCTCGGCGGCCAGCCGCGCGGCACCGGCCCCCCTCCCGGGCGCCCCCTGCCCGGCTTTTTCCTACCGTTTGCATGGAAGGTTACCGACGTTCGCGCCCCGCCGTGCCCGCAGGTCACCGTGAAGGACAACTGGGCTGCAGCTCCTGGAGCTTCCCTCGTGTCCGGCAACGAGCAGACGACGCGCGAGAACCGCCTCGCGGCGTGGGCGAACGAGATGCACACGACCATCGCAGCCCAGCGCCGAGACCTCAGGCAGGCGCGCATGGAGCTCGTCCAGGTCAAGGAGGAGGCCAGGCGGGCCAAGGACCTCGAGGCCGACCTGAACCGCGAACGCACGCACCGCAGGTACGCCGACGCGAACGATCGCCGCGCGCGCGCGCGCAGCCCCCTGCCTCGCTGCGTGGCGCGCCCCACGCGCGCCCGGCGCGCGAATTCACACTGGCCTGTTTTCAGGACGGCCCGCACCGCCTGGGGCGCGACTGGGCGCGCGTGCGCCGCGGAGGCACGGCGACGTGACCGGTGGCCCTGATTCCGTCGCGGCGCAGGGAGCTGGAGACGGTGAACAAGCAGCTGCTGCAGGACAACGCTGAGCTCCAGGCCGAGGTGAGCATGGCCCGGTCGGAGTTCCAGGAGGCGCTGCGGATCGCGCAGGACATCCTGGTGGAGGACGAGGACGAGCTGGAGGCGGCGGAGGTCGAGGAGGCGGCGGAGGAGCCCGCGTCCCGGCCTGGGGTGATTCAGGACGTGCAGGTGACGACGCCCGCGACCGTCGCGCTGCACTGCACTGCATCCATGTTGGCCTCGGAGAGGTCGCCGACACCGGTGCCGCTGCGGGCTCCGCGCGTGCAGGTGAAGACGTCGGACATCTACGACACCATCGGGCGCGACGGCGGGTTCATCTGGGCAAGCACGGACGAGGACACGGACGTCGTCGCCGCGGAGGACGACGGCCAGGACATCACGGCGCAGACGGCACCGCCGCCGACGTCCGGCGGTGTGCTCGCGGCCGAGGAGGCCAAGGCGACCGAGAAGCCCGCGGAGGAGAGCGGCGGCAGGAGGCGGGCGGCCGACATGTGGTGGAGCAGATCCGTGTCGGCCAGGACGCGCTCGCAGGACGCGTAAGTGCGGGCGAGAAAGATTCGACACGGTGTTCTGCAGGAACACCACCCTCACGCAACTAACAGTTGCTGCAACAATCAAAGGTGCTGTTGATTGCTCGCCCTCCAGGCACCCTCGCCGCGAGGATGCTTGAGCAACCGCCCTTCCGCAACGCTGCCGTTGCCGCACACACGGACTCCTAGGTGCTGGGCGACCTTGATGACTTGAGTCGTTGTAACCGAGAAGCTTACAACGTCACCAGTGCGCTCTGGGTCGCTCCGGTAGGCTGTCTCGATACGCGGCGGGAAAACTCTGAAACGCGCTCACCGGAGCGGATTCATGCGGCGTCGCAGCTGCCGCAGCGCCGCTGAGCGGTGGAGGCCGCAGGCGCAGCGGCGGGGGGGGGGCGTTTGTGCCAGGTTGACACGTTCTCATAGTACGTCTGTATCGCGGGACAGGGGTGCCGGCTCGCGCGGCGCTGAGCTTGGCAGCGGAGCTGGAGTCGTGCAGGTGATCACGGTTGACGAGTGCTCGTGTTGGCGCCTCTCATAGTGACGTGCAAGGTCCGCATGCGAACAGCGGAGTGCCGCACTCAGTGGTGCCCACCCGACAGCGGTGGCAGGGGCGCCGTGCGCTGGGCCTCCTGGGACAAGCTGCGCGCGATGACTCCGCTGCTGCCGTGCGCAGCAACCGCTTGCCTGCAATGCTAGACAACGGGGAGAAGCTGCTTTAGAATACGAGTGCACGTTGGCAGCTGCTGAGAGGCGCGCAGAGCGCATGGCGCTCGGGTTGAACGTCGCGGCGCAAGCGCACCTCGGAGCGCGGTCCTGGAGGATCCAGGGGTGGTTGAGCGCCTCGTCAGGGGTCAACCTCTCCTCCGGGTCCCACGTCAGACATCGCCGCACGAAGTCGATGAAGCCCGCGTCTGAGCCACCCAGCACGCCTTTGAGCGACTGCAGGGATCGGAGGAGGGGCCGTGGTCGGGCGTTTGACCTTCGATCGTCCCTAGCCGCACACCACTGAGAGCCCCAGACGTGGGTGCGCCTCCTACGCGAGCTCGCCGCGCGGCGTACCTTGTTGCCCGGCTGTCGAACCCTTCCTCTCGAGTTCGGGACGATCCTGGGCTGCCGCGCGCTGTCGAAGAAGTGCCTCCGCCGGCTGCCGCGATCCACAAGGCTGGCCGGGGGCAGCCCAAGGACCTCCATGATGCACAATATCTGCAAGGGACGGGGCAGATCACGTTCAACGCGCCCTCGGGTGGTGCGTGGACGTCGCGCGAAAACGCTCCCCCCCCCGCACATTTGGCACTCGCCCATGCGCCGGCGCGTCTCACCTGGTCGTGCTCGTTCTCTCCGGGGAAGATCGGGCTGCCCGTGCGGAGCTCCGCGACGATGCATCCGAGCGACCACATGTCGATGGGCGTGGAGTAGGACACCCCCAGGATGACCTCTGGCGACCGGTAGAACCTGGACTGGATGTAGGTGAACGACCGCTCCTGCTCGAAGCAGGACGACCCGAAGTCGATGACCTTGACCCCGGACCGCTGCGCGTGTCTGAGGAGGATGTTCTCGGGCTTGAGGTCGCAGTGCACGATGTTGAGCTGCCGGAGGAAGGAGAGCGCGCGCAGGATCTGCTGCGAGAACCGGCAGATGAGCGACTCCGGGAAGCCGCGGAAGTGGTTCTTCTTCAGCAGCTCGTAGAGGTTGATGGAGAGGAGCTCGAAGGAGATGCAGAGGTGGTTCCGGAAGTACATGTAGCTGTCCAGGTGGATCACGTGGTTCCGGCCGCCCTCGTCCATGTGCCGCAGGTGCTCGAGGATCTTGACCTCGATCAGCGCCTGCTGGTGGAACCGCTTCTTGTTCCTGATCACCTTCAGGGCCACCTCGGTGCCCGTCTTGTGGTCCAGCGCCTTGACCACCTGCACCGCCAGGGCCGGGCCGGAACGTCAGCTCCCGGGCACATGCACGCATCGAGACGATCCCGTTGGGACCCCCGCCGCACGCACGCACCCGTCCGAACGACCCCTTGCCGAGAATGCCGAGGATCTCGTATCGATATGCCACGTGGTCGCCCAACGTGATCAGGTAGTCACCCCGGTCGTCGTCGTACCCAAAGTTCAGGTCCGGATTGCGAGGGGTCCCCTTGATCTTGCGCGCACCCTTGCCTGCGAATGTGCGGGCGAACCGGAACGCGACGTGAGCTGTGTTTGGCGGGCAGGCGTCGACACGGGTCAGGCGTCTCGTCGCAGGGCGGGGCGCACCAGTGAAGTAGATCTGCGGGAAGTCCAAGACCTCGCTCTGCTCGTAGTCCGTGAGGTGGTCGCTGCACCTCTTCAGCGCCCCCGCTGGCGTTGTTGGGAAGGTGCCGCTGCCGCTGCCTCCGAGCGCCGCCAGCTCTTCCGCTGCGCCTGCGGAGCACGACGCGGGCGATCCATCGCTGAGTGCGCCCGGCAGGTGGGGGCACGGCCGCCACGCGCTCGCTGCTCCCCGCGCAGTGCACGTCCTACCTGACCGCTCGAAGCGCTCCGTCACCCTCGCCTGCTGCTGCTTCATGCGGTCGCTGATCTTCTGCTGCCTCTCCGTCAACCGGACGCTCGCATCAGCCGCGGGTGCGTCGTGCGCCTTGGCCGGGAGGGGCGGAGGCGGCTGGCGCGGCGGCATGGGTGCAAGGACGCCCGGCAACGCCTGGCCGTTCCGGTGATGCCGATGCCGATGGACCGCGTTCGCGTGGCTGCCGTCGGCCAGGTCGACCGCCCGGCTGGTCGGCCCGACCTCCAGCGCTCCTGCGTCAGGCCGGCTCGGGGGACCCCCCTCCCGCGGGCGGCTCCGCACCGTCCGGTCCCCCGCCGGCGGGCGCCCGTGGCTCCGCGCGGCACCGTCCGCCAGGCGCGGTTCGCTGCTCGGCATCGCGTCCCCGGCGGTGCGCGACGCCTGCCGCGCGCCCGTCGACCCCTGCGGCACCAGACTGCGATGGCTCCCGCCCTGCAGAGGCGTGACGCGCCGCTGCTGGCCCGCCCGCGCGGTGTCATCCAGGCGGATACCCTCGAGCCCGGGCGCCTCGCCGATCGAGTCGGTCCTCGCGGCGTCGCGCAGCATTGAGTCCGCGGCGCGCAACACAGCGCGGTCGTGCGCGGCGGCGCGCAGCGTTGCGGCGGGCTCGCCGCCCCGCAGTGCGCTCGCTCGGGAGGCGCTGCCGGCACCGCCCTGCGCCTCCGTGACCGCGGGCGGCCACATGCGGCCGGGCCTCGCGCGGTGGTGGGGTGGTTGGTGCTGCTCCGTGTCAGGGGCGCGGGGCGCGCGCACGGGGGCCCACTTGGCGCTGTGCGCCGCGTCCGCTTCATCGTTCTTCCCCTGCGGCGGCTGGGCGCTCGGGCGACGCCCGCATGGGAGGCTGGCCGCGGGGAGGAGGCAAAGGTCGACGTGCCGACGCGGGGCGGGCGGGCGGGCGACGACAGCGCGAACAGGGCGCCGGGGGGGTCGGCGGGCGGGCGGGCTCGCACCTTGCGCGTCGTCGGGACCGAGCCGGCGTGGAGGTTGGCGTACGTGCCCTGCGACCCAGTGGACCACTGCGTGGTCATCGAGTTGTTGAAGCTCGAGCTCCCGGCGGGCTGCGGGGGCGGGGTGGAGAGAGAGGGAGGTCGCACAGCGCGGGGACGGCGGCTGGCCCCGGCGCGAGCCCGCGCGCGCCCCGGCCTCCGTGTACGTTGTTGCCCGGCAGAGTGTGCGGCACGCAGGCGTGGTGCGCACAAGCGCGTCGAGCGCCCGTACGCAGGCGGACTGGGACGACTCACCGGGATGCTGCGCTCCATGGCCACCTGCCCGCTGGAGGCCCGCGCCTTAATCACGGGCAGCTGGTGGGGCGCCATGGCTCATGCACGAACAGGGCGTTCAGGCGTGTGCCGGCCTCGACACCATCTGATACCCGCGACGCGGCCTACGTGGGATCTTGAGAGGGCAACGCGACCAAAAAATCCTCACGGCAAGGCCCGGGTGCCGAGCGCTGGCCCTGGAAGTGCACCTCGACTCTGCTCCTGCGGTCAGCCACCGGGGCGAACGTGAGCGCCGTCCGAGCCGAACGCGCACGAGTGCTGAAATGAGAGAGCCGTCGTCGCCGAGGAAGGTGGGGTGGCCGTGCGCACGCGACATCTCGGAAAGGACGCGTGCATGCGAACGGCAGAGGCCGTTCTCTCCGCGACCTGTGGCTTGCCGGGGTGCGTTCGCCCCATACCCGAGGTCGTATTCACCCAACAGCGCGCTCGAGCCTCACATGCGGCAGTCACGCGTGGTCCGAAGCAGCTCGAGCGACTTCTCGGTGCTGATGCCCGTTGAGAGCGTGCGGCCAGAGGAGCGCTCAGACGCTCGCACAGGGCCACGGAAAGGCGTTAACTTGCTGACAGATGACTGTCCGCGCACCTTGTCGAGTCCGGCGTGCGGTTCCGTCTTCCCACGGGCGTGGCAATGTTCAAACAACCCCCGCGCAGCCCTGCAGACCGAGGCCAGGCGTCCCTCCGCCAGTGCGACAGTCACCCGCGACCGGAAGTTGCCGCAGGCGGCGCGCAAGGCCGGCCATCCTGCTCGGCCGGCGAGTGCTGCGGAGTGGGGTACTGCACTGGGAAACAGCCCCGGCCGCGGCCGAGTACCACGTCAAGGCTCTCCGGGCCGCCAGGACTGGAGCAAGCCAGTTTGCTGGATCGTGTCCGCACGTGTTCGGGCGCAAGGTTCACCGTGCCGCCGCGGATTCTCTCCTTGTGAGAGCGTTCACTTTTTACGGCACAGTTTCCCCAGGGCGCGGAACCAGGGCCGCGGCTGCGCCCGACCATGGACCTGGATGCCGTGCTGAGAACGTGCCTGTCCAACGACAATCAGGTGCGCAGATGTCTCAGCGCAGCAGGCGGCGCCTGGTGCAGAAGCACTCAAGACGGGCTCCTGCTGCGCGGCCACGCCCTGAATTACCATTATACGGACTGGCCAGTCATATTTTGAGGGGAAGTATCGCATTCACGCGTCCGCACAACATGTTGAATGACTCAGTGGCCCTCGCAAGCCGCCTAGAGGGGGCGAGCAGGAGCTCTGGTCCCGTAGATCCCAGGGCCCCGACGTGTCGTCCCGTAGACGGCGAGGTGTCCTCGGCATACCTATCGCGGTCCTGCACGGCGCAAGACGTTCCCGATTCTTCTCCTCAGCCGCGTGCCACAGGCAACTTGTAGAGCAACAGGTTCCGCCGCCCCCTGGTGGCGCGCATGCGCGAGCGCTCGTTCCCATGGCGAGAAGAACCATCTGTTCCACCGCTCGTCCGGCTGATGCAGAAGCGCAAGGAAGCAGAGGGCGCACTACAGGCGGCTGGCAAGGATGTTTCCATCATTCCACAGCTCATTACGAGGGTCTGCTCCTCAGAGGACGCCTCCGCGAGGTCAGGCATCGCGACCAGCCGCCAGGCGATCGCGTGGACGTCCAATGCGCCCCGCAACTGCTTTCCAGGACGACACAACATCACGCGTGCTCCTTCGTGTCGCGGATGACGCTGCAGGCAAATCGCGGCCCTGTTCCTCAAGAAGCGCATTGGGAAGCACTGGAAGGCCCTTGACGAGAACGCCCGGACGGCCATCAAGGCAGCCCTGCTGGAGAGGATGCTGCACGAGCCCATGCATCCCGTCAAGATAGCCGTGATGGGCGGTGGCACCGCGCCCTGCTGGATGTCGCACTCACGGAGGCGCACCCTGCAAACAGTGTGTCCGCGTCAGTGTGGTGCTGCGAGTGTGTGTGGCGCACATCTGCGCGTCGAGGAGGAGTCACTTAGACGCACTCAAAGTGCGACTCGTCCCGCGTTGGATGATGATGGCCCGGGAGCTCAGACCGGCGGGAGGCGCCTGCCACGTGCGTCGCGGTGCGTCTTCGATGCCGTGGTCTGTCTGCTTGGCTGGGTTGTACCCACATGAGGGGTTCCCTCACACCGGGTGTGCGATCTACCACGCGGACCGCCGTGCCCTGTCCCGCCTGCGCGTGGGAGCCACGAGGCTGCGCACCTCCACGATGGCCATGGCGGACCAGGAATAGCAGTGGCAACACACACCGCTGTCGCACCCATCGAAAGTCTGCCGATTCTGCGCGGATGTGGCGGCCTCGCCCGCCCCGGAGGACCTCCGCCACCTGCTGCTGGACTGCTGCGGCCCGGCGGTACGATATCTCCGGGAACACGCGGGCATGGCCGTGGACTCGTCTGGGCAGCTCACGCTACCGCCTCCGCCCGCTGCTGACGCCCCCCTGGCGTCCACGGCAACTGTTGGACAGCGCCGCCGCTTCGCTCTCAACCGCCGGCTGCGCCAGTACCTCGAGGACCTGCACGGTGCCGCAGCACTCGGCTCGGACGCGGCCGCCAATGCTGCCGTGCGCTATCTTCTGAACCAGCACGAGCGTCCCGCCGCGCGTCGTGCAGCAGACTGGTCCCTGCCACCGCGCGTGGGCCCAGGTGCAGCCGGCTGGCGTGGGCTATGCGAGACAGCCCCTGGGGGGACACGTGGTGACACCCCCCGGCTCGCTGCCGGCCGGCCCAGGCGGACCGAGGGGCCGCGCAACCCCGCCTGGGCCTCGCCGCACTCGGCTGTCCTTGCAACTTGCGTCGTCGTTTGCCTGGAGGGCAACAGTGGACGGACTTCTCGCGGTCGCCGGCATCGTCAACACTCGCACCTCGGTCTTCTGCGTGACGCACGGCTTGGACAGGAGCTCGACCTCGACCCGTGGACCACCGTGAGCGGCCCGGCGTGCTCGCGAACGCCCGCAAGTCGGAGATGGTCGCAGGCGTGCTCGCGAGCGCCACGAAGACATGGAGATCATGGAGCTGCGAGCGCCGGCGCGCTCCCACGCGGAGCCCGGCATCCTGTCGCGCCGCGGCTCACGCTGAGCCCCGGGTTGCCGACTCAAGCCTTCCTCCGTGCGCCCTCGCGGGCCCGGAGTCGCATCCGCGAAATGAAGCTGCACGTGCGGCGCCTGCGGGGCGCGCTCGGCTCTGCGCAGCGTAGCTGCCGGCCGAAGTGCATGTCCATGCTGTCGACCAGGTCCGAGTGGTATTTTCAGCGAGATGGGCACCTGGTCCCGTGGCGTTTCTGACAAACTGGTGCCGTTGCAGGGCGGGGTAGAACCTGCCTTGGCGGTGCGACCCGTGCTTCGGGGTGTAAACAAGTCGAGTCGAGTCGAGACCTGCCGGATCAGCGAGGCATGGCGATCTTCGCCCGTGGCTGCCACGCATGCAGCATTCAGGATCTGCTCCAGGCCGACTCGGTCACAGCGGCCGAACCTGTTGCTACCACAACGGTGGGGGGTTAGCATGACTTGCCACCTAGTCGAATGATCTTTTCAGGTCCCAAAGCCTTACGGCTGACGACGCGAAGAATGTGACACCTCACTGGGTGTGTGCGGCTCTCACTGGCCCGGGCGGGCAGCATGCGACCGCGCCCGCCTCGCACACGCTCAGTGTGACTGGCTCGCGATCGGTCGCACATCGGCATCGCGCCGTGACGACAGCAGGCCGTGCAAGTGCTTGTAGCAGATGAGACGCGCGGCGGTGCTCGCGGAACGCGCTGGCGGTGGTTGGTGCTGATCGCACGGCCGTGGCGGAGGTGTGTGCTGTCTCGCGGGCTGCCGCGGGAGTCGCATGGAGCGCCCAA